AGAGTTAATTAAGTGATTAAATAATATTTAAGATATTATATAAACTACCAGTAGGATGATTAGATAAATCTATTATTAATAATACAGTTCTTATATAATAATATTAGTTACTTGATTATTAGAGTCTTACTGTTCTATATTAATTACAATTACTATTCCAGGTTTCTGGAAATGTTACTAGGAAAGTAACTAGTTACTAATATAGCTGAAGATATTATTATATTTATGGAAAATATATATATATAGTTATTTTAAGATATTAAGTTCATGAACTTACGCAGCAAGATGTACTATGATTATAGATATAGAAAAAAACCTGATCTAAAAAGAGGAAAGAAAGTGTTTCTACTCTGCAGAAATATTAAGATAAAATAACTAAATCAGAAGCTTGATTATTACAAGCTAGGACCATTTATCATCAAAGATAAGAAGAGACTGGTCAACTACAGGTTAAGATTACTAAAATCAATGAGCAAAATTCACCTAGTGTTTTATATCTCATTGTTAAAACCTGTACTAAAGAACACTAGAATCATGGAAAACATGGAGATCGATGATAATACAAAAGAAGAATATAAAGTTAAAAGGATCTTAGACTATAAGAAGATTAGCAGTAGATTATAATATCTGGTAAAATGGGAAGGATATGATATCTTAAAAAACATGTAGGAACTTATCAAGAATTTGACAGGTTATCATCAGCTTGTGGAGCAGTACTACTAACAGACAAGTCGAAATTCGTCCAGAAAGAAGGAGAGCTAACTAGTTAGGATAAACTAAGATCGGGCTTGGACATGGCAGCTAGTTTAATACTACTACTTGCAGTAGTACTAGCCTTAGCCTTGGATATTATAGTCTTTTAAGTATATAATCTTTCTTATGCTTCATGTTTCTTTTATTCTTGCTTTTTGAGTTCTTCTAGTTTCTTAATCTCTTTTATGTCACGAGTTATGAAATCATCAACTTGTCTTTATAATAACTATTTTTGCTTTTATAATTAAAGAAGTTTTGCCAGGATGACTTTCTCTTCTTCTTCAATAGAATTTTGAGCCTTGATTAAATGCTTTTACTTAGTGTTAGAGAAGAAAGAATCAGGTATTTTATAATGGATACTGTTTGTCTTCACACACTTGTTACAGTGATTAGAACTCTCGGATTTGATGCATACCTTGTGTAGATGGATACAGCGCTTGCAAGGAAAGACTGTAAGAAAATCCTTGTCTTTAATCTATTAGCAAAGACTCTTCTTACATATAAAGAAACTGGACGATATAATTAATGATTTGAATGAAAATTTGGAAACAGTACTGGATACTTACCTTACAGGGGGACGCTGCTGATTTATGTTCCTTGAGGATAAGAAACCTTGAAGAGGGGGAGTGGTGTTACGGACCCCTGCTAGCTGAATGACTAGTGAGGCGGACACGTCAGGCAGAAGGCTACGCCCGGACCGATAAGGACTCTTATCGAGTAGAATCCTGATCTGAGTAACCAACACCCGGAGCCGTTACACGGCACGTGACCATGATGGATATATTACTAATAAGCTATAACATGTCAGTGCTATAACAGGACATGGCAGCGCTATAACAGGACATGACAGTAACATAAAATAACATATCAAGTAACATGATATAATATGGCGATATTATAATGAAGAATAGGATAAAAGGACACTCTTTCATATACTTAGCTAGTTCTGTTCTTCGTGCTTAATCATATTATCTTTAAGTAACCACACGTTTTGGTAAAGCTTAGCAACAATACTTGTCTGTACTCACTTACGGATAGCTGCGCGGCACTATCTGGCCTTACTTTCTTTTCTTGTTCAGGACCAGTCATCATTAGATAGTCATCAGTCTGACTTACCTCGATTCAGTTCGAAGGTACGTATTGGAACGGGAGCTAAGCTAACAGGAACAGGGAGAAGCGATCCTAGGGTTTGACACCTCGATTTGGTTCGAAGGTACGTATTGGAACAAGAAGCTAAGCTAACAGGAACAGGGAAGCGATCCTAGGGTTTGACAATATAGTCTTTAGAATAATAACTAGTAAAATTATATAATAATATTAATCTGTTAAAAGCTGATATAGCTGTATCAATAATATAGTAATAGAGAATTAAGGATTATTATTCTAATTTTATAATTAATAACTTCAATAAATAATATCTTTTTTATCACTTATATATAGTTAATAATATTATTAGTCTTTATATCCTGCAGAGTATGATCTTTATTAATTTTATAGATATTAAAGTCTTCTTAAAAATATTGAGCTGATAGGAGTCTGTATGATAATTCTAGTTAATAATAAATCTTAATATTTAACTTAATAAAGATATTATTTACTTTTAGAAAAACAGTAATTATCTTTATAGTAATTATCTTTATTAGGGTCTTCTCTGAGATATTATATATATAAACCTTATAAGACTTAAGCTTATAAAAATTGGCTAGTAAATAGTGATCTGGGATAAGATACTAGAAACTTCTAGTATTATAAATCTAGTATAATAAATAGTTAGAGAAATTCTCTATTATTATATTACTAAAGTGAATAATTAGAATATTATTATTTAAAAATGTGGAGTTGGCAGACAGAATTATATAAGTTATAATAAATAACTTTACTAGTTATTTTACTAGAATAACTTTTATAGAGATTACTAATTTTGATAATTTAGTATTATTTTTCAACTGGTAATATTAAATATTATAAATATAATAAGTCTAGTCTTCAGAATAAAGATTAAGAATAAGATATTAGTATTTTAAAAACTTATATTTTTTAATATAGCAGAAGCTACAGTTACTATATAATATTTATAATAATTTCTTTATTTTTCAAAAATAATTTTTTATATTTTAATCTTTTTATAAAAAGATTGTTTTTACTTAATGTCTTTTCTTAAATAATTAGAAGAAGATTATCTTTATTTTTACAGTAAATACTACAGAATTTTTATGTTCTTATTTATTTTTTTTTCTATAGTATATTTACAGTAATTAAAGAAATTAGTCTTAGTTAGTAATTCTATAGTATATTAGTAAGATAGAGTTTAATACTAGCTATCTAATTAAGTAAGTCAGACTCTATTTTCTTTAGTAGATTTAGTAAAGTACAGTATAGCTGTATATTAATTTTAAGCTGCTGAGCTAAAGAATATATATTTCTAAAGTTATTAATAAATTAAAAGATAGTTAAATATTCTGATCTTGATATTTTAGTAAATTTAAACCAGGTAGTCTGGATTATAATATAATTATAATTAAAAATAAAATATTTAATTATTTTATAAGTATTATTAATATAGTTCTTCAGATTATTTAATTTTATAAATTATTCTAATACATTCTTATTTAATTAGATAATTAATTATAATTATAGATTTAATAATACTGCATGCTAGATATTATAATCTATATATATAATTAAAAATCTATCTGATTTCTTAGTTATTAAATCTTACAGTCTAATATTCTTTAGTACTGTTTTAATTATAAAGTTTTATATATTAAAATTCATATATTTTCTTTTAATTTATCTAAGATTTTAGCAAGTCTCTTTAACAGTTTTATTAAGATTTAATCTATTTAAGTTAAGGGATTTATATTTGCTATATTATCTTTATTAATATATAAGAATAATATAATTTCTTCTTTACTTTTTATTATAAATCTTTTTATGGCTTTTCTAGCTCAAATTAGTTTCTAATTGGTGGTTGATATAAAGTGGTTAATCATAGATTATAAATACTAGTCAGAATCAAGATTGTTAATATTATAGGAAAGGATTTTAATATCTCTGCAGTCGCGACTTTATAGAAGTATTATAAGAATTTTTAATAATTTAAAATTTTATAGAATTCTTTTAAATAATGTTTAATAATGAATGTAGCAGTGCTTTATAGTAAAGAGCTGGGCTTATAATCTGTTAGAATATGAAGCCGAAGAAAATAAGTGATATTGGTATGACTAACTAGAAGGCTTCTGCCTACACGGGATGAAAAGGATAACAACAGTGGCTAACGTGACAGGGCACGTGACGCGCTCGCCTACTGACCAACCGGCTGTCCGGACATTTTTTCTAGTAAAGAATTGAAAGTACTCCCAACTTGCCCTTGAAATTGACAATGGCTGTTCCACATCACCGACATCGGATGCCACTGGAAGGGGTCATCGTGCCTGTACCCCAGCCCTTGAAGCGAGAAGACCGCGACGCAGCGCTGAGGCTTTTTGATAGTATCATCGAGCAATTCGAACCTTCACAGGCAACCGAAAAAGGCTTGAAACCAGTTTCTCTTATTCGCCTGATGAAAGAGGAGATTTCCGATAAAGATAGCTTTCTCAAACTCCTTTTCTCATTCATTGAACACCATTTAGATGGTGTCTCGAGCGATGCAGAGCCCTCCATCACTCATATTCTATCTCGCTTGGACAGTTTCACTACATGGACCACCTCGGACAAAAGTGCCCTTAGTAAAAGCCTGGTCATGTTCGCGAACTTTTTGATCGATAACTTCTTTTTGCCTTGTATGTTGCTATACGCATACTTGAAATGCGTGGAACTAAAATTCGTTTAGTAAAAACTTTAGCTGCGAAAACCCCTCAACCTACGCCAGCATCTCTTTCTCATGCTCAAATTTCCGAAGCAGGTATCAGAACTCCGCAACGCGTCTCCACTTTACAACGAGACTGTCTTTTGCGTGACCGCCATAGATGCGTTGTAACTCGAAAATTCGATATCCAGGAAGCTGAGGATCGATTAGCAAAAGATGGAACCGATTTCAAAGACGATGACGGAGAGTCATTGCTGCCGGAGAGTGATGCGATGACCTTTCTGGAAGTAGTACATATAATTCCTCATTCTCTCATATCACTCACCAGTATTGACGGGGATCCAAAGCTGGTGCGTATCCATCCAGAATCTCGCCTCTAATCTATTGCTTACAATCTATCTAGGCCGAGAACAAGCAAATGACCTATAAGATACTAAATATGTTCAATCCCACTGCTATTCCCCTCATTAGTGGGAATGACATTGACCGACCCATGAATGCGCTTACTTTGACCCAGAATCTTCACACGTTGTTTGGTAGATTTGAGATCACATTTAAATATATTGGGCCTCACACCTACAAGATCGACTATGTGAAACAAGACCGCTTACTTCAAATTGTGAAGCTTCCTGTCACCCGAACGCTGTATCTCACTCCAGACCGAAACATAGACCCGCCATCTGTTGATCTTCTGAAGATCCATCATACTATAGCGAAAATTCTTCATCTGAGTGCTGCGGGTGAGTTTATTGACAAATTTCTTAGGGATATGGAGGAGATGGAAGGCGGGCAAGTGATGTCAAATGGCACGAGCCGTATCGATGAATATGTGCGTTTCAAACTTGCTGGTTGTCTTGATGGTTGTTTTGAAGAAATGTCTGTGTGCTAGGAGTCTGCAAGCTTTTAGTCCCGGCTCAACGGCTGCACTTTCTCATCATCGAAAGCCTATTACCTTGCTTGTCTGGTGGATAGCCGCGTCTATATACGAGAAACGCGGAGTTCCGGTTTTTTAGAGGGTGCAGATGTACCCTCTGCTTTCTTTTGCTTTGTAGCCTTCTTTTGTTTTGCTTTTTTTTCAATACGTTGCCATCCGAATGAATTATGAACAAAAGCTGAGATGTTCACAAGCAACCATTTTTGGTGGCTTGTTCACTCATGTTCAGAACCACGCTCGTATCACTTTTTGATCACAGCGACAATTCGGTATACATGGATATGCACTACTGCCCGGCGTTATTACATAGTTCACTCATTTCATACCCAAAATATTCGGTTTTAGTTTTTGCAGCCAGAAGCAGGAAACTCGGCTCACTTAACAACCACTATAGTCTGGCAGTCGTTTCTGGCGCATCCTGGTCTCTGATCAACTCATTCTGGGATACTCAAATAAGCGCGTAGTGATTCCTCTTGGTGTCTTTGCTATTTCCAGGGGCACAGAATTGGAGGTGGCCTGGAAACATTATATAGTAGCATTTTATTCAGGTAGTCTTCAGATGAGTGTCCCGCTTGCCCATGAGTGAAAGAATTCCTTTCACCAGTAGCATCAGCTAATTCTCTTTTGTCTTTTGCCTTGACCTACCAAGACCTGTTCTGACGTAGCGCCAGACCTGACCTGTCATGAATCTATGTTATCAGATGGCGTATCTACGAAACTCATAGACGCTTAACGGAGGAAGCAAACCCTCGGTTGCTTCAACTGATCAGATCTACCAAGGACGTCTAGAAAGCATACGAGGTCACAACTACTACTGGTTGCCTAAGGGTGTATCTAAAAGGGTTATGCCTCCAAAAATTCCTCCACTCGCCCAATAAGATCTGCCTTTTTTCCAGCAGTGGAGCATCCATGAGAGGTCAGGAAATCCTTCAGGATGGCGACCGTAAGCTAAGAAGACCGCTTGTTAACCGATGTGTATGATATCATCATGGTTGCATCTGCTTACCTTGGATAGAGTGCCTTTCTTATAATGTTTGCGAACCTCTTCCTCGAAGCCCCCTGAGGCCTCCTCAACCTTAACCTTCTTTGATGGTTTGCTTGGTCCATCATCGTCCAGTTCGCCTGCTCGATCCTTTGCCCCTCTTTTGACAAGGGTGCTTGTGGGACGAGGTGCCGCTGCCGAGATCTTTGCGTATTGCTTTTCGAGTTCATCAGCCCAGGACAAGACATAATCCCCAGCACGCTAAAGCAAGATTGTTAGCGGAATCCGCGAAGGATAGAGTATAGGTCTTGAGTGTAACAAACATACCTTGTCAATTTGACGATATTTAGGAATTGTCTTATCTTCGGGCTTTTCGGGAAGTTCTTCGTCCAATGCAAGGGCCTGCAGTATGCGGTAATGCCATTGAAGGGCTGGCCACAGCTTATCAGCTTCCTTCAAACCCACTGCACGAAGGCATGAGGGAAATGCTTACATGGATTTGGGTATTTGAGAGGCTCATACAGCCCTTTTGGAAGCTGCAATTGCTGGATGATTACACGCATTTGATCAATTAATGGCTCCGGGGCCACATTCAGACTGGTTTCTGGATTTTGTCGAACATCATCGGCGAAAGGAAGGGGCAGAATCCACATCCCGGGAGGGTACTTCTGTACACCGTTCTCATCTATCTTTTCTTCACCTGCAATCATAGCAGCGAGAACTGGGCCAGAACCCTTGCGTGCGATGAACCAGACAAGTGCCATCTTCTTATCACGTAGAAGAGTCTGATGCAAAGCAGAAAATACCCGCGAGGAGCCCACATAGTCCTCTTCGGATGAGTAGATGAAATATGGGTGCTTCACGTTCGCCCAGAAAGGAAGCGTAGCGATAGGCTTGAAGCCCACGATCCGGATCACTGGTTCACCGAAGTCTCTGAGTGCTTTCTGTTCCTCAGATGTAAAGGTTACCTGGTCGCCGCCAAATTTATAAGCTTTCCTGATTTCCCACTTCTCGATCATCCGGGAAGTATCGTCTGTGCTTTGAGTGGTGACTCCTTTCGCGATTTCAGGTTTGTCGGCTCCAAGCCAAATGAAGGAGCTTCTAGCGGGCTCTTGCCGTCTGAAAAGTATATAGCCAGAGACCGAGATTCGAAGATCGGGCCCAAGCTCCAAAGGCATGTCGGAGAAGTGCGTACGGCGTGGCACAGTTCTGGAACTAATGCTAGATAAAAGAGTGTTCAGAAGTGAAATTCCATCACCGGTTGCTGTTGATGCCTTTGGATCAGATTGCAGATAAGCAGGAGCCTCTGGATCGTTGGGTGACGTTTTGTAGATGATATCCTCACATCTTGAGTTAGCAAGACCTGCCTATCACACAATGAAAAAACGTAGCTTACATCATAGAACTTGGAATTATCAAACTCATGATCGGGCCGTGAAATCGGGAACAGCTCGATAGTAACACCAAGATCGTAGAGATCCTTAGCACGTACAGTTGCTGCAGACCGAAGAGACTTATCATTACCATGGGGGTTGTCATTGTCGGTTACAATGAACAACCGCCGTGAGAGGAAATTTGGCGCTTTCGATGTGAAAATCTGGTTGGCGCAAAATAGGACGTTCGCCATAGAGGCTTGCTCATTTGCCGGAGTAAGCACCTCCCTTGATTCTGCCTCATCATCTACCAGTGCTCGAAGATCTTTGACCTCCTGCGCAGACGGAACGTCCAGGTCAGTGAAGAGGTAACAGTTAGGGTAGGAGAGGTCTCCTCGGCTGTCTTCATCCTCGTCATAAAACTTAGACGCCTGCGTCCCATATAACAGAACACCCATCATGTCTTGTGGATTAGAGATGATTCTTTGCTGCATAAAACGATAGGCGCATTTGAGGGCCGCAGTAGCGGGCGATTCATGTGTTGGTTTCTTGGGATCTGGTGAGGGGCGAGGGGTCAACATGGAGTCGCTGACGTCGATCGCGAAGAGAACAGCATCTTTCACCGATTTGTAGCTCTAGACTTGTGAATCAGCCCCATGATTTTAGTCACCTTTTGTTGCGAGGATGTGCATACAGTCTCATCGATTTCCTCTTCTTCCTCCACCGCCTCCTCTTCCCGATGTGGGTTATTGTCCGCCATGCTGTGTATCGTAGAATCGGTCAAGTCATCCAAAGGGGGGCCATGGAGAAGAAGTAGAAAGAGGCGAGTCGAGAAAGTTGACGACAATAAGGGAAGGAAGTTCTGTCTGCCTGGCCTGGCCTTTGCTGCCTGCAGTCGGAGGCGGCCTAGTACGGAGTATGAACGAACGGTCTACATCCGGTCGCGGTGACGCGATGGCCCGAACGGAAGAGACGCGGGGGAGACACGAACATCATGTGATTGCCGCCGAGAATTGATGACGCTCGGGAGCCTCCAATTGGCCCATTGGTCCTCGGAGTTAACCCCATGGACGCTCCGTCATCAAGCCGTTCTGGACTTTTCGGCTTCCATAACGCCTGGCCGCATCGTACAAGCTGTCCTCGCCACGCTCCTGAGCCCACTCATCTTTTTCAACCACCGATGCGCATTCAATTCGTGGTAGGCTGATTCGCAATACAAAGGACCCCTTCTTGTATGTCCATTGTCTGGGCCACGAGGAGATAACAATAACAACCGCCATGGCTCTCCGCCGTTCGCTTACTCTCCCCCGGCAATTGCTGCGACCGGCAACTCGCGCTTCTTTCGGATATAGCCAGGAACGAAGACACGGTCTTGCAACAGCGGTCCCTCCCGTCACTCAGGATGCAACTGGCTCCAAGGGCCCTACGGCAATGGTTTTTCTGAACATGGGAGGACCATCGACGACAGACGAAGTGGAGGATTTCCTTAGCAGACTCTTCGTACGTTTCTGACTATTGCAAGCGGTCGATTTGTTGCTGCATCTCTAATACCTAATCTTGTTGCAGGCCGACGGTGACCTGATCCCTCTGGGCAAATTCCAGACGTATCTCGGGCCTCTCATTGCGAAAAGAAGGACGCCCAAAATCCAGAAACAGTACTCGGACATCGGCGGGGGCTCACCCATCAGAAAGTGGTCGGAATACCAATGCGAGGAAATGTGCAAGCTGCTGGACAAGATAAACCCGGAGACTGCACCTCACAAGCCGTATGTTGCATTCCGTTACGCCGCGCCTTTGACGGAGCAAGTGTATACAAAATTGCTTGAAGATGGGTTTGGCAACGGCAAAGGTGGCCGTGCTGTCGCCTTCTCGCAGTACCCACAGTACTCTTGTTCCACTACGGGTAGCTCTCTGAATGAATTATGGAAGTGGAGGAATCGGCTGGAGGGTAAGCGAGCCAACGGTAACGTGGACACTTCCGGATCTATCCAATGGAGCGTTATCGATCGGTGGCCCACGCACCCTGGTTTAGTGGAGGCTTTTGCAAAAAACATTGAGGATCAACTCAAGACCTACCCTGAAGAGAAAAGAAAGGGCGTGGTTCTCTTATTCTCGGCCCACAGTCTGCCAATGAGTGTTGTGAACAGAGGTGAGTCAGACAAGTCTTATGAAGGTGTTCCGATAAATATCTAAACTCTTTCTTTTCAGGCGATCCGTACCCAGCTGAAGTCGCAGCGACTGTCCATGCGGTGATGCAGAGGCTCAATTTCAGCAACCCGTACCGTCTATGCTGGCAGTCTCAAGTCGGACCAAGGGCTTGGCTCGGAGCGCAGACGAGCGATACAGTCCAAGAGTATGTGAAGCGTGGGCAGACTGATATCGTCCTCGTACCGATCGCATTCACTAGCGACCATATTGAGACCCTGTATGAGCTGGATCTTGAAGTGATGGAGGAGGCGAATCATCCCGGAGTCAAGCGAGCTGAAAGCCTCAACGGCAGCCCCTTATTCATACAAGCTCTTGCAGATGTTGCTCAAGAGCACTTGCAAAAAGGCGAGAAGTGCTCTCTGCAAATGACATTGCGGTGTCAAGGCTGCAAGAGTGAGAGGTGTTTAGAGCAGAAGAAGTTCTTTGCTGGTGAAAAGGATGCTTCTCTGGTTGTATAAATTGCTGGATGCAACGTCCCCTTTCTGATAAGATTTTCCTGGGTGTGGCTGGCGTTTCGTGTACGATAGTTTATACCTACAATCCATGGAGGTTGGCATTGCGACAAAATTGGCAGTGAAGAACGATTTGCCCTTGCAAACACCCTTATGTGGGCTTTGCTTTACTATCCGCGAGTGTAGATAGGGGTAACAGCGCGTGGAGGGGTCTAAGTGGTCCAAACCCGCGGTTATCAGTCCTGATCGCCAAGCCTCACGACTGCCTTGCTTGGTGATGCATGTGGCGGATCCTTGACTTGAAACAATCACAGGACAACGCTCCAGTCACGTCAGCTCCTTCGGTACTCCGTACTGTGTACCCCAACATGAACATTCGCTGGCTCCATCTATCTACCTACCTATTCAACGAGCAGTGTTGGACTGTCGTCAGTCTCATGCCGATTGATAAGCAACCTAGGTTTATCTTAGTCCTTCCTTTCCCGCAACATCGCTTCCCCTCCAAAACGTGCTCCTTCACCAAGAGCAAGCAAATGTAGCTGCCAGTTTGTTTTGCTCGGTAAAACTTTTCAATTTGTTTTTCAGCCAAATGGCTCGCAGCGTACCAACTATCGAGAGCGACATGTCCCCTGCCATGCATACCGAGGTTAATGGGGAATCGCAAGCCGGACCGCCAATTATTGATGCTGGGGCACGCAATCGGAGAGGCACCATCCCGTTCCACATCCATGAGCAAACGCCCTTATTGCAACAAGAAAACGAAGAACTCGAATCAATTCATGAGAGCCTGACTGACCCACAAAATGAGGCCGCCGCTGGTCAGGAAAGCTTTTGGCGGACCTGCAGACGGCCGAGCGTGAGTATTTCTTGTTGCATCGAGTGGACAACGTCCAAGTTACCAGGTTCTGATACCTCATAGCTCCTCTGGATTCTTCCGTTTCTCATAGTTTATATGCTGGGCGTTGGGGGCACCGCGGTCCCCAGGATTAACTTGATGATGTCTCTCATCTGCAGGGACTACATGGCCAGGAAGGCGACTGAGAGTCCAGGTTTTACGTATCTCCCTGTCATTATTGGGAGTCATAATTCGCAGTGCCAGACGCCTGAGGTTCAGTCAAAACTTGCCCAGTTTCAGTTGTACTTCAATCTGTTGGCAGGTATCCTATCTGCGCTAGCCTGCCCGAGACTGGGCCATCTATCCGATCGCTACGGTAGAACGAAGATTCTAGCCCTTAGTGCATTTGGAACAGTTTTGGCAGAAGCCATCACCGTCTTCGTCGCAGCCAGACCAGATCTTGTATCCGTGAATGTGCTTCTACTTGCTGCGTTCGTGGACGGCCTATGTGGATCTTTTACGACTATAATGGCATTGACGATGTCTTATGCCTCCGACTGCACCGCTCAATCGAAGCGGAGTGCGGCATTCGGGTACATATACGGCTCCCTTTTCGTTGGTGTCGCGGCCGGGCCAATGCTGGCGGCTATACTGATTAAGAAAACAGGACAAGCACTGAGTACCTTCAATGCTTCGCTAGCATTGCATGTGCTTTACTTCATAGCAGTCTTGACCATTGTCCCAGAATCATTGTCGAAAGAACGACAGCATATTTCACGAGACAGTCACCGGAGCAAGGTTTCTAATGAAGGGGAGGCGGGTTGGCTCTCTCTGGAGAACTTGAACCCCAAAAGATTAATAACTCCTCTATCCATTTTATTCCCGCCAGTCGGACGTCCAAGTGCTCTATTTCCCAACCGTCACGGTGCGAGTCCGGCGTTGCGAAGAAACATCATTCTTCTCACCGCGATAGACACCATTGCATTTGGTGTGGCAATGGGGACCGCTCAAGTGGTCATCATCTATGCTGAGTATAAATTCGATTGGGGCAATGTCGAATCGAGCGTCTTTATATCTATTGTAAGCATCGCTCGGGTCGTCAACCTCTTCGTTGTGTATCCAATTGTGACAGCAATCTTTCGTGAACCGCCGAAACCAGAGCATATCGTTTCCGGCTCTAGCACTTGTGAGGTCGTTCTTATACGGATTTCTCTTCTCTTAGAAATGATTGGCTATGTTGGATACGCAATGTCGAATCAGAGTTCGGCCATGGTGCTCTCGGGTATAGTCACAGCGCTTGGAGGCATCGCAATACCGACATTGCAGTCATCCCTCACGAAGCACGTACCCCGTGAACGGTTAGGGCAGATCCTTGGAGCGAAAGGCCTTTTGCATGCTCTCGCTCGAGTAGTTGCCCCAACCGTTTGCAGCCTCCTTTACAGCTTGACAGTGGGTAAATTCACTCCAACGGTATTTGTTTGCCTGGGAGCTCTGTTCGGGCTGGCTTTCTGTGGCAGCTTTTACATTAAACCACATGGTATGTGATCCCGTTTCACTGGCTAGGAATCATCTACTTACGATTCACGCTTGGTAGTCTGTCTTGAAGACTCTTATCCGGGCAGTCCTCATGAGGAGGCCAACGAAGAGGGGTTTGTGCCTGACTCTATGCTCTAAGGGGGGGGAGGGAGTTAAGACTCTGGAGTAATTCTAGAGTACCTACTCAGTACTCAGTACCCAGTACTCCGTACAGTCGGCCTATCCGCCGATAGCGGCCGGCTTTCGGTCAAATTAGATTGATTATCCGTTGGTAGTGGTACGATATATCGGATGGAAAATGAAGGTGAAATTGTATTTCCGCCGATATGAAATGAGCACTGGTATTTGCCATAAGCACGTAGTAGGCGACTAGTTGTGTAATACTACCTAGTAGGTGGAGGGGTTGTACACGGGGGTGGCTTCACCCGGGAAAAGACCGGAAGCTGTACGGCGGGCGGTAGAGGCCAACTCGGCCGAGCTGTTGCAAACTTTCCGCAGGAAAGCCCGGGAACACTCCCTGCTCCAGCGCTGACCCCAGTTGTCCCAATTGACCTACCGGCGCTGGGTCTCTGACGCTTTCTCCATTGTTGAGCCCTCACATCCCATTTTTATTTAATGGTTCAGTGGTAATACAATCAAGCCCGCTGTCTGCGGTGCGCAGGGTGAACCACCATGGTCTCCAAATCCACCCACGGTACCCCAGCCGTTCCCTCGCGAAATGCCCTACGAGTCCTCCGCCGATTAGCTCTTGCAGGGTCGACTGTGGGAAGCTTTTGTACGGTTGCAGCTATTACCTACGACGTACATCGTCGGGTGCGCGTCGCGGAACGAATAGTCGAGAATAAGCGGGCCCTTCAGACGTCTGCGCCAAATTACGATGCAACGTCTGCGGCAAGACGACTCGCACGTATGATGGAGGCGGCTGAAGCGGGGGAGTTCATGGGCCTGGAATCATTGAAAGAGCAGGATCGGAAACTACGGGAAGCGCAAGCTTTTCCAGCTAAGGTGGACATGCATGGCGACGATTTGAGCTTGGATGCTCGGTCTCAAGACCAAGAACCTCCAGCCCTTGAACCACCTGCCCCTGCAGGGTCTTTTCTGGATTCTGCACGTTTGAAGCTGATTGACTCTCTCAACCCCGGACAAGAGCCAACGAACTCGCCCCTAGTGAACGACCTTCCTCCTAATCTAACACGATCCACGGATGCCCTGGTCCGAGCAAAGACGGCCCTTTCACAGGCAACCAACAGCACAAGGAACGAAACTGCTAAGAATGAGGCAGGGGATACGCTGCAAGACGAACCATCCATCACCGATCAAATGCAGACACTTCTCGACCATGGCCGGCCAATCGATGCTGCCCATCTATTTTTGGATGCCCATCCCGCGACGCTAAAGGGTATATCTTCGGACAGGCGGGAACTCGCAGTCAAAGCCATGTACGCCAATTGCAAGGAAGAAAACGTAATGGTTGCGAGGAACATATTCGAGCGTCTAGAAGAGGTGGACAAAGTGTCCCATGGCATGTGGAAGATCCTGTTGTTCGCATTAGCGAGAAATGGCAATATTGAATCCGTCGGCACAATTTTCAGTCGATATATGCACAAGTTCAAGGTTCCACCGGAAATGGTTGATATCGTTCTCCGATGCCTGCTTGAGTCTCATAGACTCACCACCGCAAAATGGTTTCTTCTTCGAAACCTTGAGGTTGATCGTGGCTGTGGTCTGTGCGGCGCATATCTTACAGGACTATGGAAGAAAACAAGGAGCATCGAGCTGTTGAACGGGCAATTGAAGAAAATATTAACGATACTTCCGCGGTTGCAGAAGGAGCCGACTGATAAGCTCTTCAACCCCGTGATCAAAGCTTATGTGGAATTTGGTCGGCTTGCCGATGCCGAAGCTTTGGTCAAGGAAATGACTACCACGTACGGCATTCCCCTTCGCTGCCGGACCAAAGGTCTTGTGGTATATGGCAAGGCTTTGAGCTGCGACTGGGAGGGTGTGGACGCTGGGTTACGGGAAATGCATGAGCTTAAGCTGACCTCGAGACGGTTCGACTTTACACCGATATTCGATCGCATCTTTCTTGAATACTGGGTGTCGCATTCGGGCGACGAAATTCGTGACTTTGTGTATCGCTACATCGACGATTTCAAATTGGTACCCGATAAGATCCTATACAAACACATCCTGGAGGCATTTGTGGAAAAGGGGGACAAGGACATGGTCGACGAATTCATACAGTTTGCACGTGATCGTCGTTGGCCGACCTACATCAATGACCAGGATTTCTTGGAAATGCTACGAGTCCGTCGTCATGCTCTTGAGGAAGCACCCGTGGGATTTTGGCAGATGTTGCAGGCGGCACGAGTGAAATACGGGCAAGCCGCCACTTCACAACATGTGCTCGGATATGACCAGCGTTCATTCCCCGTCCCGGAAGTCAACCTGATGCCATATACGCAGAGCCCGCTACCGTGGTACCAACGAACGCTGCAACATGTGACACCTTCGAGGCCAGTTGATCAATACCAGAAGCTCCACAAGCAGATGGTACATTACATGCATGTTGGTAAGCTAATAGAGGCCGTGAAGTGCTTCCAGAACGCCAAAAACGCACGGTTCCAAATCAAGCAACTGCATGTTGAACTGGCTGTCATTTGCACACTGCTAGAGGATGGCCTCGGTGCGGCTCGGGCTCTCATTGATGCTGAGTGGAGAAACATTCGTCATATGATCCAGTACTTCCCTCGATTCTTCCGCCAGATCATGGAAGTGGGTTCCGATGCCGAAGGAGAGCTCATCAACATGGCGGTACTCCGGTTCTACGAGCTCTGCTGGTCGAACAAGAAGATGACGATCAAGCACCACATCACTGTTGCGACCAGCAGGCGGCTGATCGCCCTGAAGAAGCCCGAGCTGGCCATCGAACTGCTGGCAGCTGTTTACATGTCCCGCTACCGGCAATCCTTGGCCTTTGACGGGGTTTGCATGAAAATGTTTCTGCGTGCATTTGCGGCGACCGACAATATTCCCGGCATCCGGTGGTGCATTCTGACCGCGCTTGCTCGAGGGAGCGCACTCAATCGCGACTTCGTGATTGAAACCCGCCGGGTCATTGGCAACCTGCATCGTCAGCTGGACTCAGTGACCGGGACGAAAGAAGCATCTAGGCAGACCAAAAAGGTAGAGTACCTGACACACGCCGCTGATCTGCTAGAAAAGAAAAGCGAGGGTGATCCCCAGATGTGGCAGCTCAAGACCAACCCGACGGTGAAAAAGGCCGGTCGCCAGATGCTGAAACGACCCCTGGATGAAGGACAGCTGTTCAAGAAGGCGCGTCTTCAAGAGACGGTTGGGGCATGGGATGAGGAATATGAGCTGGAGGCTGTGCTGGGCCGCATTGATATCGACCCCAAATCCATCGCACTTCGATGGAGCGAGAAGCACTGTCTGGGACAGATTCGCGACGTTGAGGACTTGTTGTGATCGGAGCAGGGGGGATGATGGAACCTGTACTTCATTCACTTCGATACTGTTTTATCTTGTGTCATTTGGTGTTCATGTGTAAATAGACCATCCGGGCGATTTGTGTATACTACTATATTAGCGACGTGCCCTGACCTGTCTGGGCCGAACTATCGAGTTCCATCCTTCCAGGCACTAGACACTAGAGTTAACTAGAGCTTATAGCCCAGCAACTAAGAAGATGAAATAATCGTGGCGACTGCAGGCCCGTTGGCGGCATGCGCATCGTACGGTGTCCTTCCTCCCCGGGGCTGGCTAGCGGGAGCCGGGGCCCTTTTCACATGTCACGCCACACTCACGGCCAACCCGCAACTTTTTCCTCCTGCCTCCCTGCCTCTTAGCCTCCCTCCTTTCTGCCTGCTCTTGCGCAGCTTATCTGTTGCTGTACCTCCTCTCGTCCTTCTCCTCCCGGTTCTTTCGCAGACAAAATATGCCCTGCGCCTCCTGCCAGTCCTGCCTGCCCTGTCGATTCTGACCTCCTTTCGCCCGTCTCTCTCCCGCACAATGGCCACCGCCGTCGCCAATGGCCATGCCACCCCCCCCTCCGCCGATGCGGCCAAACAACGCAGGCTGATCCACCACCATGCCGATGTCGTGATTGTGGGCGCCGGCATTTTGGGATGCGCACTGGCCGTGACACTTGGAAAACAGGGGCGCAGCGTCCTGCTGCTGGAGAATTCCATGAAGGAGCCCGACCGCATCGTCGGAGAGCTGTTGCAACCCGGCGGCGTCGAGGCTCTCGAGAAGCTGGGTCTCGCGGATTGTCTGGAAGACATTGACGCGATCCCGGTAGAGGGCTACTACGTGTCATATTTCGGCAAGCCAGTGTCGTTCGCGTACCCCAAACCGTCGCCGTCGTCGCCGCCCCCGCAAGGCCGTTGCTTCCACCATGGCCGGTTTGTCATGAAACTGCGCGCGGCCGCGCTGGCGTGTCCCAACGTCACAGTGGTAGAGACTAAGGCTACGGACCTGGTCACTTGCTCTCACACCAAGCAGGTTCTTGGGGTTCAGTGTGTGACCAAGGACATGAAGGATTGCTACTTTGGCCATCTTACGGTGGTGGCCGATGGCTATGCTTCAAAATTCCGCAAACAATACCACACCAACACCCCCCAGGTCCGGTCGAAATTCTGGGGCTTGGAATTGATCGATGCAGACCTCCCAAAGCCTTATCATGGCCACGTTCTTCTGAGCGACAATGCCCCTATCCTCGTGTACCAGATTGGCACCCATGAGACCCGAATCCTTATCGACATTCCCGAGAATCTCCCATCGGCCTCTGTTAAGAACGGCGGTGTCAAGGGACACCTTCGCAACGTCGTCCTACCCTCTCTTCCCAAATCTATCCAGCCTTCCTTCGTCACTGCGTTAGAAAAGGGCCAGCTGCGCTCGATGCCCAATTCGTATCTCCCCAGCGCACAGAACAAGACTCCAGGTCTAGTCATCTTGGGCGATGCTCTCAACATGCGGCATCCCCTGACCGGTGGAGGAATGACTGTCGCTTTCAACGACGTCGTGGTTCTGCGTGACCTGCTAGGTCCGGAGAAGGTTCCCAGTCTTGCTGATCACCAGAAAGTGCTGCAGCAGCTGTCTTCGTTCCACTGGCAACGGAAGAAGGCATCATCAGTCATCAACATTTTGGCCCAGGCCCTCTACGCTCTGTTTGCTGCCAATGGTTCGTTTAATAATCCTCACCGACACCCCGTCAAACCTTAATAAGACGCTAGCTAACGCTCAGAATCTCTAGACGAAAATCTCCGTGCTCTTCAACGAGGCTGCTTTCGCTACTTCCAGCTAGGAATGACCAGCGGCCCTGTAGGTCTCCTGGGTGGTCTGATCAAGAAGCCTGCCGTCCTCTTCTGGCACTTCTTCAGTGTCGCCTTCCTATCGCTCTGGCTCGTCATTACCGAATCCCCCATATATAAACTTCCCCTGTCCCTGTTCCAATGCATCATGGTGTTCTGGACGGCATGCATCGTCATCTTCCCTTACATGCTGATAGAGGCATTTTGCTAACCAAGAAATCCTCTGCCTCCTTCCCAGCATGCAATCCATCCAGACACCCATCCTCCTCATCCCTTAACACTTAACGGACCCAGATGAAGTCAATCCGTTTCATGAGATGCATGTTCGTGCTTCACTAACGGAAAGCCATGACCCGTACATACTATTCCACTTTCTCGTCACATATTTTTAATTACCTCTTTTTTTTCCATACTGTACTATTAGTTTTCCCCCCCATCTTTTTTTATCAACCTATCATCTACGTCTCTTTCCCTCTCTGTGCTGTTCTTTAGCTCAAGACGCATGATCTCACCACACGTCGAGATACCTCAAGAATATGTATTTGTATATCGATCTATTAGCCGAGTCGCATACTTGACCCGGACTTCCTAAATACATGATATATATAGCGAATAGTCTAGTTCTAATTTCTCTAAGAGATCTTCCTAGGAACACCCAAAGAGATCATTCAAATGCTGGATTGTTCCGACCCAGACAACAATGACAAACAGTACCCCCAAGGCTTCATGACAACACGTTTCATGAGAGAATGGACCTTCCCTGAATGAAGACTGAGCCACATCAATGTTTGTCAACAACTTTTGATCTTTTTTTTCTTCTTTCTCTATTGTATGTAAATTCCAACATCTACATCCGAACCCATTGCCCAACCCTGATCGACGTGATATGTGACAAAGGCAAGAACAAATTCTTTCAGAAACGACAAGCACGACGCAAGGATGCAAAGACAACAACATGAACCCACTCGCCTGGCTCCCTGCTATGATGGTATATGGACAATGATAATGATGACGATGATCATGCCGATTGGATATAATCCTCAAAAAATGCACAGCCGGCAAAAACAAGGGAAGCAAACCGTACCAACCAAGTAAGAAGAGAACAAAAGGGGGAGGGAACGAGCCAACCAGGCCACCGTGCACTCAGCTTTGGTGTATAACAACACATCCAGACCAGGTGGTTTTGACCTTTTCCTGGATCTCATGCTTCCGCGGATATATTTCATTCGGTCTGCTTTTTCACTTTTGCTGTCCTCCGTGCAGCGCAATTGCAGGAAGCAAGGGGTAGATAGAACAGCCCGTATGCATGAACATATGGGCACAACAACAGCCTGGGTGATAAAAAGCTCAACCACACCCCCAAGGAGTTAAGGATAACTCCAAACCCGTCAGGGTTAGAAACCACAAAATATCAAATCAACAACAATATAGAGGAAGGGGTACATATATCATATGCAATTCACGCAAGTAACCCATTGTAACCAGTCAAACCCCCTGACTTGCCAATTTTCCGTTATTTAACCTTGCAAAACGCCAATATGGAACATGGGGAAAGAAATAGAGAGAAAAACAAAGGATGGGGAAAGTAAGGTGTCATATACTTGCATAAAAGTAGCAAAAACAAGTGCAACCGAAATCATGTCATCTGCAGGAGAGGACGCCGCCTCTTTTATACAGTACCACAAAACACCCCTTCTGTTTATCGAAGGGTCCTCTGGTATACTCAAGCTCAACTCCCAAAAAGTAGTCGTTTGTAAAATTGTAGCACAGGCTGTACAAAAGCCATGCACGTTGCAGGCTATCCGGCCGATTTAGGGCCGTGATGCAATGTTGATCCGGCGAAAAATGAACCTGGTATGGAGACGATTTTCTCTCCCCAAACACAGCGATCATTCGGGTTGACCTAACATATTGGCGTGCGACCTGTGTTAGACGTGCTCAGGACAACAAAAAATGCGGATGGTGACATATCATGCAACATCCTCAGCCGCCTTTTCTTAATGATTCGTCCGCTGGCAGTGGCTCCGCGCCATTGTTCAAGCCATGCCTGTGCTCTGTTGAATGTTTACCATTTTTCTTCGGCTTCCTCTTGGTGGTCTGCCAAGTACCACTACCAGCATGAGTAACAGCAGAGTCCTGTGTTGAATTGACACCGTTCGGCTTTCGCGGCTGAGGAACAGCGTGGCGTTTCTCGTTATCGGGCATGCCAACGGACGTGTTGTGGTTCTTGGACTTTGTTTTATGCGCAACGCCGTTAACCCGTTCAGACGCATCCACGCCATTAGGACGCCGTTTCCCACTGGATGTAGGATGTGAGTCCACCACGGGCAATGGTCCAGAGACGGTCACCCCCTTTTCCGCTGCATTCACCGGCCTTTGACGAGGATTGTCTCTATCGGCAGCTTCTTGGTGGATGTGGAGCATCTTTGGCTTCTCAAATCCATTCTTCAACGAAGACTCGGGGGTCTTTTCAGCATTTGAGAGGTGAAGGCTCTGCAAACGGCTCGAAAGTAGACTATGCTTCCCGCCGTGTCCATTAACATAAACGTCTGCCGTTTTCCCCAAAGGATACGTATCAACCCCCTGTCGACCAAAGTAGGGTGCCTGGTCAATCTCGACTGAACTATTGTCTTGATAGTCCTGAGAGAAGGAATCTGAAACACTGGCAGGCGTATCCATATTAAGATCATCCGAGTTCGACGTACAGTGGCTCATGCTCGTGTACGGGTCATACCCTTCCGCAGATATCGAGAGACGCTGTTCACTAGGGGGCACGGAGCCATCCACAATCAAAGGACCACCGCGATCACCCGACGCGGCCGATCGGGAAGTTGTACGCCGTGGTGTTGACCCAAGGTTCGTGGGGAGTGCAGTGCCGCTATCCGAGGCTTGGCCGCTCGGTTCAGTTGGCATTGATGGCATATATTCTTGCGGGTTACCAATAAATGGCATGATGCCACCATTTTGCAGTGCCATACCTACTGGAGACGACAAAGATGACAGTAGGGCGTTCTGGTGATAGGTCTGTAGCTGCGGCGAGGTCGCAAGGTAGTACCCCATATACTCATTTGATCGACTTTCATCGAAGTATGTGGAGCGGGACACGTTGGGAAGGCTACTCGGCATGAAGGTATTGTTCTCGTCGCTCTGCGTGCCGTCAGGAGAACCCGGCGTGTTGCGTGGTTTCGATCCCGGTGAGCTGTCCGCAAGCTGAGAGATCGAATATAGCGGCGCAAAACTTGGAAGAGAATTCACTGTCCGAGCCGGCTGTGAGTGTGCTCGGAGCGACCCCCCCGGGGATCCATTGGCCACGGATGACCGACGTGGACTACGCCGAAGGTCCGGCATGGCAGCAGTGGCGGAAGGCGATGGTGGATTTGTGTTACTTCCCTGTACTCCAGGCACTGCAACGGGGAGATACGGGCTGCTGTAATAGACGTGCTGGCGGATCGAGGTGTTATGAGGCGGGTGATTCACCGTTCCAGACCTGGATCGAGAGTTATCGTCGCTAGAGGTCTCCTGTTGCTGAGGCATTGGGAATTGAATGAACGGTTGGCGAATGAGAACAGGGGGCGGCCTCCCGGTGAGTAACGCTTGGTTCTGTAGTTGGAGTCGCAGTTCTTGCTCCTGGGCCTGGAGAATCTGGATTTGCTGGTAGAGATGGTCATGCAATAGGTACTGAGCGTGTTGCGCCTGCAAAGATAATTCAGAGGCGGTCATACCGTTGGGTTGGCGGAAATTATTGGACTTGTTCGGCGTATTTGAGGCCCGACGCCCACCGGAGTGTCCTCCCCGGGAGAATTGATTTGAATGCCGTCCACCGCGACCACCACCACGACCTCCTCGAGACGGTGGCGGTGCTGCAGTGATCACCGGTCGCGGTTGGGGGGGCGGTCTCTCCCACGAGCGTTCTTCCTCGGCCGGATACTCGTACTGTTCACAGCAGTGCTCCAGGTTACCTTCGGAGACGGCCTGGAAAGCCCTGCGTAGCTCCATATGGACCCCTCGAAAGGACGTATCGTCTGCTGTGTTCCCCAAGTTTCGTGACGTGTTGAACGGCTCTTCTACACATAAACGGTTATTCTGCAGCAGGTGCCAACCTTTCGCTTCCTTCGACAATAGCTTGCCCTCGCGAACAGATACAACAAGTCTTTCGTAGTCGATTTCATGGCCGTAATACCGAAAAAAATGGAAAAGTAACTCTCCCAGGCTTTGCTTGTTCTTGCGCCCATAACCGACAAGAGAATCGAGGTCATCGTCGAATGAGCAAACTATCCCATCAGCGGTCAGTTTCTTTTTGTGGGGGCGAGCCTGGAGGCTCGGCAGGATTGGCGGGTCTCGTGTTTGTAGGAAATTGATTATCAGGCAAATCCACGTATAGGAACTCAACGTGCCTCCGAGCCCTGTGTCCGCATGGTCAGTACTAACAAGCCCAACATTGCGCATTTGTTGTCTGTTCAAAAGCGGAGGCTTTAACACTTACCGGCATCGTTCAGTATCCTCCGTTTGGTCCAATGCTTGATTATCATGGCCAATGGCCGCACGCGGTCGTCCAATTCTACATACGTCCGGACCATTCGCGTGTTTTCCAGCGCCATGGTATTATTGACGTTCATGTCGCACGCTAAACGCAGCTCCGGGTCCCAAATCTTCACAATGGGCACTTTCGCATGCGAGACGCAAACGACTCGTTCCATGCCATCTGTCATCCATGACTGTCAGTGTTTTGCCACGCAAATATAGCCCAAGGGAACCTCTCACGCCTAGCCAGCACCTCTGCCAATAGACACACGTGCTCCAGCTCCTTATAAGTAGTAGTTATACAGATGTCCACTGGAATCCCTGTCAGATCACGCAGAGAAGCACGATAACATGCAACAGATACATACCGTCCGAGTCACTTGAACAAAGCTTATTCCCTGAAGAACCAAAAACATGAACCTTAATGTTACACCCCGGCCACTGGTCGTTGAAGAGCTTTTCCAACTTGCGGACCAATTGACGTCGCCGATCGTCACTCTCTGCTGACGGCAGTAGTCGGTCATATACCTCCAACATATCCGCACTAAGTCTTTTGTCCTCCTCCGGCTCTAACCGCTCCTTGAGGCCCTCCTTATCCTCCGGCAGCAGGTCGGCACCCAAGGAATATGGTATTCTTCGGCGGAAGAAGGCCATGGCAGTTTCATATTTGCAGCCCGAGAATTGTTTTCGCAGGGACGGAGGGAGATGGGTGGATTCGGAGTGAGTAGATCGAGGGGAGGTGCTTCCGTGGGGAGGCGAGGGTGACCTGGAGTGGAAAGAAATTTTCCGCGCATGTTGATACGGAGTGGACGGCAGGGAGTTCGATTGCTGCGATGTCAATGGCGGCCGATTCGTTGCCTCCGGAGACGTATCTGTAGATAACTTCCACGGCATGTTCGAGGCCTTCCGTGATGCTATCGGTGACTTTCCACCTGGGATGGAAGAAGTTTTAGCATTCCCATGGGTGTCTGGGATCATATAGCGATTCCAACGTTGGTCGAACAACGTTGGCCTCCGGGGAAGAGTTGAATGGAAAAGGTCCGGCGGCGATCGAACGCTGATGTTGACTTCCACCTAAAATCCAACCTTGTGGGCGGAAAACAGTCCGCCACCGGCAAGTGTATATGCGTCAACGATTGTGTGCACGGTGTGCGTTTCGGAAGGGAAGAATAGTAGCGGTATGTGACGCGAAAACCGGGAAGGAGGCAAGGCAGGAGACTCGATGCAGAAATCGGCCGGCGATGGGTCAGCAAAATTGCCTTTGTGCTGCTTTCCGCAGGCAATGGCCTCGCAATCCTCGATTGGAAGAGAAGGTCTGCTTTCTCGACAATGGTACCGCCCGAAAATAGATGAATTGAATCTGAGGCAGACCGGAGACAGGAGTGAATGAAGTATGCACTTTCCAGCTCGTGGTAAATCGGGGTAGTCGGGGGAGGAGGGTTCGCTGAGTGGACGGACCGGGCGATCGTCCAACAGATAGACAGTGTTTTAAGGGGAGAGAGCGATAGTCTCTAGCCGGGAAGGGCACACTGGAAAAAACCACACAAGGTGAGCGGAGAAGCCGTGTCGAGGAACAGGAACACCGAATTTGCTCCATGTAAGGACCAGCCTGGTGTTCGAGCGAACGAATATACGTGAATTCCAACAGGTTGCTGGGCAAATCAATCAAGCAAGCGGGCGCGGAGAGAGGGATCAATCAGGACGATCTGCTGCTGCTGAGGGAGGTGAGCCAGAGCCAGACAGAGCCAAAGCGAGCCAGGGGGGGGGGGGCTGCAATTGCGTTCCAACGGCGGGAAACTCTCCAGGGCGTCCCGAGAAGTGGGCACGGCTGGGCACCGCCGTTTATGCTTCCAGCCCAGAGGGAACTATTATCGCTCTATGGGAGATAGACCCCCTCCACACAACGTCCCCCCAACGAGGAGTAGGACAAGGGGGCAAGAAAAAGGAAAAACAGATGCAGCAGAAAGTACAAGGCACCCTAAAGAAAAGAATTTTCCAGAAAAGAAAAAAAAAGAGAAGGGAAGAAAGGAAAGAATCCAAGGAAAGATGGCATGGACGGAGGAGTGTGTGAGAGTGAGAGGGAGAAGTGGAGGGGTTACAGAAGGGGGAATGCAAGAGGGAAAAGGAAACCGAAGCGTGATGAGAATAGAACCACCAACACGTTTTGGAACAGCAGTCACTCACCTAAGAGCAAAGTAAGGAAGGAGGTGTATAAGACCAACCCAGTCCCAGATAGATGACAGGTAGCTTGGCCAGTTCCCTCCTGGAGGACTCAGGGACCAACCTGGTAAGTATCTACTACTAAGGAGGGCGTCGTTGGGGAAATAGACATGCACCGAGGTAATATCGGAGCTATTGGACTTTGCCAAATTAATTGCAGCGGCTGCAGATGAAGGAGGGGAGAAAGGAAGAATAATGCCAATCAATAGGGCAAGTGTCATCCACGATGTCTGTTTCTGATTTTTCTCATAATTTTTTTTCTGCTTCTTAGTTTCCATCCGTAGTTTCTTTATTCCCCATCGAACCCACTCCCCCTCCTGCCTGAGGCACCGGTCCTGGCCATTCAGTTGGCATGGAGGACTGGTACCTACTAGGAGTTGGTATTATTTTTGACCAACCTGGTGATCCTGCTCATATTCATTATTCACCAGGGCCTCAATGGACCTCGCCAATTCATCCTCAATCTCCCCGCCCCTTCCTCCTCTTACTATACGACTATCCCTTAACTGTCCTCTATACTATATGTAGAAAGTAGTACTACTACTAATTCCCCATCAACATACGGTCCAATTGAATGGCCTAGCAGGGTTACGTGCATTCGCGCGACTTGCATAGTACTAGTACATTTGGCACCTGGCATTTGGCAACGGCTAAATGTACTCCATCCTGCTTGCTCCCCTCCACCCCATTCTGGGCCGGTCACAGTCTCTGACTAGATGGATTGAAGGCGAGGAGGGCTCATTCCTTCTTTGTACGAACCTCAATCCTCGGTACGCGGACCGGCCTGTTACTCGACGCCTCCAGGTTTCCAACAGCCCCCGGCGACGCCGCCGCCGTGGTTCCTGCCACTAAGAAGCCGGCCTGCGTTCATTGTTCTTCCCCTTTTTTTTTCTGCCCCGCGTTTCCCGTGCTCCTGTCCGGGAGAGTTTCAACCTTCGCCTGTCTCGGCCTTTAGTCCGGCCAAATGCGTCTGGCTGGCGGCACGTGTGGCCGACGCCTCCAGTCAGCATTCAATGAAATTCAGGCCTTGCCTTGGCCCACCCTCCCAGACACCATCGGAAGCCCGCTTCTTCACAACGGCGTTTTGTCTTGGATCATGACTGACATGCACATCGTTGTCTGGGATTCCTCCCTACTCCTTTTCCGCGATGAGAGCAGCGTGTTTCACTCACGGGGCATGCATTTATGGAGTAGTAGTTAGTTATCTCGCCCCCATTGACACTGGCAGTGTAGGGATTTACGGACTACGGAGTAGGCACGTTTTCGACACTCCGTATCCCGCCGGTCAATCGTAGGTGCAGGATATCACGCGCTACCTAATCCAAAATCCAACCCAACTAGTTGGCGAGCTACTTATATAGTAGTGGTTTCGTCCACAATGATCTCTAGAGAGAACACCATCGCTCTTCCAAGGTCCCGCTATCACTTCCCGGGACAATTATGGAATGTGGGCGCTCAGCCTGTGATTCCATAAGCTATGGTCCAACCTGTAGGATCTAGGACTACTACTCCAGGTGACGAAAGTTGTATGAAGATGGAGGAGATGAGGCCCCAGAGCGCATTCTCAGGTTGGTTCATTAATGGAGGTATATGCGGCCATGACTGACGCCTCAATGTGATTGGCAAATAATATATGCCTGATCGGGTACCTCGCAAGTCCATTGGGAGTTACGTGACTGACATGCTTTAAAGTTGCTCCCAGGATTGGAGATCAAGAGAAGAACCCCGGAATGGCAGGGATTGTCTACCGGCTCGGATTAAGCCATCGACTCGAGTGGTCAAGACTACCTAGCATGCAAGCAAGCAAGCCATTGCGATCAGCCACAGAGGTCATATTTCTGCAGAGGCGCGGCAGCTGAGCGAAACATACCTATGCTTATGATGTACTCCGTAGTGCAGATAGAGAGCATGTAACTATATACTTACGGAGTATGTAGTAATCTTGGCACGCCCTACTGATAGTAGGACTGGGTAGGATTTCTAACAGGATAACAATTCGGATGTCATCCAAAGAGAGGAACAACTCTATAGATAGGCTGTACCCTTCCACTGGGGTCTTTGCCACCTGGGCCTGTGGTATGCAAACTCCAATGGATTCAAGGATGACATGCTGATCCAAGCCACTGGCAGCATGATGACGACGGGTGAATCCATCTTGTGATTTGGGTGCGTTCCCAAAGGGTGCAGGGGGTCCGAGTGCCATCCATGTTGAACTGGCCATGCCCCACCAAGTCCTCCTGGACAATTGCACCAAACGATACGGAGTATTTATCCAACATTACTAAGACGTAAATAGACCGTGACAGATGCCGGAAATTCTACATATTATTCGAGACGGATAAAAAGGCATCTCCGACCTTGTGACGCACTATTCAGGGAAGCCCGATAGGGATGGCTCTACAATATCAATCACACGATGTGGATCTTTCAAAGATACTCCGTATTAGTATTATGAGATTTTTTTTTCTTCTAGCCATGGAACAGCATCACGATGAGGACGATGTTGCTGGCCTGCTGCTGCTAATTACGACAGTGGAATTCCAAGACAACCTGACTCTGGGCCACTCACTACTCACTACTGTATCCGCAAGGAGTGACCGACCACCGCACGCTAGCCCACTTTTGATGGATTAGCAGCATACCAGTGCTAATTTAATCCCCCACGAGGCCCGATGATTCTTTTAACTCCAATTTCCGCCTGGTGGAATAGTATATTCGTTATCAGTAGGAAGTACTAAAGTGATACCACTGTCTTCAAAAGAAGGCCGACTTGGAGTCTGGAGCAACCCTCGCGATAACTGAAACCCCCAAAGTTGTCCTGTTGGTACGACGGTATCATACGAAGAGTCCATACTCGTATCATACATGTATCGTCTCCATATCAATAGTGGTACGATACATACTTATGTTCCTGGTTGGAGTACGTCGCTAGAAAAGGCTTATTAGACGGTTCATTATGGCATCGCCTAGGATTTTGCATCTACCCTAGGTGACTGGTCCAGATCAACATTTCATGGAGAGCTACCTATATGGTGATGCATGCGAGGATTTGAGACCTTTGGAGTGAGGTTTATCTACCTAGAAGCATCTGCCCACTAAGACTATCTATCTAGTACTAGGCTAGTACCAGCAGATTGAGGGTGGGACAGCCGGATCTCTTCAAAAAAGGTTGACGGGCCGACGCTAACAGAGGCATACGATTGCAAGGTCGATGCCCGGTGCTCCAAATTTCCGCCTACCGGCTACCGGCTACGAGGTAGATCCAAGTCGTGCAGTTGACCCTACAACATCGAGATTGGGAACATTGAATATCAACGTGGTTCTCAGTTAGCTTTTTATCGAAGTTGATAAGGGCTTGTCGGATGGAGTGTTCAATCGCTACCTGATTCATTTTGCTTGTGATTATGATGAGATTGATGCTGTCAGCCCGTCGCCTGCAGTAGGCGGGTATCGTGATTGTAAAGACTGTATATGATACCGGGAGTACATTGACCATACAAGTGGGACCCCTAACATTACCACATGGGTTCATACCTGTCAATAGAAACACAATCGATTCTATTGATAGCAAAGGCAAATGAGAGAAGAAGAGCAAGCAGTGAGTGACCCATACTACTACGTTGAATTATGCTCTCTACCAACGAATTTTCTCTTTTTCTCCAGTATTGGGACTCCATCTATATCAAACGGTTGAGTCAGGTAGACAGACACCAATGAGAGGGGTAGGTTGAGGACCAAAAAATTAGAGAGGGAAAAAAAAAAAAAGAGGGTACGAGGGTGAGAAAAAAAAAAGAAAAAAGAGGACCCTCGGACCGGGAGGAACCTAGCGATTCAACAAGCCGAATCTCCATTGCCAACCAGAACAATGCAAATCCATCCGATGCCCACCCTTTTTTTCAATCCTTTCCCAAATAGTAAGAGAACTGACGGGTTGTGTGTGCGTGTGCGGGTGGACTACTTAGGAAAGATAATATGAGAGAGAGCGAGCGAGCGAGAGAGCCTGGTGTGCGCTCTCTACCAACTACCAAGGTGGACTCGATCCGATTCATTTTTGACTTTCCTTTCCAATCTTTTTGACTTACTAGTTAGTATCTAGTTATCTCCTACCTAAAACTCCGTACCCTCTCCCAGTCTCTGGTGGTGGTGGTAGTAGTAGTGGTGTGTCCATCCCGGAGACTGCGGTTGATTAGTGATTAGTTCTAGTTCTAGAGTAATGAGTTAGCAGTGATTAATTATTTCCATTATTATTTAGCAGCTTTTTTGGCTGCCTCTGAATCTGCGTTTCTTATCCCCGGGCCAAAAAAAATCATAATCCACGCATCTCGCTTCCTTCCCTTGCCCCCCTCCTCTCTCGCGCGCTCTCTAGTCTCCTCTTTCTCTCAGGCTCCCCCTCTCCCACCCCCCGGTCCTCCTCAATCTCCCTCGACGTTGCACCTCTGCTACCCGACCTCCTCCCTCCTCTTCCTCACCTTTCTTCTTCCCTCTCCCCTTCCCTGTCTTATTTCCCGCACCACCCCCACGCCTTCTCCAACCCTTTTTAATCCCTCACGCCAGACTTTTCCCGTCTGTCGTGCCTCAAGGGTGAGAAGTTGTCCGTCCATTCCCCGTTCTGCCTCGTTCGCTCGTGGTAGAACCGTCCGGAATTCTTCTTTCGGAGGACACTCTTTTGCTCTGGTAAGTCTATTTTGCTGCTGTCCCGAAGCATTGTTTTTCTGGCCACCATCGACCATGAGCACCACCACCACCACTCGCAAAGAAAATCACAAATCCACGAGAACGCATCTCATCGGTTCTTCGGTTCCATCGACCCGTCCTTTAATTCAGCCATGGTTGATGTCTCGAATAATAAATTTCGTTGTGTTCGGCCCTCAATCCCGCGACGTGAGGAGACCAAAGAGGAAAGGGGACCCTCAAAAAAAGTTTGATACCCAAAGAGTCAATTCGGGGAATCTAATAATAAGTCCGATCGATGTCATCGCTGGTCCTCATCCGCCTTCTCCTCACTCCTGTGCGCTGACTCGGACACCTGGCCCGTTTATTTTCGGCCTCCAATTCGCTTTGCTCGCCTTTTCCTTTCTGTCAATGCCTTTTAATTGATTTTGCTATCGGCCCAATAACGTATGCTTATCCGTCAAATTCCAGCAGGCCTTTCCTGATCGCCTCCGAGCGGATTCAGCCTCCTTCCCGCACAATCTGTCCATCCGTCCGTCCTTCTACCTCGATCTCTTTTGGTAGCCATGGCATACTACGAGCCTCAGGGTTGGCAGGCGCCGTCCACGCGCCAGGCATCTTGGGAGCAACCAGCTCCCCCATCGCGGTCAGGTATGAATTGGTCACATCCCATTGGCATGCATGTATCGAGTACTGGATACTGACGAGGTCTTCCTTTAGGATCGAGTTCCGTTTCTCAACGTGATGAGGTACCGGCCTTTTCTTCTCAGTTTGATGGTACGGACAACCGCCCCCTTTGCATAATTCAACTCCCTTGGTTCTGCGAGAGTCCGGTAGAGCACCAGCATACACTCTGTTAGCCGTGCCGGGACTTGCGACCCATTTTTCGTCCTGTAGAAGAAGGGTCAGCTGGGTGCTAACGTCCATCAGAGGTCGACCGTGCCATTGACAACTTGGTCAAGAGTGGAAAGCTGTGGGCTGCACCCCGGAGGGACTCCATGCCTATGATGATGGGCCGTCCCTACCCCGAATATGGTATGATACCACAACTCCACCTGGTTCGATCACAACACATTCTAAACGGCTGTAGCAGATCCCCGTGTGGTCAACACGATGACGCAGCGTCATCACTCGATCAGCGAGTTCGATTCTCGGATGCACCCGACACCCAACGTTCAGGGCTTCTATGCCTCGCAGCGATTTCAGGGTCGCCCCAATGAAGTAGAACAGATGATGCAAGCGAAGCGTCGGATGGCGGCACAGCGTGAGAGGGAGCTCCGCAACTATCACCAGGAGCAACAGTACAACCGAAGTACGTGGTAGCATCTGTCTTTGGAGCTTTTTCCGCACCTGCTTCTTTTTTTCTTCCCCGATATTCCCCACACATCTTTTTGCCCATATGTATTCGTTGGCTTGTATATTACGTTGGGACCCGATTCCCGCTTCGAACATGGTTTTAATTCTCTTCGTCTTCTCAAAGGCCTGCTTGCCGAAATGTCTGGAAACAAGTCCGATCGCTCGCTCAGCCCGGCCGCCATGAGCGAGGAAAGCCGCCGGGATCTACTCGCACGTCAGCATAGGGCTTTGTACGGCAACGACAGCCCCTCATTCTTCCCTCCCGCCGGTCTCGTCGATGATGGCACGCGCTCCGAAAGCCAAGCAGGTGGCACGCCGACCTCGACGACCGGTGTTCGTGGCCCTTCTCCGCGCAGCGTTGATCCGTTCTGTCTTGCGCAGACCCCTGTTCAGGGTGGTGCCGATGGCGTTGCCCAGGCTGCTGCCGGTGCAGCCTCGCTCCAGTCGCCTTCTCGCGCCAACAGCACCTCCTCCCCCAGCTCCGCCATCAACCCTGTCTTCGGCAAATATGACAGTGCGGATCAGTCTGTGACCTCGACGTCGTCTCCAGGTGGTGCCGACTCGCCTTCCTCGAGACAGGGCCCTTCCAAGTCGATGGCAGGGCCGATTGGATCCGTTGGACCGATTGGAACTCGCCCCCTTCCGCAGGCGGGTGCCGGTCAGGCTTCCAACCCGGCGCTGAACAAGCGCTCCACGACCCCTCTGCCATCTCCTTTGGGGTTCAGTTTTACTTCGGGTGATGCCGCTGGTCCTGATCGTTCCGCTTCATCCGTGTCCAACCCCCCAACTGCTTCAGCTGCGACTGGCGTCAAAGATACATCTGGTGGAGTTGGACTCGGCTGGGGCAACAGCAGCGGCGTCTGGGGATCGAAGACTGGTCTCGGAGTCCAGGCCTCGGTCTGGGGTTGAATGGCCGCGGGTACCACACATCATTCGTTCGGCATGTGTTCGCTTCTGTGCAGTGGCGTTTTAAGAGGGGGTTTCGTTTTTGATACTACTGGGAAAAGAGCTTGGTACATATTCGGAAGAGGTGGTGCAAGAATCCGTCTTTTATTTTGTCTAGCGCTCCGTCACATGTGGACTGTTAATTTGGTACATGGTTGGTTTACTGACTGAGGAACTTGGTTGGCCTGTGGGTTTCTGGAGTCGGTATTCCCCTTTTGGTGTGCTTTTGTGTACTTGCATTCGTCGTTTCTTTCCCCCTTTACTTTTTGTTTCCTTCTCGTCAATCCTGCATTTCTTCTCTCTCTGCTTTTCTGTCTTCTGTCACGAACATCCACGGCCCGTCGGGGTTGGAGGATTGTATTTACCTTGGGGGAGTGTACGTCTCGGGCTCTTGTTTCCCGCTCATTCAGGGGGGTTCAGGTGTTATTCTATCATCGTTCGGGTCTGGTTGCGAGTTCGGCCGAAGCATGCGGGTTTCAATTCAGCAACGGGGTTTCTTTTTGGGTTTGAAAAGGTTGCTTTCTACAGGTTCGAGTTAGTTCTGGGGACATTGGCAAAAGGAACAGCGGGGATGCCGGCAAATCATCAAAAGAGTTATCGGAGTCTGATCTGCTGAGGTTCTGGTCTGTCATGTTTATTCGATAGGTTTTTGGTCATGCGATTTATTTCACTTCTCTTCGTCTTTCTATCTCCCTCCCTCACACACACACACTCTCTCTCTCTCTCTGTGTGTGTGTGTGTATGTCTTCTAAAGCCATCTCATCCTTATTGTGCCCTGTTCAAGCCAGGTACCCCCCAAAGAACTCCACCAACTTGGGGCCCGACACCTCTAACCCATCATACAGATCAAAATGGTTACTCCCTGGCACGACAAACAATTCCTTTGGCTCCCGGGCCAGCCGCACCGCCTCGCGACTGTAATGAAGCGTCTCTGCTTCCGAGCCCGCAATCATCAGCAGCGGCCGCGGCGCAATCAAATGCTGGAAGTTGAACGAGTCATACGCCACCATTAGATCATAACTCGACGGCGGCACCCTCTGCGTCGACCGTTCATGCCTCCCCCTCTCCGTGCCATAATAATGCGCCGCCCCTCGAAAGAACGGGTCCGCATCATCCGGCACATTCTGCGCATCAAACATAAGCGGCACCTCTGGCGCCTGCCCCTGTCCCTGGGCCCCCTTTTTCCTCCACTCCGCCGCCGCCATCAACGCCCCGGCAATGGCTTCCGCATTCTCGCTCAGATGCTCATGCACCCCTCCGCACCGGGTCATCCGCCCCACACAAGCTCCCGACACCGTCGCCAGCGCTCGAATCCGACTATCGCTGGCCGTCGCGTAGGATGCATACCCGCCCGAGGCGCAGATCCCCACCACCCCGATCTTGGTACTATCCACCATCCCTGTCAGGGTGGACAGATACGTCACTGCAGACTTGATGTCCTCGACGCGTTGGTGCGGGTCTTCTAGGCCGCGAGGCTCGCCGGTGCTTTCGCCTTGGTAGGCCGCGTCGAAAGTCAATGCTATGAAACCCGCGTTGCTTAGGTAGGTGGCGTAGGTGGCGGAGGCTTGCTCTTTGACTCCTGTCATGGGATGGCTGATCACGATGGCGGCATTGTTGCGGTTAGGTGCGGAGGAGGGAGGATAGTAGATGTGGGCGGCGATTTGGTGGATGGAGGAAGGAAACTGGACGGTTTGACGAGTTGATGACATTGTGAATCGTTCAATATTCCCAAGTTATTCCAAATTGAAGAGATGTATTTATTGCTTGCTTGTTTGCTTTCGATAATCTGTTCTGTTCTGTTGACCTCGTACTATTATATACATGGTGGATTTACTCCTTCGGAGTCTGACGTCGGCGAGTCCGAAGATTTTCGGGATCGGGTTGGATCACCCTTGGGGTCGGGTGGGGGAGGGGGGTTAGATGACGAGCGGGTATAGGAGTTAAGGAATTAGGTTTTTGTATGTGTACGTAGGGGATTGTTAAGGTTCTTGGCTAAGTTTTGTTTTCTGTGTTTGGTATTGAGTATATTTGTTTGTGTGGGTGTGTATGGACGGAGATAGGTAGGTAGGGGCTCGCCACTGGCAACTACTTTTACTCCGTAAATAGTGGAAATTCACTTTAGAAGAAATCGGCATTGACTATCCGTTACTAACTTCAATGTGAATTCGTTCATTGCTATGTATATTATAAGGGCTCAGAACTTCGCATAGTATTTATCATGTCATCTAGAATGGTATCATAAGGGTTCTCTGAACTGCTCAAAACTTCTAGATATAAAGTATTCTGCTTGATCATGAAAACCCCAATGGAGACTCTATCATGAAACTCATGGCGTCGTGTCTAGCGAACTGGTCTGTCTAGAATGTATATAAGTTCGGGTGATAGGAACGCCAGCGTCCCTACGCCGCGCTGGTGTGCGGCAGCATGGGGTCATGTTCGGAATAAGTCGTTGATACGGAGTCACTACGACTCCGACCAGGAGTGCTCTCGATCTTTCTCCTTGCCGTAAATAATCCCGACACACCGCGTTCCTGGTTCCGTCCTAACCAGGGCTTGCGCGCTTCTCCCAGAACGCGTCGTCCCAGATAGTAGATGAGCTGCCCGATGATAATGAGCATGAATGCGATAGGGTACATCCAGTGGATCGTGTAGTGGAACATCCCGACGCCGATGAGCACTCCCCAGAAGTTCATGGTCAGCATCGAGATGTTGAAGAATGCAGCGGACGACAGCCGGAACAGTAGCGGTACCATGCAATAGAAAAAGGCAAGACAAAGTGTATACCCTGTCAAGTAGACGCCAACCTGGATATTCCAAGTTGCAGTTTGGAATGAACTGCGGTCGAAGATGCCCGCCTGGACGCCGTTGATAACCATGCTGTACATTGCCATTTGGCCGAGCACTTCGTACACAGGGGCCGTGCTGACGAAGAATTCCTCCCCGGTGTTGGCAAGGCCGTAGAATGTCGCACCTAGGAGCGCAAAGAGGTCTCCCTTGATTTGGTCCCCGCGGGAATAGTTCCCATCATCGGTACCAGTGATATGATCCGAGGAGATCAGGACGCCCATTCCGCCAATGCAGATCATGATACCGAGAACCTGGGTAATATGATAACGCACGCGCAAGAATGTGAAGGACACGATGACAACAACCGCAATTGCCCAGAAGTTAATCAACTGAGCGCTCAGCATGGTTGTGTAGCGGTACGCCAGCACTATGAAGTAGTTGCCTTCCACATCGCAGAAGGACAAGAAGATGTCTGTCGAAGATTTGCGATCAGAGACCTAGACGGGAAAATGTGGGAGACAGCATATACGGCGACACTTACATTTCCAGCCGTGATGGAGCACCATTCGAGCCCAGCCCCTAGTGCCATAACGATATATAGTATACGGGGTGAATATAATGTTGAGCAAGAAATAGTTAAAGAAGGTCTGGAAAGCCGGAATTGAGGTTCCCTCGCGGACTAGGAGGGTGCTGAAAGTGCTACAGGCGGTATTTGCAATGGCCAAAACCTGCCTATCTGACAAGTTAATAACCATTGACCGCATCCCCGAGAGTTGAGCGTTATAGGCTGTAGCACCCACCCAAGAAGTAGGGTAATGTAAAACTCTTTCGTCGATAAGTAGGCCAAGAAGCTGTCTTGCTTATCTATCTGGTCCGCGGGCGGTTCCTGTAGGGAGTCCCTACTCTGGTGCGTAGCATCTCCCGTGATCGGAGCATCTTGCTTTGGAGATTGAGGCACCGGGGTGTAGTTGGTGGAAGCCGAAGACGATCCCCGAGGGGCAGTTCGGGCCGTGGTATTCGACATCTTGAGTAGGCGATCCGATGATGGTAGGAAAAAAATGACACCAATTTGGACTGAAAAAGGGGTGGGGAGCTTTACAACCTAGACGAGCGCAAAACCCCCAGAAGTCGCTCGTCTAAGGAGTTGAGACGATTTGGAGAAAGACTAGCAGAAGGAAAAGTAGATTAGAATTCGATATGAAGGAGCCGAGGTCAGGCGGGCCACCTTAGGTAAGACACTAACCATGGATGGGGCCATCCATCGGATCGGATCTGCCCGCCATCTCCAGCCAAAGTATACTACGTACAGCGATTTTAGAAGAAGTGACATTCGTCGATCAAGCTGAGATGGCTGCATAGTGTTGGCAACCGGAGGCTGTTTAGTTGACGGTAGTCCTGGGTGATCCAGTAGGCTCTGTCGGCATTGAGACCAGTATCTTAAGCGCCATCCAGATCCAGATCATGAAGAATAGATGCCATGACCCAAGAAGCCAGGATTGGGAAAGTTCCGATGGCCCGGGCGTGTGAATCAAGATTGAATGCTAGAGTGACTGAGTGAGTACTTTGAAGGAGGGATCGAAGTGGCGAAGAGGAGATCAACCCGGAAAAGGCAAGGTGTCAGATGATCCATCAGTCGGCATACTACTTATGTACACAGTACAGTGAGTCAATTGGGGATCCAATCCCTCACCCAGTCCAGATCATAGTGATTCGTGGGCTGAGAAGATGCCTCCACAGACTGCTATGTCCTAATCAGACACCAGGATGGTTATACTGAATGCCATCCCGTGATGTCGAGTGACCAGATTAGAATAGTTTATCAGAACCAGGTGCTTCTTGATGCTTAAATCTATTACCTAGGTAGCAGATTATTCGGTAGCTGAGGTACTTAGTCCCCACACTTACTCTGACTCTATTCCATCGTAATCTTTCGTGGTCTTATCAATACAATAACCTCTCTTCATAATCCGATACTGAAAGACAACATAATATGAATATGCTGTCTTGTGCACATCAATATGAGCTCATCAAGGCATGGTATCAAGTCTCAACCTCTCACTCCTCCCCTGGGAGGATCTCAGGAGCCTTGGTCCGATATCAATGTGCCGTTGATAATGATGCCTATCTGACGCTCAAAATAGGCTTACAAACAGCACTGTGGGGCTACCCGTTTAGGAATGGACATAGCATTGACTTGGTGCTCCATGGTACTATCTAGAACGGAGTACTCACTACTTTCCAACTACCTCCTAAGGATCTCAAAGTCCCCAGGAGCAATTAGGAGCAGCCATTGTTGAACATTAACCGAGCATTTCCCGAGCAGCAGTTACTGTCACGTGATAAAGAGGCAGAACCTACCTAGTAGGGACTGTCACCCAAGAATCCCGATGCCGCAGAAGCGCAGGGGGGTCGCGTTGCAGTCGCACAGATCAGGCAGGATTCGGTCTAGTTCGCGAGGTAGATGCCCAACCCGGAGATACATACACCAGAGTACCCGCTTTTCAGGGCATTGTGTAGTTTAGTTATCGTGTGCTCCGTAGATTGACGAAAAATTAGACGAGATAGTATTAACTCTCGCCTCATCTTCCAATATAGTAGAATCCGTCTCAAGTGCCATGTATAAAGCACAGATGGGGGGATACCCACATGGGGGGGACCCAGGGATAAAGAGACGTGGGGACTGATTAGGTTGGAAGTCCCCCCCCGGGGAAATGGAGGATTATTATTAGCAACCTGCCACGCCTTGGGGTAGGACAAGAAGGAAATGATGGAAGGATGGAGTGATGGCCTCAAGTGTCCGGTGGAACAATAATTTCAGGCGGGCCAGACCTTTGATCACATCCCTGATGACTATGAGACATCGTCGGTACTAGTCCGTTGCAATTAACCTTCAAGGGCCGTAGTTGACACCCACCAACCTTACTTAACTTTGAAAAAGGTTAATCATTGACTCCGATCTGGAGGTCGATGCTTACCGAGACTTGGACTAAGTATCTACTTATAGGTTGAAGGTCTTCTTCCCGAAGCAGCTCTGCGGGCGCACGTCATTCGCACCCACCCATCATTAGGTATCTAGTCCCATCCATACCCTGGTTGGGTGCCGCTGGTTCCCTTCGGTCGCTTCTCTGCAGATCCCCGTATCGCGTCCCTCGGCTCTCCTTTCTGAAGAACATGCGCGGAAGGTGGGTGTATCATGAATCCATGACAGAGGATCGTTTTGCCTGGTCCGACTGATTCACGATCTTCGGGGTTGTCGGCTGGGGGATCTTCATTCACGCCCGATCTCCTCGAAAGCGCTATTATTATTCCCCGCGTCCATCCTACCGACCGACCGACCGACCGGCCAACGTACCTTACCTGCCCATAACTTCGAACTGGGTCGTCTCAGCGCTGTTTCTGTGTTTTTTTTTTCTCCGGTCGCGTGTGCTGGTCGGATTCTGTAGGGCGCCGGCCTCAAACGTAAAGGACGGACAAACAGGCTAGTAAGAAATCGCAGCGCCGACCGCTGCCGAGGCCGTCAGGTGGTCCCGGCCCCAAAGTCAGGATCATCTTTCATCATCCGCGCAGCAAAGCAGCCAGAGCAAAAGCAGCGAGCAGCAGAGCACCATTGTTCCTCCCACCCAACAACCGAACTCTGCCCCCCCCCCCCCATCGTCATCCTCGGCCTTTCCCATTCTTTTTACATCATTTTCCATCCCAACCGCCCCCCCCTTCTTTTTTCTCTTTATTTATCCTTTCCCTTTGTTCCCCACTTGTACCCTTTCCGCCCACACCCCCCTCGTCCAATCTGGACCAGGCAGCGGACCGTCTTATCATTCCGCCTTCTTCGGGGCTCTCCTCGCGCCGGTGCGCTCGTTCCTGAGTTGTCCCGGAGTGACGAGACGCCACCTCTCCGTTCTGCCGGACCATGGCGTTGGAGGTGCAACCGCCCAGCGATCGCAAGCGGGTGAAAGTTTACGAACTCAGAGATAATGACTGGTTTGATCGGGGAACGGGATTTTGTACGGGGCAGATACTCGACGTGAGTGATGGTCGCCACCGTGTGTCCGCAGCGCGAACAGCGTCGCCGCTCGTCGGGCGCAAATGCTGCGCCGTTCGGGCGCGCTCCTTCAAATCGGCTTGCTGTCGCTAACACGTCCCTCTCTTCATCAGGATGAGCCGCGGATATTCGTCGAGTCGGAAGATGAGCCTAATCGGGTGCTCCTGGAGACAAAAATCTCCAAGGATGACGGCTATCAAAAGCAACAAGGTCCGCCCCTTACACTTTCCTCTGCATCGCACGCATCGAACTAGACTTCAGAAGATGTGCTAATGCTTCTGCGACGTGAGTAGAAACCTTGATCGTATGGACGGAGCCAAACGGGACAGACATGGCGCTGAGTTTCCAGGAAGCGGAAGGGTGCGCTGTGATCTGGTAAGGCATATAAGGAGTGGTGTACATGGAAGTCATTCAATGGCTGACGGCGATGAAGGAATTTTGTCAACAACGTTCAACAGCATCTTCTTAGCATGGCTCCAGGAGGTCGGTGTTCTCCCATCGTCTATTTGGCTTAGGAAGCTTTTCAAATCCCTTTGCTGACCCGATCTCGTCCGGCTGTTCAGAAGACGCCCTCTCGGACGATATCGAAAGCTACCAATCGATCATGTTGCCTCCACCCGAGCTCGGAAATCTGCCTGAGATTGACCATGTCATGAGGGCCGCTAGCATTACACAAGCCGGACGCGATGCGCTATCGAAATTCGTCATCCGAGAGGAGTACATTCCCAAGCTTATTCCATTGGTCACGATGGCGGAGGACCTCGAAAGTCTTTCTGATCTACATCGCCTTTGTAATATCATGAAATCGCTTATTCTCTTAAATGACAACACCATCATCGAGACCGTGGTCACGGATTCCATTATCCTCGGCGTGGTCGGGGCGTTGGAATGTGTGTATTTGTCTCCCCTGAACCGAGCGGTTTGCTGACGGGTTCTAGATGATCCTGAGTTCCCTACCCACAAAGCCAATCATCGGCAATACCTCGCCGACAAGTCGCGCTATAAGGAAGTCGTGCCTATCAAAGATGCCATGATTCGTCGCAAAATCAGCTACACCTGGCGTCTGCAATATCTCAAGGATGTGGTTCTAGCTCGAATCCTAGATGACCCCACCTTTTCGGTTCTGAACTCCCTGATATTTTTCAACCAGGTCGAAATCGTCAACCATATCCAGGCGAATGCCCCTTTCTTGAAGGAATTGTTTACAGTCTTTGACCCGAGAAGTGCGGACACCAAGCGCAAAGAAGACGCAGTTCAATTCATCCACCAATGCGCTGTTATCGCAAAGAATTTGCAGGCGCCGGCGCGTGCCAATCTCTTTGCCAACTTCATTAGCCACGGTCTGTTCGCTGTCATCGCTTTTGCCATAAAGCACCCCAAGCCGGCTTTGCGCACAACCGGGATCGATATCCTAGTAGCGCTTCTTGATCATGATCCCATTATGATGCGCGGATATATGCTCAAGGCTGTCAACGAGAAGAAGACGCCACTTACCGATACGCTTATTGACCTGCTGCATACGGAGTCCGACCTGGGGGTCAAGAATCAACTTGCAGATGCCGTCAAAGTTCTATTGGACCCTCAGATCCCTCTGCAGGATACTATGGGTCGGGCTGGACCCGAGCACTATAACAAACCGCGTCCCAATATCCTGTCGGATGTCTTTGTCCAGAACCATTTCGACGAATCTGCGCGCAGGCTATTTTGGCCGTTGAAACGACTCGAACATGCTGACCACCGTAAGCTTCCCTTGCGTCGGAAAACTTTCCCTATCTGGCTGGACAGAAATTAACCGGTTTACGATCTAGTACACCACGTAACCTTTCAAGAAGTAGCACTGTATTCTCACCTCGTTGATATCCTAACGTTCTTTGTCCGTCAACATTTATACCGAAGTCGGAACGTCATCCACAATGAATCACTTGCTCCTCGAATCGCCCAATTGCTCGCGGTGCCCCATAAGCATCTCAAGCTGAGTGAGTCCTACCTGCAGGTCAATGTATGATTGAATGGCTAACTTCCATGTCTTCTAGCTGCGTTGAGATTCTTCCGCGCTCTGACCAGTCTCCAAGATACCTTCTACCAAGCCTTAATGACCCATAACAACATCTTTGGCCTGATCCTCGATATTGTCTACGAGACGATGCCCCGTGATAATTTACTGAATTCGGCTTGCCTCGAACTCTTCGAAGCGATCCGATGCGACAATATGAAACCCTTTGTGCTGCATGTCGTTGAGAAGTACGGCGAGAAGATCAGAAATATCACCTATGTGGATACGTTCAAGAATTTAATCGTTCGCTACGAGCAGCTGCAGGGCTACGGTGGCGAGCCGGATTCAACTCTACTGTCACATGAGGAAACACCGTCTCGGAGGATACAGGCCAATGGGCAGCGTTGGCAGGGCGTCAGCGAAATGGATGCCGCCGAGGAGGAGTATTTCAACACCTCTGATGATGAAGAGGTAGGGCACTTGCTTCAGTGTGGTTTGTTCCAGGACAAGACTAACTATGTATCCCAGTGGCAGCCGAAGAGTACGCGGAACACATCGGAGGTTTCACACATGCAGAATGGCGCTGCATCGCCTGTTGTCAAACCTCTCGTTGATTACCCAGATGATGATGAAGAAGATGCAATGGATACGAAGTCGGAACCCGGCGATCGTCAAGTGCAACAAAACCGGGAGGAGCCACAGCAAGATGGCTCAAGTCACGATGATGCTGTCAGTCTTGGCGAAAGATCACCGTCCACTCCGGTATCTATGATAGTCCAAACACCCCCGGAGAGATTGTCGGAGAAGCGTCGGCGCGAAGAAGAGGACGATGATGAGTTGATAAAGCTCACCTCCGGACCAAAACGAAGAAGCTCGACAAGCGCGGGTCCCGGCAGTGCAGGGCTCTTGCGGAGAAAGCGAAGTGTGTCGATTGGCTCGCTTGCGGCCAATGACAAGGGGGCAGCATTGGGAAACCTCAATAGCAGCGCTTCGCCAAAAAGGATAGCTATCAATCTTAGCTCGGCAACAACGAAAGCGTCTGATGCAGGTTCTACCCAATCAGTCACAGACCAAGCGAGCAATGAGAAGGAAAACCGGGACGACAACCACAGCGGTGGTATTTCAAATCCCTGAGCGATATTCCAACCTCAAGAAACCAGCTCCCTCATGTCCACCACGTCTTTGATTGATACCGTGGTGGCTCGTGTCGAGCAATCAGTTTTTCACTTTTGCTGTAAGCATCGGTTGCGTTCGTCAGAGTAACAGGGTCTTTGCTTGCTTGTTTTACGACAGCCTCCTAGATACCAGATGAAGTGATGTCATTTTTTCTCTTACCATTGTGAGCCGGACGTATTCTGATGTACGATCGATCGCTTTTTATTGTCTCTCCCCTTTGCATCTTTGCGATTCCATCTTGTCTTAGATATCATGTATTACGGAATCGGCGATGCGGAGGGCCCTGTTTGTCTCGCTTTCACCTTTGCCCATCAGTCCGGCTGGCGTGATGTACATTTATTCACATTCTCTGCTGCTTCTTTCTCTTCTTGTACTGTTGGCTTGTCCCGGAGTTTCCAGTGCTGTCGCGTTTCTTTCACGCATATGACGGGGCGCTTTCACCGTACATTACGGACCACAGGGGATTCGGTTACATGGATGCTACTATATTTTGCGCGTTATATTGACCAGTTGAGTTTGGCATCGGGGATGATTCATGATACTGATACGGGCCCAGCACCGAGTTGTCTTCGTCGAGGGGCCCTGAATAGGAGTGGAGTCCGGATGAAGGACATGGAGTGGCCAACTTGCACATACTTGTCGCCGCATTATAATCTGATCTCTGATCTCTGACCTCTTCGATTCGGACACTGAACCCAAGCATGTCGCTTCTGAACCGCCGTAGACCACCTATTCAACAACCTGTAGATATATTGATATAGATAAGACGATCGGCATGCGGGTCCAAACTCCATCGGGACCTCCATCCCGGCCAGTCCCGCCGACGCCGACAATGAGCGCCCTGGGTCGGCCAACTCAATATCTACATCCATCCCCAGGTACCCCAGGGCCGACCACAACGCCTACTAAACGCTAAAGCCATGTCCCCAGCCCTACAGCCCCATGTCACTCCAGACAGTTTCTTTCACACAACATCCCCATCCCCGCCACAAACACCCGCCAATCCGCCCCTACCTCCAGTCCTAGTCTATTTTATATCTGGAAACCCGGGTCTAATCTCCTATTACCATCCCTTCCTCACCCTCCTTTCCGACAAGCTTCAATCCCTCAGTGCCAAACAGAGGGAACCCCATACATTCCACATCCACGGCCACAGCCTAGCAGGCTTCGAAGTATCACCTCAGCACCCCCAAACCCCAGAGCATTACCACGATGTCGAAGACCAAATCCGTTTCATCCAGACACGGCTCGACAACTTCGTGCAAGGCACACACACCACCACACCGACAAGTTCCAAACCACGCGTGATCCTTATGGGCCATTCCGTGGGCACTTATATCGCCATGGAGGTGATTCGGAGACATCGCGAACGATCGGCCTCCTCTTCTGCTCCCATCGACTTCGACATCATCGGTGGTGTAATGCTTTTCCCTACCGTTATGGATATTGCTAAATCGCCATCCGGGAAGCATTTGACTGTAAGTATCACTTCTCTTCTTCTTCTTCCTGCCTCTAACATAACATGGACATAGAATCTGCTCTACTTCATCCCCCATCTAGCACTGGTAGTAAGTTTCCTAGCCTGGATCCTCACCACTCTTCTCCCGGAGTTCGCGCTCCGTGCTCTAGTAAAAGGTTTCATGGCCTCTCCGCCAGACCAGGCCGTTGATACGACCTGTGCGTTTTTGAAGAGTGAGAAGGGTGTGAGGCAGGCTTTGTACGTTATATTCCCGTCTTATGCACTTTATCTTTCTAGGCTAGTGTGCAGGCTAACAGGAAGGAAAAAGACATATGGCCGCTGACGAGATGCGAACCATCTCGGCGGATAAATGGGCCGATGATGTCTGGGGGATATCTTCGTCTGCAGAAGAGCCATTGATTCGAATGTTCTTTTATTTTGGGAGGAATGATCATTGGGTTGCGGAGCAGACGAGGGAGGAGATTATTGAGGCCAAAGGGAAGGGGGAGGGGGAGGGGGAGGGGAAGGGTCCGAAGATGGTGGTTTGTGAGGATGGCTTGCCGCATGCGTTTTGTTTACGTGAGTGTTTATCCCCTAGTCTTTTGATTTGCATATTGGGGTGTGGTTGGTTGGATGCTGATCTGGGATGGGTGTATAGGTCATAGTGATGTTACGGCGAGTAAGGTGGCGGGGATGGTGATGGATATTGTTGCTGATTGATTACCGGAATTGCGTGGCTGGGATGATAGACTAGACGCTTAAAGACCACGGGTTCAGGGATTAATGGACGAAGGTTTCATATAGCACTCTATAAAGAGTAGGAGCTCATGGGTATCTCTTGGCGGGATCACGTTACGCCTCGGGCATATCTCGTGATGAAGATCATCAGGGAACAATTGAGTCAAAGAGCCAGTAGCGCTGCACTACTGACCCCCCTGATACGCTAGCCCAGCCCTCCGAAACAGATCCCCCAACACATCCTGCTGTGGCGCTGGAGCTGCTCCTGCGCTAGGCATCCCCACCGGCGGCGGTTGCTGCCACTCGCCCGGTCCAAGTTGATGTGCCCGTACACTCCACTCATCATCCTGCGTCCGCTGCTGCCCAAAGAGATCCTTGAGTGAGATCTGTCGGCCCATCGGCACACTCGACTGCACCTCCTGCAGCGGAGGCGCGGTCACGGATGCCGCGGCGGCGGCGACGTGCAGACCATTCTGGTGTGTCGCTTCCAGCCGTTCGCGCGCCAACCTCATACTCTGCCCGGCATGAGTAGCGCATTCACGAATCATCTGAGCGTTTATGGTGCGTGTCTCGGCCGTCGAATTAGGTGGAGGCTCCGAATAGATCCAGAGACCGTAGATGCGGACATTGGTGTTGTTATTTCCGGGTTTGCTAGATCCATTGGTACCGTTGCCGCTATTGTTGTTATTGTTGTAATCGCCCGCAGCACCTCCCGTGTCTAGGTTGTCGGGGTTGTAGTCGGATTTGAGGATAATATATTCTTCGGTTATCTCGACATTGTCGCCGTCGGTGAGGAGAAGATCGAAGTTATTCAGACCCCGTCGGTTGAGAACGAATACACAGTATCGCTCCTCGCCTAGGGTGCCTTGTGTCAGTTGGCAGACAAAAAGTGAGCCTTCAATACCGTTCTTTTCCCATTGTCGGGAGGATGGGCTGAAGATATAGACGACGGAGTATTGGGCGAGGGAGAGGATGGAGGTGATGGCGGGGTTGTGGCGGCGGAGGACGGAGAGATTCAACTCCTCGTTGGTACGGAGCGAAGGGGGCATCGAGGATTCTTGTTGGTCGGGAAGTTGCTGGGTGTCGGAGAAGTAGTTTTGAAAGTCGGATTCGTAGTCGGAGGGCTGGGGGGCACCTTGACTGAGATGGCGACGGTGGTTGTGATTGTAGCTCTGGGGGTGGTTATTACTGTTAGTGTTGTTGTTTTGTCGGCGAGGCTTGCGGCCTGTCATTGTGAGGAAGTCTATATACTGGAAGGAGACACCTAAAAGGAAGAGAGGGCGAGCAAGCGAGGGATTAGAGAAGGGAAAGTGAAGGGGGAAGTGAAGGGAGAGCTGCAGCTTGAGGATGAAGTCGCAGCACAGCTCCGTTCGGGAAGCGGTCGGGACCCCGCGCGGTCTGGACTCGACCTGCCAAAGCACCCTCAATCATCCCCATTACCTCCATCTCCCACCCCCCCTCTTCCGTCTCCCTCGTGCAATTCCAGTCCTCCGGGGTATCGGATTGAACCTTCCTACGAATCTCCTGCCGAGCCCGGTGCGACGTTGCAGTTCGCGGTGTCCAGAGCCTCCAATTCGGGCGTCATAGCCGGTGTCCCGGACACCTGTGCATCATCCCCACCCCTCCGTTGCATCCGATCGGCTTCTGGAGCACAGCACCGTCTGTATCTCTCCTGCATCCATTGCGAGGGTTCCATTTGACAACTACCAGCTCCCTATTTGCGACATCATACCCTCATGGTCGCAATCGCCACACCTTACTTCCCGACCGGTCTTATACCTACCTTCCGCGCCGCGTGACTACTCCAGGTGAACTCTTAGCCGCCGGTCATCCACCCCACCGATCGATATATATAACCCCGAGAGAAATTGTTGGAATCGCGCGACTGAAGATAAGCGTGCATCTCCCCCAATATGGCCTCCGGCACAGCGCAGCTCGCATCGGCGTTTTACCCAGGCGATTCCTCCAGCAATAACGAGAGCTCTCCGGACGTCTCCGTCGATCCTTCTTCGCTTCCGCAGGCCGTCAAAGCAAGAAAGGATGAGTATACCCACCAGCAGTCAATTTACATCAAAGTCGGTACTTGGAACGTGGCTGCCACTCCAGGCACCGAGGAGGACATTGGGAAGTGGTTTATACAACGGAAAGGTGTATGCGAGCAAATATCCGGACTGCGGGTCTCCGACACCCAGGAGGAAACTATTTATAAAGAGCACGAGCCCGGGAATGATGAAACTCTGTCTGATATTGCGCCGGACAAGATTGGCCTCTACGTCCTCGGTCTACAGGAGATCGTAGATGTTTCATCACCCGCGGAGGCCTTGAGGCCCTATGTTGATCCGGCACCGTCGAACCGGTGGAAAGCCGCGGTTCAGAAAGCCCTGCCACCGGGCTATCATCTTGTCGCGGAGACCCAGCTGGTGGGTTTGCTACAGCTAGTATACGCCGCGCCCTTTCTTGTCGATCAGGTGTCGTTCGTGAGCTGCACTAGTGTGGGCACTGGTCTGTTGGGGTATATGGGCAACAAGGGTGCTGTTGCGACACGATTGATGCTTGGTGAAACGACGTGCCTGGTCTTTGTGAACTGTCACTTGGCGGCCGGGTCCGACAAGAACAGTCTCGAACGGCGGAACTGGGACGCTTCGCAAATTATCGGAAGGACCAGGTTTGAGCCTATCGACCCCAATGTTGCACTTCGAGAAGAGCCCGCCGAGAGCATAGGAAAGGAGGACTTTGGGTTCTGGTTTGGAGATCTCAATTATCGGTTGGAGGATATCCCAGGGGATGACGTGCGACAAGTCCTGTCCCGGCATACAGTGAATGAATACGACAATAAACATCAGACTCAGCGTGAGCTCAAGAACGGTACCGAATCGCCGCAAATCACAGCCGAAGGGGACCAGAAGGGAGGCCCAGCAACTCAGGAGGAGGGCACTGACAGCCCCTTCCCGGCCGTCTCAGACGAGGATGTGGATCCTCACACAGATCCAGCGTCTTTACAGACCACCATCTCGTCACTACTCCCCCATGACCAGCTTCGGTTGCAGCAAGACAAACAAAAGGCCTTCCACGAGGGATGGCGAGAGGGCCCGATCACGTTCCTACCCACATATAAATACGACGTGGGAAGTGTTGCGAGGTTTGATTCAAGTGAAAAGAATCGAGGGCCCAGTTGGTGTGACCGTATTCTATACCGATCCCGTCATGACAAACTGCGATACGAAAAACTAGCTAAAGAAGCTGCGGAGGCCAGGAAACGCGACGAAGAGATGAAGGCCAGGGGCTTGGATAAGGCCGTCGCTGATGACAGTGTCCTGTTCGACTATGATCCGGACGTGGACGGCGCGGACAGTGCAGAAGAATATGATCCGGATGCGGATTCAAACGATGATGCATCATTCGAGTCAGATGCCGATGCTGATAGCCCCCTACAGCTTGAATCCTACATATCGTACCAAGGGATCATGTCGTCGGATCACAAGCCTCTAGCTGCAGCATTCACGTTGACATTTGACTCAGTGGATCCGCAGATGAAAGCCAAGGTACACCAGGAGGTGGTCCGGGTGCTGGATAAGGTTGAAAACGAGTCCCGACCTGGACTCACTGTTGTCGTGGACAACCACGGCAGTCAACCAACAAGTGAAGACCCTAATGCTGTGAACTTTGGTGATGTGCCTTTTGATGTGCCTGTTACCAGGTCGCTGACGGTCGCCAACACCAGCGGTGTGCCTGCAACTTTCACACTGGAGAAGCCGGAACAAGATGCCTCCAATAGAATACCCTCCTGGCTGGATTACCGAGTCGACCAGCCGCATCATTCCGACTCAGAATCCGGGTCAAAGCAGGAGCTTCCATCGCACGAATGTACCTTACACCCTGGGGAACTCGCTAACATCGAGATTACAGCATGCGTTCGTGATATCGAACTGGCTCGCTTGCTCAATGACGCGCAATTAAGCCTTGAAGAAATCCTCGTCCTTCGAGTTGCCGGCGGCCGAGATCACTTCATCTCCGCGTACAGCAAATGGCTGCCCACCTGCTTTGGCCGCTCCCTGGAGGAACTCACAGTCATGCCTGAAACAGGTGCTCGCAGCCTAACGCCAGTCAAGGCCTCCAAAGACCAGAAGCATACCTCGGGTGTGCCTTTATCTGCTCCTCGGGAGCTGTTTCGCCTGACTGAAGCAATATCAGAAACGTCAGAACGTGCCATTGCCGAATGGAGCATGACAAGAAGTGAGGCCGAGGAGGATACACCGCCATGGATGAGAGAGCCCCTTGGGTTCGGATGGCCCTTCGAGCCTGAGACCTGGACTTTAAGAGATAAAGACGACCGGTCGCGTTTACTATCATGTGCTCGCGAAGCACTCGACACCAACAGTGACTTCAGCTCTGTGTTTGCCCCGGAAATAACTTCCCTTCAGCGTCTTGAAATCCTTAGCGAGACGCTTCTGGTGTTTCTCCGGTCCCTGAAAGACGGCATTGTCACTGCCACTGTCTGGCAGAATCTTGACCAGCAGATTCTCTCCCGGGAGAGAACAAAAAGTCCACCTCTATCCTGGGAAGACTCCCAGGCCTGGGTTCTGGAGAACCTTGCGTTTTCGCCTGCACACAGCGTTTCCTTCACCTTTGTCACTTTCATGTTGGCCCGCATCGCCAACGAAGTCGCCCCTACCTCATCTATTCCCAACAACCGCGGGCCCCCAACCATCCTATCCGCATCGTCCGGTAACGAACCGAAACCAAGCGTAACCACACAGAACCCGTCCGAAGATGCACAGCCTGCGCCCTCCGCCTTCATCGCAAGCAACAGCTTCCGCCGTAAGACACGCACCTTCACATCCTCCATCTCCAGCATATCAGAACCCCCGCCTAGTCCAATGGCCATCCGCCGTCAGGCCGTTGAAACTGCTCTGGCAGCTATATTTGCATCCGTCCTCATCTCAGCCGAAGTGCCTGTTCCGTCGAAGGACAAAGGCCGGCGCGCTTTGGACGAAAGAAAACGAGGCATTGTTGAGCCGTTTTTGAAGACAATCGGGGTCGATAATAAGGGGCCTTCGGGAGGTGTTTCTTAGGCAGTCTTGGATGGATTAAGAAAGGAAGAGTATATTGTGTAGTCTCCGTGTTATTATAATGTATAGAATTCCACTTTGGATCTCTGATCTTGTTTGTCGTATTAGCAGTCTGTGTACATGCAGATATGGGCCTGAACGTACTGACTGCTAAGCCACGTAGCTAGGTAACATAGAACAGTTACCACGACGTATATTGCCCGAGAGATTACCCAAGGCATTCATAACAGCAAGATTGGATCTTCAGAATTCTATGACGAGAGCATGGGCATGGTGAAATATCATATAGGAAACTTATCAGAACACAGCCAAAAACCCCGAAATTAAACCAAATTTGATTCCAAATTATCAGCATTTCCCGAAGTATACCTAGTCTAGCTCCAATTCCAGCCAAAAGTTTCCCATTCAAACCCCGAAAGTGGACATGCTGTAGTAGAGAAATCCCTCTGCATAAGGTTATCAGCTAAAAACCAAAAATATCAAAGACGCCATGATGGTTGATAGAACTCATCATTCGCCCTCTAAAGTTCTATGTATATATACAATCAAAATCAAGTCCGTATGGGGTTGTGCGAGGTTATTTAGTCTCTTCAATCGGGTCGAGGGGACGGCGGTCGACAGCGTCTTGTTGAGAAGACACTCGTCTTGACCGTTTGGGTGACCGCGATTTGTTCAGTGGTGTTTTGTCCTTTGCTGGTCTAGGTGATGGAGAATATATTGAAAAGAGCATGTCTTTAAAATAGCGAAAGCAGCTTATTGACACGTGCATTGGGAGACTGGCAAAGGATATGAACAACTGCATGGGTAGGAGAAAGGCTGCGTAGACCCAACTGACCAGCGTGAGCAGAAGATTTCGGGGATGTCGGGTGCTCGTGCGATGGGCTGCTGCTGCCAAGGAGACAGCGTCGTGTATTTGAGATTCCAGGGCTTGAAGGCGAGAATCTGTTTGATAGGCAGAGACCGCGGTGCGTTTCTCGTAGCGTCGGATAGCCCGATTCAAAGCATCGATGTCTACTTGGAAGGTTTTTCGCACTTCCGCGGTTGCTTGAGTGACCGTCAACTGAACGACCTCTGGGTCTTGCGCAGAATGTTGGGCCCGATTCGGTGATTTGGCGGAAAGACGTGCTGCGGCCGCCTCGGATATGTGGGCCTCGAGTTCCTCGAGGCGCTTCGCGAGATCAAGCACATCTATTTTGCGTTCCTCATCTTCAGACGATAAGGTGACAATGCGCTGGAGATGGAGGGTGCGCCCCTGCACCATTCTGAGGAGATGGGAGAAAGGCCGGATTTCCGATGCGAGCAGGAAAATGGTCAGGTTGTAGTTGGACACCAACCCTTCTGAAGGGCGCGACAATTTGGATCTAATGGTGTGCAAGAGCCATGTTCCAATCAATGGGAAAATAAAGCAAGACGCAAGAGCAACAAGCTCATGTATTTGTAGCTCCCTGCTGGCCGCAACTGCAGCGGCGTTGTCGGATGGGGTTTGATCATCATTTCCTGCCGCATTGTCTGGGGGTTCCTGCGAGGATGCACGGCCGTCTGCTTCTGACCCCAATGGCAAATCAGTGGCGTCGAGAAACCTATCTGCATGGCGGACGGCCTGAGCGGAGCGATACCAATCCCTAGGTAATGCTTAGCACACCTCAGAAAGGGAAAGGTAGCACGTGCCCTTACCATGGCAATCGGACAGACCAATTCAAAAATATGGCTGCTAGAATTAGGAGAGTGACGTCGGTGACTACGGCGCTTCCGTTTTGGAAAAAGATTCCGGCAACAGCAGGCAGCAGGGCGAGACCCAAGGGTGCCGAATGCCAGTGCGATTCTTCATTTGTCAGATTAGCGTCACTCCTCTTGGCTGCACGTGGAAAAAGTATGTCGTCCGTGGATGACCGAATTGAGTTCCGGGCCTCAGATACCGAGTCGGACAGGGTAGAATTGCGACGCTGATTGCGAAGGTTGGTTGTGCCCTCTGCAATGGTTGCAGATCGGGCTGAGCCTCGATGGCGGAGAGTCATGGACCCGGGGGGTGAACGCGGGGAGGGCTGCGGTCCTCGAGAGGAGAGAGGGAAGGACGAACAAGCTCTGGCATAGCACAACAGGCACCTGAGAACGTGATCACAGGCACTCATACTCCTATGAACGTTACCCAGAACGTTGATCAGGTAGTTGAGCAACAAAGAGACGGGAGAGGAAGAAAGAGAGAATGAGAGAGAGAGGTGTAAAGCGTGGGAGAACGCGGAAGAATCACCCTGTGTGATGTGCAGATCTCCCTTGCCCACCTAAAGCAAGCCTGGGTTTGTGGAGCGCGATCCGCAGCCGGCACCCCAATGACGATCTCTCGGGCGCGATACCTGCTAAGTGGTCAGGCAGTGCGGAGGAAGGACCCGTAGCTGTGATGAGTGACGACAGGGACCCACGTCTTGCAAAGGTGAACACTTGAACTGGTAGCCAGTGCCAACTTCTGTGACCAGTGCAAGATTTGGCTCAGCGGTTTGTCACTGCCCCTTGAACTGAACACCCCAGCTTCAGACCTTGTGGGCTGGAATGAATCCCAAAGTGATCGAGGAGATGACTGATTTTCAGCCGTCCTAATTCGGAGTTGGCAACTGACCCCCCGGCCAGTTGGGAGGCCAGCTGAGAGGGACAACGGTGTGTTTCTCACAGGCTCGGGTCAAATGAGCCTTTCGGTCCTGGTAACACCCGAAGGCTAGAATTCCCATCAGGTGGCTTTTGAGGTGTGAATGGGAGCCAAGTCGCTAGATTTGTATGAATCTCGTCCGGTCTGTTTCCTAGCTGAGGGCTCTGTGAAGGGTCAGACCTGTCCCTCTCCATGAACTATAAACGGGGACAGGAACACTTGCTTTCTCGGCAACGAATTGTCCAATTGCGACAAGGGAAAAGAGATGAGAAGACGGTGGCACTGCCTAGCTTCTGCGGAGCCTTTTACCCATGTCCAGGTTGGCCAGACAGAAGGGGAGTGAAGTGAAACCGGTGGGGAGCGCAAGAAGGAGGTGGCAGGATGGCGCTGAGTCCTTTGATACCCAAAAGAGGAATGGCCGGGGTTCCCAGTCCTCTCCATCTCCACCACCACCACCACCACTACCACCTCTTCCTCTGCCATTACTACCACTACCATTGCGTTACATCGTCACCTCCTTCACCGCCCCTTATTCAGATGGGCCGTGTTCTGGTCTATTGAAGGCCCAGGTTGCTGTCTACATTGACAGGGTAATCGTCACTCCGAAGCTTACTCTACTGGACGACTCGCCCGGCCGGTGCTGTTAGAATCCGCTGCAGCGCCTTCCACGATGACCACAGCAGACCACAACACTCGTCGGTTCTTTTCCGAATTTGCTTATTCTGTACACCTTGAGTCCTTGCAAGATGGTGTCTCGTTTAGGCCCCACATGGTTATGCTTCACATTAACTCTGTCTATTCTGGAGTTCCATCCTCAATAAGATCTCGCTGTTGCTCCTAATTCGGGCCTGCGCTCCACCACCTTATAACTCCAGATGGCTTTCCTACCTCCATCAGGATGATCCTGGCTTATACTTGCTGGTCGTCATCGCCCAAGCGTTCTATCTCATCTTGAAATCTGGCTATCTTGACGAAAAAAAGAAGCGACAAGGTCTCCAACTTCGCCAACATTCAGGCTCATTTGCTCTACTGATACTGACATAAAGTTGATATCAAGGGCTCAAAATGGCTCCGACAGCGGCCCCCCTTTACCCGGAGGCGATCCTCGTACCGGTTCTCTCCTTCATCTCCATGCTTCTCAGTATCGTGCCCCTAGTATTGCATTGGAAGAACCGAAACTTCGCTGCAAGCAGCCTCATCTGTTGGTATCTGGTTCTCAACCTCTTTAACATCATTAATGCCCTTATTTGGCCGACGGACGACGTGGACTCATGGTGGGATGGCAAAGGACTGCGATGTTGAGGCCAAGATCATGATTGGCAGCTACATTGTCATCCCGGGGACCTTGGTCTGTATTTTTCGCAATTTGGCCCATGTCCTTGACACTAGCCGTGCAAATCTTGTCCCAACCAAGTCACAACGTTGGTGGAATTGAGTGATGGTCCTCTTGTTCTGTGTGATCGCCCCGGTGATTGCCATGCTCACACACTACATCTACCAGCGAGGTAGATACTTTCTCTTTGCTATTGCTGGCTGCTTCAATAGCTATGATCAAAGCTGGGTGACCCTTGCGCTAGCATGGATCTGGCCGCTTATCATATGTTTGATTGCGGCATACTACTGTGGTACGCTTGCTGAATTCCCTTTTCTCTATTCAAGGTAACTGATTTCATTGCTAGTTCTCGTCTTGCATCGCCTTGCCAAATACCGAAGCCAGTTCGGGGACATACTCCAGTCGGCCAATAGTAACTTGACCAAACCGAGGTTTATGCGGCTGTTCCTCCCTGCTTTTGTCATGCTGTGGGCCATTCTTCCGGTTCAAACCTATGTTGTCTCAACGAACATAATCCGTACGCAGCCATGGCACCCATACTCGTGGAGTACGGTTCACTCGCAGGAGTGGGACAAGGTCATCAAGGTTCCTACGGGAGGGCATGTTTTCTACGACCGCTGGATTCCAGTTGCTTCGGGATATGTGTTCTGTATCTTCTTTGGGAGTGGCAGAGATGCTTCGAAAATGTATTGCACGATCTTGGGTTTCCTGGGCTTTGGCTACTTCTTTACATCACTCCAGTCGTCGACAGCAAACGGCTCCTATGCAACGGGCTCCACGGGTAGCCGTGCAAAACTACTGTTCCATAAAACGTGGACGACCACGACCAGGTAAGACAACCTTATATGCATGGATGGTGATGAATGTACCTGGTTCTAAGGGGTTTCTAGGACACACGTTAACAGCTCTGTCGACGCTGCTCGGTCCGCTCATGTCTACCGTGATATCGAAAAGGGTGCCACGTCTCGAGCTAAGCAATCGAAGTTGGCGTCGTGGTACAGACGGCCCTGGTTTTCACAAAGCCGACATCCCTCTTCCAGCCAGGAAAGGATGGTCGCCCTTCACCATATGCCCGAGCCGACAACCACGGTTTCTACCAACGCTTGGGCTGGGGTGAGTCAGAGTCGTGGAAGTAGTGACATTGGAACCACGCCACTTGCGGGGGACCACATTCGGGTGAAGCAGGTGATCAGTCAGGAGAGCGAGGTGCAGGTCTAACAATGCCTGCCACCATGGCCTTTTTTTGTTCCTTAATGCGTGGAAGGCCACGAAACGAAGGACCCATCAGATTCTGTTTGTGAGTCTTGGCCTTTGATACGTACCTCTCCTGTACACTCTTATTGGACCATGCTTCAACCCACTGTTTTATGTTTCCGAATTTTATCCAGGAATCTGTCCATTTCTTATCTGCCACTACAGATGCTTGACCTAGGTTACAAGAGTGATTCGAAGTGTACCCGACAATCTGATTAATACTAGCTACTGTACCGTAAGACAGCTCAACGTGCTATAAACACTTATATTGCACGTTACCGATAGCCTTCTGACATCAAGTTATATCATCTCGAGAGAATGCAGCACAACGGTATCGGGACGTACGAGTCAACTACATCCTGCAGTGCTGGGCCAGTCCGTAGGGACATAGTAGACCTGTCCAATTGAGCTATTTATAGCAGCACGAGCCACACACGTCGGTCACGCCGAGAGCGGGATGTCATATGATGATATGAGGATATATCTTACACGAGGACAAGGCATGATTCCTATGACCCAGAAAAGAAACAAAACAAGAGGTGGCTGATCGTCATCTGGGTTCACCGACAAGTCAAAGCCTGGGGCTGAAAATCGGAGATTATGAATACATAGTGGAGCCAAGTAAAACGGAGTGAGGCAGCCTGACTGTCCTCAAGACAACGTGGCAGCCAGCACGACACATCGTCCTACCAGGCTTGTTATCCCATCCTTATAATATTAACGTATCTTAGTTGTTGTTGTCATGTTCGGCGGAAGTTTCGGAGTAGGGACGCTTAAGAACCTCGACAGCACCTGCGGATAATATTAGCATTCCCGCAGCACAAAATATCCTTGGGATCATTGTTTCATCATGTGGAAGGGTATGGCTCACGTTGGACAATGCTCAAGGCCGACTGCCTCTTGCCTTCTGCGTCTTCCCACTGGCGGATGCTTGCGTCTCCCTCAACAAACACGAGAGTTCTAGGATGATGAAGTTAGGAATGGGCATAAAAACCGCCTTGGCCGAGTCTATATCTTGACCGTCTGCCCATGTATAGGCCCAGAGATAGAGTTGAAAATGCAACGACCGACAGACATATGTGCAGTAATAAGAATCAAGGATTAAACTTACCCCTGCTGCAAGTTGGTGATGTACTCGCGCTGGTTTCCTTCAACAAAAGCCGAAACCTTGAACCAGCTCGTCTGACGCCTATCCTTGGGGCCGTGGCTTGATGCTACCGTGTACTTGACGACCTCCTGGCCAGACGAGGTGGCCTGCAGCTCGGGCTGGGCTGCAAGACGACCGGTGATCATCAAACGCGCAACGGAACGCGACGAGGAAGAGCTGAACGAACGCGCGGACAAGGCGGCACCGGAAGAGGCGCGGAGGGCGGGACGGAGAGAAGACATGAAGGCAGACATTTTGGGTCGATTGAAATGGGATTGGCCTCTAGAAAGAACGGTGGATGATGTTTGGGGACGAGAATGGGAATAGCGAGGATGGGCTGATTCGAGTCAACCAGCAGTTGGAGAGCTCTCTTCTCCGCGGCACCGCCACGGATCACGTGAAAACCGGGGTGCGCCACATCCCCACTTTCCTAGTAGATACTCTCTATCTGTACTCCGTAGTATCTAGGTAGTCTCTTTCTTCCTCTTCCTCTCTCTGATTTCCCGCCACATGCGCGTTTCTCTAAGGAGTTTCCAGCAGCTCCAGGCCGATTTCCTCTCATGAAGCTCTGGTCAGGAAGAAAATAACTTCTGATTATGCTTATATGTTGCAGGTGCATGCATTTATCAACCATAAACTTTGAAGCATGGGAACTGCCAAGCGAGTCAACCGCTCGGATACGAATCGGTTGGCACCAGTGCAGCTGTGACCTGTGAGACGTCAGATTATGGCCCATTGGGGAAGCAGCAAGGCACAGATCTTAGCTCCAGCCGTCAAGAGTGCATGCCTTCCCAAGGTTTAACTTGGACCCCAAGACTTCCAACTTCCTTCGAACTTTGCTCACCGCACCTACCCTGCATCTGTTTATTGACATGTGCTGGCGAAGATTGGATGGAATCACTACACCTCAAAGTTTCCGTCTGATGGTTCGATCCCAAACGGTGCATGCCCCGACACCGCTCGACCGTGACAGAAACCCATAGATAGATAGAGACTCCTCCGCTTTCTTTCCCGGCCGCTAACTTTTAGCGCCGCCTATAATAGCGTTCTCGCTCTTGGTCGAGCCCGCATTTCTAAATAACTCCTAAGATTCCAGGATGCCGTGTGGCCGGACTGGTCAATAGTCACGGAGAACCCCTGGGAACAGAACATGTCGGAGATTAGGCTAGCACCACGGTCCATTGAGAGCACGACGTTGTCTTTGTCAGAAATCCCAATGGGCATTGTCTTCCGAGGCTGAAGCACGATAGGCTGGGAACTTCGCGGGCGAAATTAGATGTGTTCTCTCCTGCAGCCGATCACACGAACGGTCTAACTATGAGCGGCTAGCAATACTGGGTCCTAGTCAAGAAATGCCGACGATCTGTGATCGCGTCCCTGGATAGTTGCAAGCAAGTTACTCCGTCGTCTGTGCTCTATTGAAAATCTTAATCCGGACCGGAGACCTCAACTAGAGTCATTTTCTTCCGCTCAACATGTCACAGCCCGCCACTGACAAAGTATGTTAACGCGTTCATCCGTCCTATTGAAACCTGGCCATCGCACGCGTGCATCAATTGTACGGGCCCCCGAGTCTTGAGGGTTGCCGGCATCTGATAAAATTTTGGTCTAGGAAAAGCAATTCCATCCTCAGACGGTTCTCATGTCACAGACACGCTGTTCAAGCTCCTGACTGAATAGATAAATATACCTGAAGATAAGGTGTCCCTCCCTGTTTACTGCTCTCCAGTTGATGTTGTCGACCTGCATCGCATGGAGTACCCCCTGCTTAACCGACAACCCCCAGTGTCAATGAATTGCAGGGGAGGATCCCTGCCAAATAATTCCATTTAACATGCACGACCATGCGGTGGGTATTGCTTTTTTGGAGACAAGGAGTGGACCAGCTCGCATCTTTCATGCAGCTAGTCTACTCTCGCCATCGTTATTCTCCTTGGGCTTTCGATTAAGCAGACCGTGGCTATCTGATGGGAATCACCTAGTTCCTAAATCTAAAAAAAAAGACGAGCAGTCTTTTCGGAGGCTGTACGAGGTGAAGCTCGAGGATTCTTCTTTTTCTTTTCCTTTTCCTTTCTTTTCTTCTTAAAATTTTCCTTTCTTTCCCGCTATTATCTTTCCATTCTATCCTTCCTCATGGCTACATATAGGTAGTGGAAATGAAATCATTGTGTGATCTAGCAGTCCGTTTGAATTCCCACGCCACATTAACACACCTTCCTTGCATGTTTCGGAATCTGTTTGTTAGGGGAACACGCTGAATCTTATAATTTTCTGCGGTCTACATGAGAATTATGTGATAAGTGGCCACTGAGCTCTTCAAAGGCAGCATTCTGAACTCCACTGCCCTTATATCGAGGCACAGACATTGTTTGGCCAGGAACTGGCCTGTTGGTTACGCCGATTTTCTTGTGCAATCTTGTCTCTTTCATACTATAGCCATGCGATTGTTCCCTCTGTTTGCTCTGGTTGCCTGTCTCGTGCCTGGCTGGTCTGTCTCAGCTGAAATTCTTGCCCCGGAGCGTCATGGGCTTGGAGGCCTTGTTGTGAGAGAGGCAACTCCGAGTACTGCAACGGCCACAGAAACCTTTAGCGATACGACAGCAGCGAGCGTGACGAATCATGCGGCAGCAAAGGTCAATTCCACAACCACTTCAAATGCCACTGCTCCAGCTTCAACAACTACAGCGGCTCTAAGTACGTCGCAGGCATCTAATGGCAAGTTAACACTTCTTCTGAATGCCCCCACCGATGTTCCTGCTGTACTAACCCGCAAAAGATGGCAAGAATTCGACAGATCCCGATGCTCTTCCGATCCAGCCTACCGTCACGCCTGCCCTGGGCATCGGTGGATTTCTTCTCCTTGTCACGGGAGCAGTTCTTGCACTGATTGGAATTCGCAATTTGAGGTTATTCCCCTACACTGGTCTGGTAGAAGTTCCCTGGCTTATAGATGGTCTAGAGTCCAAGTTTTTCTGTCCACTGCTTTTCTTACTGGTCTTGGAGTAACGGTATGTTTTGTCCTCGAAACCTCGATAAGCCTGCCACCTAATCGTCGCTTTACTTAGGTTCTTATTGTCTATGTCATGAGCCCTCCTGTACGAGTTGCTATTCAAGGGGCGTATCTTGTTGCTATATTCTTTACCGGCATTACATTCGGTGCACTTGCGATTGTATTCAAAGAGCTAACCGAGGGCCTTGGCTGCCTGCTCGGGGGCTTTTGCAGTAGCATGTGGCTGCTATCTCTGAAACCTGGGGGCCTTTTCACAGGCACCAATGCCAAAAGCGGGTTCATCGGCGCAATCTCGGTCGCATTCTACGCCATGTCCTTCAGTCACCATACTCGCCCTTACGGGCTGATTGTGTCAACCGGTATCTCAGGTGGTACAGCTGTTGCGCTCGGAATTGACTGTTTTAGCCGGGCTGGATTGAAAGAGTTTTGGCTCTACATATGGGGTGAGTTGGCTTGTTCCCAGCCATGAGTTATGTGACAATCTAACTCGTATCCTAGGCCTCAACGACAATATTTTCCCGCTGGGCACGGACACATATCCGATTACTCGGAATATTCGTGTGGAGCTTGCTGCCACAGTTATTATTGCTATCTTGGGCGCAGTCTCTCAGCTGAGGCTATGGAAAGTGGTCAGAGAACGTAGACGACGAGAGAAAGAAAAGCGCGATGACGAGCAGAGAAAGAAGGAGGAATCTGAGGCTGAGCTCGGACGAAGACTGGAAGAGGATAATATTCAGGAGCGCAAAGACTGGGAAGCAAAGTACGGTGACGCTAAGCCGACGTCGAGCAAGTCGGAGTTCGCGGATGACACAAAGTGCCATGCGGACGAGGTGGATGCTATGGAGAAGGGAGATGCCTATGACTCGAAAAGCATGGCCAACTCCTCCGATTGCTCCTATCGCTGCTCCGATTGCAGGGAAAGAGAGGCGAACGAAGATGGCGTGTCAGATGCGACGGGAGCGACTGAAGGTGCTCATGACTGGGAACAGGCTGGCACGGCCAAAGAAACATCCGACAAGATCCATGAAGAGAGTGGTTCGCTTCCCATCAAAGTTTTCGATGGTGCAGCTGCAGCCCAAATCAAAGACGACAAAAGCTCTGATATGACGGCCGTCATTGGTTCGGATACTGCGACAATACGATCAAAGAGGGCATCCGGGGCATCTTGCATGCCGCAGGGTTCTCGAAGCAATGATCTACCCCTGTCTCAGTCCCAGGAGGCCTTGGTTTCTGTTGACGATGGAACTTCATCTGTGCATAGCACCATAGATGAGGGTGTAGACCCGGATTCTGATGGTCTCATCGCACAGGGTGAAAGCCGTGGGTGTACGAAGGACATTCCTGAGTCGGATGAGCATCCTCCCGTCGGTGACGCCGAACGACAGCAGGCAGAACCCGAGCAAGGCTCTCATGACAAGCAGACACATATGCTGAACAACGTGAATGAGGCAATCATCCAGAAAGGCAAGGAAACCCAGCCTACGGCAGTCAGCACAACGGAACCCAAGAAAGTCGAGGATAAAGAGGGCTTCGATCCGGATTCGCATAGCATAGCTTCGGAAGTGGCATTGACTGTGGTGAATCATGGGACTCCTGGACAAAATTCAGATGTCATCGCGGGCCAGGAAAAGAGTGATGGTCTCTCGTCACCCCCAGATGAACCTCCAATCGAGCCAGTAGGTGAAGAAGGGAAACCGTCCGCATGCGTTCCCAAAACCGGAGACACTGGGGAACAGGACTCGGAAGACCACAACTGTGATCAGCCCCAGACTGGAGAGCCTGAAAAACCCAACACTGCCCCTGATGGACAGAATCAAAGATCCCATGGAGAATCAATTTCACCACTGGCATCATCTCAGAAGGAAAACGAGAACAAACGAGAAGCTAGCCGTGGCAAATGCAAGTCTCCTGAGCCGCAACCTAGAATTGAACCGGAGCCGACAAAAGAAGAGCCCCCCAAGCTGAACGAGGAGACAGTGAAAGATCTTCCCAAACGAACATCAAGAGTGGTCCAGTCCTATCGCACAAACGAGTGGGCGAAACACCTGGCCGACGCCGAGGCTCCCGAGCTGGAACCCATCAAGCCAATCGAAGAAGAACAACCAGAATCTTCCCCCGAAGTCGAGGAAGCTGCGGTGCCGGTCAATGTACTGGAACTGCTACAGACACCGTTGAATGCACAGCCTCCGCCCGCTGTAGAGCCTCGCGTCCGAGATCCACCAAGCAGACGTGGTAGTCATCGGATCTCCAGCGGGTCTCAGCTGCATCTATGTTCCCACACCGATCAGTTGAAGAAGGCCTCTCAGTCGCCTCTTCCTACTGCCCAACCACGGTTCAGCAATGCTTATTCCATGAGCACCCTGTTCGGGAATCCCGCAGCAATCGAACAACCCCAAGAGGACGCCGAGGCCGCTAAGCCTCAATGGAAAGGGCCTGCCCCCCTGATAGCAGTACGAGAGGACATGATGCGAAATCGACTGTCATCATACTCGCTCAGCATAGATCCGTTCTCGCGAAACAATCCAGGACAACCGCCAACCGAAGGATTGCGGAGATCTTCTACATGCCGAATCCGTGACGAGGCGGACGACATGCCGCTGTCTCAACGTCGCGCAATGCTATACCAACAGACAGTCCCAAGCCCACTGCCGGCACATGCGCCCTACTCGACATCGAGACGGAGCCAAGGACACGGGCCATCCCCCACCAATACACCAGCAGCAATGGCCGCATGGCGAGAATCCGTTCAAGAAGACCTGAAGGATAAACGTAACCCTCTTGCCAAGCAGAACAACTCCATGGTCCCTCCAGGGCAGGATCGAAACCCACCCCCTTATAGTCAATCGCAAAGGCACTCAATCCATATCGGAAACGCGATTGCCGAAGGCATGCAGCGCGGGGACATGAGCGAATTGCATCGAGAAGCCATGCGACGGATGCAAGCCAAGGCAAACAAAAATGCGAGAGAGGCGTGAGACAGTACTGGTATTGTCGTCGACCAACAACCCCAACCGCAACACCCATTTGAGATATTATTCCGCTAGTATAGACCTCCCGAGGGCCCAGTCTACAAAAGGACAACAGATGTGTCTGGCTCATGCATGTCCGAAAAGCCTTTATGTATATCAACAGAGGGTCACTAATATCACTGACTAGGACCTATGTTCACATAAATAGTACAGCTAATTGTATCTGAATTCCAATTGTTTCGTCTTAGTACTATCTCTCAGCACGCCGGATATGTGTATGTATAGTTTCTTCTTCCCAATGTTATTTATTCTGGGTTTCCCTGAAAACAAAAAACCGAAACCCCCGCCCGCTTCCATTCCAGCTCCACAGCAATAAATATGTCTGAAACTTTATGTACTCTTTCTTGTCTGTCATGTCTGTCTGTTTGTCATGATGCAGAACATTCAATCAAATCCCCGCGCCAGCCAGCCACAAGTCCCAAGATCAACAAACTGTATGTTACTAAGCCAGACCAACAAGATAACCCCCCCCCCAAGAAGAAAAAAGCAAAAGCAAGTACATGAAAGCCCTCAAAAGCGCCGGTGCTGAATGCAAATGGTATAAACCGAATACCCAGAATCAATTCCCTCCTCCCTCCCCTTCATGGACCCGACGGACGCGAGAGAGAAAGATCAAATGATCATCAATGATGAAAAATTGGAAAGCAAAAAAAAAAAAAAGAGGTTAGGAGGAGCAGATGTATGTGAATTGAAAGATTCTAGTAAGAAGCGAATAGGAGGCGATCCGACCCTATCCTGTCACATGACTGCCTGGCTGGCTGGTTGATAGTCTTTAACGTGATTTTCGTTTCTTGTCAGGGGTGAAATCCAATGGTTTATACGCCAATCCCTTGGCTCCTGTCATACGGATCCGTTGCTCCGTTCGAGATAATGTACGACCGAGTCCGAGATCCTTATCTGGAGCGAGGGAGACCTCGTATCCGTTGACATATGATTGGGGTGATTGGCTTCTTGAATATGCAACCGACGGGGAGAGACTGGCTCCGGGGCTGAAAGACGAGCTTCGGGGTTCGTACGATGCAGACCAGCCGTCGAGGAGCTTGGGTCCGCTGCGTAGTGACTCGGCCGCTATGCGCGCTGCGGATAGAAGGAGCTCGTCCTCGTCCACTTGAATTGACTTTGGTGCCTCGGGCTTGGGTTCGACTGGCTTCCTAGAGGTCAAGGATTCGATCCGCTCTAGTATGGGGAGTTTCGGCAAAGGCTTTGTTGAAGCAGACGCTAGGGATTTCTTCTGCGGAATCTGTACTTCTGCCTTTGGCAATTTGTGCGACTTTGGTCCGCTTTCAACACGTGTGTGCTCTTCAGGTTCCTCGTGGACTCGTTTACGACCGGTCGATACGATCTCCCGCCGCTTGTCAGCAGCTTCCTTCAGCGCCGATAACCACGCAGTGCGGCGCGAATCGTCGAATGCTGAAACGATTCGTCAGTGATATGGCGGCCATATGGGAGGCAAGAGGATCAAGAGCTTACCGGTAGATGACTTCTCATCAGGAGTCTCAATGAGGATAGGTGTTTGTTTCGGTTCAACTTCATCCGGCTGAATTGATATCTTACCATCAGTGGGAGTCTCCACTGCACCCGGTTTCTGGGCAAATGAAAGTATAGGTTCCGCGGCGATATTACCGCTGTGGAGCGGTGTGTGATCTTTTTCGGCGGATGGCTCAAGAGGTTCTTTGTGTTCCACAGGAAGGGCAACATGGTCATCTAAGCGAACAGGTTGTTTCCCTTGGAACACTGAATTGCCAACTTGTGCTTGAGGCGCCGTGTCTGACTGCTCAATCGGCGCCGGTGCGAGGAACAGAGGAGCCGGTTCTGCATGACTATTAGGACCGAGTAATGCTACAGGGCTTCTGGAAGACATACCGGTTTTCTTCGGAGCTGATACTGACGCAAAGACAGATGTCGGCTTGGACGGGGTTGGCCCAAAAGGTTGTGGGGCTGCTTGAGGTTGTTGGGCAGGACTCTCAGCAGAGCCGGTGCTTTGTCCGGGAAAACTAAAGATGGATTTGGGTGGCCCCGATGTAAATGGTGCCTTAGCAGTAGCAAAGATGCTAGGAGCAGGCTGGCCAGCAGCTGGCACATTAGCTTGACCGGGATTGGCATCGAAAGAGAAATCGGAGGTGCTGGGTGGTGAGGTAGAGGTCGTGTTGGATTGGAAGGCGGTCGGAAACTTGAAGGGCGTAGGAGAAGGGAACAGAGGGGCGGTTTCTTTATTGTTGGACGTGACAGATTTGGGCGTAGTGGTGAAAATGGAAGTCGGTTGCTGATTAGCCGGCGGAGGAGTGGAAATCGTAGAGCTTTCCCCTCCTTGGGGGCTCTTTGACAGGGTAAATGGCGATGTGACAGACGAGAAAGGGTTCGGAGCCGCGGTTGCAGGAGCTGTATAGATACTGGCCGGGCTACTGGAGGGGAAAAGAGACGAAAATGTCTGGTCCTTTGTCTCGGACGGTGGTGGATTAGTCGGCAGCGGAGCAAAAGAGAAAGCTGGAGGACGATCAGGCTCCGTGGAGGCTGCCGGCTGCGAGAATCCCGCAAAGGCATTGCGAAGGCTGGAATCGGATGCCGGCGAATCGCGCGGGCTCTCGTCTTGCGACGGGGTCTCAGCCACTTGCATGTTGGATGACATATAGACATTCTCATCGTCGCTCACGAAAAGCGAGTCTTCGTTTGTGGGAGCGGGCAGCGCAGGAATGCGCTCGGACAGAGAAGATACATCGACCATTCCAAGATTTGCAGATTCTTTGATGTTGAGTCCGAGGATAATGGCTGCTAGCGTTCTCCCTGCCCGCTTCGACTCAACATGCTTCTCCGAAAATGAATGATCCGACGACGGCTGAAAGGCTGTGATTCAAAGGGTCAGTCGAGATTGAGTACCAGCTTGCGATAGAAATGCCCAACGGAGAGGTCGGCCATCTACTATCCAAAGCCAATTTGACACCAATTGATGCAAGGTCCGAAGCGAACACATTGTCGAGAGTGACACGTACCAATTGATTCAACGGGACGGCTGCCCCAGTCGAGATAGAGGTCGCCATTGGCATTCTCGGAGAACTTCAAATCCTGCTCCTCGCAGAACTGAACCGTCTGTTCATGATTGTCGAAGCAAAGAACCGTGGTGAACTCATCAACCGTCCATTCCTCATTCTTATGCTGTTGGGAAGCAGGATAACGACAATATCCTTTCCAGATACAACGAATGGCGGTCTGGCGCATATGATTGAAGTAGATCTCGGCAACACAGGCCATGAGGTATGATACACCTGGCGAGTCAATTATGTTGAAGAATCGCGCATAAAAGCCTTGTGCTATCGCGTTCGGTCGCTTCGAATCGAGCGTACCCTGGTATTCCCACGTATTACCAGCAGCAGCAAACAGTTCCAACGCTATTTGGACGCGCGGTGAGTTTCTCAGCTCGGCAGGCCACTTTTGGACCCGAGCTTCTAGATCAGGCCGCTGGTCATGGATGGAGAAGATGATATAGTAGGCCCGGAACTCGTCTTCGTTTGGGAACGTGACCCGGCCTCGGTTATCATCGTAGTAGTACATCAATGAGAGCATGGTGTTGTTTAACTGCTCACGCTCCTGGTGGCGATCGAATGGCTCATCATTCGCGGGGCTCGATAGCAAATGCAGGGACACAATATGGAATCGAGCAATCCTCTCTAGGCATGTTACTGCCATTTTCACATGATCCTCCTGGGTGAGCTGCTGCACGGAGAAGTCGTTGCGAATTGAGCGAGTTCGGTCCCATACGAATTTATGAATGAGCCCGAGAGGTTCGGGGCCATCAATGACGTGCCGTATCAGGTAATTCATGGTCTGAAGAAGCGTGTTCGGCGTTCGAATATCCGAGGGAAGCTGTTCGTCATAGCCGGCCGCAGACCGTCTGAATCGTTTGAGCATCTTCATTTCCATATTTTGTAGCGAATTTGTTGCCGGGTGCAGGAACTAATCGCATGGCATTAGCGCCAATGGCCGGAATAGATGGGCCGTAATAGAAAGTACCTTTTCACTTTTGTCGACCATCTTCTGAACTATACGTTCCACCCTTTCAAATTCAGGACACATGCTTGTACAAGTGCCCACAGGCGTGATAGCCTGGTTCAAAGACGTGGGCTGATTTGGATCTGCCATCTGTCCTTCCCTTATAGCCTTCTCACGCTGCTTCGTCCGGTCGAGCTTGAGCTGTTCGATTTATGAGTATCGATTGGCCTGCCCTCCACGAGGTATCCACTCTCGAGTATTTCAATCACAACTGACCTGTTCGTAGCGCTCGGTATAACTGCTGAGTAGCGAGATATCCTCCACAGGAATGCTGGATCCGGTTGCTCCAATCGACGGTTTGGGGGACGATACGCCGTGGAACCCGGTGAAGCTGTTGGCACCACCGGGCCCATCTGAGCTGGGGGCAGCAAATGGCGAAGGCGATGCTTTACCGAACCCTGTAAAAGGCGAACTCTGCTTCGAGACCTGACTAGCAAACGGCGACACAGTAGGGGCCATCTGTTTCGGCTGTGCAAAAGGCGAAGTAGTCGATCCGACAGGCCCTGGCTGCGAAGCCGACTTATTACGCCACGTATTGCTCGCTGGGCCGGCCCCTCTTCCCTGACCACGTCCGGCTCTTGTTGCCGACGAAGCACCTCGCCCTCGACCTCGAGGTTTGGTATCGCGGGGCGGATTCGTGTGTTTGGGTTGAAAAGGGCGATTAGATGATCCACCGCGTCCACGTCCTGCTGAACCGGCTGGCCCATCTTTCTGGCCGAGGCCGGCAAAGGGGTTTACTGGGCCGGCCATGTTGCCGTGGACAGCGGAGCCGTGGACGAAGCTGATTGTCTTTCACCGGTGTAAGATCCAGGCGTTCGGTGTTGTATCGCGTACGAAGTTCCAGGCGAGGATTGTTTGCGGTTAACGAGGGATTTCTGAAGTAAACGGCGTAGGTAGGAAGATCGTGGAACTAAAGAGCGCTGTCCCTTCAAAATCATTGGCACGCGCGTAACGAAAAAGTCAGCTTTGCGGAGATATCGCATGATACTACACCATGGTGATGAGATCATGCGTAGTGAGAACGTCAATGTGGGAGGGAGTGAAGGGGCGACAACCCAAAGCGATGACGCGCAGGGAGAGAATGACGATTGACGCAGTACCTATGTGTTTCTTATCTCGAGTCTAGTCGGTAGCAGTTGATGGATGACGGAACGGCTGCGGGCTGTACGAGCTCCTCGATTCTTCAACTCCACGGAGTGGGGGATGCCGAACTGGACAGGGAGGGTTGGCTTGGAGCACACGAGGGAATGTGACGCGCACAATTGTTGATGTCGTAAGCTTTAAAACGGGAGAAAAGAAGGACGGAGGGGACCAGATAGGATCTGCTGGTCTGGAAGCTGGGGGAGGAGAGGATGGCATGTCTTTGGCCGCAGCGCGAAGCTCCGATTCCGCGGCGGGATGCGTCAATGCATGCCAAGCCCTCCCAAGCGCAAGCGCCACTGCCGCGCGGCGGTGTGAATATTCCCTGGGATTACATGCATTTACCTTGACACTTCTACCTTTACACGTACAGTGGACAAAGGATGGGTTATAAGATGCTTAAGCAACCAGTGCAATTCTTTTAAAGGCCACATAATAACTTCACAAAGCGCTAGAACGCTGCTGTCACATACATTCCCTCCCTCCAACAGTTCAAGTCAACACAAAGAAGTATTTTATTTTCACCTTGAGCGCCCGTGCTTCCAAAGTCTATTAATCCACAAAAGATGAGAACCCCAAAACAAAATTATGCCTGAAATCGGTGAGGGGGGAGGTCACCCGCAGTATCGCTTTCACTGCCTCTTGTCCCCAAGCTTAACCAGGCATGCATAGTTGTCAACCAGATAGAGCGGTGCCAACTCCAGTGGGACCGAACATATATATACCCTGACAAACAACATGTATAAGAAGAAAATCCCGGGTAAAGGAGGCGGCCAGTCCAAAAATGAAAAAAGCAGGCGGCACGTCATCTCCTCACGATTGAACAAATGGATAAGCAGAAGAGTATAAGGTGAGAGAACAGATCGAAAATAACAAGCTCGTCATGGTCGTACGTATCGTTAGGGCCAAAAGGGTCAAGAGGGATTGGCAGATTCCCAATTGATCACTAGTGAGCAAAGTGTGGATGACTCAAGGACCCAGTGCGGAAGAGAGACCCCCTGGAGCTGGGTGGTTCCATATATGTGGTGGGAACCTGGTCATGAGACAGATCAGGAAGGCCGTCATCCTCGACATTCGAACCCATTCCCATGTGGTAGTGCACGTGCGATTGAGGGATGGCATGGCTGGTCGCGGACCCGTAACCAAGAGGGCTGAACAGATCTTGTCTAAAAGACGGCGTCGTCCAGGTATCAAATTGGCTGACGGAGTGTTGCATTGGCATCGCCGCCGGGCGGTGTTCCACGGTGCTGGCATCCGGAAAGGGCGCTTGGGTCAGAAAATCGAAAGAGGAATGTTGCTCAGTAGGTGTGGCCATTCCAGGTGTCGTGGGTGTCTCAACGAGAGCATTCGAATAGTCACCGTGATATTCACCGGATTGAGCGTAAAATGACCTGTCTTGCCCCGTTGGCTCTCCAAAGCTTAGAGATTCCGGCAAAGGGAAAAGCTGATCTCCTTCTCCTCCCATCGGCATATGGCGAGGCACTGGCATGTCAACAGGATCCAGGGTGAATGGCGCATGCACCTCCTCCACTGAGGGGGTTGGGGTTATGGCCACTTCCTCCAGGCCAGTTCGCTCTTCCGGCTCAATCTTTGGCTCAGGCTCCGCGACTGAGTCTGCATCCTTGTCACCCTTGGGGTGCGCCTCTCGGTCCATCACATAGACGATTGTTGAGGCATCTGATAAGGGGTTAGATTTTATACTCACACACCTTCCGTTTGAAAATCTAGAGGGTACTTACCGACTTCTCCCCGTTCGTATCTCTCCTCCAGTCTCCGCACCTTGAAGATCTCCTCAATGATCGCGAATTTCTCTTGTTCTTTCAGTTGTCTTCGACAGTCAAAGGCGATATCCAAAAGCTTGTCCGCGTTGATGTCATGTCTTTGAACTTTGCGCACGATATGAACCAACAGTTCGACTCTCTCTGTTGAAATTTGTAAACAATCATGTGTGCAAAACAAGACAAGTTGAAGCCACTTACCCTCCTTTTTGAGATGATCCGGCTCCCTGTGTACCACACCAGCAGGCCACCACTCAGGTTTCGTCTTTTCTGGATCACCTTTGGAACCGGGGGGCGCTCCGGGCTTAGGTCGGCCTCCGTTATAAGGGTGCTTCACTTGCTTGCGCGGCTCAATGGCCTTGATCCATGCCTTTGAAACAACGCGACAGTTGACCTGCTGAAAGTGTCTGAAGGAGATGGTGTAGTACTGAATCAATCGATCAATATCACCAATCTCAATCGGAATTCGGTTCGCTCCTGCACCAGACGGGGAAGCAGAGAAATCGGGTCGAGGGTTCTGGATGACCGGAACTGGATTCTGGGTGTGAAGTCTACGCCTCTTTCCCTGACGGTGGCAAGATGCGTCCTCAAAACGGTCATAGCTCAGCGCAGCTGGGTTGATGCCTATATTTTCTCCAAGTTAGACGATCGCTCCCCATGCTGACATTATGCGAGACAGGAGCGCTTACTCTGAAGGGTAGGCTTTTGATATCCAATCTTTGCGCCAAGGATCTCCAGGAAACTGTCGCGCACTTCGGAAGTGAAAATGGTCGCATGATGATTCTGAATTGAAGGAGACTCGGCCACCCTAAGCTTGCCCATGTTATCCACGTAGATCAGAGCATAGTGATCATAGGGTAGGTTGACTGATGTGCGCGAGGGAGGTAACATGGTCTTTGATCACAAGGGGTTAGCACATGAATTCTACATCAAGCCTCATTACTCACAGGAGCATTCTCCCAGCCAGCGCCATCGCTTTTCATTGAGGACAAGGGTCTCTTGCCGAGCCCTGTCCTCGGAAGAGGAGTGTTGAATACCATGATGATGTTAGGACAAAATGCTGAGAAACTTCAAAAGCTTGTATCGAGAGTGAAAAACCGTTGTGGATCAAACGGTTCTGGTTTCTGAGCACAAGTTCAAGGTCGAAGGAAAATCCCGGTTGTTCAAAGCATAACACTTTCAGAGTTGAATGTGAACAGTCTTTCGGTGATCGTGGACTGCTTCTGCTTTGTATGTGTATTCGAAGTCTTGCGAAAAGGGGATATCTCTATGGCGAAGATCCAGCGGACGGAGATAGGACGTGCTGCAATGCCACAAATTGGGGAACGATAGTGTACTGCCAACTTCCGCGGATCAGTTAATGGTTATATCTTTTCGAAAACCACCATTGATGCAGAAAAGTACATTGAGCTAAGGTGTCGGAAGGGATCCAACATGACCAGCAAACTCAAAGTCGGGGGGGTGATATCGGTGTGATATTCCAACCATACAGACGCTAGAAAGTATGGCACTATCACGCAAACATCCACCAAATCGAGAGAATCGGGAAAGGGTTGCATAACAAGCAGCTACTCACCTGGAAGCAAGAGCAAACACCTTTGGGTGATTGGCAATCGGTGACTCGAGGTGGTATAGGAGACCTTGCAAGGAAGCTGCTGGTAACCGAAGCTGGTGTACTAGATAGGAGATCGAGACCCGGTAGCCCGTGAGGAAAGGTGACACCAAAGTACTTCCGCCGTTGCGCCGGGATGGGAGTGGATCAGGGTGGTGACACAAAGATGTGGGTGTGGATGTATGTCAGGTGGCACAGACTTTCGAGTATATATACTGAGGGCCGAGTGAGATGTGAGGCAAGCAGGAGATGTGCAGGCCACAAATGGGTGAGAGGAGTGATGAGGAAAAGAGAAGTCAAGAATGGACAAAGGATCTGGATGCTCCAGGCCCTTAAGTATAGAGAGCGAGGAAGAAGAAGGGAAGGCCGCAGAGTGGACTTTTTGACTGGGGACGTCTCAGGTTCCCAGGTTCCCAGCCTACCCTGCTAGATAGCGACTGATGGATCGAGATTGCATCTACGACAAAAGAACCCAAACCCACTTGGTGGTCCCCTCTTCCTCGGGCTGTCATTCAATCCATCCCGATTTGGCCTTTCAGCAGCATGGATAATCCTTGAATGTATCAAGCCGAAACACTAACGGACAGCTACTAGAAAAGCATGGATACACACAATCTACCTACCCATCTGCCGCTGGGTGTTCTTGGTAAGGCCGTGCAGTAGTAGGGGCATTGTGGCCCTTCTTTTTTTGCTGAGGATTATCATTTTAGTATTTCCTAATTTAATTTTATCCTCCGCATATTTGATTTTCCCATTTAAGCGTTATAATATTTGATTTTAATTTTCGGGCGTGGGAAAAACTTTTTTCTTTTTATTATTATTATCATTTTTATTTTTATTAATTTTGGCCGAAAACAATTTTGCTTCCGTCCCACCTTACTACTACTAGATAGGAGGTACTACTAAGACGTACGGAGTACTTGCAATCGCGATGCTAAGTAAAGTACGTACTATATTCCGTAAAGTACCTTACTACTACTTACTATTTGTAGATCGACCACCCAGTCGGGGCTGTGGCAGCCCAGGGCTTTGTTCGGAGCGGGCCACTCAGAAAGAACCCGGTGGCGCATTGATAATTGATGACACTCCACAACCCCCAGGAGACCGAACAACTGTAGGTGCGACGGTGATTTGCTTCAGATTAGCTGGAGGTTCGTGCGAACTACTTCGTGGTCGTTGGAGACATCTCAGAATCCTAGGTAGTACTTACTACCACTGAATACCCGCCAGGTCTTCTCGAGCGGGTGGTGATCATTCAGGTTCGCTAGTGCCGGGGCAGCTGAGCGGGGGGGGGGGGGAGGGAGGGAGGGAGGAGGGGACTGGAGGGGGGGCTGACTTTCTTGTTACGAGCTCGTACCCATACTGAAAGTACAACCTCCCTAGAGCGGGAAAGGACAAAACCCTCATAATTTCTACAATTCCCATCCGATCTTTGATGCCTGCCAGTGTAAAACGGCCGGTGCTGGCAGAGGGAGAACTTACTTAGTTGGGCCACTAGCGTTGAAGTTGGTTCAGGAGCACTTTAACCGCCACTCAAGGGTAGAACGTCTACAAGCGACAGACAAAGCTGTGCCTACTGCCTACCGTAAGTACTTGCTTCAGGGATAGGCTTCCCGGGACGCCGATTCAGCGCGGGACTTTTGCACACCCAGGACCGCCATGATTGGTAGATCTCACACCCACCAAACTGGAACCGGTTTTCTATCCAGTGACACACTCTCCCGTCATTTCAGCCATGTACGAAGTATCTAGCTGACCCTCTGGCAACGCCTCTCCCTTTCTCATACCTCAACCAACCCCCCGGTTCTGGATGGATGACAATGACAGTGACAGTGACAGTGATTGGAATTGGTGCTATGAATTGTCCGTGCCAACGCAGTTACAGTTATTAGGATAGCGCAGTCGGCGCGAAGTGAAAGTCCATACCATACAGGCTAGAATTGGTCCTAAGTCACGAAAAGCCCCCTTAATTAACCTCGTTGAATGGCTTGCATGTTGGATGGCGAGACGTAGACCCAGAGATGCTCGGGACACACAAGAACCCGGTTACGCACAGGCCGCGCATATCGTCAGGGCCGTCCCACACAGCTCACGCTTGGGCCAGACAATGGAAAATCCCATGAAGCGCGGAGTACGGAGTATACTTGGGTGGTTCTGGATTTGGGAGTCCTCCACCACATCAAAGCATACATGTTACATGATACAGATGGACGAGACACACTCTCGTCCACGAAACAGTTATGGATACTAAATCCGGGTGTTCCATCAATCAGCGCCACGATCATCGGGGATACTTCTAGCAGCATCCGGATTCTACTGCCGACGTACATATGTATCATTCTACCTACGTTCATTCATGCGCAGATGAAACATATGTACACGACTGCTACGTATACTCCGTCTCGCGAGTGGTGATCCAATTCGGGCTCGCCGAGTCGCCGCCATTATCAGCTGATCGCCTCCTGCGCCTTAGTAAGGGTCCATACCACATCGAATGCGATGATAAGAAGGTTGTAAGACTGCTTGAGCACGAGGTCACATTCATTCCTAAGCTGGGTTGGGTACTGAAGCGCTAAAGCTCCCAGCATTCCTATATTGTCCCTTGTACTATAGCACAAAGGATATAGACATGGACGTAAGCTCATTCTTTGTATGTATGACATCCAACCTAGCAAACCAACACGGCATGACAGCTACAGCCGAGATACGGATAGATTACGCTGGAGAGATGTACTACTAAATTACGATAGACGAAATTCGCGAAGAACCAAGGGGCGGATCTGAGGAGATGTGCCCCGAATTAGTGGCTGTGGCAAGTGGGCCAATAGCAAGCCACGATACCACCCATACCACGAAGATCTACCAACTGGGAGAGTTTGGGCTTGCGCATGGCCCAAGGGACTGGAGACGGTAGATTTGGCGTTGACTTTTGGTAGTACATAGTAGAAGTAGATAGGCTGGAGCTTTCTCGGGCCGTGTGGATGTAAAACAGAATCTCGAACTATTGACGGGATCCCAAAGTACGTACGGCGTAGTCCCTTAGCAGGTGGAGAGTAGCGATGTATTTCTACCAAAGTGGCAGAGACCAATCTAACTATAACACCTAGTGGGCAATTAGCAATATCTTGTAGTGAATAATCTCCGATTGTTGGGGTAATGGGGATCGGAAAGACAGGAGAATTTGGAATTGTCCAGATCGCAAATTAATTCCGGACCACATAGGCACATAGGGCGGCGAATGCCTCCATCAGAGAGTATCTAGTAGTAGTATGCTAATCACTGTGCCTCTCTCAGTCTATCAAGCTATCGCTTACAGAGTACGGAGTATTCCGTGTACGATCAAGCCGTGGAGGACAACCAACCCCACCAGCACGACCTTAGTAACACGCCACTACTTTCCCCGACAAAGAAAGCAAAAAGCATAGGGTCACACAAAACATCTACTTCTTACTACTTCACGAAGTACATTAAGCTAAGGTTTGAGTTGCCCCGGGCTGATCCAACCCTCTATCTGCGACGACCCAGCCCCCAGGGACCTGAACCGTGGAATTGGCAACGATGATAAGAGGTCCCGGGATGGTGGCTTCACGTCCGATCCGCGTCCCAGAAATTCCCTTAGGGCGAATCCCAGATGAAACCCGCCCGAGACTTTAATCTTAGTGGTAGTGGAAGGGTACTTTTCACCGCGCTTCACATTGTGGTTCGTCTGTGCTCTTTCTATTCTCGGGAACCCGCAAAGTCAATGCTTTCATCCTTCTTGGCTAATCATGTCTAGTGCGGAGTATCTCTAGGCACTGGGCAGGTAGCATCGCTACAGTCGCTAGTACTACGGAGTACTAGACATCAATCAAACAAGTGTGTCGAATAGCACGGCTTCATCAAGCGAAAGTACCGTTTTCCCCAAAGGCGGTGTTTGTCTTGCTTTTACCTACCTCGGTTGGTCCTGACAAGGAACCTTGAAGGACGCCTTACCAGGATTATATGCGAGCAAAAGAACCATGTATGTATGTCAGGGACAAACAAATGCGGCATCCATCTTATCTCCTTGGCCATGGCAAACAACGGGCTTTCGGGGACCAACTGAGCAATGAGAGCCGGCAGCCGAGCTGGATACTCCGTCTCCGTGGAGAAAGGATCTTCACAGACCGGCCTGAATACTCAGTCATCTTGATAAGATAGAGTGAGTGACAGGAGACGAGTGCGCTGTCTAGCAAACTGCGAAACATCATGGCATCATCATCTCCGCAGGAGGCCCTCCGGATGACGAGGAACGGGCCCGGATCATCTCCGTCTGGCAATCACCCCTCATGCCTCATGCCTCATGCCCTGGAAAGTTGTCCGAGGTGCTCCGTGGTCCATAGGTACCCTCCTATAGTCGGCTCGACTGCCTGGCTAACACGTTCTTTCACTTCGAGGACTAAGACATCGTGGAACTAATCCCTGCCGGCGTGGTTCTCGGAAAGTGACCGCCAAGCGGGCAGGTGACCCCTTTCATTCCTCCTGACCGGCTGACCCGAGTCTAGACCGTTTAATAATACTAATAACGCCATCCCCGATTCCTGGCTGCTACTGCCGCTGCTTGATGATGGGCGCCGCGATGCGATGCCATCATCTTAAGTCGCAGTAGATGCTTTCGACGTTCGCAACGTGGCAGCGGTAATCGCACACGAGCCACGGAGCCTTGCATTGAACGGTGTGCTGCAACGGGCCATGGGGACAGACAGTCTCACCGCCACGATATCAACCCGGTTGTACTGCATATCGACTTGCCAATTACTCGTTCGAGGTGCAGGGTCTGGATTCGAGGATTTTGCCCGATGACAATTGGCATTATTCGGCGGTGTCAAACTCCCCCTCTCCCCATCGTTCCTTAGTATCAGGCTATCGGCGGCCTAATTCCCGCCCATGCCAGGAATAATAAGCCGCATTTACCGCTACGCAGGCCGGTGTCCCCGGCTAAGTCTTCGCTCTCTGCACCGAACAGAAAATGGAAGTGCCTAAGGTAGGTACTAAGTAGTTACCATCCAGACGGGGTAGATCCTCCAGTCCCGATCTTTGGGCCGGCTAGAGTAGATTGACCGCGGATGATGGAGGGCAATGTGACGACAGCAGTGGGGGCAAGAGAGGGGCAGGGGAGATTAAACGTGAGATCAGCACCGCTAATTGGCCCGCGGGGGACCTGTCAGACCTCGGAAATCCCCTACCCTGTTTGGCCCGTCATCCAGTCAGCGTTCAGCTGCCAATGCCTCGGATGTGGATGGAGCACACCATGTCCGCATCCGTCGTAGACGGGGGGCTAAGTAGATTAACCTAGGACTAGCCTGTCTGTGTCTGTCTGAAATCTGAATATTGAAGTTCTTCCATTATTGGGATTGGATTTTGGACATCGGTTGCACATCCTCGGAGATTTTCACGATCGGTGCTCGTCTAGATAGTAGATATCATATCTAGCTCAAAGGGTTCCTGAAGCTAAGATGATGGTAACTACGACTACTACTTAGTCTGTCGGCGACCTCCTCAACGCTGTATAGCTTGATCAAAGCGGTCCACCCACGAGCCCTACCGCGTCCAATGCCCTCCCGCATCTACACACAGTCCTGTGTAGTATTTCGCATGATCATCATGACCTGCGGCATCTGTTTTCCGACGGGATAAATTTAGGGCCATTTTGATGGACTGTGCGGTGGGTCACAACCACCTGAAGAGTCGATACCATCACCACGATCATATCTAATACTTACATACTCCATACATATGATACCTAATGTGTGTCGGACCGGTATACATAAATCAATATGTAGGTGTACCTATGGTCTCATGACAACATCATCACCATCATCGGTCTGCAATGCAAGGATGATACTACTGCTTGAACCAAAGATAAACGAACAATGCTACGCTACGTCATTATGATAAGCCTACCACCAAAAAACAACTAACCAACCTAACCTACTTGATGACATTCCTCAGTGAGGTATCTATCTAGTAGCGAGGGGCAGCCACGCCGGGCAAAGGAAGAGGCGAAAGCAACCTACCTGCCCACTTAGTGTCTTGGGGCTAGGACCCATCATTGAGGTTTTGGGATCCGGCTAATACCGCCTAAGGGGTTAGGTCGGTATCCCCCCCCCCGAACCCGTACTTTGTCACTGTCAGTGTCAGTGTCAGCAGGTTAGTAATTCCTTAGGTTTGTTCAAAAAAGGTCCCTGGTGGTCCCCTAGTTGATTTGATTTGATCGCATTTCCTACCGAGAAAAGCTATTACTCATCCCCTACCCTACACTACACAGTGAAATACCACAAACCTGAGCTACATACTACCTACTACCTAGATATGGTGAAAATACGGATACTGGCCATCCATCCATTCACAGGGGCGAGGGCGCGGCCCGGGGAGAGCGGATCGAATGTCCCAGCGCTTGTCATGAAAAAAAAAAAGAAAAGAGAAGCAACTACCACCTACACGGATCGTCCAGGGTGGGAGAGTCCGTGACACACTGACAACAACAGTACTCTGTACACTGTACTGGGTATTGACAGCGACTACTACTACATACCTAGGGAAACTACGTACCTACGCGTTGTCGCTTGTCAGCAATAAAAACAATCAGCCCAAGGTATGTATGTAGGTCGGTCACGTCGGTCCAGACTCCACTCACTCGATCGGATCGAACACCCCGCTCTGACGACTGGCGCTCAGTGCCTGCCAGTGGCTTTTCCCTCCGCCTCCCTGTTCGAAAGATCGTGGGTGATTATTGGAGGTTCGTCTACCCATCGTTCCGGATCATCCAAGAACCGATCGTGCTTTTTAATTTCTGGGACGGGGGGCGGGGGGCGTTTTCTTTCGTGTTTATATATAGATTAATCGGTAGATATGTATGTATACATGTCTCTCAATATCAAAACTGATGCATACTATCGTCGGGAAGTACGAGGCGTTTTGCTGTCAAGACGTTGGGAGGCTAGATGGATGGAAAGTACGCCGTCGTGTCGTGTCGTCTGAGTCGCGTCCCGGGAACCAACCTTAACTATTCACTTTTTCTCAGGGACGGTTGTGTTCCGTGGGCCAGGTAGATGGGATGGGATGGGATGGGATGGGATGGGATCCTTGCTGCGCTTCCCACGGCCTGAGCGTCGACCCCCGTGATTTCGGAGCGGTTGGAAGTAGATAGTCCATATGACAGGCGATAATTCATGACGTAGCGATCGATGTTTCAGAGACATAGTATTGCCATCAGGTTATTACCATCTGTACGAGGTATCATTGCGGCGTAGTATAGTATATGGGGTATACTTTGGGCACTGTCAGAATAGCCGCGTACAAGTCTTGGGCGTAGTCGCAGGTTCCTTCCTTTTCCAGTGGCTTCCCTTTCCTGACTCAACAACTTGGTATCTAGTATCTACAGTAGATTCAATTCGAAAAACAACGTTCCATCTCCACGACATCAGGCGCGCTGCACTCTCGTACGAGTGTTACAGCTAAAAGGGTGGCAAGTAGGACCACCCTGCGATGATCGAAAGATCGCAATGTCAACGCAATTTCCTTGCAGGTGGGCAATGGTGACAGTGGGGGAGAGACTTACTCGCAGTTGATGCCTCATAGATCGTCATGTTGAGGGCCTGTCTCCCGACCGGGCCGAGCCTCTGCAGAACACTGCATGGGGATAAGTTGTCTGGAGATGGAGATAATGACGATTTTATCACGGGAAGGCCCGACCAGATCGATACGTTGGGGATGCGTTATGCTGTACTACAACACTACTGTATGTCTATGGAAGGAAAAAGGAAAAAGGAAAACGGGAAAGTGGGTGCAAGAAGACGTTAGATGGAATATTTTCCGACCAGTATTCACGGACTTCAGGGCTGGGGGATCTGAGTCTGGAAAAGGCAAAGTGTTGCCCTAGACAACAACCCTATACGCATGTGGGGTACGTCCAGCAGGCCATAATCATCATCGCAGTCACTGCAGCAGGGTTTCAGCTCCGGGGCGCGCCGCCGCCGCCGCCAGGTTCATATGGCAACGAGAAGGAGAATAACAATCTTCACCCGCCACGGTCATCTGAAGTCCGATAATCCCGTGCACAGGTTCGATTTGCGTGCTCCTGGACCATGGCTGGAGTATTGACCTGCCTACCTGGGTTTAGTCATGGCGTGTACAACTCATCGTTCAAGGTTGCGGGTATATGCCGGAAGACCCTTCAGAACCATGGAACCGTCGGCATAGTCGCTTGAACTATATCATAGCTCCTCCACGGCCGAGATACGTCCTGTTGCTACTACCGATCTAAGTAACTAGATGTCATGGGCTCGATGTCATCTGGGGCTCCTCATGCCGGAAAGGAACAGGTGCAGAGCAGTAGACGGTCATGGAACTACCATGATCCCAGTCTTTTCCCCACAGAACAACGTCCAGCAGAACCGGCGCTCTTGACGAGTCGTTTTGCCAGGTTAATCATCCGGGTTTCTGTGGGCACTGGCTACCAGCCACACACCCCTCTCTCCCATTGGGGGAAAAAACTCGCCGATTGGGTTTCTCGATGCGATTTAGCGATACGGCCGGTGTCTGCAAGTCTCCATGAGGCGCACGCCATGTGTTGGGCGCCACCGTGAAAGAAATCTGATTTGACTTTAGATATTTCGTGTTTCAGAAGGGGGGGTTGAAGAGACCCTTCTGGCTGGAGGTAATTGGCAGGGCCATTTACCCAACCACTCCAGCGCGGATGGATTCTCCAATGACTCGCGTGGGCGGGAGGGCCATCTGCAGCCGTTCATTAGCCCCGAACCTATGTTACTCAGGGGATCCCTGTCCCAGGCTGATGAGTGGCCGAGACGTCAACATGGTTTTCCGGGTTGTGGGCCGTGCTGCAGCCCTCATGCTGCACTGACTTACAGCCTACCCACTCAGTGCTCGCGGAGTGGGGGGTTCCGGGTACCCAGAATGCTCAGAATCATCCTGATGGATTCGATCCAAGAATGGCCTGCGCATGAGGGGCCAATCATGCGGGTCGGAGTGGGCAATCTGGTAGGGATGACCCAGGTAACTGGATGCACGGTGGGTGTTGCTGATCATGGATATCACACCTGGCCTTTGGCATCGCAACTGTACGGGGCCCGAAACGGACTTTACACCACAACGACAACGTACATCTGTACAGAGTACGAATCTGCGATCATCTGCTGCTTCGGATTTGTCCCTATCGGCGCCGCAACGTCAAACCCCACAGCTCTGGCCCCGATCATGTCCTGGCAATCAAAAGCAGCAGGGATGTTCGACCTGAGGCATTCGGGCCAGGTCTGGAACAAACCACTGCCGCATCATCTGATTCCCAACCAGAGCCCACTATTGACAAATGCCCCTCGTCTGGGTGATGTTGACATAGAGAGTACGTAAGTACGGACTTCCATAACTATTCTCTTTCTTGCCCCCCCGATCGACCGCGTACGGGCTGCTGGAAAAAGATTCCCTGGGGACGGGATTCGCACATCTCCGATCGAGACCACCAATCTGCGCAGGGATTATAGTACGTTTCCCTGTCGGCTCGCCCACTAACTCGCTTTTGTTCGGAGCTACGCCGCCGGGAGGTACGGCCTATCAGTATTGCGACACCACCGCCATCAACCAACAATCGATCGCTGGAACTTGACCGACTATTTCGGGAGCGGTTGCCTCCGGATATTGAATCCGCATAGACCATGCCCCGCTATGAGGGGTGGAGGATGCCATTCATCCATTTATCCATCCATCCTAGTGACAAAACCCAGAAGGCAGAAAAGATGATGTATTAGAAATCAAGGAAGGGCGCCAAAACGCCAGGGAAGAAGAGCATGGGCTAAATCCTTCCGGGCATATAGCTAAGACATGTACTTCATTCCTCCCAATGCTTGATTTCTACCCAAGCTAATGACCTGGATTGTTTGCTTCTAGTCACGACTAGTGATCTGTTCATGTACATAGCATCGCCGACCTACTAATATCGGTTTGTTTGTGGTTGTTGAGCACAAACAACCACCAAACGCCGAAGCAATGGCATGACAGAAACCTGGGTAGATCCGGCGACTGTTCGGCCGTCAGTTCCTGCTTGACGCCTGTTTCAGATTGCCCTTTGTGCCCAGTGATTATCAGTCCAGGGGGGAGGGGAACGGGCGGATCAGGTTCCTGAGCTGGAGACCGGGAGGTTGATCCACAGGGTTTCCTGGGACCCAAAGTCCTATGCAGGCCCAAACACCGGGGTTCCTGGTGTAGCAGGGGGATTGACAGGATTGTTGTGCGGCAGGATGGCTGTGGCGGGCGTTGTGGGCAATCTGGGTCCGCCTTTGTTTGTTTTGAAGGACACACAGCGTCGCGGGCGTAATTGCGACGCCTTAGTAGTCGGTATTATTGTGGTGTACCTAACTAAGTTGTGTGTAGGTAGGCGTAGACTGGCTGAGCCGGAGATATTGCTCAGTTAGGCAACGGGCACCCGGTCAGGGGATTGGGATTGGGGGATCTGCAAGACCGCGCAGGCTAATCTTTCTTTGATTCAGCTAAGGAGAAATGTCTAATTGACGACTTGACTAGGTAGTAGGTAGTAGTACGTAGGTATAATAGTGGTTATTATGTGCCATCTGGATGCTTTACGTAGAGTGACCGAGATGGGCCGAGATGTGTACATAAGTACAATTACTATGCCTCCTGAAAGGCACCCCGTACTCGTATATATCTAGTACAGATGAAAGTAACCCTAAGCGAAGCCCCAAACCCTGAATAGGGCAATTCAGTGGCTGTCATGGACTAAACCGGGAAAGGCTGGGCGGCCAATCCCGCGGGGCCGACGGACAAATCGGCCGCGGCCAGCTGTCACTCTTTCTCCTTCCTTCGGCCTCGCGGTGGATTTCCCCTGGTAGGGATATCCTGGACAATGAGATTGTCGGGCCCCTCTCTTTCGTCGTTGACAGTCCCTGCAGAGGGCAAAGAGTCCAGAATGTTCATGATGGATCGCCTGGACAGCTGGACTCGTCGGGACTGCCGTCCACCGACCCAACTGGATCCATGGTTGACGACTCGGGGAAGTGTCGGAAGCTCCATAGTTAACGGCCTGAGCGTTGAGCATTGTCACCGTCAACAATAATGAGAGCATGGATAATCCCGTACTTGCTATATTTACTTGGGGACAGCCTCGGATCCTCCCCTCAGGCACCCCTCATAACTCCTAACTGCCATCATGGGCGCTCAGTTAATATATCAATGATCCTTCGGTAGCTATCTTATGGTTATTTTTATTTTATCTTTTTTTTTTCGCATCCCCCTGATCCCATGTATCGCTATCAATTCCTTTCTTCCTATCGGTATCTTCATCCCCATCCCCATCCGCCTCATCGCTTAACTGACTAGTTCTTCCACTGACTTTCCGCTAACTCCAATCCACGAACAATAGACAGACACCGGCCGTCGCCACACCCACATCCACCCCCCCTGGCGCCATCTCCAGTCGATCGTCTCAACGAAGGATGGAACTCCTTCCCATTTGAGGCGAAAGTCAAGACGAATAGCCCAACCCATCCCATGCACGCCGCTCAAAGCGGCCATCTAGTGGATCGCAGAATCCCCGATCCCTCGACCCGACGACCAGGTCAAGCAGACTTGGTCCATGCACAACATCTCAGATCCGCCTCGTCTATCGCTCTTCGTCAGGTTCTATCTCGCGTCCAGCTTCACATTCATTGGCGAAGCCCCGGAATAAAATGCCGTGCCGCCCACCTTGATTCTTCCCAGATCTGCGAATGCTCCGCGAAGGTTTCAGACAAGAGATAGGCTTTGGTAGTATGGTTTCCGGAGGTTTCTTCCGCTGATATACCTACACCTATCTACCCATAACCCAAGAAGGGAAGACTAGCCACGATATCACCTACTAGTCTTCAGTACAATGGTTTGCTGTCCCCTTTTTTTCTACGCTGAATGACTAGATCAGGTAGCAGATCAAATCATGACGCCATTGACGCCCCGCGACGCAAGGGAGAGTAACTTTATTCGTTCGGCTTATCGTAACGATCGCAGATACTGTACCCATGTAGGTAGGAATCCCGTACCAAATGCCGATGACTCCCTCCGTAAGTAGTAATCTGCTCTCCGGCATAAAGTCCCGGTCCACGGCCAAGCCTCTTCAGCATTATTGCCTCTGTATAAGGAAAGACAAGGACTGTCGGTGGCGGGGTACACGACCTGCCATGCTTCCACGTCAGTACTTACTTAGAAAACTAGAACCATCTCCAAGCGCCAATTAAGCGCCGCCACCAAACCTGGCGGTCATCTTCCGGCTAAAAGGCATCTGTGGCAGTGCAAAGTGCAACCAAACCCCGACAGCCAACCAGCCAACTAGCCAACCAAGTGCAACCCCTCATTCTTTTCCCCCTCCAGGTCCTTGGACTGCCAGGGAAGATGGGAGTGATTCCAAGTACATACCTTCTTTTCATCTCACCGCCAGTTCAGAAACCCCTCATTTCTTGCGCCGTTATCGTCATTGTCACTTCGCTTGCTTCTGTGAGGACAATGGCTGCGTGCTGCAGAGGGCTTATCGGTGGTCACTGTCACTATCTAATTGCCGTTAGGGATTTCAGAGTTGGGCCACCGTTGCATATCTTTGATGCAAGTCTTTCATCCTTCTATATGTCCATGGCTTCACCGACAAGGTGGTTATTTACAGGGGTGTAGGTTTACTCTCTGTGGAATAAAATAGTAATGTATTTTCAGAGAAGGTTATGTGTTCTAGAAGGTACTCTTATCGAGAGGAACACGAGGGAGTAGTAATTGTATCCACCTTGCTTACCATTGTCACCATCTTGACTTATATATATATATATATAATATGATAATAAGTATGAACATCTCAACCCACCATCATCAAAGCCACGCACAATAACCTCACCACGAGATCCAAGTACCTTCATCGACAGATACCAAGATCCCAAACTCTATCAACACCAGCAATCTGTAGTCTCGTATATCTGGCCATAATGCTACCCTGCAATCCATCCATCCATCTATCCTATACAAAAAGCCTAAACACACACACACACACCTACTTCTTATAAGAATGAGACCACCACCACTAACCCAAACCCATCTATCTCATCTAAACAAGAAGTAATCCAAAGCCCGTACTTCTAACCATTCATCCAGACAGAGATCCTAACCCATACAATACGAAATCAATCTACTACTTTACTACTTACTTACCTTACTACTATCCCATTTCAACATATCATACAATATCGAATAATTAACCTCAATAAACATAACATACCTAACATACCTAACCAAAGTACATACACAAGATCCATACATACACACATAACTAACCGCCCATCTTCCATCATTTCATTAGGTACCTACCTATCTAGGTAATAATACATACATACCACCCTCCAAATAACCCAACCCCCGAACCAATCCCCCCCAATAATTTAATATCCAATAATCAATATCCAAACATAACAATAAATACCAACAAGTTTAAAACCCTACTATAATCCCGCATCATACCTACATACTATACCCCCCCCCCCCTACCCTCAATATAATTAAATCAAGGTACATATTAACCATTAACCACCAACCCCGAGTAATATAGCCCCCCCCCATCGCGGCAATCAGTCAGCAGACAGGCTCGCCTCGCCCAGCGACAGTTGTTCGTGGCGCGCTGATGCATGCATGCCATGCAATGCAAGCTGCAGAGTCCGGGTCTGTCTGGCAGGTGCTTTCTCTACACCGCTACTATTGTTGATGATGGTTGCTGCCCTCGCGGTTTGGCGCCAGGGAAAAGTATTTTTTCTTCTCACTTTTTTGGTGGTTCGGATGAAGGGAGGGGATTGTGAAACAGAATCTAGGACAAACAAACAATCTTGATTAAATGAGTACAATATTCATGTGATGTACATAATAACTGAACTACGCAAACAAAAGTGTATCATCAAAAACGCCCAATAGTATATATAAATGTGTGTGCGTGCGTATATCCCAGAAAGATCATACTTTTTTTAGTCACAAAAAGACCCAACAGACTTTCGCTTTCTAGACCCCAACAGAGACAAAATACCTCCGAGCAATCCGGGATTGCTAATCACTCCTCGTATGATCCAAGGCCGAATCGAAGTCCCCGTTCCTGCTGTCGATACCGACACCCCTCCCCCCCTTTTTTTTTCTCCTCCCATTGCTTCCCAATCAGACGCGCACAGACTAGCCATGGACCCCCATGCAGCACACAAACAATAGCTCTGTCTATGTACCAAGAACAGACTAAGCGGAGTCCCTTGTCCACGGGTTCTCATTCTTACCGGTGCCTAGTAGTAGTGACTTATGTCGGAGGCGAGGGATCGGCCTGAAACCATACCAGTTATCTTATCCTCCCAGCCACCCAGGAAGCGCCATGTTCGTCATACGCGCTAGGATTGTTGCGTAGGTCCAGGCCCGTCGCTGCTGTCAAGGAGTCCGGCCTCCTTGACCAGGTCATAGAACCGGCCCTCGCGCTTGATCAGCTCCGCAGGCGTGTCGAACTCGACCACTCGGCCCTTGTCGAGCACCACGATTCGATCAGAGTCGATGATGGTGTTGATACGATGCGCAATGGTAATGATCGTGCGGTCTTGGAAGATGCTGCTGCGCAACGTGCGTTGTAACAATGCGTCCGTTTCCACATCCACTGCAGCCTAATGCCAACTGTAAGTCCGGGGGCCAAAAGAAAAATAGGGGTAAGGAAAACTGCAACAGGATTGGCCACGTACCGTTGCCTCGTCCAGCACCAGAATATTACTAGGCGTCAACAGCGCCCGCGCAAGAGAAATCAGCTGGCGCTGCCCTTGACTGAGGTTGGACCCTGTCATGACTAGGTTAATCCTCATCCCCAATGATGTAAAGAAACGCGCGCAGAATGCACGCGAGAGAGGCCAAAATCAGCCACATGCTTACCTCCTTCCTGAATTTGGGCATCCAACTGACCGTCCATTTGCGCGACGTGATCTTTAAGTCGCGCATGTTCTGCAGAATAACAGGTCAGTCCACCATGCTTAGCCTTCGTATGCAATGTAGCCCAACGTACCAAGAACGCTCCAGAGTTCCGTGTCATCGTGCGCATGTCGTGGGTCCAGATTATCCCGGACACTTCCCTCAAACATGGCCGGATCCTGAGGGATGATGGCCAGGCGGCCCCGCAGGTCAAACAGGCCAATCGTCGACACGTTCAGCCCGTCGATGCTACACGCGACATTAGTTTTTCTTCTTTTTCTTTCTTTTTTTTTTCGCCTTGATAAAATGACGTCGGGCAGCAGTCCTTACCTGATGTTGCCTCCATCCGGTTCGATAATGCGGAAGAGTGCAAGAGTCAGCGAACTCTTGCCTGCACCTGTCCGGCCAACCACCCCGATCTTCTCGTGGGGCTTGATATCAAGATTGATATCCTTGAGCACCAGATCAAGCCCCGGGCGGTAACGTGTGCTGTAGTTGTTGAAGGATACCGCGCCTTGCGCCGGCCAGCCAATGGCAGGCCGGTGCTTGAAGATCACCTCCGGTGCCTCGCTGGGCAGGCTTGCGTACTCTAGGACACGCTCGACCGACACGATGTTTGTCTCAACCTCGACCGTTTGTCGGACGATCCAGTTCAGGGATTGGGTGATCTGGAGAGCGTAGGACATGGCTAGACCAACCATGCCAGCAGAGAGCCCACTGCCGGTCGTTACGGAAAGGATGGAAAGTACTGCAGAGGCCAGGATAATAACGGAGCCAATGAACTCAAGGCGCACAGCCAGCCATCTGTTGGCACTGATGGACGGGAAGTATGCACGCACATTCGCATCCATACGCCACTCGTTCTCCAACGTGAATCGCTCCTCTTGTTTATACGCCCGAATGGTCGATATTCCGCCCAAAGACTCCTGGAAATGGGCGTAAATGGGACTCCGAGTAACGCTGTCCAAGCGCTTCAGTTCACGGGATGTGCGGAGATAGTACTTCTGGTAGCTGAAGTATACATAGCTCAATGGAATCACCAGGAGAAGAAAGGCCGGGGTCGAGGAAGCGATGACAATCATTGTGAACATTGCTTTGGCAGAGTTGCCGAACAGCTATTGCCAGGGGTTAGCGACTTTGTCTGAGGAGGGTAGCATCCTAAACTCACCATATTGAATGTCCGTGCAAGCACCTCGTCAATACGATATATGTCACTGAGGAAGCATAGGTCAGCATTGAATAACCCACATCCCCGAGTCTCAAGAAAGATCCGGCAGTAGAAACAGTAATGAAAGACGAACCTGGAGAAGCGATTGAGGATTCGACCCGATGGGGTAGTCTCGAAGAAACTCATAGGGGAACGGAAGATCGCAAATGCCATGCGTTCATGGAGTTTGCGAGAGGCCTGATGCAGTGTTAGACAATCAATCTGGTATACTCAAGTCGAGGAGACCAAGCATACCTCAATAGAGCAGAAGATCCACAAGATCAGATTTTGAAGAATAACCAGAAGGGATGAACCCAGGCCGAACGCCAAGTAGATACCGATATATTTACCGACAGCGAGATTTGGGTTTGCTTCGGTGGCCTCGGACCAGTGCTTGAGCCAGAAACTGCCAGCAACTTGCGCGGTCTGAGATCCCAGAAGGGCAACGAGGTAGAAGCAAACAGCAACGATGTTGCTATTCTTGGCGTACTCGCCGTAGACACTCCATTTGACTTTACCTTGCTGGGATGTCTCCTGGGTTTGCTTGCTCTTCAGCACATTCTCCTCATCCCCTAGCTTGCGCCTGGGGCCCTTCCAACTAGCAGCGCTAGCGCGTCGTAGAGTCACGGTGCTTGTTCTTCTTCCAGTTGCAGCAGCCCTGATGGGAGCAAGGGCGCCGATTTCCTGCTCAGCATCCTCTGGATCCGAGTCCGAGTCAGCATTATCGATCACCGTGACGGATTCCGAGCTCTCAGGGCTAGCCAGATCACGGCTATCGCTGCCGGAATCTTCATCGTCTGAATCATTCATGGTAGTGCGAACAAGGTTAGCGACTTCACCCTTCATAGCCAGCAACTGCTCATAGGTTCCCTTCTCGATCAGGGTTTTGTTCCGGAGCAAGCCGATGAAATCCGCCTCTTTCAAAACAGGGATGGCATTTGTCGCAAGGATTCTGGTCTTGCTGCTGAGAATACCGTTTCGACCAAGGACTCGGTTGATAAGATGTCTTCCCACATGCTGATCGACTGCAGAGAGAACATCGTCGAGCAGATAGATATCCGCACGAGCGTAGACAGCTCTAGCGAGGGTCAACCGAGCCTTTTGTCCTCCAGATAGTGAGATTCCTCTTTCACCAACTTCAGTTTGATCACCATCAGGCAAGTTCTTGAAGTCGTCCAGCAAAGCACATGCCTCTACCGTGAGATCGTAGAACTGAGGGTCCCACCGATGGCCAAAGACAATGTTCTCACGGACACTGGCGTTCATAACCCAGGGCGCTTGGGCAACATAAGCAATGCGGCCTCGGACAACAACTTCACCCTCAGTCCTCCACAAATCACCCAGCAGGGCTTGGAGCAGAGAAGATTTGCCAGCGCCAACTCTGCCTACGATGCAGCTGAGCTCGCCCTTGCGGGCGCTGAAATCGATATTCTCGATTACGTGCGTTCCATCGTATCGGTTCCATGTGAACGATGCATCCTGAATCCTCACAGATTCATCGCCAATGTGGGTCACTGTATCCTCGAACTTGACAGCGTCGGTCTGCAGTTCCTCTGCGGTGAAGTAGTCCGTCAGACGCTTGACAGCCACCGAGGCCTCGATGACAGCCGTGATAACCATTGGGAGAATAGAAAGTGGAAAAGTGAGAAGGTTGAAGAGTGTCAAGGCCGGGAACACCACGTCGGTGGTCAGAGGCCTGTCTTGCGTCAGGGCGTAGACAGTGAACGTGGAGCAAGAAACAAGGAACGGGGTGGATTGCCAGGTAAAGTTCGCAACCGACTGTGTCGCACCGATCTTGCGGAGTGTGTTCAATTCCAGATCATTGCGAATGTGGCTGAGCTTGTTCATGAAAGCCGTGTTCCACGCATAGAGTTTGATACTCTTGATGTTGTTCAGGATCTCCGTCATCAATCTTGATCTCGAGTCCTTGTTCTTCATCTGAACAAGCTGGAGCTTCTTCATCATACGAGCGATCACTCCATTAAGTGGGATCATGAGAATCATCATACCGATTCCAGCAAACATGCTGTATCCGACGAGCTGATAGAGCGATAGCATGCAGAGGGTAATCTGGAACGGTGCGGACCAAAGCTGGATACCGAACTGGGTCAGATCGGACAAACGCTGTTGATCGACCGCCATATGATTGACAATGTCTCCAGTTGTCTTCGTTGAACGGCCCTCGCTGGAGAGCTTCAGAGACTTGGCATAAATCATACCAGTCAAGGCAGATTTGACGCGCATGCCAGTGTCAAAAGCTCGTTGGAAATACTGGTGGAGACACATTGTCTGTGTTATCGACACAAGGAACATTCCAAGCGCGATGGCCACACCCCGAATGACTGGCTGAGGCTCGTCGGTCCGGTAAGAGTTGATGAAGGTGATCAGCAGACGCAGAAGCTGTGGCTGCACGAAGGCCAAGCTGTCGCTTCCGCATTTGATGATTCCACCGCGCAAGAACGAACCACCGAATGACTTAATTAGCGCCAGTGACAGGGACGGCTTGCTCTTTTGCAGCTCATCGTCCCAATACCCCTTCAACGTCGATCCAGTAGCGCTAGTTGTATCGCGACGGCGCAGGTTCCAGAGATCGTCTTGGGTCAAGAAATTGCTGTAGCCAAACTTCATCATCGGGGTCATCCAGCTAAACGTAAGGACCGAGAATATGTCTGCGTATTCATATGGACATTCATCCTCGTCGCCCAACGCATCGTAGTCACTTTGCTTCTTGGGAACCAAGTATTCTAGAGCGAATTCCAGTAGCGCCAGCCCAAGGCTCACGTCGAAAGAAACAAAGTAAGGAAGATGATCCTCGTATGCCTTCCGTGCAACAAGCGACCGCAATTTGACCCCGTAGGCGATGGTGAAGAAGAGCCAGTAGAAGAGTACGACGCCGTTGGGCTGCCTGCTGCGCCAGTGTTCATAGTATTGAACCGCAAAGATCACGCATAAAGAGGCGAGAACAAGGACTGAGCTCCAGAACCGAAAGTCATTAAACCAGATATCCGGGGAGGATTCGATCTGAATCGCTGCCTGTAGGGCAGTGGTGAAGATCAAAGCGGACAAGACGACCTACTCACCGGAGCAAAACACTGGTCAGTCCGAAGAAAGGGCGGAGATATAAAGGGGTACATGTCTTACCAGTTTGGTGTAGAAATGCCAGTTCTTTGACACCGGCTGAGGGATTCGCTTTTTGAGCAAGTACCACAGGGCGCCTGCTCCCATAAGCAGACCCCATGCTGCAACGATGGCGACTCCAGCATCCAGAAAACAAGGTGTCAAATCGAATCTGAACTCACTGAGCGGTCCCCAGCCCTCAACGTCGCCGCAGAAGGGTTGCAACTTGGGGGACTGGAATGCTGTGTTCGGGTTTGACGATAGCAGGGATCCGGGGCTGGAATCCCCCAGGAACGTTTGGGAACTGCCTTCCAGCATTTTCCCCGAGTGAAAGTATCCCAACCACTAGACTTGCTCGTCCTTTCGGACATGCAACGGGGAAGGGAGGAAGCAGCGAAAAGCCCCGAGGTTGTCTTTTTCACGCAAGGAAGGATTGCGATCGTGAAGGAAGAACGTTTCTTCGAGAGCGATAACCACGGAGAACTACTGATTCGTTAGTGAGCTGCACGCTGCTTACTAAAAGGCCACGGCCCAAGCTTTGCGGAAACAATACTTCGTCGTACAAGGGCGTTACCGTTCTGTCCGAGCTGATAAGTGCGCGCCCCCCTTTTCCTTTTCCACGGCTCTATCGACTGGCTTTAGTGCTTAGTGCTTAGACCAGCTTAGGTACTTTTTGCTAGAGACCCAGAGCTCAACTTATTAAAGGGAGAGTTCTTGTGGGCTTAGGCTGACCGACGGAGTCACAGAATGTCGGTCAGATTGGAGCGTTGCATCGCTCCTCTGTACTCCGGGCTCCGTACCTTGCCTGGCCGTTCCAGATGGGTTCTCCGAGCGTATGACATAATTCATTCTCTCCCTCGTGGTAGAGGCTCTTGGCAAGGTTGACCCAAGTTTCTCGATCTAGATCGATTCAATCTCCCTTCGCCCCCAAATTGGAATGATAGTCGCCTTATGTCCGAGCCTTAGGCAGTGTGACAACGATTGTTCGGGTTTAGGGCTCACAGTACGACGGCAATAGCATGGGAGAGGATCTCAGGTCACACTCTCGCATCTCGGGAGCAATCACCAATGATGTAATGAGTGGCCGCTGATCCCCTTATCATCGGCCAGGTAGGATGTACTATCTGCATAGTAGTAGGTCACTCCCTATTCAGCATGTATCCCCCTCTTATCACCATTATGCAACAGCTGCAGAGTACCTGTATCAAGTGCCTTACCAGGCTAGCCCCCCGTGATTTTACGAACGTATTATCCCAGTAGAAGGTGAGAATGTCTTGGTGAGCCTAGCCGATGTCGTGCTTACTTACCTGGATGGGCTCATTCTGATTGGATATGCTCGGGGTCGGAGTCGGATTATTACCAGATCAGCTTGCAGCAACCCCACCCGGAGATACTGTACCGTATGCTCGGAGTAAACTTCCAGAATCTCCCCCCGCTAATGAGCGAGGTACGTCGGACGGCTGGGACTTTTCGGGCTCGTCAGTATTATTGCTGGATGGGAGTTGATGAAGCGTTATTGGACCCCTACGAGTAGCCTATCAGCCCTGCTCCACTTAGAATCGTGTTAAATAGGTCGTTGGATATGGACTCTTTCGAGCCGCATCCGAACTTAGAGGACAGGCACATAGCCCAAGAAAGACAATCATCTTATGGGCCTTTCTGGTGCTCGGTAAATACAGGAAAATACAGGACACCGGAGATGGAATAGTGATACTGATCATAAGACTCGGGTGCAGAAAAATAAGGTCTAAGAACACATTTATCAGTTGCTGGCAATCAGCTTTAAGGAGTAGGTACAGAGCGGTAGTCATGGATCCACGCCTCAAAGGCTCTATGCAGGATTGTCACGGCCTGATAAGTCACAATCTTGAAGGCCAATTTTACTCAGACCCCGCTGCCATGTGGCCTGAACTCTCCATGCTCGTCACTGAAACACCCGATATCAGTGCATCTCAACTGGTTCTTTCTAGAAAGAAACTGGCCGCGGAAGGTTCCAGCCCCACCTCCAAGGCGGAAGGCGGTGGGCTACAAGAGGGGTTCCTGCAGCGTCATTCGGGGCGCAAACAATCAAATCTCAGAAGCATCACCAACAATCCTGCGCTACCTGTGACATCACTATGGCTGCAGAAACCCCTATCGAAGAGCTGGTCAAAAGGCCCCTTTATGGTTAGTATCGCTGGCTATTCATTGTCATATTCTGGCCTTGCCTTTAACAATCCCATAGCTATAGATTGCTTGCTGACACTGAGTCATCGAAAGTGTACGATCTTCCGCGAGAACTCCTCTCGACGCTGACCACAAAGTTCGACAATCAACCGATATCAGTGGAGAACACATCTGAACCCATTTCAGAGAACACAGAGGGGACGATTTTGGATCATGCGGTTGCCACGACCACCAGTTGTGCCCTCTGCAAGGTATCGTATCTGAACGTGCAGGAGCAACGGATTCATGTCCGCTCGGATCATCACAGATACAACCTGAAAGCGCAGCTCAGAGGCGGGCCCACATTTGATGAATCGCAATTTGCGAAAGCCATTGGGGAGCTCGACGAGTCCATATCGGGGTCCGAGTCGTCCGAAGCGGAGGATGAGGAAGAAGATGGACAACTCTCGGCCTTGTTAAAAAAGCAGGCCAAGATCTCTCAAGCGACTGATGAGGTAGAATCCTCTTCCAATAAGCAGGGTTCTGGCAGGCCTCCTTTGTTTTGGCTCTCTAGCTCACTCCTGCCTTCTAATATGTCCCTGGGTGTTTATCGGGCTTTGTTTTCGAGTGCTGAACAAGATGAGCCAAGGCACCTGGTCAACTCGATACAGAAAAGGCAACTTGCGCCAGTCGCTCCACCGAGAGCCAATGGAAACACCCAAGAGAAGCCGGCGTCGCCCAGCCCTCACATTTTCATGTGCATGATCGGCGGTGGTCATTTCGCAGCAATGTTGGTTTCGCTGGCTCCTGAAATCCATCGGAGGCAAGGTGGCATTGAGGACAGACAGGCTCGAGTTATTGCGCATAAAACATTCCATCGTTATACAACCAGGCGAAAGCAAGGTGGCTCACAGTCTGCCAATGATGCCGCCAAGGGCGCCGCGCATTCGGCAGGCTCCAGCCTGAGAAGATACAATGAAGCTGCCTTAGAAAAGGAGATCAGAGAGTTGTTGACGGATTGGAAGCAGATGATCGATGAGGCTGAGCTACTGTTCGTTCGTGCTACCGGCAGTACGAATCGTAGAATCCTTTTCAGCCAGTACGAGGGCCAGGTCCTCAAGCAGAATGACCCGAGATTGAGAGGGTTTCCATTCAGTACCCGTCGAGCGACTCAAGGCGAGCTTATGCGCTGCTTCAAAGAGCTCACCCGGGTCAAGGTGAGCCAAATCGATGAAGCTGCGCTGGCTGCTGCAGAAGCGAAGCAACGCGAAGTGTCGAAGCCGTCAACACCACGGCCTCAGCAGCAGAAGCCCAAGGTTTCCAAGGAAGACGAGGCTGCTATGCTTCACACAACCCAGATACAGGCTCTCATTCGTCGGTCCAAGATCCCGGCATTAATGACTTATCTGTCCAAGAACTCGATTCCTGCGTCGTTTACCTTTCGACCTGTTGACTCCCAGCAAAACTTCCGGTGTCCTACTCCCCTTCACTTCGCCGCTAACCTCAATTCTCCATCCATGGTTTTAGCCCTTCTGACCAAGGCCGAAACAGATCCGACAGCGGTCAACGGCGAAGGGAGGACCCCTTTCGAGCTTGCAGGGGATCGTGCAACACGCGACGCCTTCCGCGTTGCGCGTCATGAGTTAGGCGAGTCGAAGTGGAACTGGGAAGCTACCAATGTACCGTCACCGATATCTCGAGATGACGCCAACAGCCGGTCTGAGAGGGAGCGGAAGACCGCAGAGGAAGAGGAGAACAGTCGGCGTAAAGCTGAAATGAATCGTTTGAGAAAGGAGGAGGAAGCAAGTGCAGTACAGCATGCTTCTAAAAAGCCCGCTGGTCGAACGCTGGGCTCTGTTGAGAAAACGGCTTCTGAGAAGAGAGAGGAAGAAATGCGAGGAATGACACCGGAAATGAGGATGCGGTTGGAGAGAGAGCGCCGCGCCCGAGCAGCTGAGGAACGCTTTCGACGGATGCAAGGGAACTGATTAGACATTCGCGTTGTTCTGGATCTGTGGTTAAGGTGTAATAGCAGTGCTGAGCGGACATGATTTATTGTTACAATTAGAGATGATTCACGACGGGATTTGGCGGCTTTTCCTCGCGGTTTTGGGGGTTTACACATAGACATTTGACTACACCAGTAGCCACGAGGTGGTTGCTGCTGCTTGGAATATCAGGCAGGCAGGCAGGAAGGCACCTGACTCGCTGGCACTCAAGCAGTCAATCATTTCTAGCTTGCTCTCCATCTCTCTCTCTCTCATTCTCCCCGATCCTGTCCCTTCTTTTGTGAATTAATTCCCTTCCGTACCCTACCTCACCATCTTCTCCGAATTCATTTTTATCTCCTATTGATTATCCCCAGACCCTCCAATCACCCATCATGTCCCAGGCTCAGCTCCCCTACTTTGTTGGCACCCTGTCTGAATGGAACCCAGAGACTCAGCAAGAGAGCAATCCACTCGCCATCTTCCATCATCAGAAGATATATGTTGGACGAGACCCGAAGAAGTGGTACGATCCTTATCCCTTGCCTGATGCGGCCGTTGACAGCCTCCAAGCCAATATGTCGTGAATCATATAGATGTTTCGCGGAGACATCTCCATATCTATACCGTTATGTTCGACGAGGAGAATCTGGGACAGATTCCACCTTTGGTATATGCCAAGGACATATCCCAAAATGGCACCTTCTGGAACACCTACTCCATGGCAGATAAAGGTGGCTTTCTCCTCGGGCATGGTGATATACTCGAACTGGCGAGCGGATACTTTCTCAGGTTCACAGACCCGGAGCAGACACAGGAAAATGTAGACCCGGTCAGGGCCCAGGAGATGAAAGTGAGTCTTGCGGTTGTATTTCGAGCTCGCACTTGATCCTGACTGTCACAGATACTAGGCAGCACATACTGCATCACACCCCGTAAGCTAGGCTCGGGCGCTTACGGGCAAGTGTACATGGCGTATAAGAAAATCGATGGCCAGCAGCTCGCTTGCAAAGTTATAGATCTTCGGCCTATCAGAGATCAAATAGTCAAGGAACCATGGACAATTGATGATGACGACGAGGAGGATCCGGCTGTGGTGAGACGATCTAAGATCAAGGAACTCAACCTCGGAAAAAAGGCGCACTGCGACAACCACCAAGAAAGGCTTGACAAAAGGCTGGGAGGAGTCAACCGAGAGGCCACATTACTGAAAGATCTTTGTCACGTTAAGCTCTATCATGAATCACCTTAATGACCCCTGTGCTGACAGAAGAACAGCCCAATATCATTAGCGTCGAGAAAATGATACGAACCAGCTTCAATGTGTAAGTATGATTCATGTATCTGCACATATCAGACTAATTAGTTAGCTATCTCTTCCAGGAGCTGGTCCCTGGAGGAGACCTGTTCTCCTATATTCAGTACAAAGGTGGCAAGCTGGGTAATATCGATGCTGCAGTCATAGTTCGACAGATTCTGCTGGCACTGGATTACCTGCATGATCGGAATATCGTTCATCGAGACCTGAAGCCGGACAACATACTCATGACATCCTTGGCGGATGGATGCAGAGTTGTGCTGTCTGACTTTGGATGCGCCACCCACAACCCTGGGCGCATGTCCAGAGTTGTCGGCACTTTTGAGTACATGGCCCCGTTAGTACTTCAATCATCTGTAGCGGTGTCTTGCTAATTCAAGAACAGAGAAATACACAGTGCTTCTTGCGGAGGCTATACCGAAGCCGTAGACATTTGGTCTCTAGGTTGCGTGACAGCAGTCTTACTCACGGGCAGTACTTCATGTGGGGGCTCATTAGAAGCGACAGGATATGTGACCGAGCTTGCCGAAATTGGAGGCTTTGACAAGCTGGAAACAAGCCTACGCAGAAACAATGCAAGTTACCGAGCTATAGATTTTATACGTCGCCTTCTCAACTTCACTCCATCGGAACGCCTGACTGCAAAGCAAGGGCTGGACCATGAGTGGTTCACCAACCCAGCCCATCTAGCTGAATTTGAATCACTTTACCAACGATCGATCAGGGATTGGTCTCCATGCCGCCCACTGGAGCCGTTTATTGTTGAGATTACGAGTTTGGAATCTTTCAAGGACCGAAAAAAGGAGCGGGAAGCAGCGTCGATTGACTCACACCTCGAGAAGGACTCGACTGCTTCCTATAGGTCGTCTCCAGAGCAGATGGAGTCATCAGTTGAAACGCTGCGCACATGGTCAACTGAAAAAGAAAGCTCCTCCACCTCATCATCATCATCATCTTGGGAAGTGAATATACATGATGTTGCGTCTCCTACCTTGTCGGATCCCAACTTCCCTCCGTCCCCGAGCTGGCATATGGTCGGCGAGTCATTTTCACCGAGCCCAGAAAACCGAGAAGAGATAATAGCCTGGTACCAAGCATGCTCGGCTCACGAAGTGGTGGATACCTGAAATTGACGGGCATTTGTTGGAGGGAATGGGTTGCTCCTAATCACATAGTCACAGCGTAGATAGATCGCTCGGATTGCTTTGAGAAAATAAGCACAATAGTTTAGTCACCTGTCTGGACATAGTCGGGTAGTTCCCATAAGGATATAAATACGGCCATGAACGGAGCATCAATGCTGCGTGCAAGGGCTAGAAGAACAGGGGGTACCGAGGACGAAGGCGATGCCATCATGTCTCAGTTTCGTAGCACAGGTTCCAACATCGGTCCATCCCTTGACGAGTGCATGTTCAACCACTAGAACCTCCCACGCCCACACTTGTCTCTTCACAGAACCAACCAAATCCATACCATATGAACATAGCTGTCTACAAACTCATATCCCAAGTGAGGACCAGACTCAATGAGAAATCCAGAACTCATGACCATGTCAACCAGAAGAACATACCCCCCCATCCTATCTATCCCCTTCCCTCCCCACAGACTAGGTTACCGATTGCGTACCCGCATCTTGCACGACGATCTTCAACCATCGGTCCATTCGGTCATCGTCTGTTCGTACTATCCTATCCAGGAGAGAAGAAGGCTTTGGACAGACAAAGTGTAGGAATCCAATTCAGCGCCCTGATGAATCTGGGTTTGCCAGACTTGATGGAAGTTCAATTAAGTGGGTTTCTCTGGGTGGTAGGGAAGGAGGGTCTCAGGTGAAGGTTATTAATAATACTTACGTAGTAGAAGCTACGTGCCTTACCTAGATATTATTAGATACTGGGGGAAGTATCAAGGAATCTGAACGTATTTGCCTCCGTGCATGGGTGGAGGTAGGTACAAGGTACAAGGTACAAGGTACAAGGTGCAGTAGGCGTATGTGCTGTGTTGATCTATGTACGATGGGAAGATTTAGTTTCATGGCTTATGCTAGGGCTATGGTACTATTTTATAATTGATGCTTGATATAGCTTCCTTAGATGTACGTTGACGTCGTGTTGTGGTGTGCTGCTAGGACTACGGGGTGCACGAGCACTTAGGGTAGGTAAACCAAGGGCTGAAAGGAGGAGATCCCAGGTGGAACCAGGAACCCGTGCAGGTGTCAATCACCCTGCACATGCAAGTGCTGTGATTCGCATAGCATAGTGGGAGGGAAAGTTTCCGATATCCCTTGCGTGGGGGATGGATGTTGGGCGGAGGCTGGGGATGTGGATGAAGCTGGATACGGTACGGGCAGGGAGGAGAATCAGGTTGGGACTGAACTGGCTAGCTTTTTGCGCTTGCTTGCTGCTCGATGGTTATGGGTTTGGGTTTGGTTCAAGGATCTTCTGAGTTCTGGTGGTTTCATTGATGGTGGACTGGGATCGTCGGCCCTTGTGTGGTTCCCTGGTTGGGTTGGTTTCATTCTGGCTTTGTAGATAGGGGTTCGGTTGTAGGTTAGTATGTTCTGAAGGGTAGTTGGGGGGATAGAGAAATGTGTTTGGTGTCGTTTGGCTGGGTTGTTACTTGTGTGATGTGGGCATTGCGGTGGCAATTCCTCACCATTCGTAGAATATACCCGTGCGGACATATCTATGGAGTACAGCTGCGAGATAATGCGATGCGGCAGACCGTGGGCGATTTCTCCGAACGCAGCCTGGGGGTACATTGACGAAGCAAGGACGGACAAAGGAGCGCCGGAAGAAAGAAACGAGGAGCGATGTTCAACGTGCGGTCATCTGACGCATAATGTCCCGAAGCAGCTCAAAAGCTAGTAGTAGCGAGCACGATCAATGAGACACGAGCCAAGGGAAATCGTATAGCCACCGGGAATCACGTCGATGGTTTGAGGGGATAAACCTTGCCCTGAGAAAGAATGTGGAATTGAAGGTGTAAAGGTAGGTAAGTGTCCGAGGGGGAAGCAAGGAGAGCAGCTGGATGGCCGATAAGATGGAGCGATAGGAGGAAAAACATCGTCACACTTCCAACTTCCTCGGGGATTTCTTGGCGATCAACGGGTTCTGCGCAAGGACGCTTTGCCCGGCCGAACCCCGACCGGTTACCGGAGGGATGCCTGTTTCATTCTGTTGTCTGGATGCTGCAGGCTGCAGGATGCAGGCCGTAGAGACGCAGATGCATCGGAACTTGCGGCTGGATGGATGGTGATGGACAAGTCACCAAATGATGCGTCCAGGCGATTGGTCACCTGCAACTACTCAGCTGCTCGGCTCAGCACCCCCGATTGGCCAACGCGCTGCGGGGACACGCGCCCCAGACGCGACGCGAACGCGGTTCGCGATAGGCGACTAAATCTTGCCTCTTCGGGAAGTGGTTGTCCCAAAAGATTTGGGTTCCCAAAACTTGCCATTGAATCGTCGGAGGACGAGAAAGAAGATGCTTTTACGGGGAGAAATGTTCTAAATATGTAGACCCTGGATGGAGATAGGGGAGTGAACCAATCTACTAGGTCAAGAGGGAGATAGAGGGAGAGGATGGGGATATCCAGGTTGTCGAGGGTTGTTGCCATCCCAACCACCACCGGATCGACGAGTCCATTATAGTTCAAGACAGACGAGTCAAGTCGTCGGCGTAGCGGCAGTATCGGCCAGCAACTTGCGATCCCGATTCTCCCAGGTGCATGGCGCCTCGCTGAGTTGTATACTGAGTCCACGAACCTGTCAACTTCATCCAACGTATACCGCGCAATGCAGCTGCAATGCAACAGCCTCCGTCCCACTACGGTACGGCCCAGCCCAGCCCAGGCTGGTGATAGCTCTCTCCAGCTGGCGTCTATCAATTTGACATCAAGTGGGCACCGAGATGGGGAAATGGCGCAGCGGGTGACCCTGCGATGGATGCCTTGCAGCCCACATCCCTCCGGAAGGGCTGCTGGACTCCTTGTCTCACTCGGTCCTCTGGAGGGGCCCGATGGCCGGACAGTGCTTTATAGTCGGAGTCGAACCCTTCAAAAATAGGCCTTTCCCTGTCTTCAGGGAGGGAGACTGAGGAGTAAAGCAAAGCAAAGCAAAGCAAAGAGAGCGTCCAGGAGGAAAAGAGGGCGCAGGAGAAGAAAGGGAAAGCGAGCTCAAGTGCGGTGATACTAGTCAATCATTCTTTTGTACACGTTCGATGCCATTTGTCCATTCATCCATTCGTTTTGTGAGATCACATCAACCTGATCAGTTGCAGCCATTCCACTGCACTGAATCCAGTGAAGCCAGCCTGCCACCGCATTCACTATCGCTCACAGTGCTTTGTTAGTGTGTTTGGAATTCTGCAGCCCGGATTTAGACTTTGCAGGCCGGGTTGAATCGTGTCATTGGGCCGACAGTGAACTGGGGGGCCCGTTTGCGGAACCGAGAAAAAAGGTGAAAAGCCGCCTGGTTCGGTCCTGGCCTCCGTTCAAGTCACTCTCCTTTTTGGCCGCAGCGCGTCACTCCCTGATTATTGATTGATCCCTCCCTCTCCTCCCCTCAACACTCCCCCCCGACATCATCCCATCATCATCTGTTCTTCCTGTCATCCACCCCCTCACTGTCATTCTCTCATCGCAATCCTCCGGACCTACTGCACATCAAAGCGCGGCCTGTCAACTTTTTATTGCCTTCCTTTATTTGTCCGTCTTCCCCCCTCTTCTCCTCGAGACCTCCTCCGGCGCAAACCTACATTCCTCGGCGCGGTCCTTCTTGGGCCAACACACACACACTCACACTCACAAAACACACCCAGGCACAGACTACTACCTTCTCCACCAACCATCATCCCAACTCTCTCTCCACCATTCCTTATCTTCTCTTACGTCAATCATCCCTTGTCATCATTATCACCTGTCTCAGCGCAAGATGTTACTCCCATCGGCGCTTCCCAACGACATGCGACACCCGCAGACCCAGTCGCACGTCGCTCCCAGTCAACTCTTCACCACTCCTCCTCCATCAGACGACGACTTCTTTCCATCAGGCAATGGTCTTCTGGGAACATGTCGCGCTCTCCAAACCCTCCTGAACGGATCTCCTGCATCAGCGCCCCGCCGCACAACTCCCCGACGTCTCCAAAGTCCCCTCCAGCTCCGATCCCCGCCGCCCACCCGGTCGCGCAAGCGGGTGTCTCAGAAAGACTTCGATCTCAGACAAACCTCTCCATCACCCATCGTCACTCCTTCCAGACCTCCGCGCGGCGCAAACAAACGTTGTCGCGATACCTTCGAGATAGAATCCGAAGTCAACACCGATGAATACAAACCCAATCACTCCGGCGACGCCGAATCGCGCCCCCGCTACTCGACTCCCAAGCGTCGCAGAAACATTCCCAATGATCTACCACTGGGTCTTTCCCATTCAGACTTCTACGCTCTTTTCTCTCCCCCGATCACACAATCGCCTCCGTCGCCGGCGCGTCGACCACACTGGGGTCTGACCGAAGACTTGGAGACTCCATACAACCCCGATGCGGCGCTGCCGTCCATCGAAACAACCGATGAGTTCAAGGATACCACGCCAGATGAACCATCACCGACCGACCCCTCCACATCCTGGACCGCCGAGGATGACGAGAGTCTCGTGGGCATCGTCCTCTCGAAGTTTCAGCTCTCCAAACAAGACTTGGATGACTGCGCCAAGAAACTGGGCAGAGATCACGAGTCCATTGGACAGAGATGGCAAGCTCTCCTGGGTCAGGGAGATGTCTGCCTGCGACGAACAGTCAAAAGACGACTTGACGAGAGTTGAACACAACCTCAACCTCTACCATCTCCCCTTCCACTTATCTCCATTACCTTTTTATCTCCTCTTCCATCATCATCCTACATGTCTCAAGACCAACATGACAGACCACCCATGTACCGAGCGCGAACACCTTGATGGGATGGCCACGCTCCTACGCCTGTATCTTTTCTATTTCTCTTTCTCTTCTTCTCTATTTTCTCACAACTTATGGACTAATGTACGATACGGGATATGGACGGATTTATTTTCCTTTTTGCCCTTGTTTTTTTTTTCTCCCTCGTGTCTGGGCATCTCTCTGTTAACTCCCCCCTTGTTTTCTTTTATTTCCTATTCTCTGATGTATTACTCTCGGATCGGCAGATTGTATTACTACCTATTACCGATATTGTCTCTTCTTCTTCTCCTTCTTGCACTTTCTCCTTTACCTTTTCCGGGATATCTATGGGGTTCGATCATATTTACATCTTCCATCTTCCGGGGTTACGTTTATTTGTCTTATCTACCTGCCAGCTTGCTTGCTTATTTATTTGCTTGATTACCTTGCTACATACCAAAGTCGCAATGGCGTGATTGATTGATTGATTGATTGATTGGCTGATTAACATACTTTCATGTATCATATCATGGATGACGACGGGGCCTTGCGAGTATTGATTAAACACACGGGTTGTGTTTGTCTATGCTATTCTTAGTACAAATCTTAGCTAGAAGAAAGAAAGAAGAAACAGTTGAATAAATATGGGAATACATATATCTGGTGCACAATATAGATTAAATATTAGTATTTGATTTTGTTTGGGGTTTATCACAGACGATAGGAAGAAGCTAATAGTAATCTATATACTAGGCAGTTGTTAACTATACCTCTAAACGTCAATCCATTTATCCATCCGCAACAGCCAGACCAACCCAGTTATGCAATGCATGCATCAGCCCTATGTGCACTAACAGGAAACGAGTATGAGAGAGATACACCCAATATGAAAACGTCAACGCCAGAACACCAAGCTCAACGTCGGTAACGAATAGCAAGTTTCGATCGGGTATGCAATCGGGATGTCAAACCACCGGCTACCCTACCATACCTTGCCTCTGCCCCTCCCTGCCTGCAGTAACAAGTAGACTAGAATCTGTTTCGGTTCGAGTCAGCACAGATCCTCTGCCACCCCCCACATGAGGGGTAAGGGTCTTTCATCAAACGTACCGGATTTCATAACTACCCGCGCGAGTCATGTACCGCACCCACTTCACACTGCTGTAGTTGCTTTTCTCAAACACCTTCAGATACCGCACCAGTAACCCACTACTGGTGAACATGAGCAGACTAAACGACAGGCTGAGCGGCGGCCGACTCCACGCTTTCTGATGTGTCATGCTCGTCAATGTTGCCTCCGCCGTCAGCACGTACTCGCTTCCACCAGAGAACCTCGCGATTTTCCAGACGATATTATTATGTTCGGGCTCGTACTTCGCCCGACCCTGACTGGTGCGTTCGGTGGTCTTGGCTGTGTTCAGCGGTGTCGGAATGCGAATCACCACGTTTGTCGCAAAGAGTTTCGAGCTGTAGTTGGCCTTTATGGCAACGCTGTACTCCACCTTGGTTGTGCCGACTTCCCGAACGATCGGATGGACCTTGAAGGGGAGGTTGACGTTCTCGGTGGCTCGGTAGCGCATGAGTTCGAACTCGCCATCTGGCGGCACGAAGGAGATGATACGATCCGCGTCGAAGCGACCCAGCTTGACGCACTGATGGAACTGACAGTCTTCGAGGGTGACGGAGCCTGCGGCAGCGCGGGTGGCCTTCATGGTGCCGTCGCGGTTGCCGGGGGTAGAGGAGCCGGCGGCATCGGTGTCGAGGAGCAAGCGATCGTTGAGGCCGAATTTGCACTCGGGGGTGCCGGACAGGTAGGCTCGCATGACGATCTGACCGTTGACGTCGGCGCGGAGGACAGTGCCCGTTGCGGACATGAGAAGGTTCACGTCTTCAATCACGTCGACGAAGGCTTCATTCTTGCGGTATTTGACGTCGGAACGGCGCCAGGAGAGTGCGCCAGTGGCTTGCATGGTGATGCGGCTGGAGTCGGTAGCGGAGTTGGCAATGGCGGATTTGACGCCTTCGGTGGTGATGTACATTTTCAGGGTGTCGGTCTCGGTGTTTTGGGGGTAGCCAAAGTCGAGGATTTCTGCAATGGAGAGAAAGATGGATTTTATTAGATGTTTTCCCGGAGAATGGTTAGTAAATAGGGGCGCGCACCATCTAGCAATTCGTAGATCAGGACAAAGTTGTTCTTCACGGCCTCCTCGTCGAGCTTCCCGAAGTAGCTCTTCCCCAGCATGACGAGGCGGTAGAGGAACTCGAATACGAGGGCGGCATTGGCGTTGCTCTTGGTCACGGCGACCAGGTAGATGTTCTCGTGTTTGACATGGCTGAAGGTCGTGGATCCCAGGGTCAAGATGGGCGAGCGGACCTGGGGGTTGGAGATGACCTGGATGCGGAAGATGTCGGCGAGGCGCGGGCGACAGTCGCTGCGGAAGGCGCGGAAAATCAGGTTCTCGCCCTTTTGATTGAAGATGAGAATGCCGGAGAGCATGATGATGGGGGGTGCAGAGGAGCAGAGAGGGAGGAGGAGGAGGCAGAGAGGGGAAAAGGGGGAATGAAGGAATGAGGGGGTCCGTTGGGTTGGTCTCGACCGGCGGCGGCGGCGGCGATGCTGCTGGGAGGCAGGAACGACCCTGGCGCTACTTCCTCCGGACCGCCGCCCGCATTCAGGGACCGCAACTCCATGTCATGCATCTCAGGCAATGAAATGACCCCGAGAATCTGCCTCATGAATACCGCAGTAGGTCAAAGCTGATTGATCTATCTTTGGTTTTGTTCAAAACCTCATCGACTACGATTTTGCGATGCCCATTAGACAAGGAGCAAAAACGAAAAGGCTTCCTCTGCCGAATCATGGAAAATCCTCATCCCTTACCGTTCATCCAGGGCCGATCGAGGCCAGGGATGCTCAGTGCCACGTGGGCATCCAGACCGGGACGGCTCGGTTGTTCTGGAAACCGATGTTTTGATCGGACTGGACGTGCTATCGGGCGTCTATCTATACTTGGCATACGATGCACTAGGTCTACCTGGATCAATGGAGGATCATTACAGCTATTTCGATCTGGACGATGAAATTCAAGGCGTTATGGGACTGATTAGATTAATCTATCGAAGGCTAACTTTTCTTTCTTCTCACATCATTTGTAGGTCGAGTAGCCTACATTTCTCATCCACTCTCCACAATCCAGGAAGACATTCAGCCAGACAGATATATGTATAGACAGGATAGGTCTGAAAGGGTATTGGGAACAACTTAGAACGACAGAATATAACGGCAAATATCGACAAAGAACCCTTCACCCGGCACTCCAGCAAAAGGGGAGTGTTTCCCGGGTGGTAGGGAGATGGTATCAACGGTCCGAGACCAGGGCGTGGATATCATAGTGGGAAACCCAGAATCAAACATATAACAAGAAGAGAAACAGGGTCGGGGTTTGGATGCATGATCATCCAAGAGGGATACTAAAAGACGTAGACGATTAAATAAAGAAAGATGTAGAAACGATTAGCCTGGCTTCAACCTGCGGAGATTGCTCGAGGGCGGAACTCCCGACGCCCCGTCAAACGCCGCTGCTCGGTCGAGTCCCTGGTAGTGACGGGCCTCCTTCACTGCGAATGATGCCAACTTTGGGATCTGGAATCTGGATGTCCAGCGACATGTACGCTGTCCTGCGCAGGCTCCATATATGCACCCCGTCTTTGGCTCCAACCTCTTTGTTCCACCTGTCCAGCCAAGCCTCCACCCGTTTGAGGTGACTTTTGATACCCGGAGCACCAATATCTTCCCAGATCCAGCCTGTGAGGAGGCTCAGAGCACTGTCGATAAAGTTGCGAAAGTTGAACGGATCGAAGGCTTTGACAAGCTCATCATTCACCGTAGCGATCACCTTGCGAAACTCCTGCTCGGGTAATAACGGATCAAGGATCTCAGGGTACAGGTTGGAAAACGTAGGAGCCAAATCCCCTTTTATCATCCAGTCTCGCCGGATCCGTATGATGCGGGTCGTCATATACTCCTCGGATTGGATCGGGACATGTGGGTTGATGTGAGGATAGCACGGATGCGCAGGACCCCATGCTAACTCCTCCGCCACATCAGCCTCGCCCCCGGTGTGAGTGCCGGTGTTAGATGGCACCGAGGCAATGTGTGACTGTGACCGCAGAGAGGACTGCGACTGTATATGGCGGGGCCGGTCATCGTGAAGCGGCCCCGGTCCATCTGCCGCGAAGTCAAAGCCTAGATGCGCCCGTTCCGGCGCACGAGGGTTCTTTGCCTCTTGAGCCCCATTTGATACAGCCGAGTCGGACATTTCTCGCAACAACAGATGATCGTCAAATGCTCCACTGCGCCTCTGGCCTCGAGGCACTGCGATGCTAGAGCGTCCACTCTCCGTTTCCCCCTGGCTGCGCTCCACCACCAGACTGTTCGGAGATGGGGTCGGTCGACTACGACGCCGTTCGGGAATGGTCAGGAGAGGATAGGCGTCTCGTTGCGCTTCGAGCGGAAGGTTCTCGTCCGATAACTGCTGCAAATGGGGAACTGTGACCGGGGTGATGCGAGGGACGTAATTGACGGGATTCGCGAGTCGAACCGACGGCGGACGCAAGATCGCCGGGGGTATCCAGGAACTCTTTCGTCGGTACGATAATCGAGCTTGGGGGGAGCTCTCTGCGGCGACCCGATCGGCCGATGCAAGTGCTGCGGGATGATGGGACTCGAAGGAACGGCACCGGACGCGGCGGCCTCGTGGGGAATGAGGAGCAGCCGCTTTAACCTGGGGCGATGGTAGTGAAGGATCCGGTGGTGGCGCGAAAGACGTCGTTTTCGAGGACGACGACGACCGAGGGAGCCGAGCGGCGTGAGTGGGTGGTGGAGAAGCCGTGATGGACGAGGGGAGAGGAGACGTCGTGGTGGGAGGCTTGAGAAATGATGTCGATGGCCCAAGAATAAGAATCGATCGCAACGGGCGGCTGTGATTGGTGGGCGAGGATCGAAAAGGGGCGCGGCAAGGGACAGAAAATGATCTGAGCACGACATTCAATGGATGTGTCTTGCAGCGGTTTGCAGTAGTAGATACGATAGTAGTATAGGATAAGGAAAGATGAATGAGGAGGGAAGGAATGGATAAATGAATGAATCAAAGAATGAAGCGGTGATGCTGGATGATATCCCCCGGTCAAAGTAGGTAATGCTCAAGGTAGCAGCAGCCAATCTCTATCTATACGAGACAACTACTACTTACCTAGGGTGGCCTAGTAGTAGTGGTCACAGTAAAAGATAGTAATTGATCAACCTCAATGAGCGACTGCAGTTGGATGAAACGAAGGACAGCGATGGTCGCAAAAACAATAATCATGAAGCGGATGGCCATGGCTCTTATTGCAGCCGAACAGTCCCTAACAGGCTCCATATCCACCGGATCCCGACTCGAAACAATAAACGAGTCAATAGCCCAAGTAAGGCTCCAACCAACTTGGGACCGCCCAGAACGTCTACCTGGAATTGTGCGAAAGTTAAAAATATCCCCCATTAATGCGTCATCCAACCCTCCGTCGCCCAGCCCCAGGATGGTGGTGCAGCAAATCAGGTGAAACCCAGCAGCGCAAGCATGTGGCATGATTGGCAGCTCCCCTCACTGCGCAGCTCCAATCTCCAGAGATGTCAAAGGGCAGTCCGAGTCGGAATTAGATTAATATTGACCTGGATTGGATTTAATGGGCATTTGACGCCCATGACGTCGCGCAACATCCACTTTGGGCCCAGCCACGGGACCCTCACGTGAAGCTCCCCCTTCCGTCCCCGCCCAATGACCAATCATCCTCCCTTGAATCTCGCCAGTCTCTGATCACCACAAGCGAGCCAAGTATTACCTCTATTCATTATTATTCTTCTTCCTTTCCTGACCTATATACTTCAACTCCCCCGGAGCCAAGTCCGGTGGCACAGCCTGTGTACATCATCATTTCAGTCAAAGTGTTCTTTCAACGCAGCTGCCGTATCCCATGTCTGACCCGGTCGTCGCTCGTCATTAACACTGCAAACAACTACCACCCGACTAATCCCTGTACTCCCCACCTTCGCCGATACCATCGGAGGCATCGAGGGATGAAAGTCGCAACGCTGCAGTTTGCCCCTCGTCTGGGTGATATCGATGGAAACATCCAAAGAGCCAATGAATTGCTCAAGGATGGGAAAGTGGTGCAAGGCGTTGGGATTGGGATTGGACTAGATCTCCTCAAGCCGGATGTTTTGATTTTGCCCGAGTTGGCCTTGACGGGTGAGTGTTACTCTGTGCTCCCTTCTGTTGTCACACGATGCATGAGCTTCGGGATGTTTGTGCTCGGTGGCTTGTTCGACACGTCTTAGCCTGGAGCTCCCTCTTCCACCGTCTTCCATCGACAACCCACATTCCCCCCGGGCTTTCTGCGCAACACGGCCATTGATTCGATCAGGATACAACTTTCCGTCGTTGAAGGCTATAAAGCCCTTCCTAGAGCCCGTTGGACAAGGCCCTTCAGCTCACTGGGCCAAACAAACGGCCAAACGCCTACAATGCAAAGTTTGTGTGGGATACCCGGAAATCCACAGAGCAAACGAAGCCCCGGAAGGCGACCCAAGTAAACCCGGAGAGACCTGCTACAACTCCCTTCTCGTGGTGGATGAGAGAGGTGAAATCATCCTAAACTACCGTAAATCGTTTCTATATTATGCGGATGAAACGTGGGCAGCCGAAGGCAACCCAGAGCAAGGTTTCCATCAGCTCACATTTCGGAACTTAAACCAGAGCACTTTGGAGTCGCAAATAGCCACCTCTTTCGGCATCTGTATGGACATAAATCCATACCGGTTTGAGGCCCCCTGGACAGCATGGGAATTTGCTAATCGAGTACTGGATACTAAGTCCGAACTGGTCATACTTTCTATGGCGTGGCTGACATCGGTGAGTCGGGAAGAGCTGGACTTCCTCGCTGATAAGCCGGATCTGGACACGTTCAACTACTGGATTCAGCGACTAGTGCCGCTTATTTGCAAAAAGATGGGCCATGAAGTCAATTTTGATGGCGATGATTCCGATCACGGCAAGAAGATCGTTATTGTGTTCGCCAACAGAGTGGGGGAGGAAGAGGGCGCTGAAGGGGCAAGTTCAGCTCGATATGCGGGCACAAGTGCTATTGTAGCGATCACACAAAAGCCACGCACCCGTGCAGTAGGTAGGGAACCTTCTCCTGGAAGTGACAATTCTAGCGATGATTCCGAAGGAAGCGAGACGGAGGCAGCGCCGTTTGATGTGAAAGTACTGTGTTGGGATCTGATGGGCGCGACGACGGAAGGTATCTGTTTTGCGGACACCACGGCAGACCCCAGCATGGTGTTTGGATTGGCCAAAGCTTCGAAATGACATTTCGACTACCTATGAGGCGAAAACCACATTGGAACTGGTGGGTTGCAGTGATGCCCTTCTGCCTATTCTGATTCAAGCAGGCGTTGGCAGTCGGCATTTTGTAAATCCAATCCGTCATATACGGAGGGTGTTTTGGGCATAAAAAGGAGCCCACCTCCATGATAATCCCAGGATTTATTCCTCATAGTGGTGGAAAACAGTGGATGGAACCCTCCTACGGTGCAGGAGGCTTATCTGGACCCCCGTCTTTTTTTCCTTGGTCTTTTGGCTTGCTACGTAATATTCTCAACCATGTCTTATCCGAGGGCAATGTGTCGCCAGCAGACAAGCAGACAGGCAGGTTCCAAAGATTCGATCTGCCACAATCCGCCATCATCTATCATGTGAGCCCTGTCCTGGCCCCCAATCAGCCTCGCCCGGCATCCATGTGACGGGAGATAGCTCGTCATCGTCACTCGGGCGGTCGTTTGCAAAGAGAGCACCAGAGTGGATCTAGACCCATTCCTGTCCGGAAAATCCCCGCCAAAAGTATCCTTGGGTTGCGGCAAGAAAGCCGGGTGATCAGAGGGCCCCGGACTCTCTGATCGCTACAGCAGTCTAAAGTACCTAAGGGTAGTGTATCCACTCCAGCATCTTATCTCATGACCAACTGATCAGCGGCGTCCCCCATCAGATGGTCGCCTCTTTTGCAAAGTCAACTGTTGAGTCTCTATTTCCTGGGCCCCATTTCTGCATGTAACCCTTGACGCGCATCCCTAGATCAGTAAAGGTAGCATCTTTAGAGCGTGCGCTCATACCTGGGAGGAGGGACTAGAGAACCTCGCGGGGGATCTGATAGGTTGCATTGTGCATTCATGTGACAGTAGGAGGTAGCGACAGCCTGGGAAAGATTAGGAACTGACCCAGGCTCGAAGAAACAGAGTTAGTGCGCAATGGGGGGCATAGAGACCCATCTTGGGGTCGAACGTGCCAATGGAGGGATGATTTGGACCTCCCTACCCTGCTTCGTACACTGGCAATCGGGAGCCATCCATGATCAGTTTGAAAACAGGCGTGCCCAAGGACGAATGGACAACCGGATCATGACGATATGCAGTTCGAACCACAAACGAAAAAAAAGAAAAAAAAGGATCGGCAGCTAAGCGGATAGAATCAGAGACAAACCAGTGTGGTGACTCAACCTTACGGGCTGACGACCGTCTAGTAGACACGGAGTAGTAGATGGTCACTACTACTTGAAGGGACGGGCCGACCGGGATGAGCAGGCACCCTCCATGGCGCAGCAAAGTTTCCACTCCAATAACCAACTTCTGCAGGATAGGAGGGCATGGCTCATTCGATCGTTGTCGTGTACCGAGTAATAGGGAGCCAAAATGATCAGAGACTATCTACGGAGTAAGCTGCCAGCAGACACCAATCACTTGGGTTCGACCGCATCCCCTTTTACCGTTTCGAGCCGGGAGGGTTGACGGGGTCCACGTGATTCCGGGTGAACCCCTCCTCCGGCAACCGGGGCCTGCCAGCCAATCAGAATTCTCAATGGAGGAGTTGGGTGAGGAGGGGGGCACGGGATTGCAGCACATGACATGGAGATGGAGTAGGAGGGAAGACGAAAACCGGTTGGGAGGGAGGGAGGGGATGAGACTGGGAGGGGGGAAGGGACCGTTAAGGTTGGAAAGATAATAATGGGCAGAAGACTCGAGGAGAAGGAGGAGGAGGAGGAGGAGGATGATGATGATGATGGTGTTGGTGGTGGTGGTATGATGCGGCCTGCCTCACTACTACTACTACTATTTACTTGGATGGTATCTACTAGCCACACAGTGAGTGCTGGTACTGGTACTTGGTAAAGACCTGGCCTGAGAATCCGTTTGAGTACACAGGTAGATCGAGCCTTGGCCCTGAGGTACTTCAAGTACCTACTTACTCCGTACCAGAAAGTTGAGAGAGCCTCTCGGGGAGGGATCGTCAGGTGACCCCTCTCGGGTTCGACACACGGGGTCTGTTCCGCGCGCCGTAGCGGGCGGTTCTCCTCTTCTTTGATTCTCGTCCTCGTCCCTCGCCACGTGAGCAGTCCCTCTCTACTCGACTCTCTCTCTACTCCTCCATGTATCCCTTTTTTCCATTGTAAAATCCGCCACAACTTTTTGCTCGTTTTCAAATCCGATCCGTCCGCTGTCGTTGAAGTGGACGTCTCGATCCCGACCTTTTCTTTTGTGAACAAATTTTGTTCTCCAGCTTCTGCGATCGAACCGGCACCTTCCTTCTTGTTGTTGCCCGTGGCAGGTGACTTGCTGTCAGGTGATAGATAGACAGACCATCCAAGGTAATCCAGCTCTCTTCTCTCTCTTCTCTCTCCCTTTCGCGCGCTGCCTCCCCCACTCTCTTGCTTCTCCCCTCCTCCGCCAGCTGCATCGCAGTCGCTTCATGGCTTCTGCTGTGGCCCAGCCTCTCGTCTTCTCGTTTCCCGCCATGGCTCAGCCCGGCCATGGCCGACGAGGATGATGCTGTTTTTTCGCGCTTCCATCGGTCGCAAGTGCGCCGTCATGACGCGTCTCCGATGTCACTGCCCTCCCCTGGACTGGCTTCTTCCCATCTCTCCATGATTTATGATTCATGCTTCTCGCTTTTGCTTCTCAGCCATGTCTCTTTGTAGATGTATTCTTGGTGGTGGTCGCGCAGTTGACCTTGTCTTACTCGTCGGTCGTTGTTGATGGTCGATGCGGAGATGGGCGCGTCAGCCAACGCGTTGTTCGCTCACCATCAGCCCAGATCTGCCGTGACAGTAGCCCTTTCACTGGCACTAACCTGCTCCACTCCTTCATTCGCAATTCAATAAATGATATTGGTTCCCGCATTACTGTTTTCACTGTCCATCTGCCCGGATCATATCCTACATCCTCGTGAATCGTACTGGTCTTGCTCGAGCGGCTTGGTCACTAACGGGCCTTCTAGAGTCACGGAAGTTCCTAATCTCCTCTGATTAGGATCCTAGAGCTGGAGCCAACTTCCAGCGACCATCTCGAATCTCTGCCTTGTTTCACAGGTTAGTGGATTTCGAAGTGGCTGTCTCCGGACGATACGACCAACACTAATCGCTGAGCACAGGGGAGTCGTTCTATAGATCTCTCACGATGTCTGATCCGTCCTTGGGTGCTCCCGATGGCAATGTCACTGCTAAACGAAAGCGTGATAGTACCGACAGTGCTGGTCCGGATGCCCAGCGTCTGAACCGTTCCTCCAATGGAAGCAATGGCAGCATCCCCGCTCCAGATGCCCAGCCCAACTTTACGCATAGTTCCCTTGGGTCCTATGACACACATGGTCTTCCAAGCGCGGCAGCCGAGCTCAACATTGACCAGCAGATCTTGCAGCATGTCGGTCCACAAAATGGTATCTCAGATGACAATGCTCTCACTGCGAAGGCGGCACTTGCTGCCCATACCCCTCAGAATAAATATCCGCCCCCTCCGGACTCGACGTTCGACAATAACCTCGCACATGGCTTGGCATTTGGAGATGATATGGGCCAGGGAATCGGCTCCGCTCACGGTCATAACTCAACCGCCGCCGCCGTCTACGCTGCTCGAGAGGCACAAAGTATGAACCAGAAGCCTTCGGTCGGTTCTCCCGAATGGCACCAGATTCGCAAAAATAATCATAAAGAAGGTAAATGAAAATCGCTTCCTTTGCGTACGGACACATGCATTAACTGGGATTCAGTGGAACGCCGACGCCGTGAAGCAATCAACGAGGGTATCAATCAGATCGCTCGCCTTGTGCCGAATTGCGACAAGAACAAGGGTGCCATTCTACAGCGCGCCATTGAATATATCTGCCAGCTACATGAAGATAAGAAAGCAATGAACGAGCGATGGGAGCAAAGCAACATGACGACAAGTCATGCAATTAGCGAAATCAGCGGCCAGAACTCGAAGTTGAAGGGTGAGGTCAACCGCCGTGGGGATATCGCGCTGAAGTGGCTGCAGCGCTGCCGCGATGCGGGTCTCGAGTTCGACGATTATGAGGATTCGAAAGAACTGGAGCCTCTTGACGTTGATCAAGGCCAGGTCTAATTTCCAGTATAACCTGCAATATTGCGCATGCAGGCAGGGACTTTGTTGATCATCACTGCACGGTTCCTCCTCACCAAATATTCGATGTGCTACGACTTCTAACTTCCGGAGGCTGAGATATTGGCCATTTGACCGCTCATCATTATCCCTCACTCTTCTCTCCCTCTATTATCCCCATAACTTCTTCCCTTTGAACAAACCTCTCCATGTCAACTCTTACTCGTGTCAATTTTTTGCAAGGTACAGTTTTATGATGTTCTTTTTTTTCGTTGCAGGGAAGACGATGTGGTTTCCGATCTTTATTCTAATTGCTTAGCCTGGGGTGGGTTTTTTGTTTCTATGTCCCCATGTCTGCTTTTACCCCCTTATTTATTTTGTATGCTATTCTTAGGATGGGTCGGCGAAACTACGGCTGGGAGTGGTAGATCCGAAGGCCCTGGAGCCTAGGACATCACGGCGTGTTATCGGAATGCAAGCTCATTTACAAGTCTGATTTTGGTTGATCGATCTAGTAGTGATTTCTCTTGAGCAGCATCGTGAATGGTATAGCAAGAAAATCGAATCTGAGGGCCATGTCTTGTCCAGCCGAAGCCCGAAAAGTAACTGATTTCCAATCAGTCCAGTATAATCATCCCGGGGACATCGAAGTTGTAAATTTTAGTCTAGAAAATGGTGGCGCAAATTATATACAGAGAAAGTTATAGGTAATGTAATTTAGAAGCACGCCCTGTACGTAGTAACCAAGCGCTAAGATACCAAAGAAGCGGGCAGCACGAGCAAGCCACACAACACATCCCCGAAGAATTAAGAAATAGAGGTGGTAGTAGTAGTAGAAGAAGAAAGGTACACCATCATCCCATCATCGCAGACACACCCAGTCAAGTGTCAATCAATCGATTACTCAATCGCGAACTTACTCGAAGTTGGAGGAAGCAGTGACGGAGGAGCCAGACGAGACGCTGACGTTGTTGACGGTGATCTGAGAACCGGACTGAGCGGTGACACGGACATCGACGGTGTCGGTGCCGAAGCCGCTCTGGTTCTCGAAGAAGTTGTAGGAGGATCTGGTGGTGGATTGCCAGGTGCTGCCGCTGTCGGTGCTGACCTCGAGCTTGGTGACGGGTTCGTTGGAGTTGACAACTTGCATGGCGAACCAGTAGGCGGAGGTACCGCTCTTGTTGACCAGTTCAATGGGGGTGGTGATACCGCAGGAGACGTATTCCCAGTCGATGCTGATGACGCCCTTGGAGATGTCGGCCAGCTCGGCGAAGGCATCCTCGAAGAGGTCGAGGTGGTTGGAGTCACATTCGGGGCATTCGTCGACGATCTGTGGATTTGTTAGATATGGGAGACAGGATAGAAGGATAGCATCGCTTGGAAATGAGGACTTACCATGGCCTTGATCTTGTTGCCGCTGGGTCCGGTGACCTCGACACAAGCACCACATTCAGCTGCGTTGGACCAGCGCTGGGAGGAGAGGGCGGTGCCGAAGAGGCTGGAGGGGATAGTGTAGTCGGTGAAAGAGCAGGTTCCGCCGGAGACGTTGCCGCCGTAGAAGGTGGCTTCGCCGGAGTACTCAGAGCTCAGGGCACTGCTGGAGCTGCTGGCGGTGGAGCTGGAGCTGGAACTGCTGGTGGAGCTGGTGGAGCTAGAGGCAGAAGAGGTCGCGGCGCTAGCAGCGGTCGTGCTTGTAGTAGTTGGCTTGATCTTCTCGACAGTGGTCGCAGCGGCTTCGGTGGTCGCAGCAGCCTCGGTGGTAGCAGCAGCCTCGGTGGTAGCAGCAGCCTCGGTGGTAGCAGCAGCCTCGGTGGTAGCAGCAGCCTCGGTGGTAGCAGCAGCCTCGGTGGTAGCAGCAGCCTCGGTGGTAGCAGCAGCCTCGGTGGTAGCAGCAGCCTCGGTGGTAGCAGCAGCCTCGGTGGTAGCAGCAGCCTCGGTGGTAGCAGCAGCCTCGGTGGTAGCAGCAGCCTCGGTGGTAGCAGCAGCCTCGGTGGTAGCAGCAGCCTCGGTGGTAGCAGCAGCCTCGGTGGTAGCAGCAGCCTCGGTGGTAGCAGCAGCCTCGGTGGTAGCAGCAGCCTCGGTGGTAGCAGCAGCCTCGGTGGTAGCAGCAGCCTCGGTGGTAGCAGCAGCCTCGGTGGTAGCAGCAGCCTCGGTGGTAGCAGCAGCCTCGGGGGTCACAGCCTCGGTTGTAGACTGAGAAGCAGCAGTGGTTGGGGCAACCTTGACTGTCTCGGCCGTCGTCACCTCAACAACGGGTGTTGAGGACGAGGTCGAAGTCGAGGAAGTGGGAGTGGGAGTGGAAGTGGAAGTGGAAGTAACAGCGTCAGCGACGTGTGTCTCCGCAACAGGGGAGACTGCGGCAATAGACGTTGTAGTAGCGACTGGAGAAGCACTCTCGACCGTCGAGCTTGTGGTGGCGACCACCGGCGTCGCAGTCACAACTTCAGTCAGGGTGGTTGTGGATGACATGTGCAGAGTCGTAACCTGGTCAACCGATGCAGTAGAACTGGACTCAACCGCAGGGGTTGAGGTTGGTTCGGCGGCGGAAGCAGAAGTTGGCTCAGCTGCGGTAGTTGACGTGGGATGGAGAGTGACTGTCTTGTAGTACACACTCGCGGTGTATCCCGAAGGGCATTGGCCTTCATTCTCGCCGGGAATCAAGCCACCCGATGTGGTAGAGGTTGGCTTGACCACAGGGGCTGAGGTTGAGTCGAGGACAGGAGCGGACGTTGGCTCAACTGCGGCAGTTGAAGTGGGGTGGAGAGTGATTGTCTTATAGTATACACTTGCGGTGTATCCTGGGGGGCATTGGCCCTCATCTTCGCGCTGGAAAAGTGGATTGGCAGAGACCGATGCGGCGGCACTCAGGGCAGCAACACCCAGAGATGCGAGGCGTTGGTACTTCATGGTCGGGCGAGTGGGGAAGAATCTGTCTCAGACAAGGTGCTAAAGAAGAAACAAAGAATGGAGGTCTTGCTCTCTGCCTGCCAAGATATGGCGTGGAATCGCAGTAATGACAGGACATGCACTGAGCACGAGGATGGTTAGGATGAAAGAATGGACGCCTGGATCTCGAATCCCAGGACTATAAAATCTGCTGTTCCGGACAGAATGGCAAAAGAACGACAGAGAGAGAGAGAGAGAGAGAGAGAGAGAAGCAGGAATGAGGAAAGAGATGGGACCCCCGAAGAATAAGAGGAAGAGAAGGGAGAGAATGAGGATGAGAACGGCGGTTCGGGGGGCGTGCCCCAGGAGCCGGATAGTGTGATCCATCATCAACCATCAATCTAAGGAAATGAACAATTGCAGGGATGTGCCATGGTTAGCGCCATAACTTTAATGACATATGTGCCCGAGAGAAGGCAGCAACGATTTCGTTCGCGCACCGCGAAATGAGATCGCAAAGTGAAACGCCGGGCGTGGATCACCAGCATCGGGGCCAGGGAATCGGACCAGAACCGAAGGAACAGCGCGGCCACTGTCTTAGCCGTCGGCCGACCTTACTGGCTTCCGATATTGGGTAATTAAACTACACGGGGCCGACCCACTGCTGGGAAATCACCAACGGCCAGAGGACGTGAGACTATAGGTTGGGGGCGCTTGTTTGCCCCTGCACCGATAGTCTGACCAGGAGCTCTTGAGTCTTGACACTGGCGAGGCTGGATTCCCCTGGGGTGAGTGACCCCGTCTGCTCCAGGCAAAGGGAACTGCGAAGTGCGAAGAGATGGAATAAGTAGGGCGGCCCAAGAACCATCAGATGTTTCATTTTCGCCGGTCCGATGAACAGGGGATCCATCCGTTCCGCGGTATCCCGCAGTGGGTCTCCAAAGGCGTTCGTCCAGGTAGGCAATAATAAAATAATAATCATATGGAATCATATCCGCTGCGATTGTTGCAATAATGCTGTCTACCTACCGCGGAGTCTTTCTAATCAGGTAAAGCTGACGAGTAGGAGACAGTCAGCGTCCAGGCAGGGCTGTCTCCAGTCACAAAAAAAAATACTTATCCGTCACTTGGAATCCCACATCACCTCATTTAATCTCAACAGCGCGTCGGCGCTGGCTTTCTTGGCAGCCATGAACTCTTCCCGGTTTTCTGCACCTCGAGGGCCTAGCAGGGCGTCTGAGAAGCAGAGGTCAATGAGGACCTTAAGCTCATCATACGTGAAGGGCTCGCCATTGCCAGCGGCCAGCGCTTGGTCTCCATGGGCTGCGAACGATTCCTTCTCGTCTTTCGCGTAGTCCAAGGCTTTTTCCGCCCCTTCCAGGAACCAATCGAGAAACTTGGCGCTACGAGGAAGAGCAACAACCTCGGGCTGCCCACTGTTTTCCTGCATGTTAGAATTGACCTCTTTGCTTGCATTCTCCGTCGGATCTAGGATGATGTTCTTCAAGTTCTGTTGCAAAACCAGGACGTCCAATTGAAGCCGGAGCGCGCCGTTCTCGTTCATAGCCCCGATATGACAGGTGTTTGCGACGAATATTTGGTCAATAAATCTGGCGAGCCCAGAAGTGATGAACCATCGCTCAGGTGGTCCCAGATAGGACGAGATATTGGTGTCGAATGCGATCAGGTCATTGTTCAGCTCAAGTACCGTAGGAGATGCGGCAGTCGGCTGATTCGAGAGAATATGCCACCAATTGGTGACAGAGTTTGGCGATGGCGTAGTGGGTTCAGAGGCCCGCGGATTCCGGGCTTTCGGGCCTGCCATTGTCCGCTTCAGCATGTGAATGACGCCGCAGCGGATGTCGACGTGCAGGGCGAAGAGAGCAGTGCATGCGAAATTGCGCAGTGACTGAAGAGTGGTGTCGAACACAGTAGCTGTTTCCTGGTTCAAAGGAAGATATACCGGTTGGTTGACACCCTCACACTTGGGTTTCATGGCACCGATCAGAGTCCAGCGGCGGTTGGCTGGCCGATTTTCAGCCTGCCGCGAGTCAGAGGCTGGCTGCGTGATCTGACGCAGCTGTGCAAGATGGCTTGCAAACCATTGCTGCATCAATTAGCTTCCGTCATTGAATGAAGGCAAAACCGATAACATCTTAACTAACCATGCTGTTGAATAGAAGAGACAGAGACACGACTGTCTTCGGATCGGATATGATGTCGTATGGCTCCAGTGGTTCTTCTTCCGTGGCTTTGAGCAGAAACTCGGTTTCCTGGTAGAGTCAACAAAAAACCTCTATAATCCGGCCTCCAGGTTATATCTCCGTGATAGGGGAATATGACGTAGGGGCTTTATCTACCTTGTCTACAAGCTCCCGCTTACTCCCAGAGACCCCATTCCATAGGTCAGTAATAATATCATGAATGTCGCCCGATTCCGCAAATCGCGCAGCGGCCTTCAGCCGGACTTCCCTGTTGTCCCGAGGAGATATTTTGGTCACAATTGCTTGGTAGAATAATTAGCATAAAGAAGATAGGAAACTTTGCCGTGGGTCACCTCACCTTTGTACCATCCGCAACACTTGTCATAGTATGTTACAATTTGCGAAAGGATGAGTTGGGTGAAGGCTTGGTCATGAGGAATGCTGGACAGCATTTTACTGAACTCTCTTATGATGGACATGAATTTGACCGTACCCTGTGCGTTTGGGGGTCACTAAACTGTCAACACGCCATAAAGGACTGCACTTACCCTGAAGACCGGCCGAGGCGATACTGCAGACCACTGAGGGTCCTCTGTAAAAGCGTCTGGCGAGATAAAGCTTAGAGTACAGAGGTCCGTCACAGTTTCATCTAGTTGAGGGAGGAAGACATTGACCAAGAAGTCATCCAAGAAAGATGTCAGTGTACTCATGGCAATATCGGAGTCCGCGGGTACAATTTCCTTCAGTCGTTGAATGAAGGATAGCGAAGGCGGAAGAAGAAGGCTCATGTTGAAAACGCTCGGTTCAATGAGAATCTTATGCCCGGTTCCCGAGTTCCCTTGCCTGGACTCGGATGGATCAATGGCAGCGGTTTTCTGGCTTGATTTGGTGACCAATCCGGGAACAGAAGACCTGAGGATCTCGTCCAGCTCGTTTTGCTCTGCCTGGATTTCGGAGGTATGATCCGTATCGGATAGTTTGAACATTTTCTAGGGCTCGTGAGTAAAAAGACAACAAGCCCTCCTCACCACGGCACACACCTTGTTCTTGTCTCTTTGACCTGTATAAAGTTGACGTTTCGCCTCAGCTTCTTCTAACCTGGGCCTGAATGATGACTCCCCATCAGTAGCAAGGTAGTCATGCATAAGGGACCGGATCTTGATCGTCCATATGTCAGAAATGATCAAACAAACACATCGAGAAAATCTTTCACTCACCTCGCTTTGATAGAGCTTCCAAAGCTCCTTGAAGCCACCCGCGAGCGCATTGCCCTTTGGTATGCCTTCGCGTTCCACGATAGCTGCAATCACGTCGTGCAAGACACGATGTCCTTCAGCAATAGCCTCGAACTTGGCATACAAGGTCCACAAGTATTCGGATAATACATGGCCACGTTTCTCGATAATCTCTGTCGGGAGGTTTGTCTTGCTATCTTGTGAAGCAAAACCACGGGTCAAATTTGGATGCCTTGCATCGACCTCGGCGTTCGTTTTGTCAACAACTGCAAACAGTTCAACAGGAAGGCGTTGCTCTATCCGATCGACTGCAATGTCCAGATGTCCCATTTTGTTCAGAGCTTCTATCAGTAATTGTATATAGTAAAATGTGTCGGCCTCCGGATTCCGCGAAGCATCTTCGACCATGGGCGTGGACGCGTCCAATTTACCAAGGAATGCATACACAGGTCTCTCCCATGAGCTCGTCCCAGCCCAACTGGACGGATCGGCTCCATTTCCTTCCCCATCAGCTGTCGGTGGTTTCCACCGACTTGAGCAATAGGGGGATTTAAGGTAGAGGTGATCGTGCAGCTCCTCAATCAGTATATCGGTGAGAGAAGCTTCTTGATTCCCAAAGTAAGCACGAATGTCTGCGAGGGCCCCAATGTTCTCTAATTCAGAGCGCCGCAGAAGTCGCAAGGCATTATGCAGTACTTCAACTGCCGCAAGAAATCTCTTGTCCGATATCCGGGATTCTAGCCTTTCAGGAAGAGATTGGATCTCTTGTATTTGGCTGAACAACTGAATTATGTCGTCGTACTTCTGAGATGACGTGGCTAGTCCATTGAGCTCGGGTTTAGTCGATAGTAACCCGGATTTCGCCTCTTCTAGTGAGACCTTCAGGTTGCGAACGCGACTCTGTGAGCTCTGTATACTCGTCTGAATCTTATGATAGGTACCAATGGAACTGTTGAAACCCTGGTGATGCTCTGATTGCTTTAGCACCTCCCGCGGATAGATAAGGCGCGTGGGGAACTTACCATTAACAACCGACTTCAATGTCTTCTGGATTTTGTCATTTATACTAATGAAATCCGGCTCACGGTCTGCCTTTCCCAGAGTGCTGGTATCCATCAGTTGCAAAGCTACTTCTACCGGGATGCAGTTGTCGGAGGCCACGAAGTCCCATTCCCGCTGGACCATTTGCAGTACGTCTACGACCAATCCCGGTCATGTTAGCAAGCCTGTTCAATGTGAACTATCAAAGCAAACGTAAAGAGGGTAGATGCAATCGAACCTTCAATGGCCTGGGGACCTGCCGCATGACCGGTGACATTCTCGCCGCTGCTGTTGCTCCCTAGCCAGCTACTATCTCCTCGAGCGCGACCTTCCCGTGAGCCTAGTGCTTTCCTATCTGCCTCTCCATCCCTTGTGCGGGATCGCGACGACGAATGTTCGCCGTCCCTATCCCATCTTTCACGTCGCCCTTCTGGTGACTGGCCTGGGGACAACGATGATTGTGATGCCTCTGGATAGAAGCCACCGTATCCACCTGGGCGACGCTCCCTTTCCCCACTCCCTCCTCCGCCCGCTCCTCCATAACCGTTTACCCCCAGATTATTGCTGTTGCCATATCCGCCATCACTGCGCTCATAGCGGTTGGTGTCGGAATACCCGTATCCGGTCGCGTATGGATTTCTGCCACTCATACCAGAGTACTGACTTGGTCGGAGTTTACCGTGGGAGGGAAATGGTAGTTAGGATGCGAGGATTGGTATGCGAAGCCGAGTTAACGGATTATGTTCGGAGTCCCTAGATTCAGCTTCAAATAAGTACGGGCGCTGATGCAGTCAATCAAATAGAATAATAAGCAAGCATTATCGTTTAAGACAGAATATAAGCCAGCGAGAGGACGATTTCAGCCAGTGTTTGTTAGAGGAGGGGAAGCAAATAACTAAGTCCGGGATGCCATGCGGAGAAGGTGTCAGCTACTGTAAGAGCGGCAGTTGGGGTTGGCGGTCTCCTCCTTCACCGCCTTGTGTCATGGTTCATCCCACAATTACAATGTTTACTACTACCGCTTCAACCCCCCGACTTCTCTTCAAGGTACAAACGCACACTGGCCATCAAGATACACCCCCAACCAAATTCTCGCCCCATCTGCAAAGTAGGACTGGTCATATGGAAGGAGGACTCATCAAGTAGAAGAACGGAGGGGCACAGGCCAGGCTTAATGCAACTAAGAGCACTACATGCTCGCTATTATATTGATTGTTTGACCTAGTCTCTAGAGGAACGGCAGGGCGCCCAATGGCTGAGATACATATATATTCATGGCTCGTCTCCAACGCATGTGTCAAATCAATAAGCCGAAGATTGAGGCCATTTCAGTACTGACAGCATAAAGCCGCTATCCTTTTCCGGATCGGACATCGTTCCTCATGATATCACGGATTGACTGAGCTATTTGGAGATGGGTTGGGTCTCACGCTGAAGCCAACTACGTGTGTGTTCGTCGTTCTCGAAAAAGTGATGAGTCTTATCCCACACCTCTGCGTGGTAGTCATTCACCCACTTGATTTCATGGTCGCCGAGGAGGGATGCGTCAATCAGATTGCGGCCCACCGGAGCCATTGTGACATGCTCGAAGCCCAGCCATGGCTTTTCACCGAACTTGTGAGTGGTTTGCACTTCACGTGCCATAATAACATCTAAAATACACCGTCAGTCGCTCATCGGATGGAACCTGTTTCGGATGGGAACCATACTCTCAATGCGAATGCCAAATTTTCCGTCCTCGTAAAATCCAGGCTCTGCTGCTGTCAGAAAGTGGCTTGTCAAGTATGGGGCCAGCGGGCCATACCGTCAGAGATAACGTTGCCTGGAGCGATCGGAACTTCTGTGTATTGGACACGGGTGCCGATGCCAATGGGACCCTCATGCACATTCTATTGATACAGTCAAGTTAGCGACCATATACTTCAGTGAGATTTTCTGTAGTACTTACCAGATAAGAGCCAATTCCGTGTCCCGTTCCGTGGAGATAGTCAAGGCCCTCCTTCCACAAAAACTGTCTGGCAAGCGCATCAAGCGCAAATCCACTAGTGCCTTTAGGGAACACTGCAGTGTCAATAGCAATGAGACCTTTGAGAACCAGGGTGAAGGCTTTCTTCTCCAGCTCAGTAGGATGTCCAAAATGGAACGTCCTAGTCACATCAGTAGTGCCATCCAGATACTGGGCGCCAGAATCGCAGAGATAGATGGCGGTGGGGTCAATGATAGAGCAGCTTCCTTTCTCAGGCTTGTAATGAATGACGGCTCCATTAGGACCTGTGGAGGAGATAGTATCGAAGGACAGGCCGGCATAGAGATCATGTTTGGATCTGATCTGTTCCAGCTTATCCGCCGCATCCACCTCATCCAAAGTTGTCTTCTTGTTGATTAACTCGTTTTCGAGCCAGGCGAAGTACTCGATCAAGGCCGCGCCATCGCGAATATGACAGGCCCGCATTCCCGCAAGTTCCGCATCATTCTTGATGGCTTTAGCATCACCGATAGGGCTGCGAACTTCCTCGACCTGCTCTTCGCCTCCCAGGCTAAGGCTAAGAGCCCATGAAGCCTTGTTCGACAGGAGGAACTTAGGGGCTGCTCCAGTTGCATCTTGCTTGCGCGCTTCGCTGAGCGCTTTAACGTCTGCGAAGATAGAGCCATATGGCTTAATGACGACATCCTGGCCAAGGTGAGCTTTCACCTCCGGCGTCAGCTTATCGTCATCGACATAGAGGTCGACGGTAGTGGGCGTGATAAGAGCGTATGAGAAGAAGACCGGGTTGTATGGGATGCTGGGATGCGTTAGCGAAAAAAGCGAAAAAAAAAAAAAAAAAAAAATTTAGGTGGAGCAGAGTCTGGGCTCCTGGACTTACTCAGAACCTCTCAGGTTGAACAGCCACGCGATCTCGTCCAACATGGCTATTGTATCCGTTAGTCAGGCTAACCTGGAGGTGAAGGGCGATAGTATAGCATTACATATAACAAAGCCGGCTGCCTTCTTGTTTTCCAGCTCCTTGCGCAGGTCGCTAATTTTGTCTTGGAAGCTCTTGCCCGCATACTTCGCTGAGTGAACTCTCACCACTTCCCTTGGAGGAGCCGGTCTGTCTTTACCCCAAACCAGATCAACTAGGCTTTGCTCGACACCCACTAGTGATGATCCATTCTTCTTCAGAGTCTCTGAAAGACTACGGGCGCCCGCTATGAACTCTTAGCATTTCGGCGGATCTGTAGATCGGCGAGGTTGCTCACCGGGTGTGATCAGAGCCGGGTCGACACCAACGATTTTTCCTCCCTCGGCCTGTTCGGTAGTCCTAGACCCAATTCAGTTTCCAGCTCATATGTGTCCATGGAGACCTCATACCATTCCTGCCAGGTTGGAACACCCTCAACACCCCGCTTCAAGAGCGCCCAGTTGCCGTCAAGCTGCTTAGAAGCCTGGTTGAAGTATCTACCATCTGTAGAGAGTGCTGCCTTTGACATGGACACGATTGCTGTTCCTGCTGATCCGGAGAAACCCGAGATGAATTCTATCGGAAAACAAAGAAGCGTGAGTTACATGGCGACGAATACCAGGCGCATGGGCGAAAAGAGTCCGAATTGGGAAAAGACGGAAGGCGGAATTCTAACCTCGACGGCCATCACATGGGGCAATGTATTCGGACTGGTGGCTATCTTCCGAAGGGACGACTTTGGACACAATTAGAATGCAACTTGGATAAAAGAAGATGAATCAAGGTAAAGTGATGTCATACTGTATACATCAACCCTGTGCTCCTGCATCAACTGCCTTAACCTTGTCAGGCGCTCAGAGGTGTCTACGGTTTCCATGTCGGCGATAAAGCGCGGGGCGGAGCTGGAAAAGAGCCTGGAACGGGGGAGGGGTAACTTGCAAGCCGATCGAAAAGCTGAAGACCAAGCAAGGCGAATTGGAGGGCGAGAAAAGAGCATCGACTGGCGAGGATTGGCAAAAGGAAGCTGCAAGTGTCCGAGCAGAAGGTGGCCTTGGATCCAAAGAGTCCAAGAACACAGCTCTCAAGGTTGCACGGAGCAAGCAAGGGCTAATGGGGGGAGGGCGGGGCAAGAGGAGGGCTAGTTATAGCTGGAATTTCCGAGGGAAGGTCGTGTGCGCAAGTAAGATTGAAGTTGGAAATGAGAGACTAGGACGACAAGCAGCAGCAGCTGGGGGGGCATTGGGAGGTGGAAGCGAGACGGAAGTGGGTATACCGAGGCGAAGGTCCGCCAGGGCTCCGTTGGAGCTCCGGTTTTGGCGGCGGCGGTGGGTTCCTTAGTTACTACGGAGTACGGAGTACTACGGGGAGGTAATTGCCACGGTCGGTATTATTACCGTACGTCATTTGGGTATGTCTCGTGTCAAAGATCGGGCAGGGCTTCAACCTGATCCGGAACTTGACATCCATAATTATTATTATTGACGATTATTATTCCACAGGGGATGACTATACATACATGCCGTTGGGGCAGCTGCTGACCTGCTTTCCCTGAAGAGCATTTATTTTTTTCGAGGAGCTCAGGATGCTGGTTTAACGGTCTGCAGGATCAGCAGGATGTGGTGGTTAAGCGGTTAAGCTACTACTATGACACCACAGCGGATACTATAAGTGAATGCCCACACTGACTGGTGCGCACCCAATCACCCTCGAATGAAGCAAATGGTTCTTCCATACTCCTTGGACTCATTCCTTACTACCATCCACTGGCAGTGGTGTTGCTCCTCCCATCCTTTCTGTCTTACTTTCACCCATTCGCATCCCACCTTCCTCTTCCATTCACCGCCTGCTCCTTCTGTAATAGCACTATCAGCACGTGACACCCCTTTCACCATCTCTCAACCAATCTATATCGCGCCAGTGACTATCCCAGCCTAAAGAAGGCCTTCACTATTTCGGCCATGTCTGTGGACATCCCAGGCCAAGCCCCAGACGTGCAACTCCTCATCAATGAGGCTAAAACAGTAAGCTGAAGAGGTTCTCCAAGGTCCACAGGATTGAATATTCGCTAAGGCATATCATATCTATCTTTAGCTTGTGTCCCAACTCTATGATCCGGGTAATACTGGGAACCCCGCCAAGATCAAAGCTATCCAGGAACACCTGCAGAGTCTGCAAAAAGGTCCCCAGGCGTGGCTGATTGCCAATCATCTTCTTAGTGATGGCAGCACGGACCTGAGGTTCTTCGGTGCCTTGACTTTCACAGTTAAAATCAATCAGGATTGGTTCGTCTCATCCCGATTATCTTTTCTCTTATTATTCTTCAGTACAATTTTGGGACTAACTATTTCTTTAGGCAAAGTCTAAGCTCAGAGGAGGCCCAGGAGCTCCTGGGACGGCTCATAGAGCATTATGTCTTCTTGGTGAATGGGGGTGAGCGGCCTCTGGTCATACGGAAGCTAGCTTCAAGCCTGGCAACAATTTTCCTGAAGCCGAACGCTCCCTGGGCCCGAGCACTCTGCAACCTGGCAGCATCGCTGGCAGATGGGAAACATGTTTCTGAAGAGTACTGCAAGTCGATTGATCTGCGAAATGCTGTGCTCCCGGCTATGTCCGAGCGCCAGGTAACTTCGCTGCTCTATTTTTCCAACATCCTAGCCGAGGAGATCCACAGGTGGAGCTCGGAGCCAAGACGGAGCAGAGAGGAGCACCACATATACGTGAACATCAAGGATGCCTTTGTGCTTGTTGATTTTGTTCTTAGTCATATCATGCAGCAGCACGCTTCGGGCATCCCTGTCTCAGATGAAATATTAGGAACTGAAGTCATAAATTCATATCAGGTGGGTTTCTACGATCTGATGGCCTTTGCTAGTATATTCATATCTGACTCTTGAATATCAGGCATGGATGAATGTACGGAGTGCAATTCAGCTGCGTGACTCGTTGTCTGCCCTGGACTTGGCCTCCACGACGACCTATGTGATCCAGAGTATGAAGGTTCCTGGGCTGTCCAAGTCCGCAACGCAGGTCGTGGTCGAGTTAATAGATTGGCGGGACAGTATATTCACTCAACATCATCTCACTGCTATCATGGACTATGTCATCAGTGATCTTGGAACTGCGCATGTCGCATCACTGCTTGAGTCTGACTTTGAGGACGAAAACATGACATTCTTGGAACTTCTATTGGCATATGCGACGTTGAAGCAGAGGGATCTTCTGACAAAGCAATTGGACTCGCGGCATGCAAAAATGCTCTCTCTCCTCCACACACTATTCAAAGCTCCTGGATATGCGGCGGTAGATGACCCAGCATCACCACTGGTTATCGAATGGTGGACAGAAGTCGCCGACGATCTTCAGGATACATACATGAATTCGGAAGATCAGACGGGGCTGGAGCCTGCCAAACACAATTTGGCACAAGCGGCTCTGGACTGCTTCGAGAAACTCAAATATCCTACTCCGGAAGAGCTACAAGGCTGGGGTGACGATGATCGCAGTGAGTTCGGTGCGTTTCGGCGTGACGTGTGCGATTTCCTTTTAGCCATCTATCCTATGTTAGGGGTTGGACTTGTCCGAGTTTTCCAAGAACAAGCTAGATTGTCACTGATACAACAGGAATGGCGCACATTCGAAGCCGCAATTTTCTGCATTGCCCAGCTTTCGGAGGCGGTCGATGAGAACCAACACGCTGATGAGTGCCTGAATTCGATATTCTTCTGTGACGAGTTTGCTCGCCTGTGCGAAGGCAACGGGGTGGTAATCCCAGATAAGCCACGCCAAACATTGGTGGATATGCTGGGAAAGTACCAGTCCTACTTTGAACGCACGCATGCTTTGCTCCCCCGTGTTCTTACGTTTCTTTTCGCGTCTCTTGATGTCGCCTCCTGCGCGCCGACGGCATCCAAATCGATTGCACATCTTTGTAAATCGTGCCGCAATGCTCTTACCTCGGAACTTCCAGCATTTATTGACCAGTTTGAGCATTTCCGCTTCAAGCCCACGGCCACCGCCCATACCATGGAAAAGGTGTTGGAGGGGATCGCCGCCATCATACAGACCTTGCCTACCGATGAAGCGAGGTCACAAATTCTGGAGCGGATTCTCAGATTCTTCCATGGACAGGCAGAGGCAGCCCGGGATGAGGTTGTTCGCGGTTTGGTGGAGCAGGCTCAAATCCGTGGCCAATTTGTATTGCGTTGCGTTGCAAGTATTGGCAAAGGTCTGAGAACCGATAGTGAAGTTAACTTGGACTCGAATGACCTGGGGGATGGCGACCCCTATCCCCCAACGTTCTGGAACACTGGCAGTGGTGCTGTGTCTCAGAACTTGATCATGCAGTGCATGCAGCTGCTCATAACGGATTTCCCAGTGGATGTGACCGTAATCGAAGCCGCATGCGACATATTGAAGGCAGGCTACACAGAAAAGTCTGGGCCATACGTCTTCCCACCGATGATGACCGTTGACTTTGTCAAAAGCATACCTTTAGGCAGTGTTGGGACCGACATGGTGATGGGCACGGCTTCCGCGTTCCTTGCGTCTCATAGCTTACACCCCCAGCGAATCCGTGATGAGACGGTCGCCTTGATAGTGCATGTGTACGATACTTTCTGCTGGATGCACGAGAAGCCGGCCTACTATGATCCAGAAGTCGCCAATAGCGGCATCGATTTTCTGACACGCTTGCTCGCCAAATACCACCCATTCCTATTTGCGCTCACGTCGACACCCCAAGAAGCTAGCCAGGTAACCTCGACTGACGGCAGTGGCTTTCAAAGGCCATCGGTTCTTGAGGCCGTTCTGAATTTCACCCTCATTTCGTTGCAGGGTCCCGAGCCACTTCCTCTGCGTTCGGCCTCTCAGTTCTGGGTGAGCGTTTTGAACCTCCCGAGCGACAGCGGGCCTATTCAAAACGCCATTCATCAGTGTCTTCCTGCCCTTTGCCGCATCCTGATGAATCAGGTGGCCGGCCGATGTGCCCGGTCAGACCTGGAACATCTGTGTGAAGTGCTTCGGAAGGTCATCTTCAGACAGCAAGGAGCTGCGCGCCCACACCTGGCTGCGGCCCTGGCTGAGCTAGGCAGTACTGACAATTCCAGTCAGCACCAGGGCCCGTCTACCTCGCCCGAGGATAGGCAACGCTTCCTTGCATCATTGTTGGCTGCAAGGGGTGCCAGAGCGCAAACCAGTCAGCTGGCGCGCACGTTCTGGGTCAAATGTCGGGGAGTAAGCTTCGACTATGTTGGGTAGATGATGGGGGGGGGTAAACCGGCGGCAATTTGTGACAGCATTGGGAACAGAAGAGAAAGAAATAAACTGAAGTCGCTAGCATTGGATTCCCCGAGTAAAAAAAAAAAAGAGCAAAAGAAAAGGAGAAAAATGAAGTATAATATAAGTCCAAAGTGAGGCAGTAACGGAGACAACGCACCGAGCCGCAACGGGGGTTGAAAGCAGCGCTGGCTAAGAATGTGTGAGTTCCCCATAGGTCCATGGCAATGACTGATGCAGACGCTCAGCTACCGAGTACCAACGTTGTCTACAAGAACTGTGCGCTGGCCAGTTGTCGATCTGCCTGTGCGCCCGGCCTTTCAGCCACTTGGGGCGGTGCAGCCAGCCCGGCCCTAAAGGAAGACCAGAAAGAAAGACATGCATCGGTTTCAGCCTTTCAGGTTCGGCCTTTCAGATCGGGGTCGCCTCGATTTTTCGCCCGCCGAGTGCTGCTAAATTAGGGGGATCGGCTGTGAATACTAATACGGTGGGGCCTTTGCCCCTTAGCCATGGCAAACAAAAGACCCATCCAGGGCCCTCTTTTAAACATGGCTGTGATGTTGCCGCCCTCTTCTTTTACTCTCTTCTGTCGCACTTACTCCATCTCACCATTTCCCGCGGCACCTCATAAATGACCTCCCAACATGCCGCTCATTGCCAACACTCCAGAATCCGTGTTAAATCGCACCGACTCGCTTGACCCGGCCGCAACCTGTCGCGGCCTGACCTCGAATGGGCGGCCATGTCGCCGTTCTCTGGCGTCTTCGCCGCTATCAGCGTCCGCGGCTGGGAAGCAACAGCAGACTGACGCGTCTGAAATGTACTGCTGGCAGCACAAGGATCAGGCAGTGTCAGTGTCGCAGCAGAACCCTGGACCGAACCCTTTGCCATTGAAGCCCCGCGGCAGCATTGACACATTAATGGAACGGTTAGGGTTGCTGGACATTAACGAGGCTGGGACGTCAGAAAAGCGTCGCAGACAACGGAAGCCAGCGCAGAAAAGGCAGACCAAACGAACGATCTGCTGCTGCTTCGAGGTCATAGAAGAGGAGGACATCCAGCCACCACGACCAGTCAGTGCGCCCACTGCCAAACCGCAACAGCCATCGGGCAAGACATCATCGCGGATTCCGTCCCTGTCGCCCCATCAGACGCCTTCCTCGGGAACAGACGACGACCCTCTTGCATGGATTCCCACCGGTCTCTCGCCGGAGACACTATCCAACCTCACCAATGAGCTCGCCAAGCCCATCTCGGAGAAAGACGAGCCAGGCTACATTTACATGTTCTGGCTGACGCCCACGACATCCGATTCCAAGGGCCCTCCGCCTTCCGAGGTCGCCTCGTCCCTGCTGCCACCGACCTCCTCCCCGGGACGGGACCGCCGCGTAAGTGATGCCCTTCGAACCGCTCGCTATCTCAACGCCTTGGCGTCGGCACCCACCAGTGACAGCCCCGGCACGATCCGATTAAAAATCGGGCGGGCCAACAACGTCCAACGACGACTGAATGAATGGTCGCGGCAATGCAGCCACGAGATCAGCCTGATCCGCTATTACCCCTACACGCCCTCCACCCCCCAACCCTCGCCATCCCGACGTGGTGCCCAGCAGCACGACGACAGCAGTAGCAGTACTCTCGTCCCCGGACGCAAAGTGCCCCATGTCCATCGCGTGGAGCATCTCATCCACCTGGAACTATCCGACGTGCGGCTCCGCAACCTGGGCAAATGTCCCGACTGCGGGAAAGAGCATCGCGAATGGTTCGAGGTTCCGGCGGAGAAGTCGTCTCTCAAACGAGTGGACGACTGCATACGCAGATGGGTCAAATGGGCCGAGATGCATTAACCGCAGCTCCTGCATTAGGCATTACCACTCGGGCACAGCTAGAAGGAACGTACGTGCTGCATCTTGAATTGCTCTCGCAAATGCAATGCACATACATCCCTCTCAGCAATCCAGCCCAGGCCGTGCCTTCCGCTCCCTCATCTTAAAGCCCCGTAAGCATAACAATAGCACCATACCATATCCATATCCATATCCATATCCTACCCATCTCCATTTTTATCCTCAAAGACACCCCCCCACCCCCTCCCCATGCCACATCCCCACTCTTCCTCCCTCGGCAATTCCCTCCACTTCATCATTCACCTCGGCGATCAAAAACCTCCTCACCGCCCACCCTCCAACCTTATACACCACCCATCCAGACCCCCAAACCCCCACCGCCACCAGAGTAGTACCCACCACCACAGGCCCCAACACCAACATTGCAAAACACGAAAACACCGCCACTGCAAACACCGCACTCACCAGCGCCCCAACGACAAACATACACACCGGAATCCCAGAGAACAGCACCTGCACGAACAAGAAGGTCGCGAGGATGGGGTGCGCGGTCACAGTAGCGGATATTTTGTTCCCAAAGGAGTGTAGAGCTGTCGGGTTGGGCGTGTGAGAGAGCGCGGAGGAGTGCGAGGAGGTCGTGGATCTGGGCCAGGAGCCGTGAGTAGACTCTTCGCAGTCATTTCCGGGGAAAGAAGGTGTCTCTGTGGTGGGTGCTGGTTCTGGTTCTGGCTCTGGTTCTGCTTGTTTTGGAGGATTCGTGTAGAATAGTGAGGACTGTACGGAGGATTTGATTGTAGCTGATGGTCCGGGTGCTGGTGTCGGTGTCGGTGATCTTGAGGTAGGAAATTGGGAAGGGATCATGGGGTCGATGGCAGTGTAGAGATCGGAGAAGGGCATTTTGGTATTAGTATTAGTTATTAGTTCTTAACTATTCAGAGTATTCCCCGGAGAATGAAAGAGAGTGTGTGTATGTGTGTGTAGTTAATGTAACGATGAAAATGACAATGAATGTATGGTGAGTTGGTAGATGCAACAATCATCGAGAGCGAGGAAAGAAAGCTAGGTGGGTAGTAGTGGTGGATACTGGATAGAAACAGAGCTAGGTAGGTGAAGGCAGGTGGACTAGACCGGGTAGTTCTTTCCTTGCCTGCAAGAAACTAAGGAACTGCCAGTATTGGTCACTGGGGTTCGTATGGTATTATTGCCGGGGGCGTATGGTAAGTTATGCCTTGTAAGGCATGTGCATCATGCAACCGGTTCCTACAGTACTAGGCTCGCCGGGACGGAATCTGTCTGGTCGGGATTTGACAAGAGATTACGACTCGTAAGAGTTCTAGACCTATACTTTTGTACTTGGCCGGGGTGAGAATTGAGTCAATTGATTCAATTGATTCACCGGTGTGATGGTGCTTCCAGCGATATCGCCCGATCTGCAGGCCGCTAGGCGATAAGTAGTGAAGTGTGCGGCTGCTGCTGCTTTTGTGAGGGCATCATGTGGGTACCATATTCTCTGTACTATAAGCTCTGGACTATGCACTGATTACGTACTCTCCAGTTAATTGGAAACTACAGAGTATACTGATCCCAGAGCAGGTGTGGCTCGAGTATAGTACATAGTAGACATCCTTTTAATCTATAGAGTACAAGAACCATCCACGCAACCATCCCGCCCCAAATTCCAACTATGAAACCGTCAAGATCCCCGCGCCCACCCGATCATCAGCGGGGATCTCCCTCGGTTCATCGATATACCCACGGTTCGAACTGTCGCCTGCATTGGGGTTGCTTGTGCTGTTACCGCCTGTCTTGGACGTAAACGGCGGATTTCTTTTCTCGGAAGGAAGAACGGAGCTAAGGATATGTCGGGACACAGAGTCTTCGTTCCGTCTGTTCTCCAGATGGCCAGCGGATTTCCGTTTTGGCCTACTGGTATGAACTTAACAGGATATTAGTGGCGATGATCTGCTGCTCCATGCTAATTGACTGATCCCACTCCTCGGTATACCATTTGATGCCACAGGTATTGTTGCCTACTCCACTGCAGGATAGGGCGGCCGCTTGGGCAGACGCTTGCAGTTTTGGGAAGATCTGGTCGTAGGTATCTGGGACTATGAGAGCAACGGACGTGAGCCGGGGGGCGACGATGCCATTGGAGAGGATTTCATTGAAGTTGCAAAGCGAGTTCGGTTCGCAGAGATACTCGGCGAAGGTCTCGCCGTCGTATTCTTCAGGGAAGAACTGATCCAGGAGTCTGTCGATGAGGCCGTCGACCGCTTCTTTCCATTCATCTTTCTCGGTGTTATTGTACATATACGCCGCGCCTGTTCGATACGCCCCGTAGTTGTAAGACCACTGCATTTCCAGAGTGACCAGGGTATTGTACTGGTCGTCGCCAGTGCAGGACCAGTAGAGAATCAGGATCCCAAACAGCACGCTGCCCTCCCACCATTTTTCATGGAATGCACCCGGGATTCGGCCGGTCCGGTTACCAGAGTATCATAACAGTGATCCATGTGCGGTCTGCGAGGCTGCATCTCAAATTGATTCTGGGAAGAACGTGAATTAGCACGAATCGTTTAATAGATTTGAGTGCACAGACAGACGTACGAGAATCATCGAGTTGAATTTGAAGCGCAGAAAGGCAGTTAAGCGTGGTCAACGCGGCCCCTATCATTGCAAGACGCATGGATTTCAAGAATAAATGTTCATGATCACGAAAATGGGAGAGGCTCCGGGGACTCCAGCAAGTTTTTCACTTTTTATCTGCCGGTTAAAGCAATGCCCTTTGGTTCTTTCCATGTTGCACCAAATACCTTGGCAGTCAGCATGCGGATTTAAACAAAGCAGACCTTGGTTGACATCATGGTTGACACCATTACAGGCCTCAGAAGTCAGAATACGATGCGCACAAATAAGACCATAAACAAATCCTTCTACAGCCCAATGTCGAGAGTTATACCTTCAGAATCAGGATCAGCTGGACCCTCAGGCCCCTCAGGAGTCTCGTAATCATGAATGGAAAATCTAGTCGCTGGAATATTAGAGCTGCCATGGACATCCTTCACCCGTGTACTTGGATTCGTTGTTCCTCTCCTTAGTATGGCTCCCTCCTTGACTGTTTCTCCTGGTGATGCTGCATCTGGGATTACTATGATGTGTAGGTTATATATTGTAGTATGACCTGAGCAAGATGCGTATATTGACCGCAGCAATAGCCCTAGTTGCTATGCATTGTATTGTCCAGAGTGGAGGCGGAGATGGAAGTGTGCAGGGGATAAATACAGATCGATTAATCTACTACTAAGATGGCATGCATCTCGATGCCAAGTTCAGTAGCTCCCGGGATGCTCCGTGACTGCTATTGTTAGTTCATAACTATCTGCTCACTGAGGGTCCTGCGGGCCTCGCAAGCCCCATTTTCGGAATCATTTTCGGAACTATGTTCGGAACAGTCACTCTGTTGCTTACTGGGTTGAGTGTTGGGAATGTCTAACATATCATCCACCCTGTTTTACTACTCATATTCTTCAATATTACACATGTAGTCACAGATAATGTGTTCATGGCTCGTGTCAATCAATGTACAGGACAATCCGCCTCAACAGTTTAAACAATGCAACAAGTCTTCTTGATTAACTTTTCAAACGCCCACGTAGAAAACCCAAGTACCTGGTTTTTGGCCCTTTACCAGCCCCGTTTGGCCAGCTTGTCAGCCTCGGGCAAATGAGAGACGTTGATGCCCACCATGGCCTCACCCAAGCCCTCGCTCACCTCCGCCAAAACCTTGGGGTCGCGGAAGTGAGTGACGGCCTGCACAATAGCCTTGGCGCGCTTCTTCGCGTCGCCCGACTTGAAGATACCGGAACCGACGAACACACCATCGCAGCCCAGCTGCATCATCAGTGCCGCATCGGCAGGAGTGGCAACGCCACCGGCTGCAAAGTTCACCACGGGCAGACGGCCCTTCTCCGCCGTCTCGCGAAGCAGCTCGTAGGGGACCTCCAGCTGGCGAGCGAGTTGGCGCAGCTCGGGCTCGTAGTCAGGGGAAGATTGAAGGATGGCACGGGCGCGGGCAATGTCTGAGTTCACCTGACGCATGTGCTTGACGGCTTCCACGACATCTCCAGTGCCGGCCTCACCCTTGGTGCGGATCATAGCAGCACCCTCGGAGATACGGCGGAGGGCCTCACCCAAGTTGCGGCAGCCACAGACGAAGGGAACCTTGAAGTTGTGCTTCGTGACATGGTAAACGTCGTCGGCAGGGGTGAGGACTTCGGACTCGTCGATGTAGTCGACGCCAATGGCTTCAAGGATCTGGCGGAAGATGGTTAGCCGGAGGGCGATATTCACAGGAGGGAACTGCGATTGTAATTTACCTGGCACTCAACAAAATGGCCAATACGAGCCTTAGCCATGACGGGAATGGTAACGGCCTCCTGGATCTCCTTGATCATGCTGGGGTCGGACATACGTGCCACGCCACCCTGTGCCCTGATATCGGCAGGGACACGCTCGAGGGCCATGACAGCAGCGGCACCGGCGTCTTCGGCAATACGAGCCTGGTAAGAAGTTCAACGTTAGAACAATTGTAAGTGCAAGGCTCATGCAAGAGCATACCTGTTCCGCATTGACAACATCCATGATAACGCCACCCTTCAACATCTGGGCCAGGCCGGCCTTGACAGTGAAGCCATTGGCGGCGGCGCTGTTGGAACCTCCGTTCTGCTGGGAAGCCATTGTGTATGAGAAGAGGAATTCTAGAGTATTAGAAACAAGAGTATGTACGAGAGCAGAAGTCAAGAGAAGGAATGAAGCCACCCAAGAGAATGGAAGAAAGAGGCAAGGATAGGGGGAAGACGAAAAAAAGTAGGCGGCAACAATGAGTCAAAGGCCAGTGACAGTCAACTAAGTAACAGACGCCGCCGGTTCGCCTCCGGAGTCCCAATGCATTGGGCCTACCACAGCCCGTTCCTGCTTTACCCCTCGTTGTCTCTCCGCGGCTCCGGGTTTTTCCATCCCGTCACTCTGGAGAGGGCGGAGGTCACAGCCAATCACGGCCCCGCCGTCCCTCCTTCGGTCTCCAGAGCTTGCTTCACGTGATGACGCCGCGCGAACTTTCCGCGGCTTTCCAGTCCGGCGTATTTATTGTATGGCCGCGTCATGCCGTTTCCGTGTATGGTCACGTATTACCCGGCCCTTTCCACCTCAGCCATCCATCGCTCCAGGCTCATGTCAACCTCAATCACATCTGCTCTGAGCCATTGTCTGGAAGAATCGATCAGCCGCTCTCAGAAACCAGCACCTCACGATCCATTACCTATCCCCATGCCATCCAAACCCTCCCCCAGGCACCTTCCCTCCGCGCAGCAACCACCTCAGCCGATCCCCCCGTGACGTCACCGCGCGCATACCGACGGCGCATCTCCAAGACCATAACGATCTCCATCTCCCTTTCCTCCCATCCCTACAATCCATCCTCTCCAGCTCAGCAGTGCTACCCAACCGGCATCAACTGCAATCAATTCTTCCACCCTACCGTCAGTAAACTCACAAAACCACCTCGTTTCCAGCTCAACACCACCTCAGCCAAACCCACCGCTCCAACCCGTCGCAACCAACCAACTCCCAGTCAGCCAAAATGGCATCCTTCCTCCTCTCCCGTACAACCACCACTATCCTAGGCACCGGCCTGGGACTCGGTCTCACTTTGTCCCTTCATCCACTGTCCCCCTTCCGTGCCGCTCCAATGCAATGCCAATACAATGCTCCCTACTCCCGCACCGACACTCAGATCTCTCCGGACTCGGGCTGGGCCATTGACTCCCAAGACCCATTATTGCGCAAGCAGGGCGCAACAAAATCAGGGAGCGGGATTCTGACGGCCTCCAACATGCGCCAGGTGAGCTTGGGGAGCGTGCTGGGACTTGTCGTTGGGATGGGGCTGAATGCGTTTTCGAGAGTGTTGGTGGTTTTGTTGGGGATGGGGATCGTCGCGGTTGAGGTGAGTTTTTGCTTATTCTTTTCCCCCTTATAGATAACGATATTGTTTTGTTGCCCCAGTGGTGGTTCATGAGAATGTGTTGGCTAATTGAGTTGGTTATAGTGGGCTGCAGCGAGAGGATATAATCTGCTTCCTGTCAACTCTGTCCAGAAGTATGTCAAGCGCGTGGATCTGCAGAAGGCCGTGTCGCATCATATTCCGTTCAAGATGAGTTTTGGAGTCACGATGGGTCTGGCTGCGTTTGCGCAGTTTTAGGTCGGTCGTTAGAATGAAATATGTCGGGGGAGTGTGCTGCGTGTAGATATCTATGTTGTTTAGTCGTACGCAAAAGAACGAACCCCCAGACTTGGATTAGTTAGTCAATTGCCGATAACTATACTATGTTATGTTATACAGGGTATCACGGGTTCATGCAAGGCGCTGTCGACATTGATCGTTGTGCTGCGTTCATTCCATCAGCTCAGAACCAAATCTTCCAAAACACCCTCCATCTCGTCTCGCGCCAGAGGGACCCCCAGGATCTCCATCCCACTCGTGTCCATCCGGGATGTAATCATCTGATGGTCGTGGAATTCCTTCAGTAACGTCCGGAACATCATCTCCGACGAGGCGATGAACTCTTCCGCCGCCTTTTGGTACAGCAGCCGGAATTCGATTCCTGTTTCCTCTCGGTTGTTATCTGCCGCCTGGCCGCCATCTCCGTCGTCGTCGGACAAGTGCCCTTCATCTGCCATCGACAGCAACTCGGTGAGGAGCAACCGGTACAGGTTCCGGGCGTTCTCCGGAAGACTCTTCAACACAAACTCGACACCCTCTTTGCCACCCACGCGGTGTCCCTTGCGGCCTAGTAGTGTGCTAACCTCCTCGACAACGTCGAACTCGGTATCGAATGGAGAAAAGGTCGTGCAATCGTGGAAAACAAAGTTGAATTGGTCGCGGAGGCTCAGATCCCACATCAGCAGGAGGTTCGGGGTATCAGCTGTCGCGAGAAGATGGATTTTAGGCGTCGCTGCCAGTCGGGCAAGGAGGGCTTGGTTTGCTGCTCTGCGGAGGGACGGGGCATCGATCGAATTGATGAGAACGGTGATGGGTTTCTGAGACGCTCGTGTCTTTAAGACAGACTGTAACAATTCCAACACTTCTTGTGGCTGGGACCCCATCTTGGATGGGATATCAGCTCCTAGAACTGCCGTCACAATAGTAGCGAAGATAGACCGGATTGAGATGTTGGGGGTGTGTCCGTTGATAACGACCACGGAGCGTGACGCGGAACTATGCCGATGATAGAGCCAATCCGCGAATTCCTGAAGGAGTCGACGCTTGGAGCCGTATCCGTAAAGACAGATATTGAATCCTTGGTCAAACTCGAAATCCCACTGAGGGAATGACCGACAATGCAGATCCAGGAGAAAAGACTTTTCTTGTTTATACGGGTCCACGTACTGCGACATTTTCTCGAAGTACTCCTCGTGCGTCAATAGCGTCATTTTCCCAAGGTTGTTATTCGATGTACGAGGTGGTCCGGCTCGGTTCTGGAAGAAGTAACGCTCATGAGCCGGTAACTCTCCCTCTGGTGTAGGAGAACGCTTGTTCTTTGCGCCCTTCGGTCGACCTGCACGACGTTTGGGTGTTGGCGCCGCCCCATCGCTCGTGGCTGGTTGACCAGGCTCCTCCTCGATGGATTCCAAGACACCCTTCTTGGTTGTAGATGCTTGTTTCTGAACCTCATTGTCATCCTCCAAGATTTCCTCCGCCAATCGGTCAGCGCCATCCCAGACGTCCTCGTCGTTTTGTTCGAGTAGTAGGCGTGCGCTCTTCTTCTTAGCGGACCGGTCGGCACGAGCTTTGGTTGGTGATGCAACGGCGGTTTTCTTCGTGGGTGTCGAGAATAGAGCTTTGGCTTTACCCTTATGTGTTGGAGTCCTCAGTCCGGAGGCCTTGAGGGCAGCCGGGGTTTCGGCTGCTGGTTTTTGGGGTGTGGATTTCACTCGTTTCGAAGGGGTGGTTTCCGGGGATTGTTCGCCCTCCGTATGCCCATTTACGGTGCCATTGGCAGCCGCAGCCCTCTGCCTCTTGGGAGTAGAGATGGGAACCTGATCATCGGGACCTGAATGCTTGCGTTTCATTTTAGTCAATGGGTCCGGGATCGAAGCAGTTTTGGGCGAAGAACAAATACCATCGAGGGCACAAACAGGGGCTCTCGAGCTCCAAAAGGACGAGGAGCACAACGAAGACGCGAGGGAGAAGCTAGGAATGCTGATCGCTGATAGATCTGCCGGTCCTCGTGGCTTTTTTGCGATGGGCGCGTCTGGAACACGCGCCGTAGGGCCGACGGTTTCTCCGATTCCGCGATATCGGAGCGGCATTTCATCGCCGCGAATCGCATCACTTGCTTCGGCAGCTTCCCCTCCTCGCCGGTGCATTGGGTCTGTCCGTCTCAATTTCTCTTCAGGAACGCTCATCTGGTCGTCTGGCGGTGGTCTGCGCATCCACTTTGCCTGAAAAGATTAGCCGGCCGTGAGCTCCTGACCAGCGAACGAGTCAATTCGGTGAGTCATTTATCTGCCGGTCCCATCTACTGCAGGTATATCTACCCAAGCACCTCGCGTTAGCCCTGGAGAAGCATCTGCACCCATTGGCATCCCCCATATAAACTCCCTCGGTCGCAGAAGCAAGGACTGACCTCTGCTCTATCTGCACCAGGATTCCCAATGGCTATGCCTACCCACTCAGCAGCCACCACCACCATGGCCGCCTTCGCCCGCATGGTGAAGGGCCAGGTGCGTCACTACTCCGCGCCCTTGGACATGGCCATTCCCGCCTCCAAGCAAAAGTACATCCCTTCCTCCGGCTCCTATCCCAAGGGCTTCTTCGTCTCCGGAACCCACGTCGGCGTGAAAGCCTCCAACACCAAGTTCCCCGACCTGGCCCTGATCTCCTCCGAGACTCCATGCTCCGCGGCCGCGGTCTTCACCACCAACAAGTTCCAGGCCGCCCCCGTGCAAGTGAGCAAAAACACCCTGAGCTCCACTCAGGGCCATGGCATTCGGTCTGTGGTCATCAACTCCGGCTGCGCCAACGCCGTGACAGGCAAAGGCGGCCTCGAGGATGCTGTGAGCATGGGCTCAAAAGTGGACGAATGCAACGGCCTCACCCAACCCGGCACTCTGGTTATGAGCACCGGCGTCATCGGTCAACGGTAAGCATCCAACCTTCCAGATACATCCACATTGTCCTCAATCTAACACACCATCCGTCCACAGCCTTCCCATCTCTAAGATCTTGGACAAGATCCCAACCGCCCACTCTACTCTCTCCTCCACCCACGATGCGTGGCTTACCACTGCCCGCGCCATCTGCACAACCGATACTTTCCCCAAGCTCCTCTCCCAAACCTTCACCCTCCCTTCCTCCCCCGGCCGTACCTACAACCTCGCCGGTATGACCAAAGGAGCCGGTATGATCCACCCGAACATGGCCACCCTCCTGGGCGTCCTCTGCACCGACGCACCCATTGAGCCCTCCGCCCTGCAATCCCTCCTCAAGCACGCTGTTTCCCGGTCCTTCAACTCCATCTCCGTCGACGGTGACACTAGCACCAACGACACCATCGCCATCCTCGCCAACGGTGCCGCAGGCGGCTTCCCCATCAGCTCTACCTCCTCGGACGACTACGCCACCATGCAGAACGTCCTGACCTCCTTCGCTCAGTCTCTCTCCCAGCTCGTCGTCCGCGACGGCGAAGGCGCCACCAAGTTCGTTACCGTCCGTGTGCAGAACTCCCCCGACTACGAATCCGCTCGCCTGATCGCCTCGACCATTGCTCGGTCTCCTCTCGTCAAGACGGCTCTGTACGGCCGTGACGCGAACTGGGGTCGCATCCTTTGTGCGATCGGATATACTCAGGGAGTTGCGCCTGGCGCTGTTGTGCCGGAGCGGACTAGCGTCAGCTTCAAGCCTGTGGATGGCAGCGCCACCCTGAAGCTGCTGGTGAACGGCGAGCCCGAGCAGGTCGATGAGGATCGGGCGGCTGTTATTCTTCAAAAAGAGGATCTCGAGATCGTCGTTGACCTTGGTGGTGGTGAGAAAGGTGAGCAGGGTCTTGGTGGTGAGGAGGCTGTCTACTGGTTCTGTGACTTCAGTCACGAGTATGTGACTATCAACGGTGATTACCGGACCTAAGGGGGATTCGCCATGTTAGACCAAAAGTGATTTAGCAGTGCTAGGATCGAGTTTAATAGTATAATTTTCGGTATACCCGCAATTACACATAGAACTACATGAGACACAATTTTCCGATGAATGTAGAGAGCGAGTGGTCAAGCCAATTAAGTGTAATTTTAGATCTTTTGTAAATATGGTTACAAACCAGATAGGTGCTATGTACAATTGTGACCGGGACTTCCCGTAGGAAAGCTCTCCCTCCTGCAAATTGTTAAGACTAGCCATACATCCGTCCAGAACTAAATCATCTAGATACCAGCCACAATAGCACACTACCCGAGAAGAAACAGAAAATTGAAAGAACAAACATAAGCCCACAATCTTCTTCTCATGCTTTCATCAAAAAAAGGGGCCTAGTTTAGTTACCCGGAACGAGGCCCTTGAGGCCCGATCCAATGTCGCCCTCACGGGCGGCAATTTCAAAGTATCCGTATATAATCCTAAGACAATCGTCAGCAACTCAGTCAGCTTAAAAATAGGACGGGTCAAAACTTACGTCACGGCAAGAAGGATACCAGTACCGCTGCCAAGAGCACCAAGGAGGTCAGAGGCGACGGACAGAGCACCAATGCAAGCACCACCAAAGGCAGCAGCAGTGGGAATGACCCGTTTGAGCTCCTTGTACATGCTCTGCTCACGGTGACCGGCCATCACGAGACCCTGGTCCTTGAGCTGCTTGGCAACGTCACGGGGAGCGGAGCCGGAAACCTCAATCCAAGTCTTGGAGAAGAGGGCACAAGCGACCAGCATGAAAGTGATGTAGACGGCGGTGTGGATGGGGTCAACGAGAGCCTCCTTGAAGTTCAGAGGAGGAGACATGTAGTAGGCAATGCCGGAGGCGGCGTGGAGCTGGGCGGAGCCCTCACGAGGCTCCCAGACTCCGAGGAGCTTGACAAGGATGTTGTCAGAGAAGCGAGAGTACAGCATCTGGCTGATGAGGAAGATGTTGGAGCACAGAGCGGACTGAAGCATGATGGGCATGTTGGAGGTGTAGAAGAGGCGGACTGGGTAAGAACCGCGCATTCCACGCTGGCGAGAGGACTTCACGGGGATCTCAACACGGAAACCCTGGAGGTAGATGACAGCGGCGAAGACAAGGAGAGTGGCCAGCAGGTTCATGATGTTGGGGAGGTTCTGGCGGTAGAAAGCTTCCCGCAGGGCGCGCTGCTTGTCGGACCAGGTCAACAGAAGGTGGAAGAGGGCAATGATGGCACCCTCGAACTCGGGGCCACGGCCAGTGTTGATGGTCGTGGGAGAGAAAGCCTTCCAGACGATCGACTCGCAGATGTTGGTCGCAATGAACAGAGAGATACCGCTTCCAAGACCGTAGCCCTTCTGGAGCAGCTCGTCCAGAAGGATGACGACCAGACCAGCAACAACCAGCTGAACAATCAACAGGACACAGATACCGGCACCAAGGTCACTGGGCTGGCCATAGAGACCAGTGAGGACGTAAACGCAGGCCTGGCCGAAGGACAGAATGATAGCGAAAAGCTTCTGAGCGGTCTGATACAGTTCACGGTCGGTCTTGAGGTCAAGGTTGACATCGATGAGGTGGGTACCAGCGAGGAGCTACCAGAAAACAAAAAAGCTACACGTTAGCAAGCGCTGATGGAATAAGTGAAGTGCTTTAATGGCATACCTGGAAAACCATGCCGGAAGAGATGATGGGGGTGATACCCAATTCCATCAGGGTTCCCCGGTTACTGGCCAACATCATACGGAGCCAGTACAGAGGGTCGGAGGTGTCCGAGGACACAATTCCGTAGAGAGGCATCTGGCTCATGACCAGGAAGATCAACAAGGTCAACTGCAGGGGTATTGATTAGCTTCGACGCTCATTAGCGACCTGACAGACATCACGTACCCCCGTCCACATCAACTTCTGGTTGAAGGGAACCTTGGTTTCCGGGGCGGCCACCTCCGGCAGGAGGGGCGTGAAGGGCTTGATCAGATCAAGAAACCGGACTAGAATCGAGCATCAGCATTCGTTGATCCATTGAGGTTGGAGAGGAAACGCTATCGCGAGAATGCCAGCGATCGCGTGGGAAACTCACGTCCGCTCATTGTGACTGTGCACCTCCCAGAGCTGCAGGATTAATGGGGAGGATAAGGGGAGGGAAAGAAAGAAAGAGAAGCTGGAGGCGAGAACCAGCTGAATGAACGGAGGGGAATTACAAAAGGGGAAAGGGAAGAAGGGAAGATGAAGGGAAAGGATGGGGAGAGAGAGAAAGGGAGGAAGCGATGAGGTCGGCGGGAGCGAGAACGGGTGCGATCGAGGAGTCGCCTCGCTGGCCACTTTGCGCTCGCCAGCCACGCTAACCCCGTTGAGGCCACTTGGTCGCTTTCTGCGTCCAGTCATTTCTACTATGTACAATGTACAATCCACGACTTACTGCCACAATATATGTATGATATATGAATATCCCTCCCGGGGTATTTCACTATTCTCTCGCACACAAAATCACTATTCTAGGTATCTAAGGTATCTCAATATGTAATATGCACCGTGTCCTCCCCATCCATGCATGGCCAATTAGTCCTTCATAAGCGGGCATTCCAGCTATCTATCCTTACACCAAACCCTCAACGTAGAGAGCATCCATCCCGAGGTCACGGTCCAATAAGACAAAGGCAATCGTCAATCACATTCTCCAGCTCCCCGAGTCGCTCTTTCAGCCCTTTATTCTCCTCTTTCAATATCCCCATCACACTCCAGGCCTCGGAAGCAGGGATCCCATGGCAGATGTTACACTTGGAGCTGTTGGTCCATGAGTTGGCGATGCTCTTTGGTGTCAGCCCTTTAAGGACCCGATCATACGTGGATGGTCGTGCTGGCGTCGGCGCCGGTGCCAATGTCGGTGTCGGTGCCAGTGCTGGTGTTGGTGCGGGTTTGAGTTCTTTCTGGTTGGGTTGCACAGGAGCAGTCGGGGTAGGAGTAGACAAGGTGATTTGCGAGATGTTGGGGGATGGCGCGACGGTTGACGCCGGAGACTCTAGCCCTTCGCGGCGGGAAAACACACTTTCTGCAAGGCTCTCGTCCCCAGAGTCGAAGCCGGAGTCGCTTGTAAACGTTCCATTACTGGCCCGTTTCAGACTCCGCTTGGGGGTCTGAAGCTCCGCCCCCAGATCGGATGTGCTGTCATCGTCGCTCGACCGGACGAGCATTACGCTGCGTAGGCGCGCCTCCTCCTCTCGCCGACGCAGCTGCCTCTCGTGCTCTAGCTCTTCCGCCATGGCCTTGATGGCTTTCTCCTGTTGAATGACCTTCTCGGCCATACCGTCTAACTGAACCTTGAGGTTCCCTATACGCGTCCGGGTCACCTCAAGCTCCTCTTGCTTTTCGTTCTTGTCTGCCAAGGCTTCATGCAAGGCGAATGTCCTCTGTTTGTATGCAGCCTGCAGCCGCCTAAGCACAGTATCCGCATTGTGTCGCAGAGCGTCAAAGGCTTCCCGACCTTCCAGGTTACTAAACCCAGGAGGGAATAAAGCAGCGTTGATGTCGAGGTTCAAAAACTCGTCCTGGGCGGGTTCTGGAAGCTCCAATCTGCTATCTCCCTGTCGTTTTAACCCGAAGAACGAGAAGGGGTTCGATGAGGTGACCTGCTTCAGAGGCGATGGCGCAGTCATCCGCTTCTGGGCTCGGTTCGAGAGGGCCGTTGGGGCGCTAGACGACCCATAGTAATCGCGACCGGCGCGTCTCTCCATATCGTCTGTTGCCACTGAGTCCTGCTCTCCTGGCTGATACACTACTCCCAGGTTGACAGATTCCGACTTTCCTTGAAACCAGCCCGACAATCGTTTCGCGCCTTCTTCAAGTCTCCTTCTGGCTGTGTTCTCGACCGAGGTGTTCGAGTAGTTGGTGCTAGAGTCCAGGTCTTCGAATGTTTTGGATTGGTCGGGAAAGAGCTTCCTGGAGGGCAGAGGGGCTTGCTGCGGTATAATCTCGGTGTTTGCCCGACGGTGAGAGGGGTGCGAAGGATATTGTTTCGGCGGTAGTGGGGGTAACGCATCCGAGCTCTGTGCTAATAAAGTTACAGGGGTGTTCTGATGGGCGGGTTGATTGCCATTGTAAGGCTGACAATCTTCTTCGTTTCCGGCCGGCGAGACCGCTGTCGAGGACAGCTCGGGATTGTCAATACCAGCAGGCGTGGCTGTAGTTGACGGGTGCTCGGGGTCACGGAGCATTGTTGGGATCGAAGGTGACTGGACGGTAGATGGGAAGGGATGGGGCCTGGAATGACGAAGGGACGCGGTCGGTCGCACCACTTGGACACGGACTGGAATGCCACGTCGATATGTTGTCCGATCCGATGCACGGTCACGTATGCCGCAGTCGCTTGTCAGCTAGGAAGCAAAAGGGGGGGAGACGGAAATGAACAGCTCCCGAAGCTCTCCCTCGTTATCTCCTTTCTGCTGGATGGCGGGGCGAATGGTAGGAATTGGTGGAGGACCAAGGTGGGAATGGGACTGCGAGGGGCTGAGGGGGGACGGTGTATACGTTAAGGACAATGGTCTAAGGGAAAAAGGACGCGATTGCAGCAGATGTTCTTCAGGTTGATGAAGTCGACCGCCAAGCGATAGCGATCAGACCGAGTACCCGCACGTGCCCCTGTCAGCGACGAGTCCTGAGGATCATGCACGATCTATGACCAATCTTGGGGAATTCAGAGCCAGACGGTCTTAGTAGGCATTCAGAATCTTCGAAATGTGGCGACAATATGACGAGGAATCATCAACGGGGCCTTTAGTTTAAGGTACCGCGAAATATGGCGAGGTTGGGTATGTATTCTTAGAAGTCAAGATCCGCCTAACAGCAAAAAAGACGGTGGCTGAACAACGTTTTCTTTGCTCCACCACGAGGCCCTGCGCTAGATGAGTGGTCGGCCAGCGGGTGGTACATGGCCTCTGGGCGATATTTCTCGTCATCACAGTCATAATCTTTTATTAGGTACGGATTCGCCCCATAATCCAGCTCCCCTGAACCGGGCAAGTCGCACTCCATTCGGACAGCGCATGAAGATTTTCGAATGACCCGACGACGTCATCTGTTGCACTGGCACAGACAATGGTTTCGGCGACGACTGGATAGTGGGATATACCATTGACGCCACGTCCAACGCAGTGACCAAACCGGCGAGGCCCCTTTTCCGGTGCCATTGCTGGCCGGCCCCGGAGTATCTGGAGTCTGGACTCCTGGGGTCCCGTTTCATGCGGTTTAGTTTCAGGCGATCCCCCCTACCTGAGATTAAGCAATCTCGGGGTTGAGCAATCATTGCGGAGGATAAGGGGGGCCGCATCATGTCCATTATCCACACTGCGGTCAGGTTGCTGTCAATGTCAGTTCTTCATCCTCCGGCCTCTGGACAGGTGCCAAGCCATGGCTGTATGAAATATTGAATGATGATCAGCCCGAGGACGTATGTACACTCATAGGGCTCGGAGATATGTACGTAGTACAGAGTCGACCTCGTACCTTGGACTGGGGTCGCAGGATGAAAATGCGAGCCATGAATGCTGTGCTGCGTGCTCCTCATAACATGGCTGCCTGAGGCTGATGGGTCACATGCTCTGACCCTGGTCGCCTCAAGAGTTCTGTCACTGGTTCCAATTGCCGTGCTATTGTTGCGTTCGAAAACTACTACTAGGTACATATTTACTGGACTAAGAAACTCGAACCGTTCGATGACCGCTTTTCGTCGAGCTTGACATCCAGATAACTCGAGTGTTTTCAGAAGTTCTAGCTATCTAGCGGTATATATTTAAGCGCTCCTACTAGTACTATATGCATGCAGCATTTCCCTTCTTCCACCCCTCTTAACAGACCTATTCAATTATCAAATCCCAGCGGCAATAGAGTTAGCCTGGACCCGTGCCATAGCATGCAGACAAAGTCATTGATTTAGAGGATGAGGTATGATGTTGATCACCCCAGGCAAGCCCAATGTCTGCACAGGGCGGTGAGCCTCACTGGCCGCAGCTTTGCAGCAGCGCAATCAAGACCAAGCATCTCGTGGATCAAGCTGACAGCTTCTCCATGCGAACAAACAACCACACGCCATATATCAGTGAAATGCCTCTTAATTGAGACATAAATCTTGGCTTTATTTCTGCGTATCTCCACTTGAATCCCTCAGAATTCTCCACACTGGAAACATGGCAAGCTCGGCCGCAAGCGGGTTGAAGTACCTATCCAATGCGCTAGCAACACCAGAACAGCTATCGAGCTCATCGTCATCTATAGATGGCGTGTCCCCCGATCTAGAGGCGTCTGTTCGATTTGCCGGCGCTCAGCTCACACAAACAGCCGGGATTCTACTACGATTATCGCAAGACATCATCGCGCGGGCGATTGTGACATTTACCCGGTTCTGGATAGGCTCGGAAGGAGGCAGTCTGCGAATATACTCGGTGAAGGTAGGAGCTGTCATTTAATAATTTGAGGAAGCGAGTCAGGGTACTGACGGGCCGTTTTCTACTCAGGATGTCTCCGCTGCAGCGCTTTACATGACCGCCAAGCTATCCTTCCAACCCACTTCTCCCCGCTCGGTGTTGAACGTCTACACTTTCCTCCTGTCGAAGGAGGCGTCACCGTTATGGTTCGTGAACCCCCAAGGGTCGCCCGACAAGCCTATTTCGGAGGCCTACCACCTCACGGAAGGGGGTTACCAAGCGCAGCGTCTGGTCCTGCTGCGCATCGAGTCGATTATCCTGCGCACACTGGGATTCAATACCCATGTGGCTCTTCCTCACACCATCGCCTTAACCTACCTCCAGACCCTTGGTGTTCCGTCCTCCGCCGTCGCACGGAGAGTGTTTGAGCACCTCAACTCAGCTTTGTTATCGCCGCAGTTATTATACCTCACGCATCAGCCAAACGCACTTGCCGTTGCGTCAATCTACCTCGCTTCACGAGAAGAGGGTGTCAAGCTCGTCGATGGCGAATGGTGGGAGGTTTTCGACGTTGACAGAGAGGACCTCGGATTCTTGGTGGTAGGCATGAGAAGCATGGAGGGATTCGCACGGGCGGAAGTGGAAAAATGGAAGGGCCGTTGTGTGCCCATGACGGTGGATGAGCTGGAGGGTGAGATCGAACGGAGGGAGATGATGGAAGAGGGCGAGTGAGAGTTGCGACAACAATGCGTTTCAATACTATTCTGCGGCACAGCCCGCCTAAGGCGGGTTCTGGCTACCGGCTGATAACAAGGACAAGTCCGCGATAGGAGAGGTCATCCTGGGTCCGATAGATCAGATATTGGAGATAGCTTCCTGCCTACCGGGGTCCATGGGCGCAGAACCCCCGTCGTTCGAGTGCTAGGGACTTTCTGCATCGCAAAAGGACCGCTGTAAAATGCGGGTGGACCTCCCGGAAGTTGAACCCGGCCCCTAAGCAAGTCAGCGATAAGTGTCGTGTCCATTCATACTACTGCTCCATAGAACCAGCCAATACATAAGCGATAAGCCACTTGATCACCTCAGCATGATCGCAGTGAAGCAGGTGCGGAGGGGAGGTGGTGACTGAGCCTCCGCCACATGATGTACTCCGTAGTACCCCGCGTGCATTGCCGGCGCTCGATAAGTCGTGCCTTCTCATTCCGTCACCGCCACACCTGCCAGTCCCTCCTTCCTCCCTCATCCAGCCCATCACCTTTTCCTCCTTTTCTTTTCCCTCCACCAAACTCTTCCTCATAGCCAAGCAACCCCATCAAGAAAGCCCTTACCCTCCAAGAAATGAATATCCTACACTCCACTCTCTCCACCTGGAGAGACCGTCTGGCACCAGTCTCCCGGACTTCGACCTTCCGAACAACCGGCCAAATCACGCCCGAGGAGTTCGTCCTCGCAGGCGACTATCTTGTCTACAAGTTCCCCTCCTGGTCCTGGGCCGACGCCGCGACGCCCGCCAAACGAGTTTCCTACCTCCCGCCCGGGAAACAGTTTCTCGTAACCCGAGGCGTGCCATGCCACCGACGCCTCAACGACAACTTCGCCGGGGATGCGGGTCACGATGATGAGATCGTCCGGGACATGTTGGCGGGGGAGGATGACAACGACGATGGGTGGTTGAGGACGGGAGGCGGGGACGACGCAGCAGCGGCGGCAGCTCGGATCGGAGATGTGCGGACGGTCGACGAGGCGGGGAATATGGGCGAAGAAGAGCAAGAGGAGGAAGAGATCCCGGATATGGAAGATGAGGATGATGATGAGGAGGCGATTATTCGAGAGCCTATGACGGGGACGACACAGTGAGTATCCCCACCTACTAACCTATATCATCTTATCTATATCCCCCTGTTGTCATGGATGGGTCTAATGAGACTGGTAGACCAACCCGCACCTACAACCTCTACATCACTTATGCGAACTTCTACCGAACCCCCCGTCTCTACCTCTCCGGATATCTATCAGCATCTGAACCCCTCCCCCCGCAACTCATGATGGAGGATATCGTCGGCGACTACAAAGACAAGACTGTGACCCTGGAAGATTTCCCGTGGTTCGAAGGAAGCGTGAAGATGGCTACTGTACACCCCTGTCGACACGCCTCGGTAATGAAGACCCTCCTGGATCGTGCAGATGCGGCGCTCAAAATTCGTCGCGATAAGCTTAAGGCTGCGGCGGCGTCGCAGGCACAGCCCGACGCCCGGGTTGCGGCGGGCGCAGGCGGACTGGAAGGGCTAGTGGATGATATCAAGGGACTATCATTGAGCGATGGGCAGGTCCAGCAGGGCGATGAGTGGGAGGTGTTGCAGCATGACGAGGATGATCAAGTTGCGATCCGAGTCGATCAGTATTTGGTTGTGTTCCTCAAGTTTATTGCTAGCGTCACGCCAGGGATTGAGCATGACTTTACCATGGGGGTGTGAAACCTATCTTTGTTATTGATACCTGGCCGGTTTCGGGTTTAGTTTAATAGTTACGAGGGTGATGATTTCCTCTCTTGTTTACTCCATATTTCTATATTTATGAAATGGCGCCCAAGGAGCATGTTAATTACGAAGCATGGAAGATGATATTACGAAGACTAATGCAATGCAATCAGCTATATGTTTCACATTCTGGCACATATTAAGTCCAATACTGTACAAAAACCCCATGCTGTAAAAATGCAGACCGGCCAGCAATACCCACAAGATATAGAAAACAAAGAGAAAGAGGGAAGAACCACAACCCGAAATAAACAAACATCCCAAGTCCCAGCCAATCGGATCTCATCAACTTAGTAATATAGTAATAACACAAGAATTTTGTATATAGAAAGGTAAGCGTGACAAAGGAAAAGCTTTAGATAAGTGAACGTTGAGCGGTCCGGTCCCCGCTTTTCTCGGAGATTCTTCTCATGCCGCGCATCGGCAGGTATATGCGGGCAAGGCTGGGATAGCGGGTGAAGGAAGGGTGGGGGCGAGCTTGGGCTCGGACTCAGGCTCGTGGTCAGATTCAGGTTGAGGCTCAGGAGCAGGAGCAGGAGCAGGGCCTTGTTGAGGCTCGGATTCAGGCTCATGTTCAGATTCAGGTTGAGATTGAGGCTCCTGGGCAGGGGCAGGAGCAGGGGCAGGTGCGGGGCCTTGTTGAGGCTCGAGGGTAGGCTCAGTTTCAGGAGATGATTCGGGCTGAGCCTGGTGCTCGGGCTCCGGAGCTGGGCATTCTTGGACGGCTCCAGCTGGCTCCTCGGGTCCTTCGGTGGTTTCTGCTGGGAGGGAAGGGACGGGAGGGACAGGAGGAGCGGGCTCGGAGGGGGAGGATGGAGCTGGGGATGGGGATGGGGGAGTGGCGTGGGGAGTAGTGGTGGGGTGAGTGGGGGGAGCGGGCTCAGAGGGAGAAGATGGTGCTGAGGAATGGGGAGTGGTGGAAGGCGTGGTGGAAGGAGTAGTAGTGGGGGGAGCTGGAGGAGGGGTAGTAGTGGTAGGAGGGGACGAAGGAGCATGTGTAGCTGGAGGAGCAGGAGGGACAGCAGTGGGAGGGACAGGAGGGGGGTGAGTAGTAGTAGTAGTAGTAGTTGTAGTGTGCGTAGCAGGGGGAGCAGGAGTAGGGGCAGTAGTGTCAATAGGAGGATTAACCGGCGGTGGTGGAGGGGCTATCGTAGAGTCTGGGGGGCTCGTGCTGCTCGTGGTGGACGAGGTGGACGAGATGGTTGAGGGCTCTGGTCGTGGCCGCGGCTCATCGGTTTCCTCATAGCCGTTGTGAAAGAAGCTGCCCATGTTAAAGCTGGGACCATCGGGGATGCCGACGTTGAAGGAGTCACCCGCGTCGGTGTCACTCGATTCACTCGAGCCACCATTGTCGCCATTGTCTTCAGTGTATCTGGTGGAGGCAGAGTTGCCAGTATTGAAGGATGGTCCATCAGGGATCGAGAAGTCCATGCCTGAGCCGGCCTGGGTGTTGCTGTTGAAATGGTGGGCCTGTCTCCGCGCAACGGCTGCGTTCTGTAGGACGAGTTAGCTGGACTGGTCATACTTGATGATCAAGGAGCTGGGAGATGTTCACATACACTGGGGGCAACAGGTGCGGATAGTGCGGAGGGCGGAGCAACAGCCAGCACGAGGCATAGCAATGCCGAAAGGCTCTTGGGGTTGTACATAGTACTGAGAGAGAACGACGAATGATTCAAATGAGAGACAGTCTAGGGTGGGAGAGCGAAAGCGAAAGCGAAAGCGTTGCAAAAGAATGGATGCTGTGATTCGCAGCGGAGGAATGCTCTGTCGAATAGCTTGTCAGTCCGCGATCTGAGGCTTCTTATACCTGCGATAATTGTATCCAAGGGCTCCCAAACCCTTTCTAGGACGCCATCCTCCCTGACCCGCCATGCAAGGCCCACGAGACAATACCTCCGATAGTCACGGTGACCTCATGTCCGACAGGATCTGGCCACTCGGTAGGAGACTGCGTCCCCAAAGGAGGTGAAGGGGAAGCCTGAAGGATAATAACATGGGGATGAGGGCGTGATCCGGCCCCGAGGCGGACGCAAGGAGGAGAAAGCCATTGTGCGGCCAGACGTGCATTTTACTATGAAGAACTGAATCAAATCCCCCCTAGTCTTAGACAAACTCCCGTGGCTTTAATAGTTACACATGGTTGTCGATGCATATGCAAAGAAAAATAAATGAGCACCGTCATATTCATCAGTCATGGTATCCATCCAAAAGCGATAAAAGCAATCCGTCCCGTATAGCCAATGTCCATGATGACATAAAATCCAGAAGTCGCTTTAGAATATGAGCAAAAAATCGGCCATCGTACAGCAAGCAATCTTCAGATTCACTCCTACACTTTCCCGCAGTCTGATTTGCCAAAGGCTGTGCCAAAGTTGGTTGTCTTCTTGAACCGCAATTCGGGTTCCTCACCCTGGCTTGGTGGCTCGACCTCGGCCAGTTTTTGATCTTCACTGTTTCGGGGAAACCCGATGAAGCGCCTGGCTTGATCCAGAAGCTTTTGATCAACCTGGCTCAGAAAGTCACTGTCGTGCTCTTTTTCGTTCAACAGGGAGAGTGGCCCCTTCAAAGCTGGATCATCGGCCAAATCTTCAAAGTACGAGTCGGAGTTTTCTGCAGGTTGCCGAGGCGCTGCCGGAGCAAGGGCTTTGTCCTCGTTTGCAACAATCTCCTGGGGAGACGGTTGCTCCGTGTCGACGTCCCGATCAATCCTAGCCATAGGAGTGTGACCAGCGTTTCTGGTCAGGTTGAACTCTGGTGGGCCAAGCTCCGACAATTTGAGTTTGAGGCTGTTGCGATGTTCGGCAGAAGTCCGGCCAGAAAATGATGGGGAGCCCTCAAGTGATGGCGGCGACGGCGGCGTGATTACACGAGCGACAATTTCCGGCGGCAATGCAGAGGATTTGAGCGTAATACCATCAAGCTTGCTATCGAGCCTCTCGATCGGAACAGAAACACATACGGCCGCAGGAAAGTCGGCTGCGTGAGTCTTGGGCGAGAGGGCGGCGTCCAAAGATGGTGCAGCGATCGATAGATTGCCTCCTTGCTCCGGGGACACGAGACCCTGGAGGTCCGTCTTCTCCACGTCAGGAAATACCCTTGTGGGCCTACTGCCAGGGCTAGAACCCTCCCACACCTGGGCACTCGTTGGGTGAGGATGGTCAGTAGAGTCTGCTAAAAGCGGGCGACTGAATTGATTGTGAAATGCAGACGGTAATGCATAAGATGCAAAAGCACCGGTCGGGGCCGTACTATTAGTAGCGCCGGCCCCTGTGGATCCCCTACCCTTGAGCAACGACTCTAATTCAGAGATCCTCTGATTTAGTAGTAATCGCTCGTTTTCCCATATTTGTCGTTCTTCATTGAAGAGTTTCCTCTCATCCTCGAAATTTGCACGCTGGCGATCGAGGAGCGACCGGACTTGTTGAAGATAATCCGCACCTACGACCGAATAAGTGGCCCCTTTGGTCTCGGGGCCTCGCGTATGATGTGATCTCGAGTCAAGATGGGTGTCCGGCACTGACTGTGTCCGACGGACGGGGGTCGGGGTAGGAGAGAAGCGGACCTCCTTGTAGAGGCTGCCATGGCCACTGGGAGATTTGGTGGCGGTTGCTGGTTTCATTTTGACTGTTGTTAAGGCTAATGGTGTTGCTGAGACACTTCAAGGGAGGGTCGGATCCCCCTCATAAAGAGATGGAGAGAGGGGTAAGGGCAGAGCGAAGGGAGTGAACAACTGGAGCAGTGGTCACAACGTGAATGCTTTAGTTCGATGCTAGACTAACGTCAGCTGCCGCCATTCACAGTCGAGAGACAGCAGCATCACCGTGATAATCACGCGTGGAGCGACTCAAAACGACAGGTAAAAAGAACCGGGGAACCACAACAACCGGGTACCTACCACAGTGGCGAATAGGAGAGGGATTGGTGCGGGGGCGACTAGTCGTCCGGCGTGATCAATGGAGCGTAGATAAGCCTCTGATGGGGAATGTTTGGGCGGTGCCTGAAGCAGAGTTTCGAAACGCAAGGCGAGGTGCTTGGTGCTTGATGCTTGGTGCTTCGTGGTCCAAAGATGTTGCTGGCCGCAGGCGACCAAAGGACGATGAACAAGTGGACGATGCGCTTGACTGCAGATTGCAGCGAAGGGTTCACAGCATTTATCAGGCGGGCCTGAGGGAAGAGAGTATTATGTCAACCTCCAGACCGAATGATGATTGATGACAAGATGGATGATCCACCCGAATGCGGGGAGGGGGGGAAAACCGAAGTAGATGAACCGATGAAGAATGTGGAATTCACTATACCAGGCTACCAGGCGGGCGAGGAGGGCCAGGATATCGATCTCGTAACCAGGAGTGCAAGCGGGTGTTCTCTAAGCTAAGTAGAGAAGAAGTGTGAGGAGAAGAAAAGACCGACGAGGCGCAAGCAGAGAGATGGGATGGAAAAGGCACAAACAAACGGTGCTTCTTCAACCAGAACAAATCCCACAAACCGCAACCTGAGGCCGACGATCACGAGGCAGCATGACGTTATGGCTCGTCTCTTCCCCGAAAACGAAACGGTTACTTTGCTTCGTCTTCGTCCTCGCGTTCTACTTCCATTTACTTCCCCCCCTTGGCTTTTAGTCAGGTCTATCATCCCCTTCCCCTCCCACATCTCCAGTGTATGATTTCATGGTCCAGGCGGGTCAATGAAGCCCCATCATCTGGTACGTCCAGCAGACGGCCCGATCTGAAGCTAACCAGGGCACTAACCGAGGGGCGGCAACGGTGCTGCTGCCAGCTGCAGTCAGCCAATGCACATACATGGTACATGGTACTATTGCCATGCTACATCTCTAGGTTACAGTAAAAAAAAAATGACCTGGAATGAAGATGTTCAGATATTCTTCAATAAACAGCAGCAACAAACCTCTGGAAGATTCAAACAAACAGAAAACACCCTTCCAATGCAAGCCCATTGCTTCCAGCCCGTTTGCGACCAACTCCATTCTCCGCGCCCATTCTTCCCCAACTCCAACTCGACATTCCGCAGTGATTGGTATTCGAGGTGTGGAGCACCTTCAGACTAACAGAGTCTACTGTATACACGATGAACTCTCTTCGATCTCCCCAAACGTCATCCTGCAGATGATAGTCCTAGTGGGTATCTTATCGGGAGGAGAAGTCCCCCAGTCGGAAAAAAAGAACAAAGCAATAACGGCTGGACAAAGTGAGACGAGAAATTACTAATGTAGAAAGTTAGGAAGAGGAGAAGGTCGAAAACACCCGACTCCTACGCGACAGAAAGCTTCACCTGAGACGCCCGCGTCTCAGCCTGAAGCGACTTCTTCGCATCATCCATGACATACTGGTGCATCGATGGCAGAGGAAAGAAATGGAGATCCTTCTGCAAGGCTCCAAATATGGTCGCCAGATACCAGATGCCCCGAGCGGATGATTCCAGGTTTCCTACCGCAGCGGAGGGAAAATAGAAGCGAGGATCTAGATAGAAGATGGTGCTGGTCCAGTTCGGCAGCTTCTCCATCAGCATGCGGGCGGCTGCTTTATACTCCTTCAGCGTCCGTTTCGGCACGCCTGTTTGTGAGTGGACGAAGAAGAAGATCTCAAACCCAACGCTGCGGATGCGTTTGCGCGCCGTGGCGCTAATCGTGTCCAAAAAGGCGCCCAAGCGGTCGAGATTGAATGAATTCAGGAAGAATAGCGTGTTCTGAGAGTACACGAAGTCCTCTACCTCGTCGTGGATCTGTCGATTCACTGAGAGTAGGCTGCGGACTCGACCGTTCTCGCCCACCCAGCTAGGACACATGGACAGCGCTCGATATCGGCCCCGTGCAGTGAAGACATTCCCGCGATCGTTGATCACGATCATCGGACGGTCCATGAATTCGTTTGGTACGTCCAGCGCATATTCGTAGATCATGAGCCGCAGCTCCAGAGGTAGTCTGAGAAATGACGATTGCCCGGTCGTACTTGTCTGGGGAGCATCATCAGGATGCTCCATAAGTCGAGGGATCCCCATTGACGCAATATAGATCAGATCGGGTTGCAAGACAAGTTGTTGTTTGGTGAAGTGTATGTACTAGCCCACGCTAGCTCGTAGTTCGTTCAAAGTCCGTCGAAGAAGCCACGCAGAGAGATCCACTCAGATCAGATCACTCATAGTACGATAGCACATCGATATATACCCCGTAGTTCAATCCCAACCCAAGAACCAGCCAGCCAGACAGACAGCAAGAGGGAGGAATATAAAGCCAACCCACGACGTCAGAGTCCCGACCAGAACCGGCAACAGACCAACGTACCACTGACTGACTTGAGTGACACACTGATCAGGTTATCTCTGCCAAGGCATATGTCTCACCATACCAAAAAAAACCAGAGATGAGCTTCCAAGTAAATAGATAAACCCAAGTCTCAAAAGAAAGAAAAAGAGGAGTTTTCGAACCCGAGGACCGGTAAGAAATAGCTCCTCACTCTGCATGCAAGTGACTATAGGTCAGTCTATAACCGAGGGCAAAACAAAACCCCCAAAGGGAGGGGAGGAGAGGGGGTGTGTGGTGCTTGCTTGCTTTGCTTAGTTCATTCAGTAACAACAACCACCAAAAAGAAAAAAGAATAGAGAAAGAAGTAAGTATCAGGCCACTTTTCCTTTTTGTTTTTTTTCCCTTCCCTCGATCACCTCACATCGGTACTTGAAAACATTTTTATACAAAAAAAGTTAAAAACGAAAAAAAGTTTAAAAGTAAGTAAGAGTTGAAACGGATTCGGGCCAAGCCCGATCGTTGAAAGGATTTTTTCTTTCACCTTTCTCTTTTTCGTTTTTTTTTTTTGAAAGACAAAGTTTATTACTATGGCTATGATTCCTCTTTGAGAAGGAGAAGAATGAAGAGGCTTTCGGGAATATCCGTTCGGGTTGGTTCCGCCCTATGGCTATTAGGTATTGTGTATGCATCTAGACTAGATACCTATGGTCATGAGGATTGTTGTCTCTGACTAGATAGATAGACACTAGGCCCTGGCGCTGAAGAGTCCGGTAAATAGTAAATTACTACCCCCTATTGTCTCAGATTGGGAAAGACCTAGTAGCAGCGGAAGGATTTGTTGGCCTTGAGTCTGGCATGATTCCCGAGGTGCGTGTTCCGCCTCTGATGCAATGACGGGGGGTTTTTGGCTTCTAACGGGCCGGTTTCTGGGACTCGCCACCGCGGATGACATGCCAGGTTGGCGCAGGTCTCGTGGTGCCGGAGCTGACTCTTCCAGGATAACAGGGCATGTGGTTGGACAAGGGGGACAAAGCAGGATAAACAATTCAAATGTACTATATTGCTGGGATCGGCCTCTCGGTCTCGGTCCCGGTCTCGGTCTGGTTGGTCTCTTTATAGAGCTATACATCATCAAGTACGCCGGTACACGCCAAGCATCCATGCAGCACGCAGAACTGCCAGCCCCCAAGCCATGCCAATGCTGTCACGGATCACGTTCAGCTTGCTGCCCGTGACCTCTCTCCATCCCACGGGTACCTCCGCTACGGGAATGTCTGCAAATTCGGCGAGCATGAGCATCTCCACATCGAAGATCCACCCCTCCGAGTGCATGTAGGGAATAATGTAGGGCAACGAGGCCCTGGAGAACAATTTAAACCCACACTGGGTATCCTTGATGGTGGCTGTCTTCGACGGCGTCAATAGCCAGAGAATCAGGTGGAAAGAATGCATGAGGAAGTTGCGCAGCTTCGAGCGCTATCGCATGGACCATCGATTAGTGCCCAGTCATACGCTGCGTAAAGAAAGCTAGACAAGCATACCTTGACAACCGCCTCACTTCCAACCATATGCGCCCGAGAACCAACGGCCACACCTCGCCCTTGCATGTCCTCGTTTGCCTGACAGGCCGCGACGAGCTTCCCTAGATCTTCAAACTTGCTCGCACCGTCGGCATCCGCAAACACCACGTACTGACCGCGGACATGCCGCATGCCATGGGTGACTGCTCCGCCCTTGCCCCTGTTCTCCGTCAAAGTCACCACCCGGATAGTCCCGGAAGGGATGCGGACACCCTCATGTGTTTCCGGGGTCCAAGGACCAGCGTAGCCCTTGGGATGTATTGAGAGTTGATGATCCCGAGCAAATGTGAAAGCCGTCTCTTCGGTTTTGTCCTTGGATCCATCGGAGACAATGATAATCTCCCAGCCCTTGTTGTCGTCCACCAGACGATGTGCTGCAGTACCGTTTGCATGCCCGTTGGCGGCTTTCCGCTGACGCACTGCTTTCTCTGCTGCGGTGGTATCGGAACCATTGACGGAGTCGGTTACTGTCCCATATACCTTTTCTAGGTAATCCACTGCCTCTTCCAGCATGCCTCCCAGACGGTCTTCCTCATTGTATGCGGGCACTACCACCGATATGAACAAATCGGCGTCCTCCATCGAAGAGTGGTCGAGGATCCGACCGGGACGTTTCTGAGCATCGAGGGCATCTTGCCAGCAAGGTAATTGCAGTGGTTCCGTGATCGACCCATCCTTCAAGAGCGTACGGTATTTCTTCTCCTCAGGGAACGGTTTGCGCGGGGCGGGAGCGACGGTGTAGAGGGTGACGTAAAACTGCGCCCAGTAGAAGAGATAGCTGGTTAGTGTGGTTGTCACGATCGCATGGAAAGCGGGCGCGATCATAAATATCCAAGAATCGTAGAGCGTAAACCTACCAGGACAAACAGTCCAGAGAGCGTTGCAACGAATGTGACGAGCAGGACCGAGAGCGGGACGCTAGCCAGGAGCTCCGCGCAATGAAAGCAGATGCCGGACAAGGCTTCCTCGGCCATGGTGAAGCTTGTCGATGTCGGACGAGGGGCCAGATCGTCTCAAGCGGATGAAGATAATTGCGGGGAGCGAAGCGGACAGCGTCGTCGATTAGGATGGGAGGGAGTAAGGAAGGGAGTGAGCTCGAGTGCTCAACGGGATAGAGACGATCCGGTCGGTTCTTGGCCAGCCATGCGACACGAGACCTGTCTGAAGGAAGAATCAACTATTCAACATGGAGGGAGGAGCAGTAGTAAGTAGTAGTAAGTAGTAGACAGATTGACGATAACACAAAAGGCCGTGGTCCCGGACGGGAACTACTGGATCGTACTAAGCATAGTACTACTAACTACTGGAAACGTGGTGAGAGCGGAGATGCCTACCTACACAGTCGACGCGTTGCAGTCGCCAGCTTGACCTTTGGCCGCCTCTCATTCGTCCCGCCGGGCCCGCGCATGTTTTAAATTCCCCACTGGCTCTTCCAGAGAAGGTATCTCGGTCCGTCTTCTGGAATATCTATCTAGGTACTCCGTTCGGAGTAGAGCATCTACCTACTAGTAGGAATACCTATCTAGTACTATTACTGTCACTCTCCGTCCATGGCCCGAGAGAGGCTATCTATCTACCGAATACCAATACCAAGCTAATTATCACGGAAAGCGGCTAGGGCCGTTTGGGTATTATTGACGGGTCTTTAATTAGATACTCGGAGCTTCATCCACCAGATGCGCGAGCCGCGTGGTTCAGTCTCCCACGCGGATCCTCTGGGCCCTCTCCAACCCCCCTGGCGGCTGATTCACCCGGATAATAGATACTGCCTGAGACGCAGTGCAGGCTACAAGGCAAGCTGCGGAGCCCGGGGAAGCCGAGGGCTTGCAGTGTCCTCCCATACTGCCTTTTATTTCTTCATGGCATCGCCTGAGTTAGGCCTCACGGTGGACGCAAGCAAACTGGCTGCCATGTGGATGCTTGGCAGGATGAATGCTTGTTCGCCACCATAAAAAAAAAAAAAAAAAAAACTGCGGTCGCTGTCCTGTTACAACTCCCAGCTTTGGGGGCATGTTTCAATCGTGTCGAGGATCTCGTTGTATTGTGCTTTCGATCAGGTCATTCAGATAGCGACGCTCGGCAATTCTCATATTCAGCCACGCCCAGATCGCAGTTACCCTTGTATCGGCCAGTCTGTCCATGATCAAGTCTCGTGCGTGCCTTTATTTTCCACCTCGGCCTGCTTGACCTCAGTTGACTTTGCAACAAAAGGATTCTGTTCCTCGGCGATCTTCTCCAGCTCCAGGGCAAATGGGGTCGCTGAAAACTTGTGCGCGCTGTGATCATATGTGATCCAACGTTCAAACTATTCATCATCAGCATGGTCCTTTATGACGCCATCGTGCTTTTCATTTCTGCAGGAAGCTTACCATAGCAAGCCTGATCCCCAGCCATATGCAGCGATACATCCTCGTAATGTCTCGAGATGGCGGCTCAATGTTCCGACCATCACCGGCAGTAGGTGCGTTATCGAAGAAATCAGAAGGATAGAGAAGTTGGCTCCAGAGTTGGCCACGAATGAGGAAGTCTTCGGCCACCCAGGTAGTTTCTTCCGAGATGGGAAATTCGTCTTTTTCAGCGATGTGGGGTTTGATATAGCTCCGGAATAAGACGTTGAGGAACGAGGCAAGTTTTCGCCACGGCACGGCCACCTCCACCCGGCTCATACCTCGTGGAGTATGAGCCAGGCACCAAAGGAATGCTAGGGACACATGACAGGCAGCGTACACGTTTCTATCTGGGACTTGATCGAGAATCACGGCTAGGGTGTCGTAAGTAAAGAAAGATCCATAAAAGAGTAGAGGCGACGGATTCGCAGAGTCCCGGGACGCGAGAAATTCGGTCTGCACGGCCCCAAGGTTATCGGTGGGAATCCAGGTACTGGCAGCGGAGGCGTAGACCTCTTCAAGAGATCTTGGTGGGGACAAGTCTGTCTCGTAGAACTCGGGGCTCAAGTAAGCGTCGGCGCTACCATATTCCAGCATGGCCGCAATGTTGCAGGCACAGATGAAGAACCCTTGCATTCGGAAGGCGACACCAATTTGGCATATGGTCTGATCTAGGAGCGATGCAAACGTGTCGACCAACGCAATAAGGTGATCCCCGACGTCTCCCGTGTACAGGTAGCCATGCGCAGCGACAAATGCGCTGACCAATGGAAGACGATGAATGGCTCGGGATGCTCTCAAGAACGGTTTGAACAAAAGGGAGATACTCTCCCGGGTGCCTGTGAATGGGTGGACACTGACTAGTGATCTCGTGTAGTAAAACAGCTGCTGAGTGACATCCGGCCGAGCCAAGACCGCCAGGTGATGTTGGATCCGGCCGACGTTGGGGTTCCTGTCTGCAGCTCGGTTGTACCAGTATCTTGCCACTCCCGCCCAGGACTCACGTTCGCGGAGGTCGGACTCTTCTACGGCCATCCGGTATCGCGACAGATCCCCAAGACACTCGATCCAGGTATCTTCAAAGGCTGACACAGACTCGAGCATGAGTGTGATCATGGAATATGCGTAGTAGATGAAACTTAGTATATGCTCCAAGGATCCAGGAAGCCAATGGCGTAACGTTTCCAGCGCTGAGTGGACTCCAATGCGCCACAATCGTGCCGGCATTGCATATTTCTCCGCTAGGCGTTTCAAGGCGGGGGTCGCCATGGGATGTTGGGAGCAAAGGAAGAAATCATGGTACTCTCGCAGTAGCAGGGCGTGAGTTCCAGTCAATTGTTGAAACCTTTCTGAATCCATCGGGGTCCGTTCCTCGCTATTCTCGTTCTCCTCGTTCTCCTCAGCCCACTTTTCGCATTTGTCCTCCGCCACGAGTATCGCGGCATAGATATCTCGGACGTCACTAATCAAGTGTTCCTCTGTGCAAGATTCAGAATCAGTTTCTAGCTGACGGATTATCCCATATGATGCTGATGTACCTCCGGATGTCCCCACGACCGCGCCGCTGAAATTCTGAGCATTGCTCAGTTGTCTCGCGGACTCCTGGCCATAACTCAGGTCCTTTGCAGATTGCTGTGGTGCTTGGGAGAAGGAGGCCATCTCCTCCGGATCGGTGTTTGGATTTAGAGGCAGGGGGCCGTCATTCGAGATGGGACTGGAGCGAGGAGCTTGAGAACGAAGCGGGGATGGATGGCCACCATTGGTACTTTCACCAATGCCGTCCGCCACGCGGGTGGGATCTCTAGGAAGGCGAGAACCGCTGTTAGTCGGGCTACCCTGCCTCATTCGACCTTCAGCTATTGCTCGGCTCGATGGGCGGGCTATATCGGTGCCAGATCGCCTCCATTGCTCCTGCCACGCCTGGCGACATCCATTCGGTACGTTGGACGAGGCAAGCTCGACCGCGTGCTCACTCACGTCATCCGAGGCAAAATCATCCGGGACAACGCCACCTGAATCGCCTCGTTTATGCGAAAATGAGGCGCTAGCGGAATGGAACGCTCGATTGGTGGTCGACGATCCGGCTGGCGAGCCAGCGTCTGACACCAAGGGTGCAAGCGGCTTCCTACGGGGGACGTTAGAAATAGTTCTGAAACAGATGCGATTTATGCACAGGGGCCAGATACAGGCCGAGGACGTGGCAGACCAACAATGCGAGAAATGCTAGGGATGAGTGCAGCAACTCACTTGGGAAAAGAGGTATCAGGATCGATGTCAGGGCGAGGAGGCTCTAGGGCTGGGCTGACAGAAGCCCGATTCTGAGATGGTACCAGTAGGGGGTCCCGGCCATCATTTCCGTCATTCATCGTATTGGCTGCCGTAGGGTTATGTAACACGTCATCTGATCCGTACCAGCGTTCTGTTTAGCACCGGGTTGATAAGACGATCAGTCCGGTGTCGGTGGAGATGATGCGACAATCAAAGTAAGACAGGGTTGGTAGGGGCCGTGGAGAGGCTGGCCTTGACCGGGACGACCAGGCGAATGCGCGCAGCGGTATGAGATGGGTATAAGGCTCAAGCGTAAAGGGATGCTGACGATGACGGGTGAGGAGAGAAAAAGAAGAGAGAGCGAGAGAGTGAGGGAGGGAAAGAACAATGAAATGAGAGACGGCAGGAAAAGGAGGTGGAAAGAATCGCTTTCTATGGCCGGTTCTGATACCAACAACTGAAATCTACAATGACATCAAGGCCTATGACAAGACCGGAGATCCTGGGAGAGAAAAGCGAGAGAGGCAGAGGATACTAACCAGGACACGTTGGAGGGTACGGGTGGGATTATTATTTATGAGGCAGATGACATTTAGGTTCTTTAGGCAACTAACCTCATCTCTGCCTAGGAAAGAGAGTGAGCAAACCGGTTAGAAAATTGCGCACGAACACCGGGGGGACGGATTGATAGTCCAACCCACCGCGGCGTGATAGTAGGAAGGCTAATTCCCTGAAGAATGGATAGATCGAGAAGGTCAAATCGCGGAGAGAAAATGCGACTAAGATGGAGGCGGAGAAGCAGGAGCAGCAGGAGAGGTACATACGTACCGGCGAGTAGATAGTAGTAGGTAGTAAAGTAAGTAAAGTAGGCAGGGTGTCGTAGGGAATAATAATCCAGACAAGTAGGTAGGTAGTAAAGTTAGTAGTGTTTTTTTTTTCTCTAGGTTTCCTGTATTCCGTATTGATCGAGGGGCACCACCTCCTCCAAGCTCTTAGTCGTTCAAACCAATTCCGACTGGGACTGACTGACCAGACTGACCGGTGGTACATACATACGTACTGGATACTTCCATACAGTCTGGGACTTCCATACAGTACTGGGGCCGGCCTGGCTGGCTGGCTGGCTGCTGGGACGGCATGAGGTTAATACCATCCGTGGAAACCGTTTCACTGAGGTAATCTTCCGGTATGGAAGATTCACATCCGGGCAGTTCATGAGGGGGCAATGTGGTATTGATACCTGGTACGGTCAGCGTTCCCGTTGCCCGCGTCGGTAGCCTGACGATTCCGGGCAGTTGCCTTGTCGGCTTGTCCCACTCATTGATTCGATGTGGCCGGGTCTTTCTCCTCTCCTCTCGAAGGATCAACCTGGTAATGTCAAAGGTGATCAGCTTGGGTCCTCGAAGATCGATCCCAATCAGTCTGGCTATATCGTTCCATCCAGATGCTTTCTCCCAACTCCGAATAGAACCGCTTGGCGTGGCAAGTTCTTCGGTTCGCCACAGCCTGTGGCGCGGAAATGCTAACCATCTATCTACTCACTTCCGCATCGCATACAGATTACAATATACTGAATGACCGACATTCTAGATAGCCTCGACAAGTCGACAATATGCTAGCGGTACTCTAGCGACTTTTACCCGAGCGCTTCGGGGTTTGAATATCATACTAGACGTGTCTACCTTCCCTCCCGGATCTCTTCCCTTGTTCATTCTCACATTCCCTCCTCTCCCACACGCACGAGGACCGTGCTAAACTTATCCCTCTCTTCTATTTCAATAGTTCCACATCGATCTGCCTCTGCAACCCCCCCATTCCCCAAGAAACTTGGAATTCAAGACAAACTAGGTGGGTTTGCGATGTTGATGCTAGGACCCGACGATTTGGGAAGAACCACACCTGCCGGAACTCCTTGCATGCAGCAGCCCGCGGGCATACTTGACTCGACCCTCATCGCCACTTTGCCAACAAGCTTAATTCCAGGAATGAAGATGCTGTTGCCCTTGCTTTATAAGGTGTACACCCCTTGACGAATCCACAGTTTCTCGAAACCGCGCCCACGCGGTGCTACTGGAGCATTCCCCCAAGACAATGGATGCAACTGCTGGTCGCCTGAGCGGCGCTTAACCTCCGATATGTTTGATTTGCCGCGCAAGGCTGCTGTTGACAGCTTCGAGCCACATTCCTATTGGGGCCCGATTAATGAATCGCTGCCTAACCAGACCATTGCGGTGCTGCCCGGAGTTTGCCAGGACAACCCCAACCCGGGACTCTGGAGACTTTTGCCCCTTCGGTCCACTCCCTCCCCTCAGAGGCAACAAGCCGGCAATGGTCAACTCGCGGATCCCTCTTCACCGGGGAGGTACTGAACATGCCAAATAATCGGGACTGCCCTTGCATGGACACCGCTACTTTCGTTCAGTTTCGAACTTACATAGCGTTGGTGACATTCTGCGAAGCACAGCAGACATCTGTGTGTAGGACCCTAGAATAGGTCGGCCATTATCAAGCAGGTGCACGAGCAAGGCCACCAGCCGATTCTGGGGTGATGCCAAATCTTTCGCATACCGAAGTCAATAGTAGGACATATCGCATGTGGGGACTAATTCGCGATCAGCACGCCACGTTCAACGTCCGAAAGGCTTGAAGATATTACCAGGTGTGGTTCAGGGTTTGATCGACCAGCCGCCCCAGTGAGGCTGGTAGTTTATCAGCTAGTCGTGTGGATCAATCCTATAAGAGTGGGACAGTCTGCCTTTCACCTCGAGGCCGTGCGATATACTTATGGCCTCATCTCTATCATCCGAGGCCTAGCTAGAACCGTCGGGATGCGATCGAACATTTGTCATTGATGTCGCCCTTGATTCACGCGCACGGCTACTGTGGCAGTTGTATATAGCTCAGCGTGGTATACGTCTGACATAAGCCCTATTCTGCGAATCGAGCCAGCTGGTGCAGATGTGAGTGCCTAATAGTAGAAGACTTATGACCTGCCCGTCTTCTAAATGCTTGGGCGTTTATCCGCCTGACCGATAGGGCCAAAGGAGGGGGGCCGTGCAGAGCTGGTCTGTTCTGTTCTGGTGGCTTGGGGTTCCCACGTCCTTGTGAGATCACATGGCAACCTATATTCGATATCCATGGTAGCACACCCTCCTCCAGCTTGCCACCCAGCGCAGAATGACCTGTCATTGCAATGGTATCTTTAAGAATCGATGGTCCTAGACCCAGACGGGGAGATGACATTGGGGGCGGACTCTTCTTCCAGGACTGTGGTCTTCAACAGGGAGCTGAAACGGGCTATCCTTGCGTGCTCGATGCAGAAGGGGGGGTGGAGGCAGTCCAGCGTCCGAGCTGGGGAACTGGGAGTAGATAGGAAGATGGAATGCCCTCTCTGGACTCTAAATTCGTACATCCCGCGGCTTATCAATCAGCAAGGGCCCGAGAGGATCCTGGCAGAAACCAAGATATACTATGAACACACCTTGTATGTCTTGGAGAGACGTAACAGAACCCAGAATCTCTTGGTGCAGCTGTCATTCTCTAGCTAGGATATCCGTCACGTCTTGAGAAGAGCGGACTGGCACTCCTCAACCTCTGGGACGGGTTCGATAAACAGCGCTTAGATGACTGCAGCTCGCTCTTCCCACAAGTATCATGCTAATTAGAGATGAGGTAAGCCACGCATCGAACCCAATCAACATGGCTGCCTGAGGTACAATTCCCCGTGGCAGCCATCATGCGATGATAGTAATCATGGATGGAACAGAAAGCAGACACAGTTAACCTGCCCTAGATAGTAACTGCAGGCTTGCAGACTAGCTCGACGGCTAGCTCGTTCTTGCCTCTGTAGCCACAAAAACCCCGTCAGACAGACCAACGGTCAACCCACATCGTACATACTACATACAACTATGCACATACATACGCCGGCACGAGCAGACAGCCGGTAGATATGCACTACTAGTGGATTGGAATACTGCCTAGTTGTATTTACCCTACTGTGGCTGCAGAACCCACTCTACCCTGGACCTACTTTACTACTACTACTGGACTAGGAATCCCCGTCCAGTTATCTAGGTGGTAGTAGTGGTTGCCTTTTCCCATGCGACCCATGCACGTTGCCGTGGAGAACCCTTTCTTGGCGGCCATCCATCTAGAGTCCAGATGGGCAATCGGTCTGGATGTTTTCACATTCATCCATAACTCCCAGACGACCGCTTGAGGAGCCTTGTCTCGCAAGCCCCTTATTTCACTTGTTTGCCACCCTGGTACGCCACGTCGACCGGTCTAGCACGAACTATCTCTCACAGCCTCGATGCAAGCGTCCCAATTGTATCTGGAATGGTATACAGCGTACACCGTACTCCGTAGTTGCGTTGTTTTCGTCTACTCTGCGCCGCCTTCCCCTGGCCAGGCTTTGATGTCTTCATCACAACAGCGGGGTTATATATTACTCCGGACAGCCTTATCCACCTGACCGTCTATCTGCTTATACACCGTGACGACAACGGCACCTCAGTCCCAGGCCACTAACTCCACACCCTACTTACTAACCCTGTCGCGTCCAGCGGGTATCGGTTCGAGATGGGCCTGTTGGATGAGTTAACCACTGCACTGCACTGAAATCAGCACACCGCAAGCAATTCCCTCTTCTGAGTTAGAAGATGCGCCTTTCCTGGCTCCAAAAAACGTCTAGCGCATCAAGTAACATTAACTCTTTCACTAAACTGACTATGCAGCTCACGGGCCTTAAAGTGTCTCGCGATAGTATCACACCCGCCTTCGCATGGCGAGTCGGGCTGCCTTCCCCTATATATCGAAGCCAAGGAGGTCGGAGTAGACAGAAATCCGGACCATCAAAGGAGCTGTTGTTCAGTAATAAGAAACGCTTAGGAGCGAAAGTGCTACACTGTATCTTATGAATTACTAGAACCTCAGTCATCAGTCCCCTTGGATGAAGTGTACCCAGGTACCCACTTTGCATATACTCCCATGCAACCCATACACCATCTCTAACAGTCCCCATCGACAATCCCATTGGTCTGGATCTATCATCCGATACACTCTTGATCGCACACCCATTGCTAACATTGGAGAACCAACCCCCTCTGATCGAGAATGCAGTGGCCAGTGGCCCCCATGTGGAGCCACTGTAGCAATCACCGCTTATCCGACCAACACCCTCCATACATTTATATATAGTAGTAAGTACTAGTAGTTCGGGGTATTAAATTCTCTAGGTTCCGACTGCAGCTAACCCCATGTTTTGTTTCACTTCACATCTCCATCTTTGAGACTCAACAACCTCGAATATCTCAAGATAAAACAAGGGGAAAAAAGCACGTTGTACAGATACAATTGTGAACCAACATATATATCCATCCATCCCACCCACCACCCAAGGAAACACCACACCACACCACAAATCCAAACCAGACCATCCTCATCTACCACATCCATCAATGACCCAACCACATGGATCTTCCCGAAACCCTTTCCCCCTGGAGTGAGAAATGAAAGCATACCTACCCCGATCCCCGATCTCCACCCACGATTGGCCGATCGAGAAAACCAAACCCAATACATGCATCGATTTATCCCCGATGCGATGCAAAACCAGCAAGGCATTTCCGAGGCGTGGGAAGCGTGGGAAGCGTGGGATCTATTCGCCGCCGGTGGCTGCCACGCTTATGCAGGCTCGCCTGATCGAGGCGTGGTTGGCTTATTTAAAGTACATGGGTATATGGATACGTGGTTGATGGTTACAGACTTACTTTTGTATACGGGTTACGAGAAGGGGGAAGGACGGCGGTAAAGTAGATAAGTCGGTAAGTAACTGTAATGGTGGTAATTATTATTGTAGGATGGATAGTGGATGATGCATGGGCGGCCTAAGGATGGGACTAGCAGGGATCGGGATTGCCTGGTTAGTTTACGGAGTGGGAGGAGCTGGGCTGGGCTGGGCGGGCTGAGCTGAGGGGAGCGGAGAAGGGAGTACTAATCACAATGGGGCTATGGATGTGAGATTATTTACATGGGAGGAAAGGACGGTAAATATGTTCGGAGAATGACATAGATCACGCTGGCTTAGAACAGATGCGAGATTACATCAGATATCTCCCAATGGTTTCACTTCTTTGCATGTTACGATCCGCGCTGTGCGCTGTATTCTAATGTACTGTATGATCGCTCATCTTTCTCGCTCAACGAACTCCGTACGATGCATATGGCCAGACAGTGGTGGCTAACAGGATATGTATCCTAAGACTACCTCGACTAGGAAAGAAAGATCCGCATCTACACCCGGTTAGTGAGCGACATGCTGGATTCGAGAGGATACAAGTGGCCATACCTTCTGCTTAACAGTTGCTCGGCATATCACACAAGTGGGTTGCCCACTTAGCATGCCGGGTTCCAGGGCGCTACTCGGAATCTGGATCTCAGCGCACCATCGACAAAGGACGGCATGACCGCACGGGAGCAATACCGTGTCGACCAACTGGGTGAAGCAAATCTTGCACTCAAGTGATACCTGCATTTCGTGCCCTTCCTTAGGTTCGGGGCGACCATCTTTCGGGTTATCGAGACTCGGAGACGGGCCAGCCGAGTTGGATCCGAGACCATGACGCTGACGCTGGCGCTGCATAGGAGCCCCTAAATGGGCCTGCGAAGCCTGGGAGTTGTATTGTCGAGCATGATGGAGCAATTGCGTCACATGCATTCGTCGAGCCATTTCCAGCCGCTGGGGGTTAAACCGTGCATACGTCCTTGCAGACCCCGTACCCATTGGAGCCGACGACATGATGGCGGTTGCTGAGAGCTGGCCTGATGAAGCCTGTGTGGCTGCCACCCTCGCAGGAGCGACGGAGGGCCCGTCATCCGCCACAGGACGCGGCCTTAGGCGGGGGAGCGGACCTGCAGCATGAGACTGCCGCTGAGCTTGCAGCTGCTGTTGATATCCCGGTGATATCGGCGCTGGAGAGAGGACGGCGGTGGTTCGGTGCTGACTTATTTGTTGGTCCGCTCCCAAAACAGACACCGACTGAGGGGGCACGTAACTGCGAGGTCGAAGTGTAGCCGGAGCAGACGGTGTCATGTCAGAGTTGTTCATCGATGTGGTGCTTGGTGAGACAACGCTAGGCACTGATGGCTGCGTCATCATGGTCATTGCCGGCTGGGTATTGCTTGAGCGCTGATCCCGCTGGGGGTAGGCAGGAAGGCCGTGGTAATTATACTGGCCCTGTGGGTTGGAGAGGCTTCGTGCATGGAGGTTGGTGTACGTGCGGCCTTGATCTCCGGTAGGGACGTATTCCAACTGATGACCGATGTTGTTCAGTTCACCATAATACTGATTCGGCGTATAACGGGGCATAGTAATAAATCCATTGCTTAGGTACATGAACGGTCTGGATGGAGGTTGCTGCTGAGCAAAAGAACTGGGTTGACTGGACGTGGTGTTGGGTAGGAAGATGTTCGGAGTTCCAGATGGGTTCGCGACTGTGGGACCTGGGACCTATTGGTTATTTCAATCGCATGACTAAAGTAAAATATCCACTGACCTTGGTAGAAGTAAGTAGGACGCGACGCATCAGACATCATAGCGTCCATTGGGCTTTGGGTGTTAGGTTGAGCTAGCGTTGCTGAAGTCGGGGTCACTTGGGGGTTGATGTTGTTGATGATGGTCACAGGAAGCCCTCCAGTAGGAGCTCCGGTCACAGAGTCCATGATGCCTCAGTAGTCGTTGCTTCAACGGTACTGCTAGAGTCCCTCAACAGTGGCACTCTAGTGGCGGGTCAGCTAGCAGCTACACGCTTCTAGCTTTTATCAAACGATGGTTGTATTTTCGGGGATAGGGGGCTCAGAATTGTGCCAACAAAGGCGCGTTCGAAGGCGTACAAGTAGTGTTAAGGTTGTGGGAAGCAGAAGGAGAGTGGATATATATATTAAGGTGACAATGTGCAGAGGCAGTCCCTTTCACTAGAACAGAGTAACTAGGGATAGTGAGTGGTAATGCCAATGAGGTGCCCTGGCAATGGATTACAATCCGCCAGTGAAGATAGGCAATGATGTGGAGGAAGCCTCTCACTGCAGCATGAACTGAGATATCCAAAGCCGTTACCCTGTCAGTTACCCAGTCACCGCAACTGAAAGATCATCGGAACTCTCCAGGACACAGACAGATTTGTAGCTGGTGAATGGGCAGACTCAAGACGATGTAACTGATAGCATGTCTGTAAATGTGACCAAAACCAAGGGGTTGGAAAGGCCAGGCAAACATGACCCGCAGCTGATAGCTTAATCCAGACAGAGATATAGAGTGAATGCATACATGCTGTTCAGTAATGCCTTCCTTTGACTTGCTGCCACAGACCTTTGGTCAATTTTCTCGGCTGGTTATCGCGAATGTCCTGGCGTAAATCATAGAGCGCTAATTTCCGAGCTCAGTTTCTCTAGCGTCCTCACGATGATCCTGCCGACAAAAGATTAAGCCTGGTCTTTTCGTTATCCCGTGTTGGCTACTAAAGTCAGAAAGACTTCGAAGCCATGATCCGATCCGCCGAACAATGTTGTTGTCGAGATGTCCAAAGCAAGCGAGCGGGGTTGGGATGGCTATGAGGGAACAGGATAAGTTGGAACAAGAACCAAAATAGCAGGCAAAACTTAGCCCAGACGGGTTCCCGGTCTCTTTTGGCGCTACCAACTTCAAACAGGGCTCGAGATTTGGGCCCTTGATCTTCCAGTTGAGTTGGAGGACCAAAATCTCATCGAAGCGCCGAGCTCGTATTGCGCGAGAAGGTGAAATACCGACAAGCTGGAACGACCGGGAATCCAGGCGCCTGGGCAATGTCAAGGCTGTTGGGGACGAGAGGGAAAGGGGACTGAGAGAGACCCCAAGAAGGCTGACAACGAGCACTGGCGCCTAGGACCAAATAACCGATCCAATTGGGCTGGACGGGGCTAGCTGCAGGGTAGATGAAGGAAGGGGGCAGGGGGGAAAGAGAAGAGGCTGCAGATGGGAGACAATCTCCAGCGAAGGTCAGACGGAGCAGGAGAAAGACGACGCAGTAAGAGAGGTAGGTAGGTAGTGAAGGAAGGAAGGTTGGATTGGAGGGTGCCAGTGTCACCGTCGGACCCCGCAAGAGACGGCGATCCGCTGGGACCATTCCTGGGACCTACTCAGTAAAGTGACAGCAGTAAAGTAGGCACAAAGGTTGGTTGGTTGGAAAGTTGGTTGGTTGGATCCGCTGGAAAGTCAGTGCCTCGTAGTAATAAAGTAGTAGTCGATAGACCGATAGGAGAGGTAGATTAGAAGGGAGATCGGGAAGGACTAAGGTTGGAAGCTGAGCTCTCCAAGAGGCTTGGATGGCCTGGATTGGAAGGAACTTCAAACGGAAGGCTGCCCCGGCGTTCAGACCCCCCAAATAATAATAACTTATCCAAGGCCTCCTGCCTCATTCATCCCATATGGGCCTCGGCGGTCTTTTCCGCCTGGTAATATTACACCACCTGACTCTTCTTCTCCCACCGCTTCCAGAGTCCGGACCGACCGTGAGCTATCCATTCCTAGTATCCTTCCTGTACGGAGTATGTGTATGTTATCTCTCCAGTCGGACTCCGCGGATGATTGCGAGCCGACGACGTCATCCGCTCATAGCTTTCTCCGCCCCAACTTTCTCCCCCCTCGGCGGTTCAGTTGGGGTCGATTGGATCACAATTCCCCGTCAACTACACGGTACGACGAGGTTCCAACCACGGGGACTCCGCATCCCCCCTGATCCAGAGCTTATTTGCTCATTGATCCTACCGAATCGAGCTTCTCCAATCCTCCGACCGTTCGACCTGCCCGGTTCATGACGCCCGCCCGGTGGCTGTCTATGTGGCATTTGCGACCACCTCTCCGCTTTCCACCTTCAATCGTCAAAATGTCCATTTCCACCTTCACCATCCCTCGGGACCTAGACCATGATGTCTCGTCCCCGCTACACATTTCTTGTGCGGCAGAGCTGTCCAGGGAAGACCTCCTGCGATTCCCGGCTTTTCGGGTCTGGCTGACCACCTTACAACGCTCCTTGAGTCGCCAGCAACATCCCTCCCACGAGTTCTCCAAAGACCCTTACGTCCTGCGCAAGATTGATATCCAGGCGGTGGATTATTTTGGTGGTGGGCGTCTAGGCTTTTTGAAGCTGAAGGCGGAGGTGTCAAATGGCAACGGCGAGACGCTCCCGGGAAGCGTGTTCTTGCGCGGTGGTAGTGTAGGAATGCTGGTAATCGACCTTTCTCCGTTCACCTCTTATCAACATCATTTGGGTACAATACTGACGATACCCCTCTCTATAGCTCATACTTCAACCAGACGACGTACCCCATTCGGCGGAAGAGGAAAAGCGTGCAATTCTGACCATCCAACCCCGTATCCCCGCAGGCTCTCTCGCCTTTCCCGAAATCCCAGCCGGCATGCTCGACGACAGCGGATCGTTCGCAGGGGGTGCAGCAAAAGAGATCCAGGAGGAGACGGGCTTGAAAATACCCCAGGAGGAGTTACTCGACATGACATCGCTGGCTCTGCGGTCGGTGGCAGAACCCGATGACGGCGAGACGTTGCAAAAGGCCATGTACCCCTCAGCCGGTGGTAGCGACGAATTCATTCCCTTGTTTTTGTGTCAGAAACGGATGCCGCGCAAGGAAATCGACAACCTGCAAGGAAGGTTAACTGGATTACGACAGCATGGAGAGAAGATTACACTGAAAGTGGTACCACTGAGGGATCTCTGGAAAGAGGGTCTGCGGGATGGAAAGACCCTTGCAGCGTGGGCGTTGTATAGAGGGCTCAAGGAGGAGGGGAAGCTATAGGCGGGTCTCCATGCTCCGAATTTGTGTGACTCTGATAACAGAACATCTGACATCGACACTGATCTAAATATATCGCATTTGGCAATCTATCGACGGTACAGTGAGGCCTTCAGAAGACAAAATGGGAGCCCACATCCATTGTGCAAGACAACGCTAATGCTGGATCATCTACATACAGCTCAAAGCTTGAATCTCTTCGCGAGTTGGATTCCCTCCGCTATTGTGCCCACACGAGCATCGATGGCGTATCCCTCTTTCTCGAGTTTCTTCATTTCCTCAAACAATGAAGACAAAGGCACAGTGAAGCACTCGATGAACTCGTTGTCTTCGAGCTCGGGCTTCGGGTTCTGGTTCTCGGGTAAGGACATATCCACTCGGACATGCACCATGTTGAGGTTGGTGTTACAGAATCCAGGGTCTGTAAGAAACTCCGGTCAGCGTCCTTCCCCGGCCAGACCTGCGGAAATAAGATTTACGCTCGACGAATGATTTAGACTCACCGTTGTACATGACACTGCTGGTCTCCTCCGCCACACCTACGTAGCCCGTTTCCTCCTTGAGCTCGCGCACAGCGCACTCCTCCACGGTCTCATTGGGATCAATCAGCCCGGCCGGGACCTCGATGACCACCTTGTCAATCGGCGGGCGGTACTGCTTTTGTAGGAGGAGCTCCGGTCCACTTTCCTTATTAAGGATCGTTACAATTCCCACACCATCAATCTCACAGTTTGGGGGCCGTGTCTAGTCTCGTCAGCTTCCTACTACATATCCCTTCTCCGCCTTCTCTTAGGATGACATTCCAAAGCCAGCGCTTTAAGCCCCGCAGGACTCGTCTGCAGCATCGCCGACCTCCGAGAAATGGTCACACAGGTAAACAGAAAACTTCATAAATTCCTACCTTGCGCTCTGCAGACTCCCACGTCCTTTCCACCCCATTTGGATCAGTATACGTCGTCATGACCAATCTGGTCCATACGGCTTCTTGGGGGTCCTAGTCGATGTTTAGCATATACCACATCCTTGCAGTAACCTCCCCAATTGCCCCAATCACACGGAATAGACCCTAATAAGACCTTGAGACAAGACGGGATGGATACTGTACATACCAAAGGCCCCGTAGAAAGCAATTTCGACTGGGCGTATTTCGGATCCGACATCGTCTGTTATTCGTGCTCAAGAGAAGCAAAAGAAAAACAACAACAATGTTATATGAAGAAGCAATCAATCTATGCAATCTAGAAATTTAGAAAGACACTTTTATCCTCCTCTATCTTCCAGAGAATAAAATCAAGTAATCCCGTCCAGGAAGAAAATGAGTAGCAGCTAGAAGATAAGTAGGCGGGGAAAGCAAAGTAAACACGTCCGAGGTGACTGACGTAGCAAGGCAAGAGAGGGGCAGCACCACCGTTCCTACCGCATTGGGTTTAGAGGGTTAGCCCTTATCTTATCGGGTACTTTGTTCATTATCTTACACAGAGTAGAGTAAGTAGAAGAAGATACGGATATTTTCTAGAGGAGTGGATGATGAAATGCCTGATTGAGGTGAAATTGGCTGTAGGGTGCTGCTGTAGGTGTAAACGGTGTTGCTGGGGTATGGGGATTTTGGGGCGGATAGTAGTAGGTAGTTCATTGTGACGGGATAATATATTAGTACTATGGATTTGTGCAAAGGGTGTTTAGGGACTGATGGGGGTTGTTGAGTAGAGACCATACCATATGAGAGATAAGAGTGTGGGTGTGTATTGGAAAGAAGGTGGTATGTTATGTGATATGTTCTGAGCAGTTGAGAGGTTGGTTATTGATAAGGAGCATTCGTAACATGGCATTGGAGTTTACTTTGAGTTCTATTGTCTAGGATAAAATAGGCAACGAGACGAAAGATAATATCGACCTAGGTTTGTCAAAATAACAGCGATGGTTGTGATGATATTATTACAATTACATAGAAGTTCCGTCTCACAGCAATCGATTCTGTAGGTTGTCCGGGTTCTTCTGAAGGTGGTATATAGTTTCATGCGTTTTTGGAATATATTACTTTAGTAATTTTATCTAGAGACCCTTCGACTAAATTGGTCCATCTGTCACGCAGCCACGACTGGCATCGCTGACCAGCTTGGCATACTTGCTCAACGTTCCCTTCTTCGCCCGTGGCGCCGGCGCCTTCCAGGCTTTCCTCCTCTGCTCCATCTCTTCCGACGTGATCTGCAGATCAACCACCCTTTGTTCGGCATCAATCACGATTCGATCACCATCCTTAGCCAGTGCAATGGGCCCCCCTTCCATGGCCTCGGGCACAATATGGCCGATCAAGAAACCGTGACTGCCCCCCGAAAATCTCCCATCAGTGAGCAGTGCGACATCCTGGCCCAACCCAGCACCCATAATGGCCGAGCTGGGCTTGAGCATCTCAGGCATACCAGGGCCGCCCTTGGGGCCCTCGTACCGGATGATGACGACCGTCTTCTCGCCTTTCTTGATTTCACCTCTTTCGAGAGCCTCAATAAAACCATCCTCATAATCGTAGCATTTGGCGGTGCCTTCGAATCGCAAACCTTCTTTGCCGGTGATCTTGCCGACTGAGCCGCCGGGGGCCAATGAGCCACGAAGAATTTGCAAGTGGCCGGTTGGCTTGATAGGATTGTTTAGAGGCCGGATGATCGGTTGGTCGGCTGAGAAGTCGGGCCACGAGGCCACGTTCTCCTTCATCGTCTTGCCAGTGACAGTAATACCGGAGCCATCAATAAGACCCTCCTTGAGCAAGAACTTCAACAACGCTGGTGTGCCACCGATCTTGTACATGTCATGCATGACATACTTGCCAGACGGCTTCAAGTCGGCCAGGAAAGGGGTCTTGTCCGACATGGCCTGGAAGTCATCAATGGTCAACTTGATGCCAACAGAATCAGCGATGGCAATCAGATGCAACACCGCGTTGGTGCTGCCTCCCAGGATGTTCACGACGACCATAGCATTCTCAAATGCTTGTCGCGTCATGATATCCTTAGGCCGGATGTCTTCCTTGAGCAAGTTCTTCACCGTCTGGCCGATGTCTTCACACTCGGCCTTTTTACTTGGGTCCTCCGCCGGTGTGCTGCTGCTTCCAGGAACCGTCATACCGAGTGTCTCGATGGCCGTTGCCAGCGTGTTCGCCGTGTACATACCACCACAGGCACCAGCACCAGGGCATGCGTTGCGGATAATGTCGAATCGTTGTTTCTCATTGATCTCCCCAGTGAGATACTGCCCGTACGACTGAAAAGCACTAACCAAGTCAAGTGGCTGGCCACCTGCACTGCAACCGGGCTTGATACTACCACCGTACACCATGATGCTTGGGCGATTGACACGGCCCATGGCCATCAGAACTCCCGGCATGTTCTTGTCGCAGCCGGGCAGTGAGATATTGGCATCGTACCACTGGGCGTTCATGACCGTTTCAATGCCATCGGCGATGATCTCTCGACTCTGCAAACTGAAACGCATACCAGTTGTGCCCATACTTATGCCGTCTGATGCACCGATGGAGTTAAAACGCATGGGAACCAGACCTGCCTTGGCTACCGAGTCGCGAACCACCGACGAGAGGTCCATCAGGTGCATGTTGCAGGGATTGCCTTCGAACCACACCGATGAGATACCAACTTGTGGCTTAGACATGTCCTTTTCTGTCAACCCAGTAGCGTAAAGCATGGCTTGAGAGGCCCCCTGAGACTTGGGTTGTGTAATTCTAGAGGAGACCTTGTTTAGCGCCTCGTCGGTATAACGATGTGTGGTAGAGGACAGAAGACGCCTAGATTCATCCGTTGAGTTCAACCGTCAGCTTCTAGATTCTCAACAGGAGCTGTGTGGTATACGAACGAGGATGGTTGACTCTGCAGTGGCATTCGTCGACCAAATGTCAGAGCCTTGGAGGCTCGCGCCCGGAAGGCAGATGCAATCATGATCGGCCTGGGGGTTGTGCGAGTAGAGAGGAGAGAGGGGAGATGTTTTTTTCTTTGTTTTGTTGGAGGATCAGTCAAACGCAGGCTGTAGGCCACCTTATATAGTCTGTGTTTAACGACTGCCTTGGACGAGAGCCATTAAAGTTTAGGTGAGTCAGACGATACCCCTAGTTTGACCGACATAAGTCCCATCCGTTCAACCTACCTAGATAGCGACTAAGTAGAAATCTCGCATCTTGCACTGCCATTGTAATTGGGCGACCAGAAAAAGAATCGATCGGAGGTCTAGTCCGCGGGGGCCAAAGGAAGGAGATTGCATGACCGCAGCTCCAATCAGGCGAGGGATATTACAGCCGATTATCCGAAGCGTCGCAGATGACCTCAAATAATGGAGCACTCCGGATGTGATTGCAGGAAGGGGCATGGAGGTGGTGGTATCTACCTAGCAGTCAGAAGCCCCCCGGTCATCTATACATCCTTCATGTCGATCTCGACCCACCGGGCCGGAGTTGGGTTGCCGCTCCCCGGGTGGGTGACTACTAGGAGTATCTATATCTACTGTCAGCACTTAGCAAGATTAGGTATGGGAAAGAAAGTCAGTAACAAGCCACAAATTAAAAGTCCTGGGGCCTAGAACATTCGGACCAAGTGTCCTAGTACCACACAGCCCATGAAGCCATGCAACTTGATTCCCCCATGACAATCTGGGTCTGCCTACCTATCCGCCCACGGGGCACATTACAAACGGTAGTCTCTGATTGTGTTTAGAAGATATTGGTGTAGGCCTGATTTATATATTAAATGGAGACTGCTTGCAAAGTGGTACGGCGCAATTTATGGGTGTGATCTTAATCCCGATCGACTAACCCGTTCCTTTGATGTTTATTGAGACAAGGACATTGGTTGATAGAGAATTTCCATTGTGCCTGTGCAGGCAACAGCCCCCCAAAGAAAGTATCTGATCCCTAATTTAACCTATCTATTAGAAGGTTTGATAGTAATGCATGGACCCCGAATGATGAAGTGAATCATGCGAATGTGGTAATATGGCAGGTGATCATCAGACAACAGTTTCCTAGATAAAAGAAGTGACGGATCACTGCATGACACGATGGGGGAAGACAAAAGGTCCAGCCGAGTTAAGATGCAAAGAAATAATGTTGATAGTCATCTGAGATGTCCTGGTCTGAAGTGAAGGAAGTGACCCAAAGCCCCGAAACGGCCAACTCGCTTGCTATCATGGCTTCGTGTACATATTCGTAAGTAGAGAATTAAGACGGTATAATCTACCATTCCTTCAGGCCGCTTCAATTTGAGAGAGACATTGCGGAAATTCACTCCAATCCTTCATGATAACCTTGGCACCCAGCTCCTGCAGACGCTGGGACATTTCAAACTGTTTTTCATCGCCGTGGTAGCTTCCAACATAGCCAATAACTGGAATGCCGGCACGAATGGCGCTAAGAGCACCAGACTTGCTGTCCTCAACGGCGACCACTTCTTCAGGCTTCTTGTTGCGCACCTCGAGAGCATGGATGTAAATAGCGGGATCCGGCTTCGAAGTGGGCTTGGGAAGTGAGGTGGCTGCACTGAACACATTCTCCGGGTCGAAATACTTGTCTTGTCCAACCTTCTTGATAGAGGCACGGACACGACGCAGTGCAGATGAGGAGACCACTGACAGGCCGTACTTCTTGGACTTGAACAGCTTCTCAAGTTCTTCGGTAACACCAACGCAGGGTTGAGCTTTGTCGGTCAGCTTGGCAATGACCTTATCCTCCTCCTTCTTTACGTATTCCTCAAGCTCCTCCTTGGACATCTCGAACTTATATTTGGCCTGAAGAGAGACCATCATTCCGCGGAAGTTCTGACCAACAAAGTCTTGGATAAGCTGCTCGCCCGTATAACGATCCGAGATATTCTGCTTTTCCAGGATTTCATTGGCAAGATCAGCACAGGCCTCAAAGGCCAGCTCCTCCGAAAGGACGAGGGTGTTGTCGCAGTCAAAGAAGATCTCGGTGATCTGCAATCAAAACCATGTGAGCACATGAGAGTCCTTTCCATCATGGTATGAAGGCTCAATAGCTTACCTGCGGCATGGTGGCTGCAAGATTGGGAATAAATACTTTGGTGACAGAAGATACAATGTACGTGGGCGAACGTGGAGGCTCGCTTAGGTAGGCTGTGAGAAAAAGGCTGACGTGAGGAACAACTTATGAGGAGATGGTAGGAAAGGAGATTGTAGTTTTTCCAAGAGGTAAAGTCTAATTTATGGAGGAGAGAGGAAAGAGGAACAAGAAAATCTGGGGGTAAGGAGAAGAGGGGCAATGCGAGGGCATTCAATGTGTTTAAGTAGTACTGGGAGGGACCAATACAAAGAAAGCCCCAGACGAAAAGTGGTGGTACCTACCTAGTATTATCTGGATTCAAGGGGGGCAACCAAGACACGGAATGACGCTTGAATTCAGTGGCTGATCGAGAGAACCGAAAAATGGCTGGCAAACAGGAAGGAATTCACCCCCGGTATTCAAGGTAGGAGCGGGGCCTGAGATCATACACAGTAACGGCACAGTCCAGCCCAGAGTGACAGTAACGAAGCAGCAGTGACCAACCCCCATGACGTTATCAACTGGGCGACTTCCCATTCCGCCGTCGGGGCAGCGCAGCACTAGATATTGGAGCTAGACCTATTCCAGCAAGCACCCGCTGCCAGTCGGTGTTGGAGTTGCGCTCGGATTCCCCTCCTTCTAGCCCTCTAGGGGATAGCGTCGTCACCTGATGGAAAGGCACCGAATCCTCGCCGCCCATCTCATCGTCTTCAATTTCCGGCTTCCTTTCTTCGTCGACGCCTCCAAGCCCAATGATGAAGCGCAGAGCCAATCGAGAGGATTCCATGGCATGTATATCTACATCCCATGTGCTTGGGGGCGGCACTGCAGAAGTGGAACCCCTGAGTTTCTCCCTTTTCTATTCTTGACTACTCCGCGTGTCTCTTCTCTACTCTCCAACTAGGTAGAGCCCTTTTCTCTCTCTCAGAACTCTCAGACCACCCAGGCAGAGGCTAGAGGTCCTCTGTACTGACAAAAGCAAACCTTATCTCCGTATCATGACCTCGCATACCAGTCACCGGGTGTGCTCATGCGAGGGGTAATAATCGGACGCAGCCTCCATTAGAATGTGTCAAGTTTCCTCCGTCTCTGTAAATACATCCCCCGGAGCACTGTATTCCATTACCTAGCGCGCAATTAGTGAATTACTTGAAGGGGCGGCAGTAGTTCATCGCCAAGAGTTAGGCCACGAATTACCAGGCGGCGCTGAATATACCAGAGCATTATGACGGTGTAGATAATACCATGCGGTATTGTAAGGAGCCATGAGGCGGCATGAAACCATTCCATGGGACCAGAGGGGCTTGGCTGGCCATGGGGTACGGAGTAGATTCGAAGTACGGAGTACTCGCATCGAAAATGCAACTGCCCAGGGTTTTCTATGTGTGATATGCCAGGCTGTTCACGACGAAAGGCGGAGAGAGTAGTAGGTGAAGGGCGCCTACACCTTGTTAATTTACGAAAATGATATGACTCCAAGCCAGATGGTATATAAAAGAGCCTGAGACCTCAACCATTAACACCAATTGTATCCGGATACATGTAGTAGGTATCTATGTACCTGTGTCCTGTAGGTACTATCTAAGTGTGGCGGGCGGTGCTCCGCTTTCGAGTCGGCGCCGGCCTTGAATGTGGGCCGATCATTGGCCGACGAAGAAATTCTAATGGTACTTGCATTAGAGCCCCTCATTTTCGCATCTGAATTCCATTCTCATAGAGCCCCTCAAAGTCTTTGATGTTATTATCCCTTGCCCGGGACATGCCGTAACCTACTTATAGCGAAATTCACTCACCCTTCCTCTCTCAACGGTGATACGACCCGACTACTGCCATCCGGGCCAATACGAAGCACTCCGGGAAACATGGGATCTGGCTCTGGTTCCGATCCCTACCCCGTGTCCGTTTCGTCCCTTCATTTCCCCTCCGCAGAGCAGCAGTCCATTTCTCAAACGCTATCCGCGTTGCGACGATCGGCACTCACTGTCACCAACCGATTGCGTTCCATCGAAGCCGACGCAACTTTTGTCCGCGAGGTTGCAGACCATTACAACCTTCCGCTCATTGCCAATGAAAGATGCGGGAGTTGGTATATCCCGCCTGAGATCAAGTCGGGCAGTGCGTATTTCAAGAGTACAGACGGTCATACGGGCCAGTGGGACTTCAGCTTTCGCAGGCTAAACCTGCAGCTTTTACCGATTGCAAGAGAGCATGGAGGGTCAGTGAGCCTGTCATTCGTGGCTTTTGTCATCCCTGTTGATCGTTCTGCTCTTGGGCTAACTGAATGCTTGACTATTATTCGTTGATACAGTTGCATCATAGTGGACTCGACGCGCCGGGGCAAATGTAAGTGTTACCAACCAATTCCTGCAATCGATCCAGTGGCAGTCTGTCTGACGAGGGTATGCCCCAGTGATGCCCGATGCCCTGTCCAAAACTATCCCAATATGGTGTGCCGTCATTAACCGGTCGTTGTTTCCTTCCGAGACTGCATATCATACTGTAGCCTTCCCACCAAACTACCTGGGCGCTTCCGAAGAGTCACAGATTGCACGGAAGATTGATAGCTTTGTCAAGTCACTCGAGGTAGTTTTGCTACATAGTACATGGTTATCCGTACACTCCTTGTAGGCTGATGGTTTGATAGGACCTGAAACTCGACCTGGGTGAACTTAAACAGCAGCTTGGAAAACCTATCCAGATAGCATGGGCTAATCGATCCTACTTCCATCCGACGGATCTGCATAAAAGGGATAATTATCACCTTTTTGTTCTCTGTTCTGCATCCAAAAGGGTCCATGGCGCGGAGATGTCCGAAGGCGGCTACATCCAAGGAGCAGGGGATGATAGCGAGAGTTGGGCCTATGGTTTGACCCCTCCGGTCTTTTGGGCTACCAAATCAACCCTCTTCCAGCAGTGCGAAGAAGATCTACCGATCTTAATCGAGCAGCTGGTGGAGGAGCACCGGAAGAAGGACATCGATCAGAGAGCCATCCGTATAGCGCCAACTCGAAACCTTTATATCAGCCAAACACATCCACAACTGGCCAAGGGTAGCATGTATGATCTTGTGATAGATTGTAGTACGAGTCCAGAGGCAGCGGAGGGAAATGCAAAGCGCCTGAACCTCGGATGCGGATCTTCGAAATTGGGAAGCCGCGACCTACGCAAGCATTTGGACCGGGTCCAGGATTTCGTCCAGTCGCGTCTGAGCTCCAACCCGTTGCAGTCGGTGCTGGTGACATGTGAAACCGGAAAGGATCTCTCTGTCGGTGCCGTTCTCGCCATATTATGTCTGTTTTACAACGAGCAAGGTGAGCCGCTTTTATTACTACTAATACTTAGTGGCGCTACAGTTTTGATGCTAATGGTGATGCTGATGGTCCCCCAGGAGAATTCACTGCTGCCCGCACCAGCCAACTGATTGGCAAGCAGTTCATTCGTCAGCGTCTTGCCTGGATCACATCGTCCAAGCACGATGTAAATCCCTCACGGTCTACACTGCAATCGATCAACGCCTTCCTTATGCAACGCCCAGATTACTGATCTAATAGACGCCAGCATGATCCTGCAAACTCAATTAATCTAATCTATTAAATCGCATCGCGACGAGCTACTCGTTCTCCACCGCCTCGACAATGGCGCCACTGCTTCCCTGGTCCAGAGCGTTAAGCACCGCCATGTCCTCCTCGCTGATATCGAAATCAAACACGTTGGCGTTAGCCGCAATCCGGTCCGCATTGTCAGTCTTGGGAAGCGGAACCCATTCTTTCTGCAAGGCGTAGCGTATCAGGACCTGCTGGGTCGTCTTGTTATACTTCTCGGCCAAATCCACGAGTGTAGGGTCATTCGCTTTGTAGTTTCGCACAATGGGGGAATAGGATTCGACGATGATTTTGTTCTTCTTGCAGTATGCATCGACCACGCGTTGTTGGCACCAGGGATGGAGCTGCAGGATCACATTTGTCAGCCACGTCAACCTCCTCGTTGTAGGGTCAATCCGAATAATTCCGTGTATACTCACCTCGATCTGATTCACATGCGGTGGCCAGACCTTCGCATACGCCTTCATCTCTTCGATGTGTTTCACTCCAAAGTTGCTGACACCAATGCTCTTAGTTCTGCCTTCCTCCAGCAGCCTCTCTAGGGCCTGCCATAGTTCTTTGCGACCCGGCGAGCCGGACTTGGAGCTATGGATCAAGAATAGATCAACATATCCGTCCTTTCCCCCGATCTTGTCAACGCTAGCCACTAGTCTCTCGTAGGTTGCTTCAGGCGAACCTGCTGGGCTGAGGATTTTGGTGGTCACAAAAATTTCGCTGCGGGGCAGGCCAGACGAACGGATGGCGTCGCCAACTTCCTTCTCGTTTGCGTAGAACTGGGCGGTATCGATGTGCCTGTAACCTATTTCAAGGGCTTTCAAGCATGACTGCACGGTTTGTGTGGAAGGTGACCGATAGACGCCGAACCCGAGGCGGGGTACTTTGATGGGGGAGTTGGGGAGCGGCAGAAGGTCCGTGAGGGTGTAATTGGCCGACATTGTGGACTGATGAACTGATATCAAAAAGAAGAATCAGTGTCGGAATTCTGTAGTGTTCAATCAACGGCCGTTGTCAAGATGTGTATTTTGGGAGAATGACACATGGAGAGGGGAAGGCCGATTCAGTTGGTTGGTGTTTCCGCTCTGCGCGCGGGTCCCAATCACGCCTCGGCGAGTCCGATGATATCATCAGCCCACCTTTCGCCTCTTCATGCCTTCTGGATCCCTTCGAGTTTCTCAACTACACTACTGTGGTACAGAATCTGGCACATTATGGGATAAATATTTATACATAGGAATTGGGTCTTGTACATGTATTGCTTTGAGATCTCCGGTCTGCGCGTTTCCGCATGGATATCTTGTCCGTCTTTGATGATGCCCGAAATATGGGGGCACTGGTAAATATACCCTTCGCCCTTGCAGACGGAAAGGTAAATGCTCAACTCTACCACGGTACCTTCTCGCGTGCGTAATATCCGATCTACCTAGTAGATCTTTAGATATACCTAGTATTGCTCCCAGCATAATTGTCCTTATTGCTTGAATCGACATGGTGCAACTGGCAGGAGATGTAAATAGACCAAATGCCTCGGGTAGAGGTGATGTACCTAACCTGAGATCACGTCTTTGGGCGACAGCCGAGCCCCCTCCTTCTCAATAGGTACTGTACTATCTTGGTAAGTCACTCAAGAATTTGATCAGCATCTCTCGGAGAATTGAATAATGGTTCACCGGGGGATCAGTCTATCCTGGGTTTCAGATCGAATTTACGAGTAAAAGCGAGGCAACCTTTCTCTTGCATAACTCCTGGTTGGGCAATCGTCTTCGGGACCAAGCCACCCGACATTCCCAGATTCATTGCAGTCGAAGCCTGTGGCTGAAGGAAGCATGCAAAAGGGAGGCTTTTTTTTGGCTGCGACTAAGTACTACCGTTATCCTCCGAATCTTAGTGGTCAGTAAGCGCCCCCCTCTCCCAGTACTATAAACAGAAACCGGATCAGCGCTCAAAGGAAGCAAACTGCCGGGGTTACTTGGACATAAGTGGGTAGACCCTAAGCCAAGGGCCCCGGAATGTATTTGCCATATGAGATCCATTGATGGTCTTTCGCCTGGGAAATCCCCGGAGAACTGAAGATGGATGATGCGAGGAATGATCAGAGGGATGATGGTTTTGGCCGGCAGCAGCCGACCGGAGGACCAACAACGGTGGTTGCTGTGGGGGGAAAGTTTGTTGACAGGCCGGGCATCGGCAGTGCCAGTAGCCAGTAGGTAGCCAGTAGCCAGTGCCAGCGCATGAGGAGCCCCTTAACTGGAGACTCATTATGCCTTAAGTTCCAATAGCTTTGCTTATGTACTTCGGAGGAGTCGAGGCCTGCGCTGCGGACTGCGACGGCCAACCGCCAAACTAGTCCTTCGTACTAACTAACGCTCCAACGAGCTAACGATTATTCATTCTTCTTTCACTACTACTCTGCGCCCAACCGCTAGACCATTCGATCTCTTGAAAATCAACGAATCGCAGCCCCCCTTCCCCCTCGTTCTAGCCACTCCGTCCTGAAGATCCTGCCTTTTCCATTAAAGTCTACCACCCCAGGGCTCCATCCATCATCCACCATCAACACCCTACCCTGTAGCCAGCCTCCAGACACACAGGCAGCGAGCGCTCCCTCAGTCCGTGCTTCAATCGTCCAAATCCCCGCGCCCGCCCTGGATGTTTTCGACCGCGCTCACCATTCATCATGTTGACGGTTGAAAAGCAGTGGATTAATGTACAACAGAAGACCTTCACCAAATGGTCGGTACCATCCCCCCCGCTCGTTGAGAGGCGGCCGGGTTCCCCTCTTCCTCCCACATGCCCTAAATATTTTTTTCGCCTCATGCACTCTCCCGAGGCCAACTAAACTAATCCTTGCTCGTTTGCAGGCTCAATGATAAGCTGAAGGTGCGGAAGATCTTCATCGACGATCTGGTGGTCGACCTTTCTGACGGTGTGAGTAGATCTCTGGTTTTACCCTTTCCGGACGGAAATTCATGCGGTGGTGTTCTGCGGTAAAAGAGAGGAACTCCAGTTGCTAATTATCTTGTCGATTGACCAGGTCATCCTTATCCATCTGCTTGAAATCCTCGGTGGAGAGTCACTCGGTCGATATGCCTCGAAGCCGAAGTTGCGTGTGCAGAAGTTCGAAAATGTCAACAAGAGTCTTGATTTCATCAAGGGAAGGAGGATCCCGATGACGAACATTGGAGCGGAGGATGTGGTCGATGGTAATCGGAAGATCATTCTGGGCTTGATATGGACACTCATTCTACGATTCACGATCAGCGACATCAACGCGGAGGGAATGACCGCTAAGGCGGGTCTTCTCTTGTGGTGTCAACGGAAGACCGCTTGCTACGAGGGGGTAGAGGTTCGGGACTTCTCCACTAGCTGGAACGATGGTCTGGCCTTCTGCGCTCTCTTGGATATTCATCGACCGGATTTGATTGACTTCGATGCCCTGGATAAGAAAGACCACCGGGGGAACATGAAACTTGCCTTTGATATCGCAGCTAACGAAATAGGCATTCCCGACCTGCTCGATGTCGACGATGTCTGCGACGTGGCGAAGCCTGATGAGAAGTCACTCATGACATACATCGCTTATTGGTTCCATGCTTTCTCCCAGCTGGAGCGCGTTGAGAATGCCGGGCGTCGGGTGGAGAAGTTCATCAACAATATGCATGGTGCATGGGAAATGCAGAATTCCTACGAGCGGAGGATGAAGGAACTGTTGCGCGTGATCAGAGCACAGCGTGAGGAGTGGAAGACGTCCTCATTTGAAGGCACATACAAGGATGCAAAGGAGCAAGCCCGTCAATTCTCCTTGTACAAAAGAAACCAAAAACGACAATGGGTTGCAGAGAAATCGGATCTCGCAGCCCTGCTCGGAAACATCAAGACAAAACTCAGCACATACCGACTTCGTCCTTACGAGCCCCCGACAGAGCTCAGTCTCGAGGTTTGCGATGAGGAATGGGAGGGCTTGACGCGTGACGAGCACGAACGTAGTCAGCTTATTAACGAGACTATTCGGGATATCAAGAACGCTCTCCGTCGCTCCTTTGCAGACAAAGCAAATGATTTCGCACTAACGCTGAAGACGCTGTCTCTTGCAATATCTGGTCTCGATGGTGATGTAGAAGACCAATTAGCTCATGTCAAGAGACTCAATGACAACCTTCCTCCCCTCGATGCGTTCTTAGATACCATTGCGGCGCTGGACGAGCAATGTGCGGAGGCGAATATTGAAGAGAATGACTACACCACATATACCTTAGATGAACTCTCCTACGAGCTTAGCCTGGTCAAGTCCAGCATCTCCAAAAAGCTCGCTTTCCTCGACAATCAGCTTGTGGCTCGGAACATGACCAATCTGACCCCAATCCAGCTGGAGGAGTTCGAGTCTGTTTTCAGACATTTCGATCGCGACTCTTCCAATACCCTCCATGAGCTGGAATTCTCAGCTGCTCTGGCCAGTCTTGGCCTCGTATATGATGAAGAGGAGATGCATGACGTCTACGTTGAGACATGTGGTCCAGCTCGGCTAGCGCAAAATGCCGGTGTTAGCTTTGAGCAATTCATCCGATTCATGGTCAGCGTGACTGAGGACCAGAATACTGCCGAGCAGGTATACCAGAGTTTCCGGGAGGTTGCGGATGGCAAGGTGTGTTATTTGCTGGAGTCGAAGAACTTTTTCCATTTCCAATCAATGTCTGACTTTTGTAGCCATATGTCACGGAGCTCGACCTTCGGCACTCTCTCATCCCCGACGAGGTAATCGAACATCTCGTCAAAACGATGCCGCCACACAATGGACCAGACCTTCAAGAGGACAGGGATCTGCCCAAGTATGACTACATCAGCTTCATGGAGAAGATGATAGAGCATAATAACAACCAGAGCAACGCTCCTGTCAACGGAGGAAGTTAATGGGTGTCTCTTGCATTGCACTACCGGTGTTTTCTTCTTTCATTCCCTTGTCTCGCTTCTGGACCATATTGTTGAAGGTTGCTATTGGTGTTTTCTGGAGCAAAAAGGGAGGGGTGTGTCTTCGGTGACCTTTTGACCATGCATACAGGACTATGACCGAGGCGTCGTTTCTCTTCCTTTTTGCATTACATCCAAGAGTTTCTCCTTGCCTGCATTTCCCTTCTTAGGACGAGGGTTTGTACCATTCCAAACATGTACACCATCCTAACGGGGCGGAAGTAGTTTAGAAAGATTCACAATAAGACTATTATTGCAAATCAATGATATTTAGCCGATGTAAGGGTGTTCCCCCACAGAGGTCACTTTTTATTCAGGAAAAAAAAAAAAAAAAAAAAAAAAACGCACGCACCTTTATCCAACCAAGCAACCATTAGGCTGATGGGGCTTATGGCATACTATGGGAGTAATCACGTGATTTTAATGGTCTGGGCGGTCTGGAAGGCGCGTTTCGGCCTGGATCGCTCACTCCGACTTTAGCTTCCTACTCTCACTCCATTGATTCACACCAGTTACTTGTCCGCACTGCAAGTCTTGATATCGGTAACACATCATATCTACTCTTCTCAAATTTGAGTCAAATATCTCCCGAGTTGCCCAACATGGACCGCAGCTTGGATGAGATCATTGCGGAGCGTCCTGTAAGGTCCCTGCTAACACCTCCGGGATGACAAGTCTAAGCTGGCTTGCTAAACACCCTGCATGTGCGCTGACATGGTTTTGTGTAGCAAAAGCCAGCCCAGAATCGCGGCCGCCGCCCTCCTCAAGGTCGTCGCCGTGATGGCGTAAGAAAGGTACCCATCCCTCTCATCATGCAGTCGTACTCCTCAGTTTGCTTGCGGGTCTACTAATCACGGGGCGTCCAACAGGTCCTCCCTCCTTGTCTCCTTTCGAGTACTGCTCGCGCATCGTGATAAGCAATTCTCGCTGGCCCCGTAGCATCGTCTCTTGCACAGGCAGACGGCCGCGAAGAGCCGCAAAATGATAGAGCTGTTGACGTGATACCTAGTGTGACTTCGAGCTGACCTTCTCTCTCTATTCGATCACAACAGCCTTACAGAGAAGACCGCCCTGACTTGGATCTGTAATACCATCATCTTCTATTTTCCCCATATCCACGGAGCAAGCAATGGTTCCGCTAATGCGTCATTCAAACTACAGTGATTGGGTCCATGACAAATACGAAGACGACAGAGATGGTGCGTTCTGAGTCTCTCTCCATGGCAAAATGCCATGGGAATTCTCCGTGTTCGGTTATTCTTAACACCTTCCTCAGCACGCCCTTCTCGTGCCCCTCGACGTCTGCGTGGCGACCGTTACTCCCCCTCTCCCGAGCAGTATGTTTAGCCAACTCGTTTAGGTGGACGGTTAATCTGAGTATATAGCAATGCGCCTACTGGAGCCAAGCTTCGCGTCGAGAATATCCATTACGATATTACAGAAAGTGATCTCGAGGTAGGCCTAATCCTGGTTCTGGAAATTTCGTACTTGTTTTCTGACACGTGCTATCTTGAAGGATCTGTTTACCCGCATTGGACCCATTAACAACGTTTCTCTCGTTTACGACCGGGCAGGCCGCTCTGAAGGGCTTGCCTTCGTGACTTATAACCGTATCAGCGATGCTAGAAGTGCCATCAACGAATTCGACGGCGCGAACGCCAAAGGCCAACCCATCCGCTTGACACTTATCTCTACCGGAGGTGGAAAACGCGATCGTAACCCATTTGATAATGTGGAACGCTCGAAGGGAAGTCTATTTGATCGCGTCGAGAGACCTCGTGACCGAAACGCTCGGAGTCTGAGTCCCGGCAGCAGAAGCGGCAGTCCTGATGGAGGCGCACGCCGCCGTAGGGGTCGTCGTGGTGGCGGTGGCGGCGGCGCCGCCAGTTACCGACGCAGCGATGTCTCCAAGCCAGCCCCCGAGCACATCGACAGATACGTGCCTGGACACCGATCGCCAACTCGCCGACCCGCTAACGGACGCCGCCAGGGTGAGAACAAGGGCGAAGGCCGCCGCATGGTCAACGGACGACCCAGGAAGACCCAAGAAGAGCTCGACCAAGAGATGGATGACTATTGGGGCGGAGCTGCGAATGCTGGTGCCGGCGCGGCCGATAAGGAGGCCGTCCCTGAGGAGCCTCAACAGATTGCGCCCGCGTCCGCGGCTGCTGCTGGCGATGACGATATCGATATGATTGAATAGGTCGTACGCTTAAATTGACCTCAGCACGTAATGCATGCAATGGCATCTTTTACCTTTGTAACTAGTATTGGCCTGGATTGGAAAAAATCACCTTGAATCAGACTGAGAAGGCATAGCGACGGCGGGTCTCGTGCTGCTGGTTCAAACAGATATGGCATTCCCCTCTTATAGTCGTACAGGATGGCTATTAGCCAGTGATTAATATTACAAGCTCTACCTGAAAAAGAGAATCGGCCCGGCTTACAGATCCGTCAAGATTCTGTAGAGCATTACTGACCACTAGGAAGCATGGGGAGATCATTGGACTAATCGTATCAATCAGCCCGCGACAGTACCTACTCAAATTAAATTTGTTCGGGGGGTCGAAATATTGTTTCCCGTGTATGTTTACAAGTAGATAGCCTTTCCGATCTTCAGCGCCAGAGACCATAGGGCTCCCTGCAAGCCTTCCACAATTTGATCGTTCCGTCCTCGCTTCCTGTGCCGTAGAGTTTGCCATCAGGAGAGAAGCTGACGGACCAGATTGGACCATGGTGGCCTTTTTGGACCTCTGCATGATGTTAGCTTCTGCTTCCAATTGAAAGTTCCCCATGAGATTTGTCGCGTGAGAAGAGAAAACAACGTACCCAATTCTTCATCTGTACGGATATCATATACTCTCGCCCAAGTATCATCAGCACTACCTGTGACTAACTTGCTGGTCTCGTTGTTCACGGCTGCACTGGCGACCTCATAGCGGAACTCCATCTTCTTAAGGAGCCGACCGGGACTGAGTCCGTCGAAAAGATATACGGACTTTCCAGCCGCGACGGTAAGAATGCCGGGGTCGTTCGGTCTAACGGCGAGGGCATTGAGTTCGCAGCTCCCGATGGTACCTTCAACGGCATACTCGACGACTGGGTGACGCGAACGAAGGTCCCACCATCTGATCTTGCGGTCTTCCGCCGCGGTCGTCAGAATATTGTAATCCTGGTTCCAGACAATCGATTTGATGGTTCCACCATGAACTCCAGGGCCAATTTCGTAGCTTGTTACTGCTGAAGGAATGGTGTCGGCGCCAGGGGTAGCACTCGTGGGCGATGAGCTGTTACTACCTCCGCTGCGGGTGAGGTCGAAGATCCGGAGCTTCTTCTCGAAGCCGCCTGTTGCGACGACCTGCGGGGAGGGTTGGATTGGAAACGCGACTGCGCGACAGATGTGCGCGTGCTGGAGGGTGTGTAGACATTCGCCAGTGTGGGTATCCCAGACTTTACTACGGTTGAGAAATGACTTGTTAACGTATAGGAATGACGATGCAGGTCGAAGGGTAAGGAGGAAGAGGTAATTACTCACGCGGAGAAATCTGCTGCGGCAGTTGCCGCTATGCTTGCATCCGTTGAAAGCCGTGCTTGCCATACTGCACCCTTGTGGCCAAGGAAGGTTCCGATCCTGAACGACGCTGATGGTGAGCTTGTGCGGTGTGCGGAGTATCGATGCGGGGAACACGGACCAGTCACCTGTTATGCCATCCCGCAGCATAGGATTGTTGTCTGCTAGAGATCAGCGCGGATATGGTAGTTGTGCCTTGAAAATATGTACCCTTGCAAGCTGAGATGAGGTAGTATTGGTCATCCTCTACAGTGGATGAGAAATTGATATGCGGCACGGGACGCGAATGTCCGTGGCAGGTCAACGGCACGACTTTGGGAATATCTGGAACGTGTCAACGGCCAATTGCTATGGAGAAAGGTTTCACTGCAGCGATCCCACCTGAAGCCATTTCAAACTTCGCTTTAAATAATATACAAGGTTAAACGCAGTGGGGGAAGAGTCGCATTCGATTTTAGCGGCCGTTAAGTGGTCGGTTGTGCACTTGAGACTGAAAGAAACCGTTTCTGAACCGTCGCAGACGGAGAAAAAGATGACGGCCAGGCAGAAGACACGAGAGATGAACACAGCGTAGAAATACACAAGGAAATTCGTCGGTCTCGTCAAGTCATCAATCAGCCCGAGGTAGCGGGGTCGTTCTAAAAATGATCGGAGAGGTGGAAGAAAAGAGAGGCAGGGGAAGGAATTAGGGGAACTATACAGTCTCCCACTGATGGAACCTTTAATAAGATGAATCAGCCACCGGCGCTTCTGCAGACACAGTGGATAGGGACACAAGCCCGGAGCAACGAAAGCTATGAGATGATGCCGTTGGAGTTTGGGACTTTCTTTTTGATATTCACTCGAATCGTCGCCGGCCGTCGCCGCCCTAAGCCTATCGGGGTCTAGCGCTGTGTGGCACGTGAGGGGTAAATATCCCTATCTAGTATCTATACTGAGCACCACGTGGAGAGTATCTGCTAGTACTAGTAGACAAATATGTATCAACAGTATACACAGTCATGAACCTAGTCAATACATGGCAATTAGCTAAGAAGATTGCATGATTGAGATGATTAGTCCTTGTAATGTCCGCGGTGTTAGAAACGTCACCGAAGATACGTACTAGTACTCCGTACATATCTTTTACTTTCTACTAGGACCAGTCAATGGCATACAAAATATCTAACTAGGTAAGTAGGTACTATTGGATAGTAGATAATAGCTCAGTGGACAGCTGGTGTGCGCCTGTCCAAAAACTAACTAGCCAGCCTCTACTAGGTCATAGATAGACGGTACTTTCCGGGAATGGGTACTTCTTACTGGTAAGTCGATACATCAACTTGACGGGACTGATGCTCCAGGAGACACCGGTGATAAGGTGACTGACTAACGGTTGCGAGGAAGGCGTGCTTATCAACCCAGCCTCCGTTTCTAGTAACTTCTTCCCAGACGACGGTCAAGCCACCGCCCACGTGATTGCCCCGGATGGTCCCATGGCCCTCCTTAGTCCTTAGCAACTACTCAGGTACTCACTAGGTGAACTTACCAGGAAAGTTCCCCCCCAAAGGTGTGCTGAAGCCCCCCCCCCCCCTCGTCTTCTTTACTTCCAACTCATCCATTTGACACCCGCCAGTTTCCCTTCATCCTCCCCCCTCCACTCGGATCCATTTCCCCCCAACCCAGTGGACTGGTCTATGTATGCCTGAGTTCAAGATCTCCGCTTCTCTGGAGGGTCACGGCGATGATGTAAGAATGTCCCGGCTGTTGACGCTGCCACCTCTCAGCTCCAACCAACCCCTCCATTGTCGACCGCTAACCCATTTGCTTCTGTTCCGCAGGTTCGCGCCGTGGCCTTTCCTAACGCCAATGTTATATTCTCAGCATCGCGCGATGCAACGGTACGACTTTGGAAGCTAGTGTCTACCCCGCCTCCGACTTATGACTACACTATCACCTCTCATGGCTCGGCCTTTATCAACGCCTTGGCGTACTATCCACCCACCCCCCAGTTTCCCGATGGACTTGTCCTATCCGGTGGTCAGGATACTATCATCGAAGCCAGACAACCAGGCAAAGCTGCCGATGACAATGCAGATGCTATGCTCCTAGGGCATACTCATAATGTCTGTGCACTTGATGTGTCACACGAGGGTGGATGGGTCGTCAGCGGAAGTTGGGACTCTACAGCTAGGCTGTGGAGGGTGGGTAAATGGGAGTCCGATGTTGTGTTCGAGGGCCATCAAGGAAGTGTTTGGACAGTGCTCGCCTATGATAAGGATACGATCATCACGGGTAAGCGCGCCCTGTCCTGATATTATGGCTGGGCCATTCTTTGGAAGGGCTAATTGTTGTCTAGGTTGCGCGGACAAGCATATACGTATATTCAATACATCTGGGACCCTGCTGAAAACGATCAAAGATTCCCAGGACGTCGTGAGGGCTCTTTGCAAGGTGCCCGCCTCAAACCCCACCGGTGCGCATTTTGCTTCTGCAAGCAACGATGGAGTGATTCGACTTTTTACCATACAAGGCCAACTTGTTGGCGAGATTCATGGTCATGAGAGCTTTATCTACTCTCTGGCCACTCTACCTTCAGGCGAGTTAGTCAGCTCCGGTGAGGATCGAACGGTGAGGATCTGGGAGGGTACGCAGTGCGTACAAACTATCACACACCCCGCCATCTCTGTTTGGAGCGTTGCAGTGTGCAAGGATAATGGCGACATAGTCACAGGAGCCAGTGACCGGATCACAAGGGTCTTTAGCCGAAGCCAGGAGCGAATGGCAAGTGCTGAAGTAGTGCAACAGTTCGAGAAGACTGTGAAGGAATCGGCAATTCCGGAACAGCAGGTTGGGAATATTAACAAAGATAAGCTTCCGGGTCCGGAGTTCCTCAGACAGAAGTCCGGCACCAAGGACGGACAGGTGCAGATGATCCGGGAGGCCGATGGTAGTGTCACTGCTCATACTTGGTCGGCAGCTTCACGGGAATGGATCGCAGTCGGCACTGTTGTAGATTCCGCCGCCAGCAGTGGAAGGAAAACGGAGTACCTGGGCCAAGATTACGACTACGTGTTCGACGTTGATGTGGAAGACGGCAAACCTCCTCTCAAACTTCCATTCAACGTCTCTCAGAACCCGTACGAGGCCGCGACCAAGTTTATCCAGGACAATGAACTGTCAATGAATTACCTTGATCAGGTGGCGCAGTTTATTGTCCAGAATACACAAGGTGCGACTCTTGGTCAGCCATCGCAGGATCAGACGCCTGCTGGTGCCGATCCCTGGGGTCAAGAGAGGCGTTACCGTCCTGGAGATGTGCAATCGCCCCCCGTCCCTGAAGCCCGTCCAAAGATCCTCCCGCAAAAATCATATCTTTCCATCAAGTCCGCCAATCTCAAAGTGATCGCCAAGAAGTTACAGGAGCTTAATGAGCATGTCATATCCTCCGGGTCAAAAGATTTATCGCTAAGTCCCTCGGAATTAGAGACGGTGGCAACCTTGTGCGGTCAGCTGGAGTCTTCGAATATCGAGCAGTCTCCAGCAGTAGAAGCTGGAGTTGTCTTACTTTATAAGGTTGCGACAGTCTGGCCTGCCGCAAGCAGACTGCCGGGCCTGGACCTTCTCCGCTTGTCTGCAGCCGCTACTCCTGTGACTGCCACTGCAGACTACGGTGGCAAGGACCTCATCTCCGGAATTCAATCTAGTGGCGTGTTTGATCCTCCGCTAAATGTCAATAATGCGATGCTGTCCATCCGCATGCTCGCAAATTTGTTCGAAACCGATGCCGGACGTGACCTGGCCATGAGCAGATTCGACCAGGTGTTAAGCGGCGTCAAGTCTGCTTTGACCAACAGCGGAGCGACGCCAAACCGAAACCTCACTATTGCCGTAAACACACTCTACATTAACTTCGCCGTTTACTTGACCTCTGGGGGCAGGGAGTTTATACCCGAGTCATCGGAACGGGCGCTAGTGCTCCTAGGAGAGCTGACAGCGATGATTATTGGCGAGAAGGATTCGGAAGCAGTATACCGTGGGCTAGTGGCTCTGGGAACTCTGGTGAAGGGGCTTGGTGAAGAAGTTAGGACTGCTGCCAAGGAGGTCTACGATGTTGGTGATGTTCTAAAGAATATCTCCAGCTCTGGTCTTGGTAAGGAACCAAGAACCAAGGGTATCATGGGCGAGATTCGGGAGTCCCTGTCATGAGGGATCCATGCATTATTGAGAACCTGTGTTCTGCTTCACTCTGCTGTCTATAGCACGTATACACTTCTAGTTAATGATAGCGATACACACCACACTGCATGAATTCAACATTGGAAATGTTACGGACAAAGCTACTCGGAATCCTTGGCACCATGTAGAATGATACATTCGATGTAACCATTACTGGAAATCTTTATCGTAAGCTTTAATTCCGGGCGCAGGCCCTATATTTCTGTGTTGCAGACCCTGTCGACTGTTGAAGGCAGCAAAGCCCGATTTTATTCAGAGCTTCCCCTCAGCATCAACACCAACCTCGACAATCTGATCAATGCCAGGATACTGAGGTAGATCCAGCCCATATTTTTCCGCGATACTCTTCGTCAAGAACCTTCCTCCGAGGAAATGTCGTCCCGTATAATGTTTCACGCAGGGTTTGGGGGCCGTCAAACTGATGAGCGCTTCTGGCATGAACTTGGATCCCGGGCCCTCTTCGGGAGGTCCACTTTCGATGTCCCAGGAGCTAGGTGCATCGACACTCAACACGGGAATGCTGGCTGTTTCTATCTGGGAGATAATAGTTGGGAAGGGTTCACGCAGGGGGCCGCCGAAGGAGAAGCCGAAGATTGCATCGACGAGGAAGTCGGATGACTTGATGGCTACTGCCAGATCGGATACGAAAGGGACGGAGAGGTTCTCGAGTTGAGTTTTGAGACGCTGGTGATGTGACCATAGTCAGAGACATACATTTCGAGTCTGCTAGATGATAGACATGTAGCGCAATGCCCCACAATGTAATGGCATACCTGGTAGAGTTCGTTCTTGCCCTGCTTAGGGTAATAGATTGATGGCTTGTAACCGTATTGAGCTAGATGGCGAGCAGCTACCAGGCCATCGCCGCCTAGGGGATGTTAAAATCGGCATCGTTCCTGACGTAGGCAGGTGGCTGTAATTGGCTTACCGTTGTTTCCTGGCCCGCAGATAACAAGGACATCCTTTCCTGAGCTCGGAGGATGTATACGGTAGACTAAGGCTATCAGTGTTTTGGATTCATATCACTGAGGGAGGTGTTGTAATGCCCACCAGCTTGAGAGACAGAGAGTCCAGCTAGTTCCATCAATTGGTCCAAGGACCATCCACCTATTTCCATCAGGTCTTTGTCTAGGGAAGCGGCATCTTTCGACGAGATAGCCTAGTTGTACCTCTTCGTGAGCTGGGAGGGGTTTGTTTTGAAGCGACAATGGGGAAGATGCTTCTCACCTTCAAAGACATCTTGGCGGATCTACTATAGTATCGAAATAATGCGGGGAAAGGGTTCCGCCTAGCGAGTGCGGGATAGAGCATACAATGGATGAGCGAGTAGGGAGTTGTACAGAGAGAACGCAGCGCTAGCCAGCTATCCTCGATGCAGTAGATATGGGTAGGAATTGTAGCCAGCCTGGGGGAGGAGGGGCCTTGAGGGTAGTCTATAGTAGTAGTAGTACGGAGTGGTAGGTATGGGATTGCATCATTGTTATCGGGCTCTCCCCACTGGACTGGTCGGCGCTAGTCCGGATTCTGCCATCTCGGCCCGATAGATTTCCCGAGAACGCTGGAAACTGCCGCGGAGTCGGAGTCTGGTCTGCTTCAAATCGATCAAGTTGCCCTTCTGCTGCGCAGTTGCCCCTCCTGTTGATCTCCCAATTGCAAAAGTCAGTTCTCAATATGGTTGTTCGCATTCGTCTCTCCCGCTTCGGAAACAGGCACCAGCCGTTCTACAACATTGTTGTTGCTCAGGCACGGTAGGTAAATTTTTCATAAATCCCGGCATCAATATATTACTTTCCATGAGCGACTCAACAGGTTGTTTCCCAAGTAATGATGAGACCGAATGCTGATATATAACTGATTTGCAGGTCGGCTCGCGATTCGAAACCACTCGAAGTCATCGGCACCTTCAACCCCGTTCCCCAGCGCCCTACAAACCTATCCGAGGAGGAAGCCCGCACCGCGAAAGCATACAAGGAGATCTCGCTTGATCGGTCTCGAGCCAAGTATTGGCTTGGTGTTGGAGCGCAGCCCAGTGGCTCCGTTTGGCGGTTACTAAGCTTGGTACGTTGCTACTATATACTATGGTCTTTGCGCATGGGAGGGGACACGCTCTGAATCTGGGTCGATTGACTAATTATTGTCATATCCTACAGGCTGGTCTTGTCTTTGAGAACAGGAAGGTACAAAATTGAAGGATGAACGTCTGTATAATTGCATGGTGCGCTCTCCCCCGAGCAACGGAAGCTTGGGTGGAACAAGGTGACTATCATCATTGGGGTGGATGACGATGGCTTTTCCGGAACGGAACGTGTTTCTTCGAATATGGTGCTACTGGCATTTCCTATGGCGTTTATTGAGAGCTATGCTCTTGGAATTTATGGTTTGATAATTATGTACATTATGTGAGTCGATTACGTACTGCAGCTGTGCTTGGGATATATGAAGATACGTCTCCAGGCCTCTTTTCCCCCTTCCCCCTTATAAAGGTTCCAAAGTGCTGCCTTAATGCCTCATATTGGGTATTAGCGATTATGACTGGCAGGGATGACATTTCCGCCCTGCACAAAAAGACATGCATTCCTTGAGCCTATTGAGATAATGCTAAAGCCACGTCCGGGATCGGGCAGGGTTCCCATCTGCAAGGCGGATAGGGAATACGCAGGCAAACCAAGAAAGACGGGAAAGGCGGCGACTTCCTCCACTTTAGTACCTCTTGATGAAAAGGCCCAGATGCCATGCTCCGGTAGACTCGAAAAACGAAAATAGCCGCCCGAGTTGATATATCCTATCTCTAGGAGTCATACTTATTCTGGGCTTCATTTCATCATTTATATTAACTACCTACTTCTTACAATGTCCCTTGATGAGAACAGAGGGTAAAAAAAAAAGTCCTGACCTCCGTACTTTGTGCATTCTGCTCCCTTGCACCCTTGGCTGGCAGGTGACCATGCAGGAGGCAGCACCACTTGGCTTTCCGTGACTTAGATCAGCACTGTCATGAAGCACCTACCTAGATCATCCAATCCTATCCAACCACATCTGCGACAATAGAAGGGCGTTTGATCCTTGATGCACGTCTTCAGTTTCGGCTCACTAGATTGTGTCTTTGTGTCTGCATTGAAGCGGCTCCCTAGGTACGTAAAATAAAAGGAAAATAAGAAGATGAAAATAAAAAAAAAGTCGAAATTCAAGGAGTACATCTAAGTATCAACATGACGAAACGCCGGACTTGAAAAAAAAAAAAAAAACAAAAAAAGCCTCTGATTTGATGTCTACATTACCTAACCTGCATATAGGCCTGTGGAAAAAGTCGCGCATACTGACATCTGGCCTCCACTGCTATGGTACCTGTGATTGCGAGTCATCGGTGCCACAACCTCAGCAGCTTTCATTTCCGGGATGAGCGGCAATCCGGGATACGGTGACATGGTGCTCTGCATGCACTATGGACGAGTATGACCAGGCCTTGGTGGTTCTAATTGCACTCTAGCCCCAAACCCACTGAAAGGATTCCCTGCCCCCCCTCTCTCATTGTCCCAACTGCCGCGCATCGAGCGTCAGTCATGGTCCAATCCCGTTCTGCGAACGAGGCACAGAACGAACCAGTCCGGAGTCCAGACGTCTGACGGGCCATGATGATTGGCTGTCGTAGGGAATTTCAGGTGGCAGATCAGCGTCAGAGTTTGGCCTTCCATGGATCCGTGGCAGCCACACCACCAGGGCCCGCTTCTCCCAGTCATCCCTACTTAGGTACATTATGGTACCTATCGACGGTCATGCTTGCCCATGTTATCCATGTCCGGACAGGTCTCGTACATCGCGCCAGCCGGACGTAAGCGTTTTGCCTCATCGGGCCATATTTTTGCTGGTTGGTTGATTTGTTCGAGGAAGGGCATCCTGGTTCGGTCTGACGATTCAACGAGGGTTTACTTATCGGTATAATTGCGTAGGTATGTATTGAGACTTGGTCCGAAAGCAAAGAACTGAACCATTTTTTTCCCTCTTGATCTGCTTACTCAACTTTTTCTCTTGGAAACGATTATCTCGTGCATGGGCACAATCTAGCCATCACTCATCGAAACACATGCCCTCGATCTCTAAGCCTCTGAACGGAGTAATTGAGGTTCATATGCTAGATCCCGTCTGCTATTGAAGCACCAGTCTCAGGATCATCGTGCTTCCCTGGATTCGCAACTATGCTCCTTACTGCCGAGACGGAATTGATTAGAGCTGTAGTGAACATGCTGGTTGTCTATCACCGACTGGATTCGTCTTATTCGTTGACTTTGATGCAGTAAGCTAGGAATCTCTCGGGAGGTAAGGCAGAATCACTCTTCGACATCCATGGGTATGCCCCGCGGGGTGGCTTTCTGTCGTACAGAGCAACACCCCCCGTGATCAGCTGAATGGATGGATAGGGTTCTCATGAACATGGTTGGGCTGGATTTTGCCTTTATCGCACGGGATAGATCTTCGTCATATATCGCTGGGGCACGAGTCGAGAGGAAAGTAGAAGAGGGGGCCGTAAGAGCGAGATGCTTTGTAGCCTCGAAAATCCTTCAACGATGGTTGAATGGCTGATGAGGATGTCCCGAAGCCCCATCGGTGGGCTGAGGGGGTTAATGGAGTTCCAGCCATGTTGGCTGACTGGTAAGTTCGGATAGATAACTAACCAGAAAAGATAGATAGATAGATAGATCTCGATCTCTCCATGATGGTGGTAGATACCTAGTGTTCCTTTTCCCCCTTTTCTCGGTCTCATGCAATCCACAGGTACTATCTCCATATATCTACCCCTAAATTAAGTGGATGTATCGTATTTACAGCGACGGTAATCAAACTCATCCCGACTGAATGAATAATAATCCTCATCTGGGAGCGTGAGGGCCGTCTTGCTCCCATCCGCCACGGCCCCGGGCATCTCGGCGCACGCACCAGCGTGTCGCATCCGGGCGCTTCTCCCTCTTTGTTTTAGTTGTTTGCGTGGGATCGCCGCAATCGGGCGGCCTTCTCTGAGGTCCCGGTGGTCTAGATGCAAAGATAATTGTCAATTGTCCCTGCCATGGAGTACTAGTAGCCTACGACGCCTCCATGATCCGTTTGGAGGTTGGTTGGCTGGTGACTGAGGGATGGATGCAGATATTCCAGATTTCCAGGCACAGGCAGCTGTAACCCACTAGCCGACCATTAGGATCGGCTCTCTCCAGTCCCCATTGATAGCGCGTCGTGTCATCGACCTAAACTGCCGGGTCGCGCCTCAGCTGCAAGCCCGCTCGTTGGACGGCGCCTCTTAGTCACGTCTTCGAACCGTCTAGTTCGGGGATTAGTCGACAGGCTTAAGGCCTTCCCGACTGGCCATCGCTCTCCTTGGAACGGAGCCAGACTCGATCCGTGGACCAGACCAGACGACTGACGAGACACCCGGTCGGCCGCCCTCAGTAATTAAGTAGTAGGTACTATCTAGTACGGAGTACACTGTACAGTACTTACTTCCCCCCCCCCTCCCTCCCCTTCCCCCCCTAAAACTAAAACTAAAAAGGACCGGCCAAGTCCACTCCCTAAAGGACCGTTCCGGACTTGACATTCATTCAATCAATCTTCACTCATTATTATTATTATTGTTGTTGTTATCATCCCATTACACCGGGTCGGTTCCTCACCACTTCCCCTACCGTTCCTTGCCCCGAGTGCCCGGCAACATCATCGTCATCATCATCATCATCATCATCATCATCATCATCATCATCATCATTGTCGTCGTTCCCGTCACCTTTGTCGAGCTTTTTTCTTCTCTTCTTCTTTTCTTCCTTCTTTCTTAATCACGCCAACCACCTCTCCGTCCTCATCAGAAGTACTAGTCACTACGTGCCCTGATAGCTCGGATTGCGGTGGTTGATCTGATTCTTATTACCTCGATTCTACAATCACTACAACCATTAATTACAACGACGAATTCCCAGGCATACTACCACGACTGCCTATGGGACTTACTTAACGTGCTTTCCCCCTCCCTCTCCTTCCCACACCCACCCGCTACCAGTACCATCACTCCCACCACCACCACTACTCCCCCCCCCAAAGCCCAAACCCAATCTAACTTTATCCTTTCCCCGAACTGTCCTGTCTCTTTCTCGCTCTCTCCCTCTTCCTCCTCCCTCCTCTCTCTCTCCCTCTCCCTCTCCCTCTCCCTCTTCTTCACCCTATTTCCTCCCACCTTCCTCCCACCCCCCATCCCCCTTCACCATCTTCTTCTTTCTTGTTCCGCCTGTGTTTCCCGCCATCCTCCCCTATTCACTTCTATCTTCATTCTCCCTCCACATATACTAGTCTCCTAAATCGACCGCACAACCCATTCCTTTAGCATCTGATTATCGATTCATTCCGTCGTGCTAGGTTCATTTCTGTCTTTCTTTCGGTCCCTCGGTCCGTCGCATCATTACCTCCTTTAACACGAATCCCACGGTTTCAGTCGCGCGTGATTCAATCCATCGCAAATCTTTCTCGACAAGACTGCGTCAGCATACTGAATCATACCATCTGGCCGACATAGGTCCTTACAATATTTCTCTTGTTTCTAATAGTCACCGGCTGGGCCTCTCCAGCCTCCTTCCCATCTGTCACCCGCTTGCCTCCCGCTCCTTACCTTACGAGGAGCCCGTGCTCCCGTCGTCCGCTCGTGGGGTTAATCGATCGACTCGACTCGACTCGGCGCTTTAGATTCTCGATCCGCAAGGCATGAGTGGCAGTTCGAATCAGTCTACCCGTACGAGTCCAGGCTCCTACAGCACTACTCAGCGCACGCCCTCGGTCTCCTCGGGCGCGTCGCCTACACACCAGCCGCTCTCGTCCTCCCAGGTGCCCTCGACGGCTCAGAATGCGATGTCGACCGACGTGTACAATACGCCCGCATCGCAGGCCCCAACTTCGTTAGGTCCTTCATTTACCTACCCATTCTCCCCGATCGGCCCTTCTCCATCTTTCGATAGCGTTTCATCGACTGCCATGCGTCTAGGCGACTCGGATCGGTCGGCGCAGGGCCTCAACGGCTTCATCCGACCAGCCAATGGGACTAGTGGCGGTGCGATCCTAATGCGCAAACTGCCACGAAATACAAGTCGCGACGCTCTGCGTAGCATGCTGCTTTTTGCCAAGGATTTTGTGGACGCCGATTTTGTACCTTCCGACGCTCCGGAAGACAATGGATACCTGTGTGCGGTCGCGCGCTTCAGCACGCTAGCTGCAGCGGAAGAAGCGCGAGCTTTACTGGACGGCAAGCCGAATTCCAAAAACGACGCCACAATGGTTGTGGAAATGTTCTACGGCTCGGTTGGCTCCTCTCTGGCCCCCAGGCGAAACACGATTGACCACACCGCAACGCGGGGCTTACTGGGTCATGTCAATGGCGGCTTGCCGCGGCAGTCGTCGCGCTTCAACGGGACTTTCCAGACCCTGGAGATGTTGAGCGCGACCACCGGATCTTCAACTGGCGATGCGCTACCCCCATCTGAACGGCTCCACAGTATCTTCTCCCCCCAGTCCCCTATCGGAAACGGCGTTCCCGAGCTCCCACGGGTCAGTGGTAAATCGATGATCGATCAAGATATTGACGAAGACACCGGAGCGATACTCAAGGATCCGGTGGGCTATGCCGAAAACGGGCATTCGGCTTCTGCTTCCGCTCCTCGTCGCTCCACGAACCCTCAGATGCTGCATAACCAGTTTGGCAACTTGTCTTTGGCTACCAACCTCAACTCCCCCCCACTCCAGACTTACAGTTCAGGGGGAACCGCGCACATTGGAGTTCCGAACCCAACCTCGGCCTTTCCCCAGCCGATGAACAACAATATAGGGGCGGGCCATGGGTTCCCATACGGCAATCCACATGTACCTCGCCACAGTCTCCCTGCTGCTAACCCGAATGATATGAATCCCCCGTGCAATACACTGTACGTCGGGAACCTTCCTCCGGACACTTCCGAAGAAGAGCTGAAGGCTTTGTTCTCCAAACAACGCGGGTACAAGCGTCTGTGTTTCCGAAACAAACAGAACGGTCCTATGTGCTTTGTGGAGTTCGACGACGTGGGCACCGCCGGCAAGGCGCTCAACGAGCTGTATGGCGTCAAGTTGTCCAACAGCGTCAAGACTGGTATCCGCCTGAGTTTCTCAAAGAACCCCCTTGGAGTCCGTTCAGGGCAACCGGGTTCGATGAGCGCGTCCAATGCCATGGCCCCTCAAGGTAGTGTACCGGGGGGCAGTAGTCTCGGTGGTATGCACAACCATATGTTCTCAACGGTCAGTGGTCCGCCACCGGGCTTGTCCGCCCCTCCAGGCCTGCCCCCCCCTATGGCGATCAGAAATAATGTTACTGTTCATTCGACTGGAAGTCCGAATGCACCCTTGCCCAACAACGGTGCTTTCAATGCCAATTCGGGACTTGGAATCCGCACTAATCCGATGAACCCGATGGTATCTCCGCCACCTCAGCTTACCGGGGGAACTTCGGGACCCAATATGGGGGCCTACAATTCCTATTACCCCGATTATATGATGGGCCGGTAGGAAGACGCACATTTTGTGGAGATTATGTCCGACATGCTTGATGATTATTGGGCTACCTGGCGCATTAGGGATTTTTCTTGTTTTCATGAGCTAGATCAGCATTTGGAGGCTCGCCTTCCTCCTGGGAGTAAGGACAACGGGGCTCTCGCTTCTTCAGCTTGCTTTTCATGATTGTATTCCATTCGTTTGCTGTGCTTGCCGATAGCATGGGATCAGGGGCGCTGTTACTATACATGTCGCGTTTGCTGTTTTTCTTTCTTGGGTGGGAGACATTGCATTTGTGTGCGTGTGGGGTTTCTCTTTAATACCACCAGGAGCCCATGGGGATTTCCACTGCCAATTTTACCTGTTTCGCTTGCCCTGTTGTCACGTTTTGCCCCACCTTCATACCCTGTGTTGTTGCGTTCTGTGTTCAGATGGTTCCCTAATAGTTGCTCTCATGAACTCCCCTCACATGGAGGGGGTTTGATTGTTTGTTCGTCTTTTCTTCATTATCCGTACGTGTTCATGTCTACAGGTGGGGATTTTTTAGTTCCTTTGCTTGGCCCTTCAAGCCCTTCTCCTTGACCCTCCCGACCGGCGAAATGGGAGGGAGTTGCATCAACAGACCGAAATCCTGAAGCAAAGGAAAATCCAGCAAAGATCATTGCACTGGATCCCAGGATCCCATAACCAGGCTCCTGTGTTGTGGTACGGTGTTTGCAGCATTCACCTGGGCAGCAGCCAATCATTGTGCGGGGCGTTTACCTGGGTACCTATACACTTGAGATACATTTCTGGGAAATTTTCTATCTGTCTTACTCCGGTCCTTGGGCCAGAGGCATTCCGAGGCATGTCGGCTGCTGTTGGCCGGCTGGGACTGTAGCGCATTGCTCCGTCAAATATTCGCATCATGTTTTGCAGCGTCGTTGCTTGGGTTATATGGGAGCAGTGGCGGCTACTATGATTAGTATTACCCAATTTCTTTTCGTCGCTTTTATTATTTGTGCTGCGCCAGGGTGTCGGTCGCTGAGCGGAAGCTCACCTGGAAGAGGCGTGTCGAGTTGGCTGCTTTCATTCTGTCTTCACGGAAAATTGCTCCAAATGTACCAGCTCAAACAATGGAATTGTACTCCGCACTGGTCACTGGCTCAATGGCTCGCATCAAATGCTCGATAGACTACCAAACACCTAGATATAGAGACCGAGATTGTCCGAGCGGACATGGATGGATGGAGAGAGAATCGGATGGGCGCCAGGACCCCCGATTGGGGCAAGCGCCGCTGGCGCGTACTCACGTGACTATCAGCGGCGCCGAAAAGTTTCTTCCGTTCTTCCTTGCTTTTCGTGCTCTTCTTCCAACCTCAATGTTATCCAACCTTCTCTCACTCCATCATATCCCCTCCCCCCTCCAATACCCTCCTCACCCAGTCAATTGGACCCCAGTCAGCCGGTCCTAGGCCCATTGACGTCGGAGTTTCCCTTCCACTCCCGTACCTATCCACCTTCACCCTTTTGCACTCACCCTTTTGCACTCAACATGGCTCCCCGAATACAGAACCCGGTCGTCTCCAACTCTCTCCTCCCTTACCTTTCCTCATCTTCCACTTCCTCCTCCACATGCTCCTCCTTCAATTCCCTCTCATCTACGTCACGGCGGTCATGCCGGTCTTTCTCGTCCACAGTAGCCCCTCAAACCAGACTTCGCCAGCAGATGTTTTACTGGTTGAACAATGAGGCTGCTGTCCTGAAACATCACACACCGGGCTCGACGAATTATCTCTCTCGGATCGCGATCAAGCACATGCCTGAGGAACTTGTTGAAAAAAGAATATTCCCATACAATGCTCATTACCGCTCAGAGACTATTCTCAGTGAGGAGCTGCGGAGTGAGATTCACGACCGGGTTGTGAATCAAAAGAAGAGTGTGCGGGCTGTCAGTGTGGAGCTGAATGTTGACATGAGGAGGGTTGCTGCCGTAGTCCGGTTGGTCGAGTTGGAAAACAGGATGAAGGAACAGGTATGTTTACCGTCACGAGCTGCGTTTGTTTTTTCCTTGTTCACTCTGCGTCATTCATGTCCCATCTCCAAATGCTTTCAGAGGGGAAGTACCTTCGGTTCAATGATGAGAAAAACATAAATTCGATTAGTCTTTATGACCCAGTGTCTGGGAATGGTTACACCGCCTATTATTCTGATATATACCGAGGCCCCTATGATTGCTATATCGTTTGTTCATGTCACATGCTTTCTGTCGAACTTAACTAATAGTTCTAATCAGGGTAAACATCTAGCCTTGCCCTACGCTCGTGCAATCCATGAGATGGTTCCAACAACGCCTCTCAACACTATTCACGAAGGAATTAACGACCTACCCGTTCACCGGTTAACTGACCCTCAGATTTTCTATCCCGTCTCTGAGTCCCGTCAATTCAACCGTGTTGACGCTGGCCGTGTCTTCTCCGCCGCCCCAGCCCTAGAACACGAGCACGCCGCTAAGGATGCCCTTGATCCCTCCGAAACTATAAGCCGTATCACCCAGAATCCCTCCCACATTGAAGTTGTTGGCAAAGGCGAGGATGAACACCAGGTTCTCCAGCCAGCGGACGTGCGTATTCCGCACCCGCACATGGTCGCCAGTAGGCGTGAAATAAATCTCATGCCCAATGAGAAAGCCAGACACCATAGCGTCTACAAAGATCGTCTCCGAAAGGAAGAGGAGGCCGACCAGGAGCACAAGCGTCGCTCTGAGGAGCGTAAGGAGAAGCAAACTCAGAGAGTGCAACTTGAGGGCTCTCGCTTTGAGTTCCGTATCAACGACGTTGTCGTTAGCCAGGAAACCACCGGAAAGGATGGTCGGAATGCTCGTGCCCCCGGTCGGAGGTACGGTGTCCCCAGCTACGACCGGAAGAAGGGCCAGGTTAAGATCCCGACCCGGGTGGAAGTTTAATTTAATTTGTGTCCTCTATTCCCTCGGGGTCATTGGGAAGACATGGAGCGTGTATTGTATAGCACGTTCGTTGCGCAGTGCGGACGGACGATGGATGTATTTGTATGCCTTGTTGCCTGTTTCAACTGTACTATGCAGATTTTGATTCATATCTGGAGGAGCTTGTTTGTTGTTGTCCTTCCTAGGCGGATCGCCTTCTCCTGAGCGATTAATGTATTTTTAGCCTTGTCTTATCGCCCCATCGGTCGACTACTACTTATTATACCTATTTGACTACGACACAGCATTATCATAGTAACCTGTTGGACCCAAGGTGTCAACCAAGGCCTGACCAACACCCTCGGCCATATTGTTGCAAGCAAAGAAATACATAGAAGTAGAACCTGGGCGAAATCCCAGTTTGCGAACACTGATCTATATACAGCAAAATTCTACGAAGCAGACATATATTCCTCCAAAGCAAAGCAATATAATAGCAGTAAAAGGGGCAACTCATTCGTATGCGTGAGCAATGTCCCCGAAGCAGGTCCGCAAATCAACAGAATGACCGTCAGAACGCCAATGACAAAAGAGATCGGCTGCCGTGGGTCGGGCCAGCAGACGAGAGGAAAGAAGGAGTGAAGGAAGGAAGCAAGAACATCGACGATGGCTATGCTGGGTATCCATAGGAAGACGCAAAATAGCGGGAAATGTTTTAGAAAAAAAGGAAAACATGCACACAACACATACCACACCAGCATGGAGTCAATTCATACGATCCACACTGGGATGAACAAACTCTCTCCATTATAGTACATCGGAATCCGCGGGGCCGTCGGCCACAGGGACCGATGTCAAGGGACTGCCCGGCGAATCCAATCCCTCTCCACTCCCACTGCCCGAGGAGTCTTCGGGAGTAATATCGATGGGTTTAGGGAAGTTGAGGGCCTTACGTTCCCTTTTGTTGGCTCCTTGACTTAGAGTAGAAGACGGAGATGGCGGGACGACGGGCGAGAATTTTCGCAAAGCTCCGTCTCCGCCCGTTTGCATGGGACTTGTATGACCTTCAGAAGTAGGCGATGGCAGAGTATCGTCGGCATATCCGCGCCATTTGCGCCAGCCTTCAAAGTCGATCAAAGCTTGCATGCAACCCCACTCCGTCACTTTCTGCTCTAGCCATTCAAATCGGACAGGCTGCGAAAGTTGGTCAGCATGTTGATAGGAATCCTTTCGAAGGGACTGTGAAGCAGAATGGAAAGATGTACCTTGGTCAGGAAATCGTTGCAACCAGCCGCCAGTGCCTCGTGACGGTCACTTTGCAGACTGCTGGCCGTCAAAGCCACAATAATGACAGGACTCTTAAACAGAGACAAATCATGTAATGTGTCTTCCTCCTTCAGGGGGTCACTATTGCCCGCAATTGCTGGTGGTGATGCCAAGTTGGCGGTTGCAGCACTCGACCGCCCGTCAGCGGTCTTGGGAAACACACCAACTCCGTTCAAGCGCTCCAGCCTTCGAATCTCTTTTGTTGCATCCAAACCATTCATGACAGGCAACTGGATATCCATCAGGACGAGATGGAAACCACCTTGGCGCCATTTATTCACAGCCTCTTCGCCATTGGCAGCACACTTCCACCGAACGCTAAGGCGTTTCATGAAAGCCTCCAAGAGCCGCTGGTTGATATTATTATCCTCAACGATTAAGACGTTAATTGGCGGCACGGTGCCCTCAATAAGGCCTCCAAAGGCCCCACTCAAAGATAGTGGTGCGCTGGTCTTTTTCGGCTTCGCAGAAGATGTTGAAGGGCGTGGGCGTGGTGACGCACCACGTGCTGGAGGGGTGAGAGACTTAGTCTGAGGGGATTCCGGCGGTGGGCCTGGCGGAGTCGGTATGGATGGGGCAGGCTGAGGAGGTATGGAACTGGAAGCAACACCAGCATCTACCCGAGGTTAGCAATCATTGAAGCACAACAGACCGCCACAAGCGGCTCCCGGAGGTGAGGGCCGACAGACCTTTTGGTACTGGTGCCTGGTTAAGGATGGTGGGCGAGTTAGTAGTATGACGAGTCAGAGGCGGCCGACGAGGATGTCGACTCCCACGACTACCTGGAGAGGGTAGCGGAGGCGCCATTCCTGTTGTCAGTATGGATATTGACGGAGCAGGGTGTGCGTTTACACTAGCGGTCGAGTTCGACGGATGAGTCGGCGGCGTTGGGACATTGGGATTTGCCGGCATAAGGGGAAAGTATTCGCCATGCTCGCCCGGTTCGGAATGATGGTTATAATACACCGAATGGCGCGGAGAGGGCTTAGGCGTGCGGCGCTGAGGGATGTCAATGATCAAGGCCTCTTCAATCGCTTGACCCCCAGGATAATATGAATCCACAACGGTAGCTAACGGCTCCTCTGGGCTCAACATCCGGTCGGGGGTTGCCTGTCTATTCGAACCGTCTCGCGGAGTGATGCGGATGACAATGTCGGGGGCGTCAAAAGTCCTGCCTAGGGAGTTCGAATATTTCATGATAACCTGATCCCGTAGCTCATCCACCAAGGAATCAGCTGAAATCGGGACCAACGTGGCCGACCCGTTTGGCCGCTTAACCCAGATCTTGCGTGCCATTCCTGCGCTGTAGGTGGCGAAGCGACCGTTGGCAGAAGTGTCGTGTTCGGCAGTAGGCCCGGGATCCAACAAGCTATTGATCAGATACTGATGAGACGGGGCCAGCAGCGACTGACGGCGGGAACCAAGGCTGGGACGTTTTGGAAAAGAAGTAGTAGGAGTATTGTTGGAGGGCTGGAAACTTGGTTCACCGGAAGGATTCTCCGCAACAACATCCAACGTCGGCAACTGGGGCTCCCCGACGGTAGGCCCCGGGCGTTCGAATCCTTGGTTGTAGCCGAGCTGGAACGATGCGGGGGCAGCGCGATCAGAGACTGGAGGAGGGGTTGGAGATGGAGAAGGGAGTAGATCAGGCGATAGAGCTGCTGTCGGGGGTGGGGAACGGACGTGCTCAGAGAAGGGACTGTGACTGTGACGCCTGTTGGGCGTGGGGCGGACACGGTCGAAAGTCGCGTCCAATTGCTGTCGCGGGCGGGTTGCACTGGGGCCAGCACCAGCACCTGGTTGAACAGCCGAGTGCTGTTTTCCCTCTCGTTGTTCAGCGACCGGTTCTTCGTGAGGAGGTTTGGGCGTGGCGGCGTCGTCGACGACTTCTGTCTCCTCGTCCAAACGGCCGTAAGACCGCCCTCGACTCGAGCCAATCACGGAGGGCCGGGAACAATCGGCGGCGGGAGCTGGACACGACAGAGGATCGCAGGGCTCGTCGGCCGAGACTCGAGGCACTGCCTGCAACGACTGCGCGCGGCGCGTGTTACTGATTGGTCGGGTAGGGGCACAGTCGCCGGGGCGCTGGTCCAATTGCTGCGGGGGAAGATGATTGTCATGGTGATTAAGATTAGGATTCTTGTCATCGGCCAGACCAGTGGTGGTGGAGGAGGTGGTGGTGGTGGCGGCCGGAGCGGATGAAGTCGACGATCGCCGCCGCAATAACAGCTTTGCCTTTAGCTTGGCCCAGCGACGGTCTGGCATGGTGCAAATGCATAGAATTGGACTCGCAGGCAAATTCACGGGGGAAATCAAATCACTATCTTATTACAAATTTGCAAAAGGGGGTGGGAAAGAAGGAGCGGATTATCAGATGGAGACCCGGGCAGCCCAAATAAAAAGCAAACAAAAAACTTGAAAGATAGAATAGAGACGCGGGAGAGGTCACTTAACCCTCCGCCGGTCCAGATAGCATCCAAGCATGAAGGAAGGACGGAACAGAGGTGCAGCAGACGAGGGGCCACTCGGCATGGCTCGATCAGGACTGGCAGGCGAGAAGTGAAGGGGGGATTGAATCGCAAATGAAGAATCCAGGAGAAGACTGAGGAGATGGAGCCGGAGATGGAGCCCCAAATGAAGCCGGAGATGGAAGGGGAAGAGGACGAGGAAAGAAGAAGTAGAAGAGGGGAGAGAAAGTCGACTAGAAAGGAAAGACGGGAAAGAACCGGCAGAGCAGCGAAATGAAGCGAAGCGAGAGGCAGGGAGGGACGGTGCTGGCCAAATATAGGAAGAAAGAAGTCAGAGGAAGAATAATAGTACTATCTGAGGAGGAGAAACAGAGGAGTTGGCCCAGGAAAGAGGGGGAAGACAGACAGACAGGATGGCAGATAGATCTAGACAACGGGGGAGGGGAGGGGATCGAGGGATCCGCTATAGATAGTTAAGACTTAAAGAGACCTCCGGCTGACAGTCGTCAACGGGACCTGGATCGTCCAGAATAATAATAATATTGCAATGCTAATTGTAATAAGAATAGATAATAATCCTCCGTAATAACCCACAACCCACAACACGATCCTAATAATAAAGAATAGTCAGGGGGGGGAAAAAAAACCGGAACGACGAACACGATGCCGTCCACGCTTGGACCCGATTGAGTCCCGGGCTCCCGATGAAATTCAACCCAAGAAGAAGCGAGTCGAACCCAAATGCAGGCCGCAGTTTGTTGGCCGGTCGAGTGCAGGACTAACGCCCTTAGCACCGCCAGTTGCCCCCAGCCCAGCTCATGCATTGCCCAGTGGCATTCCTGCGTTTCAGGCCCCAGGCCTCTTCTCTCCTTTACTGACACAGTACGTATGTTAGGTTAGGTTATGTTGTTATCTATGTGTCGACCAATATGGATCCTTCCGGCGCCATTCGATCTATATATCAGTGACGCCCAATGCTGGTCAGCTCCAATCATAATAAGCCCCGATCATGCCACCCTCTTAGAAATTACCACGACAAAACGCTCATGCACTTCGAATTTCTCCTTCGAGATCAGTTGCATTCACTTTCCCCTCAAAACGCTCATGACTGCCTGCTCCTTGCGGATGAGGAGTCATAATGACCTTTTCGACATCATGAGTCACCGGAAAACCATTCCGCTCCTCAAGCATCTCATCAATGCTCTTGCCAAGGGACTTGGCTTCTTTTCGCACCGCTCGATACCGAATACGCCAGATAATATGGCTTGCATAGATCCCTCCCTCCAGGACTATACTATACCGCCAGAGTCAGCCGGTCTGCACCTGCATCAGGGAAAGCAATCCATCCAACTTACACCAGAATATACATGATCCCCCCAAGGATATCGAACGACCCTTGCGCAGCTACAAGCCATTAGTTCTTTCAGTTCATCCACGCAATGCATCGTCGGTGCAACGAACCCAACGCAAAAAGCGAGAAAAGACCTCCCAGGGTATCAATAGACAGAAATACCCAATCTACAGACGGTCAGGTCAATTGCCAGCTTCCGAACACGGTAAGAAGACTCACTGAACCCAATTACTCGGCCATCCCTCTTCCAAAGTTCAAAGTAGGGCGGCACAAGCCCTGACGCCAGTAGGATAGCTGCCACGACTCCCACCACCAGATCCGGCCAGGTCACACCCTTATTGTACGGTATCTAATGCTAATGAGTAACCCTTCATTCAACCGCAGGAGGCGGAACAACAACAGACCCTTAAGGTGAGAATCAACAATGTCTCAATTCCGCCAAACAATACCGCTGTGCATACGACCAATAACGTCGTTTTGAGGCAACTATAGTCACTGGAAACAGACACATCACCATGAGAATTAAATCTCCAAACTCATTCATCTGGATACATACTGATTGTAGTATATTATCTGGCCCCAGCTCACAAGCGAAAAGAAGCCGAAGATTTGCGGTTGGATCTGAAGCGGTATATTGACTTCCTGCGGTTCCTTGTCAACTTTCAGTTCGCCATCCCGACAAAAACAACTGCTTACCTGCAGGATCATATATGCTCCCATCGGAACGGCACCTATGCCCATCGCGTCAGCCAATCTATCCGGCCGCAAGAACAACAATATGTGCAGTTTCTACGCACAGGAAGCCCAAAGAAGCATCATCAATGGCGGAAAGCCATCGGTTTTCTTCCGCCTCCAATTGTACCAAATCTGTGGTATCAACTGGATGCACCAGAGGACCGTCCCAATTGTGCCCAGCACATTAGAGGCGACGGTAACATTGCCGTCTCCAGCCATAGATCGTGAGATGGGCCGTCCAGTTCGGTACACTCTGAGGTGCGTACAGCCAAGATACCGAGCTCGACTTGCAGGATTCTCCAAGATGGCGAGTTTCTCGATTTCAACCCCGAGACGGAGAGGTGTCATGGAGTCAAGAGTTGAGAAAACTCTGCACTTCCCATCCCTTCCACCCAGACAGATCCAAGCATCGTGTCCGAGGCAGTTCCGCCGCTATTGCTGAGCAAGGCATCCGCTGGGTCTGGCGGCGGAGGGAAGCCATTTCATTGGGCCAAGCGGGAGATGGAGACGCTCCGGAACTAAGACGAGACAGGTAAACCAGAGGAGAGAGCCCGCCAGAGTCATGCAAGACTCTCCGTGCACTCGAGGTCAACAGCGGAATAAGGGGATGGGTATGGATGCAGCTGAGGTCGGCCAGCTCCGGCGCAAGCCCACGTTGGCCGGGCGGGGGGATCACTCGGTGCACGTGGCAGCGGAATGGAGCCGATCAGCATGTCCATCATCTACCCTACGTCCTCCAAACCCAGCAGTACTATTCCAACCAGTCTAATTTCTAATCCAACGCATACGTTTCATTCCTGGTGAGACTAGGGCTGAGGGAGGATAACATGGCATTTAAACACGTACTCGTTTCCAATAGTGATACGAAAGAGATGGAACCGCGGAGACGAGGTGCTTCCGGATATGACAGGTAGAACTCAAGACCATAACAGATCTGCGCGTAAAGGATGTCCGCTCAATGAAGCGCGGATCAAATGAATCAGATATGCCAACACGCACTGCAAACAAGTAAGGGAATGCCTCTAGTGAACGATGAACCAAACAAAGAACCGCAATAATAAGGGGGGCCATCAAGACGTAACAAGACTTCGCAAACCAGAATCACGCCGAGTGATACTACTCGAAGGGTATCAAAAACTGATTTTTCTCTCGCGACAAAATGGCGAGGATCATGACAGACCAAAAGACAGAAGGAAATGACGTGACACCGTGGGTTGCTCTGCGTTGATCACAGTAAGATCAGGTAGTTGGACGGAGCAATACCGGTTTCTCCGGTGGCTTTCCTTGCCTGCCACCATCTACCGCTCACATCGGACACCTCCAGTATCTCATGCTTGGTGAAACTGATCTCATTGGCGTCTTCAGGGTTGGCCTCATATGAATAGATTGCTTTCGCGCGGTACGGATATTCCGTTGGCTGGGGAACCTCATCTGGCGCACCAGTACTAGCCAAGTTGGTAGCAGATGGGTTGCCAAAGCGGGGCTGCGATGAGCTACGGTGCTCAGAGCCAGGGGCTCCTCCGGGGTACCCTGACACGGGCGAAGACGTCTCAAAGCCATTGAGTTGAGCGGATGTGTACATCTGCGGAGGCTGGCTCGATGTCGTTTCGGGTCGATTACCGAATGCAGTTGACATAGGCCTGCTATTTGCGTACGAGCCAGCGCCTTCCTTCTGGAGGGCAAATGAATCGATAAAGCCACGATGCGAAGCCTGAGGGCTGGATCCAAAATAGAAAATCCAAATGATCTACACCAAAGGTTAGAATCATAGTATCCAGTGGCATGTGAGGGAACAGCTGTCAGCACTCACAATAACCATAGCCAGGAGGATAAACCCAGCACCAGCGGCTTGCGACGCGGCGCTATTCGCATATACTAACGTGTTGATCGAGATGGTTGTGATAACAAGACCGGCGGAAAGATATCCCACGATCTACCATTTATTAGTATGAACGGGCTGTTAACAAGACAACCAACCGATTGGCGCCATACCGCTATGTTGTAGACTGCGCCAGTATCCGTGCCGAAGACAAGCATCATGCCGACAATGCAGCAAAACGAATACGCAACAGCCCACCATGAATAGGTGGGGTATCCGCCATGTATTCCAGTGACGACAGAAGATATGAATGCGATCAACCAAGCTAGCTAAACAAGTAGGAGACGCAGTTAGTCATAAATCCGAGCATCCTACCAAAGGCTTTAGAGACATACAATCGAAATCGAAGTGGTTGCGAGCGCAAAAGGGTCGCCAAGAATATTGCTGGCTCTGAAGCGCGCCATTTTTCGTGGGGGCTCAGTATATGTATATGGCTTTTGGAAGGAGGGTGAACGTGACGAGTAAGCCACCATGAATGTGGTTTAACAATGTTGCGGGTTGTTGAATAAAAGCGCCCGGGACGGGAGTGTGCTGTTCAAGACGCGATGCGACGATGACTTTAAGGCCCCAGCGGTGTGTATGTACAACGACAAGAGTTGTCCTATGTTTTATTTCTTGACTCGGCGAATTCGATTATGACCCGATGAATGAGACCCGTAGATTGTAGCAACGAGCGTATAAGTCGGCCAGTGCGAAAGCGTCCGACTACAAAGCAGTCAGCCAGATTCCCAGATTGGCGAACGTGAATGATCAAGAAACATGCAGGTCGATCGACGGCGCACGGAGAGCATCGTGAAGAACGACAACAACACGAACCCCCCAAGGAGGCTCATGCAGGGCGGGACAGAAGAGTAAAACGATAAATTCGACCAACTGGGATTAAGATTTAAAGTAACAAGAACAAGGATCAATGCATCACATACTTCTGAGACAGACAGGTAAAATGAATGGATGTGGAATGGTGAGGCTGGCGAAGGGGAACAAAGCAATGGCACCGATCGTCTCAAACAGGCGGAGCAATATAAGGATGGATCGAGAGAACGAGTTCCCAGAGAGGGTGGTTGGTGATCAGACACGCCGACAGTATACCCCTTGCAGAGGCAGGAAGAGAAACAGCAGCACCAGGCTGGAGAAGGAAGGATAAGTATGAAACGTTAGTGTCGAATGAAGAAGATGGACAAGAAGGAAGGACAAAAGACACGAACAAGAAAAGAAGGGAAAAAAGAGGGGGAAGAGAGAAGTGGATAGGCAGCGATTCAAACGAGTGAACGAGTGTAAAGGAAAAGGTCGATGGGGATACTAGGAAACCGACCGATTGAGAGAGGAAAGTTGAGAAAGGAAGAGAAGAACGGCTGAAGATGGAGAAAGGCGAAGCCCAAAACTGGAGCCGTGAACGAGGCAGGTCTAGGTAGGTCGAGGTCTCGGGAAAAGGAGATGATGGGATGGGTGGATGGGTGGATGTGGATGTGATGGGGGGGGGAAGGGAAAGGGAAAACAAATGGGATCGAGTTTCAGAGCGACGGTGCCTGGCCCGGGTGGCCCACGCGAACCGCAAAGACGCCAAAGGACAGCCTTTGGCCCCCCTTGGGAGCCATCAGAGGGGCGGGCATTTGGGTTTAGTGCGTTGCCGGCGACGTATGGGCCTATGGCAGTGTTGTCCTCTGCCGTTGCTACTATTCTTACTAGTATATCTCATGTATGATGACGATGCCTCGAACTTATCGTCACTGTACACTATACACAGACTAAATACAGTACTACGTTGGTACTATGTACTAGTAGTATCTACTGTCTATCTGTCCGTATCCATGGTTCCGACCGGGGTGGGTGAGAGAGGGGAACTGGGAAGGAGTAGAAGTGACCTCGTTTGGCCCTTATCAACCCGGTCGCATTATCGAGGTAAAGATGGTACTGTGTGGTTGATCCAATCTCCTGAGATGAAAGGGTGCTTAAGCTCATGATTAGGCTCCTTTGCAATTAAATACTAGTTGTCTAGTAGCAATGCCCTCCGTGATCCGTGATGAATGACAATTGACAAGCACGTCAATCCCGTCAGAATTAATTCCACGGGCCCTCCCCACGGTTAAATGAGATCGATGCATTCCTATGGAAACTGGGTCCGCCTAGTCCACTTTGGACCGGGACGACACGCAACTCCGGCCTTTGCGTTTGATTAGTCGATTTCCGAGGCCTCGTCGCCCTCTTAGTGCCGGCGGTGGATTCCCTGGATCAATTCTGGCCCCTGGAAGGCTGAGGCTGAGTTGTGGCTCTCGTGGCGGGCGTTGCGTTTGTGCCTTTCTTTGTTGTGGGGACCGAGTATTATTCCTGATGTTGGTCACTTGTTGGTTTCTAGTACTGATAGCATCAAGGAGTCCACGGGAACTAACTTTGTAGAACGTTGTCTATGGCTCTAAGCCCTACTATACTGCCACAACACTTCGTGTTCCGGCTTACGCCCAGCGGATTTCTCATGGGCGTCAGTGCTTCCCACTACGGTGTACGTACTTGAGACAAAGGACGGGCCAAACTGCAACAATCATGACTAATTCAAATGACCAACTAGCAGCAATCACCGTCAAGCCGAAGACCCTGGTTCCTTGATTTTCTGGCTGCAACGCCCGAACAGCATTGTCGTCTAACTTCTAACACTGCAAGGTTGGACCTGCAGATGCCCCTACCGGTCTGTCACAGACTTGCAGGGGGCAATCATCCCCCCAAAGTCAAATACACCTAGGTACTGCTGACGCATCACAGGCATAGTTAGTAATCAACTACGGAGTAACTAGTTAAGTAGTTAGTTAACATAGTAACTTAGTAACCATGTAAGACACTGGCTGTGCCCGATGCGTAATTATTGAACCTTCCAATGATCCATTCATCACTACAAAAATAATATCTCGTGTTACAGCCTGACCATGAGATGGATTTTAAACCAATACCAAAGAATGTTCGACGAGTCTCCCACACACCTGTACTGTGAAGTACCAGATAGATAAGTATCAGGCAATCACAGCGCGGTGCAGCAGATACATGCAAGGGTTGAAATCACAAAGAAAAAAGTACCGGGTCGGATCCCTGTGGGCCCCCTTCCGATACTTATGACTTGTGTACATATGTATGTATCTCCGAAGGCAAGGTGATTTCTCCTTGAAATGAGCATGAGCCACGCCTTCTACCCACGGCACATGATGCCTATCTACTACCTATTTCGTACTGTGTAAAGTATGTCCTCCGTAATGCCGTTCTTCCGTCCGGGTCCCGGCTTGGTCGATCAGTTCTGCCGAGGGTCCAGATCCTCACTGTGCATCGGTATACAACACCCGACTGCCGGTCTTTGTTCGACCCCGAAAGCCCGCTCTGTTTCATACCTAAGAGAATAATGAACCGTGTGTTATGTATGATTTCTTCATATGGTAACCGTTATCGCATCCTTGCCTCCAAATAGATGGCCCGTCGACTCCAAGATTACACGCAAAGCAACACCTAGGCCAGTCAGGTCCCAGATACGATCGTATTTGCCCATCAACATATGCCGGAACAAGAGAATCAAAGTGGTATCATAAGTCATACACGCTAAGAGAAACGGGGAAAAGGAAAAAGCAATCCGACCTCACAATTCCTTTGCTCTCCGCTCCCGTACCACTTCCTCCCGTTTGACCTCCCTTTCCACATCCTCCAGTCTCCCTTCCCATTCAGCCCAGCAATCGCCGCCACTGACTAGCGCCACTTCGTACCATCGTTGCAAAAGTCTTGCCGATCGCACACGTAGCTCGGAAATTTTCTTGGCCTGTTCCTCCTGAGTCTGCGCCAACTGGTCCAAGCGAGGTTGTAGCTGGATAAGCGACGCCGATGTCTCAGCATCGGGGATGGGGAGATCGTTCAACGAGGTAAGCCGGGAGGCAGTTTCGGGAAATGCAGAGGCATAGGATAACACGACTGAGGCGAGGTTTTGTGTCGACAAATTCTCGGGGAGTGATTTTGGGGGCGTTGGGCGAAAGAGATCGGGGAAGCGGTCGTCTGGTCAGTTTCCGAAATGTCAGTATCATTCGTACACGCCCATAGTCTGCGGTCTATCAGGGAGTTGTACGGAGACTAAGGACATCCCGAACGGCGGGGATGTTTCTGCTCAGCCTTTCCAGTTCCCTCTCCAGGCGCAGAAGGCGGCGCGAGACGCTGTCATCCAGAGAAGCTGGCTTCGCGGGCGGCGTGGGATTGCCGGTCCAGTTTGCATCGCCGGTGAGGAGATATGTGAGGCGCCGAAGACGAGTCTCGAGGAGCTCAATCGTGGCGCCAGCGACCGTACCATTTTCGAGGGTCATTGTGCAGGCTGTAGAGAGATTTCTTGTTGGCCAACAATGTTGTTTGAGCCACGGCTCTCAGTAGTGTTCAGGGAGGTGTCTTGGAACCCCCGAGGCAATGCAAACGTAACATACAGCATCACCAGTGACACGTGGGGGCGCGTCCTAACCCCAAACAATGGTCAAACTGAACCCTGTTGATCCTAATCCGATCAACTTATATTTGTTCTTATTTTTGGCCTTCTATCCAGTTAGGGAAATATCTAGCTTGCGAGAGCGTTGATATCCATCTAAATGACAGTAACTACGGGTCGAGACCTCCGTCCGGAGTCTCATGTCGCCTTTTCGTCGACCTGGTCCCACATCGCATCGGCATTCTGCGAAGGTTGCACAGGTCCGGCTGTGCTACTTCGGCTGAGCAAAGGACGTCCACTCACTTCTTCCATCTCCTGTCCCCGGCCCATTCCTTCATCAAAGGATGGAACCTGGTAGTCAAACACATTCACGTTCTGTGTCGTACGACCTCGTTGTTGATCCAGCGGTTCCTGTTGAATGCGTCAGCATGTGATTTTCCGAGTCTTCAACGTGCCGTCTCTGGGTCACTGACAGAAGCGCTCAATGCAGGGATCTGGTTAGTCTGGTTCTTAGTAATACCTGCTTCATCACATTCGGCCTCGAATGCTTGGTTGTCTATGTGTACAAAGTCCTAGTCCACTGTCAGCCCCAACATTCTCTCCGCCAATTATATGCTACCTTACTTGAAGTTGACGGGGGGCAGACTCTTCCTTCAAATCCATTGCATTGCTATTGGCGTAGACAAGCAAGACATTCTTAGACTCTTCGCGGGCCGCTCGAAGAACCTCGACCTCCCTGACCTTGCGTGCGGTGTATCCGATGACATCGGAATTGTGTAAAGCAGCTTTGCTTTCTTGGTTTGCCTCGGCCTGTCGATTCTTTGCATCGTCTGTTGAAAAGCTGATCCGCCACCATTGGTACTCGTTAGTTGTCGCGGGTTCTGATTCGTTCGTGGGGCCGTCTGGCACACAGCGCCGTAGGACGTAGGTCACATGAGGCTCAGTGCAAACGCCTCGCAGTGTGTACTTATGATGCGGTGATTCGCCGGAAGAAGAAGCTTCGGTGAGAATATTAGAATAACCCCGAAGGCTTTCCAGAGCATTTTGTTTCTTGACCTCCAGTTCTGTTCCGAGTTGCAGTTAGCGTAATCAGGGGCAATCGTGAGGGCCTCCGGATCGATACCTTTGAGCTTGGTTTCTATTTTATTAGATATCGCTCTCAGTTCATTTGTTAGTCTCTGTGCCTCGGCATTGGCTGAATCAGGAGTGAAAGCTGTCGTGTTGTTGGACAGGCTCTTGGGGAGCGTTGAGGAAACGGCAACAGCAGCTTTCTCTAGGGTCTCCCTAGATGTCATTCCTTTGTGAATGGCCAACTTTGAGGTTGAGAAGCGACCCATCAGACTCTCTAGCTTGAAGATCTTCTCGTGTACCCGGAGCCTCTGCGCACGGAACTCTCGCGCCCGATCTCGACTGGCTGCGAGATATCGATCAGGATAGAAAACTGCGGGGATTTTCACGTCGACAGGTTTGTCAGCGCCTTCCAGCTTGATTGTGAAGACCTCGGCGACATGTTCCAGCCATACGTCGTCAAGATCTTCCCCCGGTCTATCGGACCACATGGTGCGATCTAGAACATCATAGAGAGTTTGGCCATGATCGTGCTCCACAAATGCATCCAGCAAAAAAAATTCCTTATCCAATGGTGTGTCATATATCGAGAGAGGCCGTTTATAGGCAGTCGATGAGAAGATAGTCGCCAATTGATTGTCCGGGTCCGCTCGGACTGCAGCGCTCTGCCAAGATTCCAAGAATCTGCCGACGCTGCCTTCCGAATCGTAGCTAGACATGTTTTTCAGACTTGCCAGCGCATCAACGCTACCAAACGCGCGGTCTGTAGAGTCCAAGAATGCTACTATCCGCTGAGATTCGTAAATGATATCATCCCACTCAGTATCACCGTCCTGTGCGTCGTGGATAGTAACGATCTTGGGAAGGTTGATTAATTGTCCGTTCCACCACTGCGGGTCATGACCATAATTCGGAAGAAGTCGGTTTCTTAGCATAAGAGCTTCTCTCGCCAGTGGAATAGAATGCAGGATCGTTAATAGTCCACTCAGGTATATATTGTCTTGGGCCGGACGAATGAAAGCTGGCTCTTCTTCCCGTCTCCTGCGGTCCGCTGGATCGGGACTAACAATGATCTCACGAGCGCTGGAGTTGAACAGCGTCATTGCCCAAGCACCTTCATCATAGTGGTCGCGGGTGGCCCGAGCAAACTTTGCTTCATTTGTTGTAACACCTGTCTCCTGTTGCCCAAGATTTTGGTTCAAAGACATAGCCATGGCTTGCTGTAATTCGCGCTCCTCCTGTTCAGCCAAAGATAGGCCTTTGTTGACATCTGATAGATAAGGGAGTCAGCCTAGTAGACGTGAGACCCCACAATATTCCCTCACCGTTGGTGTTCTGTGTAGGTGCAGGGGTACTCTGTTGATACTCTGCGCTAGATCCTTGTTCACTTAGGTTCAGCGTTGACGGTGGGCGTGAAGGAGCGGTGATGGAGGAGCCAGGGGCCGGGTCGGAGTGCTCGATCTGGAACACTGCAAGATACACCTGTCAGTACAAAATCACATCCATTCCGCCTCGCAAAAAAGGTTCAACCATACAGGGCACGTTGGAGTCATCTTGGTAGCTGATTGACTATATCGTCACAAGTCCGACAATCAGTCGATGCTCCCAACAAACCAAGCGCAGTTTCAGGACGTCACCTGCGTCTGAGGGCCCGTGGGATCTTCAAAGTAGGCATTAATAGCTTGATTCGAATTTAAATTATTGGCCTGCAGCCCATGTCGGTCAGTTGCATCGCATTATAACCTGCTTAATTGAAACTCACCTTGAGAAAGCTAATCGCTTGTTCGCGGGTTGAGCTAGTGAAGCTCACGAAGTTCGCAATAGCTTCCTCTGTTGGTTCGGAGGCCATGTCGGAGCCTCCGCTCTCGATTTCACCAAATAAATCACAGCAGATTTGTAAAATTAAGAAAGAAGATTATTGTCGCAATAAGACAGCTAGCCAAGTGGGAGCAGTAGTAGCAAGGCTTGTCAGCGCGTGGAAACCATACGCCGGTGGTGGTGGAGGGCCGTTTAGTCGATCGGGAGAGCTTCCCCACCACATGACATGCGGCTGCCAAGCCTAGACGGTCCAACCTGTTGCCTGCAGAAGGCCAGAAATATGCTCTGATTCTCATCATGCAGTACTGCTACGGTGTGGCTTACTTTACTACTATAATTTCTCTCGATTCTCTCCAAAATGGCAAATATTCACGGTATTAGCGGTTCAGACAGAATCAAATTATTGGGGTTTTACAAATAACTAAGAGATAGTACTTAGTGTGCTTTTCGACAGATTGTTTGTTGACTACAGAAGTTGCCATGTGAGCTGAAATTTATATACCGTTGGCATATACTAATCAAGGATGTGCCATAGATGGTATGTATATAAAAATGGCAGAATGCTAATGTGCGATAAACATGTCTGGACTCAGAGGGATGAAGTTGCGTATAAAACTTGTAGCATACAGCTACAATACAGACATATATACAATCTATGGGCCAAGGGGTTTATACAAAGCACAGACAGTATCAGAGTACAGATACTGTAAATATGTGAAAATCTGCGAGACACTATGCAGAATGATGATCGGATAAGCATGGGAGAGGATCTCCAGATAACATATATATTATCTTACCAGAAGACCCTATCATTTCTACGTCAAAATAGAAAGTCCGGTGTTCATCATCTCTTGATATTTCCATTGTTTGACGAACAGAAACAGTGCAGAGATAGTTACCAAATATGGTGGTATCTTTGAGCATTTGTGTCTGCGATCTGGTATTCCTGTATATTAGGTACAGTTACTACCAGCGCCTCACTCATCGTAGACAAGTTACTATATTGTTGAAAGGATACTCCCGTTAACTGCAGTGAGGGGGTATTCATAAGAAATAATTTCATCCCTATATCAAAAGAATGAAAGATGGGGAAATAATTCGATGAACCATGATTACTGTCAATTTCCGAGGGTTTAATTATAATTCCCCGGCCGAATCCAATAGACTCATGATCCCACCATCCAGCACGGTGTCTGTGCTAAATTGCTAACAGGAAAATGGATTAGCCTTAACCTGCCCCGTTTTTTCCTCTCCATTCAACTGTCCCTTCCCCATTGTCAGGATTCTTTTTACCGTTGTGGATGCTCAAGTCACCTTTCTCGATTTTGCTTTCTCGGCCTCGTTTGAGGAGTTGCAGTACGTAGTAGATTAGTTCTAGTTTCCCCTACCGACCGATCGATTAATTTATCTAACCATCTAGAATAAATAAGCACGTCACGCCGCAACCACGGTTACCCAACCCCCTCCCGCTCTCCTCCAACCTCTCCGCCCCTCCGTCCGCCCCGCTAGCTGGTGCGTTGTTGATGTTGTCGGTGTCGACCAGACCGATTCTCCAAGCGCTCCACTTCCAGCAAACCTGACCGGTTGTGGGGGAACTGGAAGAGCGATCGTCCATCCACCACTGCCCCCTCCTCCTCTGGGTAGAGTCTAGTCATATCTTTATTGGGGTCATCGAAGGTCGAACACGGGCTAGTGCGGTGTCAACCCGAATCCCACGAATCAGTCAGTCTACCATCAGGAAAAAGGGGAGGGAGAAAACGAGGAAGGTGAAAAGGCAATCTGCCCAAGCGCGGGACCACCACCCCTCCGGCCAAAATCCATCACGTCACGTTGTCCTCCCCGTCCTTCCCGAACCGACGTCGGCCGTCAACCTCCAGTCTCCGTCAGGATGGCCGCTGCTTTTGACGACGAGGACCTCTCTGTCTCACTCCCACCCTACAACCCCAATCGCCCTCGCGACAATCGTGACCCTCGCGACCGTGCCGGCGGGACCAATCCTCCTCCCAATTCGAACATTCCCGCCATGGCGATGCCTCCGCCATCCCGCCCGATCGGAAAGGGCGGCGAGCCTCCGATGCAATCCCCGGCAACCACCAGAGACATGCAGCGCCTCGATCAGTATCAGACGGTGAAGATATTGGGGGAGGGCTCATTCGGCAAGGTGAAATTGGCAATTCACCAGCCGAGTGGTCGCCAGGTCGCCCTTAAGATCATCCCCCGGCGCAAATTGTTGTCTAGAGACATGGTTGGCCGTGTCGAACGTGAGATCCAATACCTCCAACTGCTGCGGCACCCTCATATCATCAAATTGTACTATACCCCGTCCCAGCTGCAATGAGAAAGCAACTCGTCTCGGAAACTTTGACAATGGCTGACTCACTCCTCTCCTGACAGGTACACCGTCATTGCTACTAAAACCGATATCGTCATGGTATTGGAATATGCCGAGCGGGAACTTTTCGATTATCTGGTAAAGAGAGGTCGGTGCAATGACGCCGAAGCTCGCAAGTTCTTCCAGCAGATCATATGTGCCGTGGAGTACTGTCATCGCCATAAAATCGTGCATCGTGACCTCAAACCGGAAAATCTTCTGATTGACAGTGAGAAGAATGTCAAAATCGCAGATTTTGGTCTGAGCAATATCATGACGGATGGAAATTTCCTCAAGACCAGTTGTGGTAGCCCCAACTATGCAGCGCCGGAGGTTATCTCCGGAAAGCTGTACGCGGGACCGGAGGTGGACGTATGGAGCTGCGGTGTCATCCTCTACGTGCTGTTGGTGGGAAGGCTTCCGTTTGACGACGATTATATACCGGCCCTTTTCAAGAAAATTGCTGCGGGCAACTTTCATATGCCCGCCTACATATCGTCCGGAGCTGCTCGGTTAATTAGGTCAATGTTGCAGGTACACCCTGTTCATAGACTAACCATCCCCGAGATTCGTCAAGACCCGTGGTTTCTTCAAGACCTACCTAAATATCTACAGCCACCACCCGAAGAATTCATTGCTACAGGGGTGGATCCGAACAAAGCCATAGACCCGCGTAAGTTGGCTCCGGGTAAGCCGCTATCGGTGCAGCACAAGATCCACCAGGTGGCCATTTCTAAGCTGGAGAGGAGTATGGGATATGCTCGCGATGACATCGAGGATGCCTTGAAGAACCCCGAGCCTAGCGCCATCAAAGATGCTTTCTTCATTATCATGGAAAATGAGATGATGCAGACGAATTGTGAGTACTGCAATCGCTTTCATTTGCGCCTTGTCGCCGCTTTTGTCTCTGTTTTGCGTGAAGCTTGCTGACATCCTTCAGCACCAACTGATGATAACATGATGGGGGCCCCTGTAACACCCTCTCCGCCCCCCGATCGAATTTCAAAGCCCCCAGCGACGAGCGGACGACCGACTCCTGCTCCTTCTCCTACCCCGGGAACTCCGCCTGCGCCTTCTACAAGGACTCGGAGTGGTTCGCAGCGCCAAACCTTTCAACTACCCCAGCAGAGCGATTCCGACGACTTAAATGCTCCACGTGTGAGCCATGTCAGAATTTTACCAACAAGTCTACCTTATGTCCACGACCAACTCATGGAACAGCGCGAACGGGAGCAAAGAATGCGAGCCGCCGACCGATTGTTGGAAGAGCAAGCGCAAGGTGGCCCAGAGTCCGAAGGGGACTCGCGCCGTGGCGGACGCTCGCCGGAGGAGCAGGAAGCGACAGCAAGAGCTTTGAAGCCACATTCTCGTAGTATTATCGACCTGGAGAAGCTACGTTTGGAGCCGCCTGGAGGTCGTAGTGCCCCGCACCAACCCAAAAAATCCCGCAAATGGCAGTTTGGTATTCGCTCACGCAATCAACCGTACGAGGCAATGCTTTATCTCTACAAAGCTATTGAAGCCCAAGGCGGGATCTGGGAAATCCAGCCCACCGGTGCAGGTAAGTCCATCCCGGATTTCCTTAGTCAGAAATCTAATATACCCTCCAGAAGGATTGCAAATAGGAGTACCTCCACCAGATCCAGATCAGCCCCTGCCGCTGCAGAGCAAGTATCCTGACTTACCACCTGACTACTATATTCCAAAAGACCCGTGGTTCATACGAGCCCGCCTTCTGAAAGAAGGCGTCAGAGCCCCAGGTCCGTCAACTAGTGTCCATAGCAGCAGAAGTGATTTGGAAGAACTCCGCCGCCGCTTCAACCTTTCTAGTGCCCCGGCATCCTTGGACGACAGGAATCTAACCCCGGAGCATGCGAGCATCTCTGGGCCGTCATCTGCAACGCAGCATCTGTCCATTTCACGGATCTCTTACGGAGTGTGGGTTTTCGTCGACATACAGCTGTATCAGCTGGAAGAGAATAATTACATGGTCGATTTCAAGTGCGATGGGTATCAGAATGTGATCCGCGGCGAAGGCGACACCGACTGGCATCCCATCAGCAAGCGGTTCCGGAATAAGGAAAAGGAGGTCACTAGCCCTTATCCGTTCCTCGATGTGGCATCGGATTTGGTGGCGCAGCTAGCGGTCGCTAGCTGAAGCCAAAGCGACTTTCTAGATCAAAAGGCGTTCCTGGTGTCGGGAGCACATAATGGGTAGCATTCGGCGTTCCCTTGTTCTTTTCAATGGTTGTCTTAATGAAGGATCACCACCTATGATATGCACCATTGTTTGTATCGGATGCATTTTGCAGTTAGATAAAGCATTGCACCAATTCATATCGGTCCATGATGAGTTTGGGATGAGGCGCCTTCCTGAATGGTGCGGAAGGCGGTCACGACGGGTCCCATATAAATAGTCTGGTTCTCTCCGCATCCGAACTCTTCCGTCCTCCAGATTCCTTCCTTTCCCCGCAATTTTTGACAGCCCCTGCTAGCCAGTCTTATCTGCACGGCCTCATACTAATGGATCGAGCCAAAAGATTCAAGTGTCAGCAATGCAATAGGTCTTATTCCAAATTCGAGCACCTCACAGTACGTACTGACTCCCTTTTATTGCCGGAGTCCCGTTATTGACTACCCTCAGAGACATGAGCGAACTCGTAGGTTGCTCGGATGATGTCCACAGTTACTGCATGATATTCACCCCGCATAGACACCAACACCAGGCCTTTCCGCTGTGAGGAGTGTGGTAGGAGATTTGGCCGAGGGGACGTTCTTGGCCGGCACAAGAGGCTCCATGCTCGTTCCCAAGCCGACGTCTCCTCAGATGCAAGACGACCAGTAGATGGTCCTACAGAGGGCCATTTGCCTAGTCCTAAAGAATCTGCGCAGAGGATTTTGGACATGTCTCCATTTGAGCACTCATTGCCTGGAAATCAAGAGTTGTTGGAACCCGACAATTTGCTGGATTGGTTTATGCCGGATTTCTGGGACCCGTCAGCCATTCCCTTACCATTGACGGACTTCCCTAATCAGCCGCAGCTGCAAGTATCCAATGGTCCGAACCTCCTTTCTACAGAGGAACAGGGCATTGCTCAGCAAGAGCCTGGAAAGGTAGCCATGCAGCAGAGCTATAGGTTGATAGAAGATCTATCCAAACGTCTTAACTCAGAATTGCATAGCTCGGGAATTACGTCTGCATTTCTCGATGCTTGCTTGCAGGAATTCTTGAAGCGGCTGTCTCCATGTTTTCCTGTTATACACGAGCCGACGTTTGCAACACGGGAGACCATTCCTCCACTCCTGTTGAACATGGTAGCACTAGGGTCTTTATTTGTGTGCCTACCGGATTCAGCCCAGAAAGGGGAGATGCTCTGGCGACTGGGTCATACCGCCGTAGCGACCTCCTGGCAGACTTTAAGTAGCCTAAGAGGGCCTAGAGATGCTTGTGACGGTGTCCAGTTGGTCTTGACCGCACTCTTAGGGCAGCTATATGCGTTACTCTCAAGCAACGAAAACATACGGAAGACTGCATTTGTATGGCATGGACTTGGATTCTACTGGGCACGCACATCTGGTATGTACGTCGTGGAAGACATGCAGCAGGATCAGATTCCGGGGCAAGAAGCTTCTCTTCCGAAGAAGCACACGGCATGGATGAAATGGGCCACTGTTGAAACCAGACGACGAGCGATTCTAGGCCATTATATTCTCGATGGTTTAATATCACAGGCTTCAGGGTCCCCGGCCAGCACACGTCATCTGATAAACTCTATAAAAACGGCGAGCTCCGACGCGGCATTTCTTGCTAAGACCGCAGATGACTGGCTCCTGGAGATGGAGAAGTCAAGCTCTACCCAACACCCCTTTAGCGAAGTCTATGTCTCTATATTCTCACCAGATCAGACGTTCTCTACACCACCTCTTTCGGGATTTTCGACCTTTGTTATCATCGAGGGCCTACAGTCCCTTGTATCAGATCTTCATGAAACCAGTGGGCCGGTATTTGGTACAGTCTCTGAAAAGCAGATTGCCCAAGCCCTGCTTATTATCTATGATACAGACCTCTCTAAAAGGTCAGCTGTTCATGAAGATAATTTTCAACTCACGCTCCGTTGGCACACCGTTTGCCTCGAACTCGCCGTTTCATCTGCGTCTCTGTGTACAAGGATATGTCGCGCATATGGCCTCCAACAACCCCTCGGAGGAATGGTGAACAAAGAAGATCATCTATTATTTGACCTAAAGCGGTGGGCTAGCAGCACAAATGCTGCTCGAGCGATCCTCCACGCACTAGCCATCAATCGGATTGTCGATCAGATTCCGTTCAAATTAGCTCATGCACCTCATATTCCCGCTGCTATCTTTGCGTCGGCAATTGTCATAGGTGGGTGGTGTCTAGCTCGAGAAGAGACCATTTATGTTCAAGAAGATATTCATTGGCACGATATCTGGTCTGGTTCATCTGGCGGCGATCCCAACATTAATCGATACCTTTATCACGCGGCTGCTGACGGAAACAAAATTCATCTCCTCAATGAAATGAACTCTCTTCAAATCAGTCTTAAGACAATCACGTCTCGCTGGAGCGTGTCTCACCCAATGGCGGAAATAATTCAACAAATGGCCACCTTGGCTCGCCAATATCATTAACAGGAAAGGGTGACGGATCTACCCCAGGTTAAGTACATTGAAGCTAATCATCATATATGACTAAAAGTATTTTGAAGTCCTTTTCCTGATCCACGGTCCAACAAAGTATAGCGGTACTCCCAAAGCCAAGACCGCCCATTGGATCCCAGCGAACTCATAGAACATCTTGTCGACTCCTTGATTGGTCATCCAGTCTACCGATCCCTTGCTCAACCCGAACGCAACCACATTCTTGCTGGTGTTTACTAAGACTAAGGCCTCAGCGCTGGTGTGCGGATATGAATCAACGATGTACGACAGCATCACTGAAGGGACTATTGTCAAACCTGCTGCAGACATGGCCGAGCCTGCGGCCGGTGCAACATACTGCATCTGGCGGGAGACAGTGTATCCGAAAACGACCAGTCCGACTGGCGAAATGAGAAAAGGGACAATAAGGGCGGGAATTCGATGCTCGGGCTTGTGAACACCGTTGTTGCGTGTGCGGAGATAGTTGGAAAGACCATCAGTTAGAGGACCGGCGATGGGCCAAACGACGAGAATGCCCACGAAGCTGCCGAGTGCGAAGAGACCGAGAGCGGCAGAGGAGAAGTTGTATGGAGGAGGAGAGAAGAGGTCGGCGGAGAGGGTGGAGATGGATACCACTCTGTCGGCATAGAAGGGTCAGAGAACATTCATTGATGAGAAAATAGCCGGCAGGAATACTTACGCCCCTAGCACAACCCCGTACATCATTGAAGCCAACAGTACACCGGGTACCAGAAGCATTGGCAATGGCAGCCAGAACATATGAGCCAGATGCTTGAAAAGGCCCTTTTCCTTTGCTGCATCTGACAAACCAACTTTAAACAAGCCCTTCCAATGATCACCGTAGGAGAACCGTTCTTGTTGCGGCTGCCGGCCTGCGCTGGCCTCCGCGACAGCCTCGATGTGGCTTTGAAAGATGTCATGCTTTTCTTTATCTTCGACCTCCAATTGATCCTCTGCACTAGGTTTGTAGAGTGTCTCCGGTAGAAAGAAGAAGGTGGTCACGAGGTTAACGGCTGCAACGATGAGACACAATATGAAGAACCAGCGCCAGCCACGGGCAGCCACAAGGTAACCGGCGATAAGGGGACCGACTTGGGAGCCGGCAGAGAGGAAAAGCGCATAAAGCGCCATTGCACTGGAGTAGTTGCGTTCATAGAACATATCTAGGCTGGTTAGCACCGCCCTTGGTCCACATATATGAATGTGAAGTTTTCGATGGTAGAGAGAGTACGGACCAGCAAGAATACTCGGGCCCAATGACTCGATCGATCCATATCCTGTAGAAATCAGCATAGGCAATATCAATGGTTTAGAGGACCCCGGATGTTGTACCAAAGCTAGCAAAGACCCTCGCCCCCAGCAAGCTATTATAGTCCTTTGCGACAACGGTCCAGATTGTCCCTGCAACAAACATGGCCATGGAAACAAGTACGATCGGGCGCTTCCCGAAGCACAGGGCCAGCGGCATCCAGAAGAGATTCGCAAGACCCATGGACAAGACAGACCAGGAGATCAAGTCGGAAAGGTTTTGGTAGCCCACATGGAGGTCAGCGGCAAGGGAATCGAAGCCGGTGGCTATTCCTGACTATATTGACATGTCTGTCAGTCTGCTGATCTGTAAAAATGGAACGCACCAGCTCGAGGAATCCCATACCGAGTACATATTCCCCAAGAAGACAAAGATATTGACAGTCAGAAGGGCTGCATATCGGACTCGACGGGGGAAGAGCTGCAAATTGACGACAGTAAACAGTTAATTAGCCATACTTCCTAATATCTTCAATCAGATAATGCGTGTCATACCCTTGGATCCACCTTTGTGGTCATCTTGTCTCGGAAATCCGGAAATTCGCACACTGGCTCAGTATTCACTTTGACCAGGAATGAGAACATCATACGATGCCAAGTCCTTTAACTAGGCATCAAGCGGTTCATATATCGGCATTTCGGCAGTTGCAGTCCTTCCCCAGATTTTTACCCCACACCCACTCCACTCGATCATCACATGGCTATATGTCTGGAATCTCCTGAATGGGGGAGATGAAACGCCACGCAAGCGCGGGATGTGGCCCTCGGGTTTACCGAGTGGTCGGGACCACCTGAGATCCTGGACTGTAGATGGGCAGTGATAAGAAGGAATGGGTTAAGGATCTACTAGTGGCGTTGAGTGATTGGGTAATGTCGTATACAGAGGCCCATGCTGTGACTAGGCGAGTCAATATGGCGTCCGCAATAGTAAAGGCATCTGTGTTAGTGGCTGAAGCGCCCCAGGGGATGGACATGCCTATGTATGATGACCACATAGCTTGTGGACCCCGCTCTGGAATTCTAATGATACCTAGGCCTTGCGGTTCTTCCACACGTTGAACGCAAAAAATCTCGTAGTCAAATGTATCACTCTGCGGGCCCTGAGCACTAGGAGGGTCGAGGTCTGGTGGATAGGGATGCACAGAGAGAACAGATCATGCGTTATAATTTCGCCTCTCTCCCTGATAATCAATTCAGCATGCCCAGTGGATGAGGTGGATTAGCTTTGTGCAGGTTGTCTGTGTTGTGATTGTCGAGAGTGTGTCTCAGGTGCATCTCGACCCAAGGATAGGATGTCTGCGTGGACATATCAGATCCTGACCGATAAACTAACCTTATTAGCCTCAAATATACAAAGTGGAGGCCCTGGGGTGAGTTAACTTATCAACTACTTTAGTGCATAGCCACAGGCCATCGGTAGAGTTCATAGTTCTGTGGAATGTGAACACCATCTCGAATTCTCCAGCCAACAATTTGGGTAACATGGGACACAGGAAGGCCAACGCAGGCAAAGGACCTGAAACTTACAAAGGCTTGGGCTCTTGATTGGGGGCCACGATCAACAGTCTAAGCGATCAGGAAGCCGGAGAGGCAGTAGTTCGTTCCCAAACGGCGAAAGCCCCATTGCCCCACGTGATGAAGGAGGGGTCGCCTGCCTGGGGCATCTTTGGCCTTGATTCTCCAGGTGAAGAAAGTCTCCGGGTCTTCCACTTCATCGCCCAGCTGCATCCAGTCAATCCAGCAAAATGACCAGGAACAACCCCTCGGATAGCTGCTACAGCTGCGTCGCCTCGGATATCCCGACATTCGGGAAAGCCGGGCTCTCCGGGGCGATCCTACAAATGAGCCCCAGCTGAACTGATTGCCAGGACCTTTTGACCGTTCTGGACCAATTGTCGAGCTTGACGGCGGGAAAGTGAAGCTCCGACGGAGCGTGACGACTCTAGATTTAAAGAGCAGCAAGGGTTACTCTCCCCTGTCTTGGAACCTCAACACGCCCTGCAATTTCACATTTGAAACTCCTGTTGCAATGGGCATCTTTAACAGCATTATCTGGAGAGACGATAAGACGACGAAAATGGTGTGTTTTGAATCAGTACTGTATCATGCCATTTTGGAACCGTTCCTAACAGACTGTAGAGCCGCCATGAATCGCATCTCGACATCATTATCGTCGGCGCTGGCCTCAGTGGCCTCGCGACCGCCATTTGTTGCACCATGTCCGGTCACACCGTCATAGTTCTCGAACAGGCCAAAGAGCTCGCAGAAGTTGGCGCCGGTCTCCAAATAACCCCCAACGCCTCCCGACTCTTCTCACACTGGAAGCTCCCCGAAAAGCTATGGAAAGATGCTGCAGAGCCAACATCCTTGACAGTGCATCGATATACGGGCGAAGTCCTCGCACACGAGGCCTCATTTGATCGGAACATCCGCTCCAAGTACTCTGCACCATTCATTGATCTTCATCGCGTGGACCTGCAACAAGCTCTATATGCACGGGCCAAGGAGCTAGGCGTGACCTTTCATCTTGACGAGAGAGTCGATTCTATTAACTTTGACACCACTACAGTAACCACCCTCAAGGGCAAGACCATCTCAGGTGATTTAATCGTCGCTGCGGATGGGCTCTGGTCTCGGTGTCGAGAATGCCTTGGCGGGAAGAAAGACGATCCCATTCCTACGGGAGATCTGGCCTACCGAATTGTCTTAACAGCAGACCAGATCTCGGACCCAGATCTGAAAGCCTGGGTTGAGAACCCGACGGTGCATTTCTGGATCGGGCCTGGAGCACATGCAGTGGGCTATTCTCTACGCGGGGGGAAGATGTTGAATATTGTCCTCCTAGTACCAGATGACTTGCCCCCAGGCGTCTCACGACAGGCTGGATCGCAGGAAGAAATGATGCGATTATTCGTGGGTTGGGATCCTATGTACGCCTTCCCAACATTTTCCTCTCAGCACCCATCGACAAACCCCAACAACTAACATGCAATAGCTTAACCCGCTTCCTAGGCTACGTAAACGGCGTTGACAAATGGAAGCTGATGCACCGTAAGCCCACCACCCACCATCCATCCCTACTCCACTAACCACCACACGCAGACGCCGAAATGGAATCCTGGATCAACGACAAATCCAACCTCGTTTTCATGTAACCCTTCTCTCTCACCCACCCCTATCCCCAAACCACATCCACTAACCCAACCCCACCCTCAAGCGGCGACGCCTGCCACCCCATGCTCCCCTACCTCGCCCAAGGCGCCAACTCCTCCCTCGAAGACGGCGCCGTCCTCGGCAGCCTCCTAGGCCACATGAAAAAGAAATCCGACCTCCCTGACATCCTACGTTTATACGAGAAACTGCGCAAATCCAGAGGCGAAGCCATCGTCCGGGAGACATTCAAGCAAGTTCGTCTTTCCCCCATTCGTCAAGAATCTCCCAACTTTAATAGAAGAAAACTTTAACTTACCCAAAACCAAAACAGCGGAACGACTTCCACATGCCCAATGGCCCAGAACAAGAAAAACGAGACCAGATTTTCTTGTCCCAGTTAGGGAAGGAACTTAAGGGGGCGTTTCCGAGTCGGTGGTACGTACCATTTTCCCTACTAGTACTTTCTATCTACGTGTACAGCCTTGGCTCTGGATGCTGTAGAAAGTAGTTTTGGATATTTAACGAGGGATATAGGACATGCCCCGAGGTTCAACCGTGGTTATATGGATATGATGCAATTAAGGAGGTGGAGAATGTGGTGGTGCAGAATCCAGGGCTGTTTGGTAGTAAGAAGACTTCGCATCTATATTTAAATGGGGTAGGACTTAAATCCTGGCTGATGGGACGGGCTGAATAGTAACTAAATTGAGAACTAAGTCCTCTGCACTCTACGTTAATTGCCGATCCAAAAGTAGAATAATGGTTCAGTAGGTTTTGAACAAACCAGAACCTGTAATTCGTCTATCCCAAGAAACCCAACCTATATACAAGGTGAACCAACTCACACAACCCTCTATAACAATCGACGCAATTAACCATAGTAACCAGTAATAATACATTAGCCGTCTAGCATCGGAAGACCCCCCAGATCATCAAACAGCCTTGCTATCCCTTCGAAGGAACAATCGGGGAACCCGAAGCCGTAGGCCCATTCCTATCAGGCATCCAAGAATTAATATTGAAGAGCTGGAATTGGGAGAGAGAAAGGCAGGAAGGGAAGAAGTAGGGAGGAACATACAGGGATATCGAATCCCGACTGGGTAGAACCGGGATCTGCAAACTCCGCGATCTTATTTCCGTCACTACTACCAGCGGTCGTCTGCACATCAATGGGCCGGAACTCTCGCAGATAGTGTTTGATAATTTCGACGGATTTGCGTGCCACGACGGACTCGTCCATTGCTTCTAGGATCTCTACGGCCATCTCGACGGACCGGCGCAGTGGAATGGTCTCTGCGCACATACCCAGTTTGGACATGGGGAGAAGGAGGGTGGATGTGGCAAACATGACATACGTGGTGTTGTACCACCTGATTATGTTAGATGGGCAGAGAGAATAAGGTGGAGAGGACAGGGCATACCAGCAGCGGAAGAAGGTGTGGATACGGTAGATATCATAGATGACCTGGATGGTTTTCATCGCCGCGTCGAGGCATTTGGCGATGGTTTCCTCGAGCTCCATGGGGGTGTGTCGTAGTTTGCGCGTGAAGTGGCTTAGGAATGGCCGGAATAGGAGCATCTTAACGTTATAATAGCCTTTCATGGCAGCATATTTAGTGAATGTGGGGGAGGAGAAGATGAGGAGTAAAGCACTTACGGATACCGAGAACTAAGCGTTGTCTTCGTGCCCACTTGGGATCTCTCAATGTGCCTGCTGTTGCTCGCTGGAGAACGTCTGGTTTAATCCTGTCCGGCAGTCTCGCCATCCATCGGTCCAACTCGGTTTCGATTTGGAGAGCAAGATGAAGCTTCTCCTGTAATGTTATGCGCGAATGGTATATCTGCACGGAAACCTTGCGAATGATGTACGCAAAATCCACCATCCATGGGATGATCGCGTACTCGGACTCATCTCTCTCAGGAAGCGCGCGGTTGTGATACTCATCCATGCCCAGAGTATCTGGACGGCCCACCGAGAAACTCATCTCACTGACGAGAGGTTAGGATTATGATCGAACACCATACAACAGCCAGGCTTACATTTCCAAAGAGAACAATCCCCTGCTGGAGTTAGCGCGATTCAACCCAAAGCCCGAGATGAACCTACCACCAGGTCTTTGAGATCCAGCCCGACCGCTGTTCCGTCGAGCTCCGCACCTCACGATTGAATCCAGCAGCCAGACATGTGCGGATGGCCAGACCCAAATACATGTACGCCACTATCAGAAGATATTTTGATTAGTCGAGAACTGAGTCGCCAGATGCACACTCACGGTTCGGATTGAGTTCATTCTGACAAATCTTAGCCTAAACAAGGTCAGTCCAACCCTATAAAGGAGAAAATAGAGAAAATAACCCCATACCATAAGATACAAGCACTGCACCGTATCCAAGGTGTTCGAAAACTGCAGGTAGTTGAGATACATTTGGGCCTCACCAAACAGCTTCCTACTCCATTCAAATCGGGTCAACCCACCGAGCCTCTCTTCATCCCAGACGCGAACCAACGCTCCAAACGACAGAATACTCAGATACAAGGCGATAAAACACGGCTCAGGCTGAAGACTCCGGTTGAACCAAAGATCGTGCGCTCGCAGCAAAAAGTCCTCCTTATCAATAAGGGGATGAATGAAATGTATGTTCTCGAAATAGCCGTTTATAAAGGCATGGGCCTGTTCGAAATAATAGTTCTGTTCCCGTAATGTCAAGGTCTGCGCAGAGCCAGTGCCCGAGGGCGAAAAGCTCGAGTTATGCAACGTCGAGACAATTGAGTACCCCAACTCCTCTGCGCGCGCATCCCGTCGCTCTAATGGTCGCTGCGGGTCCCGAGCCTTCTGGAGATGGCCCAGGAGAGCTGCGGATGAAGTACTGCCATGAAACTCGATGCCATTGGTATGGTGGTTTAGTTCACTGATCTCATCCCCAACCGATTCTCCAGCTTCGTCGTGGTTTTCGTAGAGAGAGGGTGGCTCCTCCCGTGGAGTTGATCCAGTACGAGGCAGCGACAAAGGGGTCGCTTCGATGCCAACTTGCGGCAGCTGCTGCGTTCCCGAACTTGCCTTGGCTTTCTGGAGCGATGGGGATTGTTGGGAGGTAATCCCCAACTCTGCCAGATATAATCTGGCCGTAAGTTCATCGACTTTGCGCTCTAGATCCGCGACGTATCTGGTCAAAGAGTTAGCAGCCCGGGTAATATATAGATATAGTAGATAGAGGGCAGCGTCCGTACCTCGCAGACCTGCTACTTTCACGTTGGCGATAGTTCCCTTGGTAAACGCAGTTGAGTTGGCTTTCTACGGGGATTAGTGAGCTGCTAGGGCAAGGATCGGGGAGTGTAGTGACAGACTCTTGCAGTGCGAGCAGGGATATTGCTCGTCGCATTTGTATTTCTTGGCCCTGCACCGGTCGCATGCTTGCGCCGCCCGGGGGCGTTTGGCCCGGGGCGGGGGAAGAGAGTCATCCTCGGCGATGATAATCGGGGGCGAATCCTCCATTTAGGGGGGCGACCGCATCGGTAGAGAGAGACCATAGAAATTGGGGACGAGCAGATGGGCAGGAGAGTGTTGACGGCGAGGCCCGTCGGTGGGAAGTTGAAGAGAAACCGAGAAGCCAAGCGCGCCGGGAATTCCGACCGGTGGCGTCACGTGCGAACGCTGCGGGGTCCCCGCGGGGAAAGAACAAGGGAGAATGAGAGTTCCTTCCTTCCTTCCTTCCTTCCTTCTAGGGAAGACCGATTTCAAAGTTACATTTCAGAGGTATCAAAAATACTACTACTAAGCAATAATCGTCACATCGTCGGGAGCCATCCACGCTAGCGAGCTGCTGCAACTGTCCCCCACACTCCCCGTACCCACTGGCCCGGCCTGCGCCCCCTTCTCTCTCTTTCCCCTGTTATAGTTCAATGGCCACGTCCAATGCCTCCGCTACGGGTTTGACATCAGCTGTGTCCAATTCGGGCGCTTGGTCGGGCAAGACGGCGCCGTCAAATTGCTTTCCCAACCGATGAATCAAAGTCTCAATCCCATCACCATCGGTGAACGACCACACCCGCACGTACCGACTGGCAAACCCCAGGGCGAACGCCTGCCCAGCAGGAATCACCACCGTCTCTCCTTCACGGAAGGTCGCTTCGGGGGAGTCTTTCAGGCGGACAGTCAACGTACCCTCCAAGACACACAGACAGTGATCGACCGACTGGAAGGTCATGAATTTCGAGAGCAAGGTTTCACCGTAAGTGTGGGACGATTCAATGCTAGAAATTGCGCAGACGCCACTGCTCTGGCTGGTCGTGATAAACGGGCGGGACATGACTCCCCCCAGCATCCACTTGGGCCCCGTGTTGGCGCGCAGAAAGTAGGGTTGCGGGGTCTCGGGGAGTCTTTCCTCGTCCTTGGTCCACTCCCCGAGCTCGGGTGGCTGGTAATGAGGTTGGAAAACCACATCGAAGTCCTGCTTCGCAGCCATCACCTTGGGAATCAACAATGACTTGAGGTCACGGTCATCATCCTCGGGGACAAGTATTCCGTCGTAGGGTTCGGACACATATCGGAAGAAGTCAACCCAGTCACCGGGGGTGACGACACCATAGGTCTCGGTATGTGGCCCTAGCAGTTCCGGGTTGTGGACCACCGTCTAGAATGCGTCTAGAATTAGTCGCCGAGGACAACTGAGTGAGTTGAAGCGCAAGCCAACATACTGGAGGAACATATGCGAAATCACCAGGGCCCATGACCCGACACTTGTCCCCGTTCCATAGCTTTAATGACCCTTTGGTCACCAGGAAGACATCATGGGCGTGGTTATGGTAGTGGAATCCTGGGGCGTCGGATAGTACTGCCCCGCTCTGGAATACAGCCATGAGGCCATTGGTCTGCTTGGATGAAGCCAGAATGCGAAAGGCTCCTTTGCTACCGGGGATCGTAATCCGTTCTCCTTCCAGCTGCGGGATTGCGTAGGGGATCCTCCCCTGAGGGGGTCTTTCGGTGAAAGACAATGACATGTGGTCGGATGGGATAGCGTAGCGGACAGTTAAGTCAAAGGGTAGAATCGGTAGACGAGCAAGAATAGGGAGAAGTAGGGCACCTACATATAGGATTGACTTTAGGGGCAGCATTCGTCATCTGGGGAAGGGATCTTCATGATCCTCCGGACCTATGTCTCCAAAATGCCGACTGTCGGATATACCGTCGAACGGTGGACATCGGGATATCCGGCAGGTAGGCAAGCAGGAGGTCCGATCCCTGGGTCCAAGTTATTGGAAAAGAGAGGGGCAAAGAGGAGAAGCTCGGGGGAACAGCCCCCGTGAATTGACGTCACCCTAGTTAGTCGGTTTGGACGATCACAAGCATTTCCCATTGGTATCTGAATAACAATAAATCCCAACCACCCAGAAAGCAGAATAAAAGAATGGGCCAAGAGACAAGAGAGAGTGTGTAGAAGAAAAGCCTGAAGGGGTGCAACCAAAAAAAAATAAAAAATTCAACTATGCATGTTCCCTTTGTGCGAAGGCCGACCCTAAAACCACTTTCTGCGACTCCGTTTCGCCAAAATCCCAGCAATTTCACCCATGGGTCAAGGTGCAAGAAAGTACAACAAATCGAATAACCAAATGAAAATCCGAAAGCCGGACTGGCACAGGGACAACCAGCGCCCCCGGCCCTAGTTTCGTGACGCATCTCTATAGCCCTTCATATTGTTCGTGGGGTGTTGGACCTTGCCCCAATTTGCCCACCTGAAGAGCTCTCATCACTGTCCCCAGATCGCCTCCACGTTGCGATATGCCTGGTATCCGATGACAATGTGGATGAGCTTCTGCTCAGAGATGCTGGCGAGGCAGGAACAGAGGAATCAGGGGTAGTCCCCTGTGGGGAGCTAGTAGTACTCTTGACGGCGGCCGCGGCAGCTGTCGGATTGCAGTGGGCACAAATGAATACATTGAATCCGCGGCCCTTGCAGCTATTGCAAACAGCATTACTACACTAGATTAGCATCGCCGATGACATGAAAGTCCTGATGACGAATAGACTGACCGTGGTGCATTGCCTGCACAGCTTCGGCATGTCATGACCGTCCGTCCTCCAATACAGGAGTTATGTCCTGGATCTCGTTGATACATTGACTCGGCCTGTGAGGACATGGGTTCAAAAACAATAACAATATGTATCGTGCAGTTGGGTAGCAGGTTATGTTCAGAGGCAGATGCCGGTAAGTGTGAATGACAAAGCTCGAAGGACTGGGATGACCGAGAGTCAATCATGCTATTTCTTATGACCGGATGTGCTGCTTTATTGAGGGACGTCTTGGCTTATCAATCACCCGTGAGGCATAGAATCAGCGAACTAACTAGATAGGCAGGAGATGAGAGAGAGAAAAAGCAACAATTGAATGGCTGCAGCCAAGCTAGGCCGCTCCCTGCCTAGTACCCAAGGTGACCTCTCGGTGGACGGAAATTGTAAGACCCATTCGGCTATAGATTGTGCTACCGGGTCTCGAGTCAAGGGGATCTCGTATCAGCCATGCCGAATCACCGTCCAGCGTTCAACTCCGAAGGGAAACCCAGGCGCGAAGATTCGGTCACATCCAGCTATTTTCTGGTATGCCGCACCAATGACACGAGGCCGGACGGTGCGGCATGGTCCAAGGATCATAAAATGACCGCAGAATCAGCCCCAGTTTACCTGAGGAGACGCAGGCTGTGCCTGTCGGACGTGTCAACACCTCATAGTTTTCTCAGAAAGACCCCGGACTGGTGGAATCCTTAGCCACTTTCGATCCATAGGGCCGGGTCCAGTTTATGGTCGTTGTGCCGGCCATTGCCAACCGGACCAGGTGCCTAGATGCAAGGCTTGCTCAAGCGCATCGGACAATGCTGGATCTTGATTATCAGGATGGGAAGGCCGGGCAGGTGATTACGGGTGCATGTTGCGGTTAGTTCAAAAATCAGAAGTAGGGCGATGCAAGTATGTGACCAAGCAAGCCGGAAATGGGATACGGCGGGATACAAGACCAGAAGCATGGCAGCCACGGAGAGCTGTGTGACGCGACTGACTAACAATCATCGGTAAGCTCGGCAAGCATTCCAGAACGACTGTTTCGATTACTTTGATGTGGGCCTTAAGCCTTTTCCTCAAGCCCCCCATGACGGATAGGCGCAGCGCGACACGCGAGTGCGATATGGATAACACGGAGTGCGGTTCCAGAGGCATTCTAGACGATGTAGTAACACCGAACTCGTAGTCATCCGGAGGTATCGATGTTGATCGGTAAGACCCGACTCACTCGTCAGTGAGTTTTCTATGTGGGTCGGTATAGATCTTAGGCGTTTCATGCAGGAGACTGCATCGTTGCCCATTGTCCACCCAATCACTGCAGTGCGCTTCAAGCATCACCGGATACACTTGAAAATTGTGGCCTAATTCCGTGGCCCCCTCGGAGCTACGCAGCAGCTTGTTGTTAAGCGCCTTTCCCTCCTGGCTTCCTGATGTGGAAGTAAGCAATACAACGGCTGCGCCGCATTTAGGCTGAATTGGCGGCAGCGCCATTGCACCTCGCTGGAGTCAGTGCAATTTTCACTTGGGGCATAGAGAGAATGGAGGCTATGGGATTGAAACCAGAAGAGGGGACATTGATGTAGGCCTGCGAACAATGGTACCGTGTGACAGAGCCATGAAACAGCGAGGACACGAGGACAAGCGCCATAGAAGATGGGATTTACGGGGGGACAAATGAAAATAGAATTAATTCACCGAATGATCAGATAGTGTTCTGGCAGTCTGTGATTTCCGTGCCTCGTAAATGGCGGTCCATTCCTTCTCATGCAGGTATCCGATCCCCTAAGGAGTAATAGGAGTTCCATCGCAACAGTATGTCGGTGATTGCTCCACTTTTGGTTGTTGATCCTGCGTTGTCCTCATTAAAAAGGAGATGAATTTCCCTTACCTGGACCAATCGCCGAGTCCGTAGATGCTCTCGGCGTGGGCTGCGTCTGCGGATTGGTCACATGCTATACGAATCCCTGCTCATAATATGAAACAGAACCGCGTTGAGAAAGGAACGGGATGACGCAGTCAAGGTGACGAGCTTGGCCAACCCAGATGCTCCTGCCGCAGGTACTGCCCTCCTACTGGAGCCCTGGTAGGGAAGGATGGCGACCGCGTCTTCTGGAGATCCTGACAAGAGGAGCGGAACGAGAAAAGGGCCGATCGGAAAGCCCGAAAAAGGGCGTTGAAATCTTGACAACGCCGTCCATGTGGTTCGTTTCCAGTCCAGGCCACTGGTGGATGCCACATCCAGGAAACTAGGCGTGACAGTTGACAAAGAAAGATTCAAGGATGTGGCTTGCAGGTGAGGCAGGAGTCGACGACGGCAACAGTCGTGCCCAAGCAAGATCAAGGGTGGGTGACCTGCAAGTATCCGGTGGGCATCACGCGCGCGACGAGGGTCTGGATTGGAATTGGTCAGGGCACGTTATCATTGCCATTGTTAACTTGCCCGACTCGAGGCGAAATTGCGGGCTGGGATGGGGGGAGCTGGAAGAAGCAGGAAATTGGAGCCCATCGAGCACCCGAAGCAAAGCGAAAATCACGGACAGAGATCAACTCAGGGAAACGGATGTGACCCCAGTGGTTGACGGGTTGAGTGGACGAGTGGGTGCTCGAGACCCCGTTGCACAGAGAAAAGCAAGAGTGCAAGACGGCAACCCGGCCGGCCGAGCGGCGACATGGCCTCGAATCAGCTGATTTCGCCGGCGGCCTATGGCGCCTGAGGGCACCCACTACGGCGATTGGGACCCTCATCTACGATGCACACCCGGGAAAAGAAAAGAAAGAATAATGGAAATGGAAAGAAATGAATTACAACCGAGATGGCGAAAAAGAAAAACCGGAGGTGGAAGGAAGGCACCTGGCAGGCCTGGGAAAGACTCCGGCGCTGGGATCATGGCGGTCACCACAGCCTTCCCGGCCAATGGGCTCCGCTTTGGTGGAAGGTCTACAATGACCCCAGTTGGGAATGAAAGACGGCTCATCGATCGTGGAAGCTGTGTCCTGCTGCCGTGGTTACATCAGTCCAATCCACCCCGGGACGGAACACTAGACGCCATCCGAATAACTGGTTGTATTATCTGCTAGAACAATAGTTACATCCAGTTTGCGGAAGATGACGGCACCTTGATGCCGATGAAGCACATAAGGACACCTAGAAAAGGAAAAAACAAGCCAGGAGACATTCCCAACAACCAAGCAATAGAAGGGCGAAAGCACCCGGTGAACCCCGTTTCAGCAAATGGTATGAGAACGCCGTTAGCACCACTCACTCTGCGTGGATCATAAACACCATAACTCATAGCAGGAACGCATTGTTTCCAAAGCAAAGACCAAACCCTCCTAGATTAGCGATTCTTGCCCTTCACTGAAAGTAATCTGGAGGAAGCGATGCCAACGCAGCAATAGTACCGAAAGCACCTATGGCGACACCTAAAGCAGCTGTAGCAGCATGGCTGGCGAACCCTCCTGCAGTGGATTTCTTCGCTCGCTTCGACGGGTGTTCGGTCATATCAGCATCAATGGTAGCGCTGTCAACCATTGGAAGCTCTTTCGCGGTGTCCAGGACAGTCAGCTGGGACGGGACCTCCAGTTTGCTTACGGGAGTATGTGGTTGAGCATCCGGAAAGCAGGATTCCTCGTAAGAGCATCCCGAAGACTGCGTATCGTTTGAAACACCCGAGCCAACTGGGTCTCTGTGATAAGCAGCAGTGTCAAGTTCAGAGCTGGGAGAAGGACCATCAATGTCTTCCGCCTTTCTTTTGAGCGGTCTCTTTTCTTGTACGGCAATTGAACCCTGCTCGGGACTAGTTGTTTGTGGCAACGAAGTTGAAGAAATGTCTTGCTGTTGCAAGGCCATGGCCGTTTCTTTCTGGATTTCCTGTCCACCGTTCGGAGAGGCTCTCTCGTTCTTACCTACAGCCGCAGCAGTGGGCGCAGCGACCGACTCGATGCTGGCTTTGCAAGCAGGAGCAGTATCACCTAGCATTATCGACTCATTGTTGACGAAGGGCCCATCTTCATAGGGCACTTGCGGGGTGGGAGGAGTATGCAGAGGGTATGCAGTGCTTGTGGTGTTTCGAGGATGCCACCAGTCTATGGGAAGTACAGAAGGTGTATTGTGAAAGCTCAAGGTTGGACGATCCAATGCCTTTGTGTTTTGAGGGGATAGAGTGGGTTGTAGCAAGATTGATGGCAGTGGAGCTCCAGTCGACGTTAGTCCAGAAGGCCGCATACTTTGGGAATGCGGGGCTGGGGTAGTATTTCCCATGGCCAGAAGTCCAGGTCCGTAGGGTCCGGCTTGACAGGCCAGGCTCTCCCCGATACTTGCATAATTTTCGGAATGAGATTCATTGGCCCCGGAATTCAAGCGGTTGTTTGGTTCGTCCACGGCAAAGCCTGTCTCTGGTACTATCAAGTCGCAGATACCCAAAACATGAGGACTGTTTGATCTCACAGATTCCTCATCGTCATATGACTGTCCAGCATTTGATCTGAACGAAGACTGGGAGTCCAAGTCATCATTCAAATCAGCATGGTCGTCCTCTTCCCAAGTGGAATCCTCCACCTCCTCCTCTTCTTCTTCGTCGGAGTCGTCGTCGGAGTCTACCACAGACATAGTGTCTGCCTCTTGGATGAAGTCGCTGAACTGGTGAACCATGTTGCTGGGATCTTCAATGATATCTATGACAGAGGGTGGGGTCATTCGCGGAGTCACAAGAGGCTGTTCTTGTTTTTCACCATCCAGGTCAATGGGGCTCTGTTGGGATCCTTCTCCCCCAACTTGCTTATCACCACTTTTTATATCTGAGTAGGTGGTAATAAGGCAATTCTCTCCGTCATCCTTCTTCAGGGGAGACGTCAAAGGTGACGAGACCTCCACGACTGATTGGTCGTCTGAATCCGAGCAGGATGTAGAGTTGTCATCCTCAGAGGCACTCCCGGACGCAATTACCATGGGAATGGAATCTTGTTTGCCATCACTTTCATCGTCATCAGGAACACAGAACGTGTTAGAAGCAGGCACATGTCTATGCCTGTTCATGGTGTGAGCGCTTTTCAAGCGAGGTGGATCACATGGGACATACAGAGGATCTGGCCACTCGAATTCACAGCGAACTCTAAGTGGGGGGTATGTTTCTAATACATCAATGAGCCATCTGCGCCTTCTGAGTAGAATAACAATATTGAGATGACTTACCCCTGCCACGAAACACTGTGGATCCGAAGGTAACAACATCGCCATGTTGAATGACAGTACCCTCCTCAGATGAGATTTTGTTCTCATTTATCCAGGTACCATGCATCGATCCACCATCACGAATGTAGACGAGCTTCAGAAGAGTCGATAGGTGTTAGCCTGGAACCCCGATGCTTGTGAATGAAACAATTGCATAGCGCACATACCTGCTTATCCAGACTTACCCACAGCTTGGCGTGGTTGCGCGACATGACCCTGGAATCAAACAGTCCATTGTTTTTGGCGGGGATCAGATTCTTTGATTCACGTTTAGAAGCCCGACCGATGTTGACATGGTTGATTTCAGGTGTGAAATCTAGGGAACGATACGGGAAATCATCGGAGGTGGATAGAGGGTAGAGAGTCACAACAGCTGCACGAAGAACCAAGTATTAGTTGAACCTGTCATGAAATTTTGGACTAGTTCGCCGCAAACACATACCCTGTGTGGCAGGCATGGTGACGGTGCTAGCAAGCAGACAGATAAAGGGACGATATTTTGAGATTCAGCCTAGATCCAACCAAAAGAACATCAGTATCGGATGCCAACGCATGGTGCCTCGAGTGAGAGGGTTGCATGCCAGGGACTTGACAGGCTGACAGAATACATACCAGCTCAGGGTGAACGAACAAAACAGAAGTGTGGGGGGGGGGGGGAATCAGGGAGCAACGTTCGAAAGTAGAACGTAGATGAACAGATGGAGATCCCAGGAGAGTTGAGAAGAAATGATGTGGTTGACACAAGGCTGACGAGGTGGACAACGGGGGAACCCGAGGAAGCTTAGGTGGGAGGGGCAGGAGCATACGACCGACCCGATGGAATCAGCCTGAGGTCAACAGGCGGTCGCAGTCAGGCACCCAGCAACCTTACAAAGTCACTAGCTTGATCCGTCCCAAAGGGTTGGTCCCAGGAGTGAAACTCCGAGAGCAGCCTGGAGGGCTAGATATAGCCTGCAGACAGGAACGATGGTGATCAGGCAGTGATGCTGATCCGTGGATAGTAGTAGGTGTATGGGGTAGGTACGGAGTAGGTTGGTCTGATAAGGAGGAAGGGGTGTAACGGTTTAGGACAGAAGTGGCCAAGACAACCAACAGCTAAACAAGGACCAGAACCAGCTTCGAAAGGGCTCGGTGACCAGATCGGTGGTGAATATAGCAACGATAACACAGATGGAGAACGCCTTGATGGTAGTAGATCAACACGGAGTGGATGAGTCGAGACGATAACAGGTCGGAACAGGATGGATGACGCCGATGCGAGCGAGACGGCGATCACTGATAGGCGGGCGAGTGGGGGGTTCCCGTCAGGTGGACCGCTGCTGGTCACCTGTGATCCAGTGACTAGTACTACTAAGTACTGCGGAGACTATTAGTATTTGTACCTATCTAGCACTCCCTAACACTCTCAAAAACCGCGAGATTAAGATGCAAACACCAGGTCCCATTACTTAGGAGCTATTCGTCCCACCCTTGGCTTCCCTATACTATGATACATACATACATCGCTCGTTCTCCCCGCCACGACCTAACATTCCAGATAAAGAGCATGTCTCTTCCGATCCGCAGACCTCTCTCATCATGTCTGCATTTCTTCCTTGACAAAACAGCCCAGTGTGCACCTCCCCAAAAAAAAAACCGAGGGAGCTGGAGGACAAACAGGAAAACAAACATCATTTCAAAAGAAAAAGGAGAAAGTAAGGAAACACAGTCGCAGCAGCAGTAGGAGATAGATAGTATATCAGCGAAAAGAAACTCGGACATCAAAACAAAAAGAGAAATTCTTATAGTAAATACACTCAGAGATGAAGGGCTCAGGCGCCCACGCACACAGCAGAGCTGACCAGGCGAAGATGGGCTATCGCTTGCAACTCTTCAACAGTTGAAATCCAAGAGAGAGATGAGTGAGAGATTAGGTCATACACAATTTTTGGTGTCTTGACTGGAGTGAAAGGAGATATCAGGACTCAATTTACAAGGAGGGAGGAGCGGCGAAGCCGGCACCCATGCCTTGTAGACGGGCAGCAAGCTGGGGGTACTTCTCCTGCACTTCGAGCTGGGTGCGGGTTGCCTCGGCGTAGGAGATAGCATTGATAATCTCCGCCTCTGTGCGAGCAAGTTCAGCAGCACGCTCAAAGTACTTCAGAGCCTGAGAGACCTTGCCCTGCTGCAGCAGAAGCTGTGCCATCGTTCCCACGGCAATATCGCATTCGGGATCGACTTCAATCGGTTAGCGTCACGCTTCACAGCTGACAATGAAAGACTTACTGATCAGGGCTTTCTGGCAGAGGTTCTCGGCCTCTTGGAAATCGTGCTTCCATTGGAACAGAGCAAGAGCCTTGTTAATCAGAGGCAGAACATTGATTCCCATGGGCTTGCTCTGTTTCTCCATCTCCACGGCCTTGTCGAACTTCTCGATTGCTTCGGAGAAGTTCTGCTGGTCAAGGAGAAGTTCACCATAGTAGTTGTAAACATCGGGAACTTCTTCGAAGTTCTTCACAGATCTTCTGAAGGTAGCCATGGCAGACGCGACAGAGCCCATCTTGTACTGCGTAACACCGAGCTGGATGTGGGAGTAGATGAAAGTACGGTCGAGGTCGATGGATTTCTGGTAATCTTTAGCAGCCTCGGCGAATTCCCCGAGGATGAAGTGAAGCTGGGCACGGTGGTAGTAGATGTCGGGATCATCCTTGTTGTGGGTGATGGCAAGTTCGAAGTCGTCGGCAGCGGCATCCTTGTTTCCTTTTGATCTGTCAGCAAGGCGTTCAACGAAGAAAAAGGCTTAACATACCGAGTTCAAGGTGCAAGCTAGCACGCTTGATGTAGCTTTGGACCAGAGATGGCTGCAATTCAACGCTCTTATTGAGGTCCAACAAAGCGGCCTGGGCATTACCCTCGAGATAGGTGAAGGTGGCTCTCAGGTTAAGAGCCAAAGCCTCGAATTCACCCAGGTCTCCGAGTTCGAGAGACTTCTCAAAGGCAGCAGCCGCCTCCTCATAGCCATCGCCGGTCTTCAGAGCCATGGCAAGCAGACCCTTGCGAAGCTGACCCTTGCCAGATTCTTCACTCAAGTCAGCAGACTCATCGAGACCCTCCGGCAGTGCCTGGGGGCGGAAGCTCTGGAGGTAGTTGGAAACGAAGGTTGGGCTGGGAAGTTTCTTTCCCTTGGCCTCTATGATGGCCTTTCCTTTCTTCTCTGCAACCTTCTTCAGAAGTCTTTCAAGAGCAACGCGACTGATCTCGTTGGAGAAGCCGTCAATGATGCAGCTTGCAGTGAAGTCAAGAAGAGCCTCACTGAACTTCTCCAGGTGTTCATATGCAATAGCCCTCCGGTTCAGAGCCTTGACGTACTCGCTGTCCATAGCAAGAGCGGCACTAGTGTCTTCAACGACCTTCTCCCACTCCGACAGGACATTATAGCAGGCGGCACGGTTGGAGTAAAAGACAGGATCGGGCTTGCAAAGGATAGCCTTTCCGTATAGCTCAATGGCATTATTGTAATCCTTGGAGCCATAGGCCTTGTTTCCAGCAGCCTTGAGCTTGGCTGCGTACGCCTTCCTTGTCTAAAACCAGGATTAGTACTTGCGCCCCGATCTTCGTCACAGAGAGCAATGACCAACCTCTTCCGACAGCTGTGCAACGGTTTCCTCGTCAACCTCTGGAAGATCTTCGGAAGTTTCTTCCGCCTTCTTCGTCACTGGCTCTAGGAGATCGTCAGCCCGTGCCAAATGCTTGTCGGCTGGAGACGCGAAGCGTTATTCTCATTGACATACCATCTTGGACGGAAGGTGTCTTGGCCTTCTTTTCCTCCTCTGCCTTCTTCTTTTCCTTTCTTCTCTGGTTCTTGCTCTTCTTCTTCTCCGCGGGAGGAGTTTGGGCAGTTCGACTCGTATCGGAGAGGTAGTAAACGACACCCGCGCTAGTCACGACCACAGCAACACCGGCAACGGTATAAACAAGGGCCTTGTTCTCCGACACCCATTTCGAGATGCGATCCCATACCGATGCTGACGAGGATGCGGGAAGGGAAGCCGTGTCAAGAACCACGTTCTTCGTTGGCTGAGAGAATGGCGATTGGCTGGACATGATGACCCGACAGAGGAACCCGTCTTCTTGTCGCTTTTCCTTTAAATCTACAGCGAGACCAGTTAGCTTCCTGGAGACGATCGAGTCAAATTGAGGGCGGCAGGGATGACGGACGGTCCGGGGGGAGGCAGAGCAAGAGCTTGTCGGCAGGCGGACAGCTTTTCTTGGGGTTGGATGAGAGCGAGGAGAGATGCGGCTTGAAAAGTTATGCGTTAACGATGTTCAGGTTCCGGCGACGCAGCGGGCTTTCCGAGCTGTTTCGGGCCAATCACACTCGCCGCAAGGGGATGCTCCGTCAGCTCCTGGTTTGCTCCACCGCATCATCGGCCTCGATTGTTATGATTTATGATGGAGAGGCCCTCATGCGCTTATCTTGCTCCGGCTGGATAGCGATCGCCAGATAGTTCATCCTGGCATCAATTGCTCATCCCAATCTGGTATACTCCCTTTTCTAGTGCGTCCCCTAACCTACCAAGGTACAGCCTACTATTCCTGTGTCGACGGCGGTGCAGTGCTTGCCTACTACTACTATCTAGCTACCCAGCAGTATCTTATACTTGACTATACTCTCGGTCGCAATATTGCTTTGTCAAGAAAACAGGCTACAATGGCATCAAATGTGCTTCCACCGGATCTCAAGATCATCTCGTCTCTGCGTTACGATCCTGCGCTCGCAGCCATAGGCAAGCAAAGAGCCGCAAAAACCTCACCCGATGCCTTGAGTACACCGTACTACCTCCTCCCTTATCACCAAGAACGGCTCCGAAATGCAGCGACGTGTTTTGACTGGGAAACTGCTTTGGCTTTTCTGGAGCAAGGCACAAATGAGTTTGTCAAATTTCTCGACACTTTCATTCCGGATGATACCAAACCCTGGCGCCTCCGCATTGTTATGGATAGATTGGGCACGTGCGAGGTCGAGGTCAACCCAGCAACATCGATGGATCCGCTGAACTTTCTACTTCCCTCCGATACGAGCCCTCAAACCACGACATGGCTGGTCTACGTCGATACCGAACGCATAGCCCCCTCCGAATTTACGACGCACAAGACTACAGCCCGCGACTTCTACACAGCTGCAAGGCTTCGGTCGGGAATTGTTTCTCTACTAGAGCAGGCGGAAGTGCTTCTGGTAAACCCAGCGGGTCACATAATGGAGGGCAGCATCACAACGCCATACTTCAGACGAAGGAACACTGCGGGAGGGGAAGGAGGCCCAGCGTGGATCACACCGCCGCTTTCAAGTGGTGGCAATGCTGGAACGACAAGACACTATGCTTTGGCAGAAGGGTTTTGCACGGAGCGCACAATAGCAGCCACTGACCTAGTCGATGGGGAGGAGTGTTGGCTCAGTAATGGTGTGAGGGGGTTCATCCGCGGTAAAATCGTACTAAAGCGGTCTAACGACCTGCAGACTTAACGTCTATCTAGGCTAGATAGGTAAAAGGGATTTTCGGCGTGGTGTGGGACTGAATCCAGGCATATCGGCCCTTGACCTCGTGAGTCGTGAGACACGGCTTCCCTGTCGGTTATGTAAATAGGCGTGTTGGCTTACAGGCATATGTCATACTCGTAGACAGCTCATATGCATAGAGGAGTCTAGTTATCACTTAATTGCAGGGCCACGCAAGAGTCATGCTGTGCTGTGCTATGACGAGAGTCCATCTTGAGACGTAGCATATGTCTAAGGAGGGTCGGTGACTCTGCGTGGTTTGACAGTAGTGTCAATTCCACTATAATATATAACCGACCGCAACTAGAAGAGTTACTTCCCCATAGCTCACCATAGTCACCACCAGCCACCCCTAATCATCTACACAGTATGAAGGTGAAACGGTGATGTAGGGTGACCAATGATGTTGACGTCAGAAGTCCTCTTGGTTATGATCATACGAGGGATCTGCAGCGAGACTGCCATAGTACAGGGTATTATGGGGGATGCAGTGGACGAGAATATCCTTGTCTCTGTATACTAACTATGGTATAAGAAAGTGGATTGTCTGACTGGGCCTAAGAATAAGAATCAGATGATGCAACGGACCATCCGCCCTCCCCGCATTACCAATCGGGACTAGCGGGCAAGCGGCCAGAAGCTGACAGAAATTCTTCCCATTCGATTCGGAGGCTCGGGCAGAATCGTCCGGCCACTGAGAAAGGCGATTGAGCAGGCGAGCAGTTTAAACAAGCAGCATCCCCAACGCCACCCCAGCTTCAGTGCCTTTCCCCGTTGCCCCCCCTCCCAATTCACTCTGCCTCAATCCATCAATCCAGTCTGTATGAATGATTCGCAATCATGAAATTCTTCGAGAATGTCTCCACCTACGACTACTCCTTCCCGGCCGTGTCGCTGGCCTACTTCCTTCGCTATCCTAACCCTTACTCTCGCCATGTCCTGACCACCGATGTCATTGACCGCTATGTTGATCCCGCGACCCAGCGTCTCCACACCATCCGTCTCCATCTGAAGAAATCCAAAGTTCCTTCGGGAATCCTTAAGTTGCTTCCCAAGGGAATTGGTGGATCCGACAATTCCGGCCAGAGCTACATCCTTGAAACGACTATTGTCGACGCCAAAGAGGGCTGGATGCAGACAGAATCGCGTAATATGGAATGGACGGGGATCTTGAGTGTGGTGGAGAAGCAATTCTACCAGAGTCAGCCGCTCGAAGGCGCTATCGACGCGCTTGAAGGGCTTTCTCTCGATGACAAGAGAAGCGAGCAGACTACGGTACGGACAACCGTCACTTTCCGCTCCCGGTTTGGTCAAGGAAAGTTGCTAGGTAGAAAGAAGGCCGAGCCGAGTAGCGATCACAACGGGGATTACGAGGAAGAGGCTCCTAAAAGGGGCTTTTTCAGCTCGTTGTCCACGGCGGGAATCCAACGCACAATTGAGTTGATTGGGTTGAATCGTACCCGGGATGCTGTGCTTAAGAGCAAGCAAGGTATGAATGTGGTCCTTGAGCGATTGCGCAGTGGGGGCATCGTGGGCGTTCTTGAAGGCATGCGTCAAGATCGAGAGGCTATCTATGGGCCGGAGGGTGGTCCTTGGAAGCGTGTTTGGCTAGCGGGCAACGGGCATGCGTCTACTGAAGATGATGACCACTGATTTCGATATTCTCAACTACCTGGAAGGAAAGGCGATTAACACTGGGAAACATACATGCGGCATTCAAGCGTGGCGCTCTGGCGTTTGGGACATTTATTGTTTTGTTTGCGACGGACACTCTCCTATTTTCTTTGACACTTTATCACCATCACATCAACATCAACACCAACATCGGACATATGCATGTTCTCGAACTAGGTATACGACGAGCCATGTTACGGATCAAAACATTGTGTATATTAGGAAAAGGTTGGCGACCGGTCGGCTACTTTTACTGAATTCGGTGGCACCTATTGTACAATATCATCAACTTCACAATTACTTTACTTGTTTTCTTTGCACGCGTTATCTATTCTGTATCAATCGTAAGATATAATGATTGATAACTAAAGTCACCAGACTCTAGTTACTGTCTAGTATTTGCAAGGCTCCCAGGTCAGATATGTAACCCCCTACCTTCCTTGACGTCCACATAAACCTTCTTTAAATTCAACCACACGAAATTACTTCCTAACAAATTATGAACGCCAAGCTGAACCTAGAAACAGGGTCCGGGTATGAAGAACGTAGAATTCAGTAACTTGAACAAAAAAAAAAGCACAACAAAAAGGGTCAATTTGATCCCAATGGACATGCACTGCAGCCTGTAAATGTCAACCGACATGCTTCCTTACTAGACCTTTCAGTCTGCCGTAGTTTTACTTCACATTTTGAATGTCAGTACGTCTAAGATGAAACTCCAAGTGATATGTTCAAAAACAAAAGACACAGCTAGAAGATAAGTCAAGTGTGTAGGAGCAATGGCCCATGCAATGTGTATACAGGAGCTACTGAGATCATCAAAACACACGGAGAAACTCAGAGCCCAGTATGGTCTGGGGGAAATGGATGATACACCATGCTCTTTGGATCACCACGCTGTTCTAGAGGGTTTATGAGGGCGAGGGTGTCGATTCTAGGCTGACAAGTTCATAGTTTGATATAGAATCATTTGGGGTTGAAATGTCTGGGGTCAAGAGCATGATCGGCTCGACCTTCTGAATTGCCTTTCCCAATCTGACTGTTGCAGAAGGAGTAATGATGAGAAGTGTATAGACTGGCATGCGATTGGGGAGTCAGGTTGATGAAGTCATGGAGAGGTCTCCTGGTCAAGAAGATGAGGGAGGATGGCGCTTTGTTTTCCAGCTTTGTGATTAAAAATACTATAACAGGGAGCTTTGGACCGGGAGTAGAATACTGAGTGCTATATTTCGACATGACGGCATATCTCATGAGACCTTCTGAACAGGTCAACAGCACTGAATTATGTGAGGTCTGGATCAGGACTTTTGGTAGTATAGATGGGATGAATGTCTGGGATCATCAAGGGAAAACACATCACCATTGCTATTAGGCTTAGGGGTCAGTTTAAACAGAGCTTATTGCTATGACAAGTTGGTTCAAAACAGCAATGTGGACACTGCACCTAGTGATTGAAAAGGCCATCGTTTCATTCACACTAAGTGGGTTTTTGATCAAGGCCTAGTCTCAGTCCACACTGCATAAGCAAAGCTGCCTTTCTGCGCCTCAAAGTGAATAACAAGTATATTGATCCTAGTATGATGGAATCATGACTGAGAACACAGGGGTCAACAGAGAGTGAGCAAATGAAGAAACCATGGAACATGCACGTGACTGCCACCTTACTCCTTCGGCCAGATACTTCCAGAGTACCTGAACAACTTACTTTGTGACCACAACGGAATGATTCTGAGCCTTTGACACTTCGGTCATGACCAATGTGAGCCACTCTATGTTGGTAAGGCCATAAAGCGTTGTCTTTCTCAAGTTTTGTCCATTGAGTCCTCTCGGTACCCAGCAACATAGACTAAATCACAAGGGAGGATGGAATACCAACTACCGACGCGTGAGGCTCACGCTTCTAACAACCCAACGGAGGACTATAAGGTACATCATGCCCAGTCATACGACCAGAGAGCGCATTCTACAGATCTTGCGCAACTAGGCGCAGATTTTAGAATTCTCCCCGTGCCTACCGAGACCGATGACCTTGAAGCGACATATATGAAGCTAGAGGAGCTAGCTCGGGTGGTCAAGCAAGGAAACAGTCTTGCACTTTTTACGGGGCTGAAACTGGCAACGCAGAAAACGAGAGACCCTGAGACTGTGGCCAAGGCCCACCTATCACCACAAGAGCTGCAGATGTACCAGGCCTGGAAGGAGATGAGAGCGATACAAGAAACTCTCGAGGATGGCGGTAAGATCAAATACGATCAAGACAGTCAACTTGTAATGCGACTTCCGGAGTTTGACTGGGAAGAGAACGTGGCGCCTGTGCCCCAGGGCGCGCAGAGTCTGAAAAAGTTTACGCAACGGGCGGAGGCCATGGATATCATCTTTGATCACCAAGGCGCTACACCGGAGCATGCGTCGTGGCTTACGTCGAACATGGCCATTGTATTACCTCTTGTCAAGGCCGTCACTAAGGTCTCCAACATTGGTAAACACATGGAGAACATGAACAATGATCGTCATACGCGCGGACTGACAGATATGGAGGCTGCGGAAGTCGAAACGGTACGCAAACTGGTGGCTATTGCGGGAAAAAATACGAATCGAGAGATGGAGAAGATTCACCGATGGACCAGATCGATCAAGGAGTCTATGATGGTTATAAAAGCGCGTGCTGATGCTCTGGAGACGGAGAGACTGTGATGCACTTTGGCTATACTCGGCCGATTCGGAAAGAGTTTGGGAGTCAATAAAGGGTCGGACGGAGGCAAAGGACTACAGAGCTATGAGGGGGTTTCAAGGGTGCGTTATAATTATCGTAATTATATCAAATATCAACTTAGATTAAACCATTAACTACTGCTTGGTGGAGGGCGGGGGATAGATACTGAGGGGATCAGGACGGCCATATGAGATTATACTCTGTACTCTCCAGGGTTGACTACTCAGCCAATGATATGCGGCGGAATAAACGACCATGCGTGAATTAATCACCGGCAATCCCTTAACTTGGCTCCATATATTAATCAGTAGCTGAGTAGGCAGTTGGACGGAGTAAGGTGACTGCGGTATACTACGAACTTCCTCGCCATTGGCCTAAATGACGCAAGGCTCGAACCCGGCCATCCCAAGGAGCCAACACCGTTCTGATTGGACACCAGGCACATCGGATGGTAATTACAATTTACTGCGTTAGGCAGCTGTAGATAGACAAGACCCCCATGCAATTTGATTCTTTAAAGGAATCTCCACCTGAATTCGAGAGGCCAAGGCCCGGAAAAGGAAAAGAAAGGGAACAGGAGTTTGATTTAGGCTGCCACGGTGCTCCATTTATTCTCTCGAGCTAATCCAGGAATGGACCAACTGTCTCTGGCGGATGTGGAAATAGCAATACGAAGTCGACCAGGCAGCAAAAAAACAAAAAGAGAATCCACATTCTCAGCTCCGGAAACAGCTCGGTTGTCGGCGGCACACTGAAGAAAGCCAAAATTGGCACTTCGGCTGATGACCTCATCGTAGCAGAGCCGGTCAAGAAGGAGAGAGAGGGAGAGAGGACATCGTTCTCACATACTTTCAGGGTTCCTTTCTCGTTCGGAGGGGGATTCGGCTTGAGCATCAATTCGCACACTGCCTGCAGAGTCTGCACCCTGTTATCATTTGGACAGGCCGCCTGACTACCCCGATCTGTTGCACATGGTGCCTATACCAGGAAAGTTGGGGTCAAGGAATGCGGGTTTGTGTTTCTCACGGATATCGCAGACGTCATTGGGAAATCCATCCCTTCGGTGTCGGAGATGGTAATCCTACTAAGGACCATGACAGCCAGTCAGATGGGTCGACCCATCGAGAAAAAGGAAAAAAAAGAAAAAGGGGGGGATCCCCTTCTTTTCCATGCCCTCGGACACTGATAAGCCGTGCTAACCACAATCATAATAGTATTTATGATTATCATCCTGGCGGAACATACGGAGTAGTACTCCGTAGTCATAATAAAATAAATCACTCACGGATCCTACTATCTACTATCTACTATGTACTATATGCTTGCGGTCAGACGTCCATCTGGACCCTCTGGGTGGTTCAAATTCCAGGGTGTCTAGTGTCTAGTGTCTAGTGTCTAGTGTCTAGTGTCTAGTCGCTACTAGTACTAGTGAAGATGCCCGTTAAAAGCCCGAGGGGAGTGCGGATACTCGATTTTCAACGATGGGTAATTTTAGACCCAGTCAAGCTTTGGAAGCCTGGCGCTATGGTTCGAATGCTCGTTTCTTTTTCTCTGCCCGCTCCTTCTCTGAGATAAGCCGTGTATACTGTGTACTGAAGGCGTGGTATGAGGTAGACCTGTCACACGCCGAATTTACAGATGGGTTGACCTCGACATGGATGGGATGCAATCGATGCATGCAGGGCAACACACAGACGTTGCCGCAAGCAAGCAGAAAAACCTCATCAGGTGGCAACCACGGTTACTGAGACTGTGAGAAGGGGCAACTTTTAATTAATTTCGGGCTCTGGTCAAGGGACAGTGCTCACTGCTCACTGCTCACGGCATCCATCTTGACTAACCGGTGGCACTAGCGGCACTTTAGTACTGTGCCAGGCCAAGTCGAGAGCAAGCCCGAGGGTGGCTATCTGTCTTTCGACTCTCTTCTCAGTTTGGGTGAGTCTGGTTTGCTCCAAAATGGATGAAAATCAGGGACCGGGCTATTTCGGTGGATCTCCGCTAACCGGCCAGCCTAACGGTTCCCGACATCTTTCCCCCTCCCAACTCCCAAGCTTCGCTATACAATCAATTGGTATCGACCATCACGCTACAGTTCCAGGGTTTTTTGATTGTCCATTGTCACGGTGTCGATCCCTTAGAAACTGACATTTACGGAGTAATACTCCAGTTCTTCTTGATGTGCGGTAGTAGTTGTCTTCTTTCTTGCTACGGAATATTCACTAAAAGTAAATAGACTGCCAGCCACACTCGGCCATGTCATAGATCAAAGGCAAATCTACTCCGTACAGCACTTTAGCACTAGCAGTATCATGCCTGGACTTTGCGCCAAGTGGTATTTATGGGATACCTACAGTCTCGGACTCACCTTGCCCGCTGGTCGGATACCTCAGTACTCAGTAGCCACTTCATTTACGTTCGATAGTGTGTCGGAGACATGAGACCACCAGGCTACCCCTCCATGCCATTGGTGCGATATCACCAGCCCTGTGACTCCAAGTACTTGACCTAATATCTGAGTCAATGGTGTCAGGCTTCCGACATTTAACCGTGTTGGGATATGCATCTAATCACAACAACAAGCAGACCCTACCAGGGTATCTCTTGCCCTTGGCTGCATTGCTACGCCTTTCATGACCACGTTGTTCGGATCGGTGTTTATCACAACACACTATGTGGCATGAACCCTAGAGTCTGATGCATTGGTTGGCAGGGTGATTAATCCCGCGGAAAAGGAAGGATTGATGAAGTCTCTGATAAGCCGTACATACACACTTTCTGTACAGATTCTCAGTAGATTCACCGTGGGAAGACCGGCCAACCTCATGACATCTAGTGCGTGGTCTAGTAAAGCTAAGTATCAAGGTATTTATATTGTCGACTAGTTTCGGGTGTTGTTCCAGCATTGTGTCCTTTAGGCAGAACCCAGGGCGAGAGCTGGATGAACTGATTCTAGTCCGCGGCCATCTGACAGCTCAGTACAGCTCTGCAGAAATCGTTCATATCCTCTAGCGAGTAAGTCGGTGGATTGAAAAGCTTGTCCGATATTGACCGCAGGACACAAGGGATCCGTCATCCATGGGATTCCATGGAGACCAGCTCGGAAATGTCCACAGCCGGAAATCCCCAATCGGGTTAGTGAAACCTGACCCAACAGTGTCACTACTACTAGATATCTACTAGTTACTCCGTAGTCATAGCACAGATTGCTATTTTTCCTTGCCTGGGTTTATCGGGCCCAATAACTTGAACTCTGAGTGCCGATAGTTGTACGCGAAACTTGGCTGCTATCTGAAAAGAAACCACACATACACAAGCAGATGTGGTAGGAAGGGGCTCTGGATTACTCGAGGGCTTCAAGCATTGTCGATGTCACCGGAGGGACCGGACAATGGTGGTAATTATGCACGCAGAATAGAGCCAAAGGCGCTAGCTAGTGTACCAAAAAAATTGCAATAATCCGTTAGACCCGTCACCAGCCGCTACAGTACGGAGTAGTCAGAATGGATATTAGATAAGTATTATTATTAGTTAGTCGATGAACGACCAGACCCTGAAACCGGAAGAGCATTGTGTTCCCGAGCAATAATAGTAACAAAAATCACTTCAAACGCTGGTCCTAATACGGGGTTTGGTATGAACGACAGCCTGAGATACGAGATACCGACACAATTCTCAGTATCCTCATCGGTGCCGCTAACATGCCACCTGCATGTAGATAACTAGTCTCTTAAGTATCTAATGAGTAGTGAGTCTAGTGACATCTTGGACCCTGGCTAAGGATCGGAATCTCACCAGTCACCAGGTGCGACTAATCATGGTAGCGGCTGTAGAGGGGAAACTCGACCAGCCGGGAGCAGTAAGATGGGTTTTCTGGTCGTAACTAGAGGGTAAGAAAATTACCGCCTAACCCCCCTGGGGGCAGGAGTTACGATGGTGGCTGGAACATAAGCGAGTCTATTGGCCCCTGATCAGTCTCGAGGTGCGGCGCCAGTCCCGAAATATGTGTCCATTCGGCCCTGTGACTGGCTCCCTGCTGCGACCCTGGACGGGATTACCCTCCGGAGTTACCGCATTCGGTGAAAGTTATGCGGGGGCTGCCAGTTAGCGTCGGCGACCGGGCAGCGCCAAGAATGCCTCTAGGATTCTGGGAAGCCAGGGAGCGACCGAAAGCCAGGCACCTTGGGCCAATCCCCGGGGGGTTCCACACGCCTTGTTTCACGGACAAGACAACCAACACGCCCTGGAAAATAATAATCTGTCCAGGAGCAGCAGCAGCAGCAGCATCATACTACTACTACTACTACTACTACTACTACTACTACTACTACTACCACCAACTCCTGTGAGGATCACACTTTGATTACCTTATGCTTACGCCTCTGCCTCCTCCTCTTCTTCCACCACCACCACCTCCTTCTCTGGCTGTTGCTGCTGCTGCTAAATCCTAACCCCTTCTCAATCCCTTCTCCGCGACCGTGACAGTCAGCCCCTGTCTATCCGTCCACACCACCCGTTTCTCCTCTTCTCCCCCTCGGTATCACCACTAAAGAGGCCCTGGCGCCAGGGACAACTCGCCTTCCACCCGCCGGAGCCCCCCGACCCGGTCGGTTCTTCCACCATTGATCTGGCAACCTTCACCATCCTTCACTATTACTCAACGAGCCCCTCCTCGTTGTCCTCCCCATTGAATGACAAGCGGTCGGCACGCTACCTTTTCGCGAGCCTTGGACCTGATCGACGCGGTTGCGAAGGCAAGATAGGCTATATATTTATTGCTCCTCCAAGCGACCCATACCGAATTGAAGCCATTCCACACCCTTCCAGGGAAGCTCCGACCGGCATTGATTTTGCGAATCCGTCTCGTTCCGCGCTCTTTTGGATGTGTCTCTAGCAGACCATTTCTGGCATGATCCCGGCGACCGCCTACCAACCTTGAACACTTGGCCAGCCACATATACTGTCGCGAAGAAGATCTACCTTCCTCCACGCTGAATTACGGTTATGAGCATGCTCTTCGTCCGATTCACGGCTCTTTCTACATTCTTGTTGTGCCTGTGAAGCAGATTGGTACTCTTCTCAGCACGACAACCGACCGTTTGTGATACCAAATGGCCCGTCTTATTGGAATGGGGTCTATACTCCGATCTTGTCTGAATGCTTTCATGCTGCTGGCACTACTGGCTTCGCCAGTGATTGCCCAGTTTTGCTCCTTCTGGAGCGGTAGCTGTCTCGATGCTCTCGCTCAGACCGCTGTGTCCTTCACATTTCCTCCTCTGTTCGAGGAGAACCTGAACCTCTACTATGGCTTCGATGCCAACTCCCGAGGAAAAGGCCAAGAGCCCATGACCAAAGTCAGTTATTGGCTTGGATACGGTGCTCTTCTCAACAACTCTATCATCAACGCCAATCGAACCTCCGAAGTTGCCTTGCGCGTGGGAAATCTTACGGGAACGCCTTCAGGATCCAACAATGGCTGCGACGGTGTCTGGGGCTCCCAGTGCTCTAGCGATTTGAAAACATTGTTGAAGCAGGCTCTATATGGCCTTACTACCAGTGGAGATTACTACGGCCATCCTCTGGATACTGTGCTGAGTGAGATGCTTGTCAATCAGCCCGTCCTGTCTAATTGTCCTCCGCCCCTGTTCGACGTTGCTGCTATTCCTTCGATCGGTATGTTGTCTTCTGCTTCTGTCCTGCCTTCCGTTCGCTTTTCTTTGGTACTGATTCAACAAAGCGTTTGCCCAAGAAACCGATACCGATCAGACTGCGACCCTTCAGACTTCGGGTTCTAGCAACAGTCCGTGGAAGACATGGTTCATTGACAACATGAATGCCAACGACCAAGCAGCACAGGTTGCGGTGGCCATTATCAGCAGAGCTCCATCATATAACAGTATACCTCCACAATATGTGGATGATATACAAGTAGAGCTTGTTTGCACACAGGCCCCATCCACGGGGAGCTCTTCGTCATCCAGCCAGGGTTCCTGATCTGCGATAGGCTTCGCATTTTCGTGGGAAGAAATGATACGAACGAACACATGAATTTAAATTCGCCGCCGATTCGAAAGTCGCCCAGTGGGTTAGCTGAAATAAACCCTGGTATCGATCGCATCTCGGTCCACTCGACAGGTCCATCCGATGAATGAGCCCAATTTCTGTGATATGAGGCTGGCGTGATTATGCTTCGACACAGCTCAGAGGACTCTCCTGACACGACCATCGTTACATTGATTTCTGGGTGCACGACCCCGTGATGTACTGAGGCTGGATCAATAACACATGAGCAGACTGTACCCTGATGCTGCGACTGAGATACTCCCATCAGTTACCGGGAGCCAAATGAAGACACGTGCGAGACACGGACTTGCAATCACGGACTAAGCCGTCTCTCTGGATTTGATCCCATGCACAATTCAAACTCATGCTCCGCATCGCTACTAGTGGCATAGTCCACAAGTAAGCAATCACCATCTATATCTCAAAGGGAAGAAGAGGACCAGACAAACGAGTATCGCATGTATGCTACTGGAACGTCACAGTTTCATAGGGTATATCAGAGGCTTGTGCACTCAGCACAAGCAGGAATATCTACATCTCAAATGAAAATAAACACTGTTTAAACCCCTCGCTTCAAAGTTAGACCCTCCTTGAGCTTTGTACCCCTCTCGCAGCGCGTATGCCTCCGTGATCTTGCACCTCCTATAGTGTTGGCCAGCTCAAGTCAATAGGCTCCAAATCACCCGGTCCTCGAAAGTCCTCCAGAATATCTGCTTGTTCGCTCAGCAGCTTTCGGTCCGTTTGACTGCCAATCTTAGCCAGCTCCCTCCATCTTGCCAGATCCTTAGGGTTCCGTTTATCGCCGTGCGCCGCCTCGCTTTCCTCCCAATGACCTTTGGAGAAACCGAGCAGGGTGGTGATGCGCTTCCGCGGGATATCATACACCAACGAGCATATTGTGCCAGTCTCCTCGAGCCAATTGCATTGCCAGAGCTCGCCAGGTCGAATGCATTGGTATGTTGCCGTTTGGAAGTTCTTCCGGCCGGCCATGGGACCACCATGGATGGCATAGACGATCCGGTCCTCGTTATAGAACCACATCTCATAGCGCCATTTTTCGGGCTTGCCCTGGGCGTCTTGTGCGGCATAGTCGTATATCAGGTGCCGGTCACGAATATCGGCATCGAATGTTGTATCTTGCAGGGCAGGGAGCACGGGCATGACGAGTCTCGGATAGCGATTGGATAAGTTGATAGATGCGAATGAAGAGTGAGATGAATTAGTCTCTAATGAACCACTAATACCAAGCCTTATGCCTTGAACAATTAGCATCATGATCTTTTAGTAGTTCATCTCGTTGCCGTATAATCCATCCGAACGCCAGCGATGATGACATCATGACTGATCGAAGGGAGTATAGATAATTACTATTTTTGAGCTGCAAGTTGGCTTAACATTGGGACTTCCAGTCGCCGGTGAACTCTTGGATCCACAGCTGAGGATGAGGTGGCGGATACTTCGGCAATAGACACGCTGGTTATTGTTGGTGTTATACCGAGGTCCTTTTGAGATACCGAGGAGTGTGAAGTGATTGTATAGACAGAGATCTCAAATACATGTCTCGTAACGACCATTATTGCATCCCATAGATTAATAGTTACAGAGGCTTGGCCTTCACGTGCCGCCGCCAGCCTGAACGGGGAAAGAGCTTGTCTTGGACGATCATCAGGCACCCAACGTTGATCCTCTTCCTCCTCTGGTAGGTGACATGAAACGAGACCTGTTGGCTTCCTCGAGCGCTTGGCGTTGTGTGACTGAAAGTATACGTGCTCAAACACCTCGATGCTCATGGATGGCTGAGTGAATCGGTTGAGTGTTAGATTGGGGTCGATGGTGGCTTTCGACAGACGTCCTTAATACTCGCATTTCGCGACACTGGTGAGAAATTATTTGTCCTTTCGCTTTGTCTATCGGGTGAGATTGCATGTCGATGATAAGGTGCTAATATATCCTATGTCATGAAGTGTTTCTCGAGCCTGATATATTGATAAGTTGGCATTGGCTTCACGCATCCCAGGACTTCATATGTGTGGGCCCTTTCTGGCTATTTGAGCACAACCCCAGATTATCCATCTAAGACATGTCGTTGGCTGTACGAGATGTGACTCGAAACACAACATCGAAAACAAAGAAGGTAGAGGAAGATATGAGACATCCCGACTCCACTGCAGCAGCAGTCCGCCAATGCAAGATGCAGATCTACTAGAGATATTTCGATCCCATTTAACCCAGTTAATATAGGGAGTACAGTTCTGAATCTATTCAGCGCTTATTTTATAGACATGTTGACAATCAACGGATGATTTATCACAGATCGTCCTGCTATGGTCTAGACGACCCAGTGAGCAATACGCATTAGCTACTGCGTTTATGCATAGTGTATGATGTGCCGAAGCACCCCTGCATAACACTGGTGCCAATTGAATTTTCAAATACAGGAACCACAATCCAGCCTGATGATTCGATACCCAATCCAACAATCAGTGTTGGAACAACCACAGGTGGATTTTAGATCGGGCTGGGCCTTCTGAACTCTCGGTTGTGGTTGTCGTACCACCGGCGCTTAAGTCGGGCGGACTATCCGTCGACAGATAGGCAGGTGAGCAGTGAACGTCTGTCTGTCTCTTGGCCTGATTTCTTTGTGAATGGCATTCATTATTTGTCACTATCCTACCTACAGAGAGCACACATGGCCTGGTGAGGTTATGGTTATTTGCAGCTAGCGTGCGGGTGGACCTCCCAATAGCCGCCTGAAGAGGATGAACAACAAGGGTAGGGTAGGGGCGACACAATTGCCGGACAAAGAAGATCACACGGCCAGATGTTGGAGGGCTCGGTTGCTGCATGCGTGGTTCCAGAAACTAGCAAGCTCTATGGCCGGGCAAAGTGCTGACCAGTCGAGAAGCGAGAAGACCTACCATTACGACGTTTAAAGTTTGCAGTCCCACTGGTTGAAGAGCTTGATGGGGGAATTACATCCCAACACAAGCTTGACTGGCGCAGCTTGCCTCAGCCCTGGGGTGACGGCATCAATGTTTCATGCCGGATGATCTCGGAAGTGACGCTGGTAGAAGACGTTGCCTGTATAGGTAGGTTGCTGCTGTAGAACAGCGATGGAACACTTGGATGAGGTCTGTTGGGACATGAATCACTAGGGCTTCCAGCAAGCTGCAGAAGCACCCAACTGCCATAGGCCTGGCACCATTGGGTATATACCAGTCGCGGAGAAAGCTAGACCGCTCTCCGACTCCATCCACCTCCCCGGCGATCTCAGGTGCTGGTGGAATCCAAAGCTGTGGTGGTGATTTCATGATTCGGGCCGGTGCATGACGTAGCAGATCCCTGCCCGCCGCATATCGTCATCGTTCGTGTCGCCCGATCATTCCGCACTTTTAAAATTGTATCCTCGACCTTTTTGTTGGTCCCCAATTTATCTATCGGATCTGAAGTCCACTGCAGCAGATCGGCAGCTCTCGATATCCATTCCTGGTGGCTGGGAAGGTCCTCTCTAGATCGCGATCAACCATATCAACAGAAAGACAAAGCAGACAGGCTTCTCTCTTTTCAGTCGCAACGCACAACAGACACATCTTGAATTATCAAAATGGCCGCCAGAGGAATCCAGCTCGGCCTGCGGATCTGGGAGGTATGTCGTCCCTCTGGAGCCGGACCACCTGCTCTTGCTAGCTTCGCGATCAAGCGAAGCATCCGGCACTCTGGACTAACAGCTGAGAATTGCACCAGTTCATTTGGACTCTGCTCATCATGGCACTCGTCGGTAACATGATTGCCGAAGCATTCGCTGGAAACCCCGCGACCGTCAACTACGCCATGTTCGTCTCGGCATTCTCGATGTTCACACTCTTCTATCTAGTCCCGTCGTCGATCAATATGGACTGGGCCATCCACCCAGTCTTCGTGATCGTCATCGACACGCTCAACGCGATCTTCTTCCTCACAGCCGGTATTGCTCTGGCCGCGAAATTGGAATGCCACAGCTGCAGCAACAATGTATGTTTCGGGCATGATTTTCTGCCTTATCAGCGGGAGGGAGAGAGAAAAAAGTGGAGAGTGGAGTCTCGTCCCGGGATTCTCCAAAATGATATACATTTTAGGGCAACGCTAACTGTGGATACTACTACTCCAGGCCTACACGCTCAGCAACGAAATCACCAATGGATCCAACAATCGCCAGAAGCGCTGCCGGGAGGCTCAAGCCTCGACGGCATTCCTCTGGTTCGCCTGGGCCGGATATACCGCCTCGATGGTTCTTTCAATCATCTCGTCCCGCCAGACTGGTGTCAACCTCCGTGGACGCACTGGTCCTGCCCGTGGAGTCACTCGCCCCAGCATGGCCCAGGTTTAAACAGTGTGGTCCACACTACCAAGGATGATACCACTTCCACCTGGACTTTGGATATACGACATGAAATCAAATAATGCACGGAACTGATCTGAATAAAACGAGTGACGAATCTTTGTCCAGGAGTACAACCACGAACCAATCAATCAACGCAACAAAAACGATATGGATTGCATCGACCAATGGTTCTGGTTTAAGGAAACCAACTAACCCCCAATACTATCTTTCATCCGCGACAGGACATGTCAAGTCCGTGGCGCTAATTCACTATTAATCTAAAAAATAATCATGGGATATTTGTTTAGGAGATGGGGCGGGTAGGGGTCGTCGGGAGGGAGTAATATTTAGTTGGGAAAGGAAGGAGTTGTTGTAACCGTATTATTGTTCAGCTGCTACCATGTATGGGATAGTCTGTAATACTGAAGCAATCCAAATGCTATATGCTTCTTCAATATCAACATCATGGAATATAATGTAGGTCACTACTGACTTCCACTCTATCCCTTGGAAGATACTAGCTTGGTGCGCTGGCGTGAATCTAACCAATTGCAGAGGATTCGCCGTGCACTGAACCAACCTGGAGAATCAGTGCTGCATATAGCACCGTACCACCGACTACATTCAGGATTCTTCCAAGATACTGTGAGGACATGCGACTCGTTTTCAGATTGTGCTCTTTCAATATGGAGCTTAGCAATCAGCAACTAGGTACCTCGATCATCGATTAACAAGACTAGATAGAATAGATTGAGCATTTCTCTTAGCCACTAATAGAGGGCCAGCTGCCACAGGAGATAGATAGACTTAGGAGCGATAATCAGAGTTGGGCAAATGACTGCTCAAGCTGTATGTTTCTGTGCTGTAACTTGGATTGTAATTTACTTATTTTGGTCCTTGAGTTATGTATGAATGCTGTGGCTTCGGTTTGCTCTGCAAAGTGATCGGGGTGGTAGTCCAGAGCTGAGGTGTAGTCTTTAGGGCTTAGCGGATGTCCAAAATCTGTATATATATATATATGTACTATGTGTGTGTCCTTGGTTGTTCCATGGACGAGGATCAAGGCGAGGCGATTGCGAAGTGGAACGCGGTTTACAGTCGGACTTGGATGTGCTGATATATGTGGGGTTGCATATATTGTTTATCATCTTTGCTGATATAGGGTATTAAATAGGGATCTGATGGTCTATAGGCGGTCGAATCTCTATTAGCGCAGGAACTCGATGAAACCAAAGAAGTGAGTTGGATAAGGGAAAAGAAGAAATCATCACTAGGCAGAAGGCTTGAGGTTTATTGGGTGTCTTGAAAGACAGATAAAGAGCTGCTACTAGATACTTGTTGGTGAGCTAGGTATGCATGCAGCAGCACTATGTAGGGGAGATGATGGACTTGCATGCAAGTCAAGGGGCTATCTACCAGGCGATAATAACAGGCCTACCTGCCCCCTATCCCTTTCCTCCCATATATTTGAGTCCAATGAATCCGCTGAACCCCGCCAGCATCATGGTCCAAGCCGTGGCCGTGACAGCCCCCGCGACAATGTCGGTGGTGGGTGACCGGCCTCGACCAGTCCTCCGTGACGACTGCATTCTAGTCAAAACCGTGAGCGTGGCCCTCAACCCCACCGACTGGAAAACTGTCCTCCGGAGGAACCCCACCGTCATTGTCGGCTGCGATTACTCGGGCATCGTGGAAGCCATCGGTCCCGACGTCAAGAAAGCCTTCCGGGTCGGGGATCGCATCTGCGGGACCATCCATGGCTGCAACCCCGAACACCCGGACGACGGGGCATTCGCTGAGTATGCCCTGGCACTCGGAGACCTTCAGATGGCCATCCCGGAGCGACTCAACTTCCAGGAGGCGGCAACCCTAGGGGTTGGCCTGCTCACCATCGGTCAGTCTCTGTACCAGAGTCTGCAACTCGCACCATTAGACCACCCACTTACCCAGCCGGAACCCATCCTCATCTATGGCGGTGCTTCGGCCACAGGGACCCTTGCAATTCAATTTGCCAATTTGTCCGGGTATAAGGTGATTACGACATGTTCGCCTGAGCATGAGGAGTTGGTGAAGAGTCGTGGTGCTGATAAGGTATTTGACTATAAAAAACCGGGGGCGGCGGAGAGGATCCGGGAGTATACTGAGGATCGGTTGACCTTGGTGATGGACACGATTTCAACGGAGGAGACAGCGGCCTTTTGTGTAAGGGCTATGAGCACGCAAGGGGGCGATTATACCGCGATTTTGGACGTCAAGGTGCCCCGGGAGGATGTGAGAAGTCGATGGACACTGGCATACACGTGTATGGGTAAGGAGCTCACGTATCGTGAAGTCACCATTCCAGCGAAGCCACAGGACCGGACCTTTGCGGAGGAGTGGATGGAGACGGCAGTCAAGGTGATTGCTGATGGCAGGGTTGTTCCCCATCCGGTGAAGTTTGGCCTAAATGGCTTGCAGGGAGTGATTGAGGGACTGAGTGCCTTGAGGGAAGGGAAGGTCCGGGGGTGCAAGTTGGTATACAATGTGGACGAGACTAGTCCATAGGAGGTTATTGCAACTTCTACCGGTGGAGCGGTGATTGACGACGTACTAGATGTATTCTATGATGAGCCGAAGGTGAATCCTTACTTCCTCGAGAGTGACAATGTCGTAGTGCAGCCGCATCGAGGGGGGGGGGGGCTTGACGGACATGGCCTTTCAGAGGGCCGAGAAAGAGTGATTTGAGAATATTAAGGCATTATAGACTGATGGGAGACCTTTGTCTCCAGCTGTTGACTTGGGTGGGAAATGACTTGACGCCTTGAGATGGGCGGCATTGAGTGGCTTCCATTTTTGGTAAGCCCTCTCTGGGAACGTCACGGGGATCGGGGCATTTTCCCTCTTCTTTCTTCTCTCTTCTTTCATTCTCCTCCCTCCTTCCGCTCTCCACCAGGAGCATCCTGGCTCGCTCAGATATGTGGCATGTAGCCCAGCGGTCTTTAGAGATTGCTTCATAATCATCCTTAATTATTCCAACTAACATTATGCCCACATTTGATATCACCCCTGAGAACCAGCCACCCACACGACCAAGAGGAAATGCCATCCACAACAAGCAACAGTGAATAATCAAAAAGAAACAAATCCAGCAAAAGCAAAGGAAAGGAAACAGCGTGGTATCTTGCAAATTTTCGATCCGACCAAAGATCTACCCATCCCCGTTCACATGATTGACAACTTAAAATCGGCGCTTTGAGCTCGCACTGTTACCATTCCTGTTTTTCGCACCTTATCATTTGCTTTCCCGAAATAACGGCCCGATCGGAAACTATGCTGGTGTTAATGAGAGTCGGCATTAGAACAATTCTTCAATCGACACCTACCTCCAATGGAGATTGGCACGCACGACATTCTGTACGCCTCGGATGTATTGTTGGACGTCAGCATCGACCCGCTCGCCCCATGTTGGCAGCTCTGCCAAAGCAAGATACCAATCTCGATAGCGCTCGATGAGCATATTTCCAACATGGTCGAATGCCATCTGCGCTGGCATACCATTGTGACGGCAGATGGCGACCAGGTTATGGGTTACGCCTTCTTTCTGTATCCGTATGTGAGTAACATGCGTCGGGTCTTGCATTATCACCGGTCTTGGAAATGACCAACCTCTTCTTTGCAGTATGAAAGTATATCATTTTGTCTAGGATGCATCAGTAAAGTCCGACTTTTGAGCTTGGGACAGCATACAGTAACACGAGATCAATGCCGATCCTCTCAATCTCCTGGATGCTTTTACACTCGAAGACAAAATCCGGAATGTCGAGTTTGTGAGCATATCTTTACATGTTGGCATTAGCATTTTCAAACAGTAGGAACACAGGCGATAACTTACTCTACCAATGCAAAGAGGGGCGAAACGCCTGCAGACCGCCGGCGTAAAGAGAGCATCTCTTCGAGTGAAGGCAACTCGCCCTTGAAGCAAGACCGAACTTGGGCCATACAGCCAGTGCAGTAGTTGTTCATGGTCCTTGCAAACCTGCGATGAATACCTTGCAAAGGGTAAGCCAAAACTCCAGAGTGCATAACATAATGATGAAAACATACCGATTGGGCGAGCCTATAAGATCGTTGAATGTTAATGCATGTCATACGAAGGAGGAGATAATGGACCTGCCTTAGCAATTCGATGCGATACTGAGTTATGTATACGGACCAAGGGATTGTCTGCAGGAACTGGTGACTGTTCATTATCAACCATGCCTGCCCGCAGACTGTCGATCATGACTTCGGCCCTTTCTGGGTCATCCTTGAGTCGCCCATTATCAAAGACTAGAATAACATCTCAGCCTTGATTAATATTGTGCTCGAGGGTTAATACATACGGTCATCAAATGGGAAAACCTGCTCGTCGAGACATATGGATTAGTGGACTCCTCCGCAGTGTGATAGAAGGGTCGTATGTGTGTATGGAACGCACCCAGTTTCCCCAGTCAATGACTGTCCGCAACTCCTCGGCCTCCACCTCTGGCATTGCTATGGAACAGAAATAGGCGAAATCGGTCTTGTGAAGTCGTCTCTGGGCTTTTTCATCGAAAGAACATTCCCTGCCACGATGATGTCCGAGTTAGAAAGAGGATACGTGCTTGGGAGATGCTAGTTACCTCGATACCCATGCCTCTGACAACTGTCTCACACACTCATAGTGTTGATTCATTGTTGGTTCGCCCGACAGGAACAGTACGAACATCCCAGGGAGGCGGATGGTGAGAGATGTATCCTGTCGGACTACTTTGACCTTGGGCGAAGGCACACTCTGCTGGATACGTGTGACTGCCATGTTCAACTGCCACTGACTGCACGGCGTTGGATTCGATGTGAGAGAGAATGAATGAAGCAACTATGTGTATACCTGCGATGGGGATTCGGACAAGAAGTCAATGGGGCGACTCCACGGTACTTTATATACACGCAAATGCCCCGACGTACTTTTACCCAGCCTGGCAACAGGATCATACTAATGGCCAGGATGACCTTACAAATGGTCGGATAATGGTCCAGACCTCGGGCTTTGGTGACGTCTTGGGTCCACAAGATCATCCCATGCTCGCGATCTCCATTCCCAGTCCTCAAATTTCAATGGTGCCAGAAAGGAAATGAATTAAGGTTTCGATTGGTAACCTGCAATACCGGAAGTCAGCAAGACGGCTGCACTCGCTATACATCAATTAACCTTGCGAGGTCGACCGCTACCCAGGCTGTGGAGCTAGTGCCCGTGGGTTCTCCGTCGCCGCTAGGGCTGGAGGCTTCACCGAGCAATGGCCGGTAGGAATGGCCACCAAGGCGCGGTATGGGTTTGACGATCCCTGCCTGAATGCCTCTGGAGCTCCCATTTGTGGCCTCAGGATCTTTGACGGCTGATCGGCCCGGGGGTCGGATCTCGTACTAGTTCCCGGGATTTAGCACGGTCTCCCCATTATACTCTTGGAAACCTCTCCCGGAGGGTTGGCTAATCTGAGTACTAGCACGATTGGGCATCATGATAACGGGGCCCAAGGTTAGCGATTGGCGCCTCTAGGTCTGAGAGCTAGTCCAGCTTGTTGCTTTTTCCTTCACCCTCCAATTCCTTGCTGGCCCATGTTCACTGATCGTCGGTCTGGCCATAGTGGAACGATCACATCTGATCGCGATCCTGTCATTGGGTCTCCGCCGGGGCACCGGGGCGGGTCCCACGAGGTGTCTCGCCTCGCAGCCACGGAATTGAGCTCGAATATCCGCCCGGAGCAGGATCATTCGTTAGTAGCTTCCACTATCGCGTACCAAAAGGACGGGTGAACGTGAGGGGTGGCTAGAACCAGGTTGCTTTTGCCATGGTGATCCTGGTGGAGGTCAGAGCCATGGCATGGCTGGGCTACGCGCTCCCTTCAGATACATGGTTTATGCAATGCGATGAGATCCCAGCTTGGTGTCCTGGACTGCGCTATAAATTCTACGCGAAGGGCACGATGAGCCGACTATCAATGACTTGGCCTTGCTCTATCAGATAATCGTTCTTTTCCAAATCTCGCGAGCATTACTTGCCAACTTATTGCTATGGCTTTCTCCTCCCACCCGAAACCTGGCGACAGGGTCAGCAGCTGGGGATACTCCTTCACTTGGACAAGTGACCATCTCCGCAAGGAAGAGATCGAGCCGCTACGGCAACAGTATGATACCTCTGCGGATATCGTGTTGGAGAGGCTGCAGGCTATCAGGGCTACCCTTATGGAAGAAAGTAAACTGAAAGGAACCAGCCCTCCGACTAATGATCTCTACTCCCTCCTACGAGACCACCGTGGGGACGACGAGATCCTGGTTAAGTTCTGGACCGAAGTGAACACGGTGCCCGACTGGGTGGACTGGGAGCAGCTGGCACGAGCCCAGAGATTCTTCTATCGCTATGCCATTGCGAACATCGTAGGGTTCGCATTGCAAGGGTTTGTGGCGGAAAACTCGGTATGTCCTTTATTATACAATCCCAGCAAATTACGGGTCCTCTAATGATGCTCACCAGGCGGCGCCGGGGGTTGTTGAGGTCCTTGTTCGAACAGGAGGCTTCTCCACCCGTATGCTTCTTGGAAGACTGCTCGAGACCTTCCAATGGTTGATTCAAGTCACCCATTGCATTGCCTCAATCCGGCCTGGCGGGGAAGGGCACATCGCAACCATCCGGGTCCGGTTGCTCCATGCTTCTGTACGCCGGCGTATCATACAGCTCTGTCGAACCAGGCCGGATTACTTTGATATCGAGCGCTATGGGGTGCCGGTCAACAATTTGGACTCCGTCCACGCCATCAGCATCTTCTGTTGCAACCCTATGTGGCTGCAGCTACCGAAATTTGGGATTCAACCTACTCCAGATGAGGTCAGAGACTATGTTGCGCTCTTCCGGTACCTGGGCTTCGTTCTGGGGACTCCCAATGCGTATTTCGAGACAGCCGAGAAAAGTAAGTGCACGATGGAAAGCCTCCTTGTGCACGAGCTCTGGACTACGGATACCTCGCGAACGGTGGCGTTCAACTTTGTGGAATGTGTAACAAACTTGCCATCGCCCTTCCACATCTCCAAGGCGTTTATTGAAGCCGGCAGCCGGTGGATCAACGGTGACGAGTTGTGTGACGAGCTCGAGCTCGGCAAACCCGGCCTCCTTGCCTATCTGTCGTTTTCCGGTCATTGCGTACTAGTTGTGGCTCTGGCTTGGCTCCAGCGGCGATTGCCCAGTTTGGAAGAACTACTGATTAAAGTAAGTTCGGTCCTTGTCTCTATCACCATGCATGGATTCTAATTTGCATGCAGTCCCTCCGAAGATTAATGTACGGCGGTGTCGTACAGCGAAAGTCTCGCACCCGGTTTGAGTTCAAGTATATCCCGCGGACGAACAAGCAGACTGGGAAAGAGGCATATAGTGCCAATGCTACGGCTATGACCAAGAGTGGCAGGATGTCTCGCGCGGTTTGGTCTACTCTGTTTGGGGCCCTAGGGGTGGGGCCCTTTGAGATGGTGCTTCTCTTTGTTCTTGTTGTTGCTGGGGGAGTGATGCTGGGAGGGGCGCTTGGGGTTATGCAGATTATTCGCGGGTGCTACAATGCTTATGCATGAGATGCTCGATACTGTGAGGAGGGGTTCATGCGGGATGACTATGCTGATGACGATGCTTCTGGGGGACGGGCCCCGTCGAGTTCTCAATTGAGCCTCCTACATGAAAGGAATGGAAGTTTGAATGAATGGCCAAGTGTGTCGTGTGATGGCAAGTAAAGCAGTAGATTCCTTGGCTGTAGAGAAGGAGGTAGGAGGGTGGGCAGGTTTGGAATCCCAACAAAGCAAGGCCGCCACTGCGCCCCAACCGTGAAGCCGACTATCGTGCACACTAGACACGAGCGCGGAGGAGCCGGCCCAAAGCTAGGGATGCGCTAAGCAACCGTGGGGTAAGATCCCTGCCACTTGCATGTGTCGGAAGATCCTCCCCAAAAGCAAAAAAAAGCCTCTTGAGCGCTTCCCGGTTTTCGTCAGGCCCAAAAAAGCAAGGCCTGCACCGCCACCGACTCGTGCTCCTCCGGTAGATGGGCCTTCCTCCCGCTCCCGACGGAGCGGCTGAAGGAGCCAGACGAGATGTATCATCTGCTCGCGTCCCAATTTCCAGTGCAGGCCCGTACTTTTGGCCCACCGGTCCTCAGGGCGAGGCGCGCTAAAGGGGAGGGGGCCCGATCCACTGTCAACTCAATCGCCCTCGTGCTGCATTGGGATTACTGGGTTGGACTAGGTACATCTACACAGTATAGGGCACGTCGGAGATACCCTCCCGATGCCTAGATAGCTAGAAGTACCTTTCCCGTCACCGACACAAGGCACTGGACTTCTGTTCAGGACTTCTGTTCAGGCCTTCGTATTCACCCCATCCCTTTTGCCCTGGTTCTCCACTTTGGGTCTCTCTGTGCCCCGTCACCGTGATCCTGGAATTTACTGACATGGTCAGAAAGTACTCCGCATGGGGACACATACGTTGGAGGTCTTACCCAGATGGGGACCTGCATCCCTCCAGTCAGACACCCTCTTGCACCGGATATTGTCCCCGATGCTAATCAGCGTCTCGCGAACTGATCCTCCTGAACTAGGTTTTCGGAACCATGGCTTGGGCGTCAATCTATCGGCACGATTAAGTTGTGATACCTGCGGCCGATATCTATTTCAAATCCTCCTCGTGATGGATGGCGTGGGTGGAATGAGTGGCTGAGCAAGAGGCGGATGGAGGAGGTCGATGCGGTCTGATAAGATGGGATGCCCTCGTTTGGGGATTGTGATTGATCGAAAACCCAATCCTAGATGGTATCTAGTCGGTTTCTACCTCATTGTGGCGTAGAGGGTTTCCAGTCGAGGTAGAGACTGGACCTCGATAGTTCATTCATTTCCCCCTTCTCATTCCCATCCCCAGTCTCATCCATGCCTCTTGCTACTCTGGGAAAGAGGGGGAAACAAAGAAACCCTTGGTGTTTGAACCTAAGATACGATACCAACCTGATGTACGGAGTATGTACTACTGAGCAGGGGGGAGGGGGGGGGGGTAGTTACAAGTTGAGTACCGATAGTCCGTCGGGTTTCAAGAAGGTTTAAGGGAGAGACGGACTCGCCCGGACTCCGATGAAAGAGGTCAGTCTCGTACCTGGATGTCCCCTGTCGCGGAGACGGGGACGGTTTGGAACGTGTCATCTTCATATTGATTGAGTTCGCATTCCGGGATATCCCAGCTTCAGACTGGATGATTACTCTGTTGGGATGCATACATTGGGTTTTCTGCACGGGCGGGGTTGTCGGTCCTTTGTTCAAATGAGCAATGAGCGAAATAGGGAAAAGGTGAGGCTTGGAAGAGGGGGTGAGATGGAAATGTGACAAAGAACTGAAGCAAGAAATGCAGGTTCGTGAGTCGTGACAGCTGTCGTGGTGGTCGGTCGGAGTTGTCTGTCAATTCTTGTCTAGTGTCTGGATGGGCCGGCCCGAGTCCAGACTAGCACTGCTGGCGTTCGTTATTGTGTGACCTGCTATCTATGGGGGTGGTGGTGTGCAGTATGCTGGTCGTACAAGGGGTGTTGGCAGCTGTATGGAGTACAGGATAGTACATGCGAACGCCTTTTGCTTTGCTGGTTGTGGATGTGATCTGCTGTCACTGCCGGGGTGCTTTCGGGTTGAAAAGACTTAATGCTGACCGACGGATGATCTAGGGCCCGAGGCATACGATTTTATACGTCAGTTGCGGTCAGCTTACTAGTAGGAACTCATAGATGCCCCCGGGTCTATGCCTTCTGACCGGAAGCAGTTGCCCCGAGTCTATTTTCTAACCAGAGAGACATCTATCTACTCCGGGGACTGTCCCCTGAACTCATCCACGATGATGGGTTTGTTGTTGTTGTTGTTGTTGTCCCGCGACGGGTTGGATATCTACAACAGGTATCTAGAGATGCTGTTCCACACCAGTCTCATCCTGCGGTAAACCAGAACACCGACGAGGAGCACCCTACTCCGTACCTTTCTTGGATGGACAGTCCGTGACTCACATGTATACTGCAAGGCTCCGGTGCGAGGCTCTCGCTCTCTCTGCCAGGAGGCTGACGCATTAGTGGTGGTGGATTTGGAGACTGGTGGTGATGGGGGATTGATGTAATATCCGGGATCGCTTCAGGTTGAAGTGAACATTTATCTTGCATCCAATTAATTGTTCTCTCCCCTCAGCTTCTATCAGATGTAGAGATGTAGAGATGTAGAGACTAGAGAGAGATATGGAGGACGACGAGCCCCTGCAGCGGGGCAAGGCCGGCGGCCCGTGCAAAGAAATTCTCCAGAGCTCGGGAGGCTCTCCCTCTTCCTCCCACAACTCCTCGTGGCCTTTCTGCCTCTCCTCCTCCTCCCCATCGCCCCTATCTATTCTACCCTCGCACAATGGCAATCCAGTGAGATTGATCCGCGGCTGCATCGGTCGGACATGCGCTAACCTCTATTTCCAGCTACTTGATCCTCCTGTCGAGGCAGGGCAAAGTGGTTCGTTTCGTGGCCCACCCAACTCTGTGACCCGGCTGGAAGCAGACTAATCGAGCAAATTTCCAGCGCCTGGCCAAATGGTTCACCACTCTTTCCCCCAAGGAGAAGGCCAAGATCATCAAGGATGTGACCCAGCTGGTTCTGTCGCGTCGCACCCGCATGTGCAATTTCCTCGAGTACAAAGGTCGGTAGCTGGTTCATTTTCCCCCTCACTCAGGCACACCCCGCAGCTCGTGGCCGACCCCCGACCGGACCCGATCTGACTGTTCGTCCTTAGACACCAAGGTCGTCTACCGTCGCTATGCCTCCCTCTTCTTCATCGCCGGCTGCGCTTCCACCGATAACGAATTGATCACCCTCGAGGTCGTGCATCGTTATGTCGAGCAGATGGACAAATACTATGGCAATGTGTGCGAGCTGGACATCATCTTCAACTTCCAGAAGGCCTACTTCATCCTGGATGAGCTCTTGCTGGCCGGGGAGATGCAGGAGAGCAGCAAGAAGAATGTGTTGAGGTGCATCAGCCAGCAGGACAGCTTGGAAGATATGGAGGTGAGTCGACATCTTTTTCTTGATGACCCCCTTTTCGGAACCCCGAGATGAGCAGGGTGATGAGGGCACGGAGCTGGGATGCATTGTATCCTCAGCTCTCTGCCCTGTTCATCGGCCTCCTGAATCTCAATTGCCACGTTCCTTTTCCGCCCCGCCCCTGTACCTGCTAGGCCCCAGCATCATGACCAGCTCCACGCCATGTCCAATCCCGCTCTACGAACCCCCTTCTTCCTACATGTCTTGTGTCCTGTCATCATCAACGTCCCGTCAATTGCCTTTTTTTCCTGAGCCAGACACCATCATGTTGACGCCAGCTAATGCCGCCTCAGGTTGAGGAAGACGTTGTCACGAAGATTATGTAGACGCCTCTCCGGCAAGCGAGCGTTTCTGTGTTTATATTGCTTGGGATGTTTCGTTTTGTGCTTTGGGCAAGCTGGGCTGCTAAATTGGCGTTGGACGTACATAAGCGTTGTGTTCTACTGTCGCGACTGTTTGCAGAGACTAATTAATACCACCATGGCTACGCTCAGGATCAGGAAACCAAGGCAGTCCTCGGCCACTTAGCGAAGGAAGGGTTACTGTGAGGAGAAGCACACTTTGGTCGGTGGGGGGGGGGGAGTTGTTCCCGACGGCAGTTGCCTCATTATCTGGTCGGCCATCCTTGGTTCAGTGCGCAACCCGTGAGGTGGGTGCGTGATATCACTGGCCGACCACCGGGGCCCCACGTGACCGGGCTGCCCCCTCGGGGCGCAGCGCGCATCACCCCCGGGGCCATCCATCCCTCCCAGGTCGTTCGATCGCTGCTGTCCATCTCCCAATCCTTCCTTTCAGCCTCCTTCCATCTCCATTCGTCTCATATTCCCCTGATATGGCGACTTGGCCTGCGATTCCCGCCTGTTAATCGCCTATACTTCGCTTCATTGCTGCCACCGTAGCAACGGTTCCACCTGCCAGCTCATTCACTCTTATCGCCGGATTCGTGACGTCTCAGGAGACAAAGGACCGGTTTATTTACCCCAAGACCTGCGGAATTTCCCCTTTCTGCGTGTCGCAACGGCCTCTGTCTTGATTCCCGACCACAGCGTCATCCGCTTATCTTTCACCGCACCTCTTATCTCACCTGGTGACTCTTCACCGCAACTCCAAAGATGAAGGTATGGAACTGGCCCTTTGCGCTCCTGTAGAGTGGCATGATGCTGACCTAGGCCCTTTCAATCAGTTTCTTCCTTTGCCCGAACTCGAGGATGTGACGAGTTCGCTCAATTTCGACACTGCCGATTGTCATATTATGGGCGGGTGCGATCTTTACACCACCAAGGCTGCTCGAGCCGATCGGAAGTTGTACAAGAATATCGAACAATCCCTAGAGGCACAATATGAATCGGTTCTTCGCTTGTCGGCTTCCCTGTCACCTCCCAACGCCTCGGACGCGGCTGCGTCGCTCAACTTGTCTCGTTCCAGTCCCTTTGGTCCTATGAGTGATCATTCGAGTCGACGGACCTTTGCCTACCTGATCGCGACATTGAATGCTAGCCATCCGGACTATGACTTCTCACATGTTTTGCGCCCGTCCGACTTCCACCGTGAACGGAACCTGAAGCGGGTCATGAACACGATCGATTCGACGCTTTTCAACCTTCGGCCGCGCGAAGCAATCGATCTGACGCCTCCATCACCCGTGACGATCTCGGGTTCATATAATGCGGGCGCGTCTTCTACGTGGGGGCCGAGAATGTGGAGAGTTATCGATGAACATATGTCTCTTAAGGAATGTTCACTTTATTCCTACTCGCCAGACGAAGACCCGTCTGATGCGGATGATGGAGCGATATGGAGCCTCCATTACTTTTTCTTTAACCGGCTGCGGAAACGCGTCTGCTACCTCTATCTCCGAGCGATCCCCATTCTCAGCCATACGCCAAGCGAGGGAGTTGCCACGCCGACGACAAAGAGAACGTTTGACGACGGATATCTGACACCCGAACTCAGCTCGAGCAAGCGGGCTCGCTACTGGCTGGGTGATGGTATTGAGCTGGAGAGTGAAAGTGACGAGGAAGCCAATGGGACAAAACCCATGCGTCCAGTCGTGGACGAATACGACAATTACCTGCTGAGCGACGAGGAATTCCGGTCCCGATCGGGCAGCAAAGGCACCGTTCGGGCGATGAGCGAGGAAATCGCCGACTCGATGGAGGTCTGATACTCCGCTTTCTGTTGACTTTCAACCCAACGGCCCTTCTCGCCTGCGTTCGATTGGCTTTTTCTCCGCGTTCTCGTTTGGGTCGACGGCTTTCGTGTGGCGTAATCGTTTTGTCTACTGCATTCAACCTGCATTTGCACCGGCTAGGGGCGTTATAATCGGCCAAGGAAGGGAGAAAGCCCCTAATTGTAATTGAACGGCTGTTGCTATAATGATGATGATGACGATGAAGTGCTGCGTCACGGCTCCGATGCAGCGCTCAGGGCAGGTTCCACGGCGGTGTTGTCATTGTTTGTTCTGTTCCTTCCTGTACTTATTACAAATTGATTGACATAATTCCTTCCTTCCAAGCATTTACTCCTGAGCACCATTATAACCAAATAACCACTTCGTACACAGTACACAGTACACAGTATCTACACAGTAGACATTTGACTCGTCTGTAATCTCCGCTCAGCGACCCCGATTGGCCCGTGCGTCACGGCGGCGGCCAAGCTGGCCTCCTGCTCCGGATCCCGACCCGATCAGATCCCCCAGCACAACACTGCCACTACTACTACAACTGCTATCTATCTATTCCCATTCCCATCCCCACCACCACCGCCGTCCCTCGTTAATATCCCACCATCATGGCCGATGACGAAGAGCGCATCAAGGCCGAGAAGCTAGCTGCCGCGAAAAAGAGGGTACGTTTATCTCCCCACCATTCCGCCCTTACCTTGTTTATTATCTGCGGGGAGGAAGCACAGCTAGCTGCCCTAGCTAGTTACCTTACTTACCCAGATATCTCTATTTGTGGGATATATGGAATGGATGGCGAATGCGCAGTGATATAGGAATGAGGTCAATGCTAATGTGATGGGGTAATAGGTTGCTCAGCTCCAGAAACAGAAAAAGAAGGCGAATAAGAAAGTGGCTAGTGTTGATATTTCGAAGGATGGTGCTGCGGAGTCGTCGGAACCTGTGAAGGATGTGGTTGCTACGCCGTCGCCGATATCGACACCGCCGCCGGTTGTAGAGGGAGAGGGGGAAAGTCCTGTTGCTGATGCTCCTGCTCCGGTGGTAGAGGAGGAGGCTAAGGTTGAAGAAACAGGAACAGGAACAGGATCGGATGAGAAGGTAGAAAAGAGTGAGGAAAAAACGGGTGCAGCTGAAGATAAAAAGGAAGCGGAAGCGGAAACTGGGACGGAGTCACCGGCTGAAGTCGAACCCATGCCTGATGCCCCTACGTCGCCGGGGCCGGAAGCAGAAGTACAGCCCGCTGTGATAGGGAGATCAGCGCACGGCAGACAGCCTTCGTTGTCGATTCAGTCGAAAATGCGGTCGTCGTCGTTCCGGAAAGGGTCTGTGTCGCAGGGTAGCGTGTCGCCGTCACCTGGGGCGATGCTGAAGTCGCCTTCGTTGCCGCCGCTGAGTGCGGATGGGGAGTCTGTGCAGGAGGTGTATCGGAAGCAGTCGACGCGGATTGAGGAGCTGGAGAAGGATAATAAGCGGTTGGAGAAGGAGTTGGAGGAGACGACGGGACGGTGGAAGAAGACGGATGAGCAATTGGAGGATCTGCGCGAGGCGAGTGTCGATGTGGCGGAGTTGAAGGATAAGCTGCAGAAGGCGGAGGAGAGGGTCGCGGAGATTGATGAGTTGGTGAGTTTTGGCTTCGTTCTGGTTTACGGTATTGGGGTGTTGTTGGTGGGATTGGTGCTAATGGTCTACGACAGAAAGCAGAGATTGCGTCCTTGCAGAGACAGAACTCGCATCTACAAACCCGCACTCATAGAAGCAATGCTAGCGTTTCTGTACCGGCCCCGTCGGAGTCTCCGCCGGCAGATCTGGTGCAGCAGTTGGAGTCGAAGTCGGCGACGATCGAGGCTATGGAGTTGGAGATCTCGAATCTTCGCGCACAGCTTTCCTCCAGTAGTGCTCATGAGGCCCAAATAGCGGCGCTGGAGGAGAAGCTGTCTGGCAGTGAATCTGCGCTGGAGAAGGCCCAGAACGAGCTTGCTGATACCAAGAGCGCGCTGACCCGCGCATCAGAGAAAGCAGTCAAGGAGGGTGTGGACAAGACCTCTACGGAGACGCTGATCAAGAACCTCCAGCGGGAGATCGACGAACTCAAGCAAGAGAAGACCGGAGCAGACAAGAAGACCGAGACGTTGGAGAAGAAGCTCGAAGCAATGGGAAACCTGCACAAGGAATCCGAAGCACGGCATCAAACCCGACTGCGTGAAACCGAGAAGATTGAAAAAGAAGCCGCTGTACTCAAGAAGAGACTGGCAGACGTCGAGAACGAGAACCTTCGCCTCAAGGAAGAACAGGAGGCTCTCCGCAAACGACAATCGGGCGATGGCGGCGCAGACGACGACGCCCTCGACGAACTCGAGGACGAGGAGCGCTCTCGCCTCCACCGCCGCATCCGCGATCTCGAAGGCGAAGTCTTCGACCTCCGCCGCGGCGTCTGGCAAGAACGCCGTGAGGAACTGGCCGGTGACCACCAACTCCACTCTCCTTTCCCGCCCGATCACCCGGCCTCAACCGCCGCCTCCGCAGCCAACACCTTCGACGACGTTGACCTCATCGGCGGAACCCCCGACCACTCCCGCCGTCGCAGCATGGCCAACAACAAGAACCAACATTCATCCTTCTCGACCGTCCTCTCCAGCGGCATCGCCGCCTTCACCGGCGGAAACACCTTCTACGGAAACCGTGCCCGCGCCGCCTCGAACCAACAACACCACCCACCCGCAGCACGGGGCAGTCTCGAGCTCCTCTCCGAAGAGAACTTCGACGACGAATTCGACGAAGCCGAGTTTGCGCGTGCCCAAGCAGAAGAGGAAGCCCGCAAACGGGTCGAATGGGTCCGGGAGATCAAGGGCAAGCTCAAGGATTGGCATGGATGGCGATTGGATCTGGTTGATAGTCGAGCCGGTGCTGAGGGCGCTGGGGTCGGGATGGGTGAGATTTTCCAGATCTAAACACCTCACTCCTCCATTTGTTTCCTATTTCTCTTCTCTTCTCTTTGGTTCCCGCCCATACAACTTATTTATCAAGTGGCATTCATGTTTTCTTTCTTTCTCTATGAGATTCACACTTGTTTATGATACCGTGGACGTGGTCTGGATTGGGTTTGCGTTGATGAGGGTTAGCTCATTAACTAACTAGCTAACTAGCGTTATATTAGCTTAGATTAGCGTAGCTTTAGCTGGAGTATTATGGCCGGCTTTGAGATCTTTTTTTAGGCGTCGATTGGATGGCATATACAGTACTCGGGAGGTGGTGGGTGCACTACTTACTATACAACCTCTATCTAGTCCACGGGTTTCCTTACTGTAACAGATGTACTGGGTACAGAATATATGGTATAAGACTTGTTTGTCATGAGGAAGTCTAAGAGTGACCTACAGAGCAGGAGGGAACCGACTAGTTACGGAGTACATGCATGGCACAAGGCAATGAATGATGAATAATTCTTTGTGGAACACCAGCACCAAAAAATCCCAGAGATGCAAACAACTATAGTATAGCCCGAGAAAAATAAAAAAGAGATATGTGACGCAGGACACCTATTTTATCGATCTCTTCATCTTTACCCCGTCTCCGTACAAGAGAAACAGCGGTGGAGATGAGAAAAAAAATGATAGTGACGATATTGATATTTTACCTAGTCATCATGCTTTCCAGTAAGCACACCCTCTGACTTTCCTCTGCCGCGTTTCCGGTTCACCAATTCTCCAACCCAGCCGGAGATCTGATACAACCAGCCACCGGTGACCATGACACCGGAGACGGTGTTGACGAGGCGAATGAGCAAGGAGAGGAAGCTGGTGCGCTCCTCGCTGATCATGAGCAGGACGGGCTCGATGTTATACTTGAAGAAGATGCCGGGGACGAAGAACGGGCTTTCGGGGAGGTCGCCGGCCTGGGTGGTGGCGGCGTATTGGTTGGTGAAGACGAGGTTCTTGTTGTTGCGGTGGGTGAGCTGCGAGGGCGGGGCGTTGGCGTAGGTGTCGAGAGCGCGGCTGCCCTTGGAGTAGATGGTTGGGACGACGGAGAGGAAGTACTGGTACTTGTAGTAGTGGGATTCGGTGGAGGCGATGGTCTTGTCGAGGGGGTTGAGGAGGGTAGGATAGTGAGGACCGAAGGAGAGTTCGGTGACCATGTGGGAGAAGTTGAAGACTGCCATTGGTTAATGCGGTGGTTCTCTTGGTCGAATGTGGGTGATACATACCACTATGATCCAGATGTTCTCCGAGGTCCCGATATCCGTGGCCCCTGGCCGTGATGTGGAAATCACCTTGGACCTTGTTGCCCTCCAGACTGCCGTAGATGCGACACGAATCGACCTTGTCGCCGCGTCTCAACTTTGGTCCCTTGGGGAACTTCTTACGTGGGTTTTTCCTCACTTCGCCGAGAACGTGGTGGATATTGGAGTCGGCTTCCCGCGCAGAGATTCGGTCGGTGTCTTCCTGGCTGAGGGTCTGGTATTCATGGGCGCCGCCATGGGTCTCGCGGTTGCGCTTGTCCATCCAGAGTTGCCAGCTAGTGCGTTCGCGTTGGAGCAGCTCGCCGGCGAGGATACGGTCGCCGGAGGCGTCCTGGATGTTGACATCGAGGGTGTCACAGGGCATGTGAATGACGACATCGAGGTTTAGTTGCAGATCGTGGCCGACGCCCTTCTCGACGCTGAAGTGGTGGTTCTCGGTTCCTCGGAGCCAGGTGCGGAATTCTGAGAAAGAAAAAACGGTGCAGACGAGAAGGATGAGGACGGTCCATTGCCCTCCACGGCTGGAAGGGGCAGTGTATGAGGATTTTGTTTTCGCTGGACACAGTTCGATGTCAGTATGGGTTGCAGCTAGAATGGTGGTCTTGTCGCAAGTGGTATACACGCGGGTGCCCCGAGAGTTGCAGGCACAGCAAACGTGGGATTTCGACCTTTGAGAATTCAATTTGAAGTAGGCTAAACATACGGAAAGCATCAAAAGTCTTCAGGCCGCCCTGCAGCTCAGACTTTTCGCCGAACGCATCCTCATTGAGGCCGTGCGCTGCGAAGCCATTCATCACGAATGCGTGTCGCGAGGTGTATGCAGTGCGACCGATCAAGGCATGAATAGGGGGGGGACAAAGGAGGGACAGAGTGCTAGTTGACCGGGGGTAGGGAGCGACAATCAATGGAGCTCCAAGCTCTCGAAGGGAGGAAGGCCGAGGAAGCAAGAGGAGGGGAGAAAGCGGAGGATTGGCGAGGAGCACTAAAGGCCAAGTAGTCCAGATGCCGCCGCGTCTTCCTCCGCAGTCTTATCGATAAGGTTAAATTACCTCCGATTTACCAAGTAGTCTACGTATTACTCCACCAGCCTACACTCTACACTCTCAGTCTACACTCCCAGTCTACTGACTCCCAGTCAACGAAATCGATGGTCACACTTCCCAAGGACAGTGCTCGATATATATGCATAGATGGTCTAAGTCATAAAATCCCCCCCCCTCCCGGTAATTCTCCCACCCATTCACCGCCTCCCCATTCATTCCCACCGCATCATCATCATCTATGCGGGGAGGCCAAAGAATAAGACATAACTAACTATACAGATGTTTTCAACACATCACCATCACCCAGACCCGTCAAGGAACACAGAACACCGGCCATCAGGAATGGAACAGAGAGAGAAAGAGGGAGGTAGAGAGGCAGGGAGACAGAGAGGAAAGGCGTATCAGATGGAAAGAGGGACAAAGGAAACAGATGCAGGATGGGACAACACAGCTCCCACGGTCATGACAGTATCGGAGAACAACATGCTCGGAAGGGGGCTCTAAAATAGAAACGCAAATCATAGGAAGGCATGCAGATGCTCAATTAAGGGTATACCACAAACCCCTTGGACGTCCACCTCGGGGCCCAAACGGTTCAAAATCAATCATGACAACGGGAGACCGAACCGCCGATGCTCCCAACCCGTTTATGCAACCTTGGAAAACAACTCAAACAATTATTATTACAGATATGCAAGAAGTGAAGGAGTAGAACGGGAAGCTAGATGGTGCTGCCCGCTTCATTTGGTCCTCTGCATGCAAGTCAATGGCCAGCTCGCCTTGTTTCATTGGGTTCTTTCGCACTTACCAGGCTGGTCGCGGCCGCCGCGGTGGCGAGGTCTGGCTTGCCACTGATACTTCGGGCTGCAACGCGAGGCAAGGCGGACCCTGGGGTATTGGCAGTGCTAATGCTGGTCCCTCGTTTCGCGGGCGTCGACGGCGGTAGTCCGCTCACAGTCGAATGGCGCTTGCCTGCAGGTATCCTGACCGGAGAAGTGCCCGAGGCGTCCCGGTTGCGGATTAGCGTGCCGGATTTGAGGCTGGTCACAGGCGGTTCGGGCAGAGGCCGACCCGTCGAAGGGTTAGACGATGTAGTTGCCCGCTTCGCCGGAGAGTGAGTCAGGGTATACGTCCTCGCCCGGGATGGCATTTTGACCCCCGTAATGAATTCGTGGCGCAGCGCGTCTTGCGGGCTCATGCGACGGGTGGGGTCCCATCGAAGACAGCGGGAGATGAAGTCGAGGAAAGCCTCATCATCGCATTTCAAAACCTGCTTGAGCTCTTTGGAGCTGGGACGACGTCGTCGGCCCTTGGAGGAGACTGTCAGTCTCGGCTTACCCAGGGAGTCGAAGAATAGCTTCTTCCGAGTACTCTTCTCGATCAAATGCTTCTCGGGAGGTCCAAAAACCTCCATGATGCATGCAAGTTGCTCCTGCTCATTTTCACCAGGAAATATGGGGTATCCGGTGAAGAGCTCAGCCAAGATACATCCCACACTCCACATGTCGATAGGCATACCGTACGACATGCCGAGAATCACCTCCGGGGAACGGTAGAAACGACTCTGAATATACGTATAGACCTTCTCGTTCTCGAAACAGCTGGACCCGAAATCAATGACCCGGATCTCAGAGCTCATCGGATGCACAAGAAGGATGTTTTCGGGCTTCAGATCACAATGGATGACCTTTTTGTTGTGCAGAAGCACCAGCGTACTCAGCATCTGCTTTGTAAACCGACGAATGAGTTTGAGAGAGAATCCCTTGAAGTCATGCGCCTTGATGAATTCATAAAGATTCATCCCAAGCAACTCGGTTGAAATGCAGAGGTGGCCTCGGAAGTAAAAGCTCTGTGTGAAATTTACCACGCTGTGGTTGCGGTGAGGATCCCATTCCTTCAGCTTCTGAAGAAGATTGACCTCGATCAGTGCTTGTTGGTGAAACCTCTTCTTGTTGCGGATGATTTTGACGGCAACTAAACCGCCCGTCTTGTGGTCAATGCATCTCACCACTTGACCGAAACTTCCTTTGCCCAGAACATCAATAACCTCATACCGATAAGCCAGATGGTCTCCAATCACAATGCTGTAGTCGCCACGATCATCATCATAGCCAAAGTTGGCTTGCGCGGTCAGATCACCAACATGCTTCCTGGCATGCTGAGTCCCGCAAAAATAGATGTCTTTGAAGTCAATGATCTCCCCCCGTTCGAAAATATTCAAATTTGCAACCCGCAGAGCCTGTGCCGGACTAACCCGCTCTTTCGGGCTGGCTTTCCGGCGCAAGTCGTCCAAGGTCCTGGCCGCGCTCTCGAAATCCTTACGCTTGCTGCCAAGCTTCCGCATTTCTTCGTCGGCCACAAAAATATCAGAGTCCACATTCGACGGTATGGGCGTAGAAGTGACTCCGACGCTCGATTTGGCTGAATTGATGATCTTGTGCACAGGCGATAAGATTGAGGCTGCAGAACGGTGGGGTACAGAGTCGCTGTCGCCCGATTCGTTAGAAGGGCTTGGCTCCAGTCCAAGGCTCTGCTCGCTGCTGAAGCTAGGGTTCCTCGTTGGTTGATTCGTAGCGGTAGACATCGACGCCTGTCGCCGCGACTTGAGATATGATGGTTTAAGCGACGGACTAGAAGTATTTGCCGTCGACATATTACTCCAAGTTGCAGAGGCAGGAAGTTTCGGTGGGAGCATTTGATCATGCTTTACAGGGTCGCCATTTGCTTCGAGCCCCTGTTGTGCTTTGGAACTGCTCCGATTCCGAGTGAAGGTGATCTTGCTGCGAAGTGATGAGCCCGAAACACTGTTGTTGTCAGGGTCCGAGGGAGTCGAAAGCTGACTGATTGTCTCAGCATTGGAAGAGAAGGCAGAGGATCGAGTTTGTGGACGAGGACCTGTGAGCTTGTTAGACTGTGTGACCTTGGGAGAACAGTCTCCACCGGCTTTCTGTCGCAGTGTATTAAGGTCACTGGTGCTCTTCGGCAAGCTGTAAGCAATATAGGGAGAAACGTTTCTTGCACCCGTGGGAGTGTTGTCGAAACCCCCCAGAGCACTAGAGCTACTGGCCGTTCTAAGAGCCGCACCGCCCGATGAAGTACTCAGCGCGAAATGCGACGTGCTGCTTCTTGCTTGGGTAAGTGGCACTGCATCCTCATCGTCCTGGGGAGAAAAGAAGTTTGCTTTGGAAGCAGTCAATGGAGTACTGGGGGTCTTGGACAGAGTCTGGGCTGAAGGGGTGTAGGATTTGACGTCATCATCCCGATCCTTCAACGCCTCAATCTTTGTCGTCATTGGGGTACCAAGAGGAAGTAGATTTAATGGCGGCAACTTTAACGGCTGTAAAGTCTTTTTCCCCAGCACACCTGATGGTTTGGTTTTCGCATCCGGCGTCTTCATCGCTCGCCCATCGGTTGACTCGAAAGTATCATCTTCGGTCGCACTCGCTGTCAGATTCGTATCCGAGTCTTGTTCTACTTTAGGCTTATGCCTGATATCCAGATACGACTTTCGAGGGGTCACGTAGTTTGGCGAATCAAAGTCGCCCTTGGGTGATTCGTACACTTTCGGGATTGCAGGCACAGGGGGAACTTCCTCATCAGCCACGTGTTCCATGCGAGGCTTGGGGGTTGGCAGCCGCGACGTGGATGAGGCCTGGGCTAGCCTGGTCTGCAATGAGCCTCCGGAATTCCTGGCGGAGTTGTAAGTGGTGTTCGATGACAGAGACAAGCCGGAGCTATAGGACTTCCGGTTTGGGTCAGGAGTGGTGCGAGTTGACGAAGGGGTCACGCTCTTTCGCGGGATATGAGATGGAGACTGCGCAGTGGACCGAGGACGAATAGGCATGGGCTCAGTTTGAATGGGAGGAGTAAAGGGCGCCTGGTGCGCTGATGGCACCGTGGACATACGTTTAATCCGTCGTGCATCAGTGGGGCTTATGGTTCGAGCCCCAAGCCCAGTAGCGTGTGGAGGCATAACTGATACCCTTTTGGATGTCGAACACGGGGTTGACATAGCAGCTGCCGCATTTTTGACCGGGGTCCGAACAGCGTTGGTCGAACAAGAACGGGAATGCTCGACCGGACCCGATGCCGTCAGGTAATTCTCATGGGGTTCTTTCAATGGTGGCTGTAGCGACTTGGCCTTGATGCTCCGGGCATTGCTGGAAAGTTTAGTACCGTCCTGTCGGGCGGGCTCGAAATGCTGCGTCCTCGGACGAAGATAATTGCCTTGGTCCAATCGTGTTGTATCTGCGCTAGCTTTTCGTGCAGACAAGCTTTGCCGCCTTGCCGATCCGGTAGCAGACAGGGAGCCGGGACCGATAGATTTACGGGGGGCGCGCGAAGAAGCACCAGTAGTCCCCGCAGGTTGGGCCAGGCTCTGACGACGGCTTCGAGCAGCCGTAGCAGAAGCTGGAGCTCGAGACGATCCAGTTTCGATGGAACCGTTGACTAGGCTTTTCCGCCGGACAGAGTTGCTCCTCGACCGCGCAGTCGTACCACTGTCATTATTGCTATTCGGAAAGTTTGGTTCGTACCCGGGTCCAACGGGAGCGGGAAAGGGATTCAGGCCTGGTTCCGCCGCTATGCTATTTTGAAGGTCGTCGAAATTAACAGGGGCGAGAAATTCAGTGCTCTCGGGATGGTTTTGGTTATTGTAGTCTAGTTTCGTGATATTACCGACACTGGTAGAACGGAGGCTGATGTGGGAATTGTTGCTTTGTGTCGAATCGTTTGTGGAATCAATTGAGGAGTGGCCGGAATGGAAGAAGGAACCAGGCATGTTGCTGTAAGGCATCAAGGTCAGACCATCTTCACACAAATGTCTTTAAGCACAGATTTGGCGCATAACCCCATGAAAAATGCATGGTCGACGGGGACAAAGCAAGCGACGGGCATTTCAAAGGAAGCTTTACTACCTTATCCGTGATGGATCCTGCGGTCGCGGGCCCTGTGGTACTTTCTGGTCTCGAATCGACAGCCTCCTCTTGCTCATCACACTTGTCCGGGTCCCAGTAGCGAGTTTGGGGGAATGAGATGAATTTTCTGAAAGGAACGGGGTTGAGGCGTGTTTTTGCAATCGTCTGCGCGTAGGACCTTCTGGTGATTGAGGGCAATGCTCGTTAGCTCCTTGATGTAAATCCACCCGCAAAGGCTCACCACTCCATTCCAATATATCCAAATATCAACGCTTACCTGATGGGCCCGAGTCATCGGTACGAGACGGACTAGATGGTCTTGATTGTACTCTGCGCGACTGCCCCTTTCCTGGTGTCTGCTGGAAAGCCAGATTTTCCGACATCCTTGAACCCCGACCGAGAACGGCGCCAGACGACAGACAGGCAGGCAAGCAAAGAGATTGGTAGCTCAAATTAGCGAAGGAACCCAAATCAGATCCCAATCGCAATGTCGTTTAGGAGTAAACGGTGTCTTAGTATCCAAACCAAGCAGAACCTTTATCAACACCGTCGCGCGACACATCAATGGTTGCTACCGGTCCATTGCGGGGATCAAGAACAGGGTGCTCTGTTCCGGGATAACGACGAGGAACCTGGGAGGACGTTAGACCATCGGAAATTCACAGCTTCGGCAGTCCTGTCCTGAGCCCCTTCCGAGCAGTAATAACAATCAAGACAAAGCTTCGATTTGCAAAGGAGAAACTCTGCCCGGGGGAGGGGGCAGCAGCAGTTCTGCTGGACTTGGCGTTGGAGAGAAAGTTACGGGCGCATATACCTTAGCAACGGATAAAACCAGAAAATAATAACGGGGCGAGGGTAAAACACAGAGATACACCGAACGAGGCCAACTGCCAGTAGGGATGAAGGAAGGAAAATATCGATGAGTATAACCCCCCCAGGGCCTGCCAGGAAGCGTAAGTGGAAGTGCAAGTGGTAGGTGGCAGAAGATAAAGAGGTGGTGGTAAACAATAATAATTCCAAGCCCAAGGCCCTCTTAACGTATCGCGAAACAAGGTGTGCCCCCCTGCTCCTTTTTGCTCTACAAAAATGGGGACCCGTTGCTGCAAACACCACAAACACTGCTGTTTTCGCAGCCAAACGCTCTGTCGATCCCGTAAGGTACTGTGCGTACTGGACGTATCATCTTTACCGCTCATGGACAGGTGATACATACATACTTACCGACTGTAATCTGAGTCCCAAGTGATAAGCTCCCGCGGCTCCTGTCCGGTAAGAGCCTAAGAGCCTAAGGTGGCCAGGCCTCCTCCATCTGCATGTGCTTCTCGGACGGTTACCAACAACCGAGCTTCGCTCCTTTCTCTCCCCTCCCTGAGTTGGCTATGCGCCATCGGAAATGCACCTTCACCTCACTCAAGCCGCAGCGTCTTTGATGGGGCACCATGGAAGATCACACTCCGGACGCCATGGTCAACCGTGATGAGCCTGTCCCGGTCGTCTTCACCGGGAAGCATGATGGAGGGTCGAAATCCGGGGTATTGAAGAGATCAGTGTCCAAGGCCGGTCGCTCTTTGCAAGATAGGCTTTTCTCCAAGTATGCACTCCCAATCAATTCTTACACTCCTAACTGCCAGGGGTATCAAACGTCTTTCCCTGCTAACTGGTTTCGACGAGGATTCTGGAGCAAGTTATGCCCGTGGAAGATGTCGATGCTGAATCAGTGTCAACCGGCGACAAGCCAATTTCCACGGACAACAAGAGGCCGGCGTTCAGCCTACCTCTGATGGCCAACAATTTCCGTCGATTTAATGCAAGGTGAGTTGGTTTCTAACCCAGAACTACTATGAAATACTAAGTCCCGTGCTAGGATTGGCATCGTTTTCCTGTTTCAGACCCGTGTCGAGCGTCTCCTCAGTTGGAAGCGGACCTCGCATACCCTTTCTTTTCTCTTCATTTATTCTTTCATATGCCTGGATCCCAATCTACTTGTGATAATCCCTTTCGCCATTCTCTTGTTCTTTGTCATGGTACCTGCATTCCTCGCACGCCACCCTCCACCCCCCTCGACATCCACCTCCAGCATCACTCCTTATTATTCATATCAGGGTCCGGCCCTTGCTCCTGCGAAAACCATCAAGCCGGCTTCAGAGACATCCAAGGACTTTTTTCGAAATATGAGAGACTTGCAAAATTGCATGGCAGACTTCTCCGATGCACATGATGCGACAGTTTCTGCTTTTGCGCCCTTGACAAACTTCTCGAATGAAAAGCTTTCTTCGGCAGTCTTTCTGACGTGCACCCTTGTGACTGCTCTGCTATTCTTGACTGCTCATCTTCTCCCCTGGCGATATATTCTCCTCGTCAGTGGCAATGCAGCTATCTTGTCATTGCACCCAAGCTTCCCTGACTTCGTTCAGAGTGTTGCAGAGGATATGCTAGACTCAACTGCGGAACAGGGTGCGGTAGGCGATAAGAAAGAGCAGGGCTCGGTCGATCTTGGCGGAGTGGTCATACCTACTTCGCCCTCTGCAGCCGTGTCCCTAATGGGGTCATTGGCCAATATCTCATTGGACTCTTACCCAGAGGAGCGGGAAGTTGAGGTATTTGAGATTCAGTATCGCTCCCTTGCTCCGTATTCCGAGTCACAATGGGAGCATTTTCTGTTTAGTCCTATGCCCTACGATCCACTCTCCCCGTCTCGCATTGCGGGGGATCGCCCGAAGGGCTGCCGATTCTTCGAGGATGTTCAGCCCCCCACCGGATGGGCATGGAAGGGTAAGAAGTGGGAGTTAGATCTGGACTGCCGTGAGTGGGTTGTTGAACGTATGATAACGGGAGTTGGCTTTGAAGTCTCTGGGAGTTCGTCCGAGAGTGGCATGGCCAGTGGGGAAATCGGGGGCTGGGTTTGGGATCTGCCTCCCCCCTCGTTCAGAGATGATGACGAGGTGGCTTCTACGTTGGGATATGATGGCCCTGGTTCGACGCATTCATCCAGGAGAGATGACCAAAGGACCAAGAAAAAAGGAAAAGAGAGGGTTTCACAGGACTATGAAGAGAAGGTTCACACTGGATCCAACGTGATGGGAGAATGGCGGAGAAGACGATGGATTCGAATCGTGCATCGAATCAGCATGCCGGCTGTCGATAAGCAGGACCAACTAGTCGACGATGATACCTAGGACAATGAAAGGGCCTGTACAGGTCATTTGAACCACAGTGGCGATGAGATGCATCCATCTAATTATGATAATATTCAGATCAGCAACGTATATGCCCAGAATGGCTGCGACAAAGTGGACATGTATGATCCGACCCACGCTAACCAGTGCAATCATGCAGGCCCACATAATCCGTACCGTAATTACGAGACGGCGGCAACGAGGCTCCACCAGCATTGATGGATGTCCTTCTGAATTCTGGCACTGCATGTTTGGATGAGTTTCTGCAGGCGATCCAATACAGAATTCAAGGGGGGTAGACTTGCTGTCGTATAATCTCACTGCCAATTTTGAAAGCAGCCACTGCGAGAATTGGCTTCTTGGGGCTATACATAGTATTTCGGTGATACTTGTAATGTGGGGAAGCGCTGCATTCGGAAATTTAAAGCCTAAGGCATCCATGGTTGTCTCGGAGGCAACGCCGATAATCCGCCGCGGCTGATAAGATGGGGGGATAAGGGATCGCTGACAGCTGCTACTACGTCCTTGTGACAGTCCCAGTGTCCGAGGGTACGCATTCTCCATTATCGTCCTCCAATGCCGGTCGAACAGGGATATGGCGCGGACTTTTCCTGCGATTGGATATGGGTAAGCATACAACATCCATTGCAAAACATCGCTTGGTGCTTTTATTAACATATTTATATACCAGGACTCAAACAAGGCACGGTTGTCACCGTGTGGCATGGGATACCTTTCTGTGATACCAGCAACCGTGATCCTAATTGCTGTGTTGAGCTATGTATCTCATAGGATATTCAGAGAAAAATATCCCCAGTGGATGAGACCCTTTATTCTAGAACAACCGATGGTTACCGACCTGCCGACTGACGGCGCGAAACAGCGGATGGGCTGGGTGGTAACTCTGCTTGCCATCTCTTTGGCCGGGTTCACAACCGAGCTTATCAGAGTGGTGTTCAATGGATGGCCATCTAATCTCTCTCTTCTCATAGCCTGGGTATGCTGGGATCATCCTTGCGGGGAGATAATATGCTGACTGGCAATTAGGCTGCCGCAACATGTCTAGTCGCAATAGCACGTCCGAGGTCATGTTCCACCTCTTTCCTCGCCTTCTTCATTAGCGTGCTAGCAGTAGAGATCGCATCTGTAACAGTTTATGATGCGCATGGGTCGATGCTCGCTACTCATTATGTAGCAGCCGTCATTGCTTTGATCGGTTGTGTCATCATCCTTACGATGCCCTTTCGGGGTCCTTCACTTCCCTGCATCGACATCGGCGGCGTTGGTCAAGAGCCATCCAGCAAATTCCGCAGCCCAGAGGATAATCTGCGGCTTTGGCAGTTCCTTAGCGTGTCTTGGATGGCCCCCTTGATTTCCATAGGCAGAAGCAGACAATTGCAAGAGGATGATGTTTGGTTTTTAGGATTCGAATTCCAGCACCGCAGGTTACACGAGAAATTCCGCAAATTAAGGGGGTCTGTCATTGGTCGATTACTACATGCCAATGGGATTGATGTTCTGATCATTACCACTATTGCCATTGTGCAGATGGTTTGCGGTCTGTCACTCGATGCGTCATAGACTGGATGATACTGACGATATTACAGACTTCTCAACACCTGTATTGCTTCAAAAATTGCTACAGGCAATGACTGATGGTGGCTCATCACATCGTGTTGCCCTGATTTATGCTCTGCTGTCTCTGCTTCTCCGCCTGGTTGCTGCTCAGTCACAAGTATTGAGCCTGTGGTATGGGAGACGGAGCTATGAGAGAAGTCGAGGTGAGATGATAATGATGGTGTATGAGAAGGCCTTATCAAGAAAGAACGTTTTCGACCAGCAATTGGTTGACAAGGCCGAGGAGGATGGGCTGCAGGAGGAAACCAGCCCTGATACGGCTTCGGACCAAAAGCGGAGCAGGTGGTGGCCATTTTCGATTTTTCGGCGAGCACCACGCAAGAACAAGATTAAGCAAACTGCTTCCATGGGTAAGATATTCAATCTCCTGCGCGGTGACGTCTATGAGGTAGCCCAACGTTTTTGGGAGATTGACACACTGGTTGATAAGCCCTTGGGACTCGTCATTGCTGTCGTGTTAGTCTGGAAGCTGCTTGGCCCATCATGCTTCCTGGGGATCGTTGCCGTTATAATTGCCCAAGTGCTGAATGCATTTGTCACTCGCATTCTTCTCGGAAAGGAACGAGCTCGCCGGGTGGCGACGGACAATCGACTACAAATCTCCTCTCAGTTCGTGGAGGCACTGCGTCACCTTCGATGGTATGGATGGCAAAATCACTGGCTGCGCCAGGTCATGGACGCTAGGCAGTCTGAGCTAAATCTTCGCATCGTTACCATGCTATGGGGCATTGTTATTCGCTTCATTAACACCTTTGCCAGCGGTCTCTTCCCAGTAGTGGCGCTATATGCGTATACTCTTCTGGCGGGGAACCCACTACGTATCGACATCATTTTCCCTGCTCTGCAGCTCTTCACTATGCTCGAAACTCGCCTGAGGGATATCCCGAGCCTCATCACTGTGCTGATAAATGCGTCCATCGCCATGGAGAGAATAGAGGACTTTATGGCCGAGCCCGATAAAGAGAAGAAAGACCGCCTTGATACCGAACCAGCTCCGATTCAGCTGGAATACTGTTCTTTCGCTTGGCCTGGAAGAGAATTGCCAGTGCTTCACGAGATCGATTTGAAGACACCCCAGGGACTGACTGTTGTGTACGGCAAAGTAGGAGCTGGCAAGACAGCTCTACTCCAAGCTTTGCTGGGCGAGTTGGACAGACTTGGTGGGACTCCGCACGTACCAAATGAGATGATTGGCTATTGTGCCCAAACTCCATGGCTACAGAGTATGAGTATCCGAGACAACATCCTGTTCTCTTCGCCCTATGATGCGCAACGCTACAAGCGGGTTCTGGATGCGTGCGCTTTGATACCCGACCTGTCTAACTTCAAGCACGGTGATTTGTCCTTTGTGGGAGAAAATGGTATTGGTCTCTCTGGTGGACAGAAGGCACGTGTGGCTCTTGCACGGGCAATGTACAGCACGGCCAGAATACTGTTTCTCGATGACCCTTTGTCAGCTTTGGACCACAACACTGCAGAGGCAGTCGCCCGCAAATGCTTCTCGGGTCCCTTGATGCAGAACCGTACTATTGTGCTCGTCACTCATAGACTTCACTTGGTTCGACACATCGCAGATCAGATCGTACTCATACAGAAGGGCCGCGCGGTTATCGAAGATAAACATGACCACTCGTCTAATGCAAGTGGCCACTCCGAAGCGAGTTCATCCGATACAAGCGAGGGTGAATCTGAAAGCGAAACAGCCCTTGCTGAAGATACAGCAGCAGTGCCGACAAAGTTCATCGAAGAAGAACATCGAGCGGAATGGGGCGTCAAGGCTAGAGTATATTGGAAATATATCAAAGCCAGCAAATACAGGTGGTGGATTACGCTCATTGTCGTGCTAGCAGTATACCGGTTCACATCAGTAGGACAATCCTGGTTTCTCAAGGAGTGGGGAGAGGCCTACAATGAAACGCTTCTACTTTTCGGATACTCGGGTTTGAACAAGAAATCCTTTGCAGGCAACTCGATAACACCATCGGCCATGGTGAACTTGGTCAACTGGAAACCTACCAATCCTCTTGATGAATTCCCGGCACCAGTTGAAGACGTCCGTCCTTGGCTGCTAGCATTCTTTGCCATCACGACGTTCCAGTCAGTAGTACTTTTGATTGCACAGCTGGTGATGCTTGTCATGGTCTACAGCGCAGGGAAAACGCTCTTCCAGGCAGTCATGGTGCGAGTGAGCCATGCTACCTTTCGGTTCTTCGACGTCACACCTATCGGTCGACTGATGAATCGACTGACCTCTGACATTGGCGTCGTGGATGGAAACATCAGTGAGCAATTCCAAATGATCGCATTCCAGGCTATCACTTGGATCTCTTCTATCGTTGTCATAGCGTCGGTGACGCCAACCTTTCTCGGCTTTTCTCTAATCTTAACGGCAGCATTCATCGCGGTTTTTCTGCGTTTCCTCCCAACATCGCAGAGCCTACGGAGATTGGAAATGGTGTCATTAAGCCCCTTGATATCTAACTTTGGCGAACTGCTTCATGGCCTGACCACCGTTCGCGCATTTCATGCAGAAGGGCGCTTCCAGGATCGAGTCATCGCAGTCGTGGATAAGTTTCAAGGGATGGACCATTTCTACTGGTCTCTCCAAAGCTGGCTAATGTATCGGTTCGAAAGCCTCTCTGCATTCTCAACCTTCTGCCTCACTGTGCTGGCCTTGTACACGAGCGTGTCCCCAGGTCTAGCCGCGTTTGTGCTTGTAGCAGCCAACAACTTCGTCGCATCCACCCACGCCCTCTGCAAACAGTATGGCCAGCTACAGATGGACTTTGTCTCAGTCGAGAGGGTGGACGAGTTACTCCACGTGGAACAAGAGACTCCAGGAACCATACTTCCCCCTGCATCATGGCCCAAGTTCGGCCGGGACATCGTATTCGAAGACGTGACCATCCGATACGCCCCTCACCTGGACCCATCGCTCAAGAACGTCTCTCTACGCATACCAGGAGGCTCTACAACCGCCATCATCGGCAGAACCGGGAGCGGAAAGTCCACTCTGGCCGTCTCACTACTAAGCGTCATTCGACCCGACTCGGGACGCATCCTAATCGACAACCTGGACATTGCACAAGTCAACATACAAGCTCTTCGCACCCGGGTTACATTCGTCGCACAAGACCCGGTCCTCTTTCCCGGTACCATCCGCCTTAATCTCGACCCAACAGGAGAGTACTCAGATACCGAGTGCGCAGATGTGTTGAAACGAATCTGCAGCCGACACGGCTGGAGTCTGGAAACGCATGTTGAAGCAGGCGGACGGAACCTGAGTCAGGGTGAGCGCCAGTTGATTGGTCTTGCCAGAGCTGTGCTGCGTCGCAGCTCGATTGTCATTCTGGACGAGGCCACTGCCTCAATTGACCATGAAAGTTCGCTTGAGATCCAACAAGTCCTGCGAGAGGAGATGAGGGAATCGACCGTGATCACTATCGCACATCGATTGGAAGCCATCAAAGACGCAGATTACTACATCATGTTGGACCAGGGGGGCGTGTCCAAGCAGGGCTTCGTGAAGGATATGTGAGTGTAGTCATGGATAGATCCATACATACATACATGAAAGCATTTCCATTATCCTATGCTCCATTACAATCAGTGAACGTATCCCCCGAACTCCCATCCCCCCTCGCTCAAGCAACAACAACAGAAACACCCTAAACTCCCGAGGCATGTTACACTCCCCTAATAACATAAAAACACAAGACGAAAAGCAACTCCCCCATAATAACAACCCAGTAAAACAACCCCCATATTCAACAATCAATACTAATTCAACCCGCAAGCCAAAACCCCGCCCCAAACCCCGCAACAAGCAACAGTACCAAATCCCACCCTGAACTCTCCAACTCGCTCGCCCCAGAATCATTAGCCGCGGTACTACTACTAGTAAGACTAGGCTTCGACTCCTCCACCGCGCCAGTCTCACCACTCCTCCCAGAATCACTCTTCTCACTCTCCGTAGCCACACCACTCACAGTCGTAGTCCCCGAACCCCGAGTCAAAAAGATAGTCGATGTGTATGTAGACAACGACCGTCTGGAACTAGTAGTCACCGTACTGTTCGAAACCACGGTCTCAAACCCAGACCCAGACCCAGACTCAGAACCATATCCCACGATAGGCGTGGCTGTAGGCGCAAGTCATCCAAGCGAGGAGGGTGTAATCCACGGATTGGAGCAAACGCGGGCTCGTTTCTGGTTGGGAGTGGGAGTGGGAGTGGGAGTGGGGTTGAGGACCTGGGAGCTTGAGCTTGAGTTGGTGTTGGATGCCAAATTCAAAGCATTAGATGCAATGGGGATGGGCGTTCCGGGTATGAGAGGAGGGAGGGGGAGTTTGGGGGTGTTCATGGTAGTGGTTGAAGATGGGTCTGGTTGCTGGGCGTGGGTCTCCTCTTCAAGGGGGGGAGGGGTGTCGTCTGAAGAGGAAGGTGAGGTGTCGTGGTTCCAGAGTTCATTCTCATCGCATAGGATGGTTTCGGGAACAGGGAATGTGGATTTGGTGTGGTTGTAGCCTGTACCGTTGAAGGCGCAGACGGCGGTGCCGGTTGGTGGGGTGGATTCGTAGCCTGTTTTTTTTGTTAGGGTTGGGTAGGTAGGTGATGGGGGAGGGTAGATGTACAGGTGGCTTGCTGTTCGTAGCCCTCTGGCAGGATGCTGGACAGCCTGTGTTGTTTGTCAGTTTATGGTTATCAAGGAGGTAGGGAGGAGAAGCATTACAGAAGATTGCAGGAACGGATTTCCACAGTGTTCTTAGCTACACAGGAGATGATGACCGAGCCCTGGAGAGAGCCGTAGACGCAGTAGCTTCCGCCGGGCTTCGAGCAGAGGAGCGCGTTGGTCTTGGGGTTGCTGTGGGTGATTTTGGTTAGATTGCTTGCTGGATGATAGGGAAAGGGAACGGACTATGCGATCTGCGATGCTGCAGTGAGCATAAACGCCAAGATGGTGGCTACGATGAGGGTGAATTGGTTGGGCATGTTGGCTTTGCTTTGAGTGTTGAGATGTTGAGGAGAGGTGGGATAGAAGGGACAAGGAGGATGAGGTTACAGGGAAGAGGAGACTGGAGAGAACAAGACATTGTAACAGATAGTTAGGATCTATATCAATATCGCGTCAGGCATGGCGCGCCTGGCGTTTTGTTGACGCGTATGTGGATATCTTCACGAGTGTGTCTGAAGCAGTGAATGGACCATGCTGGGTATTAGGGCTGTCCATACTTATTCTGATATAGTAGCACACTGTGTGGCATGTTGTGTGGCACGGGCGGAAACCAGGTAAGCACAGCTCCAAGTTGGATGGTTACCAAATCAATGTACATTAACAGTTTGCGATCTGTGCCAGACATGCGCAGATATAGTCTATCAGATGGTATAACCGCAAAGCAGTGACAGATGGTCATGATCCAACAACCCAGTCACAAGCACTTTTATCCCAAATCAGCCCTGTCGAACGCCATACTCGCCGATAGAAATGCATCAATGAAAATCACACAATCATGACTGGCTCTTCTGCCACTTGCCGATCCTCCGCTTCAGGTCACCCACGCTCTGTTGCATCGGGTTCAATTTCCGGTCGCGAGCCATGGCGACATAGTTCTCGCCGTGACGCTCAACCAGTCTCAGAATCCACTCTTCCTCTCTCTTGCTCTGGTGGCGCGGTTTCTTGGCCCTGACGGCGACTCCTTCTTGGTCCGCCTGGCGCTCGAGTTGCTGGACAATGCTGGTTCCGGTGTTTTTCTGGCGCGATTGGGCGGCCTCACGCTCATTATCCGACAGATCGTTCAATGGGTCGTTGAGCGGGTTGCTGCGCTTGTGCTTGCGTCCGGCCACTTCGACCTCGTCATCGCTGCGGATTACGCGCAAAATCTTGCCGGTCTCCGGATCACGCTCGACCTTGATGTCGCTGGTTGCCGTCTGCTTGGCGAGTGCCTCGGCACTGCTCTTGATGTACAAAGAATCTTCCGGTTCTCCCTCGACACCGTCATCGGTTGCCCGCTTCTGAGAACCACCGGACGGAGCATTGAGGCGGTGGACGAGACCCAGGCGGCGGTAGTTTTGAGTAAGGGTCAACTTGCGGTCCCTGATCGGAGAGCATATTAGCATAAGCTGTGGTAGGGCTTCCCATTTGCATTTCCGCTTTTCCAACGATAGACACATCAGGGAGGATTAAGGTCGTACCAATTTTCCGCAATGATAGCATTTCCCAAGACATTGATCTTCTTCTTGCCACTTTTGAGGAGGCCGGTTCTCTTGGCCTTCACGGTGGGAAGGGAAGATCTCTTCTTTCTGGTCTGGCGGATGTTTCCCATGGTGGAGAGAGGTGAAAGGCGGGGTGACTGGGGGGGAAGTCTGGACTGAAGCTCAAAAATTGCGGCGACAGAAAAGCATCTTATCGAAAAGCCGAAAAGTCGAGGGTGTTTGCAGGCTTTGCACCCGATAGGGGCTTGGCGTGTTTGTTGCGGGCCCGATAACAATCCAAGCAAACCCAAGCAAACCGCGCGGGATTTGGAGATCCGACAACGGCGCATTTCCTCCTCTTCTTCTCAACAACTCGGTCCTTTTGGAAGGTAGCCTAGATTCAATTCATTGCTACTATGGCGCCCTCTGTTCTTGGTCCAGCACGGCGCATGGGCCTTGCGTTGGCTGCTGGTCTCGTTCTCCTCTCCGCGCTAGCTGTTGCCCATGATGCTATCTCCGTTGGAGACATGTCAGTGGGTCAGATCGAGGAGGAGCTGCAGGTATGTCCTTCAATCCAGCAATTTGTGATGTTGCGACGCTGCATTGTGCCATGCATCTTGAAGATACTAAGCTGATACCATTGTTCAGAATTGCCCTCTCGTCGAAACCCTCAATGAGCATAAACGCGCCGCAAGCCCCCAAACCACCAGCTTGACTTCCCAGATCTTCTCGGTCCTCTTCCCCGGCAGCCCTGCGGTGAATGCTATCCTGGCGACGATCTACATCTCCGGCCCTCCCAGTATGTGGTTACCCCTCAAAGCCTATCGCCTACAATCATAACCATTGTCCCCGCACCAGACTTCCTTCTGGCGCTATGCCCCCCCAACATCGACCCCTCCTCCCTGTCCGTCATGGTCGCATTCGCGGTCGGCGGCCTCCTGGGTGACACTATTTTCCACCTGCTCCCTGAGATCTTCCTGGGTGAAGACTTCCCAGACAGCGTTCGCTTTGTCATGGTTGAGCCGAACCGCAACCTCCTCCTGGGCGTCGGGATCATGGTGGGCTTCTTTACCTTTGTCGCGATGGACAAAGCCCTCCGCATAGCCACTGGAGGAGCCGGGCATGACCATTCCCATGGACACTCTCACGGCCATGACGAGAAGCCCACTGCCACGACGACCAGCTCCTCCCCCCAACCCTCCAACGAGCTCAAGCAACGCAAGCCAACAACCACCAACGCCGCCCCGGAGCCCGAATCCACTGAGAAAGAGATCAACCCCAGCGTCAAGCTAGGCGGCTACCTGAACCTTATCGCCGACTTTACTCACAACATCACCGACGGCCTTGCCATGTCTTCGGCCTTCTACGCCTCGCCCACCGTCGGAGCAACCACCACTGTGGCCGTTTTCTTCCATGAAATCCCCCACGAGGTGGGCGACTTTGCCCTTCTGATTCAATCAGGTTTCTCCAAGCGGAAGGCCATGGGTGCGCAATTCGTAACAGCCATTGGCGCCTTCCTCGGCACTTTCATCGGTATCGTCGTGCAAGAGCTCGGGGGAGGCCACAGCACTGCCGTCGATAGCGCTAGCTCCGGTCTCTTCGGTACGAGTCTCACCTGGGGCGACATGCTCCTGCCATTCACGGCGGGAACATTCCTCTATGTCGGAACAGTCTCCGTCATCCCCGAGCTCCTAGAAACAGGCAAGGACAAGAGTGTGGAGATCAAGAAGACAATCGTGCAGTTCTTGGCCGTCATGGTCGGCGCTGGAATCATGCTTGTGTAAGCTTCTAATCCCCTCCAACCTATCCCCCATTTCCCTCCCCCTCTACTCTGCTAACATTACTTACCTGTACAGTATCTCCTGGGATTAAGGGCCCTAGTAAAAGTGTAGAAGATGATTGATAAAGGACGTGTTCTGGCGTTAGCAGATTGGATCCGACGAAAAGAAGACGACATGTAGACCAAAATACTATCTAGTACATACATAATGATGAGCAGCCTCATCACCCGATGTGTCTTATCACAGGATAATTGAAAGAATTTAATACTACCGAGTTACCATACCGAATTCAATCTCGTATACTTATCCCTGATTACCTAGACTGCCCAGAGACAGTAAAGACTAGTAGTTATTATCCATGTCCAAGGATATCATACACCGGACACCGTTTACATCCACGGAATTTTTAATCTATATAACCTATCGACGCCAAACGCACCAAACCCTATAGAATATACGATGATCCGAAGGAATGAGAAATGAAGAACTACACGCCTAAAACACCAGACGTAAGGTAGCGCACAGCGCGCGGAGACATAAACTAGAGAACCGAGCAGATAGTAAAATAAGAAGTACGGCGGTGTCGCCAACAGAAGTTGTCTAATTATAGATAGCCCTTTTTGCGTTTTCTAGTTTTCTTTTTCAATCTCGTGTGAATTGTCTCGTGGGACCCGTCACTCGTTATAATGGTATACCTGTGTTTGTGATGTTAGTGGGGAGGGTTGAAAGGTTTGGGTATAGAGGAGGGGAGATGAGGGACGTACAAAGTAATCAGGTAAACCGTATACGGCATAGCCTAACCGTTTGGCCATCTTAGCGAAGCCTTCTGTTTCGACTAGGTGATAAAATGGGAATGCGGGGAACATGGCGCCGTCACGATGCACATCCGCTTTGACCATCAGGGCAGTTCCGCCGACACCGTCGAGCTCGATTTCGCGGGTAGAACGGGGTGCTTTGGTGTTGGCCATGTAGGCCATGAGGGTGCGGTAGGTGGGTAGCTCGGCATATCCCTCGAGAAGAATTTCATCCTGATCCATTGTGTCGGCGAGTTGTTGGGCGGTTGCGCTATCGATCCAGGAGTTGAAGTCATACGGCCGGACGTCCATCTTCTTGGAATCCTTGTTGTAGTACCGCTGGAAGCAGTTGGGAACAATGACGGCCTTGTCGTGGGCTGTCAGGTCCTGGATGAGAGTCTCCGGGGTCTCGATGATGTCCGAGTCAAGCCAGAGGACCCAGGAGGTGCTGGGGCCGAGGGTGGTGAAGAGGAGGCTATTGCGGGCACGACTCATGGACTCGCGACGGGCCTTCTGGTTGGACATCTTGTGACGCTCCTTCTCGTCCTGCGACTGAATGGGCGGATCGAAGTCCTGGCGGAGGATGCTGATGCTGGCGAAGCGGCTGTCGATAGGGCCGGCCTGTGTCTGGCCGATTGCCTGTTCCAGCGCGGTGACTGCGGCATTGCCATCCTTGGTATTGGGGACGATGAACCCGATGGAGATCAGCTCGTGCGGGTAGCTGAGTTTCACCACATTATCCCAGAATTCCTGGTAGAAGCGGGCCAATGGGGTCAAGATAAGGATACGTTCCCCTTTCTGGACGGAGTCGCTGGTGCTGGTGAGCTCGTTCAGGTTATAGTGGGTGACGGGCGGAGGTGCTTTCTGGCCATCGCCGCGGAGGGCTTGGGATTTCAAGAAAGGTTTTGTCGGAGGCGACAGGGGGTGTTCGGCGGCGTCTTCTCGTCGTAATTGTGAAGAGGAATCAGTGATAGGAGCGGCGGCGGCGGAGGAAGAGGAAGGAGAGAGCAGGAAGCAGAGGAATCCGAAAGCGAGCAGTGCAGCGAGGAACACGGTGATAGGACTTGTGCGACGCATGGAGCGTGCGACGGCCATCGTAGCCGTTTGATTGATTGACAGTGCACGCAGGGTCCGGGCTTGACGGGGAGGAGAGAAGGCGGCTGGCTGGAGGTGGTCCCGATGGGTGATGTGATGGGCGGAAGTGGAATCGATCTGGCCCGGCGAGCGGTCGACAGAACTCTTTAGCCAGCAATTAGAGTGGTGATGAGCCGGGCCCCGGACATATCGGAAATGAATGGAGAGAGGAGGGAGGTGAAAGAAGAGGACTGAGGGGGTAATGGCGGAGGAGGAGAGTCAAGGAAGAGGAAGAGGAAGAGGAAGAGGATTGGATTGGATCCATGGCTGGTTGAAGCTGGCCGGAAAAAGAACACGCGGACCCAAAGGCCGGCCAAGGACCTTCCTTCATCCATCCATCCATCCCTCGTCGGGCCCCGCGAGATTCCTGCTGGAATTTCCTGCTCTCGCAACGTACCGAATTAGTCGACTCGGGGCCTCTGGGAAGAAAGTCTAGAATGGTTCGTGCCGATGGTCGCACGAAATGGATTGGATGTTGGTCCAGTGGCTGCATGGGGTGGCCGCATGCGGTGGTTGCACAGTCCCGCTTGTGAGACGCGCCACTCTTCACTCTTCAAGATCGGCCTCTGCAGGGTTCGTCTAGGATCTTCTCTCCTCGTCACATTGCCTAAGTATACAACTATATACACATATATGGTTCTCATTAATATCTATCGTTCGAGCATTGCTGGGCCCGTTTTGGTCCGTCTATCGTGGTCGTCTCGGGCATTGCCATCGCTGGCCACAAGCCAACATCATCTTACGGCAGCCAGCGCATCACACCCTCGAATGCAACCAAAGCCATGGCATTCGCCGGGAATGCTCGTAAAAAGCAGGGCACGAACCCGCGCCAATACCCTCTCCACCCTCGCTCCCGATACACCGCCGCCGCCGCGTCCTTCCACCACTGGAACCTGCGCTGCCCGTCGCCCAGTGCGCCTCCCATTGGGTCCGTCATCAGGCGCTGTTTCACCACGTCGGACGGATACGATGTGATCCAGAAAACCTGCGCCGAAATCCCACCCGCCCAGAAGTTGATGGCTGGCGCGGACAGGCTGGTCTTCTCCTTCATCAACCGGGTCAGAACGTCGTAGGATCCCCACCAGAAGAAGAAAAACGACCGGAAGATCATGGTCGCGCAGAGTCCGCGATATAATCCGGAGATGCCATGCGTGCGAAGCTATAAAGTCAGCCGACAACCTCGTAGACATCCAGGGGTGGGCATTCTTACAATCTTGCCAATGCAGTCTATAGGCCCGCTGTATAAACGCTTTGATTTATCCGCCGAATATTGGATCTGGAGCCGTGCCTTGACATGTTCCACCGGCGCCGCAATAAAACTGACTGTTGTTCCAGCCATGACACCTGCAATACCGTGGCCAAAACTAGGTAAAGTGGTAAGATCTGGTTGATGACTAGTAAACGGGATCCTGGCGCGGAGGTCTGGTTTTGAAAACACATTTTCGAGCAACAAGCGGCGATACAGAGTTAAGGAGCCGAGCATGCTAGAATTGCCTGGTCAGCGCCTGCATCTCCTTTGACCACTACGGGCGCATAGCGGCGCAACTCACACAGAATCCATAACCATCCATCCGACCAGCGGTGGCGTGGCTCCTTTATAAAATCCACTTATCCCCTCCTTGCGAACTGTCTGTAGCACGCAATCCAACGGACCCCGGAAATGGCCTTCATGACTCGTCTGTAAACGCACTTTGACTGTATCAAACCTGCACGGCACGCCAATGGTCAATTCATGTTATCGGAAATGGTAGACGATGCAATACTGCAGGAGAGGGCGCAATTCACGTACGGATGGCCAACTATCAATCAGAACCCGTTAGCTATGGCCTCGTCCAGTGTAAAGTTCACAAAGTATGCGCCGTTGCAGCAAGAACCTACCACTTAATTTGGCTATTCCCGAGAACACCCCCGCCACAAACCCCTTGTAATCATGCTTAGAGCTCTTAGCTGTCGGTGGACTGCTGCTCGCTGCGTCGGTATTGGCCATGGTCGCGGAGGATCGTTGCTCTGGTATACCGGATGTCGTTGAGGTCGGGAGCGGTGCAGACGTCGACGACATGGTCGAGAGGGCTGTCCTCTGTGTCTCAGTCACTGAGACAGGTATTCCTATGTCCCAGCCTGTTTAAATAGGCGAATTGAGATCTGCGTATTTCTGGCCGAGGGATAAAATTTCGTGGGGGAGATGTCGGGGCCCGCTATCCGATGAAGCAACGGGCGGGATTAACGAGCTCGCGAGAGGGCCATAAAGTGCTGGAAGACACGACTCTGGGATGCCGATGGGATTGAGGGCAATTGTTCACGGGCTTTATGCAGTGGCCAGAGAAGATACCATAGCGGAGAAAGGGGAAAAGATGGGGGAAGAACAGGAGGGCTTCAGATGCGCCCCGCAAACCCGGTGGTTCGGGGAGCACCGGTCCAGCTCCGAACGGATGGGCGGCCGACCGCGCAAGGTTTGGGGGAGCCACTCAGAGCCGGTTGGCCAGCAGCGCCAATCCGGATTCCGCTGATCACGGCTCTTGGTAGATAGTAGTTGGTATCTAGTACTACGTCTAGTAATAGTCCGATTTAGCAACTCAGTCCAGCATCAACAATTTGTTCTATTGCTTTTCTGGTGGTTTTTGGGCTCGGCCAATTATCACTTCCATAATTAGCAGTCGATGCCCTCAACCGTCTGTCTATAATTCCTGTCGCTTGTTTAGCAGATTTCGTCCTCAAGGATGACAGTCTGTTTCTGTTCAACCCCTGATAATACAGTACCCGAAATAACACAGAGTCATAAGAAGTAAAGGATGCAAACATCATAGTCCAAACCAAAAAGGCCAAGTTCGGTGCAAAGAATATCAGAACACATAGGAAAAATAAGGTTCCTGGCAAGGCCACGGATCAGCTGTGTGGGGTATAGTAGCATGATTTCATAATACATAGTAAGGTTCCTGATGAGAAGGAGAGAAACAAAGGAAATATGTCTTGGGTATCGTCGAAAGACCAGAGCCAGGTTATGCGTCACGCCTTTGATCGATGCTGTCCTGCAGCCCACCGAAAGCGCCGCTTAACAAAAGCCAAAGCTGGAAGTCCGAGGACTGAGTCATACAGGGCAACTTTTCCACTAGTGAAGATTGCTCGCAAACCAGAGGATAGTTATAGTGGCAGATTCATCACCGATAGACTTAGAAGCCCTTGAGGGATTTCATTGGCTTTTGTCGGTTCCGTTCGTTTTCCCGAGCAATCAGTCTATCCACCAGGTCTGGAGCCGGCCCAGCGTGATCTCGAGATGAGAACCCGGATGAACTAGATGTGCCCGAGGCAAGATATCCACCTGCTTCTTCGAGCGCCAGCGGAGTCACCGGGCCCGGGCTGCGGAGCGGATCTAGGCGCGGGGCAGATGGACTCGGTGACAGGGGCCTGGAGGGAGTCTTTGGTAAGGAATTTCCTTCCATCAACTCTCGATACTGCCACATGGTGTCACGGGAGCCAGAGGACGTGCGATACCCGTGTTGTCGCGGCTGGTGTGGTGAAGAAGGCTGCGCTTGAGGGCTGCCGGAGGACTGATATACTGCGGGATGGAACCGTGGTAAGCTCCCCAAGTGGAAAGCAGGCATGGACTTGGGTGTGTTTTGAGCCTGAGAGCGGGAGGGCTGCGGAGACACAGCACGGGCAGTTGGAGCCATGGAGGGGGAGACGGCTGGCGGGTAGAAGGTTGAGCTGTCCGAACGCATTCTGGACGAGGGTGAACGATGGGAGCGATGACCGGATCGACCGCTCCTTCTATGGGATTGTCTTTCTCGGTGAGCCTCGGTGGTATGGTCACGGTGGGCAAAGTAGTAGCCTTTGTCGAAACGCCCTGTTAGGGGAGTGACAGGAAAATCTTTATCGTATGTGTTAGGAGATGGCTTGGGAATGGGAATCGGCCGGGAGGTTGACTGGGTGAGGATGAGGGTCTCCACAGAGTCTGTAGTGTCTGAACTCGACGAGTCGGGAGAAGGAGGATTATATGTTGAGGAGGTTGCCGTTAATTCCTCAAGGGATGACAGCGAAACTCGAGTGGGGTGACCGTGTCTGGCAATGAGATTTTCTAACTGGTCTCGGGCACAAAAGCTGGACGGTTGATAGGAGGGCGACCAGGAGGACGAAGAGAGATTGGCTAGTGAGAGCACGCGATCAGCATGAATGTGCAGAACCAAATGCCACACGTGTCAGGTGGGGATAATTTTTTCGGATCAGCGCCAACAACTGAAACCGAAACAACAAAGCTAATCATCGACGGGGCGAACGATACTAAATTGTAGGGAGAATGTAGAGGAACCAATAAGGATATTGGGGTGGGGTGGTAGGATCTGCCTGATGGGAGCGGGGAAGGAAAGAGACATGGTTGGATGGAAACTCACGGGGAGGGGAAAAGAAACAGGAAGACGAAGACTTACTGCTAAGCAATGGCGGAGAGTGGCATGAACTGTAAGATGAGGGATAAAGGGAAGGCGAGGAAAATGAGGCGGAGGGTGAGGAAGAGGGCGGAGAAGTAGCCATTGAAGGGGGGCCTTGTTCTGCTTTTGAACGGTTTTCTTTTTGTTTTTCCTTTTCTTTTCTTTAGTTTCCCTGGGTTATGCTGATGCGGTGCCCTTCTTTCTTCCTGACTAGTTCCCCCGTCGTAAGCGCCGTAAGTGGATAAGCCGCAGGATGGGACGATGCAAATCCAGGCACCTCGGGCCCCGGATGACTTCTCCTTGACAGGTACGTAGATGCCGTCCCAAGGGTACTATGACTCAGGGGAGATCATGCAACTCCCCCCTCTGCGCTGCGTCTGTTGCCTTCGTTCTCGTTTACCTTTGCGGTTTCCTGGTTAATCCTCTAATTCAACCTGTACAATCTCAATTCTGGTCTATCTGAGACGATAGTAGGTTCACTTTTGCTTTTCCCCTCCGCAGATTCTATTTGATGATTGATCGTCAGCTTGCGGGGAAACTCAAAACCGTCACAAACCAAGAGCCGAAACCCATGGCGTCATGACGGGAGGCGCGGGAACCAAAGCTGGAGGGAGGGGCAAAGCGGAGCGCCCACGGTACGGTACGGTATAGATACCGCCCACCCGGGTTCCACTCCACTCCGCTGCAACAAAGTCAAGTAGGAAGAAGAAGGTGGGATACAGGGTCGATCGGAGGTGATAAACTGGACGGCAAAGAATGCGAAGAAAAAGTCTAACCACTTACATTCAATAGCTGTCCTCTCACCACACACCATCTAATTTTCTAGAGGCCGCACAGACAATCGTATCCCCAGGCGAGAAGAAGGGGTGATTGGTCCCTGAGGAGCCGACGGGCACTAGGCGTGATCCGGGCTAGCCTGCCAGTGACGCATAGTCCGGCAAATGGAAGCGAAGCGGTCACGGGAACCTGGGGGAGTCTCTTGGGTGGGAGAGAGGGGAATGTCACTAGCCAGAGTAGGCAAACATGCAGACAGAAGTTGGCTGTGGCGGACAGGTCACGCTGCAAAGTCAGAGGGAATACGCCCAAGCAGGGAAATGCCGGCGAGTGGATGGGTTGAACATGAAGAGCTTGGCAGTGGTTGGGGAATCCCGTATGATTCCTTTGCACCGAACATGTATCCAAGGGAGGACGCCGGCGGATGTATTTAAGGGTGTACCTGTCAGCCGGGATGGAAATAAAAATAAAAAAGGCGGGAAGAAAGCACCAATGCCGAAGGAAGAGTAGCGAGAGATGGATCCAAAGAAAGAGATTTTGTACCACCCAACATGTTCCAGCAACTTGAAGACAGATCAACCTCTCTGGGATGGACTCGATGGCTGTTTATATTCTCATCTGGTCGAACTAGAGCTTCGTAAGGACTGCTCCTCCGCCTGATGCCCTTGTTCAGCCGATGGAACCTGTTGCAACCACACGCGGGAAACTCGGGTGACCCGGCCGGTTACCATCGCCAGCAACAATAGAGTCAGAGCACACGGCTATAACAATGCTCCAGGATCGCCCGGGCTGGTTCCTCCAAGGTGAGTCTAGTGTTGGCTGGTGTCCTCTCGCTGGAGCTGAAGACTGGCCAGTGGTCTGGTCTGGAGGGAGGGGTTGGCGACACACTACCAGGACGCTACCAGCGACTAACTCTTGCTAGTGGTGTGAATCCTGAATAGAATGGCTGCAACTGCGAGTCATCCCTAGACAGTATCGCGTTGTAACCCCAGACCCGAACGACGCTTTACGCACGGTCGATCTGCAGCTGCCGGTGGTACAGAATGCGCCGACCATCCCCCTCGAAACTGTGGAGAGGCGAAGCTAGGCTGGCAGCTTTTTTCATCCTTCCATCCGAACTGACTCTTCCGATCGGTCCAGGCCAGCCAGGAGGGGATGGATGTGATGGTCCAGCATCAGACATTTCCGAGTTAGTGCCAACCGATATAGCTGAAAGCCATTCCCAAAAATAATGTGAGAGGGCGCTGGCGTCATCCACGCCGTGCTGGGCGATCAGACGACTTGCGTTAGTCCCCCTCCATCACACTGGCCCTCTCCGATGCCCCGCCCCAATCCTCATGGTTGTGCCTGGTTACTGGTGTATGCTTTGACTTTGCTGCATTAATTCTTGTTCTTACGAGATCCAATAATGGTGGCTGGATGTCTATTCCAAGGGATGCGAAGGCGGTGTTCCCAGAACAGGGAAAAGAAAATCAATCCATCCAGATCACCAACATGATTTCGCTTGCTACATTATCATTCCACTACTAATCATCTGTCACGGATTTCACTGTATGCACGTCTGTCTGATCCTGAAGGGCTGACCCGCCCCAGCGGATAAAGCCTCGATCCAAGGTGCAGGCACCAGCATAGATCATACACCGGGATGGAGGGTGAACTTCGTCAGACACAACGTTGACCCCCGGCAGATCTACTCGCGCTGATTAGCCCTTTCCGTTCGAGCGAGCTACCAGATTTAGTTACAGACTGGTCATGGTGACTCGGTTGCAGATCAATCACGCGTCACAATCGCAATTAATCCTCAACCCCACCATTCAATGTGACTGGGACAACCCCTGCAGGGCTGAATATTTGGGTAGCGTTGGTGCTTCACTAATCGTTGTCACTTGCTACTCGTCACACTTTCCCTACCACCCTCCTGTTACCTTTCTTGGGCTTAGTAGCTAACTTGAATGGAGGCTATGCAGGGCAACGTGCGCGTCCAAGACATTGGATCCCGTGCTACAGTCGCCCGTCTAAACCTTCGATATTACAGCCATGCCTCTACTCAGCTATTGGCCACCTTTCACAGCAATGATCTGAAAGTGGAAACTGGCCACTGTGCGATTAGAACACCCGGTGCAGGTCTAAGCTCCTGGGCGAGTACTGCCTGGTGTGACTCGGGACGAAGAATGCTTGATACACAGTCCCCCAATGCATGCTAGGCCTATGGATGGAGAGGCCCCTCCGCCACTAATCCGTACTCCGGGAGAGTGGCATCCAACGACGAATGCAGAAGCTTCCATGAGAACTGCCAGGGCCGAGTCTGTGCGCATGCAGCCTGGGAAGGTGCATATGTCTCCGCCTAGGTTCTGGAACCTCCAGTCATACCCTGAGCCATTTTCAGTATCATGTGGAATATTATAGCGTGAATACTGTCCAATGGATTGGCCAAATGCCTCATTGACTCATTCGAACATGGCCTGGCCATGCATGGTTTCTAATTAACGCCCGGGTATTATGCCAATGTCTTGGTCTGAAAGCTGACAAACAGAACTCAAAGAGCATCAGGTAAATTAAACACGGCACACTTTCCATACACCTGATGCCGTCTAGGCTGAACTATCCCAAACTTATATTTCACGACGACGTATTGAGAACTCCCCGGCTGGATGAGGGTAGCTTCGGTCATTCTATCCCACCTATCTCTGGCCAATCAATTCTCATAGCCTTGAGAGACATCTGTGCGTTTTGTCTGGACCCGGCTGCGGTTTGAATCGGCTGCTATGACTCCAAATCAAAATCCGTTAGATGGACTCACTGTCCTCCCAGAGATCTGCGGTGAAGTTAATTCAATGCCTTACGTGTGTGTATAACAGCAGCAGCACCATGAAATAGGGCGATATCCCATCCGAAGTTTTGGGATAGATTGATTAAAGTTGGCGCTATTGCCGCGATCAATATCGGATATCCTGAAGTTGGTGCGTTCATACTCTCAACCAACTAGAACTAGTGCGCGCTCTGAATGGCCCGACATAGATCAATTACTAAAGACCAACAAATACTTACTGATATTATCTGGTAGCACCTGAGCTGTAGTTAATAATATAGTACTCTCGATTCTGTTGAATATCGGGACTTTGTCAGCCGAATGCTGGTGTGTTTGTATCAATTTGCATTGTTATGAAGGAGCATACTCCTTAGTAGGCAGGCACTTGAATCACGTTCCCGTCAGAAGCCAATGTCTTAGAGACTTTCATTCACTGCAGCCTTGTCTGGTGCATAGGTGTAGCGCAAGGCATGATCTTAAAATCTACTTGAAACTCAGGCCCACATGCTCACTGCACGACTTACAACCTATCAGGCTGGATTTCCTTCACTCGACACCAGTAGACCATCGAGAACTTGGTAGGACCCCGGCTGAAACGTATCCTAGGATACAAAACATTGGCATACTTATCATTCTGCTGACGTGGAGCTATCTAAGCATAGTGCACTGTATCGGCCTCTCTTCATGACTGAGGATTGTCCTTGATCTCCTACACCTTTCTGTGACAGGCTTTAATATGACCCATCAAGACAAAAGCATTTAGTGGATGATTCTGTGTAACCTCGTATCCACGACGGCTACCGCGGAGAGATTTAAGGCACCGCAGATCCCTACCCGTGAGCCTATGATGTCGAATAGTGAGCGGGCGCTGAGACGCAGTATAAGCTGAAAAAGTCCAACGATGTGATATGTCAAGACGTCTAGACCCCGCACTGCGACGCCACCGGTTAACAAACAGCTCGTATCGCCCATGAAGTCTCTAGAGGTAGATTCAGATGATACAGCGTGGATGAAACCTGGAAAACAAGCTCTATGAACAGTAATAGACTATGCCACGGGGTCGATTGGAAAGAAAAATCAGGCAAGGAGACTTGACAAGGCACTCTATCAACGTATAGTCGAGCTAAGCATGGCCATCGGCACTGAGGCCCAGGGCTTGCATCCACTTACCCTGGCATCTATCCGGAAGCATGCCAGAAGGTTCATCAGCTGTGTGCATATGCAGTTTTATCTGCAGTCCGCAGAGGCAGCTGATTGGTGATGTACGGACTTGACATCGCAGCAGCCGCAGTGCAAAGTATTTGACTGGTTATCTTCCTCTTTGCCTTTTCTTCATTGATACACATTGTCTTTAGCACCAATTACTCCTTACTCAACGACCCCAAACTCAATGGAGAGAAACTCACATTGTGTTACACCCTCACCACCAATGATTGCTTCTGTCTGGGATGCTTCCAGTACGCGGACATGGATTATTGTTCTCGTCTTATCAATCACAGTACGATTACACTGCGTCGCATATGTTTCCCTTGATTTGACCTGCGATCTCCTTGATCGCGTGCCATTGTATTTATCAGCTTTACTTTCACCCGCTTGCCAAGTATCCAGGCCCACTACTGGCCAGATTTACCTTTGCCAGGGCGCCTTATTATGCTTGGCAAGGACACATTCACTTGAAAATGTGGCGAGGCCATCAAAAATACGGTGGGTGGTCTATCTAAAATCAAACGAAATAGCTGATTTGAACACTGAGCTCACACTTCGAATGGTATAGGTCCCATTGTTCAATATGGTCCTGACCGTTTCCTCTTCAACACGAAGTTGGAGACGGGGGCGTAAGCATAGATGCCCACTTCATCCCCGGCGGAAACAGTGTGGGGACGGTTATCTACAGTATCCATCATAATCGGAGATACTTTCCGAGACCATACGAGTATATTTCCGAAAGGTGGACTATTGGCGCGGACAACGCTGAAGAGCAGGTCGATGTTGCCAAGTCAGCCTATGCACCTTTTCTAATCGGACCGAGATCCTGTGTCGGACAGACATTGACGTATTCGGAGCTGTTACTTACGATAGCCATGGCGATGTGGAAGTATGACTTCAAGGTAGCGACAGATGGAGGACCTGGGAAGAACAAATCCCATGGAGTTCCAGACTATAAATCGAAGCTTCAGCTTGATGGAAGGGCCAATGACTCAGTTCCGCCCGCGGAGCATGTAAGTGCTCCGAGTGTGGGTGCAATATTTACATTGAAGAATCAATACATTCTATATATGTTCTGTATGTGATCAGCCCAACAACCCCGACAGTCCATGATCAACCGGGATACATGTCCCGTTGATTAGCTCTGCCCCAGGGCCGCACGAGATAGACAGACACAGCTCGGCCACTCGATCCACATCGCATAGCGGTACTCCTGCAGCAGTCATGAGCCCCACGGCCTTGTCCTTTCCTTCCATATTGATGTTAGACATGAATGCATCGGTGATATTCGTCATCATCCCACCCATCATCAGCGCGTTACACCGGATTCCCTTGGAGCCGTAAAAGCTGGCCGTGTTCTTCGTCAAGCCAACGAGGCCATGTTTGCTAGCGGTATAAGCGGCGCCTGCATTTGTCAGTCGGCTATTCACACATCAAATGCGTAATAGGAACCCTTCATGCGGCAGAGAACATACCCGCCATGAAGCCAGCCTTCCCAGCTAGGGACACGATATTCACAATACACCCCTGGACAACCTCCTGCGCCAGCATATTCCGCACAGCCAGTTTACTCAACAAAAACGGTGCTGTCAGGTTCACCGCTATGACTTTATTCCACAGGCCCTCATCGAGATCACCGACGGGGTCGAAGTGGTCCATGATTCCGGCATTGTTGATTAGAATGTCGAGCTTCTGGTATTGAGTTACGATCTCGTCGAATAGTGTCTGCACCTGCGTCGCGGAGGTAATATCCGTCTTGATGATTTTTAGTCTCGCGTCGCCATCCGGTCCTGCAAGATCTAACGAGGTCTGCCGGAGTCGTTCCTCGTTAACATCGCAAATGACCACGTTAGCTCCGGCAGAGAAGAACCGGGCTGCAATAGCTTTTCCCAGGCCGCCGGCGCCACCGGTGACGAGACAGGTTTTTCCAGTGAGATTGATGGACATAGTGGTTGTTGTGACGGTTGCTTTATTGTTTGATTGAATTCATCTGTGGTCTGGGGGGTCGGTGGGCTTTATAGAACAAGGGGTCAGGGTCACGCCTGCGCGGCATGACCGTGAATGCCCACGCGGCCGCTTGATGTCAGGGGGTTGTTCTGTGGGTGCGTATAGGTGGAATCGCCCACATATTGTTCTCCTTGGACCAGTCGGAAGGCGGGCATGGTTGTCGTATTTGCGTATTCGGCGATGACTAAGGGGTTGTGGTGGGTCAGGGGATGAGCAGAAATGGCACAGTCGTTTATATGAGTGCTTCTCGTCGTATACTTCGTACAGGGTACGGTTCGCTATGAGGGTGGATAATTGAACTTGGTTGCCTCCGAGTCAGTGAAGTGTGGTTGATCTGTCTTGAACTTCACCCCCTATCAACGGCGGGGAAATGCCAGTCCGGGTATATGAAGAGGGGGAAGCTCTTGGTCGTTGAACATCGAGCACTGAGTCCAAGTCGTCACCTAAATGACTGTTAGCCTCTATGTGACGGGGGAAAGGGTCTGAGTTTTGACTACCTGTACTTGACTTTTCTGGACATCCCTTGTCCAGGGCAATGGCCCCTCGTGATATCAGCCACTTGAAGTCCTTGCACGGGGTTGCAGGGACCAATTCGGGATGGTACCAGAGCGAAACCAAAGAGAATGGAGCCGAGAAGAGCAGAAGCCCGACGATGCAATAATGCCAGGAGGCTGGCGAGGTCACATGCCCCGGATTGGCGAGCCCGTCCAACCGCCTTCTCTCTTCCGGCTCTTCTTCTCTTCTCCGATGAACAACACGGCGCATTTCATTCCCATCTCACAAAGTTATTATTCATGATTCACTATCCATCACCTTGTCTTCGATAAGCTTATCATCTTGGCAGGCTCATGACAAATTGGGATGACATGGACTGCACGATGTTCGCCTGTTCCCTTCGCTGTAGGCGAGTGAACTGTGAAGGCTCCACCGGCCATCGCGCAGACCTTCTCGATCCGGCAATGAGTGTTATCTTATCGCTTCCCCGGTTATCGTCCCCGGTTCTACTGTGTGCTCGATGCACTCCATCCTGCATCTACTCCAGCATCGCCCAGGGTCCGATGCGCGCATCTCCGCTGCCTCGAATGCCAATAAATACCCCCCATGGATGGCCGCCGCCATCATGTTTGAATCTTCGAGTCGTTTTTCCATTTCCGCAGCCAGACTACAACAATGGCGATATCCGGAGACGAGATTCAGGCCGTCGGTCCAGCCACCACGGGCGAGGATGTTCGGCTGGAGAATTTGGGCTATGAGCAGGGTATGGCTGCCACATCAGACTTGAATGGACTATGCTGATCATGTATGCAGAGCTAAAACGGTCCTTTGGGCTCTTGGGTATGATTGGGTTCAGTTTCAGTGTGGTCACCTCGTATGTCAACCTCGTCGTGTGTAGGATATATGCTAACCCTAGCTTTAAGATGGACCGCGTTAAGTGGTGTCTTCATCGTCGGTGTCACGTCGGGTGGCCCCCCAGTCATGATCTTCAGCTTCGTTGGTGTCAGCCTTCTCACCCTTGCCGTTGCCATTCCCATGGCCGAGATGTGTTCGATGTATCCTGTGGCCGGTGGTCAATACTCCTGGGTGGCTGCCTTGGCTCCCCCGAAATTCGCCCGTGAGTTATCCTACATAACAGGATGGTTTATGCTCATCGGTAAGACCTCAACATCTCTTCCCCATCATGAAGATGAACCATGCTCACAAAGACACAAGGTCTTCTCGCAATGGGTGCAACCAACAACTCCATCGCTGCACAGTTCGTGCTCGGAATGGCCAACCTCGTCTTCCCCTCGTATGAAATTCAACGCTGGCAGACCGTCCTAGTAGCCTACCTTGTGGCTATCCTTGCCGCTGCAATAAACATATGGGGTCCCCATCTACTCAACCGTATCTCCCGCTTCATTCTCATCTGGAACATCGCCGCTTTTTTCATCACGATCGTTGTTCTACTCGCCACAAACGACCATAAGCAATCCGCCTCCTTTGTCTTCGCTGACTTTCAAAACTTCACCGGATGGGACCGTGCCATGGCCGCCATCGTTGGCATCCTACAGGCTTGCTTCGGTATGTGCTGCTACGACGCCCCGGCGCACATGACCGAGGAGATGAAGTCTGCCTCCAAGCAAGCCCCACAAGCCATTATCTTATCCGTCGTCCTCGGCGCCATCACCGGCTTTGCCTTCCTCCTCGTCCTCTGCTTTTGCATCGGCGATATCAACGCCACCCAGAACTCCGCCACCGGCGTCCCCGTCATCCAGATCTTCTACGACTCAACCGGAAGCAAAATCGCCGCCTGCTTCCTCGCCAGCATGATTGCCGTTATCGTCATCATAGCCGGAAACAATATCCTGGCAGAGGGCTCCCGCTGCGTATACGCCTTTGCCCGCGACAACGGCCTCCCCTTTAGCAAATTCCTCGCCAAAGTCGATAAGAAACGCCAAGTCCCAATCAACGCTGTCCTCCTCACCCTGATCGTCCAACTAGCCCTTGACGCCATTGACTTTGGCACCTCCACCGGCTTCGAAACCGTCATTGCCATTTCCACGGAAGGATTCTGTACGTTCCCTTCCCTCTCCCAACATACCCCTGCCTCTCTCCTTCCCTTCTTCCCACAACAACCAACACCAAAACTAACAAAACATCAAAAAAAGACCTCTCCTACGCCATGGCCCTTGCCAGCCGTCTCCTCGGCTACATAACCAACCACCGACCAACCATGACGGGCCCATTTTCCCTCCGTCCCTGGATTTCAATCACCTTGAATACTCTGGGGTTACTATTCCTGCTCTTCGCATCTATCACATTCAACTTCCCAGAAACGTACCCCGTAACTAAGGACTCAATGAACTATACGAGTGCGGCAATCGGGGTGATTGCGGTGATTAGTCTCCTGACGTGGGTGGTTACAGGGAGGAAACATTTCACGGGACCGGAGGGTTGGGATGGAAGTGGGAGTGTAGAAGGGAAGGTGGTTAAGTTGGAGGAGGAGAATAGGAATGAGGCTGAGTCGGAGAAGAGAGGGTGATCCTCATTCTTCTTTTTCCTCCCTTTCTTTAATTGTTCCTCGATTGTTAAATATTTGTGTGATAATATGATATGTGCAAGATACCTATATCAACTAAATAGCAAATCAAAATACCTTCTATCTACATTCCCTTCCCGTATCTGAATAGAAGAAAATCCCCTTTCTACCAATTTCCCCGACAGTTCTGCATACGCACACAATGAATCTTGCCAGCTGATAGTATAGATGAAGTTCAAAATCCTAGATTCAATTACAAAGTCGTACTACTATTTTACGGCCCTATTATTACCTCCCGTCCTAGACACCTACTATCCGATTCGATTTAAGCTAGTTTAAACTGAACCCCGTATTTCGCCCATTTTAGGAGATTTAAGAGCAGAAAAGAAAAAAAGATAGCTTACATACTCACATGGGAAGAGTAGGTATACGATGGGGTTATTCTGAAGTGATACAAACTTCCATTGCTGTTTCAACCATTCAATTAATCTCTTGATCACCTGCGTCAGGTCATTCCTGTACTACAAGCAAGTCGAGATGTCAATACTGGTGTGAGCTGGATATGTATATATGCGGCCGTCAGTGACGTGGGAAGAGTCTCCTGAAGGGGTTTTGTATTGAGGATAAGGTAAGAATAATGCAAGAATACTCAATCATCCACATCACTCCCCCACCGGCCTCGCAACCATCAACGCCAGCAAGGACTGCGCTACCTCGGCGGCAGCAAGAGTCGTGGTCTCACCAGCTGTGTCATAAATAGGCGCTACCTCGACCACGTCTGCACCGATAACGGGTAATCCACGAAGGGCGTCGAGGATGGTGAGGAGTTCGCGGGTAGTAAAGCCGCCTGGTTCAGCGGTTCCGGTTGCTATCATTCCCACAGTCAGTGTCATTAGTCGTTGGTGGGGCATATAGAGTCCAGAATAGAGGGGGGATGTTGCACCTGGGGCATAGGCCGGGTCTAGCACGTCGATGTCGACTGAGATGTAGACCTTGGTTTCGCCGACGCGGGACTTTATTTGTTCTACGAGGGCGGAGACGCCGAGTCGGTCGAGGGCACGGGCGGTGATGATTTCGAAGCCGCAGCGGAGGTCGTTTCGGAGGTCGCCTTTGGGACGGATTACGGGGGCTCGGATGCCCACGTGGATGGAGGTGTTGCGGATTAGGCCCTGAGTTTGGTATTAGAGTGGTTACTTTGGGGGGAGGGGAATGAGAGCGTACCTCTTCGTGAGCGAGATGGAGGAATGTGCCGTGGTTGATGCCTCTAATTAGGTGTTAATAGAGGCGGGGGTTGGTTGGTATGGGGAGTGGCGTACGCGTAGTGGGAGACTCCTCCGCCTGGTTAGATGTTGTTAGAGATGTGTCCGATATGAGTGTAGATGGGGGCGGGTACCTAGGACTTCCGGGTCCCATGTATCTAATTGCTGTCAGTTTTCATCTGTATAGAGTCAAGCAGGGGTACAGACCAATATGACTATCGAAATGTATCACCGACACAGGACCCCAATTCTCGTAGGTCGATCGCAGGGCAGACAAGGTAGTGGTATGATCTCCACCTAAGGTGATGATACGCGGAGACTGGCTGAGATGAGTGGCATTGGCACGACGGGATGAAACGACCTTGCTCTGCAGTTAGACAGATCCTCCAATTCGGACAGTAAAGGGTATACCTTGTGTGCAAGATCAAGCTGCTTCAACGCCACGGTATTATCCAGCCAGGTTAGTGGTGCGTCTCCGCAGTCAACGAGTTTGGCCCAACTGGCGAAGACGTTCTCTCCGGTGTAGATGCTCCATCCGCCCAGACGGCGAGAACCGAGTCGGATACCCTTGGGTCCGAACCGGGCTCCGGGGCGAGCTGTGACACCCTGCGTTTATTAGCTGCGATTGTTCGTTGAGAGAGAGAGAGAGAGAGACAGCTAACAGTGTCGAATGGAGCACCTAGAAAGGCAATGTCGTAGTTGTTGAAGGTTGAGTCATCATCAATGAAGCAATTGACGTATGGTAAGTTGGCAAAGGTAGTCAAGCCGGAGAATTGGCTGCCGGTGACAATATCGATGGTGTCTTCGTGAGCGAGAGGATATTGATAAGAGGGATTGTGAATGGCAGCAACAGGAGGGAAGACGATATCCCGTGTTCGGGCTGGAAGGACGAGCAGGGCGAGAGAAAGGATGAGAGGATACATGATGGCTGACATGGACCCATAGTGGAGAGGCGTGGATGACCAGACGATCAAGTCGTTATTATAGTTTGCTGCTAGTCACTTATCGGCGCTGGACCAAAATAGCAGTTGTATGCGAGATGCTCCACTCCAGCCAAGCAAGCAGTCAGTTAGTTGATCAGGCACGATCTGACTAATTAGATATCATTTGATGTTAGTTATCAGATATCAGCTATGAATCATCAATTAATGAAATGGGGGGATACCACTTACTATACTCCGTAGATGACTGTGGAGGAAGAAAGGAACGGATTCCCCGCAACCCCACTTAATTTTTGCCATCGCTTCTTCCCTTCGCGTCATCGCCGATTTTGCTTCCTCCTCCAACATCCCAATCGCTTCATTCCCAATTGAAGCATAACATATCCTCACAATGGTATGTTCCACACCTCCCCTCCTCCCTCCATCCCCGCCCAACTAACAACCCCCGCCCTAGCCTCACGCCGACTCCTCCTACTTCGGCTCCGCCAATGGCTCCAAATCCGAAGTCTACACACAGGTCCTCGAGCAGGCCCGCGGTCTAGTCTTCGACCAGCGCAACTGGGTACGTTCCCCAATTCCCCCATCCTTCTACCCCCTTCACCAAACCTAACTAACCACCCCTCACCACCAGGTCAGGTAAAACACCCAACCCCTCCCCGACGCACACCCCCGAAACCTCTAACTCCGATCAACACAGCAACTTCTCCAACGTCGCCTCTCTCCTCTGGCACGCTTACGCCGCTCTCCCCGCCCCCTCTTCCTCCGTCAACTGGGCAGGTTTCTACATCCGACAGGACAAATTCCCCTCCCTGAATCCCAGCAATACCTCGGAGCCCAAAAAGCCCGTTCTGCTTCTCGGTCCTTTCCAAGGTCGGCCCGCATGTCAGGAGATTCGGTTCGGGCGGGGCGTGTGCGGTACCGCGGCGGAGAAACGCGAAACGGTGGTTGTGCCGGATGTGTTGAATTTCCCGGGCCATATTGCTTGTGATGCGAGTAGTCGGAGTGAGATTGTGGTGCCGATTTTGGTTAATGGGGAGGTTAGTGCTTCTTTTTCCTCTTTTGTCTTTTGTTTTATGGGGGTGTTGGGTTGGTTTGGTGGCTAATGCGTTGGTGTTGGTGGGGGTCTAGACGATTGCGATTATTGATGTGGATTGTGCGGAGCCGGATGGGTTTGATGATGAGGATAAGAAGTATTTGGAGGAGTTGGCGGCATTGTTGGCTGAGTGTTGTGATTGGTAAAGGGTCTACGATATATAGATATCTACTTCGTAGGGTGTGTAATGATACTAGGTGTTGGAATGTTAATGGTTTGCATGTCGGCAATGCTATATTGCATCGGCCTGGACAGTCTCCAATTTCTATAGCCGTACCATACCCGTCTAACGCCTCTCACAGGCCCCTTCGAGTCTTCCCGAAATGTCAAGTGTATATAGTGTCTAGAGATTCCCCATGACAACCGACCATATCCCAAAGTCTATCAAGTGTCGCTATAGCCGAAAAAGTGTCGCTGTTCCGTGGAACGAGAATGGTATGCCAGTGCGCCATCCAGTGTCGCACGTGGGAGGAAAAATAGCAAGATGGATCAGAAAAGAGAAGAATCCCGGAAAGATCGGGTGAATGTAAGCAGGCTGCCTACGTGCTGAACATGCTCATTTGGCGCTTGAGAGGACTGATCGACCCCGTGTCGCCGTCCTCGCTGACTCCCAGTCCACTGTCGGTCCCGGTCAACCCGGCATCGGTATCAATGTCCCACTCACCATCCTCCTCGTCCTCTGCCGGGTCCAGGCCCGCATCGGAGGCGCTGTGCCAACTCTTCTGAACGGCACCGCGTGTGTTCCATCGGAGCGCTCGCTGAACGCTCTCGAACCACTCCCCACTGCCAGCCACAACCGTCGGGAAGGGGTATTGGCTAGCTTCGACGGTGACGTAGTCGCCCTGGCGCAGTTCTACGCGACCCTTGCCGTCGAACGAGCAGTACGCTGTCGACCGGGACCCTGCGGGAACAGCGATCCGAAGGAGTAGAGAATCCGAGAGAACCATTGGACGGAAGGAGAGGGTATGTGGACAGATAGGGGTAAGAAGGATGCCAGGAATAGAGGGGTGAATCAAAGACCCGCCCGCCGAAAGTGAGTATGCTGTGGAACCTGAAACGCATGTCAGTCGCTGCTTAAGCCGGTCGCGTTGCGTAACACGTACCTGTGGGGGTAGAGAAGATGCACCCATCCGCCTGCACCACGGTGAGCAGATCATTATCCGCATACAGTTCAAGGTTGGACACATATGGCGACGGCCCTCGATCAATCACCAGCTCATTCAGCACCTCAAACTGCTCCCCTTCCTCAACGGCACCCGCTTCAGCTCCCTTGCTGCGATCTTTGCGAAAGACCGTACAGGTAAACCGCATCCGCAGGTTGACCCGCATACCTACATCCCCCATCACTGCATTCAGGTGGTCCTTGTAGTTCTCAAACTCAAAATTTGTTAGGAACCCTAAACTCCCGAGAGAGAAGCAGAGGACGGGCGGGACAATGCGTTGGAATAGCCACGATGTGAAAAGCACCGTTCCATCCCCCCCTAGAGTGAGGACGAGATCGAATTTCTCCGGTGCCGTCCAGCAGAGATCCGGAGTCCAGTAGCGTAACATCTTTTCGAATCGGGGATCCTTCTGCAGGAGCCCCTGCGCATCGAATCGTTTGGAATTTCGCAGTTTGGCATCGACATAAACATTCACCCCAATATCCTTTCCGTAGCGGGGGGTGTACAGGAGCCACTCCGCCAATTCCCGGGTCAGGTGCACGAGACTGTTATCCCGCGCCTTAGTGACGATCATCACATTCCTCACTGCGCGCTTGATTGGTCTCCGCTGCAATTGTTTGGATACTTCTCGGACGCCTGTCGCTGTTTGTACCAGACGCGAGTGCGATAGCCACTCATCGTCCGCAATCTCTTCCAGGACTTTCTGGATATTCACCGCATCATCGAACCGTTGATGGAAGAAGCACGGAGATTGCATGACTAGCCGTGCCGTCGCGGGGGCACGATCCAGATATGTACCTAGCTGGATATTGGATAGAGCAGCAGAAAGCATTTGTGATGAGGAATTGCTCGACCGACGCTCGGTTTCGTCGGAAGGACTAGGGTTCGTATTCAGCAGCCCCAAGGTGGCCGCCAGCGGCATGTTTGAGGTTTGGTTGCACATGGATGGTCGAGACGCGAGGGCTTTTAGAAGGGTTTGACGAGGGATTGAATCGCTCGATAACGCGTTTCGATGGTGGCCCGTCAGGGAGGCCGTCTGCCGGCGTGGCAGCGAGGGTGGTGGAGGAGACGGTGCGACAGCAGCGCCCTCCCGAGGTATGTCAGGTTTCTGGACCGTCTCCAAACACAGGTCGGCAGTCCCGGGAGCAGAATCGCTCGCGTGGATATCGTTGGTGGTGTGCGAAGGATCTATGTGCAAGGCATACTCGCGGAGGAGCGATGCTCCCACGGTGGCCGAGCGAGGAAGAGGAGGGCGCGCCGGAGGAGGATCTGATAGCGGTGGGGCTGCGGAGGACGGCGCTGGTGGTGAGGGCGATGATGATGCTGAGGGCGACGGCAGAGAGCCAGTGGAAGGCAGCGATTCGGAGGACGAGGGAGGGTTCACCGGGCCATGGTTTAGCGGGGAGGAAGCCATGGGCAGATATATGGAGAGACAGCTTGTGCGATGCAGGAGCTGGTTGGTTCAGTCAGACGAGCACACAGGGAAAGGGCAGCGATAATGATGGAATATGCTGGAGACGGAAAGGAAAAACGCCGGGGCTTGAGAAAGCAACTTCGGATGTAACGGGGTTTGGGGCGGGCGACCGTCAAGCGTAATCCACCCCAAGGTTCACGGCGACCCTGTCCATTGGCCAGGCTAAAGCATTTCTCTGGGCCTGTCCACAATCATCTTAATCTAGTCTCCTGGTCGAACTTCGATAGGCTTCCACTCCCTTATTAATTAAGGCGGGTGACCGTCATCGTCAAGACGGAGATCCCCCTCTTTTCCCCCAATCGGGCGGCTGCTATCTCCGCTAATGTTGAAGTACCAATGCCAGACTGTCGGTCCTTGGTGACTGTCTAGTAGCCACGGAACATACACGAGACCATAAAGAAGCTGGAGAAGCCATGACGTTGGAAACTTCCGCGGACAACGAAAAACAATGTGGGTATGATGACCAAGAGGGAGGGATGCATGCATGCAACCTCGACTGGTCCGTATTTACCGAACCAATTCCCTGCCCTCCTTTCCCTTCCCTGCCGGGGACAGGCTAGTAGTCCAAGCGTCCAGTCCAGCCCCCCCCATGCCGGTAGACGCTTATCACGCATTACACATCACGAAGCCATGTGTAAGGGGGCGCCATTGGTGCTGATCGGATCGATTCTCATATTCCCCGTCGCTCAGCTCCTTTCAGTTGAGGTTCTGAACAGATGTGTGCAGTGTGCATGCCTACTAGCCATGTACTCTGAATGTTCCCCTCTCCGGAACTGGGGTGAATAGATATATTACGAGCTACTATCTACTAGTACCCCGTACATGGTACGGAGAACAGGGGACGCCATACATTCCCCCCATGTTTTCTTCCCACAATTCCATGATATTTCAAAGTCCACATGCATAACTCAATGGGACTAAAAAAGTCACTTTCTATTAATATCCAGTATATTGCAGCCCCCATATGGCTTGGTCTGGATGGTTGCCTTATCGCAGAGAATGTCCCTTGTCCGAGACATCCAGCTAACGGAAGATGGTCGACTCCCTTAGTGCACGTCCCTCGTCGTGGACCAGTCTCCTTCTTTGGTTGCTGCGATGACATCCTCCCATAATGTTTATCCGTCGAATCCACCAGTGGAATGTCATAGAACCGATCCCTCGACGGTCGCCAAGAATGTCCCATGCACACACACAACTATCTATCTGAGTCTGGTACTATGAGGAATCCTCAATCGGCCAGGTGCGAGGGACATTAGTAACAGCCGCCCGGAGATACCGGCCGCGATGGACAGCGACGTGTGAGAGCGACCGCAGGTGACCGTAGCCGCCCGTCGCGACTGAATTTAGGTGTCGTGGTATAGGCTGGACGATCAAACAGCATCGATCTTCCAGGCATAGTCACGGTGGACCTGATCATCAATAGTCTCCCGTATAGTACCCTCCAGGGGCTGGCCATCCACATCCTCAACCATAGCAATGTCGCCATCAGTGCCAATCGCTGACGTGCCGTGGCAGATAGCCAACGCGCGCTCGTGAACCTTTTCCCACGTCTCGAAGTCAAAAGCCCCTTGGCTCTCATTCAACAAAAGGTGGCCCTTGGATGAGATTGCTAGGACGTGGACGGATTTCGCTGCAGCTGCTTGTTCTGTTGACGGTTCCCGAATAATATCTCCCAAATCGCTTACGGCCAAAACAGTTGCAGAAAAAGTCATGGACAGGGGAACAGAAGCTGATAGCAGCGCCAGAAGCGCGGTATGGAGAAGCGCAGGTAGGAGCGTTAGATACTGTGGGTTCAAACCAATGCGTTAGTCACCATTGCTCGCCAAAAACTATTGTCTGATTCTGTCACCGTGTACTCACCGATTCTCCTCTGCCCACACTCTCACCACCTACCGTGGCCAGCGTAACCACGACACCGCGCCGGGGGTAGCCCCTCTCTCGTCCCAGAATCAATCTTCCGAGGACTCCCTTGATGATACCCTCCACATAACGTTCACTAACACCAGCGGGGGCAGTGCCTGGTTTGACAAATACTTCCACGGTCGCCTCCTCAGGCTTCAAGGCATCACGGCGTCCGGGAAGTTCGACGGGCGCATTGACAGACCCCAGAATGTTGGATCCGGTCGATGGACACTGATAGGAAGCTGAGCCGTCGGCGCGAGCGAGAGGAGTAAGAGTGGCAGTGGGCCCGACCATGATGGTGTAGCGAGTCTGTCGATTGTTGAGATATTATAACTAATGAGTGTACTAGATCAGGTCGAATGCTATGAGAGAAGGTGATCCTATGGGCGCGGGAGCTTCACGGGTTCCGCTTGGAATTTTCCATTTGGCCGCGGAGCCTGACGAGTGCGGGCTAACTTCTGATTGGTCGAGCTCCCTTGCCCATTGAATAATCCTCAACTCCAAAGTCGCAGCTTCATTTTCTAAAACCTCCTAGCTATCGGCCTGGGTTGGATCAGATTGTTGAAGAGTTCATGAACCTTTATAGAGTGATTAGAAATATGATACTGACACCTAGCCAATACTACTGTTGTATTGTTTTTGGTGAAGCAAATTGTCTAGCTTGACATCTTGCACAATATATATAGTATCCTAGTACATCCTATTGTTCCATCTCCATGTACTTGTGACGTACATAGACTGACCACACCAAGCTGTGATTTTGGTCTGATTGGGAAGTTGTGCGTTGTTTAGGTTAGTTATTAAATCCTTAATTGTGCAACGTGAAGTCCAAACATGCTGCAGACTTAGTAGTCATACAGCAACATCAAATTCGATTTGGAACATCTCGTATTTTTGTGTAACTTCAGTTCTTGACCAATCAAATTGGCGACTGTATAAAGTGGCTTGCAAGACTCTAGAAAGACCACTGAATGCTGATAGCAGATAGAACGTCTCAGAAGTCCTGTCTGTGCCGATTATCCTTCCATACGAAGCCCGCAGTACTTCATACTCTGTAGGGGTCATAGAGCAGAGATAGGATAAGAGACATCCGGATTTCACTGCAGCAGCAACTATCCTGTAACTTGATGTATATAGATAATGATAGGCCGGGTCTTTTTGGGGTCCCAATGGGGGCTGAATGTTGAGCACCTGATTTCCCTTTGGGGGTTACATCACTGTTACACACCGGTGTCAGTAGGATAACTATTATTGTTCAAAAACACTAACATCCATTTCAGATGCCAGACTGTGAGGGCTTTCAAGATTCCATAGCCTTCTCCGGGACCGGCCCGCAGTGGATCTTAGATCTACCATCGTTGGACATTCATTGTATATCTATGTTTAGATCAAAATGCCATGGTCTGGTGGCGGAGAATTCATACATTTCCAACCAGAAGATACTCCGAGCTCCGAGAGGGGCGCCCATGGTAACAATGATGACTTCCAGCGTGCCTTGTTTTGAGGCTAAGGCGTCCATCGGACCTTGCTTATGCTGGCACCCGCACCTGTAGCGGGGCAGGGTTCCTACCACGCTGTGCCCCTCCCTTGATTCTCCCTTCTTTCTCCTATGTCTGAAGGTTACCTCTAGACAGAACAGCAGTCAAAATGAGGATCCTCTGCCTGCACGGGAAAGGCACCAGTGGTGTTATTTTTAAATCCCAAACCTGTCTGTCACACATTCACTTCCCGTCCCAACTTCTGTTAAGCTGACCTGAATGCTTCCCCTTAGCTGCGCTTCGTTCTCGACTTTTGGATTTGGACATTGACTTCGATTTTGTCGATGGCTTCTATCAATCAGACCCAGCCCCGGGGATCGATCTCTTCTATCCACCACCATTTTTCTCCTTCTGGGAGTATGACACAACGGATGCTGTCTTGCATAGTCGTGACTGGCTCAAGAATTACCTTGACACCAACGGCCCCTACGATGCCCTCATGATGTTCTCGCAGGGATGCGCCGTCGGCTCAACCTTCTCCCTGTTACATAGGTTTGAAGAACCAGGCCGACCCCTGCCATTCAAGGCTGCCATCTTTATTTGTGCGGGGGTTCCGCTAAAGATTATGGAAAAGGTGGGGTATGAGATTGCTCCCGAGGTTTGGGATAAAGATATTTTGACTCGAAAGGCACTTATGGCACAGGCGGATGCCTCTGCGATTCTATCGCAGGGCTCATCGCGTTGGCAGGGAGGGAATGTGTTCAGTGCATCCGTGGAAGATATTCGGAAAGAGATCACCCCTTCGGAAGTTCAAATCAATATCCCGACAGTGCATATATATGGGGAGAAGGACCCGCGGTGGTCTGCTGGCATTCAACTGTCACAGGCTTGTGATCCAGCCAAAAGGAAGCTATACGATCATGGCGGAGGACATGACATCCCTCGCACAAGAGAAGTGACAAACAACCTGGAGGAATTGGTGCGATGGGCATTGCGGGAGGGAGGGGCAATTTGATGTGGTATCAAGAGAGGATCTTGGTGTTTTTCCAACATTGTTGAAATTTCTTTATAGATGACCGTTTCCGAATAGATTTTGCTACCTGCTGCCTTCCATACTAAGTAGCATGAGAGCTATTATATATGGCAAGAAAGCGTGGAAAATATCAGATCATAGATTTACTTCGTATAGAGAACTGAAATACTTGCACAAGGTCAGTAGCACTTTATTAGGTGGATGGGCGAAACCGGCCGAATATACATTCGAACAGGTGCCTGGTAAACTAGGTTGCCAGGCTCCCAGGGTCCAGTTCGGTTTCGTGGCCAAGCGCCCGATTTACTTTCACTTGACGAACAAACCGGACCTGGTCTTTCTTCCACATCAGTACCACAGCAAATAGCTGCGCTACCCCACATGCCCCAACAGTGTACATCTGATGATTATATCCCGTTGCATACTCTGTGCGGACTGTATCTTGAATATCCATTGGTAGCCCGGAAAGGTGGCTTGGATCTGCTGCAGCCTCGGTGGGTGGAAGATGTGCTTTGACATAATTGACCAGAATGCTATTTACGATGGCCACACCTAATGACGCACCGAGCATTCGCGCCTGGAGTGTCAGGCCCATTGCGATGGCTTTAACATGTCAGTAAATTTGACAACGAGATGTATGTACCAGATCCTTATTGCTATTGGACATACCTTGCTCACTTTCGCTGACCACTATCGGAAGACACATGTACAGAGCCGCGATGGATATTCCCGTCCCAAGACCGGTTAAAGCCATGTACCCATACTCGCCCGGCCAGGCGTCCACCGTAGCGGGGACGGAAGAAAGCAGGAAGGCCCCCACTATCTGCAGCACGGACCCAGCGAGGGTCAGATATACAAACGGAGTGGCTAGTCGACCGGCCAAGATAGTGCAGCAAATGGCCCCCACGGGGGACCCGGCCCCAAAGGCGAGCACTCTTACGCCTGCCTCTATTGCGGTGAAATTATTGACGGCTTGAAATCTCTGGGGAAGCTCGATATATAGAATAGTGACAGCAGGCCCTGTCAGGAAAAAGCCACTGCAGATATGAAATTTGTCATGTCTGTGGTCAGCAAGGATAACGAAGTGGCACTTGCAGAATAGGTGAGGGAAATTGTTACTGACATGACGATTCCCAGCACTACCCGGCTTTTGAACAACTGCCATGGGAGCATTGGCTCCATGCGCATGTGCTTTCGGGTACTAAGGGTCCACTCCCAACCAAGAAAGGCTGCCAGAAGCACACCTGAGCCGGCTAAAAACCCGATGATGATCCCGGATGACCAGGCATACCGCACATTGGCTTCCTCCAAGGCGGCCACTAAGAGCATAGAGAATGCTAGAAGCAGGAGACATCCTACCGAGTCTGCGTGTGTTATGAATTCTCGCAGTTGACTTTGTGCATGACGAACAAGTCCGTCAGATCGGCGAGTCGTGACTCTCCTAGCAAAGTTCCTCGGAACGAGGAGGCAGAGCAAAATCCATGCCAATCCTCCTGCGGGCACACTAAATATTACAATTAGCACCCGGATGACAAAACGTGTATAGGACAGAGTTCTTGACCTTACTTGAAGAGAAAAATCCAGCGCCAAGCACCCGAGCTGCTTATGCCGCCCCCGATCAACGACCCCAAGATAAGGGCCAAAGTGAGCACGCCAGATCCAACAGCGCTGGCAGTGTCATACTTTTCGGGAGGCACGATACGGACCAAGCTGAAGAGGCCCAAAGAAAAAACTCCAGAGCCACCAATTCCCTGAAAAGCGCGACAGATGATACTTTGCCTATGTCTCAGAAAAGGCCGATGTTCTTGGTTCGGGAAGCGGGAAAGCTTACAGTTGGTCGATGCTTTGGGCGGCACCACACCCCCCGGAAAAAGCAATGAACAGGAGCAGGGAGCTCAGCAAGGCTGACTTGAGACCAAATGCATCGCTGCACTTAGCCCAAGTGGCGAGAAATCCGGTAAATGTCAGGAGGTAAGATGTGATGATCCAAGTACTCTGTTCTCCTCCCTCAAGATGCTCATTGATGGTAACGAGGGATGTGCTAATTATCGTGATCTCAGCCGTGGCTAGGAAAAGACTCAGCGCAATACTGTCGCCCAGTAAACTGACTTAGAATTGCTTTTTCCATTTTCGATCGGAATTAATCGCGCCCGCTTACCTAGAGCCTACAATCCATAGTCGAAGCCCGTGCAGATAGTGCGGAGAAGAACTCACCGACTCGGAGATTGAGGGTCCAGTATCGTCATCTTGCTCAGGTGCTTCAGAACCCGAGGTTGATTTCTCCGAGGACGCTGCCGGTAAACGATGAGACTTGATACTCGAGCCATCCAACCCAGAGTCATCCATCTCGAAACTGAAGAAAAGTACTCAAAGGCATCCAAACTACTCACATATCGATTGGTCGTGACGTGATTAAATACCCACCGAAGGCAATTTCATGGTTAGACAATGCGCCAGCAAAGTATAATGATATCCAAATGCGATCCACCCTTAAAGTTGTGACCGATCGAGAGATCCACACCAGCAGTTCGTCGGGCGTCATCAAATGCTATGACCTCCTGCATTCCCGGCCCTATTGATTCAATACATACATAGTATGGTGATCAACATCACATTTCCCTTTACGGTAGCCGTGCTTATTATTGATTGGATGCAGCGTCGACGGCCCTGCGAATAATATTGACCGTTCGTGTTACATCTTCCTTCGACCCAGCACCGGGAACCTCATGCCCTCGGCTATGAACATAAACCCATCTAACATCAGCTTTGCAGACAGTATTTGTTGTGGCAACCCGGTTGGCAGCCTCGTCCCGTGAGCCCCAAATATGGGCAGTTGGGATCGGGATAATGTCTGCGGCAGCCTCCAGATCGATTGCCATCACACGACCATTCTGCAGCGCTTGATAGTCCAGTGGGGGGTGAGTGATGGATAGGATAATTGCAAACTTGAATGGCATTTCATCCCGAGGATCCTGCTTGGCGAGATGGATGAGGTACGTAAGAATCATCGTGCCTGCTTGACTGAATGCGATGACCCCATCATAGGGACCCTCGTCATGGAGATATTCCTCCAAGTAATGGTAGGCTGCGAACCCACTTTCGGGATGACGCTCGTCAAAGTAGGCGTACATTGGTTCGTCTTTCCAGGCCACTACATCCACACCTGTGCCAACATTTAGCCGACTTTTCAGGAGGGGTCTGTTCTCCTGCTACTCTACCCGGGTACATCTTGGAAGGAATGGTTCCTTCAACAAAATCGTAGGTGTGATTGTCGCCGAGTTCGTACCGAATGGCCGCCGTTTGGATCTCGAATATCTTGATGTGGAGGGGCTGAGGTTAGCCCACGAGTTCCTATGAAGATGCGATCGCCAGGACAGTCACTCACTCGAGAATTGGTACCTGCTCCATGTAGACTAATTTGAATCAGTATAGAAACATTGGGGAATGACAGCAGATACACAATGGCGATACCAGAGGATGCGCATTTTGAAGAATGTTAAGCAACACGAATTGTCAATGGTGCCCGGAAGCATTGGAATATTGCAACAATTTATCCTAGCGGCCTTCAGCCTCTTCAATTACTGTGGTTGCTCACATTCTTCTGTGTCGAAGGTTTAGTGCTAAGCAGTAGCTGCATCGATCTATTGCGCCCGTCATCTGTTCCGGATAAAGTCGGCTCCAATAATGACATGCCGGATTGCTTCTGACACATGATCGCCAAGCTCGGACTGGGCTATGCAGCAATGGCCATCACATTGCTTACCCAGCCGAAGACAGCAATGGCGGGGTCAAGATCTCGACCTAGTCAGGCATGTTGGCCCGTCCATCCATCCTCCTTGCATATCGCCTCTTATGGCGGCAATGATCATCAGGTCGACAGTGCGGGTGCCCAATCAAAATACCTTGGACAGTGGTGGGATTTGCACCGGCTAGCTGAGAACGTCTGTTGGGCTTGATTGCTTTCATGATTGGCAATATGCTCCGCGCAGGTCATCGGAAATAGGCTTGTCTTAGCTCAAGCAATTCGATTATCTTGTTTCGTGCTGAGTACGATATTAGGCGCTCACATCCGCATCTTAGATAAACTGAGGCGAGAATGGGTAGTTGACCATTGCTCGGCTCTGTGACTGTCATAATCTATTCCCATGGAGACTCCTTCATCCAACAATACGGCTTACAATGCCCTTGAAGAGGGCAGCCTTGCTCCTTTAGCTGTTGTTGGAATTTCGTTGAAATTCCCTCAAGATGCAACATCACCTGAAGCGTTCTGGGATATGTTGGTTCAAGGCCGATGTGTTTCTGGAGAATTTCCTCGAGATCGGATGAATATCGACGCCCATCACGATGCCGACCGAGACCGGCTTCACAGTCTCTCCTGCCGAGGAGCTCACTTCCTTAAAGAGGACCTTGGTCGTTTTGATGCTCCCTTTTTTGGGATGAGTGACGCCGATGCAAAGGCCATGGACCCTCAACAGCGCCTCGCCTTGGAGACAGTATATCGAGCACTGGAAAATGCAGGGCTGCCGGTTGAGCATGTTGCCAGTTCGAAGACTAGTGTATTTGCGGGCTCCTTCTGCAGCGACTACCACATGATTCAGATCAAGGATCCGCTCAACGTGCCAAAAAATGCCATCGCGGGCAGCGGCCGGAATATGATCTCCAATCGCATCAGCTGGTTCTTCGACTTCTTAGGTCCTAGTGCGACTATTGACACGGCCTGCTCGAGCAGTCTCATGGCGGTGGATCTAGCCTGTCAGTCTATATGGGGCGGTGATGCTAATATGGTATTCAACACCTTCTAGCTTTGAAGCGCGCATCTGATGAAGACTGACTGACCTATATTGATAGGGCATTGCTATTGGCTGTAATATTATATTGGCCCCAGAGATGACTATTGGCCTAGACAACCTTGGGCTATTATCACGCGACAGCCACTGTTATAGTTTCGATAGCCGAGCAAATGGATACGCTAGGGGCGAAGGTGTCGGTGCTATTGTTATCAAACGACTGGATGACGCTGTATCAGCTGGAGACACCATCAGGGCTGTCATTCGATCATCCAGCTCTAACCAGGATGGAAGGACTCCTGGAATTCTTCAACCGAGCAAGAACGCACAGGTCCGTTTGATCCAAGACACCTATCGAAAGGCTGGCCTCGACATGGACACCACCAGGTACTTTGAAGCACATGGCACAGGTGAGACAACCCGAGGCTTCCACCGCCACAGTCCCTTTAACTATGCTAGGAACACCGATTGGTGATCCTATCGAGTCTCGAGCTATTGGTACTGCATTTCGTGAGTACAGATCAGGAGATGCGCCTCTATACGTGTAAGCAGCCAGGATTCAAGATATCAGGAGGCTACTAATTTATCGCCCAGGGGCTCTGTAAAGTCAAACATTGGCCATTTGGAAGGCGCTAGTGGAATTGCTGGCTTCATAAAAGCAGTTCTTGTGCTAGAAAAAGGCATTATTCCACCGAATAGCAGCAACCTGCAGGTCACAAACTCCCAGATCGACGAAGATTATATGAGACTCAAAGTAAGAGCCTAGGATGATCCGATAATGCCAAGCTAACTACCATAGATAATAAAAGGTGCCATTGCCTGGCCTACTACTGGATTACGGCGAGCTTCTGTGAGCTCCTTTGGCTTTGGCGGGGCAAATAGTCATATTGTGCTTGATGACGCTTACAACTCCCTTCGTCTGTGGGGTTATGAGACAGGTCATCATGATACTGTCGTAGTACCTTTGAAGCAGGTCAATGATTCGCCGCAGATGCCTGATCATGGCAAGGCCGACAGGACTAATTCTCATATCTCTCGAGTAAATGATGCTAATGATGATAACATATGTGAATACAGATCGGCTCCGAGGCTGTTTGTGTGGTCAGCCACGGACAAGGCAGGAATCACACGACTTGCAGAGAGCTGGAACTCGTACTTCTCGACTCCGATAGAAGTGACGGAAGCTTACATGAGGGATCTAGCATATACTTTATGCGATAGGCGAACTCATTGGGCGTGGAGGACTTTTGTTGTTGCTAATTCAGCCGTACCTATACAAAACATAACAGCACAATTCGCCCCTGCTACTCAGTGCATCACCTCACCACACCTGGCTTTTGCTTTTACCGGTGTAAGAACCCAAGGAACACTACTTCGGGCATGCTGACAGTTTATAGCAAGGAGCTCAGTGGTATGCAATGGGTCGCGAGCTCATAAGTCATTATGAGGTTTTCACGAGAAGCCTGTCCGATTCGGGTACATACTTCAAAGAGCTTGGATGTGAATGGGATGCGATAGGTACGTGAAAGGTCATACTACTCGTCATGACGCTAATATTTGTCAAATAGAGGAGCTACAGAAGCCAGAGTTGGAGTCAAAGGTGACTGATCCAGTGTATGGTCAACCACTCTGCACGGCACTTCAGATCGCGCTGGTAGATCTCCTTGAGAGCTGGGAAATATCACCTGCTGCGGTGGTTGGTCACTCTTCTGGCGAAATTGCTGCCGCGTAAGTCTACCCCCATTGTATTGTACTGTATCCTGACTCTGTGGTTTAGATACTGCTCCGGGGCGCTATCAAAACGCTCTGCACTGAAGATCGCATACTTCAGGGGCTATGTAGCCGGACTCCTTGGGGGCTCTAGTGACATGAAAGGAGGTATGCTTGCTGTGGGTCTGTCAAAGGAAGAGGTGCAGAAATACTTGGATGCGCTTGCCTCCCAGTTTGAAGCGTTGAAGGTTGTTGTAGCTTGCATCAACAGTCCCCGGAGCATCACAATATCCGGAGAACTGCAGCAGATTGAAGCCCTGCATGACCTGCTGAATCGCTATCATGTGTTCTCCCGAAAACTGACAGTCAATGTGGCCTACCATTCATTTCAGATGCGTGAGGTGTCAGACCGGTATCATACCATCCTTGGGGACCTGGAAATGTCATGCAAAAGAAAGAGAAAACCGCCATTCATGGTTTCATCTGTCACAGGAACCGTGGTATCGAACGAGCAACTGGTGGAGCCGGAGTACTGGGTCAATAACATGATTTCACCGGTACTTTTCCATGATGCAGTGAGCTATCTATGCTCACATTCGGAGAAGGTATCCAAGAAGATTGATGGCAGTCACCGCCGCACTGTTGCGATCAATCATCTTTTGGAAATTGGCCCACATTCTGCGCTGCAAGGACCGTGTCGTGATATTGTGAGCGCCATGGAGAGGTCTGACAAAGTCTCATATGTTCCCCTGCTGGTGCGCAAACGTTCCCCTCTGGAATGCATCATGGAAGCAGCAGGGCGTCTCCACTGCAGCGGATATACAGTCAAGTTATCATTGATCAACGCTGACGGGCTAGCGAAGGCCCAGCGAAGCCCTCGTGTGCTAATCGACCTACCCGAATATCCCTTCAATCACTCAACATCATACTGGCATGAAAGCCGCCTGAGTAAAGGATACAGACTCCGTCGATATGGTTACCTGGAGCTGCTTGGCACTCCTGAGCCAAACGGAAACCCGATGGAGGCTAGCTGGAGGAATATCATCCGAGTCTCTGATATGCCATGGGTGCAGGATCATAAAATCAACAATACTATCTTGTATCCGGGAGCAGGAATGGTGATCATGGCAATAGAGGCTGTCAAGCAACTGGCTGATCTAGAACGGCCTATTGCAGGCTTCAGTGTTCGGGACGCCGTGTTCTTGTCCGCCCTGCAAATTCCCACACACGCAGAGGGGATTGAGGTCAATGTGCACCTAAAGCGTACGACAGATAGAAAGGCGGATGCGACAGGCTGGTTTGAATATCGCATATACGCTTACGATAATGGAGCCTGGGTGGAAAACGGCGCCGGCTCCATTCAAGCCCTTTATGAAGCCAGAGACGCAGGCCTAGAAGCCAATCGCCGGGAGGAGAGCGCGTGGGAAAGCCATCTTCTAGAAGGCTTCAGCGGTGCAGCACAGTCATGTATATCATCTGTGAATGCCGACGAGTTTTATAAGCTCCTACGTTTATCTGGCTACCAATACGGCCCTGAATTCTCCGCAATCCAAAAAATTGGTTACAGAGAAGGAAGTTACAACAACATCGTCTCAGACATTCGCACATTTCGACCTACGGACACAGGTGGTCCCGGTACTTATCCGACTCACACGATCCACCCCACAACCTTTGACGGCATCATCCAGATGGCGGCTGGTTTGGAAACGGATGTAGGCCGGCGTGTGACAAATGTGGCTGTTCCAACAAGGATTGACCGGCTCTGGTTGTCGAATTCTGGTGGTCTCAGCCATCCATCTGCAAATATCGTCAAAGCATACGCGACCCGTAGCCAATCCGCCGTGGGGTATACATACTATTCCATGACGGCAGTGAATTCAGATGTCTCCAAGGCTCTTTTGACACTTGAAGGCTTGAAAGTGACGGCCATTGCAAGCACGGAGAAGGCGCATATTTCAAACCATTTCAAGGCCGATAATTTCTGCCATTTCATTGAGCGGAAGCCTGATATTGACCTATTAACAAGTTCTGAGGCTTGGAATCTCTACGGGGCTCACGATCCACAGCTCATAGAGCCGGTGCAGCAATTCACCGAGCTTGACTTTCTCGCAGCAACTTACATTAGCAGATATGCGACCTCTTTTCACGAGGAAGACAGACAGCCCCTTCCTCATATAAACAAATACGTGGACTGGGCACTGGACTACAACAGAACACTGGATCAGGGAATATCCCGATTTAGCGCTAAGGAATGGAGAGACCGCATGAACGATGACGAGTATATCAGAAAGCTACATGAGCGAGTGGAAAGTGGCAGCAAGCGAGGTCTTTTAGTGAGCACAGTCTGCCGGAATCTTGGGGGTTTTATACGAGACCCACTGGCTCTCTTGTTCAACAACAATCTACTTGCGGATGTCTACTATGAAATGGTAAGCATTGGTCACAGTTTACTGATCTCCTATCACTGGATATGCTAACACTCTAGAATTAGCTTCGCATTGGCTCAGGTTCATCACAACTGGAAAGATTTATCGGCGAGCTGGCTCATAAGAACCCGCAGATGAAGATCTTGGAGATAGGAGCCGGAACTGGAGCCATGACTGCCACCTGCCTCAAGGCACTAACCATGGACTTTGAGTCGGGGACCAGTCTGCGTTGTTACAGTCAGTGGGACTTTACCGATATCTCGAGCTCTTTCTTTCCCAGCGCCCAAAACCAGTTTGCAGCAGAAGGCCAGAGCATGCGCTTCAAGGTGCTCGATATTGAGCAAGACCCTGAAGCACAGGGGTTCGAGTGTGGGACCTACGATATGGTTGTTGCATTTCTGGTAAGTCGGAGAGTTATACTACCTGGTCACCAGATTGATTTGCTTAGGTTTTGCATGCAACGGCCAACTTGTCTGCTAGTCTGAGAAATGTCCGGAAGCTGTTGAAAGGGTATGTTGATGCCACGCCAGATATAAATGTACTAACTTGAGCCAGGGGTGGGAAGCTTCTTCTCTTTGAGATTACTCACCTGCATCCTGTCAGGACCAATCTTGTATTTGGCCTGCTCGATGGATGGTGGCGAGGTAAGGTCGTTTAGAAGTGAACCTCTGGGTTTATAGCTGACCCTAGCAGGGACAGAGGCATACCGCCAAAAGAGCCCCTGTATTAGTTCCGAGAAATGGGGCGAGCTCTTGAAAGAGACTGGTTTTTCTGGTTGCGACCTTGTGCTTGATGATTACAACGACAAAGTGTGTCGCGAGGGCAGCATGATCGTGTCGACTGCTGTTGCTCCTCGACCGACTCAAAGGACAAGTACAGCAGTTAATATCATCCTTGACCCAAGGGATCAAATCCAGGCTGATCTGGCAATGACACTGTCTGATTGTCTTCAGAAGATTGGACTTTCTGGCATCACTCAGAGATCGCTGAGCGACACCCTCAGCAGGGAGCTGTCACCAGACGTTCTGGACATCTGCCTCTTGGAATCAACGACCCCGTTTCTGTACAACATGAAAAAAACAGACTATGAAGGGCTGCAAGGGTTGGTGTCATCCACGAGGAATCTTATCTGGGTCGGCGAAGGTGGAGGGCGTCAACCCCTTGCAAAATCCGGACTTATTGATGGGCTTTTCAGGGTTCTTACTGGGGAGATGTACAGAGCTCGGCTGACAACCTTGTCACTTGAGCGGAACACTTCCAGAGAACACCAAGCCGAGCAGATCATCAAGATAGTGCGCTCCGTCGCTGCCGATACTGACAGGACTGCAGATACAGAGTACACCGAAATCGACGGCATACTTCACATCAATCGCCTGGTTCCCGCTAGGCCTCTATCTCAAGAAGTAGCCAGGAAGGTTCTCCCACAGCAAAGAGGGAAAAAGCCGTATGGCTTGGGGCCACCATTGAGACTGAACATCGGATCGCCTGGCCTGCTGAACACACTGCATTTTGTCGAAGACCGATCCCAAGAGAAACCTCTCGGGCCGAAAGAGATTCTTATCAAAGTCAAAGCCGTGGGTCTGAACTTCCGTGATGTGCTCGTTGCTTTAGGCAGACTGGAAACCGATACTCTAGGAGCTGAATTTTCTGGCGAAGTGGTCCAGATTGGAAGATCTTGTCAAAAGTTCCAGCCCGGCGACAGAGTCGTCGCCTTTCATCCCAGCCGCTATGCGAACTATGTTCGTGTGCAAGAGGACATGCCTGTGGCTAAGATCCGGAATGAGAAGATGTCATTCGTGACCGCTGCTGCTATTCCCGTAGCATATGCAACCGCGTGGATCACTCTGAGCAGAACAGCAAATCTTCAAGCAGGTGAATCAATATTGATTCATTCAGGGGCTGGTGGGACAGGACAGGCTGCTATCCATGTGGCGCAATACCTAGGAGCGACGGTGTTTGCGACGGTGTCGACCGAAGAGAAGAAGCAGCTCTTGATGGACCGTTGTCACATTCCCGCGGAGCATATCTTCTCCAGTCGAAATACACTATTCGCTAAAGGGATCCGACGTCTCACTCAAGGTAGAGGGGTAGACGTTGTTTTGAACTCGCTATCCGGTGATGGTCTTGTTGCATCATGGGAATCGGTTGCACCATATGGGCGGTTTGTTGAAATTGGGAAGAATGATATTCTTTCGAACTCGAAGCTTCCAATGCTCCAATTCGAGAGAAATGTCAGCTTCATGGCAATTGACCTCGCTGGAATGATGGCCGAACGGCCTCATCTGATCACTGCAGCTTTGGAGAAAGTATTCTCCATGCTTGAAGACGGCAAAATATCTCTTGTCCATCCTTTGCAGCTGCTAGGTATTGCAGAGATTGAGCATGCCTTTAGACAAATGCAGACCGGGAAGAACTCGGGGAAAACCGTGTTGGAGATGAGAGAAACGGACGAAGTCATGGTAGGTTGTCTTGGACAAGACGTGAACTTGGCTGACCTTGATAGACGGTTGTTGACACAAAACCTTCCTTTTCCTTCCCGCCGGATGCAACATATGTCATAGCTGGCGGGCTGGGTGGCCTTGGTCGCAGTATTGCCCGTTGGCTTGTTGAACGAGGGGCACGCAATTTGCTACTGCTCTCGCGATCTGGTCAGGCAAGTCCGCATGCAAGAAGTCTGGTGGAGGAGCTGCATGCCAGAGGTGCACGTGTTATCACTCCTGCATGTGACATTACCAACAGGGAACTGCTAAAGACAGTACTCAGCGTCTGTAGCCAGCTGATGCCTCCGATCAAGGGATGCGTGCAGGCAACAATGGTGGTCTCGGTTAGTAACCATATGCTTAGAAAGAAGGCAGCTAACCATGAAATAGGCTCAAAATTTCGAAAGCCTGGATTACGAGTCCTGGAAGTCAACCACGACTCCCAAAGCCCAGGGATCCTGGAACCTGCACAAGCTTCTCCCACAGGGCATGGACTTTTTCGTCATGATGTCCTCTGTCGCGGGCATTCTTGGAACGATCGGCGACCCTGGTTACGCAGCCGGCAATACATTCAAAGACGGTCTGGCACGACATCGAGTCGCACAAGGCGAGAAGGCAGTCTCGTTGGGCCTGGGACCTATCCTTACAGCAGGGTATTTGAAGGATAACCCGGACCGTCGAGAGTATTTCCTGTCCCACAACGTTCTCGATGAGATCACAGAGTTGGAGCTACACGCCATACTGGATACGTACTGCGACCCCAACCGGGACCAGATCTCCATGCTAGAGAGCCAGGTAGTCGTGGGAATCACCCCTACCATGCGAGAGCACGGAATGCACAAGACGGACTGGCTAGACCGACCGCTGTTCCGACATTTGGCTCTGATCAATGGAGCAGGAGGTGGCAGCACGGAGGACTCGAATCTAGCGGCTCTCTTTGCGGGGGCTTCATCGACGACAGAGGCAGCGGGGATCGCGATGCGCGCGACGCGGGAGAAGCTCTCGGTTATGATGTCCATGCCGGTGGACGAGATTGACACGGACAAGCCTATTCACCAATATGGAGTGGATTCGTTGGCCGCGGTGGAGCTACGGAATTGGTTCGCGCGGGAGTTACGGGCGGACCTGGCCATGTTTGATATCTTGGGGAGTGCGAGTATTGCATCGGTGGTGGCGGTGGCAGTGGGGAAGAGCGAGTACCGACGGTCTGACTCGGCTCTGAGTGATTCATAGTATCAGTTTTGCATGCATATACCATCAGTGCCATTCTAAATACCAGGACGGGACATATACACAATTTAGCACCTGGGGTTTTCAACTCCTACTGACATGTCAGATGTATTCCATCTCAAACTCGTAGGGCATTTTCAAGGTTCAAATGACCTAGCTTCCATACACTGTCACCAATCATCAACAACTCATCCTAACACATGTTAAACAATCAAACCAGCACTACAAACCACCATCAAAACACTATAATCCCCAAGACTCATTCTAGCCTAGAAACCACAATTGAGCCGAGTCAACCGGACTCGGGTATCGAACTCGGATTTCCGCCTCGGGTTTTGACCGACGGCAATTGACGGATATCGAATACCATCGGTAACCAACCAACAACCCTAAACTTATAAGTATACACCCAATCCAGCAGACAGACCCATACATAATACTATGTAACCCAGAACCAATTAATCCTCTACTCTCCCTTCAAACCCCAATATCAATCACAATCAATACAATCCAACCATACTAAGATACCAAAATGAAGCCTAAAATCCTCCACATCGGCGACCCCATCAAATACAACCACGACATCTACGCCCGCTTCACCACCGAATTCGACCTCATCCGGCCCCCCACCGCCGACCGCCAACGCAACGCCTTCAAACAAGCCCTGAAAGACCGTCGCTGGGGCGACTTCGACGCCATCTTCCGTCCCTTCTGGAACACCGGCGGCGAAATGGGTCGTTGGGACGAAGAACTCATCTCGTTGTTACCGGCCTCGGTGAAGATTATTGCCTCTGCAGGCGCGGGGTATGATTGGGTTGATGTGGATGTTTTGGCGAGATATGGTATGCCTTCCCCCCCCAATACCTATACAGTATACGTACTTACCCCATACTTACCCCACACCAATCCTACCACTACCACTCCCCCTCACAACCATCCAAATACTAATATTGTAATAATGGAAAAACAGGAATCCTCTACTGCAACGGCGCCGCCGCATCCTCCGAATCCGTCGCCGACATGACCCTCTTCCTAATCCTCAGTGTATTCCGCAACCTGCGCTGGTCTCACAGCGCCGCGCATTCCCTCAACGCGGGCCAATTCCTCGACGCACACACCAACTCCCCCCTCACAGCGCGAAATCCCTCCACCCAAACCCTCGGCATAATCGGCCTAGGACAAATCGGCTACACTATCGCGCGCAAAGTCCACGCCGCATTCAACATGCGTATCCTATACCATGATCTCATCCGGAAGGATAGTAAGTTAGAAGATGCAGTGAATGCCACGTTCGTGGATAGTTTGGAGGGGTTGTTGGGCCAAGTGGATTGCGTTGTTGTTTCTACGCCGTTTGCGGGGCGGACGTTGATGAGTAGGGAGATGTTTGGGAAGATGAAGCGCGGAGCGAGGTTTATTAATGTGGCGAGGGGAGGACTGGTGGATGAGGAGGCGTTGGTGGAGGCGGTTGAGAATGGACAGGTAAGTGCGGTGGGGATGGATGTGCATGCGAATGAACCGGATGTGCATCCGCGGTTGGCGGCGAGTGGGAAGGTGATGATGATGAGTCATAATGCGGGGGGGACGGTGGATACACATGTGGGGTTTGAGAGGTTGGCGATGGAGAATATTGAGGGGTTTTTGTTGAGGGGGGTGGCGGTGACGCCGGTGAATGGGCATTTGATTACTACTACTACTACTACTACTACTACTACTACTACTACTAGGAGTAAGAATGGGGGGAAGGAGGGGGGAGTAAGTTGTGATGAGGTTAGGGTTAGAATATATATGTCATTCTCCAAGTACAGTACATACACACGAGAAGGGTAACACCACCAAGAAGAAAGAAAGGGATGGGTTGAATCACCATGAAAACGTCTCCTCATATAAATCCACCTTTTTCACTCCCTGCTTCTCCCGTACAATCTGTCGTACGTCGTCGCCCAGTCCCCCAGGCCCGCACACACTGACCGCCATGGCACCCACCTGCTGTGCCATCTCTAGTTCCAAGATGTCCCGGAAACATGGCTTTCCGCTGTTGATACTAATTGGGACTCCGGACGGGGCGGAGATGGCCCACGGGGACTCGGCGGGGGAGTAATCTTCTGGACTGCACTCGCGGGTGCTGAGATAGACCTGGACTGACAGGGAGAAGTTGGGGAGCTCAAAGTAGGATTCCTGTTTGGGCACGTTGGCACCTTGTAGGGCTGGGTGGTTGAATAAGGATGCCATCCAGGGTTGGATCCAGGAGAGATGGTCTATTGATTCAGGTTAGTCATGTCATTGGTTGCTTGCTTGCTCGGGACACTCACCTAAACTGCGAACCACCCAGACAAGAGTCACTCGTCGGACGGCTGTCGAGCGCAACGCGAACCCATTCACAAACTCATAGATGTAGGACATTGGGTGCGTGATGCCAATACCACCGGCGACTAAAAGGACTGAGCCGTAGGAATTGAGGGATTCCAAGCCACCTGCTCTAATTAGCCACTTCAACGAGCTACAGATAGATGTGAATTACTTACCGAATGGTCCCTCCGCAAGCGCCATCGCGCTGAATCGCCGCTCCGTGGAGCTGCACACCTTCCGCAGTAACTTGCTGGTGAAGCCATCGCGCCGTTTGATCAAAAACGACATGGTGGTTTGCTGCGACCCCCCCACCAGACGGTTGATGGAATCATTCGAGCTGCGCTTTTCAACCAGCCCAGTCTCGCCGTTTGCAGTCCAGGCTACCGAGAATGGATGTGAAGTCCACAGCCCCAGAGACGGCATATACAGGTACATGTATTGTCCAGCTCTGAAGCTCCACGGCCGCGCCAGGGTGACGCTGACGCGCGCCACATCGCCAGGGAGGAGTTCTACTGTAGCCTTGGTGCGGTGCTTTCCCACGTTGCGCCAGATGACGCATGCCAGCCGGGTTGCTCTCTAGATGTCATTAGCAGGGCTCAGTGATAGACTGCGTGCGTGTGCCCAACTGGGTGGATGCTTACGTCGAAACCCCACAGAACCAGCGTAACAAGCAGAGCATACTGCTGCGACATGCCCTCCAGATGATACCATAAGCCCACAAAAGCCATAATAGCCAAAAGAATATGCGTATGAAGGAATGCTTCGTAGAATGCGTGTCGAACTGGCGATGTAGACTGTAGGAGGATTGCCGCAAACGCAAAGATAGCCTATTGCCAATACTGATCAGCACATACTCCCATCACTTTGGCACAGACAACTCACCACCAAACCACAGATAAAAAACTTGGTGTTCCAAATGAGCTTCGTAGCCGCGGCCAAACCACCCTCTATCGAGCACAAGCATTAGCCTCTTCCTCGACCATATAGACACAACCAACCCACCTTCATGTTCTTTCATCACCACAGCGGCGATCGTGTGAACAAGCCCCGAAAAAATAATTGTCCGGCCCACCCAACGATGCATGAGATTGAAGCAGTCAAATTTGATACCAAGCAGCGGCACCAAGGGATTGTTTCGGCCAGCAGCCAGAACCAACGCCGGTAAGTTGAGCACTGCCATGCTGCCCGCCGAATATTGGAATTGGAATACCACCTCATCCCAATCCTTCCACCAGTCGACCATGACAAAAAAGAAGACAATATTGATCGAGATATACGCTGTTAGCAGAGCCGCCTCCATCCGGAGCGGGATGATGCCCATGTGGATGTTATCGCCGAGGCGGAAATAGCGACTGTGGCGCACGGATAGTAACGGGGCGTAAAAGACATGCTTGTTGAGACTGGCGGAGAGGGCGCTGCTTTGCTCGAATTTTTCCTGGGTGTCGGTTCGTAGGATTTCGCGCAGTCGGCGACGATGGTGTAGTCGGATGAGACTACGACCCAGGAAGAGAATGAAAAAGGCCCCAGCGAGAATAAACATAGGTGTTGCCAATGCTACGTTCATCGGGGGATGGTAGTCAATTTGACGTACCTCCCCCGGCTGTAGATGGTCTACGCCCATGGTGTTTAACCCGCGAGGTCAAGTGGGTGGATGGGAGTTGATGTGGTGGAATCCGCCTTCGCCAAAGAGAAGTAATGCGAACTCGGACCTGAAATACTCGACCGGGCACATATCCGGACATTGGGATTATATACAGCAAACTATCATGACGTCCCGAAGCAACACCAAGACATCGTCTCAATGCCGTCATGCAACCGGATCTGCGCCATTGTCCATTGGGGCTGGCTGTCAAGCGCCAGTAAAACTCATGCGTTCAGACCCTTGGTGCATCCAGGCAATAAATCTCAGCTTTGGGTCTATCAGACGATTGCAACCTCCAAGGGTGGGACGGGCAGTCCGCGGAAGCGTGCCTTTGGTCGACAGGCACGCGAGTTCCTGTGACAGGGCAAAGTTAGATTCTGCAGAGAGGGACCAAGGAAGTGGACAGCGGGTCTTGAGATTTGGCTCCCGTTAAGCTTTCTTCAGCGTGGGACTGATCCCAGTCGTCGATCCGCCGAGCGATGGAACGGCCCTCCGGAAACGGAAGCGAGAATGTGGATGCACCATCCGCCAGACCCGGCTGGCTGCCATGTTTCCTGCGGTCGAGAACACGATCGTTGCATCCCATCGACTTTCTAGCGGATCTCCTATTTCAGACTGATCGGTGGTGACGTAGAATGGGTCGTATATGATGATGTGACGGCCCTGGACTAGACCGGCCTGACTTGGCTACCCCGATGCACGTAACAGACGAGAAAAGGAATAACTGCATCGTACACTCAACGCCTATTAATATTTCTGAGCCCGTAATTGTCAATTCCCCGGACGCAGTTATGTGCAGCGTTGGCCATGCTTGCCAGAGACATCCCCCCAGACATCCCGAACAGGGCAGCCGACGGATGTGCTGACGTCATACATTGGCCTTTCCCCGTGGAGGGCAGACTTGGCAAAGCAAGATTCAAATCCATGATCGCGTCAATGCCTGGTAGACCGGGAAGATGGTTGCATTCCGAACAACAGCCATGCTGTGTAGAGCCCGAGCTGGGCCGGTTGCAACGGTATAAGGTTGGGATTGTCTCACTTCAGGGCACCCGCCGCAGGGCCCCGATGGAATCATCGCCGAGACTCGTCGAGACCACCATCGCCCACGACAGGACTGATTCTAATGCGACCATATATCCGTTCATACCATGATATTGGGATGTCTCATGGAGTCAATTCTCGCCTGCTGTGACAAATTCACACCAAGTCTTGGCATTTCCTTCACGGCAAGTGGCAATGGAGGGAATGTGGAAGTGGTGGAAAAGTCATAGAATGTGACTTTGGCGTACCAAAGGATAGCCCTTTCGGCTTGATGTTTATCTCTGATGGCCAAAGCTTGCTGCCGATGCTCACAAAGTTAAGGTGCTTACTCGTATGGTTCAGCAGAGAACCACAGGGAGTCGCGTGGTCAAAGTCTTGCCAAAGTCTATCCAGCATGCACCAGCCGTCAGTAATCGAGTACTCCACCGAAAGCAGTACCCTTCGTTTGCGAGACTGAGACATCACCAGGGGGGAAGCCTGAGACATTGACAGGGGAAGCCCGACGAACCTGAGACATCCGCCAGGGGAAATGACACGGCTGAGACAGGTACGATCGTGTCTTATACGCATGCATACATCATGAATCGAGGGGAAACATGCCCTAAAAGACCAGATTCTTAAGATACCAAGACTGGCATCCAATACATTTAACACATGACAGTATTAGGCATTACAGGCAGATAGGAGATCTCTTGGATCCGATTCCGTTCCATTCCGGAAGCTGAGGGAAGATATCTGAACAGCCAGTGTGCAACCCAAGGACGCCTTGTACCAGAAATGTCAGAATTGTGTGGCGTACGAGTCAGCTTTCCAGCTGCCCGTCACATAAGAAAAACGCCCAAGAAAGGTAAAAGTCTGAAAAATACACGAAAAAGGTGATAAATATCCGATTTAGCCATATCATTAAGGAAACGTAACGGTGATATCTCAGAGTTTGTATTCAGTGTTGGCGGATTTGCACAGAATTTGGAACTGCTGGGCTCCAGGCTGCAGTCACAGTCGTCGTACCAATGTTCGAATAAGCCGCCATTTGGAATTGTCGTCTAGTCTATTGGATCGATTTTCTTGATTGCTTTTTCTCTTTTTGTCTTTCACTTGTTTTGATTTTCTCTTCTCTTCCTGGACATGAGAGTAATCGGCCACGTCGACCCCGGCGCTATGACATAGAGTCGTGCATTCGGTTTCGATGACTTTCACAAGCTGAGAGGTGAATCCATAGAAGGCGGGGTTGTACGCATTCCGCGCCCAGTACATCAGTTCGGATGCCACCCGACCAAGATTAGGGATAGACTGCTGTAGGATCTCGGGTTTCTGCAACATCCGTTGTTCGTCCGCTTCATCATCTGAAACCGAGGAGGGAGTGGAGCTGCGAGAGGCCGGCGAAGACGGCGAGGATTCGGAGGAAGACAGATAGTCAGTGTCGGAAGCCAGAACGTGAAGCAAATGGTAAACCGACGCAAATCCGAGTAGCGTCAGTTCTACTGGGTCAAGTGGCAGCTGATTGAACCAAGTGGTGGCCTTCTGGATCGTGAAACGTTCTGGCAGAGATGTGTCGCCCGTAGTCCGTGCCGTGAAAATCGCCGCAATCATGGCGCAACGAACTGAAATCGTAATCTCTTCCCGTACAGATACGGGCAGTGACGAATCAAGAAAGTTGGTGGCTTGGTTTTGCTTACTCTTTCCTTTGTCCTTCGGCAGCGCAGCAAGGACTGCTCCGATGTTCGCAGCGCGGTCCTGTTCGAAGAACACCGCCTGCATTACAAGGGCGCGAGTATGGGCAGCAGAAGGCTGGGGAGCGACGTCCAGGGCAAGTTTGATCTTGGCTTTGAACAGGTCACGACTCTTCTTAGCGTCGGGGCCACCAGTGCTGGCTTCAAAATATCGGAGCAGTGCCCGTTGCAAGAGATGACTGGACCACCAAGCTGCAAGAGCATCCAGAGCGGATTGAATCGCTGGATCCTCTTCCACTACATCCAGAAGAGCCTGGTCATCATCAGCACCTTCTTGTGTGGGACGGTTCCAGGTAAGGTTTGCCGCCCTCTGCACTATGCTGTCAATCATGACTTCATCACAATCCAGTTTCAACAATGCAGCCAAGTGACTGGGCAGAGCATCCGGGTGGTTTTTCGGCATGGCTTGATGTCTCTTCCGAGCAAGGTCCCATTGGTATCTCGCCAGTTTATGAGCGACATCGTTAGACAAGTCAAAGCTCCACGATCCCCGATCTCCGACTCGCCAGAGCAAAATGCGACAATGAAGAGCTTTGAGCATCATTCTCATGGGACTCCTAGGCAAGGTGCCGGCGGCAAAGATGGTGAGGACCAATCGACTCTTACTGATTTCGGCATCGCCACCGGCCAGTTGGGCGTCGATTGCAATATCCCAGGTCTTGACTCGGCCCTTCTCATCCTCCTCGGTGACGCCCGTAATCGAAGAGTAGAGCTTCCATCCCAGGAGACACCGTAGGATGTACTCGAAGCAGCGCGACGTCACGACATACCACTCGTGGAAAAAGCGGTGACGTGGGACACCGACTCGCTGTATGCTGGTCAACCAAGCCTGGCGTCGGAAGTTCGATGACGATAACGTAGCAGTAGCAGTCTTCAAGGAAGAAGCCTGGTGTCCGGGACTAGCATTGAAAAGATAAACAAATACCACGAACGCACTGCCAACGACCAAGGTAGCGAGGATGAGGAAATGCGAGATTGCTCGTGCGTGCCATGAATACCAAAAGCTTCGAGCCATTGCAAGCCAGTACGCGACCGTTGGGCTCTGAAGAGTGGTTTGCAGGCTGCTGAACAAGCTGGTCGGAACCGCCAATAGTCCTTTGGCGGTTGACTCGGATTTCTTTTCGCTGCCCATGCCCTCGATTACCATGAGCCCTGCAAGAGCACCAAGCATGTATTTGTTGGGGTAGTATGACCGCCTGGCACGACCGGTTGACGATGTACTGGTTTTGCTCGGATACTGCATGTATGACTGAGAGAAAGCGTTGTCTTTTGCGGACTCTTCCCGCATGCGTTTAAACGCATCTGGTACCTTGATCAAGCCCTCTGGGGGATGCAATGTGGTCGGGGAGTGGTCGCTGGGACTATCCTCTACATGCGAAAACACGCTCGGTGATGAGCTGGCGCCAGATTCCGTGGACACGGTGTAGTTGCTGGGAGATGAAACGGATGCTGCGGAAGTTAGCGACTGGTCAACGGCCTTATCCGCTTGACGAAGTCGGTTTTTCAATGCCATGTTCTCATCCTCGAGTCGCTTGTTGCGAATTTCAAGGTGACGGATATACTCGGTTGCTTTGGAAAGAATGGAGGCCTTGTTCAGCTTGTTGGATGGAGTGACCCCTTCGCCGTCATCATCATCGAGGAGATTACCCGATGCATTTTTCGAGGCCCGGAGACTAGGCACGCTGTCCCTCAGCTCGGCAATCTTCTCATTCAAGTTTGCTCGATACCGTTTCTCGATGACGTTGTGTGCTCGCTTCTTGGCCGGCATCTTTTTGCCGGTCTGAACGACGCCACTCACGGTCGATCCATCATCATCACTGCCCGACTTGCGTTTACGACTCGCCCCTTCCGATGAAAGCGGAGAGCCGGACGTAGCAGACAGCGCTGAGTGTAGGTCGATGCCAGTAGATCCGGGTTTCGATTGAGGCAAGCCACTGTAGCTTTGATCGAGGAGGGAATCAAACGGGAGGTTGGTACAATCGAGGGAGATATCCGGGGAAAAATCCGTTTTCTGAAAGAGATCTGTATTTCCTATAGATGCATTGGGCGAAGTGAACGCAGCATCAAAGGGAGATCGGGATAGATCTTTAATCCCATCCGCAAAGCCCTGGTCATCCCACCTCATCCACTGCGTCCAGTCCTGGCTTGAATCCTCCGTTGTAGATTGGGCGAATGTTGTCGATTCGGCCTGTGAGTCTCTTCTATCCGAGGATTGTAAGGGGGAGAATAGCTGAAAGTCGCTACCCATGGTAGGCATTGCCATCTTGTCCAGCGGCCAAGGCCGGGACCATCAATCGCAATCGGACCGTCAGTGCGCTGTGGCGATTATCACGGGACGAATCCCAGCTGTCGATGAGGTTAGTGACGATATCAAGGTATGAAGATGATGGCTCGGTGGATCGAAGTTGTGGTGATGCTGTTCCATGAAAGCATACCTGATGGAAAGGTCAGGAGCGAGCCGGCTAGTAGCAGGTGTGAATCGCGAGCGAGATTATCACCCCAATCAGACGCGCTAACGAGGCTAGGTTATGAACAGTGGAGTCTGGGTCAGGGACACTCAGGCGGGCAGTAATTGAGGGGGTAGTGGATGGGTGGATGATGCTGGGTTGGTTGCGGTGCTTCAAATTGGTTGATGATCTGTTCAACTCTTGCCGAAGGAAAGTGAAAGGTTGATGATGACAGGGTTGTGGCAGCGCAGGTGGCAGCGTAGGTGGCAGCAGGGAGGTATGTTTTAGATCTTATCGAACCGTTGGGCGGTTGAGGCGCGGCCACTGACTGGACAAGCGGCTCTCCGTCCCGGCGGAGCAGATTTTGACTTCTGGTTAATGGAGATGTTTCGACTTTCGAGATTGAACTGCAAGGTCACCCCGCCTGTTCCGTCACACGGACGCCGCATATAATTTAGGATGGTCTGCACGACAAAGCAAGATGGAGTGGTCAAGGATAGGTGCCAGCCATCCAAGGCAGAGACCCAAGGCAGGCACCGCAGCCTGAAGGCAAATGCTGTGCTGCTCCTCGGCCAATGTTCGGTTTTTGACGTCGTATGATCGCGGGACACGGCGCTTCCGGCAAACCGACCCAAACAGTGATCGTGCCAGGGGTGTATTTGTATTACCATTATGTAAAAGGCGTGTATCGAAGTTGGGTCTATTATATGGTACGAAAGTGTATGCATACCTTCCGCCTACGTCAACCAATCGTATTGCGGCTACTAAAAATAGCCGAAGTCCAACTCTGACAGTGCTTGATACCAGAACGCATTTATAGTCAAGGACGATCCTCTGAAGCTTTGGAAGGACCGGCTGCGGTGTCAAGTCCTCTTCATCAGCCGACGCTCATGCAGCGCTCCACTCGCACTTCCGTCAGTGTTTCAAACGCAGTGTTGCACTTTGAACCGCCTTATCCAGAGGACTTGAATCGAATCGGTCAATGAGAGACGATATTATCTGATTGCTGGCACATATATTTTGATGGACATAGGAATCAGGGTGATAAAACGCATTTTACCTCCGTTATTCCAACACTGTGCACTGTCCAGAATACATCTAGTGCTCACACAGATGCAAGACTCAGTTGTTAGCAGCGTCGATGCCCTCCAAAACTTAGCGACCGACTTAGTGGTACATGACACCCAATGTTATGAGAAATATCACTCAGCATGTCTATAACTTGTGGATTGCAGGGATATCCAGGTTACTACTCCATATGATAACTGCTTGCCTGCATGCATGCATGCATTGCCAGGTGTGCTATGAGATGCGACCGTACGAATTGCCTCCAGATCTTGGTATCTCGGCTTGTCTTGGAATTTTATCATGGTCGTTCAAGTGTGGAGGGGCGATCTCAACGGCTACAGTTGTAGCAACCTTTCTATATCGCCATCTAGGTCTAGGTAATGAGGATGCAAAGGGTGTCGCTATTACATGGGCTATCCAAATAAGAGAGACAAGGTTGCCTAGCTCAAGATTCATAGTGATTCTATACTTCGTCTGCAAATTTAGTGAAATCGGAAACCTCGTATGTTAGTAGTACTAAACCGTCTGATATGGCTACATATATATATTTGTTCGACTATACAACCATGTAGGATCGGGCCTCTTCCCACGGGATAATAAACCCCAATGATATTTTACATCGTCAAATACAAATTAGATGTGACTAGGAATGCCTATTACCGCAGTAGAGATGTACTTGGTCCAGTTGCGGGGTAGGCTGCCCGACAAGGCAAATTTTGCGAACTGCAGCTACCCCATGCTAAGTCAACCCCGCATTCTCTTATCCGCCTGTTGTTCCTAATTGAATAAGATAGCATACCTCGCCTATATTTCCTATCGTGTTGGAGATTGTATGCATATTCTTGTGGCTCGTGATACATATAATTCTATGATCCCCCGATGGAATGGTGCTGAAGCTACCAGCCGTGGGCATTGAGTCTCATTGTATCCTCGACAAGCTATAACGGCAACAGTGCCCGAGAAAATGAACCTGAAACTACCGAACCAAGGAGTCTATATCGACCCGGCCCATAATCTCTATATAGCAGACGCAGAGCCAACGCTTGAGCATGTGGTCGATGGTTCGAGCCTACAGGAGGGAGAGGTCACAGTAGCTATCAAATACAGTGGGATTTGTGGGTGAGTTGTTTACTCCTACTTACTCATTGCTAGGCTAATATCCACGATCAGCTCCGATGTGCATTTCTGGAAGCACGGCGGTATTGGCCCATGGGTAGTCAAGGATGCCCATATTTTAGGGCACGAATCTGCGGGCGTCATCGTGAACATCCACCCTTCCGTCACCAGTCTTGCAATTGGAGACCGCGTTGCCATTGAACCCCATATAGTGTGCAAGGAATGCGAACCATGTATCTCAGGGCGGTACAATGGATGCAAGAACCTGCTGTTTCGCTCAAGCCCGCCTTCTCATGGTCTGTTGCGGACTTATGTGAATCATCCAGCTGTATGGTGTCACAAGATCGGATCTCTCACATATCAACAAGGTGCATTGTTGGAGCCGCTCAGTGTTGCCCTCACTTCTGTCACTCGGTCGGGGGTCAAAATTGGCGATCCGGTCTTGATATGTGGGGCGGGGCCGATTGGACTGGTGATGCTCGATTGCTGTCGGGCTGCTGGAGCATATCCCATTGTTATCAGTGATATCAACCCGGCTCGACTGGAATTTGCACAGAAGTTCGTTCCCACTGTTCGGACACTGCAGGTTCAGTCCGACGAGGACGAGAAGCAATTTGCAGCTCGCGTGGTGGAGTTGATGGGCGGGGCGGATTCTGAGCCAGCGATTGCCCTGGAATGTACCGGAATTCAGAGTTCAATCGCAGGCGCCATTCAAAGCGTCAAGTTCGGCGGTAAAGTGTTTGTTGTTGGAGTCGGCAAAAACCAGCTACAGTTTCCATTCATGCGTTTGAGCGAGCGGGAAATTGACCTGCAGTTTCAACAGCGATATGTCAACATGTGGCCACGAGCTGTCCGGGTCATGTCAAGCGGGATGATTGATTTGAGCAGACTGATTACACACGAGTTTGCCTTCAAGGACGCGCCCAAGGCATTTGAGACGGCCTCGGACCCGAATAGTGGCTCCATCAAAGTGTTGATCCGGGGGCCAGATGAATGAGACCATGCATTATATCATAGTCAATCGAATTGACTAGTTCAGCTGTCCTAAAGTCAATATTATGTATCACTGGATAAATTGTATAGTCAGACATAACCAAAGAAATTCCCTTAAATCTCATTGAGTTGTTACTGCAGCTCACACTACTACAAAGTGCCACAGCACCACCCCATCGTTACGCACATGGATAAACCTTAATGGCCAGGTCCGCCCGCACTGCTACTTACATTTCTACCACTGATCAGCATTGAAAACTCAAGGATGAGAGAAAAGGATCAGCCATCACACACACAGAAAAAAACCAGCTTACTCTCATATCACATGTACGCAGTACCCTCGGAGATATAAACAAATTAAGTACGTAAAACCCCGAGGTTGTGATGTGTAATTTCCCCAACACATCATCGACATCAATTTAGCCGTGATCCCGGAACCACTTTTCCGAACCCCATTTAGTATATAAAATGAGAGACTAAGACTGTGTTGCATGGTGGGTGGATCCCTCCACTTTAGTGGGTGATTTATCAAATACATACATAGTACGAAGTACGAGTATGTAGCTGACTGTGGATGATTCAGAGTGGGGTAGTAGGTACTTCTTTTTTGAAGGGGAAGATTTGTTTCACTAGGTCGGTGTATACCTGCTGAATAAATGCCCCGTGCTATTGTCTATTACTAACTGTACACACTGGAAGTAGATCGGATGGCTTCATTATCGTCTTCTGGTCTTTTGAGATGAGATCTTTCCGGTTGGCTATTCCATGCAAAGTTAGTTTACTGACTAGAATCATTACTAGAACGATCAATATGGCTGAAAGAATCCAGAATATGTAGTGAAACAATAGGAAATGCCAGGCAATCCTCGCTGACAACCGCTGTCTCCCAGAGGACTCATCTCACTATGTAGATGTCAGCCAAATACTCGGCCCAGAGCTCCAAGTCAGGTGGCTTATATATAGGGTGATCAACCCCGGTGCTTATGCTTTCCATCATCAAGTCATCCTTCAGACCTGATCATGGCCCACCCCTCAGCATCAGCATTGTCCTTCACCACCCCCTCGACTCCCCCGTCGACCGGACTGACCCTCACCAAGTTCCACCTCGAAAAATCAGGCCCCGGGGAAGTCCAGATCGCCTTCCTCTACGCCCCCATCAATCCGCTCGACCTTCTGGTTGTCTCGGGCAAATACCCCGTCAAACCACTCCATACCGTCCCCGGCACACCAAACCCATCATATGTCCCTGGATACGATGGCGTGGCCCGAGTCGTCGCCATCGGGGAGGGTATATCCCCGTCCGCCTTTCGTGAAGGGGACCTTGTCATCCCCGCCGGTCTAGGGTTGGGAACATGGCGTAGCCACGCCAACGTACCGGCTTCCAGCCTCCTGAATCTGACATCTGGACTGTCATTCTCTGACATCCCCTCCCGATCGAATGTTCTCGCCTTTAGCATCCTCCGTACGGTCTTCGTTACGGCTTACCTCTTGCTGGAACATAGCCGAGAATCTCTGAAACCCGGGGACTGGATCATCCTGAACGCTGCTACGGGGGCGATTGCATCCGCCGTAGTCCAGCTGGCTACTCTCCGTGGCATTCACTCCATCTGTGTCATTCGTGATCGGCCAGACCCAGCTTCTAATCAAGCGGCTGTCGACGAGCTCAAACGCTACGGTGCTCATACGGTCCTCACCGAGTCCGAACTCGAAGAAAGTGCCGCGGGGCTTCAGGGCAAACGTATCGTGCTCGCCTTGGATGCCGTATTTGGGGCATCTGCTGAGAGACTTGCTGCGACGCTGGCTTCTGGTGGTACCTTGGTGAATTACGGCACCCTGGGAGGAGGGGGTCCAGCGGCATCGATGGGGTTGACCAGTCGTGTTCTGTTCTGGAATCAAATCACGCTGCGTGCGTTTCGAGGGTCAACCTACCTCGCCCAACGGACGGAGGAGGAAACCCGGGATCTGGTGGTTTGGTTAGCCGGGCTGGTAGTGCAGAAGCGGTTGAGGATGCCATCGGTTCAGCTGGTGGGCTGGGGAGATGCAGATCAAGATGGAGTGCGGCGGGCCGAGGATCGGGCGGTGGGACACGCCAAGCTGGTCTGGGAGTTTGACTGGTTTGAATAGTTTGATGGTAGAAAGCTTGTGTAGACAGAGACACTTAACTCAGACACTTCCTCTCCTTCATCATCCGCAGTTATTTACATGACACCAAATCGGAGAAAACCCTAGTTTGTACCCTCACTCATCTCTAGCCCGCTGTTCATTCTCTTTCTCAATCGCAGCCGCATTGTATTTCCGCAGGATAGCATCCAGGCCAGCCACGGGCGGGTCATCCACCAGGCCCGCCGACCGCGACAGATTGGCGATTAGCGCGTACACACTGTGGATCACAATCACCTCCACTGTTCCTTCCGGCCCAAGGACCGCATTGCTAGCCTGCGCCGTTTCTGGGGAAAGGCGATGCTGGGTCACTAGCTCGGCGGTCATCTGGGCCACCAGTCGGTGTCGGTCGCTGAAGATGGTCTTGTCGGAGAGATCGCCTTCGCGAAGTTTGGCGAGCGCATCATCATCGAACCCGAACAATCGTGCCACGGGTTCGTTGACCTGCCATTCATAATCGCTTTCCAGAATGCTGGCCGTTCGCAGGACGACGACCTGCCATTCGGAGGAACGAATTGTGCGAGTTGGTGCCCATGATGCTGCCGTCAATTGCATGAACGGCTGGAAAAAGGTGGCGCTGTTGGCAAGCACCTTGGGTAGGTTTCGCTCCACAGGCAGCAGGGCCATCGCCTGCGCGACGGCTGGATCTGCCGTCTCGGGATTGAAGGGAGGAATAAACCACGACTGGGATGACATGGTGGAAGACTTGTTGCTGTGTGTACTAAGCTAGGATGTGAGAGATCTGTCGAGGAAATGTGGCAGCGTCGGCCTTTTTCGAAAATTGTCGGTAGCCATCATTGCCCACAAAGGAAGCAAATTGCTTGGAGTTGATTTTTAATCAATTGCTCAAGGATGCAGACCCCTGAGGGTTGAATCCATCGGGGCAAAGTGCGGACACGGGATATTAGGGGATGAAGCGATGCAACCCAGCATCTACTAGTGAGCACGCAACTGACAGGGGTTGTTGGCCACGACGTTGCAGAACAGGCCATCAGCTGCTGTGCCCAATGGAGAGAACGGCGTCTGCCGTCTGGCCTTTGCACTAACGCAGCCTCAACAGCTCCCGATTGGCCGGTTCACAAGGCTTGAGTCTGCCCGATCCTTTGGGGCCCCGGGATTCGGCAATATTGTCCAAAGAAGCAACAAAGATCGTCGTTAATTTAGATGTTGGATTTGTAATCGCCATTCTCTCTCCCTCGCCTACTAATACGACCATCGTGAGCTCTGAAGAGATGCATGGTCATTGCACCCTTCTTACTTTGCCGCCTTCTCCAAATTCTTCAGATCATCAGCGGCCACCACCATGTCAGACCGGTCCTCCTCCTCTGCCGGTAAGACGAAACAAGCCCTTCCTGAAACGCTCCAATCTACGGAAGGCATTCCACAATTGAGCGAGAAGGTTGATCCCACACCAACCCCTGCCCCAGCCAAAGCCCCAGGCCCATCGGACATTCCCAATGGAGGTTTCCTGGCCTGGTACCAGGTCATGGGATCGTTTTTCCTCTTCTTCAACTGCTGGTGAGATTTTAGATGCCTGATGTGGAGCATGTGAGCTGACGCTTCTAGGGGTATCGTCAATACCTTTGGCGTGTATCAGACGTATTATGAGCAGAACCTGTTGAAGACTCGATCTGCAATGGACATTTCCTGGGTGGGTTCGATCCAGGCCTTTCTCCTCGTATTCATTGGAGTCGTCACCGGTCCGTTGTATGATTATGGCTACTTCCGGGTGTTGATCGGCGTTGGGTCCATTCTGGTTGTCTTTGGTATGATGATGACTTCCATCTGCCATGAGTACTGGGAGGTCATGCTCGCCCAAGGCATCGTGGTTGGCCTCGGTTCGGGCTGCTTGTTCGTCCCGAGCGTGGCCATCTTGCCCACTTACTTTTCAACCAAGAAGGCATTGGCCCAGGGCATTGCCGCCAGTGGCAGCAGTTTAGGTAAGGAGCAGTGTGCACCCTTTGGATGAAGCTAACATCTCCAGGCGGAGTCATCTACCCCATCGTGTTCCGTAAATTGCAGCCTAGTATTGGCTTTGGCTGGGCCACTCGCGTCATTGCTTTTATCATGCTGGCCACGCTCATTATTCCCAACGCCGGGATGCGTATGCGGGTCAAGCCGTCCAGCCGGCGCAGGATGTTTGAAGCCGAAGCCTGGCGCGAACCACCTTTTGTTTTGTTCTCACTTGCTACCTTCTTCGGTTTCATGGGAATGTATCTCCCCTTCTTCTATGTACAGTCGTACGCGATGGACACCAAGATCATGGGCGAAAACCTCGCCTTCTATCTTCTATCCATCACCAACGCGGCCAGTGTGTTTGGACGGATTGTGCCCAACTTCTTTGCGGACAAAACGGGCCCTCTGAACATGCTACTCCCCACGTCGACGATTGCGGGTGTTTTGGCCTTTGTCTGGATTGGCATTCATAATACCGGGGGCATGATTGTGTTCTGTATTCTGTACGGATTCTTCTCCGGGACCTTTGTGTCTCTCCCTCCCACGACGATTGTGACGTTGTCTCCCAGTCTGGGGGTAGTGGGGGTCCGAATGGGGATGAGCTTTGTGCTCGCAGCGATTGGACTGCTGATTGGGACCCCGATTGGGGGCGCTCTGCTGGACCACGGGTGGGTGGCATTGCAGGCATGGTGTGGTGCCTGCGTCATCATCGCGGCCATTCTGGTGTTATTGGCCCGACTGACCAAGGTGGGAACCAAGGTGATGGTCAAGGCCTAGCCAGGTGTATGAGACCCTCGGGGTCCGATGTAGCTAGAACCTAGCCTATGATTACACTAGGATTGGCTACAGGGCACCATAAGCATAGTTGTCATGTTCAACCACTGCCAAGCTAGAATATTTAAACCCTAAAAGCAACCGAGTGCCATATCCATTCAATTTCAGGCCTTCTATCCGTTTCTTCCCGAGTATCATACCTGCAAATTCACGTTTCACTATGACTTCCGACGCCATGAATGCATCCCCCACCGACTGGCAAACTGTGGGCCATCGCAAGCGGGACGAAATCCAAGCCCGTATTCGTCCTTTCCTACCCGCCGACAACAACTTTCGACCCCCACCGGCAGAGGAACTGCAAGACGCACGAGAATACGCCCGGGGATACCTGGACGACACCGAGCTTCACCTGACGGAGGGTCTAACAGCGACGGAGCTGACGGAACGGATCGCCGACGGGCAGATTTCCGCCAAACAGGCGGTTGTGGCGTTCTGTAAGCGGGCTGCGATGGCCCATCAGCTGGTAAGATTGCACCATCAGGGGCCAGATTCCATGGCAGATTACAGCTAACCTGCCTAATCAAGACCAACTGTCTGTCCGAGGTGTTTTTCGACGACGCCATCCGTCGGGCGGAGGAATTGGATCGACATCTGGCCTCGCACGGCCCTGTTGGCCCGCTTCACGGCCTCCCTGTCAGCCTGAAGGATCAATTCCGCGTCGATGGAGTCGAAACCAGCTTGGGTTATGTGTCGTGGCTGGGCCAGAGGGACACCGAAACCTCCGAGTCCCTGATTGTCCAGCATCTCAAGGCCATGGGGGCCGTGCTGTACGCTAAGACGAATGTGCCGACTAGTTTGATGGTGCGTGATTGATCCTGTTCCTTCATCCCCTCTCATCGGAGGTGGAAAACCCCGCATACCCCACGTTCGTGGCTTTTCCTGAAGGATTCCCCTTGCTGATCTTTCCTCAGGCCATGGAGACAAACAACAACATTATTGGCTACACTGTCAATCCCTTTAATCGATTGCTCTCGTCAGCGGGATCCTCGGGCGGCGAAGCAGCCCTTTTGGCCATGCGAGGCAGCGTCATTGGCCTCGGCTCTGACTTTTGTCAGTGTCTCCACCCCCTCAGCAGAAATGAACTAACCGTCGGACTCCAGCGGCTTCGGTCCGTCTGCCATGCAGTGCGCAAGGCTTGTATGGACTTAAGCCCTCCCATGGAAGACTTTCATACCTCCGCGTGGCCAATAGCGTGCGTTCCTCACGGGGATCCCATCTCACGTCAGCCCTAAGTCTAACACAATGTCTATAGATGGAAGGTCAGGATCTCAACAACTCCGTCATTGGCATCATGGGTCACGACGTCGATGATCTCGCCTTCATGACGCGTAGTCTGCTGTCTCGGTCTCCGTGGGAAGACGATCCCAAAGTGGCCCCCATTCCCTGGACACAGGCTAAATTCGACGACACATTGGCTCGAGGAGCCAACCAGCGGTTGACATTCGGGGTGCTGCGATGTGATGGCGTCGTTCAACCTCATCCTCCGGTGGCTCGCGCAATCGAGGAGGTTGTACAGGCCCTTCAGGCTTGGGGACACGAAGTAATCTATCTTGATTCCACAGAGTAACCGTAACCCTGCTAATGTATTACAGGTAATTGAATGGTCGCCACCGAACCACGCCGAGGCTTTTGATATTCTGGTACGTCCACTACACCATGCTCCAATGGCTAACCCTAACATACCGTAACATAGTGGAACATCTTCACATCTGACGGCGGCCGTGACATCCACACCGCACTGCAAGCCAGCGGCGAGGACCCAATCCCCCAGATCGCAGCCGTATACGGCTCCAAACCAGGCCATCTCCCAATGAAATCCCTGCACGAGACATGGCAGATCTCCACCCGTCGCAACGACTTCCAGACCTCATATCTCCGCTACTGGAAGAGTACCGCGGAGTTGACACGCACCGGCCAACCCGTCGACTTCATCCTGATGCCTACCGCACCCACTGCATCCTTCCGTCCCGGCCAGGCTCTGTATCCGGGATACACGGGAGTAGTGAGCATTCTGGACTTACCGGCCGTGGATGTCCCAGCTACGCGTGTCCAGGCTAGTCAGGATGAATGGCATCATCGGGACGAGTTCTTTAACGATTTCGATCGACAGATCTGGATGCAGTGTACGTGGACACGTTCCGTTCCTGGCCTCGGACCATGCTGACGACGTGCAGATGACAAGAACGTGTTTCATAATGTTCCGGTGGGAGTGCAGGTCGTGGGACGGAGATTGGAGGAGGAGAGGGTGTTGGCGGGGGGGCGTCTCGTGGCTGAATGTTTGCAGAAGGTGAGCTGAGCAAGCTGACAAGGTTACATTGCATTCATTGCATTGCATGGAATGGGAGGATGCGTATAGCCTCGTTTCCGCTTGGCCCGTTGTGAATAGGATAGGAATGGATTCCCTGCTTGAATGATCCTGCAATCCACACCACCCTGTCGTAACAAGTACCATGAATGATTTTATCCAAGTACTATACTCCAACCCACAAGAAGAACTATATAACCCCCAAAAATCCCACCCCATCCATCAACCATCACCACCCACAACCACAACTCCAGCTCCCAAACAACCAAACCAAACCAACCAACCCAATACCAAATCCACAAACAACAACCGCAACCATGCTCTCCAGCATCCTGCCCTTCTCTGTCCGTCCCCTCCCCCCCTCCCCAAAACCCCACCCCAAACCCTCTCAACTAACAGAAAGTGAAATTTTTTAAAAAAAAACAGCCCGACCTCGCCGACCGCGCAAGCCAATACTGCGAATCCCACTCCGACATCCCCCCCGACACCCTCCTCGCACACTGGGTCCAAACGACCCAGAAATTCGGCGATGCGGATAAAATGTCCTCGAAGCTGCAAGGACAATGGATGATTTGGTTAGCTGAGGATCGGAAGCCGAAGAGGGGTATGTCCCTCTCCCCCCTCCATATTCCTACATTTCTTGATATGAAGAGAGAGAGAGAAAGAGAGATAGACATACTAACAGAGAAATAAAAATAAAGTGCTGGAGATAGGCACCTACAGCGGCTTCTCCGCTCTAGCCTGGTACTTGGGAACCCAGAAGACGAAGGCCGAGATCGTGACACTTGAGATAAATTCCGAGATGATCAAGGCTGCTAAGGCTGCTTTTGAGCGGTTCAAGGCGACGGATCGGATTCGCTTGGTGGAGGGGCCGGCGGGGGAGTCGTATGTTTTCCCAATTTCTTTTCTTCTCCCTCTTTGCCCTAATCTAATACCAGATTGACTAACACTGGGTTGTGCTGTGCTGTGGAAACAGGATTGAGAATCTGACCGGCGAATTCGACCTCATTTTCGTAGACGCCAACAAAGACGGCTACGAAGACTATGTGAAGCAAATTCTGGATAAGAGGTTGCTTTCGAAGGATGGGGTTATTTTGGCGGATAATGGTACCCCCACTCCACCCCCTATCCCTATCCTATACCCTACTTCTTCTTTTCTAGATCTGTCTCGTTGAGGATAAGGCACTAATGGTTCTGGTGTGGGTGGGTAGTGTTTGCAAGGGGCCTCACCCTGGGGCAAGAATTCGCCCCTCATCTTTCGAATGCGGTTCGGCCGTATTGGACTGCGAATGGGGTGGCGTTGGATCACTTCACGAAGTTTTTGTTGGAGGATGAGAGGGTCTCGACGGTTTTGTTGCCGTTGTTTGATGGGGTTAGTTTTGTGAAGTGGAGGGATTAAGTTATTTCTTTTTTTCTTGATGGTAGGGGATGGGGGTATCAGGGGTTTGAGGGATGGTGCTGGTGTAGTGAGAGGGGGTTGCTGGGAGGGAGGGAGAGGGATGGGTGATAAGTTGGGTATGTAGAGAGTATTTAGTGTTAAGTGTCGGTGTCAATGAAAGGGTTTGGTGAGAGTAGTAGCTGAAGTAGAGTAGTCATTGTTGTTAGTTAGGGTTTGAATATGAATGGTAGATTTGAAAATAATATCTTAACAAGTAATATCTTAACAAGTATGGCTCGTATTCGGTTCTAAAAGTAAAGATCGACATCCCATGACGAAGATGCATCCTTCTATAATCTATTTCTATAATGTTACCTGGCATGGCATGGCATGGCATGGCACGGCCCCAGGTCAGTCACATTCACGTATAATCCCAACCCATGCAGACAGCATCATTGGATGCTGCCCCCAGCTAGTCGATTGCGTTTCCACGTTCCTCCGGGAAGTAGGTGTAAGCAGAGGTCAGGAGGGAGGGGGATATAAGGATGTCTGACACTCCCCTCCTCCCTTCCTCCGTTCCTTCTTCATCTTTCTCTTCCTCCCTCTTCATCTTCCTCTCCCTCATTATGTCCATTCTCCCTTAAACACTCATCTGACAATCAACATGAACACCCTCTCAATCCAAACCCACACCATCACCACCCCAACCAAACACATCCCCTCCACTCCACCTCACGAAACCCTCCCAACCAGCCAATCCTACCCCCCAGACACAGACACCACCTACATATGTCTGGAAATTCCCCTCCCCAGTACCCAGAGCCAATTCCCCTCCGTGGCCAGAGTATGTGATGCCTGGCGTGTGGTGGCGGCTCTCCGCCCCGTTCTTCGGATGGCAATCCAGTCCGAGTCAACCCTAGCGGTCTGGCGCACCCCCGAAGACTCTCGGTTCGGGGTCCCCGAAATCCACGAGAGGAACTGTCCGGCGCGATGTTTTCTCGTGGGCACGGAAAAAGAACCCAAGGTGTATATCACCATTCTGAAGGCGTTGGTGGATCTCACCTCGCTGGATGTGGTGAGACGGGACTTTTTGGCTTTCTATCTTTCTGGCCTTATGGAGCCGAATAGAGATCGGTTGGTGATTAGGAATGGTCTCGGGGCTGGGAGGGATGGGTTGGCTGCGGGTGAGTATTGGAAAAAGGTACTCGGTGGGGCGCCTACGGCTCCGTTGAGGACTTTTTCTCTGTTGGAAGGGGAGCAGGAGGTCGCGGCGACGAGGGAGATTTCGAAGGAGAGGTTTGGGCAGGTTGTGGAGTATGCTGATAGACTTGGGGTGTCTGTTCAGACTGTCATGTATTGTGCGTGGTCGGTTGTGTTGAAATGGCACACGGATACTAGTCAGGACGCGGTCATTTTCACGGTGGCTGGACGGGAGCCATCACTGCGTGAAGGAGATCCGGCGGTTGGTCCGTTTGACCAGGTTTATCCTCTGTGTTTGCAGGTTCGGGATGACAGTACCATTGAGCAGTGGGTTACTGCGGTGGACAAGTCGGAAAGAGAGGCGGCACAGCATGCCTTCATCGGCAACGACAAGATCATGCAGCAGGCCCCTAATCTCTCTGTCCAGACTGGACTGTTCTTTCTCGATCCTTCGCTGGTGGAGACGTTCACCCCCAATCCACAGAAACGTCATGTGACCGTGGCTATTAGTCTTCAGGATGGTCTGACTATACGAATCCTCGGTGCAGCCCAAGTACCAAGTGCCAAAGCTGCCATCCTGCTCGATCATTTTGTGACTGCGATGGAGTATATCACTTCGAATCCCTCCAAGCATCTTGGCGACCTCAATATGATTTCCGAGCTTGAGAAGCGCCAGCTGATTCAATGGGCCGAGCCGCTGACTGACCCTGTTGACGGACTCGTGCATCGGCTTGTTGAACGCCAGGTCACTGTGACGCCGGACGCGCCCGCTCTGCAGTTCGAGAATGATCCAGCCCTCACATATGACCAGCTGAACCGACTTGCAAACCAACTAGCCCGCCAGCTACCCTGCGGCCGGGGCGATTACATCCCCGTGAACATGCGACGCTCCGCCGGCTTGGTCGTTGTGCTACTGGCAATCCTCAAAGCCGGAGCAGCATACGTGACCATGGACCCTGATGTCCCTCTCGAGCGCAACCAGTTCATCGTGGATGATGTTGCGGCCAAGTTCGTCGTGACTGATGCTGGCCTGGCGGGAACACTGTCCCGGCGGAGTATCACATACGAGGAACTCATTGAGAACGCCCCCGCGTACGAGGACAGCAATCCTTTGATCCCTCAGGAAGCCACCGATGTGGTGTATGTAATCTATACTTCAGGATCAACAGGAAAGCCAAAAGGTGTACTTCTCGAACACCGAGCAGCAGTCAGCGGGCTGGCCGCATTCCCCAATATCCCCGACTTGCGCCAACTACTGTTCCATAACCCCGTGTTCTCCGCTGCACAACGGTCCATCTGGTCAACGCTAAAACAAGGTGGTTGTCTCTGTGTTGCCAGTAAAAGCAACTTGACGGTGTTCATCGGTGACACCATCAACCAAATGCGCATCAACACGATCGATGTCACCCCGTCCACGGCCTTGCTGATCAAGCCCGGCACCGTCCCCTGTTTGCGTCGGATGACCGTCGCAGGAGAGTTAATCAACCCCGCTCTGGTCCCAGCCTGGGTGCACCGTCTGGAGCTTCTGAATGCCTACGGACTGAGCGAAAACACCCAGTTCAACTGGAGAAACGTCATCCGGCCGGACCAGAACCCGCAAAATATCGGGCGGCCATCCGACACGACGCGGGCGTATGTATTAATGCCTGGATCCACCAAGCTGGCGCCGTTGCTCGTTCCTGGTGAGCTGTGTCTCGGAGGAAATCAGTTGGCCAGGTACTATCTCAACCGCCCGGAGAAAACAGCAGAAGCGTTTATTCCAAACCCGTTCGGACCGGGTCGTCTGTATCGCACTGGAGACATGGTCGTGATGCACGAGGACGGATCCGTGGAGATGATCGGGCGTATTGACTTCCAAATCAAGGTCAACGACCAACGAGTCGAGCCTGGGGAAGCCAATTCCATCATGCAGCTGCATCCCGGGGTGCGCGAGTGCTGGGTGGTTCCGGCGGCCCTGGCGAACAAAAAAGCCTTGGTTGGTACGGTTGTCCCGGTTGATGGGCAAGACTGGAACACCTTGCTGGCCGACCTGCGATCCCAGCTACAGAAGGCGCTGCCGTTGTATATGTGCCCTACGTACTGGGTGCCGATGGAGAAATTGCCGCTTAACGTCAACGGCAAAGTGGACGTCCCGGTGCTGAAGAGAAAGGTGGAGGCCATGAGCGTGGAGGAGCTCCTCCGGACATCTGGCGCGCTGGAGACAGACGCCTGGGGAGTTCAGTCAAAAGAAGCAGACGGACTTCGGGAGATCTTTGCCGAGGTTCTCAAGCTGAGTTTGGTTACACTCACGCCATCCACCAGTCTGACCGCCATGGGTGGCTCCTCGATGGATGCCATCTTGATATCTTCTCGCGCCCGAAACATCGGGCTGAAGCTGGCGGTGCCTGCTCTTCTCAGCGGCCGAACAATCGTCGAGCTGGCCGGTCAGGTCACAGCTGATAGCCGAGAGGAGATTGTCTCTGTTCCCAACAATTTTGCTCTGGTGCCCGAGGGGGTCTCAATTGACTCGTCCGACATCGAAGACATCCTCCCGGCGACGCCCCTGCAGGCAGGCCTGATCGTCGATTCGATGCTGGAACGCGGACACTACATGTACCATCAGGCATACGCTCTTGGAGAGGTCAGCGTACAATTATTCCAGGACGCATTCCAGAAAGTCGTCAATGCCACCCCGATTCTGCGAACCAGATTCAGGGGCCACGGGGCTTCATTCTTACAGATCGTCCACAAGTCAATGTCTGTACCATGGGAAACGAGCTCCACGAGTGCAGACGACTTTATCGTGACCGACAGGACATCCAAGGGTACTTTCACCGAATCAACACCCCTCATACGCGCCGCAGCCGTCAAAGGAAACCAAGTCGTTATCGCCATCCATCATGCTCTCTACGACCATTGGTCATCGGCTTTCATCCTCCACGACGTTCTTGAGATCCTGAACGGTCAGCCCGCGGCAATTAGACCAAGGTTCAAACTCTTCATCCAGTACCTCCTGCGCAGAGACGTCAGCGACATGGCGCGCTTCTGGAAAAAGTATCTCCACCAGTCTGAAATGACTGAAGTCGCTCCCGCACCTGGGGCCACGGGTCTGTATGAAACGGTAGACCTGAACTTCAACGTTGACGAGATGAGCAAGCTTATCGGCGTCAGACCCGCCTCGCTACTCTATGCAGCCTGGGCGATTACACTCTCCTCCTCGGTTGGCGTCCAGGATGTGACCTTCCTAGTCAGTCTGTCCGGCAGAGATGTCCCCATCGCGGGCATCGAAAAAATGGCCGGACCGACGCTGACAACCGGTATTATGCGTGTGGAGGTTGACTCGGAGGTAACCCTCCGGGATTTCGCTGAAAAGGTGCAGAAAGACATCTGGGAAGTCTCGAGCCATGGGAACTGGAGTATCAATGACATGTTGCGTGCGGCTGAACTCACCACAAAGACTCCCAATACACTGGTGAACATTCTCACGCAGCCAGCAGACAACAGCACCCAACAGAAAATAAAGTCCGTTCCGGTGCCCCTTGCTCCGAGTAATGGCCTGCTCACGCTGGAGATGGACGCAGTAAGCCCAAACCACATACGGATGATGTCCACTGGGGGGTATATGAATGCGACTACTATTTTGAAGAAGTGTCAACAGATCTTCCGCTCTTTCACTGAGCCAGACACTCGCGTATCCGACGTGGTAGCCAGAACCGAGGGAATTGACGCGGAATCATCGTCCCCGGCCTCGGATAGCCTGCTGATGACACCGAGGACGGAGAAGAACGAGGACGAGGCTTTCCAATGCATTCGTCTGGATGAAGATTGTGCTCCATCGACAAATAGCTCCAAGGAACATTTGCTCCATCATCGGTTCGAGGAGCTGGCGCGGTCAAACGGAGAGCGTATTGCTCTGCAATGGGAGCTTTCTCGAACTGTCTCGTATGCAGAGCTTGACGCCACATCCGCTCGGGTCGCATCCCAGCTTCGGTCACGCGGTGTTCAGACTGGCGATACAGTAGTGATGCTCCTGGAAAAGTCCATTGAAGCTGTGGTCATCTTCCTCGCCATCTTGAAAGCTGGCGCTGTTTATGTGCCGCTGGCTGTCGAGAATCCCATCGAAAGAAACCAGTTCATTATTCAACATGTCGATGCTGCTGTGATTCTGACCCATGATACTTTCATTGACCAGTACGAGGGCAAGGGACGTGAAGTAGTCACATATGACAGTCTTCTTCATCCTAGTACCAACGGCAGCCTCACCCTTCCTACGGATATCCGCCCCGAGAGTCTGGCGTACATCATCTATACCTCCGGGAGCACCGGGGAGCCCAAAGGCGTCCAAATCACACATGCTGCCGCCTCTGCAGCCGTCGGCAGCATGATGCAGGCGGAAGGCCGTCACCGGGGAAAAGAGCAGTGGAGAGCTTTGCAGTTCGCCAACTATGCGTTTGATGCCTCCATCCAAGACCTGGCCAACACTCTCAGTTCGGGTGGATGTCTCTGTATGGCGCCGCCTGATCGTCTCCTGTCTGATCTGACTGGCATGATTCGAGAGGTCGGCGCTACCTGTGCGATCCTCACCCCGACGGTGGCCGACACCCTACAACCTGAAGAAGTTCCCACCCTTCAAACCCTCATTCTCGGAGGAGAGCCTCTCACGGATGCCTTGATTGCAAGGTGGGCGCCTACTAGGACGCTGCTGAACGTATACGGACCCACTGAGACGAGCATGGTCATCACAACCAAACGCGTCTCCCCCACCACGGATCATCGCAACATCGGTGCGCCTCTTGCGACCGTGGCTGCCGTGGTGGTCAATCCTGAAACCAATGTCCCGGTTCCAGATGGTGAAATCGGCGAGCTATGCGTTGCCGGTCCGCAGGTGTCTGCGGGTTATGCCAAACGGGATGATTTGACCGCCAAAGCCTTTGTCACGAGCATTCTTCCAGACTCGTCTCTTATGTACAAGACAGGAGACTTTGTTCGGTGGATTCCAGGTGGAGAACTTGAGTACCATGGCCGGGTGGACCAACAGGTTAAGGTTGCCGGTCACCGCATTGAACTTGGGGAAATTGAAGCGGTCATTCAAAATTCCGACAAAACGGTTCAATCGGTTGTTCTTGTGCTGAATGTGTCCGGCGTCTCGCAACTGGCCGCCTGTGTGATCATCGAGCCTGGTGATGATGATGGCTTTGAGGCCCCTGAGGTTCGCCAACAAGAACTCCAAGAAATCTGGCAGGGACTGCATGGGTTGGCTTATTACATGCTCCCGAGATATGTGTTCCCCATGCGCCGGTTCCCCCGTCTTGTATCTCAGAAGGTTGATCGAAAACGTTTGAAGCTCGAGGCTGAGGCCCTCGATCCCGTCGTCCTCCGGAGTTATCTGGTCAACGCCCCGAAAGTCCAGATCAGCGAGGAAGCGGGCGAGCCACCGTCGACCGAGCAGGAAATTGCCATTGCCACGGCATGGGCCTCCATCCTGCGTACGAACCTACGCAGCGTGCGGAGACATTCAACATTCATTGCTCTGGGTGGCGATTCCATCTCCGCCATCAACATGGTGAATCTGGTCCGACAATCCGGATGGGCCATCAGCGTTGGGAACGTTCTCAACCATCGGACGCTTCGAGAGGTGGCCGAAGCCGCAGAGCCCACCACGACTAATGCAGTCGACATCGACGACATATCAAGGTACAAGGCCCCCGAGACCGCACTGCAGCAGTGGAAATCCACCAACCCGGCAGTGGAAGTCGACCACTGGTACCCAGTCCCTCCGGGTCAAGCCGAGTTCCTAGAGCAAGGGGCGCGCGAGGAACAGTTCTGGGTGTTGATGGTGGTCCGGCCACTCCCAGAGACCCAGAACATATCCAACTGGATCTCCGGCGTTATCCAGCTCACCCGCGAGAGTGACATCCTGCGGTCAACCTTTATCAAGACCCCCGAAAACGGCTGGGTAGCAGCTGTGCTACGGCACGCAGACCCAGTATTTCACTTCATCGACTGCACCCGCGATGAGCGACAACACGTCGTGGACGAGATCTGGCAGAAACGGTTCAGATTCGGCGAGCCGTTCGTCCACTATTCAATCCTCAGCTACCCAGACGGCATCAGGGAGGTAGTAGTAAAGATGGACCACGGACTCTGGGACGGCACCTCCCTCCGTCTGTTCGACGAACACATCGCGGCCATTCTCTCCGGAGAGAAGTCTCCCCATCGCGAGCCCTTTCACCGTTTCGCAATGCACCAATTCCGCGCCAACAAAGCACGAACCCTCCCATTCTGGCTCTCCATGCTTCCCTCCCCGGACAGACACTGGCCATCTGTCCCCAGTCCCAAAATCTCGAAAGCAATCACAGACGCCGTGCCGATATCGCAGGACCGACTGTCCGCTCTGGCCAATACCTGCGGTGTTACCATTCCCACTGTATACCAAAGCGCATTCCAGCTATGGCTTGCAGCCGCCAACACCAACAACAACCTAACGGGCATCGAATCCGCATATGATTACCTCCTCGCCGGCCGTAACGTCAGCCTCCCCAACCCCCAGGTCATCAACGGCACCTGCGCCAATTTCCTCCCGCTGCGTATCACATCTCCACTTCACACCACTGTCTCTGACTACATCGCCCAAACGCAACAACTCTTCTGGGAGGCGTCCGGGAACGGCTGTGTCGGGCTAGAGGAGATATATCGCGTGGCGGGGCGTGATCGATGGGATCACGAGAAGGGCGGTAATCAGGTCATGTTCCTTTTCCAGCCGTTTGAACCCCGTCCTCAGTCTGACAGCGATCAGATAATGGACTATGTAGTGTTGCCGAAGAGCCAAGTGACGATGTTTCAACCGTATGCTTTGGTGGTGGAGTTTGCCAAGGCTGTCTCAGGACATCGGGTCAAGGTGATGTACGATGAGAGGTACTTTGGATTGGACGAGGTAAAGGGAATCGAAGAGTGGATATTCGAAGCCGTGGAGCAGATGTGTGAGATTGGGGGAAAGGGGACGATCGGAGAGGTTCTTGGAAGTGTGGAATCAAGTAGCGTGGGAGGAAGAGTGCGGTGAAGCAAAGCAACAGATACAAACAGTCAGCTGATCAGTCAAATGAATCCAGTAGTATTCACACCTCTTCCAATATATGCAATCTAATCTACAACCCTGCCTCAATCCCCGCCACTTCCGCCATCACCTCCCTCACCACCGTCTTCACCCCTTCTCCCGGCTCCTCATACGGCGTCCTGGGCTTCAACTTCTCCTTCGTATCCTCAATCCCCGCCTCCACCGCCGAAAAAACCGCCGCCGCATACTTCGTCGCCGCAATGCCACTCTTACACGGACTCTCCGCCAACGCCGCCACCCTCTGCAACTGCACCGCCTCCTCCACCCTCCCCTCCATATACAACTCATAAACCCTCGCCACCGTCTTCGGAAACACATTCGCAAAAGCCGCAATACAACCAGCCGAGCCCGCCGCCAACCCCCCAATCAAAAAATCCGACTGCCCCCCAAAAACCGCAAACTCATCCCTCCCAAACCGCGCCGCCAGACGAGTAATCTTCCCCACAGACCCACACGTCAACTTCACCCCCACGACATTCGACACCCCATTGCTACTCTCCCTCGCCGACTCCCTCACAATCTCCTCAATGATACCCGAATCGAGATCCACCCCATTACACACGCCCGGGAAATTGTACACCACGACAGGCAGGGGGCTTTTGCGGGCAACGTCTAGAAAGAACCGCTTCACGACGGAGGGAGTCGTCGCTTTACCGAAATATGCGGGGGGGAGGACGAGAATGTAGTTTGCGCCTGCGGCGGCGGCGTCGTGGGCTAGTTCGAGGACTTGTTTTGTGGAGTGGGCGCCGCAGCCGGCCATGAGGGGGTAGTTGGGGCCGACGGCGGATCGGGCGGTGGAGATGAGTTGGGAGCGTTCTTCGCGGGTGAGAAGGAAGGCTTCGGAGTTTGTGCCTAGGATGACGAGGCCGGTGAGGTTGGTGGTTGAGAGGTAGTGGTAGTATTTTGCTTGGGAGGGGAGGTCGAGGGTGTCCGTGGTGGGGTTGAAGAAGGTGATGGCGGGGCACCAGACTCCTGGTTTGGGGATGTGAGGGTGGGTGGTGGAGGTGGTCATTGTGAGGGGGGGGTTGTTGTGTTGTGTTGGTTTAAGGGTTGGTCGGGTTGGTCGGGTTGGGGTTGTTGATTGAGTGTGTAGGTAGCGTGTTTGGTGATGGACTATATAGTGTGAGATGCGGGGTGGAAAAGTATCCGGTCGGGATCTGTTGCCGAACGCTTATCAGCTAGCAACTAGTATCAGCGGGTGTCTGTTCCGAACGATGGGGACGATATCGGAGATGGTGCGGGGAGGGATGTAGAGGCGTAGTAGATGATATCGAAATGAGATTCGATTGTGGTAGAATATGGGTTGGAGAAGGTCTGTAGCACTTTCTATCTTGTATCAGGTTCACTTTTGGGATACGGTTTGTCGTCATGTATTCATTCACTATGGCTTCGCTATGGAAGATATTATTGAGCCGATTCAAATCGGAGATATAGATTATTTTCTTAAATACATCCCAAATACAAATTCAAACAATATAGATCTTTTTTTTTTATATATAATGGTAAGAGTGATGTCGTTACTGTATTTTTTGTGGGAAAATCGTGCATAGTATAAGGTCTGCTAGCCGTAGGGGATGTTATGCGCTGTAGGAGATGTTTTCCCACCCTATGGTTCCCAAGATCCTTGCAGCGTCAGGATTAATGGACCGTGAAGACGAAGACCGTCGAATTGCCGAGTAGGGGGTTGTCGTAGCTGCAAGTGTGGGTCGTGGGGCAGAAGGCCGTTGCAATCCTTGGTTGCTTTGGACAGCTGTTGGATAAAAAAAGATGGCTGGCGATGAAGGATACCGCGGCACTGAGAACTGGCTAGTTAATGCGGCTTCTGGAACAAAGCGTTGTACTTGAAAGGGCTGTCGAACTATCGCCCGGCTCTGCGCAACTGAGGGAATTGGTTGTCGAAAATATGATGGAGGAATGGGTTGTAAGGGAGTCTGTAAAACTTCATGGCTGTTTCTCGCGTCTGCTGCAGTAGTAGGCTGGGAAGGACCAACCCCTATGACATCTTAGCTGAACGATCAAAAACATCGTGGAAAGCGCATTGATAAACTAACCGTTGGAAGGCCGAGTAGACACACTACAGGATAGGACATATTGTCGACAGCGTGCGCAGGCCGTTCCCGGACTCTTAATTTGCTTTGCACCGGCATCTGAATACACCCAACACTCAAAATTCCTTTCCACACAAAAATCGCAGCGGTCATTTCCATGGAATTGCCGGCCCAATTCAGTCTCATGATACGACTAATATAGCTAACGTGCCACTGTTTCCTTGGGCTTTTGCCAGCCAACTCAGCTGCCGGGATATACCACCACTTTCCAACCCAGAGTAGGAAATATAATGCATCACTCTTCCCATGAGTGAGTCAGTTCCAAGCAAAGCGTTGTTTGGGCGCAGACTGAGAATACAAGGACGCTGGCAAAGGATTTGGGAATTGTGGGATACCTCTGCCAGCTGAGATTCTTTGTAAAGGACCTGCGACGTGTCGAATGTCCTCATTAGCTGGGCCTGCTCGTGGAAGATCTTCGATCTCGTCATCGAATGTGAGTCGCTCCAAACGGGTATGACGGGCTTCGTGTGCAGCAATACTGGATTCCTGTCGATAGTCCGATATTGGAGTACGTCCTGCCATAGTTGCTCTATATTCGGTCAGCGAATTAGAGTCGTCGCTGTTGGCATTGGTCTTCGCGTGTCAACTAGTTGGAAATATAGATTAGATCTCTTGCTTTGACTGGGGTTTGATATCACGCAGTGAACTTTAGATATCCTTTCCCCCATTAGTCAATATCAGAACTCACATTGTCGTTTTACTCGCAACGATGGGATAATCTGATACCGAGTTGGATGATAAACAGAATCAAAGAAACTCTGTTTCCAAGAAAAGAACGCGTGCAGTCCAGGTGTCCCTAGTAGGACTAGCCCTGGCAGGAACACATGTGGCTTACTAAGCGATTTCTAATTCTGGTACAGAGACAAGTGAGACAGTACGGCAGGCAGCAATCAGGGAGTGTATGTACGGCTTTCAAATCAGGCATTGGTGTGTAGGTGACTTGATGGGGTGGTGTTGGGATGATTGGTTACAGCTCGGATGTATTGGCTCACGGTAAGCATCTACGATTAGCATGAAGCTACCATGGAACCATTCCGTATTGTCCCTGGTACCTCAAGGAGAAGGGTTTTATGTAGGGAGTAATTATGTCTTGCTGACACAAATGCTATATTTATCCGCAAACGGCCAGGCAACCTTCCACCAGCTTCTTTCTTCGTCTGTCACCGAGTGCTGTTCAAAAACTGCTCCCGACATCTATCAAACCGCTCTTTGTAGTGCTCGTAGTTATCATGATTAACCCAGCCATCCCATCCTCGATAAGCACCGACTTGATGAAGGAATTTCTCCATCAACTCGACGCCGGTGGCCCACTTTTCCGCCTCTTCTCTTTGCGTTTCCTTCTCCTTCGCAGTAAAGGAGAGTGGACAGGGAATAGACAGCCCAGTAGAGCTTGGCCATTCCTCCTGGAGTCTCATCAGCATTCCCTGCACGATTGGCTCCCCATCACTAAAGATAGAGCCCGCTAAACCTGTGATTTGGCCGGCGAGGGAATATTTGAACCGCAATGCGTGAGCGATGTCAGGACATTGCTGGATCAGTTGAATATCGTAAAGTTTGTATAATGACTGGGCTGCTCGAAGTTTCTTTGCCTCGAGTTGTTCCTCCGGGTTAAGCTCATCGAAATTATCGGGGAGATTGATTGAGCCGGGTCCCTCGGGGATGGGTCCCTCAAATTCAACTAGAGCAGGATGGCGCGCCTGGAGAAAAAGAGGCGACAAGTTCACGGCCTGCCAGTCAATAATAGACAGAATCTCGGTTGGCCGGTCCGGGTTAACGAATATGTTGTCTCCGTGTAAGTCTGGATGTCAGAGAACAGGCTTCGAGAGTTCCTTGTCCTTCGGTAATATAAATGGCGCGATCTTGATATAATTATCCAAGGTCTTTTACTTAGATTCGATGGTAGGCCGATACTGGCCTGACCCGTAGAAGAATCCCTGCGGACGCGGGAAGGTTGAAAAGGTCTGCGCGCACTCAAGCTCACGGTAAGCCCGAGAAAGTATATAGTCCTCAAGAGACTCCCCCAGTAGAAAGAATTAGACGTGTTTGTCAATTGGCAAGATATAAACTGACAAGGACCGCGGTTCACATCAACGGCATCTCTGCCATCATCGAAAAAATTCCGGTTAGTGGTCGGACCGATCGCAAAGACCGAATCTACAGTGTCCTGCTTGGATCCAATGCCTACTACCTGGCTGGGTCGAACGTCCGGGAGATCCTTTGCATAGTACAGACTTCCATACATAGGGAATTGCGATGACACAAGTGATTTCTCAAACCCGACGAGTTGCTTGACAATTTGAAATTTTTCGGATCCCGGCATATCATCCCACAGCCTGCTTAATTCAACCCCGCGGCTCCTTTCCATGATGATATACTCAGCCCCAACTGGGGTTGCAGCCGAGGAGCTCCACTTGTATACTTTCGGTGTTGGTATGTTGAGTACATTCCTGACCTAAAGCCCGTATTAGATGAAACAGTAAACGAGTCAAATAAGACAAGTTGATTCTCACATAGTCCATCGTGGCCACCTCACTGGCCGTGGTAAAGTGCGGGCGCCCCGCATTTGGATTGGGTAGTTTTGCAATAACTTCTTTGTTATCGTCCATCGTAATGAGGAAGACCTTGCTAAAGTTCCCTTCCGGAAGCTTTTGCACTTGGATACAGGAACTAGATCCTGTTACCCGTACAGCAATGCGAACGAGTTCGTCCAGATTAAACTTGACATAGCGGCGAGAGAGCTGTTCATTTTCATTCCAGAGCCACCGTCCAGAAGTGTAGCGATACAAACTCTCTTCGTTGCAATCTACTGTAGATAACCCATGGCTGATGGCAAGGGGGAGCGCCTGAGGCTGGGAAGGGGCCGATAGTGTGTGTAACAGACAGTTCCAGCGTCGGAACCACTGTTTTTCTCGGGGTATTGTGTATGAAATACGAGACCGAGAGAATCTTGTTTCATTGGATATTGGAGGGCGTATACCCTGTCTGAGGCGAATACGGGCCCGAATTGTATGCATTTCGGCGAGGATGTGATGTTCCAAGTTCGTTCCGGGACTCAAAACGCCGCTGTGGCTTCCCGGTCACATGATGCATGCAATGCTGATCAGGGCATATCCAGGATTCTTTTGAGGCTGCAAATCGGCTGCTAATTAGCTCTGTTGATGAGTGGAGATTCCGGAATAATTCCGCGATACAAGATAGTCTCATTATCTCATTCTACCAGCTCCGAATCCGACCCTGAGGTTACATAAAGTATGACCAAAAATATAAAAATAACGTATAATAGATGGACAAGTAACAACAACAATAATAGCGATAGGGATATGCAACATTCTTTCTCTGTCTGTAACTTACAAACCAGGAAGTGACTACTACTTTATCTTCAAGAAAACCCCCATAACCAACCCAGTATTACGGCACCCGCCACTGCAAAGCCTCGCCCCCATCTCTAGCGCCGTCATCCTGCACCTCATTTCACCAACATGCCATTCCCTTTCCTCAGGCGTCCAACTTACCCCAAACACCTGAAATAGCCAGACAAGTTCCTTGACAATCCAGTGGCCGATCATATCACCACTCCCCAAACCATGCCCTAAATACTACTACTCATACTAGCGTCAACCCAGATCCACTACCATCCAGCAACAGCCATGCCTCACCACTGGCCCTTACCCAACCCCCCAACCCAAACAGCACTTCTTATCGTAACCTCCATCTTCTGCTTAACATCTCTAACATCCGTAACCCTTCGATTCTACGCCCGAAGACTAGCCCGTCTTGACCTCCTCGCAGACGACTGGTTCGCACTCGCCGCCTTGGTCAGCTACTACCCCAATCCCATCCCATCCCAATCCCAATCCCTAACCCCATCCAGATCCTCACCCTTGCATTCAACGCCATCCTCCTGGCTGGCACATTCCGCAACATCATCACCAACTACACCCAAACCACCCCCACCGCCAAAAAATACCACTTCGCCCTGCACCTCACCGAAATCCTCGCTTTGGGGCTAATCAAACTATGTTTCTTCTCTCTCTGGAACCGCGTGTTTATCACACATCCAATTCACCACCTCTGTTCCTTTCTCATCGTGGTTATAACCCTCTGGACGGTTGCTTTCATCCTCGCAACGATCTTCCAATGCGGCACGCACTGGAACTTAATTTGGTCCGTGGATACCACCTCCACATGCACAACCAACCCTATCAGAAGCACAGTGTATACCATCACAGACCTAATAACTAACATCCTGATTACTATTATCCCCATCCCTGTAATATGGGGTTTGAATATGTGGCCTGTGAAGAAAATAGGCATGTTGGGACTTTATGTTGTTGGGATTTAGTACGCCCCCGTCCTTCTTTTTTTTATTCCCTCGTCGTGATAATGATGGTGATGATGATGCTGATGTGGGTAGTTTAACCGCGGCGTCTATTGCAAGGACGTATGTTTCCCTCGTTATTGCGTATACCGAGGAGAGAAGGATGTATATGGAAGATTTTAGTTTGTTGGGTCTTTGGGCTGCGGTTGAGGTGAATGTGGGGTTGGTGGTTTGTTGTGTTACGGTTGTGATGAGGGGGGTGAGGGAGGTTTGGGCTGGTGAGTATCCATCCCTCTCTCTCTTTTAGGTTCTATGTATTGGTTGTTTGGGGGTGGGTGTTGGGAGTAGGGGATGTCTAAGTCGGTAACTGGCTAATGTTTCGAATACTAGATAAACGGAAGAAGGAGTTTCATATGTTGTCGGGGGTTGGGGTTGGAGTGAAGAATTATGCGGGGGCGATGGGGAGGGAGAGGGATAAGGTTGATTCTGATGAGGGATAGGATATGTGGATGGGTGTGGTGGGTTGGTTTCTGTGATTCTATAGATAGGTTGGGTTTGTATATATCTACCAGAAGCATACAAAGCTGCAAGTCTACGGATCAATCTGTTTTGATCTTTTTTTTCTACATTTCTGATGTGTATGTAGCCTATGCTAGCAATGTCGCTCCGGAACCCGTTAATGCTGTATCATCCTTAATTCATCACCAAGCAGATAACTGAATGCGCCCGAAAACCTCGTGATTCGTGATAGATTGATCAATGCTAGTAACATGTCAGCAAAATTCATCAATAACGTCAAATCACTTACCGTAATGTCTTCCCACTTTTCCCATCCCCGTCCACGAACTGCGGTCAGGTCTTCTGTGGTGATCTGCTTTCCGGTGGTAAAATACCCGGCATTGATCTTCGCGTCGATTTCCACGCGCGAATCCGTCGGGATCATCTCCTCTGGAATGGGAATACGCTCCAGGATCTTGATTCCAGACTCGACGATGGCATCGTGCTTCATGTTGGACATGGACAGCATCCGATCGATCTTTTTGATGCCGAGCCAGTGCAGGATATCGGGCATCAGGGCTTGGAAGCGCATCTAGATAGAGTCAGTTTGATCTTCAGTGTATGATGGCGGAAGCTTACGTCTCTGACACCCGCAATGTTCTCCGTCCGGGTAAAGTACTTGTCGGCAGTATCACCACCACGCTTGCGAGCATTGTAGACCAAATACTTGATCACCTCACCCAAGGCACGACCTTCCTTTCGAAAGTAGATAACCACTCCGCTACCCCCGTTCTGGGCTTCCCGGATCGCCTCCCGAATACCAAACGCGAGGTACGGCCGACAGGTACAGATGTCTGATTGGAACACATCACTACCATTACATTCGTCATGGATGCGCAGTGCCAGCTTGACATTCTCATCAGAGACCCGCTCGGGAGGCCCGAAGATATATACCGTCAGACCCCCAATCGGAGGAAGGAAGACCTTGAGATCAGGCCGGGTGATCAGCTCGGGATAGCTTCCACCCGTGTGCTCAAATAGCGTCCGACGCAGCGTCCCCTCATCCACCCCGAACCGCTCTGCAACCCCGGGCAGATACCAGACCGGCTCGACGGCAACCTTAGTAACGCGGACCTCACCTGACGAGTCAACAACAATCGACCCATCCACCTCCAGCTTTCCCTCTTTCACTGACTCCGAGATCTCGGCGAAGTTCATGTTTGCACGAGTAACGGCCATTGTGGGGCGAATGTCCCAGCCCTTATTCAACTCATCCCGGAATCGATTGACAATGTCATGTCCCCAGGGGTCCATGGACACGATCTTGGTCTTGTCGCCCCAGGCAGGCTGACACGGAAAGTTAAATGTAGGCTGACTGTTGGTGAGGTCCGGGCGGAAATCCGGCTCCAGCTCTCCGGAGGCAATGGCGAGGGCGTTGTAGATGCTGTAACTGCCACCGTGCGCACCCATTGCATTTCGTCGCTTGAGCAATGCAGGGCTACGAGAGACAACAACCGGGCCGCGGGATTTAGCATCGGGGGCACCCCATTCGAGCGGGATGGGGTCGATACCGCTTTGGCCGGGGTACGTGGTTAACTAGCCTAGGATTAGGGATGGTTGCGCTTGGATGAGACCACGCGCGAACTTACTACAATATGCTTACTGTAACGAGAGCCAGGAAGAGTCGGTGAAGTTGGCGAAGTTGGTGACTGGGTCGTCACCTCTTCGGTGGGTTTGGAGGATATATCGGTGTCCAACATGATGGACGGTGATGCGGGGAAGGAATAGAATTTGGAGAGACAGACAGGAAGATGAAGAAGGGAAATGAAGGAGGGAAGAGGAGGGAGATAAAGGAGGGTTAGGAGGGGAAGAAAGAAGAGGGCGAGATGGAATTCCGGGCTGCTTGGCTGGCTGGCTGCATGCCTGCTGCATGTGACTTGGGCCCGACTTCCATCTTACGGCCTCATCATTCTGGTCTCACTGCTTCCCCCTCTCCGCACCTTATCCTTATCAACTGCCCTGGCCTTATCTTCGCTTGGGTCCGGGGCATGAATGACCATGGTTCTCCGGACCATCGTATCCGGTATAATCCTGTTCACGATGAGACAGGATCAATCAAAAGCCAGATAATCCAGATGGTAGTTGCAATGTTCGTGGGCGCAAGACCGGCAAATGCACGATGACGCTCAGAGCGAGGCGGATGATCGACCCCTCATTCCGGACCGCTCGTTGGCGTGGCCAAACCTACGGCCGCCTGTCCCACCGAATTCGTGGCCGATTCCATGGCTACGGATGCCTCATCCCCAACTAGCCGATCGCTGCATCTTTGGGACGCCAAATCACGGGGTTCCCCTGATTGAGAGTCACATGCCCATCCCACAACGGATGCCCCCTCGCATGAAGATTACTCAATACGCTACATGCCATGGTCCTGTCCAAAACTATTAAAATCACCCGGTGAGATTTAAACTGGTATCTAGTAATCTGACTTCATTTTAACAGCAAAGAAATCCTCGTAACTCTTCATAAGTAAACCACATTGCAGCCATGTCTTAAACCAATCTGTCCCAAACGACTGTGGAGCAACCGCCAGCAAACAGTGGCATCGCGTCGGGTTCGTCGGACGCGCTTAACGGAAGCCGATCTGGGCACGCGAGCTCTTAATCGTCTTCTTGATAACATCCTCCACCTCGTCCCAGTCCTTGGTGTCGATCCGCTGGATGCTAGTGTTGAAATACTTCTGGATTTGGTTGAGCATCTCCCACTCTTCACGGTTGGAGACAAACGAAATGGAAACTCCAACGCGACCGAAACGTCCAGTACGACCGATACGGTGCAGGTACGTCTGGTAGTCAGCCTGGCGTTGAGGGGCGCCGGGCTGGTGGATCTCAGGGATATCCTATCAATGAAATATTAACCTTCGGGCTCTCGAATAAGTCACCCGTAGCAACTTACGTAGTTGATGACCATGGAAACGGTCGAGACGTCAATGCCTCTAGCAAGAACGTTGGTTGTGATCAGGACCTTCGCCTGCCCGGCACGGAACTTGTCAATGACACTGTCACGCTGCGAACCTTCAACTCCACCGCTCAAGGAGGCGACAGTGTGGCCCTCAGCAACCATTCGCCTTTCGATCTCCTCGGCGGATTTACGGGTCTAGCAGTCTGTTAGAGAACTCGTCCAGTCGAAGATGACGCGCACATACCCGAACGAAGATGATGGACGAGCCGACGGTGAGCAGCCCGTAGAGCTGGACAAGGGTCTGGTACTTGTCCTCTCCATCCGAACAATCAAGGTACAGTTGCTTGATACCTTCCACGGTCAACTCCTCATGCTGGAGGGTGAGTTCGTTGGCCTGAGGGGCGAATTTGGACGCGTATTCGTGGACATGGGTGGGGAATGTGGCCGAGAAGAGCACCACCTGGATGTCCTTGGGCAGCAAACTGGATGTACATGAGATCGAGTTGCAACGGAAATCAAACGGGGGAAACCAACCTCTTAACACGGATACACTGGTCACCCAGACCTTGCTGGTCGAGCATGTTGTCGGCCTCATCTAAAACCAGCACTCGGAGCTTGGCTGCAATCATGATACGCTTCTTGATAAGATCCATGACTGTTCCGGGCGTGCCAACAACAACGGAGCATTCGAGCTTGGCGTGACGGGCGTTGGAGTCTGCTGGTACAGCGGTGCCAATAGCGAGCCCGTCGAGGAACTGACCCATGACCTGAATGACACCAACAATCTGACGAGCCAGCTCTCGTGTGGGGGCCAGGATCAAAGCCTGGGGAGTCTTCTGCGCCTGCTCCGACGAAAGGTCCAAGCGACTAAGGACGTTCAAGACAAAGGCAGCCGTCTTTCCAGTGCCGGACTGGGACTGGCCAACCAGGTTCTTCGGGGGATTTCCCAGTAGCAGCGGAAGGGCTCTTTCTTGAATCTTGGAGGGTTTGCGGAAGTTCATCGCGGACAATCCCTGAAGGATGCGAGGATCCCTAGTGGTCAAGGTTGGTTAGTATTATCAGCGCGGTAGCATGACAGTACAGCAACAGTCATGGAATCACCCACAAGCCAAGGTCTTCAAAGTTCTTTACGGAAAACAGGGGGTTATTCGGATCAGCTTGAAGATCGCTGAGCTTGACTTCGACCGTGTATTCAGGCTCCTGGAGATCGGAGCCACCCAGCTCGGCGGGCGCGCCGTCAATCTGATCATTTCCGACGACCTGTTCGGGAGTTTGTTCGGGCGTCTGTTCGGGAGCATCTGTGACAGACAACAACATTAGGAACATTCCCAACAAGGTCGGCATGACAGCGAAAAGAAGGTATAATGGGCGAATGAAGGTATACAGGAAGGTTCCGTACCTGTAGGCAAGGAATCCTCCGGCTTGGAGATGCGGTCCGCAAGAGAGCCACCAGCAGGTTGTTCTGAGGCCATAATGTATAAGATCGTAGGCGAGATCGCAGGCGAGGTACAGGTGAGAGATCAAAGAGGTTAACGTTCAGGTGAAAGTCGTGGTCGTGTTTCCTAAGCGGAGGGGAGACAGCGGGGTAATCAACAGCTTGATATAGTATCAAACCAGCGCTCAACACAACGAATTAAGAGCACGCAAGTAAAGAGTGACACTTTGACCACGGTCCTGAGACAGACGATGAGGGATGAGAGGTGAGGGATCACTTAACACCGCAGAATGCCGCAATTGCAGTCAGTTGTTCATCACAATGACGGTCGAAAAACCAACGCGGCTGACCGCCTTCGCTCCACACTAGGCCGGTTTGGGCCAGCAGCCGAGTCATCGGAAGCTAACGAGATCGGGAGGCGGTGAGTTATTGATGATACGGTACCTTACCTTAGCTCGAGGGGGTCCAGATGACGTAGGGCGCGACTGGGCGAGGCTGGGCAGGGTTTCGAGACTCAACGTGGCCTGACAGCGCCGTCCCGTATTGTCATCTCTCTTCCCCGCTTCCTTCAACCCAGCGGATTCGCCTTGCAAGTTCCTGGTTCCCTAACGCTCTCGCTGGTTGTACGGAGTAGTACACACGGTCGCCAAAGGCTGTCCCGCACGTGGAAAGGTAGGCTGCTCCTTTCCTCCTCGCTGGTTGGACTCGCTAGGCTGTCACATTTTGGAGCTGTCCATCCCCATTCCCCCCAGCCCGTCAGTCCCCTGCGGCGTGATCTCCGAGAAGCTAACCATCCACCAGAATGGCAACCCCGGATGTCGCCCCTCATTTTGGGGCGGAGTTGAAGGTATGACATAACTCGGACGGACCGACCTCAGAATCCAGCTAATCGAGGACCTTGGCAGGATGCGTTTAAACCTGTCAACAATTGGGTATGTCCGTCCCATTCGCTCCCGCTGGAGACCCTTGAGGCTCGCCGAACCCTGTGGAACAATAACTAAGACGTCGCTTTCCAGGTTTCGAATGGTATCGGATGGCTAGACGAGATACAACAGTTCTACCGAGAGCGCAGCGTGATCGAGAAGGAGTATGCGGCAAAGTTAACGGCGCTATGCAAGAAATACTACGACCGCAAAGCCAAGAAAATCAGCAGTCTGAGCGTTGGAGATACCCCTAGCATGACCCCCGGGTCCCTCGAAAGTGCCTCGCTTACCACTTGGTCCACCCAATTGAGCGCCGTTGAGTCGCATGCCGCAGAACGGGATCAGTTTGGCACGGAGCTGCTCACTCATGTCGCAGAGCCGCTCAAACAAGCCGCAAACCAGTACGAGGAACTCCGGAAATGCCATGTCGACTTCCACGCAAAGCTAGAAAAGGAGAGAGACTCTTCGTACAGTGACTTGAAGAAGGCCAAGGGTAAATATGATGGAGCGTGCCAGGAGGTGGAAGCCCGGCGCAAGAAGATGGAGGGCTCGTTCGACCACAGCAAACCAAAGGCCCAAGCCGCATACCAGCAACAGATTTTGGAAATGAACAATGTCAAGGTCGGTTACTAAGGTGCTTGCGAGAATCTATTACTGATACAACCTGCAGAACACATACCTTATCAGTATCAATGTGACCAACAAGATGAAAGAGCGATTTTATCACGAATATGTGCCGGAACTACTTGATGTAGGCCAACTTTACTCTGTCGGCACAAATAATTTAACTAACTACGGTTAGGGTCTCCAAGATCTCAACGAAACGCGTGTAGCGAAGTTGAATTCGCTCTGGTCGCTTGCAGCCCAGCTAGAAAAGAGTTCCCTCTCTAAAAGTGTGGACCACATGACGAACCTCATGAACGAGATCCCGCGCAATGTTCCACATCTGGACTCGCTCATGTTCCTGCGCCACAACGTCACACAATCTCAAGAGCCAGCGAATGTGGGCTTCGAGCCGAGCCCCATCTGGCATGACGACGACGCTCTCATCACCGACGAGGCCGCCAAGGTCTTCTTGCGCAATCTTCTTAGCAAGAGCAAGACTCAAGTGCGGGAATTGAGGGTCGAGACGGATCAGAAGCGACGCGAGGTGGAAGCAGCCAAACGGGTCCGGGAGAGTATCCAGCAAGGCAAGGATAAGCGCAACGAAGTGGAGGTCGTCCGGTCCATATTCTTCCAGCAGGAAGCACTGCACGAATGCGATCGCAGGCGCCTGACCGCCGAGGTCGAAACCTCGACCATCATGTCGGTGGTTGGCGATCTTTCCCTCGGGGCCCGCAACCACAACTTCAAGTCGCAGACGTTCAAAATCCCGACCAACTGCGATCTCTGCGGAGAACGGATATGGGGTTTGTCCGCGAAGGGTTTCGACTGCCGGGACTGCGGATACACATGCCACAGCAAATGCGAAATGAAGGTCCCGGCCGAATGTCCGGGCGAGCAATCCAAGGAGGAAAGGAAGAAGCTGAAAGCAGAGCGGCAAGAACAAGCCAACGCGGCTCCCGCGCCACTCGATCTAGAAACAACCACGACGTCGTCCACGGCGCCCTCGCTCACCCGCAAAGACACCATGAACTCCCTAAGCTCCGGTTATGCCGTCAGCGCGAACCGATCCATGTCGAACGCCACCAGCCAGTCTCCCTCTGCGTCCCCGGCCGAACTCCCCACCCCAATTGCAGAGACCAAGCCCACCCCAGTCCGGAAGAACCGAGTCCTTGCCCCGCCGCCAGCTCAGTACATCAGCAGTCCACCTCCGACCCCTGGGCTAAGCTCCTCCGCCAAGACCAGCGAACAGCACGGCAAGATGCTATACGCATATCAAGCCGGCGGCGCCGACGAAGTCGACGTCCAAGAAGGTGACGACATTGTCATTCTTGAACCAGACGGTACGTATCCCCATTCCTCCCACAACTCATTCACTAACAGAAGTAATCTAGACGGATCCGGTTGGATGCGCGTCCGGGCCGGTCCCGACGAAGGCCTCGTGCCCGCCTCCTACGTCGAAGTCGGTCCCGCCCCGTCTCCCGTCCCATCCACCAGTCCAGGCTTCGCAACCGACCGCCCAGGCTCAACTTACTCCAACTCGTCCGCCTCCCTGACCGGCGGCAGCGCAGCGAATAAACGCATCGGCCCCGCCGTGGCGCCCCGGCGCGGCGCCAAGAAACTCCAATACGTCGAAGCCATGTACGACTACGAAGCCCGCAGCGACATGGAATGGAGCATGACCGAGGGCGATCGCTTCGTCCTAGTCAACCGAGACGGCGGAGATGGATGGGCAGATGTTGAGCGTGGCGGCGTTACTAAGAGCGTTCCCGCGAATTATATCCAGGAGGTGTAGGCCCTACACCCTACCTACCATCCACCCACCACCTATCTATCTACCCACCTACCTACCTACCTAGGTACTCCTGGACCAGACCCGAGCATATTGCATTATTCTTTTTTCCTTTCTCACACCTCATTCATCTATGAGGGTTTTATATTTCTTTCTTCATTGCATAGGGAGCCTGGGGTGCTGGTTGGTTTTTTTGGTTTTTGCCCTTTGTTATCTTTTTGTCCTGCGGGTTTTGGCTTTGGCTATACATTCTTAGGTACATTCATACCTTGGTTGGTCAGGTCACATCATGGTTTGTTTTGGTGATGGTAATGCTTTCTTATCAGCTAATACAGCACAAAGATAGCAATAGGTATATGGATATGGATGGGGATGGAGGGATGGATGGATGGATTCTTGTACATAGGAAGAAAGTCGCGTGTTGTGAATATGTCAGATATTGTTATCCTGCTTCTTGCTTTCCTTTTTTTCGTTTCTTTGCTTCTGATAAGGTACTTTATACGGTGCAAGACAAAAGATGCAAGACAAAAGGTAGAAAGGAGTTATTTAGTAAAGTCAGGCAGGGTAAGTCAAGTCAAGTCAAGTCACCTCCTACATCGGAATCGATAAATGCCTACCCACCCACGTTATATACATGCATAAATCACTCGACATAAACAACCCAGCTACTAGGTTCTGTTTGTCCCGACAGAATTCAAAACAAAAGTGCCCTCCGACCCGTTTATCCCACATAAATTTCATCGTCTCGTAACATCATTCATTCGCACTTCTCTCGTCCCCATCGATGCACAACATCTCCCACAGATACAGGGTCTGTATCTGGATCTATGAATGTTAGAGAACATCATCGCCCAACCAGCCCCAATCTTGGCCCTGGAACACGTCCGCGGGAAGCATCGCGGGATCGACATCCAACCCGTCGAGCGCATAGATGGCACTGCTATCTGCAAATGACACCGCCAAGTCGCTGTACATGCGATGTGCGTCCAGCGGACTCACCATCGACAAGGAGACGGGGATATCCGGGGTGGCCATGGAGCAGAAGGATGGCGGGAGGGAGGGGGAGAGATAGATGCTGTGGGTGCTGGACGAGGCAGCGAGGGTTGCAGCGGGAGTTGTGGGATGGTAATGAGGGGGGGAGGCGGTACCGCGATCGGACACCGCGGGAGGAGGAGGAGGCGGATTGGCGGAGGTGGAAGCACACGATGGAGGAGACGGGCGAGGCGCAATGGGGAGGAAAGTGCTAGGACCCGAATGCGTCAATCGAGGGGATCGGCCAGCAGCTCGCTAGAAGCCACATCAGCCGGGACTGTCAATCTTTGTGGGATGAAAAAAATGTGTGTATGTGTGTGTGGTGTAGGCCGGTGGTGAACTTCTACTTTTGAAGAATGGGATTTGGCTTCGGCCTCACGTTTGAGCTTGGTGTGCTCTTCGGGGCTTTCGCAGGGAGTGCGGTTGCAGACGGAGCAGGTCGAAAAGGGACGACCCTTGCGGTTGATGCGGATCAACGGTCGATCTGGGGTTGGTGGTTAATAACGACGAGAGGGCTCAAATTGAGGATGGAGGAGAACAAGCATACCATGGTGCTTGCAGGTTGTCACACGGTGGCCGCGGACGCAAGCTTCACAAGCCCACTTTTCGCCGTCGATGAGCATCCCTTAGGAGTATGAGAGGAGGAGATAATTGGCATGGTGATGGGTGGAAGGGAGGATTTATAGGTAGGATGGTCGGTGAGAGGGGGATGCAGTGAGGAGGAAGAGAGAAGCAGGACAGACAGCATCGACAGCCGCATGGCAACACAGCCACGGATCGACTGCATGGGTAGATGTCATTTCATCTCGGTTGGGAGATTAGGGGGGGGGGGCTCCGGACTATAGTAGGGGTAACGGAGTAGAGGGACAGGACTAGATAGATAGGGTAAAGCATGAGGGAATTTATTTTTCTGAGGTGGGAGAAGACCCCATTTCGATTAGCAAGAGAAAAGGTGGAGAGAGCGAAGGAGGCAGCGGAATTGCTTGACGGAGCGAAGAAGGGAAGCTTGACCATTCCGAAAAGCCTCCACCGACGCCATTCATTAATGGGCAGAATGGGATGGAAGGGAAGTTCATCGATAGCATGCGGGATTTTTCCCTTCAAGTTTGGGGAGGGCGAGCTGCCGCATCGGTGCTAGTAGATGGCGGCCAGCCGATGGATGGTTCAGCAAATTCCCGCATACAATCCAGGCCTTGTCCACGGTTTGATGCTCCATCCTCTTCCTCCTTTGCACTCGGTATAGCCGTTAGTCAATCTTGCTGCCTTGGACGCCGGGGGGGGGGGGCGACGAGGGTGTAGCCCTGGACCCAGGCATGGCCCAAGAAAGGTCCCTGAGACACGGGGTTACAGTTACACCCCTCCGCTGAAAGATTGGATATCCTCCGGGCCAGACCACCACCACCACCACCACCAGCCACGGGTTCTCAACTTGCTTCCCCCGTGCAGACCAGGGCCGGCCTGGAGGTGGCTGAGCAGCTGCCATCGTTGCTGCCAGCTGCCAAGCTTATGCGCACGAGCCAAGTGCAACGCTGCGTGAGAATTATCTACGGCGCGACTGGTTGGCTGGTTGGCTGGTTGGCTGGTCGGCTGGTCGGCTGCTGGCTTACTGGCTGCCGATCAGCAGCTGCAGCGATCCTGCAGCGATCCTGCAGCGATGACTGGTGCTCCCGTCGGGGCGTTGGTCCGAGGCCCATCGCCGCGGCGCGTGCTTTCGATTAACTCGGCTGCTCCCCATGAAAATTTTCATCCGGCGGCTGGTCTCATTATTGTGTGCGGATGATCCTCTTCCCATCGGGTGGCCGGCCTCGTTTCTCAGAAATACATGGCCTCGCCCGCCCGCTGCCCCGAGCACTATGAATCCTCTTCGCTCTCCTACAATTGAGGATTCTCTTCGCACTGGTTCACCAAACAACGGATTGAAATCAAGTAAAATGAATATATAGAAGTCTAGATACACAACAGAGAATGGAATGGCCTAGAGCTGGCTCCATCGCCTTTCTGGGAGAGACAACAGTCTAGGAAAAGGTGGGCCAGACAGTCACAGTCGAGGTGGCCGTGGCTACCACCACATCGGTGGTCGTGGTCCAGGCGGTCGACGTCACCCACTTGGTCGTCGTGGAGACACCCGACTCAGCAACTGCCGTCGTGGCCGCCGCGCTCGTGGCCATGGCCACCTTGGCCGTCACCGATTCGGTCTCCTCATCGTCGTAGTCACTGTCGTCGCCGTCGCCGTCGCAGTCGTAGTACTCGTCGTCGTCGTCCTCGCCCTCATCACCCGACTCGTTGTCATCGCCACCCGACTCGGTAGTCGTAGTAGACGAGATGGTGCCGGCGGTCGGGACGGCCGAGGCGGAAGTGACAGCTTCGGTGGACACAGCGCTGGCACTGACGACAGTAGTTGCGGCATAGGCCACGTTCGTGCTGGCCGAAGCGACAGAAACCGACGCCGACGCCGACGCCGACGCGGAGCTGGCGCTGGCGCTGGCGCTGGTGCCCTGAGCGACGATCCGGGCAACAGCCGCCTCCGCGGCGATCTGGATGATGGCCTGGGAGTTACCGGTGGGCAGATCGGGGTGGATACTGGCATCGACAATGTACTGCACAAGGTTAGACGGAGGTTGCAAAGAGAGGGAAGGATGAGAAGATGACTTACCAAGTTCTCCGTGCCGTACACCTTGGTGTTGGTGTCAACAACCGATGTGCCGTTGTCCGTGCGGCCATCGTCCAAGCCCATCTTGGCAGTACCGACAAAGTGGTCACCGCTGGACTGTTGGGCCAGGATGCTCGAAGCAGAAGCGCCTCCCTCGATGGAGAAGCCGGCAGTCGAGTTACTCATGTCATCGATCAGGCTCTGGAAGAAGCTGGTGGCGGCGGCCTTGTCCGCAGCCGTCTGCAAGTAGGGCGAGGTCTCGATGACTGTGGCACCCGTGGAGTCAATACTCAGGACACCGACAGAGGTGGCACCGTGAGTCAGGTATAGCTTCATCGTGATGACACCGTCCTCGGTGGTGCTGCAGGAGCCCTGGAAGAAACGGGTCACGCCGTCAGTGCCGACGTTGGAGGTCCAGAACTGCAGACGGTGGCCACCCTGAGTGAGGACACCCGAGCCCTCGGAGTACAGCTGCTTCACGGTGGCAGCGGGACCATAGCGGGCACTGGAGGTGTTGAAGTGGGTGAAGTTGCTGTTGGTGTCGACGGTAACGGTGAACATGGGGTGATCGCGGAGGTTGTGTCCGACGGGCAGGTTGATCCATTCGGCCGAGGGAGGGAGAGTGATGCCACTGCTGCCACTCTGGACAGTCTCGATCTGCTCGGTGGGACCGATACCAGAGTTGTACAGGATGCGGGGAGTAGACATGGAGCCAGCAGCAAGAATGACCTTGCCGCCCGCGCTGACGTTGATGATTTCGATGCTGCCAGATTCGGTTTCAACCTCCACACCGGTAATGCGGCCGCCACGGCGTACGAGGCGGCGGACCTTGGTCTCCAGCTGCATAGTGAAGTTGTCGGAGTCCTCGACCAGGGGGAGGTAAGAGCGCACAGGACCGGCACGGATACCATTGCCCACGTCCCAGGACGGGTAGCTGTACACCATGTGCTTCTCGTTGGGTTCCTGCTGGGAGTCGACGGACCTCCAGCCAAGGCCCTTCAAGAAGGAGGACAGAACGGTGTACATGCCCTGATCGTAACGCTTACCGTCAGCCGAAGGCAGGGTGCTTCCCGGGTTGCGCTCGTAGAAGCGGGCCGCAGCGGCCTTGACGTCCTTCCACTTCCAGCCAGTCGGCCACTTGTCGTCGAAGTCGGCTTCCTGGGGGTAGATGAAGGACATGGCGTTGATGACGGTACCACCACCGAGAACACATCCGGCCATTCCGGCGGTGTCATCGCAAAGGTATTGGCTCACGAGGTCGGAGCCCTGGATGTAGGTTCCCAGAGCAGGCACGTCGTACCCGGTCAACGAGGAGTTCCACGACAGGGAATCAGTCGCACCCAACTCGACGGTGGGAGCTACACCACGCTCAATGAGCAGAACCTTCTTGTCGGTCTCCACCAGGCGCGTCGCGGCAACCAGACCGGCAGCACCTCCACCAACCACAATGTAATCATAGGTCGTGTTCGAAACGGTAGCAACAATGCTGGCTGAAGCAGAGGCAGACGCACTGGCCGACGCCGAAGAGGCAGTCGAGGAGGTCTGGGTAGCAGCAACAGCCTCAGCGGCCCAGGTGGAGTACTTGGAAGACTTGGCCTCGGCAAGCTGCACTTCGAAACCACCATAGCCGGCAGCGTGGTAGGGCATCTTGGACGAAGCGGAGGAAGGAGTAGTAGGGTTGGTGGCACTGAGAGCCCAGCCGAAGTAGTAGCTGCTGTCGTCAGCGGAGAAGGTAGTAGGGTCGCCGATAATGCAACCCTTGCACAGGAAGGTGTAGGTGAGGTAGGTGCTGTTCACGGAGGTTCCCTCGGGAATCTCCTCAAGACTGGCATCACCGCTGTAGACGGCCGGAGAGGTATAGGACGTGGCCTCACGCAGGGTGCCGACGACCGAATCTCCATTGGGCCAGGCGGCAATCAAGAGAACCGAAGTCATGGAGCCCGACATACTGACACCACCCCATCCGGCCGAGCTTGAGAGGGGGACGGTCATCTGACCGATGAAGTCGGTGTCGACATCCTCGGGGAGCGCAATACCAAAACAGAAACCCGTGTCGTCGGTGTCACACCATCTCTGGAACTCAAACCCAGTTGCCGAATCGGTGTAGGCGGACGTGTTGTAGGCGTTGGCCGACACGCCCAGGGCGTAGCTCAGAGCGGCCGCGCCACTGAGAAGAATGGAACGCATCTTTTCCTGGATTTACCCGAAATGCAGAAAAAGCAAGACTGAAGTAGGCCACGAAAGAATAAGATAAAAATCAAAGGAGTGAGAGGACGGGTGTCAAGCTGGCCCAGCAGCAACCCCAAGAAAAAGAATGGCGGCAAAAAAAGAGCCTGGAAAGAATGAAACCAACAAGAAAGAGTGAAGTGAAGGTTGGAAGCCGGAGGAAGAGCCATTGCGGCGGTGGCTGCCATTCATATAGAAGGTCGCCAGCAGTGCGTGGGTACCGGCCGCCGCCATGTCATGGAGAGCGGAGAAGGAACGGTGATTATTGAAGGGCGGGCGGAGGTCGGGGCTAATGCATTGAAGAAATTGAAGAGTGGGCTCTGCTGGCCAGATGCCCACCTTTCTAACGCGCGAGTGCTTCTGGGCGAGGATATCGTGGACGAGGGACGATGAGAGGCAGCTGTCAGTGGCTCGAGGCAAGATAAGCAATTTCCGGCGGGACTAGTTTATCTTCACGCCTTCCTGAGCAGTGGGACATGCCAAGCCCGACTAAACCGCGCGAGTTTCACAAAACGGCGGCGGTGGTTTGAGCGTGAGGGCGCCGTGGTGCTCTATCGAAGCCAAGCCCATTTAAACAAAACAAGGACTCCGTGAAGTTCGCGCCGCAGTGGATTGCTCACTAAACCTGCAGCACCCATTGGCCTCATGAGGTCTTGGAAGATTGGAGATGGTGCCAGATTCAACCCCTCGAGCCAGCTCGGGTCCACCGAAACCGACCCGGAGCCCGAGGGCTCTGCAAGGCATTGGAGGGACTCCGAGGGCGTGAGGGACTGTGAGGGGCCGCCAAGGCACACATAATATCCGGAACCCACGCGCCGAGAAGAACTAGAAGCCTAGAAGCCTAGAAGCCTAGAAGTGGAAGCACTCGCGGGTCAGCGGGGTCTTGAGGGGCTGGCGGACTGTCGTGCCGCCGTGTGTGCTTTTGTCAGGGACCCGGGACGGTCACTCACCGAGCAGCAGCCAGAAATGAGCTTTCCAGATGGGATGGCTGACACTGGCATGATGGTCTTGGCTCGGTCTGCCAGGAAGACAACGGGGACAGGTTTCTGCGACGACGGACGGGGAAATCTGGATGGCCCGGCGGCAACCTGAGACACGGCGAGTGTCAGAACAACGGGGGGCAATCTATTTGTTCCTGCCTTCGTTAGCCCTGAGCCCCCGGAGGAAAACCCGGTCCGCGCCGAGTGGGGCCTCGGCCAGAGAGGAAAGCCAGTCAGTACTATTATTATTACTACACCGTAGCAGTGGCCCGTTGGGACTGGGCTGGTACCTGGATGCATTCCATTACTACTCTACACATAAGTATCACAGGCTGATGATGTACCAACCAACTGTACAGATTTCACAATGCTGCTTGGCTCCATGACCCACCTGTCAAAAAGCCGAATCCGGCAGAAACAGGGCACAAAGCATGGACGAAAACGGAAAGTAGAAACACAATAATAAGAATTGACAAAACAGTTCTCACACAAGGATCAGGCCAGCACCAAATAGGGTGGACACGACAGTCACTAGTCCCACCAGCACAGGGGCCATGGTCAGAGCTGGAGCCTGCAGTCCAGCAGCAGCACCCGTAGAGCTCGTCGACGTTCCGCTCGAACCGGAACCGGAGCTGGAGCTGGAAGAGGTGGCAGAACCAGATCCGGGCGTGGCAGTGCTGGTAGACGCAGTGCCGGCATTCATGCTACCAGAGCCGGAGAATCCAACGCCCTTGCCAGCGCCCTCGGTCATGTACTTCTTCGCGGGTTCCGGGATGGCGGGAAGGGAATCCCCATCGACGTCCCAGTTGGGAGAATCCTTGGCAGGGCAAGCATTGGCGCCACCCGTCTGGTTGTAGCCGCCATCACCCTGGGGGTTGCTGGTCTTGGAGAAAGCAGACTTCAGAGCATCGTAATCGGAGAGGGTCTTGACACTGTCCCCGCTGATCTCCACAAGGCCGTAGTTGCTAGCTTCCTGGGAGTACTCGTACACCAAACCACCCGAGTAGACACCGGTCATCTCGGTGTTGTACAAAGCGCTGACCTCCTCGAATTCACGCTTGTTGGTGTTGCAACCATATTCAGAGAGGAAAAGAGGCAGGCCGTATCCAGTGAAATTCTTGACCTTCTGATCCCAGCCCGAGGTGGTGAAGGAAGACGGGTCGCACCAGGAGTAGTCGTTGAAGGCAAAGAAGTCGCTGCGCTCATCATCAGTACCGCAGTTCATGTACTCGGCCATCTGGAGACGGTTGGTGTCAATGTCGGCCTAGACGAGCAGAATATCATTAATACCTCAGTTCGAATGTTCTGGCAATCCTTGGTCAACTTACGGCGGAGTATCCCACGGGGATCTCACGGTAGTTGCGGCTGCGGATGTACTGGCGGAGATCACGCGTCACAGCCTTGACATAAGGCGCGGCTTTGGAGGAAGGGCCATCATTGATGACCTCGTTACCCGAAAAGAAAGCAAGGGTGTTCTTGTAGTTGGCAAACTTGTCGACGGTAGCAAAGATGTATTGGAGATACACATCGTTATACGACGGTGCGGGATCGGCACGGTTGAGCGAGTACTTGGGCGTGTTGACATCAAGGACCAGGTAGATGCCAGCATCCGCCAGAGCGTTCATGCATTCGTCATGGTCCTGGGAGTTGTCCACCGAGTACACACGAATGGTGTTCAGCCCGAGCTCGGTAAACTTTTTGATGTCGCGCTTGCAGCCGTCCGCATCAGCAATGGGGTCGGCGAGTTTCGAAGAACCACCAGGCTGATAGTCGACACCGCGAATATAGAATCGATCGTTACCCTTAAAGAAAGCGTTGCCCTTGACTGTGATAGCGGTGACATCATCGCGGGCCTGGAGCGAAGGGGCAGCGAGGACGGTGGAAGCACCGAGGGTGAGGGCTGTTGCGACAGCGGATCCCTTCATGGTGAAGGTAGAAGCCGAAAACGTGCAGAGATATAACACAGATAATAAAAGAAACGAATGTGAGGGCCCGTCAGCTAGATTAGCGAGCAGATATGGTTCGGGGGGAGATGAAAACGGTGCCGGATATAGGAAGATTGGAAGAGGAGAAGCGAAGGATGAACGAGTGACTGAAGAATGATTTGAAGTATGCAGGAGAAAGGAGAAAAGAGGAGGCGGAACGGCTGAAGGGGTGGAGGAAGGAGCAGAGGCAGGCCGAGAAGAATGGAAGGGGTGGTACACGCCTTAAAGCAAGCCAACCATCCCTGAGGGACCGGGGCACTGCATTGAATATTGGCGGACAATGATTGCCCTGCAATAGGTAGGTTCCACTCAACCAGATACCTGCGCTCTGCCGGGGTAATTTACCCCCAATTCGCATTTCCGATCAATCAGGGCGCAGCGATAGGTGAATCCGTCAGGGTCTCACTGGTCCCGCCAGGACAGCCAAGAAAACAAACATTATGTCTGAAAGCAGCCAAGGTATGTGTGGTAAATTGTCGGACGGCATGGCAAGACAAGCGGGCCAATGGGATGGAAATTCACGCCATCCCCAACTCTAGTACTAGGTACCGTATAGTACAGTAGAAGAAAGTCAGCGGAAATCCGAGCGCATTCGCCATCCAGATCGTCAGATCGTCTGTGGGCGCACAGGGTCTGGCGCCGGCCAAGCCACCGATGAAAGGCCGCGCTGGCCACTTTCCAGGGTCAGGAACCCTACTAGGGCGGGCCGATTTATTGAGGCAGTGGACACTTCTTGGACCACGGGGCAAATGAGAATGCAAGCCAAGGGAGGATGGCGGCCGGACACAAAGAATGGGCGATGAAAGATGCCTTCTTTCGACCCTTCTGGTGGGGCCCCGGCTGGGCCAAGAGTGGGAGTGGGGCCAGTCCCTGAAGTCCCTGAAAGGCCCGGGTTACCGTACGGGGTACGCTGTACGGAGTACCGTTGGTACCTTTCAACTTTCAAGAGTATAATCAAGGTACAAGGTATATAGGTGAGCGTCAGTCTCATCAAATACCTTGGTTGCTGTCTAATTAATACTGACGTACGATCCAGCTGAGCATAGTTTATGATCAATTGAGTCCATCGCGAAAAAGCAAGGTGCAGTCCGGAAAAGGAGGCTACTATTGGGGTCGTAAACTCATCTTCCCGCTCCCTGCCGTGCCCTGAAGATCAGTTCCATCAAGGTTTGCGAGGAGAACCACTCACTTCAAATGTTTCATTGATTCTGCCATAATCTTGAAAAGTGCTCACATCAGCACACAGACAACAGGTATAGTGTAGTGCCAATGCGGTATACACTGCTTCCAGTACATACACCGTGAGTATTACTTTGAAGGGTCTGTATCGCCGCCATACTGGGCATTGGTCCAATTTGTCCTCGGATTGGACAACTTCAGCGCGGCCAAGAGCGCTACTCCCACATGTGCCTTCGCCTGAGACATCAATGCCAGCACACGAAGTCCATAGTCCATGCATTAATGCGAAGGCTCTGAATCACTCCATATATAATGTCGGATTCTCTAACAGAACTGGATTTAACTTCTCTTGTCGCATACGATGCTTCAATCCCTTGCTTGTGCACTGGTGAGATTCAGCTGGCAGAGATTCACTTGCTGCGATATTCCGTCACAAAGCCTTGGGCTTCTAAGCGATACTCGATGGATACTACTATATATAGTACAGTTATTAAATCAACAACTTGGCGTGACACACAATACGCTTCCAAAGGAGACTACTGTATACTTTTACGAGGAAGATCTAAGCTAAGTAGTCTGCTTGAGGACCCTGCATCATCACAACAGTCAGCCAACATGGCACACTTGCTTTTCGATTTCTGCCCAGTCGATGTCTCACCAAAAATAGGATGCTGACGTCAACGCACGGATATCGTGGCCCCGCCTAAACAAATCAGGGCGGGTGCTGATGCCCTTTCCTCCGACCTTCCTGAAGGAGATGACCGTTACTCCAACCGCAAGAGGCATGTTTCAGCACCAAATCAGCTCCACCTCCCTGTTTGATCCGGCAAAGTCAAGCATGTGAGAATGGTAGTAGCTGGGGGTTCACAGGCAGCAGAGTCTGCAAACGACCTGCTCTTGGCTGCCTCAGTCCAATCGGGCCGAGACTCTTGGCGGTCGCACAACACGACAGCCTCAGGCAGAAAGGATCGGGGAATTCTCCAGCTCAACATCATACAACAAGTGGTCGGGGCCACCCAGTAGCAATCTTCAGTCTTATGAGCTTTTCCTGTCATATTCATTGATAGTTCCTGCCATTCTACGCAGACTCACCGAGCCAGACCCTTTCGAACAGTTCGTATGAGTGAGCGCCGAGACCTGGGAACCGAAGCGATGAGTCTGGACCCTCTGGAGTATCCACAGCCAAAAATCATAGCACCAAGAACTAGGCAGCAACTCAATGGTATATGAAGTTGGCTTGTCTTGTTGGATGGCATAGGAGACCGCACGTGTTTGGGGTACAATCACCCCATTCCAAGTGCACTCAATGCCCCGTTGCCCGTTGGCAATGAACACCAGAACAATAGAGTGATGACTTGTTGAACCATTGAATATCAATCCAAAAATAGTCAGTCATTATCGAGTTGGAGGATAGTCCTGGCGACATTGCAATATACGGCGTCTACTATAACCCAGAATATTTGACCTGCGATTCGGTTAGTGACTACTAAACATATTTTCTGCCGCATTGAGAAAAGGTATCCAACCCGGAGGATTGAATTTAGCAGCACATCAACAGTTGTCGATATCGGAGAATTTCTGCATCGAGAGATGGGGCTCGGGAGTCTCCTCTCTATAGGAGCAGTTTTACGAGACCGATGGTTTCTACGTGCATACATGCACTGAAATCCTCCGTTCGTATGATCTCTCACAGGACATCCCAAACAAAGGTTGATCCTCGATTGCGTTGTGTCACTATCAACACGAACTTGGGCTTTCCCTCGCATAATGAAATGATCAAGAATCATATAGGCTTGGCATATCCAGGGGAGGGAGCCAATCACGAGATAACAATTGGTTATTGTTGTCTTGTGAAAGAAAACAGACACTGTGTTAGGTAATCCCACCTGGGGTCAATTTTCGCTGAAGGAGTAACGTTGAGAGTGTCAAAAGGTCCTCTAAACCAGAAACGTAGATATTAGGGGCAATGGCTGCCACACTCAAGATCGCTCCTTCCATTGTTGGCTCCTGCCCCAGCAGAAATGTGTCAGTCACTACATAGCTGCGATACACTTCCCAAAGGAAACCGAACAACAACATCTGTTACCTCGCATTTTCAATTACAAACCTGGTCGTGCTGTCGTACTCTATCGAGGTGTGTGCAACTTCAGAAACATTGTCCCACATAGTCTTCCTTTCCTGATCTTCCATCAGATGCATAACTTCGCGTGTACCCTCAGCCTGGCGCTGCTCCTAGGCATCGTACAGTGCCAGTATGAGAAGCTCTTTACGGACAAGGCAGCATTTGTCGACCATCCATACCCTACGATCCCCATTCAGTGCACCGAGCTTGGCCCATCCGGTTCTTATCTGGACAGCGATCACACTCAAGAAGGTGCAGGATACTTTCCGGCTTTGTCGTGGCCATCTCCGACCGAAGACACCAAGGAGTATGTTCTCATCAGCGAGGATCCTGATGCGCCGTTTAACGTTTCTGTCATCCACGGCCTGTACTACGGGATTCCGCGAGTATTCACTGGTCTTCAGTACCCGGACTTTGAGATCGATAACACTAGAGGCCAACCATTCATGCTCCGGGGAGGATTCAAATATGGGCAGAACCGCAGAGGCAGTGTATACCTTGCACCCCGTGCACCTCACGGGCAAGGTCCGCACCGATACTTTTTCGAACTGGTAGCGTTGAATGAAACGATTGACCAAAATACGCTCAGCTCTCCAGCAACGGTGGACGATATCGCACGCGCTGTGGAGGGCAAAGTTGCCGGATGGGGTGCATGGATGGGTTTATGGGAGAAGTAACGTTATGTTTGAACTTCCGAGACGTTTAAGTGATAGGATTATCCTGATAACAGGGCGGTTGTATTGTCTGTTGGGTTATATTTGATGACTGGAAGAACGGCTCTGAAGTTGATACCCAGGAGTACCACTACATCCTACATTGAAGATGTGGCTGATGAACTTTTAACGAGCAATTCGGACTCCTGAAGACCGTCCAGGTGCAAACAGGACGATGTTTTTCCCGAAGTCCATTTGTGTTAGGCCAATTCTATTGAACCAATAGAGGCTACTATGTGTGAAATGCCCCAGCATTATGTATTCGTATTCCTGTTCTGCATTGACTTTTGACAACACCACATCCTGAGTGGCACAAAATATACTCACTTCAGTTTCACCATCCCCCAAGAGGTCGATAGTTCGTTCGCTACGCCTAGATTATTGAGAATATAGGATATATTCTCACCTCGATTCCATGACCTACCGTAATACACTGCTTCGAACACCTCAATGAAACGCCACCAATAATCAGTCATTTGTAAGTTGCCAGTGATAAGTCACATTTACATCTTCCAACCCAACTCACTCACATCATCATTTGCGAAGCGCGCTAGCGCTGAGCAATACTAGGTTCAGTCCTGCTAGGGAAGTTTCCAGCTCCAAGACTTCTTATTGGTCCAATAGTTTGCTCAATTTCAGCTTTCTAATTGGTTGTTTGATTTACTCGTAACTTGATACAAACTATATTACCAATACTCACCGCTTCAGCCCAACAAGGATCTTGGAGGGGGTCTTCCTCCCCTCAGACCCCCCAATCTATATTCAGATTATAGATCTAAACCAGGTCTTTATATAGATTCAGGCTGTAGGTCTGAATTAAGTACTGTATTTTTAAGTGCTTGATTGAGCCCTTTAAAAGCACTTAATAGAGCTCTTTAAGAGTGTTTAACGGAGTCCTTTAAATGCACTCAATAAAGATCTTTAAAAGTGCTTGACAGAGTCCTTTAGTAGCGCTTGACGGAGCCCTTTAGTAGCGCTTGACGGAGCCCTTTAGTAGCGCTTGATGAAGGCCTTTAATAGCCCTTTACATGCGCTTGACGAAGCTCTTTAAATGCAGTCAAAGTACATTGCATGTTGCTTACTAAGGCGCTTCGCAATGCCTTGGGCTGGGGGCTTCCCGCAGGCCAGGACCTAGTTTCCTTTCACTCTACACCCATTCCACTTCGCACCCAACCTCAAACACCACCCAACCACAGGGTCAGAAAATGTAAGTTCCTGACTAGTACCTATACTAAGAATCCGCTTTCAAAATGGATCCATATAGATACATCCCAACGTCGCAACACCAGTATCATAACTTAAATTCACCGAAAGAGATTAAAATCGATACATCTCATATATGATGGGATAGATCACCTACGGAGTATAGAAAAACCGAGTGGAGTAAGTTTCATTACTACTACTGGGTAGATACTTAGGTAAAAGCTTGTGGTGAGTCTGAAACGCCCATGTCGGTGTCAACTCGGGTGAGGTGGAGGTGTTGGATTGATTGCGGGGAAACGGTTGGAGTTGGGGATAGAGTTTAGCCGGTACTTATTCCTCCCACAACTAGTTACTACAAGGATTATGATATAGTATTGGAATTTAATAGGGTATAGGTAGACTGCAGAAAAAATAATTGCACCTCTGGGGGTTTTCTCATTATCTGGGATGGTTGTTGAGTGTCTTAGAATACGAAGGGTCCAGCGCCATGGCCCATCACATGTCGGGTCGGCTCAACGACTGACTGGGTTAACGGTAAGACATTGTCTAGGTACGGATAGGCCGACCGAAGTTACACAGTACAGAGTGACCTATATTTGGCCGGCCGATGCGAGGATGATCCGTCGTACTTGCGATGGGTGCAAGGCGGGGGATAAATATAGTGGCCAATGGTAGGATCAGCCACATCGTATAGTTATCTAGTCTAAAACTGCATTTTGGTGCCAGTGCCAGTGGTTCGGGTTGCTTGAAAAGCTCGAGTTCCCATCCAATCGCTTTAGTTGATACATGCATAGCTCCTGCTGCAGTGAAGATTTGATAGGGCGAATTGGACACAGCTGTCTACCTTAGGCCTCCAGCGACTGAAGCTGCCTGAAGGACAAGATAGGAGAGCTAATCCCGCCAGAGTCTAGCTCACGCCTCACTGTTCAATCATAACCAATAGAGGGATGAGGTTACCCCACCAGAGCCAAGAATAGCAGATCCAGATCCGGTGTCGCTAACGGAATCAAGACTAGCGCGGTGCCTAATCGAAGCTAAGCCCCTCCGACGCTTGACTGAATGCGGCGGCTCGGAAACCGGGCAGTTTTGACAGGACTGATCTTTTCCGGGCGCTGGAGGAATCATATCATGCCTTTGTCTGGATGCAGTGAAAGGAATTCATGATGATGCTGAAGACGGACAACTAGATTGGATTGGAAACCCAGGAACACTGGGGAGGAATCCAGGGAACAATGATGACTCCCCTGGCGAGGAGAGGAGCCAGTCAATGGTTGCCAATAGTGAGGAGACGGTGGCCGAAAAGAACGGACCACGCCGCATTCGGTACCTTGCTGTTATCGCCTATCAATAATAGGACATGCCATTGTGCACCACACTGCTCCGTAAATTCACAGTAGTCGCGTCTATCCCAATTTCTACACTATTTTAGCACCTGCTACATAAGGCGAATAGTCGCCATAAGGTAGGGGGAAAAAACTGATGATCTGATTTCATGGTGGCGTCATGATTCACCCTATTTTTCTTATCGGCGCTCGGCAACTTCCCGGAGTTTGGTGAGGATTTGACTTTTTCCGTTTTTTACTTTTTTGCCTTTTTATTTTATTTTATTTTTTCTTCTCCCCCAACTGAAGTGAAAGTGAAACATTGATGAGCGGATTGACATTTCCGCTCGTCTTACCCCTCACTCTGGCGTAGGTTGTATACATCTGACATGGACACCACCACACCGATGTATCTAACTTGCTAGGTGCATCTAGGCTGCCGACTAGGGCGCATCGCTGGCCCGCTATCTCCCAGCTATTCTGCAACGGACCTGGTGCGATGGGCTGTGTCTGCTGCTGACGTTAGCCCCTCCTCTCTCGTATGAACCAAACTCGCCAGTGGTAGCGACTCCGTAGCTTCTTCGAAGGTTCAGGCTTGGTCTGCGTTGTTGTCGACGGCCACCGTTAGTCCGGCCATTGCATTGGCTGAGCAGTGCCACCGCGGTGACTCGTGCGAGGGTGTGAACCCTCGCTGGACAGGATCCAGGGAACCAGAGCCGACAACCCCGGGACTATTAATACTGCATCGAGTTTTTCTTCTAGCGGATTTCCAGCCGCGATCCACTCGGACCTGCCAAGGCGAGCCAGGCCTCCTTCAGTGCCTTGTTTTGCCCGCCTGAACCGTTTAGCCTCGGGGTTTGGGTTTGTATTTTAAGCACTTCTCCGGCGACAGGCAACCAGTTATTAGCCTCCGATTCTGCTCTTTCAGCCAGCCTGCAGCCATTTTCCTGTCCTTCACTGCCACTCCCGCCATCTCCCGACGGCTTGTTCCTATTTTGTCCCTCATCGTTGGGCCTCACCTGACCGTTGCCGATTCCGGTGTTAAATCTATAAGCACCTCCTTTTCACCACAGCCTTTCCCACCTTCTTACTCCCCTGAGTTTTTTCGCCGTGCGGTTTCCCACTCGATCAGACCCAGCTAAACGCCATGGCGTCCATCACTCGCCTGCTTCATATCTTGCTCTTATCTTTGATCGCCTCGTCTGCAATTGCAGCGCCGACTGCCGATCAGTCTGAATCTCAATCCAACTCGGTCGCCAGCGACAGCACTTTCAGCCAGTATCTCAACAGCTTCGAGGAGAACCCTCTTCACAAGGCGCTCCATCTGTTTGACAAGTTCCGCCATGGAGTGTTTCGTACCGACGAAGATGCTGCGCAGGCCTTTGAAAAGGATCCTGAGCTTGCGGAACATCTCAACCTCGCCAAGAGACAGGGTGTGAGCAATGCGACGACTGCTGCAGAGACCAGCCAGGCCACGGAACCTGCGACGACCTCTGTAGCTGCGGCCACTACATCTCAAGCCGAGACCTCTGCCAGCAGCGCCGAGTCGACATCTGCCGAAACCACCTCTGCTCCGACCACTGCCGCCGCCACGACCGCACATACAACCGCACATACGACCGCCGCGCAGACCACATCTAGCTCTAGCAGCCGTGAAACTAGCTCTAGCAGCAGTGAGTCTAGCTCTAGTAGCAGTGAGTCTAGCTCTCAGTCCACGTCCTCTCCCGTCACCACTTCGTCGTCTTCTTCCTCCTCGTCGACGTCGTCTTCGTCGTCTTCGTCTACCTCGTCTTCTTCGTCTTCCTCGTCCTCGTCCTCGTCCTCATCTTCCTCTACTTCCACTCCTGCTTCCACTACTGCTTCTATTACTTCTTCTACTTCATCCATTTCATCCTCATCCACGTCCTCATCTCACACGACGACAGCTTCTTCCACGACCTCGACCGTGCCTTCAACCACGTCTTCGAGCTCCACTTCTACTTCTTCCTCGTCTACATCTTCGTCGAGCTCGACCTCGCACTCGACGACCATGCACACCACAAGTTCGACGACGGAGCAAACCACCAGCACCAGCTCGACCAGCGAGGTGACTACGCCCTACACATCCACCTACAAGATCACCACCACCCTGCCCAATGGCCAGCAAAGCACCGTGACCGCCGTGACGGTTGTTCACCCCACCGAAACCGCGAGGGAGGTGGCCACAGCAACCAAGGCCTCTCCGGGACTGCAAACCGACAATGCCGCGCCCGCCAACGGATTGGGACGGGAGCTGTTCCTGATGATGGGCGGAGCGGCCATGGTGGCTATGGCTCTGTAGGCCTGCTCGGACAACAATATTTCACCTTGTGCATATATGGCGTTATTTACATTTTCAATCATGTTTCATCATGTTTTTATGATACCTCCCTCACGATCCTTGAACAAGCAAGCAAGCAAGCATATTTCCCGGCGTCCAACAATTGTCTCTCCTTGAAGCGCTTACACTAAGTTATTTGGGGTTGATCTTTTTCATCCGGTTCGGTGTTTAACAGATCTACTTACGTTTACGTCTCTCCTTTACCGTCAGGATGACGGACATACTATACATATTACCAGCGTGTGCATATTAGACACTTCACTTCACTTGAAGTGAAATATGAAATATTACCTGTGAACTACCAATGATGAAACTACTTCTCACGAGGCTACATCCCAAACCAAACCAATAACCAAACCCCATACTCAGCACTTCCCACTTCTCACAACAAGGGTATCCATCTATCCACAACCCCATATATAACACCCCCTCCCCCCAAACAACCCTAAACATAACCCTGACCCTGACCCTGACCCTGAGGAACCCACCTCTCCTCCCCCGTCCAAAACCTAACACAGCTCTCCCACCCCACCAAATCCCCATCCCTCAGCAAAGCCGCAACATCCACATTAAGCGGCGAATCCGGTCTCGGATCCGTCAACAACTGATGGATCGCCGTCAACGTACTCGACAATGTATAAACAGGACTCCAGTGTTCGGTGGTCAGCAGCGTGAGACAGATTTCCCCTGTCGTGAAGGAGATGTTTGGATGGCTGATCCGGGTTTTGAATGTTATGGTGGGTGGGGAGAGGGGGTAGTTTGGTGGGATGAGGATTTTGAGGGACCAGAGGCCGCCTATGGGTTTTTGTTTTGTGGTTGTTAGTGGGGGGTTAGGTGGGGAGATTGGGGGGTAAGGGCTGGGGTACCTTCGTATGGAGTGCCTTTTACGCCTTTTAGGACGGCTTCCCAGTGGAGGAGATCATCTTCGTCCACGGGACCGAGATGCAGGAGGGCTTCGTTGGGGGAGTTGGTGTAGTCTTTTAGTTCGCGGAGGAGACGGTGTGTCGTGGATGATGAGGCCATGGGTGTGGGTGTGGGTGTGGTGGGTTGGTTTTTTGGGATCTGGAATCTGGAATGTGGGTTTATCGGTGATAAGATGAGGAAGGTGTAAATATTAATGGGATAAGGGACAAGAATGTGTTGATTGATACGAGTAGAGTGCGGAGTAGAGAGATGATAAGCATGTCGAGGTGGCTGGCAGACTGGCAGCCGATCGCGCCGAGGCTCAGCCAGCGCGTGGGTCCGTCCAGTCGGCACCATCGTCCCGCGGTCTGGGCTCAGCCATGTGTAATCCTAACCCCCTTCCTACCCGCCTTTTTATCCTCGTCGATCGGTGGAGTTCATGTCAACTGTTGTCCCCGGAGTACTTTACGGACCTGCTCCGGAGTACAATTAGGGCACCTAAAATGCGTACTTCTCGAGCTTCCAAAGATACTGCCAAGGTCCTGCAGGCCTTGTCGCCCCCTGCGCGCCGACAGACCCGCTCCTCCCACGCCCTCAGTCTGCTCAGAGACTTCGCCTACAATGGCGGTGGTCCTGCCGCTGCATCCATCAGTGATGATGACACCTCGTCACTCTCCTCGGTGCCTACAGTGGATATCGAGGATCTCCTGGAACCGCCAGCGAAGCGCCGGAAAAGCGCATTGAGCGCTCCGCGGAAGACAAGCACGCGTTCTTCTAGACGGGTAGCTGAGAGGCCTGTCAAAGCGGAGCCCGTCAAATTTGAGACGCCCATTAAAATGGAAAAGCCCGTTGAAGAAAAGTCCATCAAAACGGAGAACCCCGTTCAAACGGAAGCATCTGTCAAACCCGAGACATCTGTCGATCCCGAAATCCTCATCAAAACCGAAACACCGGAGGGGATGGAGAGACCAATCAAAGCTGAAAAGTCCGGCATAGACAGGCCAATCAAATCCGGGGCATCGGTCGAGGCATCTATAAAAAAAGAGCTAGAGGAAAAGCCTGTTCGAGCGCGTCGGGTCCCTGCGCGCAAAATCAAACGGGAGAGTGGCGACTACACAGTCGAACCACCCTCTAACTGGGAAACCATGTACGCAATGGTCAAGAAGATGCGAGAAGAGAATCCCACTGCCCCAGTTGATACAATGGGTTGTGCCGAACTCTACTGGCGCGCGTCATCTCCTCGGGACCGTCGATTTCAAACCCTGATTGCGCTGATGCTATCCTCCCAGACAAAAGACACCGTCACAGCCGTTGCTATGCAGCGGTTGCACACAGAGCTTGGTGATCAAGCCGTGATTATCGTGAAGAAAGAACCCGACGAGTATAAATGGAAGCCAACCGAGCAGGTCAAGGATAGCACTCTAAACCTGGAAAACATCCTGGCCGTTGCCCCAGAGCGTCTCAACGAGCTGATCCGCACCGTGGGATTTCACAACAACAAAACCAAGTATATCAAGGCCGCCGCTCTCATCATCCGCGACCAATATGACTCAGATATCCCTTCGACTGCCCCTGAATTGATGAAGCTGCCCGGAGTCGGCCCGAAAATGGCGTTCCTCTGCATGAGCGCTGCCTGGGGCAAGCACGACGGCATTGGCGTTGATGTCCACGTCCACCGAATCACCAATCTATGGGGCTGGCACAAGACGAAGAATCCGGAAGAAACGCGCATGGCATTGGAGTCCTGGCTGCCGAAAGACAAATGGCATGAGATTAACAAGCTGCTGGTCGGATTGGGCCAGACGGTCTGTTTACCAGTAGCTCGGAGATGCGGGGAATGTGACCTTGCAGGGACCAAACTTTGTAAAAGCGAAATCAAAGGACTAGTGTCCAGGAAGCGGAACACAGTCACTGTGAAGAAGGAAGGGGCCAGTGGGGACGGTCCCGAAGGGCCGCAGGTGAAGGTGAAGGTGGAGGAAGAAGAGTAAATGCTGCATGTTGCTTGAATGCCCAAGGCACGGCCTTTCACCAGTGGGAGTTTGTTTCAATTGACCCGTTTGCCATCCCCACCAATGGCTCACTGCACCCCCAACTTCCTTCCCTTCAATTCTCTTGTCTTTAAAGTGGTCCTGTAGTGTCCTCCCTTCTTCGTTCATCGACTGCTATTCTTCGATCGTTTATCGTGACGCCCCCCGTGGCCTTTGCTATGGAATCGTGAATGACGAGTATCTCCATCTAACACCAATCACTATCGTACGAACCTCTCTGACGTGAAGTTGAAATCCCCTCGCTTGTCACGCGTGCATGACCCATCCTCTTTCCTAGAGTCACTTGTTTCCTTGACAACCTCCCAAGTGCTAACGCGTGGTCTCTCATAGCTGTTGATGCAGGTTCACATGGACTCTAGTGATTCAGACGACGACGACCGTTGGGCCTCGGCTTTCAACAGTCCCTACACCGGCTCCGACAGCTCAGACACTGATTCGGAGACTTCCACCATGGATGCCCCAGAGAAGCGTCTAATATCGTTTGTGGACTTGCCGGAGAACATCAAGAAAAAGATCTTCGAGTACGTGGGGTTGCTGCGGCCTTGTCTGATCAACATCTCCTTTGAGCAGGTTCGCAGCAAGCTGGACCGTGGCCTCTGTTCTAGACCCAATGAGCAACGGGCTCCCCGCGGTGGGTGGACTGCGTCGTGGACTTCCTTCTACGAAGGACCCTGTGACCACCCCAAGTTGCCCATCGAGGTCTTTCAATCATGCCAGGCTTTTCGTGAGGATGCAGGCGCCCTCTTCTTTGCCCACAATCGCTTCAGTATGCTTCTGTACAGCAAGTCGGACTTTGTCACCTTCCGCACATCGATGGAATGGGGCATGCATCACATGAGATACTTGCACCTGGATTTGGGTCCTCGGGACAACCGGTTTCTCAAAATCGCACCCGGTGTCCATCGTACCATCCTGAAAATGTGGGTGGACTTTTGTGACATGTCGCGGACCCAGATGCCTAGTTTGAGGTATTTTAGTATGAAATGCAAGGTCCGTGATCTCGAGGTGGCTTGCAAGCTCATGTGCATGATGGATCCTTTTCCGGCTCTCTTCCACTGTGCCTTTCATCTCGGTCACACTCAGGATGATGATATCCGGCCGGTTATCAAGCGAGCTGCGTGGCGACTGACGGATAACCTGCCCAATAAGCCTCCCTTTCAGTTCAGCCGTCTTCCGAAAGAGATTCAGTTGATGGTGCTCGAGGAAATCCTGCTCAATCGCTCCGATCCCACCCTGCAGCCGTCGGATTGCGCACCGGGAATCATCACTTTCCAAGACCGAAAGCGTTCGCGGATCGCCATGTTTCATTCCCTGACCTGCTGTGGCACCTGCTCACCTCTCAAGGCCATGTGCTTCTGCTATGCACGTCAAACCGCGTTCTCCACCAGCTGCACCTGCTTTTCGTCGCCCCTGCCGTATTTCCTGGTCAGCCGCGAGTTCTATGAGAATGCTCGTCGCATCTTCTTCACTAAGAACAAGTTTGCCTTTGTGGAGGAGGATCCGGAATACATGATGCGTTTCTTGCATTATATTCCAACGGCGTCCACGCTCCTGATCCAGCATCTGTCGTTCAAGTTTCCAGTTTGCTACCGGAGCGCTCCACGGACCGGGCCTCGTTCTGAGGATGCAACGATGCTTTCTTGGTCGGTGCTGCGGCGCTTCATCCGAGAACACTTTGACCTGTCGCGCCTGTCCGTGAAGATTGTGGACCTGGGCTTGAAGGGGGCCGTGGTGTACTCACAGGAGAACCGCAAGAGATACCTGCGTAAGCTGCTGTTTGCGTTTTCTGATCTGGCGGGGCTGCGGGAATTTCGCGTGTACCTGGCGGATGACCATATCTTTGAGAGAGAGGCAGAAACGGCTGTTCTCGGACCGATTCGCGTGGAAAGAAAACGTCCTGGGGTGCCGTTTATCAGCAGACAGTACCTTGAAAGCGTGTCAGTCTGATGGATCTTTTTTTTGCCGCGGTGTCAGTTGTTGTTGTCTTCCAGCAACTCCGGCTCTCTGTCGCGTCTTGATCTACCGACGGCTCTGTTGTTCTTCTGCTGCCTCATTTGTCATCTGCTGATGGCTTTGTGGCTTCTCTTTCTGTACAGCATCGTCGGTCTCCACAACTGGTCTTGGGAGGGATAGTTGCAGTTATTGCGTGAGTTCACGTTCGTGGGGCTCACAGGAAAGGAGGTTCTCTGCTTTATTTGAAAATATTCTGATCTGTTTTTCATGTTTTTGCCTTGTTGCTTTGTGTTCAGCTGGTCTCGGCGGCTGGTTGTCTCCGCGAGGACTGGAGAACAAGCCTGCAGGTGTGTTCACTAATGTCCTCTGAGCGGGCGAGCTGCTTGACTGTCAAGCACAAGAACAGGCCACAATTATTGACCAGCCACAGGCGGTCTCATTTACTTAATCAAATTAATCCCATACTTTGTTTCCTACTGTTCAGCAACGTACCTGATCTTAGGGCATCGACCATGCCACTCACCAAAAACTCCATCAACTGCACCTGCTTAGTTGTTCATATGGGTGTGTACCGAGTACCCAGTACCGTGCAAATCACCAGAAAGTGCCAACAAGAACTAAGACTGAGAGGTCCGGCCCCGTGCGGAACCTCTAATATATTCCACCCCCTGGACCAGTGAAGACATTCTCTACCCTGCCCCCTTACGTTCTTTATCCTCATTCCCCCCATGATAAAATTTCTGTCAGGCCAGATTAACTGTTCCAGCTGGAGAGGTATATTCCCTCCCACTTGAATTATACTTCACTGGAATGATATGAGCTGGCTTATCGGCTGTGGGTGGTGCATAAGCGATGGTTTGTGTGTACCAGCCCTGACTAAGCATGCATTATGCAGTGGATTAGATCAGACAAATGAAGTCACGTAAGTCCACCCCGCTGAAGTCGATCTGAGCTTCCCCGCGGAAGTCATCTTTCTGCCGCTGGCTGCATCATTCTTTCTTTGAATTGGCCAAATCTCCTGCTTGCAATTTATTCTCGGATTTACTATACAATCACTCAATAACTTATTTATCTTATCTATTTACTTACTTCCATACCTACCTACCGCCAAATCCTCTAATTTACCATGCCTTCACCCATCTCCATCTCCCCCTTCGCCCAAACCCAACAATCCCTCCTCACCACCGAACAAGCCGCCGAAATCACCTCCTCTGCGCTCTTCTCCGCCAGCGCCACCCTCACCGCCTCGCCGTCGACCCGCAAAACCCTCCAGGCCTCGGGCCATGCCTTGACGGGAATAATCCTCAACCAGTGTCGGACTGGACTTGGGGGACGGACGGTGGGGGAGTTTGCGCCGGATCCAGCGGTGCAGAGTACGTCCTCTGATGGTGCGGGGGATGGGAAGTTGAGGTTGGGGGCGCATGGGTTGCGGGTTGGGGATGTGGTTAGGGTTTGTGAGGTGGGGAAGAAAGGGGAGGAGAAGGGGAAGGGGAAGGGGGAAAGGGAGGAGAGGATACTGGGAATGGAAATGGAAATGGGGTGGAGGGGGTGGTGACGAGGGTGGGGGAGAGTGCGGTTTGGGTTGCTTTTGGGGGCAAAGGAGCAGGAGGAGGGGGGAAGAAGGGAGGGGAGGATGAGGCGGTGGAGGAGTTGTGGGGGAGGAAGGTTTGGATGTATGGTTTGATTTTCTATCGTATCTGCTATCTGGGGAGGGATTGGGGAGGCTGATGATGGTTGCAGGATTAAACTTGCCAATGATGTGACGTTTCGTCGGTAGGTCACTGCGGTAGGGGACTTGTTTGCATGGGGGAGGGAAGGCTGATGGTTAGCAGGATGAATCAGACGATGGAGAGAATGGCGAAGATGTCTGAAACGGAGCATACTCATTTCATGCGTGTCGCGTTTGGCCATACTACGCCTATGATGCCCGACTACGATGCAGTTGGCCCTGTGGAGTTTACTGATCCCACGTTGAATGACTCTCAAGAAGAGGCTATTCGTTTTGCGCTGGCGTCGCGGGATATCGCGCTCATTCATGGCCCACCTGGAACAGGAAAGACGCATACGCTGATTGAGTTGATCTTGCAGATGGTGCAGAGGAAGCTGCACGTGTTGGTCTGCGGCCCGTCGAATATCTCCGTTGATAACATTGTGGAGAGACTGGCGCCGAAGAAGGTGCCGGTGGTACGCATCGGACATCCCGCGCGGTTGCTCCCATCTGTCCTGGATCATTCCCTGGAAGTACTCACCCACACGTCGGAGGCCGCTGCCATCGTCCGGGATGTCCGGAAGGAGATTGACGAGAAGCAGGCCAGTATCCGGAAGACGAGGTTTGCGAGGGAGCGGCGAGCTATCTACGATGATCTGAGGGAGCTGCGGCGCGAGTTCCGCGAGCGGGAATCAAAGTGTGTGGATAACTTGGTTCGTGAGAGCAGCGTGGTACTTGCGACGCTGCATGGCGCGGGTGGACACCAGCTAAAAGGCCAGAAGTTTGATGTAGTGATCATTGATGAGGCGAGTCAGGCCCTGGAGGCCCAGTGCTGGATCCCGTTGTTGTTGGCATCAAAGGTAGTCCTGGCTGGTGATCACCTGCAGCTGCCTCCTACCGTCAAGTCTACCAAAGAGAATTCACAAAACTCGAAAACCAAGGAGAAGGAGAAAAAAGAGAAAGAGAACGGAGCAGAGTTGCTGCAGAATGTCTCGCTCGAGACAACCCTGTTCGATCGACTGCTGTCAATGCATGGACCCGGAATTAAACGGATGCTCACGACGCAGTATCGGATGCACGAGCAGATTATGCAGTTTCCGTCGGACGAGTTATATGACTCGAAATTGATGGCTGCAGAGGCTGTCAAAGCGCGACTCCTGAAAGACCTCCCGTACGACGTCGAGGAGACCGATGACACCAAGGAACCAGTGGTATTCTGGGATACTCAAGGGGGTGATTTTCCCGAGAAGACAGAGGATGTGGACGTGGGTAAGAAAGCCGGTCTCGGGGAGAGCAAGAGCAACGAGATGGAGGCCCTTGTCGTCAGCCGGCATGTCGATGCCTTGGTAGATGCGGGTGTACACCCCGAAGACATTGCGGTTATCACTCCGTATAATGGTCAGCTGGCCGTCTTGTCGCAGATGCTGCGGGAAAAGTATCCAGGCCTGGAGCTGGGCAGCGTAGACGGATTCCAAGGTCGTGAGAAGGAGGCCGTGGTGGTCAGCCTGGTACGCAGCAACAGCGAGAACGAAGTTGGATTCTTGGGGGAACGGCGTCGGTTGAACGGTAGGACCCCTGCGGAGTCCGATGCCTGCATGGACTGACAGCATTAGTGGCTATGACGCGGCCGAAACGGCATCTGTGCATCTGCGGTGACTCGGAGACGATTAGCAAGTGAGTGCCCCTCTCATTTCGTAGTGCGCATGTGGTTGACGTGACCCTTTCTCCACAGGGGCAGTGGGTTCCTGAAGCGCTGGATGGCATTTTTGGAGGAGCACGCCGATTTGCGATATCCAGATGCGGGCGAGCTGTTGTGAGGCAGTCTGTAAGGATCCCTTGTCAATGCCAGTGTCACGCTTGATGCCCTGCAATCAGACGGGACGGCCATTGGCAGACCCGTACGACGTCTGCATGCTTGTTCCTTGCAGCGAGCTTTGCAGCGAGTCAAACGGCGCGCTACACGGACCACCACCGAGGAAGACAGCAGAAGTCGAGGACAAAGAATCCGAAAATATGTCATGAGCGCCCCCAACTATCAACCACCCGTAACTAGCTCCCATGTGGCGCGATGGATTTACGCCCCTCCACCCGAAACGGCCAGGGGGAAGATCGTGCGATTAGTGCTGGATCTAGATCCCACGAGCGGGATGACGCCCTCACACAGTGTTTGTGCCCGACCGAGGATGAGGAGCGACCGTCATGGCTGCGAGCGAACCGGTTCCGAGCGTCTGATGGGATAACTTAATCGGTTCAGGACGGGAGCGGAGGAAGGCCACTTGGCGTGTTTCAGGGCGGAGGATTGCAGTCGTGGTCCAATGAAGGACAGTGGCGAGGGGAGAGGAGGGGGGAATATCCGAGCAGTGGAGGAGGGGTTGGCAATGGGGCCGAAGGAGCGCATGGATCGCGATGAGTTGGCGCGGGTGGTGGATGAGGCTTGAGGCTGGATAGGCTGAATTGGGAGGAGGACGAAATTTGGTGGAAGGTGATAGTGTGATTCCAGTGACACGGTTGAAAGGTGTTGTCGATCCAAGACCATTGAAGTTTACCAGACCAGAGCAGAGTAGTACCTGGATGGTACTGAGGACTGGGTACAGTACCGAGTAAGTACCAAGTAAGTACTGAACAGCGACACTAAAAATACCCCTGACGCGCCTTGGCCTGAAACGCCAGGCCTCGGGGGGCTCCACTTCAGGCCGGCCGGCTGGTCTTTTCCCCCGGCCTTCTTTTCATCTTCTCTGCAGCCTGGAATTATTATTCCACCTCATCAATCATTATTATTGTCCTCGCTTTTGATTGCTCCCTGCTTGGAAGTGTCCATTCTTTTCTTTCCCTTTTGGCTTCCTTCCTTCTTTCCTTTCTTTTGGCCGTATTTCCCCATTTCCTCCCTGCTTCCCTGGTATCCCCCTGTTTGATAAGCTCGCGGGATTCCCGTATTCTCTGCTCCAGTCTCCATTATCGCTGCCGATCGTGACCGCGCTCTGCCCTCCTCCTTCACTGCGTGTCGGACTAGCGAATGTCTGTTTCCATTGCCCAATTGTCGTCTCTGCTGCTCTTCTACTCCGCTTCTTCTTTTTCGGTGACGCCCTCATGCGCCAGTAGTTCCGAGTCACTGCGCTCCCTCCCTCCCTCCCCTACTGAATATTGATTGATCATACATCACACCACCACCTTCTCTCTCCCCACTTGCTCCCTCCTCTCTCTTCCTCCCCTCCCTCCCTCGTGCTGACTCCTTTGGCTTTCTCTTTTCTTCCGCCACCATCTCCTCCAGCCTATAGATCATGATTTGAGCTTACTGCCAAGGTCAGCTTCCCCTCCAACACCCACTGAGTGGACTCCTGCTGATGCGGGCTCGCAGCCTTGCAACTTAGATACCCTCCTCGTTCAGCTGGTGGACCGGCGCTGTTGCATATACCCAATCGTTCCTTGTCTTTGCGTTTCGTATCAGTCCTTACCTGTCGGCTCATTTGTCTATATTTGTACCCCCGTCGCGCGTGGATGCGATTGGACCCCGCCGTGATTGCAGCCTGCATGTTTCATCTCTAGCCGATTCCCGATATGTCTGGCACCAGCTTAAGTACAGCCCGCAGTGGCTCCGCAGAGAGTCGTCTGGCTGACACTCCAGCCTCTGATTCTTCCTCTGCAGACGCATGCTTTGATACTGCCTTACCGCCCATGAGTTCCAAACAACTGGTCGTCAGTACGCGTCGACCTCCCCGTGGTTCCGAATCCTCCCTCATTGCGACTAGCCTCCGCGGCAACAATCGAGCTGTAGCAGCGCTGCAGTACTCGCCAGGAACCACCACCATTGCTCGAGGACCCAGCACCCATCGTCGCACGGGCAGCACCCTCAAGACTGTCATGCGGAAGATATTCACTCGCAAAAGTCGAGGCCAAGAGGACGGGGAGGAAGATCCCGCCCATGGCCGCTTCGGCAACCAGAGTCCCCGATCAGATCGATCTTTCGACAAGCCTCTTCCTCTGTCTGGCTCGTTGAACGGGAAATCAATCAGCCCACTGCAACACGAGACCGGGCCCGTAACATCGTGGGAAGAGGCCCTGCGGAAACTGGAACCGCACCCGCGCCGCCGACGAGCCACCCTGCCCAGCTTGATCTTTTCGGACGACGAATCGCGCGGTGCGCTCGAGGCTGTGATCAACTCGGACCGGCCTACTAGCAAGCGAGACAACAGTCCCCACGCCAACAGTGATCCAGATGAGACCCGACGGCGAGAGGTGCGACAGATCAAACGACGCTCGCGCAGCGCAACTGCTCTGCGCGGCATGGCCAAAGATCACCTGATGTCTCCCATCCAGTGGAGGCGACGGAGTCTCGAATCATACGCCGGATCGACAACTTTCGGAGCGCCCTCCGAGATAGATGCATCCGAACGACCCCCGACAAGGACCACCGTCGCCAGTGCACCGAAGCCGACGACGGAACCATCATTCTTGGAAGAGGCGGACGAAGAGGAGGACGATGAAGAGGACAACCACGAAGAAAACATTTCCCCAATGGTGGGGACGCTAGTTAATACCCTGCAACATGATGAGAATGTGACTCTGGAGCAGCGCTTGACTACCTTGGAGGTGAAATTGATCGACCTGGAGTGTGCAATCGCGCGGATGCAGTCCGGACGCAGCGAGACGCCGGCCGAGGCATCGGGGCAGAAGAAATCGTCACCGACGACGAGCCGACACAAGCGCAAGCAGTCGTCGGCGCGGTCGCCGTCGGGAAGCGATGAGGCCCCGAATGCCAAGTCGCCGGGCGCCGATCGCCCGTTGAGCACGAGCACGCTTCGCCCGAACCACCTCCACCGCTCACGGACGCTGCAAGCGCCGTCCTCGACGTCGCTGCACGAATGCAACAATACTATTTCCGTGGAGCAGTACAGCGCGCTGGTGATGCTGCTGCGCCGGGAGCAGTCCGCGCGACGGAACCTCGAGGAACAGGTGTCCAGTCTCCGCGGGGACGTGGAGCAGCTGACCCGAATGGCGCGGGAGTCCATGGGGCCCATGTATCCGGTGCGGGCGATCGACCCTCAAGACATCATCCGCATGCGTCAAGCCCTGGGTCCGTCGCCGACCAATTCCGCCCCGACGGAGAAGAATTCCCCTGACAGTGACTCGGAGGAGCGGCCGGAACTGCCTCCGAAGGGGGATGTCTACCACCCGCGATGGCCATCGGCCCGACGGGTGGAAGTAGGCGGAATGATATGATCCAGCTGTTGTTGACAACTTTTGCCATTGTTCTCCCCTCTTTAATGACCGACACTTGCGCTCATACCCATTCATTATTTTCTTGAAATGCTCTGCGTACTGCGTGGTTCTGATGATATCCGGCATGAAATTGCGTTGCATGAGTGGCTCGCACGGCGACTGTATATACATCCATTCCCTTTTTGCACCGGCTGCACTATATAGAATGATAGACATTGATTATCAATATGCTACATACAGAATTATAACCATTTGTCACATACCCCTGAAGAAAACCAACAACTGATGAATTGATGAAATGAATATGAATTGAATTACTCAACCTTCTTCCCTCCCAACTCTTCACCCTCATCAAACCGCAACCGTTTCCCAAACAACACCGACCGTCCCAGCATGGCCCCAACAACGGACCCCAAATATGCCCCAGTCAGAAGAGTAATCGGATACGCCTGCCACGGCCGATCCCTGCAACACGATTAGCACCTAGTAATCCTAAACCATCTCCACCAACCCACCCCTAAAACCAACACAGACAAAAACAAAAAGAAAAGAGAGAAAGAACCTACCAATCCAAAGGAATCGGCACAGCCCCCAACCACGCCCCCACGGCCGTACCCAAAGCGCCCCCCAAACCGCATCACCGGGTCTCTTACATCCCCAGACCTCCTTCCAAACCGGACCATCAACACCATGAACGTAGATCAATGCCGTAGAGGAGAGAATTGCCATATGGGCAGCACAAAGAAGCGTTTGGACGTGGTGCGTAGTGAAGGGGGCACCGAAGAGGATGAGGAGGATGGAGAGGACGGGTGTTGCGAGGAGGGTAGTGAGGGTTAGGGAGAGGAGGGAGGCCTATTTCCGTTTCCATCCTTGTTAGACTTGAATTGTTTTGTATTCTGAGGGTAGGGTATGTATGTATACGTACCGCAACTTTCGCTCCCCACGCACCACTTCCACTCCCAGCAGCAGCAGAGGCATCCCTAACGCGACGCCGACCAACCTTCCCAGGTCGAAGAATCACATTCCCCGATTGTGTTCCAGCGGAGCCAGAGGCTATCGAAGGAGAAGTAGGTGTCGATGAAGCGGCGGCCGAGACATCCGATCCGGCGGGCGGGAGACAAATCATCGCGTAGGTGACCTGCGCGAGAGCCAGGAGGGGAATCTGCTGGGCCATTTCGGAGACCGGGTCGGCGACGAGGGCGGGGAAGCGGACTGCGAAGACGGAGAGGAGAGCGGCTGGGTGGAGGAAGGAGTAGATGCGCGCGAGTTGGGTGGGGAGGATGGGGACCGGGGGTGCGGATTTGGGGAGGTCCGGGCGGAGGTGGTGAGGGGGTGGGGAGGGGAGAGGGAGGAGGGGAGGCCATTGTGGTGGGTGGTGTTGGCGATGGCGCCAGAGGAAGGAGGAATTGAGTTGGAGAAGAGAATGAATGGATGGATGGATGGATGGATGGATGGTTAAGGAGCTGTGGGAGAGGAGAGAGAGGCCGGAGGTGACGGAAGAGGAAGATTTTGTTTGCGCGGTTTGCACTCTGGCCTGGGTGCCTCAGTCATACTTTAAGCTTAGACTAGTAACTATACAAAGTAGGTAGGTCATCAAAGTATGCAGCGTATCCATACAACTCTTCGTAAATCTACACCGGCTATTTGAAACACATGGCACGCCTTCCCAGCAAGCAATACATACATCATTCGTGACCCGTAACGAGCATCAAGAACCGACTCATCTCATGGCTGGCCTCAAGCCACCGATTGAAACATGCCGTCCCATCCTCTCCGGATGTTCATCAGACCGTAACCCAAAATCCACTCACAAAGGAGACAATGTAAAAGTTTCTATGAAGGTACAGCAGGCCCCGGTCCACAGTCAACGCCTTCGCTCTCTACTGGCGAAGGCGATCCTGCTGGAACAGCTGCCACGGGCTCCTTCTTCGGCTCCAGACCAGGTACCGCAACCGGGCTCTCCGGCGTGCGTGGTTCCTCAGGGATCGCCGGAGGTAGTCCGGCCCCAGGAAGAGGGGAGACTGGGGAGCTCACCTGCCCCTCTTTCGGATAGCTGACCACGTCAATCGGGGCGGGCCGGTTTCTAATACTATCCTTGCCAGAAGGCGACAGCGTATGGCTGGACCCCGAGCGGTCGGCCTCCGAATTCACAGGACTCCGGGTGCGGTCCCGCTCGGTGGACTCCTTGACCCCGTCCCGCACCTGCGCAACCTTGGCCTTGAACTTGCCAAACAGGCTCCGCTTCTCCGGCTCCGACGCGAGCGACGCTTCCTTAGAAGCCCCGTTGTTGACCTCCGCATCCAGACTGAGGGGCTGATAAGACGGGTCGTTCGCAAATTGCTGCAGGTCCGAGGGAGAGCTCCGGCTGGAGTGGTGCCAGCTACCGATCGAGCTGGTGCTGCGGTCGGCTCCCGGCGTGGTGGCTATGAGCGGGGGCGATGCGAGTCCCAGTCCGATGTGCTCGCTGCTGCGTTTGGACGACCGGGGAAACCGCCAGCTGCGGCGATGCTCCTTGCGGTCGGCACGCGACGTGTCATCCGTAGGGTCGGCATCAGAGTAGTCCGTAAACGAGGAGCGAGAGTTCATGGACGGAGTCCGCGAGCCATATGGCCGCAGGGAGGTGTCGCCCGCCTGGTGTCCACCCTCGCTTGGCAATACCTGCTTTTCTGGCCGGCCCTCCCGCGGGGGGCTCAACTCCTCGGAACTGGTGGTGTTGAGGGCTCGGGGGGTGGCCCCTCCGGCGTCATTATTGACGTCAGCGCCTCGGGACGCATGCAGGATCGCAGCCAATCCGGTGTCGGATGTCGCAGCCTGCAGCGACTGAGACGAACTTTGCGCGCTTTCGCTGGCGCTTCCAGGGATCCGCTTCTTCTTCAGACGGTTCGGCTGTCGCGCGTCTTTGTGCTCGCCACTAGGTGGCGGCGATTTGGAGAATAGACTGGACAACTTGCGTTCTCTCGTCGGCGTCACGACCGCCGGCGGAGGTGAGGCTGCTATTGGTGGCAACCCTTCTCGGAGAACGGGCCTGTCGCCGAGAGGCTTGTCAACGACAGGCTTTTCGGTACTGGATTCCTCCGCAATGGGTCGTTCCGGAATTGGTCTTTCGGCCATCAGCCGCTCAGCAATGGGCGTCTGGGTAACGGGTTTTTGGGCGACGGGCTGTTGCACAACGGGTTTATCAGCAACGGGCTGTTCAACCATGAGCTTATCTGCAACGGGCTTTTCGGAAACAGGCTTTCCAGCATCAGGAACTCCATTCTCGATGGCTGTCTTTGGTACTGGCCCGTGAGTGGATGAGTGAACATAGATGATTCCGGTTCCCGGCTCGACCACCTCTGTTATGGAGAGATGACCATTACTGGGGAAAGCATTTGTCGGGGTAATGTTGTTCTGGGCATGGCTTGGCTGACCATTAGACGGAGGGATCTCGGGCTGAAATTTATCCTCCGGTGGCGCGCGGCTAGACGATCGGGAGTGTTGCGCAGAAGTGCGTGTCGACGAGTTCATCCCCGTGTTTTCCACTGCCCGTCCGTATCGTGATGGAGGGATCGCGGGGGACATCTTGGAGGGCAGGGTGTTGCTGCGATGAACTCCCATACCACCCAACGATGTCGGCGTCGCAGGGCTCGCATTATTGGAAGTGCGCGAATTCTTCGACGAGACAGACACATTCCGGCGAATGCTCCCATACTTTCTGAAGCTCTCCGCACCGCCACTGGCACTCGACACCGAGCGTCGAATGTTGGAATGGGTGGTGGGTCGGCGGGCAAGACCACCTTCGACTTCCTTGACGGTCTGCTCATCGGCAGCCGTGCCGTTCATGCCAAACAAGAAATGGTCCTGGTTTTCGATCAGGAAGATCAACACATCCTGGCTCAGCTTGTATTCGTCTGGCGACATGTCATGCTGCGGATGCGACAGCAATCCCGGCTGGAAGATAGCAGACAGGTTGGCCGAAGTCATGCGGTTCTGATCCGATTTGGAGGCGAAGACAGCCAACAGATCAAGAATGTAGAGCAGCAGTTGTTTGTTCAGCGGGGGAAGCTCGCGGATCAACTGCTGGTAAGCCGAGACCGCTTTCGCATGGTCGAAGGCCTCTGTTTCCGCGGGAGGAGCATTGTTCTGGATCTGTTCCTGGACCTGTCTCTGGTACGTGCGCAGCGGTTCGCGGAATCGTTCGTAGAAATCCAACGGGACGATCGGTTCGGGAAGCTGGTTCAGGTAGCGCCGAAGAACGTTGGCAGCATCGTGCACGGTGTAACCGGTCCAATCCAAGCCTTTTCCATAGCGCTCGGGTGAATCGAAGATCTCCTGGAGGTCCTTAATGCGCTTTGCGGATCCGCTTAGGCGGAAAATACCTTCAACGTCGGTCGCTGGGTCGAATGGTTTAGCAATCTTGTAGCGAGAACATCACGGTCGCCATACCTTTCTCCTTTAAGAACACTCCACATTTCGCAACCACAATGGGAACGTATCCGTAGATAAAGCTCTCGCCGTTATCGTTCGTGAGAGAGATGGCGACGTTGGCGTATTTAATGCTGACGTTGAGAGGGACGCCGAAGATGCCTTGGGGTTTTTCTGCAGCTCATCAGTACACTGCGCATAGACGTTGACCACTGGGAGAAGGTTCAAGCAGCTGCTGCACTGTAGAGGGACAGTCTTAATGCGATCGAGGCAGACACATCCCCACGATCGTATCGCGACCGAACCCCGTAGCGCACCAGACTCAACCAAACCCGGTATACCTCCACACATACCTTTCGGTTCCTCCTTCCTTGTATTTCTCTTGAACTGCCTCCACCAGGATGCCAAATCTCGTTTGGAAGGCGGCGAGGTCGCGATAGCTTCGGGGTGGGCGGCGGTGGGGGGAAGCCGGTGCATGGAATCGACACCCGGGTGCGACTTGCCGGTAACCATGGTGGGAAGTGCGCGGATGAAATGGGGAAGAGGCGAGATGCGATGTGACTGCGAGGTATAGAAATACAGCGACCGGACCAGACCGTGCTAAACCGAGGCCTCCGTCACCGCCCTTGGGTTGGCGCGAGAAATTCCGGGGCTGGGAGGCGTGATCCCAAAATAGCACGAGGACTAGTCAGGCAGCGGGTTTAAGTGCCGCGCCGTCCGAAACACGTACAGTAGCAGGGAACCGATGAAACGGGCGCTGGGGAATTCTCCAACGGTGCAGGGAAGGGGGATGAACCAAGCCCGGAGGCACGGAGGTAGTGAAGGGAGGGAATCAACGGAGACGACAGGGGAGACAGGAAGGGAGAGAGGGATAGGATTGGGGGGAGAATGAAAGGAGAAACAGTAGTGCAAGCAGGTAGATGTAAGAGGGGGGTTTAAAGGAAAGGGAGCCAGGCTGGACCACACGAGCAAATCAACGGAAGCCGGGCTGTCCGTCCAGGATGAGGAGCCGTCTAGCAATCACAAACGAACCTCAGGCTGAGAGGCTGATTTGGGATGCTCCGACAGGGTGGATGGGGAGGTGAGCAGCAGCAGTGCTTCTTGGCCGGTCTGGGGGTGAAACAAATGACCATCATCTGAACCAAGGAAACGGGGAGCTGTTGTAGTCAGATCGGTACCCCGGAGTGTGATTGTTCGTGAGAATGATGTAGATGATGCCGATGCCGATGCAGATGCAGTTGGTGGTGGTGATGGTGAATGTGGAGGAGAAGAAGGAGGAGGAGGAGGATGAGAAGGATGAACTAAGTCGGTAGGGTAGGTAGAAAGAGGAGCGAGGTTCAAAGCGAAGGAGGAAAAGGAAATGATGGACCAACACCTGGTGGGATGGATGGATTGGAGGGCGGGACCCCAAGAGAGAGGAATGACCAGTCAGTCACTCACTCACGCACTCACCCAGTCATGAACGGGCTTGCTTCATCGCCAGCAGGCCGGATAATAAAATAATCACCACCACACCAGAATCACTAATAATATAAGAAATAATAATAATAATAATATTCAACCGCTCGAGGGGAAATTGGACTCATCCGCCAAGCATCGAGATGGATGCTCCTGGGAACTGTTAGTCGACCCAGTGGCTCTTGGGACCAGACCCCAGTGATCCAGGGTTGACTGGACAGAAAAAGGGCCCTTTTTCTTTTTTTTTTTTTTTTTGGTCGTTTTTGTTTTTCCTTTGTTTTCTCTTTCCGTTTTTTTTTTCCTCCCCTCTCACGATCCTTTCCAGGTCCGTCGGTTCTGGCCCTGGATCTAGTCGACCCTACGGGGGACTAGCACGGGGCACTAACCAGGCCTAACCAGGCCATTCTTCAATCATTCCGCTACGCTTGTTAGATGGCCCGGTTCTAGCCAATTGCGTCCAGACAACAGTGAGACATGAGGCTATACCCAGTCTCCAGCAGCTCGATAGGGCCGTCTCTATCCGGGTGAAGGAGGGTTCTCGACTCTCGAATGCAGTCCCCCTCACCCTGACTAAACCAACAACCGACTGGTCTATCCGATCTTCTCCCCTCCTCATGGCCGATCGAGCCCGGAAAATGAGAACTCCGCCAAGCGGCTGCCGGCCGGCTCGTGGTTCTAGCTAAAAATATTGCCCCTGATGCAACCTCGAGGGCGCTTCCCCTTGAACGACGGTGCCGCACCATCAGGGTCCTACCGCGGTTCTCCAACCATCGACTGATGTGGCTGTCATCCCAAACGGCCCGAGAGAATGCTGACCCCGCGTCTAGTCGTTAGTTCGGTCGTGGTGCGAGATTCGCTTGCCCCGAACTAGCCCGTCAGCTGCCGATCTCAGGCCGGCTCCAATGGGTATCATTTACATCGAACAGGATACCCACAGCAATTGGCTGGCTTCGAGGTTGGTTGTTGGTCTTCTGTGTTCTTCAGAAGTGAATCTAAACAGGGGATGTTGTCAGCATGATCGATAGGAGCAGTCGACCACTTAGCGTCGGAAATTCGGGCGTGGGTTGGATGCTACAGAACATACAGATTGATTGTACTCTGTATCTAAGACAGATTTAGTTTCTGCATCAGTACATGTAGAATGATGTGTTGGTAGTATTGTTTGTGAAGAGATGTACGTTTGTACTATAGTACCAACTGCTATCGTCGGAACTGCTATATGTACACTGCCGTCATCCGACAAACAACAGGCACCTCTTCTACGGTGGCTGGTACCACACAATGTCTCTAGATACTTAATGGTCTACATCTGCTGATCCGGTGGCTATTACGCGCCATCACCTATTGGAACAGCATATATAGTTCTGATACTGGGTCCGCTAGGAGTCAGTTGACGACCGGCACCAGCACCCCGTGAACCTTGCACCTACCGAGCTTGTGTCCCGAGAAAGTAATGATATCACTCCGAACACAATCCTTCAGTCGAGAGGTTGGAATGTGGGGACCGATCGTCAAGCTGCCGTCGACCCAGCTTAGCTGGGCTTGTTGACTTTTGACGAGCAGGTCTCTATTCTCAGCTCCCTCAGGCTGCCCTGGGTAATCGGCTGGAAGAAGATCTTTGTCCTTCTGGGTTGCTTCTCTGCTTCCTGGTCCCCCGGTTGTGGACGGGCAAACCATGGTTCCCGCCAATCGACGTCTGGGGCCAGCTGGCGGTTGTGCTTTTTTTAACTTGGCTCAAGAATGGAACAGCGCAAGCGTGAACGCAGCTGCTGTTTGCTGACGAGTGGATTGTCCTGCTGTTTGCCGTTTTGGGATCCCTCGGTTCCGGCAGGATGAGTCAGCAACGCCAGTCACCTGATTGATGGCTGAGCGTGTTCACGTGACCCATCAGAGCCTGCGGTTGTTGAGCAGCTCCGGAGCTGCGGTCATCACGACCAATCTTCTTGTCGTCCACGCTACTTGTTCACTTTTAGCTCCGACATCAAATCCCATCACAATGGAAGGGTGAGTTATCCATTACCTCATGATGCTGCTTCGATGCAAACCTCAGGATATCAACTGACTAGTTTAGACTCAACGCCTCGGAACAGCGCGAACTCGCCAACCGCATGGAGCGGAAGCAGATGAAGGAATTCATGAGCGTACGTTGAGACCCTAACAACCTTCGTCTGGACAGAACCTTTGCTCCTACATTCGACTTGAACCTAGCACCCTTCCACATCCGCTCGATCCATCCCTGGCTGCACCAAATTCTGATCCTCTCCAGATGTACTCCAAGCTCGTGCAAAGGTGCTTCGACGATTGCATCAACGACTTCACCACCAAGTCCCTGATCAACCGTGAGGAGGGCTGTGTTCTTCGCTGTGTCGACAAGTACATGAAGGCAACGGGTCGCCTGAACGAGCGGTTCCAGGAACAGAACGCTGCCATGATGGGAGGCGGTATGGGGCGGTAAACTGTTTCCTGGGGTTCAGCTGCTTTGCATTTATTTCGGCGGTTCTGTATAAAATATTAGATTTTGCAATGATGACATCTCCTAATGGCCGGCGATGTTCCGCTCGAGCATGGGTCAATTCCGGGCACAGTCGGTGGTCGTGAGTGTAACATATGGAATAACAATTGGCGTTACGACGTGACTGGACATCTATTCATAGAATGTAAGCAGAGCATACGATTCCATCTACAGTTATAAATTGAATCTCCGATATCAGGTTCTCAATGGAGTAGACTGTTTACGAGAGCGAATCTAGGGGTGATATCTACTGGATAAGCGTGTTGATACTGGTGATTTCCCGATCGGGATAGACTTGGCGTGCACGGATCATGTGCGATACCGGAAAACTTTGCCTATCCGGGACATGTCTGAGTCATCGCATCGTCTGTCCCAATTGAGACATCCAGTACAGGTGACATTTTGCACTGTCGACTGTCAGTAGATACGTAGTACCTACTACTCGATACTGACTCCATCCTGTAGGAATGGGGCCTTTGCCCCATTACAGGATAGCTGCTCCAACGGATATAGCCAACTACGGTTCGGAAATGGTAGGCCGCACTGGTTGCCCCCCATGACGCATTCAATATTGTTTCTGCTGTGGAGGCATGAGGGGATATCTATGACTGTACAGACGGTTCGGCGTGGGAACCCGAGCCTGGAACTCTCTATCGAATGCCCAGCAAAAGAGGGGAGGAGAAAATGGGCGGAAAACGGCTGAGTAATGACGGGCTCAAATGCCCCTCACGCCCCTCTCTGGTCCCCTCCCCCTCGTGCTCCCCTCACCCACCAAGCTCCACTGCTTTGCCGACCTGCCACCTGCTCCCGATTTATTACCGGCCCATTTCAGCTTCAATCTTCTTTTCCCTTCTTCTTCCTTTCTTCTCCTTCATCATCCCGCCTGTCATCCCTGACCGATCACCATGGCCAGCACTGTCGGACAGGTGAGTTTCCCAGCTCTTCCCAGCTATAGCACCATTGACGCGTTGTTTGCTAACCCATCAGACCATCACCTGCAAAGTAAGAACCCTTCAATCGATAGCTTCGATGATACCAACTGAGTTGTAGGCTGCCGTCGCCTGGGGCGCCGGAGAGCCCCTCTCCATCGAGGACATCGAGGTCGCTCCCCCAAGGGCCCACGAAGTTCGCATTCAGATCCTCCACACTGGTGTCTGTCACACAGGTCGGTTTTGTGAGACTGCTTGAATTGTGTACAAGGCTGACCGAGCCAGATGCCTACACCCTCTCCGGCAAAGACCCCGAGGGTGCTTTCCCCGTTGTCCTCGGACACGAAGGTGCCGGTATCGTCGAGTCCGTCGGCGAGGGCGTCACCTCGGTGAAGCCTGGCGACTATGTCGTTGCTCTCTAGTAGGTATTCTCAAAGTTATCGTGGGCACTGCTAATCTCTGCAGCACCCCTGAATGCCGTGAGTGCAAGTTCTGCAAGTCCGGCAAGACCAACCTCTGCGGTAAGATCCGTGCCACCCAGGGTAAGGGTGTGATGCCCGACGGCACCTCCCGCTTCAAGGCCCGTGGCAAGGATCTCCTGCACTTCATGGGCACTTCCACCTTCTCCCAGTACACCGTCGTTGCCGACATCTCTGTTGTAGCCGTGACCCCCAAGATCCCCACAGACCGGTCCTGCCTGCTGGGCTGCGGTATCACCACCGGTTACGGTGCGGCCGTTGTGACCGCCAAGGTGGAGGAGGGCTCGAACATTGCCGTCTTCGGAGCCGGCTGTGTCGGTCTCTCGGTCATCCAGGGTGCGGTCAAGAACAAGGCCGGCCGCATCATCGTTGTTGATGTCAATGACGACAAGGAGGCGTGGGGGCGCAAGTTTGGCGCCACTGACTTTGTCAACCCCACCAAGCTCGGCGGCAAGACCATCCAGGAGCAGCTGATTGAGATGACGGACGGTGGTTGCGACTACACCTTTGACTGCACCGGTAACGTGGGTGTGATGCGGGCTGCCCTGGAGGCGTGCCACAAGGGTTGGGGTGAGAGTATTGTCATTGGTGTTGCTGCTGCTGGCCAGGAGATTTCCACCCGGCGTAAGTTGTCTGTCCAACGTATGGGGATTGTGCTAATTGGGTGCAGCATTCCAGCTTGTTACTGGACGTGTGTGGAAGGGCTGTGCTTTCGGTGGTATCAAGGGACGTACTCAGCTGCCGGGATTGGTTGACGACTACCTGAACGGCCAGCTGAAGGTGGACGAGTTTATTACGCACCGGGAGAACCTGACAGCGATCAACAAGGCGTTTGAGCAGATGAAGGCCGGCGACTGTGTTCGGTGCGTTGTTGACATGTCGTAGGTTATGAATAAAAATTTCTTGTTACGTTTGCAGCTTGTTGCCAGCGTGTTTGAATAATTCGAAGGATTAACACCTTGTAAACCTAATGGTAGGTGGATGTTGACGGCTCTCAACTCTATGTTTTGTGGAGCACAGACCTTGTAGTTATGACTATTCTTGTTGACATACGTGCGATGCAAAATGTGGTTGATCTAGTTGAGAAATGTCTCAGTACATATAGAGGGGCTCAGATTCTCAAGGTCCTCAAACTGTGGACCTTGTGGTTACTGCCAACCAGTTCAACCATCTCAACTCAATTGAAACATCCCTCATTACAAGCCACCAGTATGCCAGCATTTCTACATCCCTCAAGCCATACACAGCAATATTAGCATACACAATGGTAATAGCAATAGTACTATCAACAACCCCACTCCTATCTCTCCCACGGTGAAATCCCTATCTCCATATCAGCATAGATAACCACCGATAATCTTATCACTATCACTACCATCTACAATCTACATCCCAGAAAAGGAATCTCCACGCGGACAACCTCCGAGCTCTACAATAAGGGCAATGATGTGATAGATGCATGCGCTTACACTCGGATGATATGATACCATCATAGAAAGAGGGGTAGTGCTCCGCTCCGTGATCGGACTATACCCATACCTCCCCGCTACACATATACCTCTTGAAATATACCTGAGTATATATATCCATCCATCCCTTCTACCTCCCATCATCACCACCATCACCATCACTACAATCATTCCTCTACCACCACCACAACCAACCAACCAACCCCAAAAACCCCCAAACAAACCAAAAATGCCCACCGAAATCCCCCTCCCACCCCCCTTCTCCTCCATCCCGCGCCACCCCCTAACCCTCTTCCCCTCACCCATCCACCCCCTCCCCCTAATAACCACCGCCCTCACCAACACCACCGCCCCAACCACCAAAACAACCATCTACGCCAAACGCGACGACATAAACTCCTCCCTAGCCAACGGGGGCAACAAAACCCGCAAACTCGAATACCTGATCGCCGACGCCCTCTCCACCAACTCCACAACCCTGATTTCCATCGGGGGGATCCAATCCAACCACACCCGCCAAGTAGCCGCAGCCGCCACCGTGACGGGCCTCAAAGCGCGGCTAATCCAAGAAGACTGGGTGCCCTGGACTGACGCCGGCTACTCGAAAGTAGGCAACATCCAACTCTCGCGGCTCATGGGAGCCGACGTGCGGCTTGACCCGTCTGGCTTCGGAATCGAACATAAGAGTACTTTGAAGAAACTCGAAGAGGAGTGTTTATCGAATGGGGAAAAGCCATACTATATCCCGGCGGGCGCGTCCGATCATCCGCTTGGTGGGCTGGGATTCGCGCGCTGGGCGTTCGAGGTCCGAGAACAGGAGAAGGAGATGGGGGTGGAGTTTGATACGGTGATTGTTTGTGCGGTGACGGGGAGTACCATGGCGGGGATGATTGCTGGGTTTAAGTTATTGGAGAGGATTGATAAGGAGAAGGGGACGGGGAGAGGGAAGACGCAGGTGATTGGGATTGATGCTTCGGCGAAGCCGAAGGAGACGAGGGAGCAGGTGTTGAGGATTGCGAAGGTGACGGCGGGGAAGATTGGGTTGAGGGAGGAGGATATTACGGAGGAGGATGTGGTGTTGAAGGAGGAGTATCATGGCGGGGTGTATGGGGTGCCGGATCGGAAGACGTGGGAGGCGATTGAGTTTGCGGCGAAGACGGAGGCGTTTATCACGGATCCGGTCTATGAGGGGAAGAGTTTTGCGGGGTTGATGGATTTGGTGAAGAGGGGGGAGATTGAAGGGAATATTTTGTTTGCGCATTTGGGTGGACAGTTGGCGTTGAATGCCTATTCAGACTTGGGGAAGACGAATGAGTAGATGTGTTGCAGATAATAGGATGGGCAGTTTAATGCAGTGTGTTTTATCTACGAACAAGATGAATGTGTCAAAGTCAATTGATCAATGTAATTGATAGTATTAAGGAGTGACGGTAGTTGGCTATGGATAGTCTAAGAATGTCTCAGACGAATGATAGCAGATAGGAGAAGGATGATTAGAACAGCTTGTGCTCCAAGGTCATCTCCGACTCGGGCTGCAGTCCAACGCACGCGCGGAAGATGTTGGTCAAGGCATTGCGCTGCTTGGCCAGCGAGTTCACCACCGGAGTTCCAGGAGGAGTCAACGGAGCCTTTAACATGTAGCTCAACACGCTGAGCACACTGTGGAAGCCCTTGTACTCGGTCGCCTCGTCAGCCTTCCAGGTGACACGCGTCATCAACTCCGCAATCACCACCAGGTCGATGATCAGAGGCGATGCCAGCAGCGAGTCCTCGCAGATGTTGAACAGACTGATCGTCTGGTGTCCACCCATGAAGATCTCCGCGTAGTATTCATCGAGCGCCCGCTTGTTGTCACCCACCGCAGGCATGTACTTGATCACCACCGTGTGGTCCGGGTGCTCGTCCTTCTCATACAGGATATGGTTGGCCGCCACCATGTCGTCCACCACGTTCGACTTGGAGATCTCCTTAGACCGGAACTGCTTCTGCGAGCTCAGGTTCTTGCCATCGTTGTTGCCCAGGTGGTTGTAGCTGGCAATCGACGTGAGCTTGATGCCCGCGTTGATCAAAAAGTCAACCAGAGCAGACTTCATCTTGGTCTGGCCCGACTTGAAGTCGTCACCGCCAATGAACGCCTTGTGCTTCTCGGCCAACTGGATAGCACCGGGCACGAACGTGTTCTGGGGAGATCCGTTGATGAAGGGAACATTATCCAGAATACAGGCCACGGCGAACACTGTAGACGGGGACACCTCCAAGTGACCATCCTTGATGGCAGTGAGAAGATTGTCGGCCGTGTCATTGACGCCGGGCAAGATGTCTGCATAACGCTCCGTGTTGGCAGTCCACATCACAATGACCTTGTCCAGGCCGTTCTGGGACTTGAAGTCGCTATTATGTGTCAGTAAAAAGTCTGTGTCAGTGGCTCGCAAATAACTCACCGGATATCCTTCTGGATCTTCTCAACATGAGCCCAGCATGCCTTGGAGCCCTCGAGCACATTGTCAGCCCGGTCCTCCTGGTTGGCAGCGATAAAGTCCGGGTAGTAAATACTGGGTAGCGGCTTCAGCTCGGCCATCTCCTTGCGGACCAGCTGCTTGAGGGTAGGCTCAAGAACCTGGGCCCGGTCCATGGCATCGGCAAGGTCCATGCTGCTGATATCCCAGCCACTCACGACAAGATCGTTGGGGTGAACCATCGGCAGCATGTCGTGGAAAGGAATGTTGATCTCCTCGCCGGTCTTGGCGTCAGAGCCCAGCTTGATGGTGGAACCCATGACCATGGACCCGTAGTAGTTGGAGGCGCGAACACCCTCGCGAGTCTCCCACTCGAGACCACGGCGGTTGGCAATGAGACCAGCAGTCACGGTGGAACCATTGTTACCGCCCCAGCCGACCATCATGATACCCACCTTTCCGACCTTGCGGTCGACCTTGAAGTGGTAGGTGGTGGACTTGGGGGTGGCCACAAGCTTGTTGTCGGCAGTACGGGTGATGTCGGTGGTATGGTAAGCATACTGACTCTTGATCTCGTTGTCGGTGTACACGACGTTGGGCGAGTTGACGGTAAACAAAGGAGCGTTGGCACGAGCGGACCCGTTCACGGCGCCATTGGCAGCAACATCCGAGTTAGCGTGGGGAGCCATTGTGTTCAATTGAGATTGGCTTGGGAACAAATGCTATGGCAGAATGCGATATTCGGATTGAAGTGTTTACTGGACGTATAATGCGTCGTCCGGTGACCCACCACGGTTGGATGAGCGCCGGCCGTTGAACGGGTGGTGCCGCCTAGAAAGGAGAACAAGTCAGCATCATGGGTTGCTGGGGAAGATGCGGGAAGCAGTGTTGCTCGAGAAATAGCTAGAGGGAAGGTCCAATGGCTCTTCTTGGAGACGGGAGATAGGGGCATCGCTGGAAACCGAGGGGAGGCGGGACTCACGAGTTAAGGTGTGTGGCGAAAATTTTGACGGTTTTACAAGATCACGCCTCGAGGAGTGTGATCGAAAGTTGAGTGAGGATTGAAGAACGTTTGGAGCACGAGTTGAAGTAATTGATGGGTGGTGGGAGGAAGAATGGAGGGGGAGGAGGAGGAATGGCAGTACTTATACGGCGGAAGTCACGTTGGTGGCCGGATGCGAGCCGTTCTGCTCCGCACCCCATCCGGCTTCACCACCGCACTAATTACGCCCCGGCAAATGACAGTCTCCAGGCTTCCTCTAGCGAGATCCTGTCTTGCAAGCGACGTAGCCTCAAGGCTCAAGCACACCTGTCACTGGCGGTGAGCCGTGTTCTACCTCGTATTTACTTCTACTGCTTACAATTGACACCGTATACTGACCGATGTGGAATAAGCTAGGTTCCAGACGATTGAATGCGACCTCGAACGATCCTCCCTCACTCCCTCCCATAAGCTCCCCAGATTGACCCGTTATCCAATTCCCTTGCATGCCAGGAAGCTCCAATGCAGACCAACGTGTCCGCCTGCGACGGTGACCTGCAACGCGCGCCTCGGTCGAGGGGAGGATGGTGCCAGCATTATTCATATTCATAAAGTCCAGCAGCGGATGGTCCATTCCCGAGGATGGGAATCTGGGAGCTGGGAGACTCAAAGACAGGCGATGGACACAGGCTGGGGACAGCAGGTGGCCTGGGCTCCATCATTGCCAATAGTGGGCCTTGCAGACACCCGCGGGGCTCCGCCCATGGCGCTTCACGCGAATCGCGATAATGGCCATCAACCAACACCGGACATGTGCCAACCCCATTACAGAGAATTACATAGCTACACAGCACATAGCAATTACCATACATACAGTAGCCTTGACCTATGCAGTTGATAGGGCCACGCTGTGGTGCAGCGGATGCGGTGAGCGGAAAGCTCGGCAGGTGTGCCGTGTTTGCATCTCGCCCCTGAATAAGTCGCCCTCGGCAATGCCAATGTGTGCATAATGGGAGTGGGATGGAGAACGATGCTGCCTGAAAAGGAGCCCTTGGTCTTCTCCACACTCTGCACTGTGGGCTTCGTCCGATTTAGGGTTCTAGCTACTATCACCCCAATCAAGTTTCCTCCTATGTATCATGTGATTACCCGACGCTGCAACGTTCTCAGGCAACACGGCACCGACAGGATTGGCATCCTGCCTGAGGCGGTCGATCGCTGATGGCATTGGTGGACACACTGCGGTAAGCATTAACATTTGGGCCATCGACCCGGCTAGAACCCGGCAAGAACCGGACCTAGCAGACCAGAAACTAACCGATTCGACTACGCTGGCTGACGATAACGACGCAGTCAGCCACGCTATATTTACTTAGCAATTCACTGCCGAGTTTACGTGGTTACATTGCTTGCGTGGAAGACGGGTGGAGAGGACTTGCCAATCGGACACGGGAAAGCGCCGTGCAGGTCCCATAAGCAGGTACGAGTCTGTCGTCAGCCAGATCGTAAGATCGTCTGGATGGAACATGCCATCAAGAAACGCGAAAGCTTCGTCCCAAAGTTGAGACATGGGCAAGTCGCAACTACCGACGGTCGGGTACTATTTGGATGGAGCCATGGTACCGGAACCGTCGGTTCCTGGAGGTTGCAAAGCTAAGAACCAGCTGGAAGGCTTCGATCGGCATCGCGAGACGATAGTCGAGTGTCCACAAAAGTAGTCGAGAAGTCTAACAAGATTCCACCGTTGTCGGTTCTCGAAAATCGGAGGCTTCTAAAGATATATCTGCCAGGTCTTGACAGGCAACCTCGCCAAGGATCGACGCTGAACCAAGGGATGACAGCGATTGAACCTGGCCCCTTGCTTCTTAACTTCCGGATATACTTTGAAGATGGGGTAACGCAATGTGGCTGCGGGGTTTTGGTCGGGGTGATTGTCATCCTCAGACTGGGTCTGAGTGTGTGTGATGTGAGCTCTGACAACCCGAGCCGGCAAGGATCGAAGGTGCCGAGGCATTCCCAAAAGAAGTTGTAACGCATTCAAGTGTTGTATCTAGGGGGAAAGAAAGGGGAAGTGAATGGAGGCTTGGAGCAACCAGACTCCTCCAAGGTATGGCTCGTGCGCCCAATTGGAGACCTGCAAGTGCCATCGCGAGGAACCGCAGCATCAGTGATCGAAGGGAACGGCGTGTTGCCCTGTTGGGGTTGGTGATGGCAGACGGGCGAATCGTTGTTAGTCACGGGGCGGACTGCCCCTGAAGGATGATCTGCGGTGGATGGTTCAGGGGCTGAAAAGCCTGGATGGCACTATCGTCTGGAGGTCCAGAAAACCGCCGAAGTAACACACTGATTGGGGGAGGGAAAAGGGGCCGATAAAAATAAATGAATGTCAAACACATATGGGACTGGGGGTTCGGGGAGAAACGATGCGACCGACGGCACCAACATCAGCAGTGCAACAGCATCAAATACGGAGTAGAAATGAGATTCTCATCAGGCGCTGTTGAGAAAGAGAGCCCACATCAGCGTCATCCATGTTGGCTCGGCTGATGCAGCAGAATCTGTTAGTGTTGGTAGTTGGCAGGGACTGGTAGGGATTGGTATCACGGGCAGAAACATGAAGCGGTGCTAAATTGAAACGCGAGTGGATGGGCAACCCCTGGACCAATCAGGGGCGGGGACACCGGAAGGGTTCGTGGATCGCCCCAACCACGAACACACGAGGAAGTCCCACTGCCCACTTTCTCCCTCACAACCATCGGCCCAGTACCCAGACAACTGCACTAGCCTCTAAGCCTTAGACTTAGAGTCTGACTATTAGTATTTTGGATGGGCCCTCCCCCGTCAACAATGGTTGGTGCTTGTTCCTTCTCCTCTTTCTTTCAGCTCCAGTCCAGCATCCATGCGTCTCTAACCCAGCTCCCTCCGGCTCCATCCAGATCGTCCTCTCCTGTCGTGCTCCTCACTTCCGGGGATGAGACCGTCCCCCTCACGCGAGGAGGCCTGCACTGCATAGATCTACCCGTTCCCATCCGACCGATAAGCACGCACCTGTGGACTGGACTGGACCTCTCCGCTCATTCCAATGATCCCACGACTGGTGGATATCCTCGCGCACTCGTAGACTGTCGGGCTTGCCTAGCATGGCCGCAATGGATGCGGGCCTGCTGCCCAAGATAAAATGCTCCAATTGTGGAATGAGCGTGGAAATTTCCGCCATGGGAGATCATGTGTGTGCCAAAACCACGCCAGGTACCATCCCCATTTTCCCCAGTTATGCTGCCCACGCATGGAATGCAATGTGTTGACGGGTCCCTTGCAGCAATACCTTCACCCTCCCAATCGCCTCCGCCGCCACCACCTAAATCCGACAATGTGTTGCCCTCTAGAAGTCCGAGCGATGCCTTGGCCTCGAAAGCCGGAAGGTCGGGGCCTCCGCCTCGCATCGATCCTGCAATGGCCAGTATGTTTGTTTTGCACCACGCGGACCATATATTATGCGTCTCATGCAGTAACCGTTGATCCAGATCGTCCTTTCCTGAACCCCGGAAGCCCGATAGCCGACCACGACCCTCTCATCCCCTCCCCTCTTTCTACCTCGACCGGGGTCCGGTCTCCCTTCAGGGCATTGCAACGAAGTCACACGTCCCCTTTGCCCGACGAACCGCAATCTCCAGACTCGATCAACCTGGAAACCGCCTTTGCATCGTTTCCTCTACCCCGCTCCATGTCGGACAGGCGGCCTGGTGGGATGTTGGACGTCAAGAGCGCCAAGGCAGAACCGCCAATACCATCCCCGCGATTTGGAAACGCACTCAACCGGGCGGATGGCCGCGCAGACGATGTGCCTCCGCCACCGCTACCGAAAGATGACCCCCCGTCTATTGGCATGAGCGCGATGCACAGGTATGGCGCGTCGATGGACAGTAAAAGCAGTTATAGGACGTCACTGGCAAGCACGCGGTATGGAGACAACCGCAACTCCAAACGGTCGACTTCCATGTCGAGCCGCCGGCCGTCATTCGGAAGCGTGGCGCACGACCCTTATAAGTACTTGGATGATGCCCCTCCGGTGCCGTCTGCTGCTCCGCAGGCGTTGCTGCATCCTTCGAGGATCTCTCAGTCCTCCGTGGCCGAAGTCGCGGACAAGCGTGAAGGCAGGGGTGAAATCTACAGTGGCTTCGATTTTGGCGTTTCGGAAAGGCCAACAAGCGCCAGAGCAGAGATTGACCATGTCCACGCAGGCTCATTACGAGTCTCATCACACAGCGGTTCCGATCGCCTTAGCGGCTCCCGCGGGTCAGCAGAGCTCTTCTTCCAAAGCCCGGCGCAGAGTGCCTACGGACCCCCGGTCGACTTTGAGCTTCCCGAAGAGCCTCTGGCCTCTCCTGCCACCCCGGCAAACGGGGAATACAAAGCTTTCAAACCCTCAAGCTCGGAGTTTCTTCAACCCGCGGATGCGGAATCAGCACGCCCCAACGAGCGAGAGACGAATCAAAGGAAGGACTCGGATTCAGCCAGTGAAGGGAATATTTCGGTCTCGAATTTTGCGCGAGCCCTGGGACTGGATGTCCCCGAGAGCAACGTGAACAATTCAATCACCTCGTCCGACTCCTCGCCTTCCGAGACGCGGAGCGGGACGTCTCTATCCAGTCTGCCATCGGAAGCCAGCATGTCGCGACGGAAACCTTCCGACCAGGGTCGTCTGGGTCTTGTTGTGGAGGAGCTGCAGGGTGCAAAGAAACCCCAGGAGGCTGTGCTAGAGCACGCTGTTACTGAAAGCCCGACCGCTCTCGAGCCCCCTCGCATGCCAGAAACTTTGTTCAGTCCGGACTCACCAACCGACCCCGCCATCAGCCAGGGTAGCCTCTCACTCATTTCGGAGAAGATCCCTCGGAGTCCAGAGCAGTCACCCCGACCACCTGTGCGGTCCGCGACAGCTCCGGTGCCGCGGCCTGCCCCGCGTCCCAAGGGACCCTGCCGTGGTTGCGGTGATATGATCATGGGCAAGTCCGTGTCATCCGCCGATGGCCGTCTGACAGGTCGATACCACCGCGCTTGCTTTGTGTGCCACCAATGCCGGACGCCCTTTCAGACGGCCGACTTTTACGTCCTGGAGGACCGCCCGTATTGCGCCCAGCACTATCACGAGCGCAACGGCTCCCTGTGTCAGACCTGCCACACCGGAATCGAGGGCCAGTACCAGGAAACAGTGGAGCGTCGTGGCCGTGGGCCCGCGGACCGTCAGAAGTTCCACCCCGATTGTCTGAAATGCCGCACCTGCCAAATCCCTTTGAAAGGGGAGTATTTCGAGTGGTATGGCCAGGTCTACTGCGAGCGCGATGCCCGACGGGCTGCCGCGGCGACGCCGCCACCGCCTCGTCCGCACCGCCCAACCATGCCTTCCTCTCCGCTGGCGCCGTCCATGCGTGGATATCCTCCACCTCCCGGGTACCCGGGCCCTGGACCGGCCCCTGGGCCTGGACCTGGCCGAGGCCGTGGTCGTGGTGGTCTTCGACCCCCGGGACCGATGGATGGACCGTACGCAGCGACCGGGCCACTCCCGCCTGCCCGACGCTTCCCCGAGCGGCGGACCACCAAGTTGATGATGATATGATAACCTTATGGCTGTTCGTCTACCTAAATAATTGACATTGGCACTATGCCATGGACGGCTCCAATTTACCGTCTATTTTGCAACCATGTTCTCAGTTCCAGCGGGTGCTTTTCCATTTCCTGCCTATTCCATGACCTAGATTCTCGCCATATACCCTTCGACTTTTGCACATGTCCATAGATTGGGTTTTTTGTTGTTTATCTTCACCTAGCTGGCGAGGCTCAATCGGGTCACTTGGGTTACTGTATGGCCGTCTACCAATGTCTACACTGTTGTATGGCTGGATATGTTTCTACCAGTGTGTGCTAGAGCGCTAATTTATGAATCCCGAGTGATTACGTATTCGTGCTGATGCAGTCTGATGATCGACTATGACCGTTCTTCCAAGTATGATGACTCGTAGGTGGGGATATACCTGAGGCTCTTCGGCCGCCGGGCGCCTGAAGCCGACCCGGATTCTTTCTCTCACTGCCATCTCCGCCACCCTTTTTGCCTCCAAGTACAAAACCCAGAATTCGTCCCAAGGTGTTCAGTAATCACATACCCCAGAACATAGTCTACGCTTCCGAGGACTCCCTGTTGTTCAACGACTTCGACTGCGGCGTGTCCCGATACGCTGGGGGCAACACTCCTTCGAGGGCCGCCTTGATCTGAAAGGCCAGGGTGCGCGAATGCCACCGGTGCTGTTGAGTGAACCCACCCATGATCCAGAAGTTCTCGAGGCGCAAATGCCGCTTGAACATGCCACGAAGCTCGCCCTCGGTATCCAGGCCCCAGGTAGCGTCCACACGGGCAGCAATGGCATGCGGACCAAGCACCTGCTTGTTCTTTTCCGCCTCATCTTCTTCACCTAATGTTTCGAGAATGTCATCACGCACATTGGCATCCGCGAATCCCGTGCACCATACCACGGCGTCGGCATCCACACAGCTGGCGTCTGAGAGCCGCAGACCAGTGGCAGTGTACCCGACCGGTTGAACGCCGGGTTTAATCTCGACTTTGCCTTCTGCCAGCAGCTTGGTGCCGCCCATGTCCACGTAGTGGCCACCTGCGCGCTCATAGAGGGTGCGGATGAAGGATGCGTCTGGGTGGCGGCTGTCCATGAAACCGAAGCCGGTCGCTGTGAGTGCGTCGTAGCGATGCGGTTCTTGGCTCGCTAACTGTCCTAGCACATGTTTGGCGAGCTGGCCTCCAACGAGTATTGGGATTGCCACGAAGCGCCAGTCTGCTGCGTCGACTCCGAACTGATAGGAGCCGAGACATAGTGGGTGACTGAGATGTTCTACTGGGATAATATATGTGCGAGATCGGGCTATCATTGTGGTCTGGAGTCCAGCGGCGTGGCAGTCCTCCATTACGTCAAAGGCAGTGTTTGCGGATCCGATGACTAGGGCTGACTGCATTCGATTAGTTACTTCTTTCACAGATTCAGCCTGATGGTGGATTGCTACCTTAGCACCCTGCTCCCGCAGCTGTGTGGCATTTCGGTACTGCGTAGAGTGGATACTGATTCCCTGGTATAGTTCACGGTCTGCGATGACTGGCATTCGAGGCTTTTGGGACCCATGTCCCTTAGCAAGCACAAGGTGCTTGGTGACGGCTGTGCGTTGGCCCTCAGGGGTCTGGAATCGGATTTTCCAGCGCTGGGCCGAGACGTCATAGTGTGTCGACTGGATCTGGGCCGAAGTGATGCAGTTGAGATTGAATGCCGCAACATATCGTCTGACCTGCGCCGCCAACTCATCCTTCCTGAGGAAATGCTTTCCTCGCAGATGCTCTTCATAGGCTAGACACGCGTTAGCGAAAGATCTTCCCTCGCCTCGTTACTTACGCAGATAGGGCAAATCACAACACGCAGCCGGTATATGGAAGCGCAGCGAATCATAACGGAGGGCCCAGTTGTCGCCCATATGGGGATTCCTCTCGGCCATGACGCTCTCCACGCCAAGGGCCTTCAGACGTGCAGAGAGAGCGATAGCGCTCCATCCTGTTGTGTCAACAAGGCTTCTATAATGTAGAAACAGACCAACTTACGCATTCCCGCCTCCGATAATAAAGACATCCGTTTCAAACGTCTCCAGCCCGTCCAATGATCTCCCAGGAGACCGCAGCAACGACTCATCCTCTGGATACATATCCAAGCTACTGAGCACAGTAACCAAGACCCAGATCTTCCACTCGATCGTATCCCCATTTCTCACCGGCAAAAGCACCATTTTCCCCTTGCACGCGGCAGCGGGGGATACCGTTCGAAAGACGAACCCACACTCGATGAATTGCTGGATAGCATAAGCTCCATTCCCATGATGTGCATCATACTAACCAGTTTCTCCGCAGCCGGAATAAACTGCGCCGCACCATCAACAGTCAATCCCCCTCGACACCCCGAAGAGCCCCTGTCTCCAACATCGCCTCGGCAATGACCTCCGCCGTGAAGAACGTCCGAAGATGATACGTAAACGCCAACTCATCCCTCCAATACGCATTGTCTACAAACAACCCCCAAGACCCTCAACATCCCTATTCCCCATCGCAGCATTAAACCGATCCACGACGAGCCGAACTCTATTATTCAACTCCCCCCCAACCATAGTACCAGGATCAACCAATCCCGGATCGATAATAGGAAGTGGATGCCGTGCAATCATCGCCTTCAGATCAACTTTAGGTGGATACTCGCCCTCCGACAGCGCACTCTCATCCTCTGCACATCAACGCACGTCAGCAATCCACTCTATATCTTTCCGACCGCAGTCAACTCACCAGACACCATGATGTAAGATGAAGGGTGGTGGTGAGCAAAAGGCCCTGCCTGTCACACGGACGAACGGGAGGGGCGGCCACGGTTCATATACCTCGTCGAGTTCAGATCAGGCCCGACATGGCGTGTCTTTACCGTGGGTTGGTTCTTCGTGGGGTTACTGCTGCCCACATCCCCATGGAGAAGATACCCCCGTTGCTTAAACGTGATTGGCTAGGTTGGTAATAAGGTGGAGTAGTGTAGGCTGGGCTGACTGTTCTGACTCGGCTTGAACCTTGTTTCTCGGATTCTGTCAGTCTGAGCTGTGGCGCTGGTCGCCGGGCCATGTCGTACAAGGTGGGTGGTAGCAACACGGTCAGACATTTACTGCATGATGGCAATCGAGCGATGCAGCAAAGGATCTTGCTTCAATCTATTGGTCGTTATGGTTCAGAATCAGAGCGACAGAAGTAACCGGCGCAGTTGGGATGCGGAACCTTTTTCCGCATATCAACCTAGATGATAGTTGTGGTTACTGGGGCGTATCCTTGCTACTACTTGCGTGTCTCAACAGGAATAGGTGAGAAACCTACTTCATCGGGTATAACAAATACTCATATTCTAAGAACTATCTACTCAAACCATCCACTCGACGCACAGTTTTGCTGTATATCCGTGGCAATGTTCGGAGGATTTGCATGTGTCTAGTCGTCAGGGGTAGGGCGAACCCGCTGACCCTGTTTCAGAAGATTATTCGTAACCTGCATAAATGCGACTGCCCCCTCGACAAAGTCGGTGGGCATGGGATATGGGTGGATCTCGGGCCTGGCAGGCCCAGTGAGGGGGATTTGAGTCCGAGCCACGTAGTCCAACGGCCGCACCGGGTCAGTGGCCCTGTGCTCCTTGGCCTGCTGCCGTAGTGCTTGAACTTCGTTATCTCCCCGAGGCGTCGTGCGCCACCGTGCCTCGGCCCGGGCAGTGTGATATCCCGCCACGGTGAAATTCATGTCTTCATACAGGTCTTGATATAGGAGCATCATGGCGTATACATTGACTGTGACCTCCCCAGCGCGATCGTGCCAGGTCGCTTGGTCAGCCGGCGGTCTGGAGTTTTCCAGCTGGTAGAGGGTGTATTCTAATGCCTTTGAGAGTTTCTCCACATATTCGTAGAGGGATTCGGCCATCTCCCTTACTTGGATGACATGGAGTATGGCGATGGTGACATGGTGATCCGTGGTGGCCGTATCTTCAATAGTGTGGACCATCCGCCACGCTTTTCTAAGTTTCGTGAGAATATCAGTCGTCTGAGTGATGGCATCTTGGATGATCCCAAGGTCTTCATTGACATGCACCGGGTGCGGTTCTTGTACATGAGCGGGCACAGTACTTGGGATATAAGCAAAGTCGGCTACCGCAATGCTTTGTTCTGGAGGGGCTGGGAATGCGAGTCTCGGACCATCTTTGTTGGTTGGCCTCGTGGGTTTCTTCAGACGGGCTTGGAAAGCTTCGAGTTCCGAATAGAAACTTCGCCCTAGCCAAGGTCTTCTTCGGCGTCGTTCCGCTGCGGTTTCCCTGTCTCTCTGCCATTGCCTCTGCCATTCCTTAACTTCTGCCAGTTCATCTCCCTCTCCTGGGGTGCTGCTACTGCCGGACACATTATCGGACATATTCTTGAACCGTAAATATAGTATGAATGATGGGTGGTGAACGAGTGTATGAGCTGTTGATGGTAGGAGTGATGGTCCCGATGGCCCGGGAACTCATCTTGTCAAACTATTGAACTGATACTGAGAAGGAAGGCACGACCTGTGGTTCAAGGTAAGCAGGTACTTACATCGACACCAGGTGGTATGGTATAATTCGGCAAGTACAAGTATCAAATATATAGTGGTATCAACCTTGTCATCTCCCTCCGAATACACACTACTGTACGAACGTCACATAATCACATGCACAAATTCATCACCCAACACACACAACCCCAACATACAATCACACCGATCATCTCTCCCTGTCCTACCTGACCAACACCCACACCCAGCAAAAAGCAAGGCCATGAAGATTGCGAATCAATTCCCGACCAATCAGCATACACTGCCAGCTCACACTGCAGATCCCTTGCGGGGTATCTGCAGCAGCCATCATCATGATCCTCGGTGAGTAACTGAACTGAACTCTATCCATCTCTCTCACTTATACCCCCTCCCCCTCTTCTTCCCCCTCCAACCACCACCACTCTCCTTCTATCTACTTTCTACCATCTACCACCTACCACATCCTACAAACCCACCGCACCACCAATAACCCACCAAAATGACATCCCCCTCCCCCCTACACCCGCCACATAACCACCCACGACCCCACCACAGGCAAGGCAACAATCCACTCCTCCACCCCAGGCGACTTCACCACCGTCGAACAAGGCTCCTTCGCCTTCAGCGTCCCCTACACAACCTCCACCTTCCCCGCCGACCTGAACAACGACACCGACATCGACACCCACGAAACCCTCCTTCAAACCAACACTCTCGGGCTGGTGAACCCCAACGGCACCGTCTGTCGAATCGTGGATTTCGCGCCGGGAAAATCCCCGCTGATGCATCGGACCCAAAGCCTCGATTACGGGATTGTGCTGGAGGGGAAATAATCATGGAATTGGATTCGGGGGAAACGAGATTACTCAAGAAGGGGGACATTGCGGTGCAGAGGGCGACGATGCATGCGTGGAGGAATCCGAGTGAAGATAAGTGGGTGAGGATGTTGTTTGTGTTGCAGGAGTGTAGGCCTGTGGAGGTTGGGGCAGGAAGTTGGGGGAGGATTTGGGCGGGGCGGTGGAGTTGAATCCTTCTTCGAAGGAGTAAATTGACTCCGGGATTAGATCTATCTATTACTTTGTTATTGTTATTACAAGGATGCTTTCTATAGCTTGATAACAACCTTCCCAAAATGCCCCCCGCCCTCCAAAAACCCAAATGCCTCCCTCACCTCCCCCAAACCAAACACTCTACTCACCACGGGTCTAATCTCCTTCTCTTCATAAACCCCCACCATCTCCTCAAACCGATCCCTCGGCCCATTAATAATCCCCTGCAGGGTAACCGTCCTCCTCAACGCCAACAAATTCACATTAATCCGATCATCAGCCTCATCATCCACCTTCCCAGACAAATACCCAATACAGTTAATCAACCCCCCAAAGGCAATACACTCGAAACTCTTCCGTAGAGTCTTCGCACCCCCCGTCTCGAGAATAATATCCGCGCCGTGATTGTTCGTAAGACGGAGAATCTCCTGATCCCAGTGAGGTGTGGTACGGTAGTTGATTGTGTGGTCTGCGCCGAGGGATTTCGCTTTCTCCAATTTAGAATCGGAAGACGAGGTGATAATCACTGTTAGTACAACCCTATTATCAGTGACCACATTCAATAATAATGATAAAGGCAGGGAATACCGGTAGCTCCCAACGCCTTCGCAATCTCCAACCCCGCAACCGCCACTCCGCCCGTGCCTTGCAAAAGCACCACTTTGCCTTTCGCAGCTCGATCACGCAGACTCATCCACGCTGTGACACTCGCAATGGGTAACGTGGAGGCCTCTTCGTCGGTCAGATGGTGGGGCGCTTTGACGAGCCCGTGTTCGGGGAATACTCGGTGCGTAGAGAGGACTCCCGGGGCGGGGTGGCCTAGACCCGTGGATAATTCTTTCTCGGTGACTTGGCCGGTGAGGTGGTCGGGGAGGAAGGTCGAGAGGACGCGGTCGCCGATGGTGAAGCGGGTGACGTTGCGGCCGGTGCGGGTGATGATGCCGCACATGTCGGAGCAGGGGATTGTGCGGGGGGAGGTGGTGGAGGTGGATTGGTGGTGGTTGTATTCGCCTTTGGTTACTGGGGTTTTATTAGAAGGGTGAATCGGGGGGGGGGTAGGGGATAGGGGATTGGGGTACCTTCGATGTCGCGGTAGTTGAGGGAGACAGCGCGAATCTCGACCAGGACTTCATTGTCGCCTGGGGATGGGAGAGGAGCGGTGGATTGGGCCAGGGAGGAGAGACCGGTGAGGTCGGTGGTCCATTGTTGGATGGACATGTTTCTTTGTTGCTGCTGCTGCTTTATTTTGGAGAGGATTGAAGGATGAAGCGAAAGGAGGGAGGAAAAACTTCGTGATGGTTGATGTCATGGTCGTGGCCCCACTGCGGGGGCGATTATCAATCATTCTGATTCTTCAGCATCTTCAACTGTGAGGTGTGAAGGATGAAGGGATAGTGGGGATGCCCCCACTGGCATAGGCTATTTACTCGGCTCCTTCGGCAGCCATCAACTCCGTCGGATTGCCCGACGAGAGGCTCTCCTGGTGAAACTCCGCCGTCGAAGGGACCCGCACCGTGTACTCGTCCATCACGGCAGCTTCCAGTTTCACTTTATTGTCAGTTGTCTCAGTCTCAAAGTCGACAACATGTCCCCCGGCTTGTTTGTCCGCCGAGATGAAGTGCATGTGCGACCTGGGCAAACTCATCCCCATACTGTACTCCGGGGACCAGAAACCGAAAAGCGTGCCGGCAATGCATTCTGCTGTGTGTTCTGTTTGACGCTTGGACAGAACAGAGAGAGGTTCGTGAGGATATGACTGCGCCGGGATGCTTCGAACGGTGACATGGTTGAAAAAGGCAGTGGCTTTGATAGCGAGGAAGGAGTTTTGCCGGTCTGGCAGCAGAGGGGCGAGGGAGGTGTCCAGCGTCGACATGGACAATGAGGATAGATATCTCGTCATGGAAGGTTGAAAGAAAGTGACCATGGCAAAGGGAAGGGTCTCCCCTTCAACATCATCAGCAGTGATCCGGCGCGGAGCAGCCCCTGACACCGGATAATGGAACATCTCGCCCTCTACCACGATGACTTCTCCGTTCATACTGGCCACCGTGCCTAAGCCGTGGTCACCATGGGCGAGGAGATCGGCAATGGAAATCCCGGTCTCCTTGGCGGCCAATCCATGCATGAGCGCACTGAGGATCGAGTACTGGTAGAGCTGGTTGGGTGACATTGCGTCAGAGGAAGACAGACTTGCGAGCCGCAGAGTTAAGTCTTGAACAATCCTGGAATTCCGGCATTTTATAATCCCGATTCACGGCAGGATGTTTCCGGGCTGGGTAAGAGGCCAGCCAAAGTCTATCGTCAACTCTATCCCAGTTACACCCTGCCATGTGCCGTTTTCCTTGGATTCTCCGGTTTACCATGTGGTACATCCGTCAGTGCAGAGCTATTGCCCTTCTTGAATCTCCAATTCGGAGAAGGTCCTGTTTTACTGCCATCCCATCTCAATCTGTGCAATCACGCGGACCGGATATGATTTCCGGATTCTCATCATCCCCAGACTGCATAATATAAACCCGACACCACCACTATGTTTGTAGATCCAGATCAACATGTAGCATCATCATGGAAAGAACAGACCTTCTCGACCATACCGGGGGAGAAATCCTCCGGGAACTCCTCCTCGCCCACGACGTGGACCACATCTGTACGTGCCTTCCCTATGCGTATCCAGCTCTGCTAACCGTCCTAGTTGGCTATATCGGTGGCGCAGCCCTTCCTCTCTTCGATTATCTCTGCAAACCCGGCGCCTCCACCCCTCCGTTCAACTTTATCCACGTCCATCATGAACAAGGCGGCGGCCACATGGCAGAGGGCTACGCCCGTGCCTCCAATAAGCCCGGAATTGTGCTGGTTACCTCTGGCCCCGGCACCTCCAACACTGTGACCCCCATGCTGGATGGCCTTCTCGATGGAACCCCCATCATAGTCATCTGCGGACAGGTGACCACCTCCGCGCAAGGCACGCAAGCTTTTCAAGAGATCGACGTGCTGTCCCTGGCCCGATCATGCACCAAATGGTGTACCTGTGTGCAAAGCATTGCCGATCTGCCCGCCAGCATCGATGCAGCCTTTTACCATGCCACCTCCAACCGACCCGGTCCAACCCTCCTGGCCATCCCCAAGGACATTGGCCAAGCTGTATTCGACACCGCTGCCCTCCACCAGCCCAGCCATCTCCCTGACTCCAACAGTGACACCAGCAGCGACAGTGACAACAGCAATACCAGTCGAGCATCCACCCCAACCCTCATGTACAACACCGCCACCCACTATGATCGCATCGAGCACATCGCCGACCTGATCAACCGCTCCCAACGCCCCGTCATCTGCGCCGGCAACGGCGTCATCAACAGCCGCAACGGCCCAGCCCTACTGGCCCAACTCTCCCAACTCTCTCACATCCCCGTCACCACCACCCTCCTGGGCATAGGCAGCTTCGACGAGACTCTCCCAGAAGCTCTTCACATGGTCGGCACCTACGGCACCCCCTACGCCAACCTAGCCATCCAATCTGCCGACCTAATCCTAGCCCTCGGGGCTCGCCTCGACGAGCGCGCCGTCGACAATCCCAAACTCTACGCCCCATGCGCCCGCCACCCCCCCTCAGGCCTGGGGGTCATCTACTTCAACATCTCCCCCTCCACCGTCGGCAAAGTCATCCCCCCAACGGAAATCATCCCCGGCGACCTCTCCACCACCCTCCCCATCCTCCTCCCCCACATCACCCCCAACCCACGCACCCAATGGCTCCAAACCATCCACCACTGGAAAACCACCCAGTCCTTACCCACCCCGACCCCATCCCCATCCACCCCCATCACCGCCGAACAAATCATCACCACCCTCAAAACCCTCACCCCCAAACAAACCACCACCCTCACCGCCGGCGTCGGCCAACACCAAATGCACGCCGCCCGAAGCTACACCTTCCCCCTCCACCCCGGAATCTTCATCACCTCCGGCAGTCTCGGCACAATGGGCTTCGGCCTCCCCGCAGCAATCGGCGCCAAACTCGCCCGCCCAACCCACACCGTCATCGACATCGACGGCGACGCATCCTTCTGCATGACCATGGTGGACCTTCTTACTGCGAGCCAGAACAACATCGCCGTGAAAGTCATCATCATGAATAACAACGGCCAGGGAATGATTCGCCAGTTAAAGAATCTCACCAAGGAGGAGGAGAAAATGCAATGGTGTACGAGACAGGGGAATCCGGATTTCGTGGCCCTGGCTGAAAGTATGGGTGTTCCGGGGAGGGGGTGTGGTGATGGAGGGAGGTTGGAGGAAGATATTAATTGGTTGTTGGAATGTTCAGGTCCGGCGGTGTTGGATGTCATTACTGAGGATGGGATGAGGCCGATGGTGAATTTGGGGAAGGGGTTGGATAGTATTACTTTTTGATTCGCGGCGTGGTGGGGATGATTCTTTTTCAATGGGATGTCAAGGGGGCGACGGGGTTACATTTGAACTCATCTATTGCTAGATGGATAGTACTATCTAGATTGTATATCTAGGCTCTAATCAGAGAATAGTATAGTATAGTACTAGTATAGATAATGTATGTAGTGTATCATTCGTAAACATCAATCATTATATATCCACCCCTTCTAGTATAGTCCCACATCCACAAAAGAAGAGAAGTGAAAGGGGTAGTATCTATAAGAACCATCTAAATCCATCTGCTCTCGGTCCATCTCTTAGTCTCTCAGTGGGTACATCCTGCGCACGCATTTTCACTCCCTCCTTGCGATCCCTCCTCTGATTATCCACCATCATATACACGCCCAACATCGCCGACAGAATAGCACCGACACCACCGAATGCAGCTACAGTCACCAATGCAGGAAGATACTTTGGTTTATCTTTCTCTTGGAAGACGTTACTCGCCACCAGACCCATCAGGTTCGCCAAAGGCACGCCGATACTGGTTAACAGGACGCGCTTGTTCTCGTCGGCAATGTTGTTGTTGTACCAGGTGGAGAGAAGGACCGACGGAGCGGAGGTCCCCCAGGTCATCATGAAGGTGGCAAAGTAGGCGAGATGGATTTGTTGTTCGACATCGGTGATGGCGGCGTAGATCATGAAGCCGGTGAAAGTGAGGAGGAAGCCGAGGACGATGAAAGGGGCGCGGAGACGGGTGGCGTCGGAGGCAAAGGCGAGGACGAGGAGCATGACGGCGCCGGAGACGTTGGGGGCTACGGTGTAGAGGTTGGTTTTGACGGTGGTGTAGCCGAGGCGTTGGATGATTTGGGGCATGAACAGGGAGACGCCTTGGAGGGGTACGCCGAGGCAGATTTCGATGGCCAGAAAGGCGTAGGTTGAAGGGTGGGAGAAGATGCGGAGGGCGGAGCGGAGACGAAAAGGCTCGTTGACAATGGCCGAACTGTCGACTTGGATACGGTGGTGGGCGAGCAGCTTTTCTTCCGGGCTGAGGAAGGATGCAGTGGAGGCAGATCGAGGGAGGTACCAGAAGGCGAAGCAGGAGAAGAGGACAGTGACGGATCCCTCGAGGATGAAGAGGTAGCGCCAGTTAGGAAGCGGAGAGTTCTTGATCTGAAAGACGCCAAAAGCGATGAGCCCAGCGAAGGCGTTGGCAATGTTACTGGCGGCGTAGAAGATAGCGAGGCGTCGAGCCAGTTCGCCACGGCGGTAGAAGGTGGTCAGGTAGTAGATGACAAGTGGGAAGAAGGCCGCCTCAGACATGCCCAGGAACCAGCGCAGGGCGAACATGCCGCCAAAGTTGGAGGTGGCCGAGGAGAGCAGTGTGAAGGAGCCAAAGGAGAACATAAGGACAGGCAAAACACGGGCAGGGCTGAAGCGCTTGCCGAGCATGGCAAAAGGAGGAGCGAAAATAACGTAGGGCACGAAGAAGATTGACAAGAGAAGGTTGTATTGCCCGGGTTTGAAATGGAGGTCTGCAGATGTTAGACGACATTCAAGATGATGCCAGAGGAGGAATGATACCGTCGCTCATGCCAGCCGTTTCGGCATTACTGAGGTTGCCTTTGTCGAGAGCATTGAAGAGGTCTGTGATTGTTAGGTACGGATGGATAGAAGGAAGAATAGACGGAGGAGAGCATACACATCAGGGCGAGTACAGGGAGTAGACGTAGGTCAAAACGACGGCACAGACGCCGTTCGGCCTTGTGGTCGATAACCTGGACGACATCGTCAACGACCCCCGGAGCGGAGGCACAACGATTGAGCTGCGATGCATCATCGGTGATGGAGTCGCGTGCAACCGACTTGGTGTCTTTTGGCAGGACTTCGGAGGATGAGAAAGCCATGTTTCCTCCGCCAGCGGTGGATGGTAGGGAGTAAAGGAAGGAGGGCGAGCCGGATGATAAAGAGTTGGGGATGCAAGGAGGGAATGTAGGGAGAGACGGTCTGCTTTATGCAGAATCAAGAATCCGACCGGCCGATAAGCCGGTCGGCAGGATGATAACCAACCCCACGGCTTCTCCGCAATCTGGTGATGGACGGATGCGGCGAGGTTGCATCGCGGCCAACTCTTATCTCGACTCTCGAGGCGATTGTCGATCAGCGATATCGGGCCAGTTATCAGTACCCCGATCGGGGCACAGATAGCTGGAGATTGAGGGCTTGGCTGTCATCCTGCCACCTTAGCGCATTGATGTGTCAAATTATTGATAACTGCTGCTTGACTCCGTTGATTGCAATGCTTGCAATGCTCATCGACGAGGTGGATTGACTTTGCGCTGTTGGGGTTACACCGACCCCGTGGATTTCCCCGCATCGAGGCATCGCCATGACGTGGTGAGCCAATGCGGTGGGTTCCATGGACTATCGGGGACACCATGATGCGATTAAGGTTTAGCGATGTCCACTATGACATCGGGATACAACAGTCGAGCATTTCAATGATGCGGACGATTCGGCTGTGTACTGGGGACGCCAGAGTGGCTTCCATGACCGGAATCGATATGCGGCCGCTCTCAATTTCGATGTAGCTGTCTCCACCTTTTGTGCATATCTGTGACTCCCTTGGAATCGACTATAGAGTTACGCGTAGTGAGGATACCCTTGATGCACCGGATAATTATGTTGTCAGTCCCGGAGCATGCCGTATATGCAGACCCTGAATATTCTCAATTGGCAGGTCGGCAGATTGTCAATGAAGTATCCAAGGAGACGATGCTACTGAGATATGAAGCTGATGATACGGGCAAAATAATATCCCAGGGCCAATCCAGGCTCGCATGTCGGTCCGAGTGCGGCTCCATTACCTCGTATGTTCAGCCATTAGTGACCAACCTAGTATGCAAGCGATGGTACGTCTGCGACATGCAGGTCGTGTTTCTTACTTGAAACAATGTCATGGAGACGAGTGCAGCTGCTCCTGACCAGTCGCTTCAGAAACTATACCCAAACATGCCAGCATATCACGCTCCCCCTATCTGATTTCTAAACTGACCGGTACCAAGGGTGACCGAATCATCGCTGCGTCCTACGGTGGCTTCCTGACCAAGATTGGGTAAATGGGAAGGTTTCCGTCGAAAGACTGCGCCGCAATAGGGATACATTAAACCGTGAGATATAGTGTTGGGTGCAAGGGTTTCTCGAAGAATATTATCTAGCCGCTTTGACGAGAACTCGCGTCACGTTCGGAAAGGATTCGTCAACTAGGTTGAGGAGATTATTAGCGGCGATACAGATCACAGGTCTTTGTTAATCGCAACTTACCAGGCCATATCTGGGGTACAGTTCGGTTGTCTATCCGGTCAGGGATCGAGCAACCGATGCCAATTGTCGAGACGAGAGAGGTGAGAAGACCGAGGAAGAGAAGAGGGAGACGGAGACGGACAAACAGGTGAAGACTAGAGACAAAAGGGACTAGTGTGGGCAGGGGTCGCGGCCCGGACCGGCCCCCAATTGGGAAACCCGCCTACTTACAGAGAGGGGATTGATACATACAATACAGAGGAAATAGACTGGGTTTATATAGTAGTTCATTAATTACTCAGTATTGAGCAGAATTTGATAATGTATATATATCACTCTAGTTATTTGATTGTGGGAGCTTGTTGGTATTTGTCACTTATCAAACCAAGGGAAGATGACCACCAGGACGGAAAGGGTCTCATCCGAGCATTAGGCGGAAGGCTACCCCTCATCTCGTTGCTGCTCTGCTCTTTCTTCCTCCCCATTCAGCTACTCAGTACGCGATCAATGACCAGCACAATGAATTCCACGCCAACTCATCACCCAAACATCCCGGCAGGCGACCACAAAGCCTACATGGAATATGCCCTCCAACAAGCCCGTCTCTCGCCCCCACCAAGTTTTGTGTTGGGGCGGTCCTCGTCGACGGGGACCACAGCGAGATTCTCTCCACGGGATACTCCATGGAACTCCCCGGAGACCGACCCGGAGACCCAGGTAACACTCACGCCGAACACTGCTGCTTCATCAAGATTGCCGACAAGTACCGCGTCCCCGAAGACCGCATTGGCGATGTGTTACCCCCAAATACCGTGCTTTACACCACCATGGAGCCGTGCAACAAGAGGCTAAGCGGGAGTCGCACCTGTGTCCAGCGGATTCTGGCACTGGGAAGCGCAATCAAAGTAGTCTACGTCGGAATCAGAGAACCGGAGAAATTTATCGGAGAGAACACGGGAAGGAAGCGGCTCGAAGATGCTGGCGTCGCGGTCGAGTTTGTTGAGGGAATGGAGGACGAGATAATGAAGGTATCAACAGCAGGACATTAACCACTTGTAAGCCATTTATCTACTTCCAATGCAAAAGGGTGAGGGGGGCACTGCAGGCACTGGCCATGCTAACCACATACCAGAGTCCGGTATCCACACACCCCATATATGAAACATATCTCCGAGCTCGCCTTCGGAGATCTTCCCTACAGCCAAAAGGGAAAAGGGACTTGACACGGAGTGGGTCTGAACGGACCAAACAGTGAACAAGGCACGCAGATTCTTTGCAACAACCTGATGTCAGCAAAATGCTTAGTCTTCGCTGAATCAAGTTATTGTTTCATCCAGAACATGTCCAGTGGGTACTGTGCATTATTTAGACGAAAACCTATCTCTCTCCCGGACCGAGATGGCCTAAATGCAGCCATTGCTCATTTGAAAAACTCACCCTGGCGGAGGGGATACATCCACGACCCGTCAAGGTTTAATCAAAAGGTGAGAGTACGCGTCAGTCAGACATACTAGGCAATGATGCCAGTGGAGCTTTCTGATGGAAAAAGCTTAGCTAGTGATAAGATGCACGGGACACGTAGGGTCACCGTCGGAGGTCGTCGGATTGCATCTTACCTCCGACCTGCGTAATCAATCCAATGGACACGACGGCCCTGGTAACGCAAGACAAGTCAATGATTTTCATCATGCCGTGGTGGCAGGCCGCGCGGCTGTCAACTCCACTCCAATCTGTCACTGATATGCAGCGGTTGAACACCAAAATTGTCCATGGTCCCATTCACCGAAGCATCTATTTAAAGTGCCCTGTCTCCCCCGAAAATACCACATTCATCCACTTGTTCTGAACCGTCAGTCCTGCTTCACTTTATTATTCCCACGAGATGAATCAGTCACGGTTTGCAAGACTCGCACTCGCCATCATCCCCGGCTTCCTGGTCGGGGTCAATGCGGCGCTCTATGATACCATCATTGAAACCCAGTATGGTGGACTCCAAGGCTACCCAGCCTTCACGAGTGAGCCGGTCGTCAATTTGACCCACTGGAAAGACATTACTGTCTGGAAAAACATCCCCTTTGCCGCCACCACCGGCGGGCAGAACCGCTGGAAAGCCCCCCAGCCGGCCAGCGCGTGGAACGGCACCCGTGATGCCAAATCATTTGGCAATATCTGCCCCTCGGCCACGTCGGGGCGCTCAGAGTTCACGATTGACGAGGACTGTTTGAACCTCAACATCTGGAGTCCGGCCAGCTCGACGGACGCTAAACTTCCGGTGGTCATGTGGAGTTATCCAGCCTTGTCGACGGCGGCTGATGCACTCTTTGACGGGGGCGGCATGGCGGATCAAGGAATCGTCTTTGTGAATTACAACTACCGTACCGGTTCCTTTGGTTGGATGGCACACCCAGAGCTGTCCGAGGAGTTCTACGCCGTGACCGGATCTAACAGCTCCGGTAATTGGGGGATGCTGGACCAATTTGGCGCGCTGAAGTGGATCTACGAGAACATTGCAGCATTTGGTGGTGATCCCGAGCATATCACCGCCATGGGTCAGTCAGCAGGGTCTGCCGCCACTCAGCACATTGTCAACAGCCCGTTAACCAAGGGTCTGATCGTGGGGGGGATCATCGAGAGTGGAGTGCGGGACCCCCATGATCCCTTGTGCACTAGTTTGGCGGAGAATTACAAGACGCTGGACTACGCGCTAGCCCAGGGCGAGCGCTTCATGGCCAGCCTGAATTGCACATCAATTGATGAGATGCGCGAATTGCCAATGGACGACCTAATTGTTTCGGGTGGCACTTTCGGCAGCGACAGCGAATGGGACTTTACTGCCACGCTGGACTACTATGCTATCCCGGACACTTACCTCAACACACTGATCAATGGCCTTGGGCAAGATGTCCCTCTCATTACCGGCAACACCAAAGACGAGAGCGGCGCAAGCTACGGGCTTAACATCACGGTGGCTGAATACCTAGCAGACATGAATGGGACATTCAGCGAGCCATGGCTGTCCCGATTCCTGGAGCTCTACCCGGGAAATACTTCTGTGACGGCCTCGGGAGCCTACAACTCGCAATGGACAGATCGCTCCAAAGTAGGCACGTGGTTGTGGTCCCAGCTCTGGGCGACGGCGAAGACAAGTCCAGTCTACACGTACATCTGGGACCATGCGCCGCCAGGCCAGGAACAGGGGGCCTACCACGAGTCGGAGATCAACTACGTGCTGAACAACCTGTATGGGACAAACCTGCCGTGGACGGCGGAGGATTATGCGATTGCGCGGAAGATGAATGGGTACTGGGCCAACTTCATCAAGACGGGGAATCCCAACGGGGGTACGCTGACCAAGTGGTCTGCCGCGAGCTCAAACTCGACGGTGCAGCACGTTGGTAACGGATGGGGAGAGATTCCGGTGGCTCCTGATGCGAAGGTGGAGTTGTTTGAGGAATGGTTTGAAACGTTGGTGGCGTACTAACTGCTATTATGTGAAATTGGTTGCGATGTATAGTCATGTGTGTTCCATCTGCCGTGTTTGAATTGCCTGATGTGCTTCCCCGCATTGCCAATAGCCGGTGGTTGTCGATCAAACAGATTAGCCATTTAGCCAGAATGCACATATATCACCTACCCGGTCCGCGAATGATTGATGCACTGAATGTACCGATGCCATGCGGCCGAGAGTTACCATGGCGCGCAGTATTTGCACCGCACTCCTCCTTTTCACCACTCTATCGAGTGCAATATCCATCTCACCTGAAACCTCATCTATGCACTGGGTCGACATCTGGACAGCGATGCCCCAACTGACAGAATCTGCCAATCTGCCTCCAGCACCTTTTGTATCCATCCATCCACAATTGCCCCCAGCACATCCACTGATTCATTATTGGTAGAACTCCACCCCCTCCATCTTCCCCAACACAACTCTCCGTCAAACCCTCCGCCTGACGCAACCGGCGTCGACCATCCGCCTCCGTCTCTCCAACGCCTTCGGGACCACCGACCTCCCCATAACAACTGTCAGCATAGCCATCCCCCCAAACAATACCCTTGGGAGCTCCACCATAATCCCTGACACCATCACCCCACTCTCCTTCGACGGGGAATCCTCGATTCTTATTCCGCCAGGTAGCCTGGCCGTCACGGACCCAATCACACTACCACAGGGCGCGAAGACCACCCTCACAGTGGACATATATCTCGCAACAGGACAGACAGGGGAAGCGATTACCTCGCATCCGGGAAGTCGTACAACCTCGTGGATGACATTTGGCGAGATGGTTGGCGCGGAAGAATTGACCGAGACTGACCTGGCGGATGTTGAGCATTGGTATACCTCTCTTCCTCAACCCACACTTAAAGATCATGACTAATGGAGGATATGATGGGTTTGGATGGAACAGGTACTTCATATCCGCCATCGAAGCCCTCCTCCCACTTCCCTATCACAGCTGCGCCATCCTAGGCGACAGTATCACTGACGGAAGAGGGAGTGACACGAACGAGAATAATCGGTACCTCCCCCCATCCTTGTCCCCAAAACATCCCAGATAGTAGTACTGATAATGAAACAGCTGGCCCGACCTCCTCCTCCCTGTCCTTCATCAAAACACAACCACAAAATATATTTCCCTCCTCAACCAAGCCGCCGGCGGAAATCGTATCCTCCACGACGGTCTCGGACCTAACCTCCTTTCCCGGATCGACCGGGACGTCCTCGCTCATTCTGCCGTAACTCACACCATAGTCTTCGAGGGAGTAAACGATATCGGCACCGCGTCTAACGATTCCTATACTCAACACATCACCGGAGACAGGATCATCCGCGCTTATCAACAAATAGTGACGAGGTTACATGCCGCGGGGATAAAGGTATTCGGGGCGACGATCACGCCGTTTGGAACGCCGGAGAATGCAACTGTTGTGCAGACGTATTCGGATCCTGAGAGGGAGAGGACGAGACAGAGGGTGAATGGGTGGATCAGGGATAGTGGGGGGTTTGATGGGATAGTGGACTTTGATGCGATGGTCAGGAGTGATACGGATGGGAGTGTGTTGAAGAGTGAGTATGATTCAGGGGATCATCTGCATTTGAATCCGAGAGGGTATGAGGCTATGGCGAGGGGGTTTCCGGTGGATTTGTTTGTGGAGTAGGGGTGTTGTCATGAATGAAGTTTAGCTGTGGTCTATGTAGTGGGATGGGCTTTTGAATATTCAAGCTGTATGATGAGAAGGAGGTTCTACAGCCATAATTACTACCTCCAAGCGCCAATTGAGAGATCTTCTCAAGCATGTCACAGCCGCCGTAAGCAGAGCCTAATTTAGTTGGTAAGTCAAGTCATATTTGTTCGCATAATGCAGTGATATCACAGTATGCCTCACCTTGACGCTTCTGACTCACACATCACATCACTCCTATCTCATCATTTCATTCTTCTTCGTCGGTATATCTACTTACTCCCATCCTCGTATATTCCCACTCCGCTCATCTATAAACACCCAAGCATCTATCTTCGACCAACATGTCCAACACCATCTACATCACCCACACCACCACCACATCCGACACCCTCTCCACCATCCTCTCAACCCTCCTTCACGACCTAACCCAAGTCACCGAGCCAACAGAAATTACCTACTCCTGCATACCCCCAACCATGGGTTCCCACCTCGCCGACGCCCTCTCTGAAAACGAAATCGCCGAATCCCTCAACACAAAGTATTCCCTATTACCCCCCCCCCACCCCCCGATTCCCCTCCCACCTACCTACCTACCAACCTCAACTAACCACCCCAGAATAACATACAACTCCCTAACCACCACACTACATCTCCGTATCTTCCGTCCCCCCCTCCTCGCCATCCAACATTCCTGGATAAACGAACAAACCTTCGACTGGATGGACGAACAAATCATGACGAGGATGGAATTTAAGCAGCTGGCATTCGAAAGTAATATATGTACGTCCCCTTCCCAATACCTAGCTAAACCAAACTAACTATACATAAAGTAGAAAAGGTTTCTCCGCACCATACGAATTCTCCAGAGGCACATCAGACCTCCAACTACGACCTCGCGATAAACCCCTCCCGTCATTCGTGATCGAATCGACCTGGGCGGAAACCTACGAGAGGGTTAGAGAGAATGTGAGGATTTGGTTGCTTGGGGGACGGGAGTATGTGAATGTTGTGCTGGTTTTGTGTTGGTCTGCCCTAAGGAGGGTAATGATGAGGTGGAAGGTGTGGTGGAGGTTTGGGTTCGAGATGAGGTTAATGTTTGGGAGACGGTTGTGAGGCAGAGAGAGGTATGTATGGATGAGTGGATGTGTTGGGTAATGGCTGACGAGGATTAGGTGATTTTTCCGGCTGATGAGGCAGTGGCGGATAGGTTGAAAGTCACCTGGGGTGAGGTTTTCGGGGGACATCTTCCGGATGGAAGAGACAAGGGGGAGTATCTGTATTTGGAATTGGAGAGTTTGCAGTTTCAGGCGAGGAATGCGTTGGAGAGGATGGGGTTGAGAGCTGCGGGAGATGAGTAGGGCTGATGATCAGGGTAATTGACTTGGGTGCTGAAATTCTGTTTATTTGAAATCTCACGACTTTAACGTAAATCACGTCGAAGATTTAAGGCCAGGCTACAATACAGACCTTGTCTACTTGTACTTCGAGATGAATTTGGGGAAGGAATAAGGTCGCTTCGTTGATATCATTCTTCACTCTATTACCCAAATTATTACTTCGTCCATCGGCCAACCCTCTTCCATCTGCAAGCTTCTGCTCACAAATACACAGCCCTACCAGAGCTTTAGGTTACATTCATCGTGTCTGTTAGTATACATGAGGCACTGACATTCAAATCGGCCTGTATAAGCTAGCTTACCTTTTAGCGTGTGCCTACCCCAGCCCGCACAGCGGTTCGAATAATACCTACGCAATGGACATTGCTTCGACTGTCATAGGTACATACGTTATAATCAAAAGCCACTCCCTTTTTTATTGAGCTCCAACTAGTCTGGAAGATGATTCGGCTATCCCCTTATCCGCTGTGTCATCCCGAGTTCGGTAAAAGCCTTAGCCATCATGATCTCACCCTCCAGACAGATTGGCCAAACATAGCACCCAACAAAGAAGGATCACAAGGATCCAGGGATTCATGATATTGGTCTCGACTCCAACCCCACATGGCAGCACTTGCCGTTGCGGGGAACCGAAAGTTGGGGTAGCAACCCTTACCCGAGCTTATCCCCAGATTTCCGCCTTTCCGTTGACTGCCATTCACCTCTTTTTTCTTCCTTTCGATGTTGATTTCAGAAAGCATTATAGACTAGAAATAGATAGCAAACAGTATGGGTATACAAAATGAGGGTGTGTCGCATTCCGAGGACAAAGTATCCAACGAACATGATGAACACTCGCCAACAGCCGAGGTTACGGCCGAGCAAAGGCCGATGCCGGAGGGAGGGCTGGAGGGTTGGCTCAGTGTGCTAGCAGGTTTTTGTGTATTTGTGAACTCCTGGTACGTCCACTCCATACCTCGCTGCAACACATACTTACCCTGGCAGGGGCTTGATCAGCTGCTATGGCGCCTTTCAGGAATTCTACCAAACGGTGCTCCTCCCGGGAGAATCACCCTCGACGATCTCCTGGATTGGCAGCATCCAAGCCACACTGATCGTAATGGTCGGCATGGTGACCGGGCCGTTGGTTGACTCGGGATACCTTCGCCCGCTGATCATCTGCGGCTCGGTGCTGGTGGTGTTTGGCATGATGATGCTCAGCCTTGCGACCGAGTACTACCAGGTAATCCCCCATCTTTGAACATAAAGCCTACCGATCTAACTCCTATAGGTTCTCCTTGCACAAGGCTTTTGTGTCGGCATGGGTGGCGGCATCACCTACATCCCCGCCATGGTGGTGATATCCTCACACTTCACCACCAAACGTCCGATTGCAATCGGCTGCGCTTCCATCGGATCCAGCGTCGGCAGTGTCATCTTCCCCATCATGTTCCGTCAACTACAACCAGTCATCAACTTCGCCTGGAGTGTCCGCTGCATCGCCTTCATCAACCTATTCCTTGCCCTGATTACCTGCACCGTTCTCTGCCGACGACCGGGCAAACAAACCCGCAGCCGAAGTCTCATCGAATGGAAAGCCCTAACTCACCTCCCCTTCATGCTCTTATCAGTCTCCATGACCTGCGTCATGCTCGCCTACTACGTCCCCATCTTCTACATCGCCACCTACGCCCGCTCCGCCCTGCACACCCCCACCAGCCTCTCCTTCTACCTGGTCTCCATCACCAACGGGGCATCCGCATTCGGCCGCACCGTCCCCTATCTCGTCGGCGCCCGCATCAAACCCATCTTCATCCTAATCACCTGCGTCGCCGCCGCCGCACTAGCCATGTTCACCTGGATCGCCACGACCAACACGGCCGGATTCATCGTCTGGGCCTGCTACTGGGGGTTTGTAAGCGGGGTGCTGGTCACCGCGCCGACATCCATCGTCGCCCACAAGGCGTTTTGTCCCGATGCTGACTTCCTCGGCACGAGAATGGGCATGATGTGGGGGATCAGTTCCGTCGGATCGTTGGTGGGGACGCCTGTCGCCGGCGCGTTGGTGGATCTCGTCACGGCGGACTTTCTCCGGGCACAGATATTCGCGGCATGCATGATGGTGGGGGCGGTTGTCTTGCAGGTGTGGCCGATGCTGTGTGTGGTGAAGTATGATCGGGAGATGTCGGGGAAGAATAGTGATTAGCATATTACTTACTACCTACGGAGTATAGGTAAATAAGTAAGCATCGGGGATGCAGAACCACGCACGTCCCTCGCACTACATCTGCATGTTAAAGTACTTGCATGCTCTTATCGCAGGTTATCCCATATCGAGATATAACGCTACCGGCTAAACTTTCCTTTTCCCCTATCCTAAACCTTAGTATATTACCTCGGAGTTGAGTGGTACACTTGCATTTCTCTCATCCACCCAATACCTACTTACTTTATACTTTCATACCATGTACATCAAGGATATACCTATCCGATATCTACATGATTATCAACCCAAAACAAGATTCACACCCATCCGTCCATCCATCCATCCATCCCCGAACCCGAGATATCGATCTACACTACACACTACACACCACAGAGTATATGATATGGAATAAGCAATATGTAATACCTACATCACCCACCCCAAACAAAATAAATATACCCAATACTTCTTCCTATCTCACCCGATGGTTTCCCCCCACCTATATCCACACATCCATCCATACATCCAATAACAGAAAATGAATGAAGTAATGAATACATAGCGGTAACATTTATTAGATAACATTTAACTAATAGGGAGTTGAACCGGGAAAAATATCGAAAAACAAGATCAAGCCTTTTAGGAACGGATAAATAAGCATTTCTTGGCTTTTTGTGCGTAGGGATGGGGGGCGGTAGGGCGGACGGGGCATGTAGAGAGGGATTGTCTATCTTTACCCACTCATATGCAACATGGGGGTTGGGGGTTTGTTTGCAGGGGTAGATAGGTGGGTGCGTCATGCATGATACTGATACTTGGGATGTGATCTTGCCGAGGTTCAAGGTTCAGGTTCGTTCCGGGTTTGTCCGATTGTGATCCGATTACATCATAGTAGGGAAGGGAAGGGGAGGGGATTGTTTACTTATTTTGGGGGTTTAGGATATTTAGTGGGTTAGATGTATGTGGTTGGTTTGGATTATTGGATACTAGGTGAAGGTACCGGAGATATGGAAGATGTTCCAATTGGATTTGGTCGGAGGGAATGGGGATGGGGGTATATTATTGTGTAGCTAGGATGGAAGTGGTGATTTGAATGGTCTACATAGGAATAGTGAGTGAGTGATTGGTTGGTATATTGGATTCAAGCTATGTACTTGATAGGCCTAATAGCCTTTCCCTGTCCAAGACACTGTATCACACTACTGGGAGTGTGGGTTTGTCTTGTAGTTGGTTCTCGGGATGGCATGCCAAACAATACTACTCATGGCACGCTTAGAAAGTAAGAGTCTGACCAGCAGTACCAACAACAGCAGCCTCCACATTGGCCGAACCCAAAAGGGTGTAGTCATAAGGCATGGAAGTAAGAGTCCCCTCGTCGGCATTGTTCTTGGCACCACCAAAGTCATTATCCTTCGAGACGGCATAACCGGACTTGGTAGAGTAAAGCGCCTTCTTGGAGTCAACGAACTGGTTGGACTCGACGAGCAGCTGGGCGCCATCACGGGTGTTGATGGCATCGCTGACATCCAGGTAGTAGCTGTTGTAGATGTGGCCGGTACCGAAACGGAAAGACGGGCCGCGAGAGTTGACGTTGTACCAGTAGTTGTTGGCGTAGGTGACGGTGAGGTGGCCGCTATCTTGGGACTCGTTGCTGTCGGAGTGGCCGATCAGGGAGGCCTTCCAGTGGTCGTGGATGAAGGTGTTGGAGACGGTGACGTAGTCGGAGCCGTGGGTGATCTGGTTGGGGTGGTTAGTTGGGATGGTTAGGGAAAGGGGGGAGGTGGGGGGCATACATCGATGAGACCGTCGTAGTAGTCCTTGTCGTGGTCACGGTCGGAGGAGACATCGCAGTGGTCGATCCAGACGTTGTTGGAGTATTCTATTAGGGTTGTTAGGTTGGGGGGTGGTAGGGGGTGCTTGGGGGATGGACGTACGAACGCCAATGGCATCGCCATTGTCAGCAAGAACCTTGGAGACACCCAGGTTGCGGATGATGACGTTTTCCTTCTTCTTGATGAGGCTGTGTTTGTTAGGTACGTTCGGTAGGGAGGGAGGTGTGACTTACAGTCCGAATCCCTCGAGGATGGCGTTGGCATCCTTGCCGATGATGGAGGTGTTGCTGCCCACCTTCACCTGGTCGGCGGCCTTCTTGATGGTGCCGTCGACGTAGACAACCTTGGCGTCATCGCCGGAGACAGCCGAGGTGAAAGCAGCATAGGATGAGACAGTCGTGGTAGTACCACCGGATCCACCGGTGGTGCCGCCGTTCAAACTGGCGTAGCCGAAGGCAGCCTGCGTGTGTCAGTAGGTTCAGTGGGAGGATGGCAGGGGACGTACATCGCTGACAGTGGCGCGCTTAGCCACGGTGGCAGTAGGAGCAGCCAGAACCTGTCCAGACAGGAGGCCGGCCACTGCAAGAATCCACTTGAAGTTGGTCATTTTGATGAAGAATGAATGAAAGGTAGTTGGATAGACAAAAAGAAAGAATGAGAGGCTTGATGCAGGGATATTCTTGGGAGGAAGAGGGCGCTTTATATCGACGATGGCAGCATCATGCCAGATTAATCACAGCAACCTCAGGACTGGCTCCATGCTTGGCTGGATAGTATCATCCAGCATGAAAAGGTATGTGCAGATGAAAGCGGACTGCCAAGGTCCCGGTCAACGTCTCGCAACTGGAGCGGACCGCACCAGTCGGATGGCTTCACGGAGGAACCGTGAGTAAAGCCAAGAGTTTATCCAGAAAGCGTGGAATATAACTGGGACCGAGAGGCTTCCACCAAGGGAACTGGCGTTTCAGTGAGGTGCCAAGAGAGCGGATGTTTGGGTCCATCGTGGCTGTGTTGTGGACCGGCCGTGCAACTGTCTACTTAGGGTTCAGGAACAACTGGAGCATGCTTGGCACTTGACTGCTCTTGAGGAATCAAGTGGAATTGACATAAGGGATGTCGCAAATAATTTATATCTGGCTCAGCCAAGGTCAATCCTCACAAAGGCTCCTTCACAAAGGATTGGTATATGACATGGGTTTAGATAACCACCGAACATCAAAACTCTTATTATTCAATCCTCGATGCATCAGGCATAACTGACATAAGTGGATGACTCGAGTGAGGCATCCTATCGGCATATCCGGAAACCCTTGAAACACGCGAAGCAAACACTGAGGATGATTCATAATGTGCTCAATCCTTCATCCCATGAATCAGGAGTCATCCATCGAAGAACAAAGCCAAGAAGCGATGACTCTCGGCAACCCACCGGTGAATGGCGCCGTTTCAGCCACTCCTTCTTGCTACCGGTTTGGGTGCGGTTTATCGGACCGTACGGATGTCTGCTCTGCCAGAGGTTCGAGTCTCTTGGTTTTCTCTTGGAGTTCCATCTCCACCTAGAGCGGTCCCAAGCGCCGACAGGATCCGTGCGCGTGGTCTAGCCCCGGATACCGCGGTTTGTTAGTGAGCTTGGCGGTTGTGATGAAGGGTTGTCAGAGACTCTCGAATTGCTGGGGGGGATTCTGATTACCTGCTTCGCAGGATCAGTGGTAAATGTAACATTTCTCTGGAAACTAAGGGGGCGAGTATTTCGATGCCCCGATGGTAGACCTTGAACGATCGTTTGGGTTCTGACAGTCGTGCAGGTGGTAAGTATATGTGATCAGTTGTGATAGAAAGCGACCACTTATCTCATATTCAATGCAGATTTGATGTTCTAATGAATGGCGCCAACAGGATGTCTCAGGCAGAGTATTGCAACTTCCGGGCGGCCGATATGCCGAGCTCTTGTCCAAATGGTCTCATATCTATTTCATGTCTATCCCTTTTATGCATCTGATTAATAAATGAGGTATTCATGCATTGGCTCGACAAGGTCATCGCAACCCTAATCTCAGCTATCCCGATGTCGAGAAAGACACTGTAAGCAAGCTGTTCCATCTAAATCCCTGGTCTATGTAGGCAGCTACAGCTTCGGCAGAATATTATACTTGACCGTCTTCAAGGTCGTCCATCCCTCCAGGGCCTCCTCGCCCAATTCCCGCCCAAACCCGCTCTCCTTGACGCCGCCAAACGGCGCATTTGCCGCCAACATCGACCACGCATTGACCGTGACCTGACCGGACTCGATACCTGCCGTGACGCGATGGGCGCAATTGATGTCATTCGTGAACACAGCTGCACTTAATCCATGTGCCGAGTCATTCGCCAATGCAATGGCCTCCTCTTCTGTATCAAATGGCGCGATACACTGCCAAACCGTTAGCAATCCCTTCCTCTCCCCAACCCTCAACACCAGATAACCAAAAGAAAGAGGGATAATCTCACCACCACCGGCCCAAAAACCTCCTCCCTCATAATCCTCTCCTCCTGCCCAACATCCGCAAACGCCGTATTCTGGACAAAATACCCCATCTCACCCACCCTCTCCCCCCCAAACAACAACCTGGCCCCTCCCTTCTTCCCCTCCTTCACAAACCCTAAGATCTTCTCCAACTGCATCCGACTCGCCACAGGCCCCTTGGTCGTCCCCTCCTCCAACGCATCCCCCACCACCAACCCCTCTCCCCCTCCCTCGCCAACCTGACATACTCCTCCAAAAACCTCTCATAGATACCCCGCTGCACATACACCCTCGACCCTGCCGCACAAATCTGTCCGTTATTCGCGGTAATCCCGATCCGCGTCCACAGCAGCGCATTATTCAAATCACAATCGGAAAAAACAATCGAGGGCCCCTTCCCGCCTAGTTCCAATGCAACTTGTTTCAGATTACTAGCGGCAGCGGCTTTCATGATGGCGCGACCAGCGAGCGTCGACCCCGTGAAGGAGATTTTGCGAATCAGCGGATGCGAGGAGAGCGCGTGGCCCGTGGTGATTCCATCGCCGGGGAGAATAGCGATCAGGCCGGGTGGGAAGCCGGCTTCGCGGACTAACTGGGCGAGTTTGAGTGCGTAGAGGGGGGTGAGTTCGGAGGGTTTGATGAGGAGGGCGTTGCCGGTTGTTAAGGCGGGGGCGAGTTTCCAGATGGTGATCATTCTGTTTATTTTATTAGGTATTTGTGCGCTATTTGGGATGGGGGGCATACAAAGGCGCATTCCAAGGGACGATGGCAGCACAAACACCCAATGGCTCCTGGAAGGTATACCCCACTCCGCCGTCAGGGAGGTGAAGTGTCTTGCCGTCGATTTTATCTGCCCAGCCGGCGAAGTACCGCAGTGTGGAGACGGCTTGGGGGACGTTGATGTTTTTGCTGTCGGTGTAGAGGATGCCGCCTTCTAGGGCTTCGAGGGAGGCAAAGTCCTCGGTGTCGCGTTCGATTAGATCGGCGAGTTTGTGGAGGAGCGTCCCGCGGATGGCGCCGGGAGTGGCTTTCCATGCCGGCAGGGCGCGGGTGGCGCAGGCGACGGCGTGGTCGACATCGGAGGGGCTGGCGGAGAAGATGGTCGCGAGGGGAGTGCCGGTCGAGGGGTTCTCGATGGTGAGTGTGAAGGAGGGGGTGGAAGCGGGGAGGAATTCGTTGTTGATGAAAAGAGTGGTGGGCACTGAGGGGTACGGGTTAGTGGGAGTGGAGTGGGTCTGGGGAGTGAGGGGGAACCTTGGATTGTGCGGCCTTTAGCGCCGGTGAGAGTGACAGTCGTCATTTTGTCTCTGTGAAAGTGGTTTCTGGTGGTTTATTTGCTGAAGTGAATCGTGAGCCAGTGCAGCTCTACGGATATATAAAAGTAGGGTTGAGGCATTCCGGGGGTATTCCGTGACCGGAATTGTTCCGAGGTGATGTGCGGGGATGATGGATGAAGGGCATAGAAATCTGCTATCAGCTACGGTATCGGGAACACCTCGGAATGGAATCAGCGTGGCTGAGCGTGGCACAGCAACCGGCCCTATAGGGCGTATCGGGGCATCCTTCAGCCGGTCAGCAATGCGCATGGCTGCGTGAGATGACTATTATTGCAGCCTATTATTGGTGGGTCTCACGTTTCGCAGCTTCCCCTCAACTGTGACGGCGATGACTACGCATGCAGACATATCAGCTGCTCGATTCTCATCCGGCAGACTTCCTCTCATCTGGCAATTCCAATAGCATCTGATCAAGCTGCAACGTGCATGGCCCAACATAGCTAAGCTAGTAGCTAATGCAGCATCGACCGGGATGTATCCTGATGCCTAGCTGCTGCATGAGGACCTTGTCACTCGTCCACGCCAACTATATCTAGTGTTGGCCATCTGCATCGGTCACCGACAAAACCCCGTCTTGATTGCTCTAGCGGCCATAAAGCACAGTCTGTCCTAGTCAGAAGATTCACCATGCATCTTCTCTGCCTAATCTTCCTCCCCCTCATCGGGGCCACTCCTGCCAGCTACACCTTCAACCAGCTCTGGTCCCTCACCACCCACTTCTGGGACAATTTCCTCTACCCAGCCAACACCGCTCACATCAGCCCCAACGACACCTCCATCTTCGCTGACAATGTACCTTTCCATACCCCTTGCATGTAGTATTGTCACTGAAAATAGCAGGTTCAAGGCCGCGTGGACGTCACACGCACCTTTAGCAACCGCGACCTCAATAATGAGTATATCTTCGGGCTGTTCTCGCAGCCCACCCACCCGGGAATCTTTGGCGTCCCCATTGCCTACAACATCACCCAATTTGCGGCCACCCAGGACACCGCGGCCTCCACCACCGTGATCACCTTCAATATCAGCACGTTTGATCTCATCATCCCGGGCGTCATCACAGCCTGGTTCCAGTTCAACTCTGCCGGCCAAGTAACACAATACGACGCCGTGTTCCGGTGGCTGGATTTGCTCTTCACCCAGATCATGCAAGCCGCCGGGCGGAAATTCAACACCTCGGATCCAACCGAAATTGAATCGCGAGTAGCTGATCTGTTTGCGCGAACAATCTGTCAGACACACGAAAAGTACTGCATAGGACAGAATAGACAATATACCTCGGAAGACGCATGCTATGTGTTCCTCACGCAGCAAATCCGATTCGGCCAGCCGTACGAGATGGGTCGGAACACGTTGCTGTGTCGCGAGGTGCACGACAACATGGTCCGATATAACCCGGACGTGCACTGCACACATATCGGACCGACCGGGGGCGATTATTGCGTGGATGATCAGACCTACGAGGGCGTCGTGCTGGAACGCTACTTCCGGGCCTCGTGGGTGCCGGAGAACTATGCGCCGGAGAATGTGTGGGTGGCATAGGAAAGTGCATGGATTGAGCAACGAGATCTATATGAGAAACGAGAAGAACAAGATCTATCTACTTGACGTGCCAGAAGGAGAGAGCAACGGCCATGAAGAACTTGAGACCTGCGATGATCCACAGCGCCGGCCAGACATTGCCGGTGGCTCGGCTGATCCAGCCACCTGCAATGGCACCCACCAGAGTCAGCACAAAGGCTGCAATGCGACGGTCGCGCTTCTCGTTGCGCAGCATGAACACCTTCGGGTCCATCATCAGATCGCACAGCAGGCTGGTGATGACCACGGTCGGCACTTCGTTATAGCCCAGCACGCGACTGGCGACCGTCTGGCCGGCCGACTGCATGCTCAGCAGCACAATGACGGCCTCCTGGTCCCAGTGGGTGATGTAATGCGCGGCGTGAGCGTCGGCCAGATCGCCAGTGATGACGTGACTCTGGATGAGAGCGGCGGCAATGATGATCAGGACGACCTGCAGCAGGAAGGCCGTGACGAGAGTGCCGCGACGTTTAGGGCCGAGATAGCCGTTGATGCGCGAGAAGATGAAGCTACCGAGGGCGTAGCAAACGATGGCGGTCAAGGACCGAGCCCAGTCATACTCTCGGGTGTCCTGCTTGGAGGCGCCCAATCCCAAGAAGATGGTGTTTCCAGTCTGCATGGAGACGAAAGTGTTGTATTCTATGCAAGTCAGTGGGAGTTTATCAAGAAAGAGGATGGAGACTCACCATTGAACATGGTACTGTCCAGCAAGCCGGAGCAGAAGCAGCAGGCCAGCAACAGCAGGTCGGCATATTTGGTGTTGATCTCTGCCCGAACATAGGTGACCACAGGGCTGGCACCTTTGGTATCGGACATTCTTCACGAGGAGGATAGGGTTGGGAGGGATGAGGTAGGGTTGGGGGAATGAGATAGGGTTGCGGGCGGAAGAGTTCACAACAGGGTCAGGGTCAGCAAAGCCAACAACAGGAACGGCCTCGGGTCAAAAGAACGGACGGGCTGCAGAAGAAGAGCCCGTCAGCCTTTAAGACCTCAGCGACGGGGCCATGGCTGGGGGCCCGACCGATCAACCCCCAACTCGCCCACCGATCGCCCAGCCAGGCCAAGCCGGACGAATCCGGAGCCGCGCTCGGCCTTGGAGGGCTTGGGGATGGATGCCCTATGCCAACTAGCCCTTCACTAGACGCCCTCCGCGCCACACTAGTCGGTCCCCCTCGGAACACTTGCATTGCAGTCTGCTGTTCTCTGGCGCTCTCTCTGTCTCTCTCTCGGACTCTTCTGTCCTCCCTTCCCCCGCCAGCCAATCGGTTGATTTGCGTCTCTCCTTCCCCCCCCTTGACTGGCCATCCCTATCCTGCTCCAGACCTACTCCTCTCCATCATTTTCCAAGTCTCCAAGACCTTGTCCTCAATAATCGCGGCTGTTATTTTCCTCTCTGCATGGGATCGGCCTCTCTAAGACCCGTAGTGCTGTCGGGCCCGCGTCGTCCGTTTCACCATGCGGGACCGTCCAGCCGGGTCCGAAATCCTTCCTCCCGTTACACAGTTGAATGATCACAACACAGTCACCGGAGGATAAGACTCACCCATCTCTGGAATAGGCCATGTTTCCCCCCCCCCCCCAGATCCAGACACTAGGCAGTAGGCGCTGGCAGGCAACAAGACCCGCGGGGCTGGACCCAAGACTATCAGCTTTCCCCAGGGCGCCAAGATACTTGGCTCTGCAGCGAGGACGCACTTAATGTCGGCGATGAGAGTCCGCAGTGCAGCTGGCCTGGCCCATCGGGTTTGCCGTCGGTTGGTTGTGCTGCTATCTCAACCATCCACTCATCCACCCCCTCTCTTACCTCATCAACGATAAGCGGCCATGCCAATGCGCTCCGGTTTCTCCGCCATTCAGCGTGCCAGAATCCCCGTCCTCCGGGTTACGTCGAGGGTGGGTTTTTCTCTCTTGAGTGGGATGCCGTTTAACTTCCGGCGCATCAGCCGAGCCCTGGCAGTCTATCGGTGCAGATCTGTTTCCCGGCCAAGCGCCAATCATGCCGAGGCAGGCTGCTGCCCAGCTGGAGGCCACCGGAGGACTCCTGCTTCGGCTGAACCCCCCTCCCCCTCTGCCCTAGTGTGAAGAACAACGGGCCCCGTGCGTGCTCAGGAAGCGTCTGACATGCAGTTTGCGTTACGACTAACGAGGAACTCGTGCTCGTGTGCCACCCTATCTCAGTGACACGTCTCATCCAGCCGCTGTGGTCTGCATGGCCAAAGTACGTCCGAACTGCATCCCTTATTACCACCGGATAAGGTAACTTCCTAGACAATCCTGTCGCGGCTATCTGAAACTCCTCTTTTTACAGTGGCGATCCAGCCAGTCAGCCAGCCTGCTAGCCATTCAGTGAAGGAAAATCAAAGAGGGGGGGGAGCTTATCTACGCCCCTGCTGCATTGCATTCGGACATTTTTCGACTTGTCACAGGCACAAATCATAGTTGGCCGATGGCGTCGATGGCCGTCTCGGCTGGGATGGTGGCCAAGAAAATTGAATGGCAATGGTTCACCGGGGGGGGGGGGGGGGGGTCGATGATGATTCTCGGCCAAGGGCTTGAGTTGCAATCCAGTTCCGGAGAGGGGGGGTGCATACGGAGAGGAGATCTTCTGAGGTAATAGTATTGATTGAGCGGACTGATATTGTCCCGATGAATCTATATAAACCGGTTACTACCTTCCACTTCATTGTCTTTCTTCTCATCAACAACCATCATTCTCTTCTCTCCACTCTCCTCTCTTCTCTTCTCTTGTTCATTTCGCGCCATGAAAGTAGATACCCCGGACTCTGCCTCCACCATCAGCATGACCAACACTATCACCATCACCGTAGAGCAGGACGGCATCTACGAGGTCAACGGCGCTCGCCAGGACCCTGTGATTAACCTGCAAATGGTGACTGGATCATCGAAGCTGCGCAAGCAGCTCCGTGACTCGGACGAGTTGATTGTTTGTCCGGGTGTGTATGATGGCTTGTCTGCTCGGATTGCCATCAACATGGGCTTCAAGGCCATGTACATGGTATGTAACCCCCTAGGCCAATGTCTTCCTTTCTCTACTACTTCCCCGGACTATCACTCACGAAAACAGACCGGAGCCGGTACTACAGCGTCCCGTCTAGGCCACGCCGATCTGGGACTGGCTCATCTGTACGACATGCGCACCAACGCCGAGATGATTGCGAATCTGGACCCTTACGGACCGCCTTTGATTGCCGACATGGACCACGGATATGGAGGTATGCCCATACCCATACCCTCTCCCATACCCTCCTCCCAACACACCTCCACTCCACTCCACCTGCCAAGCCCTTCCTCCCCCCAAAAACAACTCCCCACCTAACACACAAGGAATAAAATAGGCCCCCTAATGGTCGCCCGTTCCGTGCAACAATACATCCAAGCCGGAGTCGCCGGCTTCCACATCGAAGACCAAATCGCCAACAAGCGCTGCGGCCACTTGGCCGGAAAACGCGTCGTCAGCATGGACGAATACCTCACGCGGATCCGCGCCGCCAAGATCACCAAAGACCGACTCCGCAGCGACATCGTGCTGATCGCACGCACCGACGCGCTCCAACAACACGGCTACGACGAATGCATCAAGCGGCTCAAAGCCGCCCGCGACATTGGCGCCGACGTGGGTCTCCTCGAGGGATTCACCAGTAAGGAGATGGCGCGACGCTGCGTCCAGGACCTAGCGCCCTGGCCTTTGTTGCTGAATATGGTGGAGAATGGTGCGGGTCCGGTGATTTCGACCGCGGAGGCGAAGGAAATGGGCTTTAGGATTATGATTTTTTCGTTTGCGTGTATTACGCCGGCTTATATGGGGATTACGGCTGCTTTGGAACGGTTGAAGAAGGATGGGGTGGTGGGGTTGCCTGAGGGGATGGGACCGAAGAAGTTGTTTGAGGTTTGTGGGTTGATGGATTCGGTGAGGATTGATACGGAGGCGGGGGGGATGGGTTTGCGAATGGGGTTTAGATAATACCTTTTTTCTTTTTGGGTTGTTTGGTTTTGGGGTAGGGGGTAAAAGACCCTATTCTGTACCTTGGGTTCAATAGGGTTTGTTTGGGGTTTTAGTTTTATTCATCTGGTTGATTGGTTGATTGGTTAATTGATTGACTGATGCGGTGTGGATTTACTTGGATATTTGGGCTTCTATACATATTGTATGCGATGGCGGTATATACACCAGAAGAAGAAGAAGGAGAAGAAGAATCGAATGATTTGATCGATGGTATTTACTCTACCAAGTCGGTATAGCAATAGTTGCCTACTATGGAATACTTCTATTTATATTCCCATTCCCACTCAACAAAAAATATGATATGTGATAATCCCCTTACTATGTATGTACAGAGTACTCCCACCAAAAAAATAAGAAAAAAGAAAAAAGAAAAATAGAGATCGACAAAATACCTACCCTCCCATCTGCATGAGCACGGAGTCGCCGGCAGTAGTGCCAGTAGGACCGAATGCCTTGTTTGGGATGGATCGTCGTCATCATCCGCCTTATAGGGAAATCCAAGGCCCACTGCGGTTGCCAATAAGTATGCAATATGCATATTGGGATGGTTATTTGTTTGGGTCCACTGCATACCTACTAGGTACATAGTGGTAGCCTTACGGTTGGGTATTGTTACTAGCATGTAGGTGGGTGGGTAGTGTCATATCACGTAAGATTCATGTCACATGGGAAACTCACTCGACTATCAGGATCAGGGGTAAATAACATAAAAAAAGAAATAAACAAACAGCAGAAAGGTATGAAGGTATGGAGTAAAAAGGGTCCGGTTCGTTCAGCCAGCCATAAAGAATAAGGATAAGGTTAAGTAAGGATCCCCCTGAAGCAAAAAAAGAAATCATGTCACGCGTCAAGCCAGATTATTCAGCTTCCGCTGCACCCCCGAGGAAGAACAGCTACAACAACGTCTCCTGATGCACCACAATTCGCCATTCTCCATCACTGGCCTGACTCCATGTCGTTGAGCCCGTTCCGCGGAACACGTCCTGTCCGCGTCGCGCATGGATCTTGTATGTCACGGACCCGGCCATCAGGTCGATCACGATTACTCGTACATCCTGCAACTCGTATTCTTCAAAGTGGTGGAAGGGCGGCTTTAGCGCTTCGCTGATGGAGGGCTTTGAGTATAGATGTAGGACATCGCGCTTGGGGAATAGTAGGTTGGCTTCCTCGTTGCACATCTTTTTGATTTCCGGGCCGGGGTCGGCTGAGGTGAGCGCCGTCCAGAGACGACGTTCTTTGGCGAGGAGGTCTTCGCGAATGCGTTCGTGGATGGAGCCGACCATTTTGTTTTGTTCTTGTTTGAGTGTTTGAGGTACAGAGTTGGGTTGGGTGTTTGGGGAGGCTGGATTAGTTAGACAGTGCTGATGCTAGACACAAGATCCAGGCTATACTGACAGAACACGGTATACACACAAGAGGGTATACTCACATACACAAGGGTATCAAATCGATGCACTCCTTGATGCAGATGCCAGGGTATAAGATAGAAACGCGGGAGTGACGTCATGTCCCCCCACGTGGATGACGTCGTTCCGTCCGATGACATCCTGCCCAAGTATATCAGGGTGACACCATGCACCTCAGCAGAGGCGGAGATGGTTCCCGCGATCGGCGTGCAGTAGACATTAATCCCATGGTGGTGGTCATGGTGGTGACGATGACGCGGCACATTTTGTGACTGCTCCGGTGCAGCTGGTCGGCTGGTCGGATGGTCGGATCGCGATGATCTCTGCAACCTTCAGCCATGGCGGTATTCTCAGTCTGCAGATGGTTCAGCGGTGAGGTTCATCGCATTGACCTCTGTCATGGCAGTCTTACAGACACACAGTTGTGTGACCAGGAGTCAGCAAGATGAAACCACCGTCATTCAGATGCACCCCGATGAATTGTGACACAAATCAGCTGAAGCCTTGCTAAGGCGCTTGTGAATGCCATCCAGCTGTGATGCGTGTGCATGACTGCTCATCTGCTGTCTACACACCAGTGCCTAGTCCATTGTGTCTGGTCCGAGCGATGGCACCTCCGAGGTCGTACCGACCGTTGTCCTGCAGCCAGCCATAACTCCCGGCTGACCGGCAAGGGATGGCAATGTATTGTGGAAGCTCAGCTCCCCCGAGCCGTTGTTGGCGTTCGGGTGCCCGACTATGTATAGTAGTCCCAGGCAGCCTTCATATCCCTTGGATGATCGCCAAGATCTGACCTAGAGATGAGATCCAGACCTGTCCACGTCAGCATGGCTCGAATCGGACCTGTCTATGCCAGCCACCAGCTGAATTACACAGTAAACAGTCTCCACCAGCTGAAATAACCACATCGTTGTGAATGGCGGGATGAAATTACGTTTGGCTGGCTATCAGGCGCTTTAGCTGCCTTTAACTTCAATAACATCGAATGTTGGAAGGTCTCCCGGCTTCCAGAATGCGGTGGATCTCAACGCTCCCGATCGGGCAGGTGTCTGGCCATGGACCCTGAATCTCCAGGATCGAACGAGGGTTGCATATGGTTGGGATATTGAATGCAATGTTATGCTGTGTACTGGGTAGGCTGTCATCCTTGGCAGACAGTCATTGACGCGACGGTCGGAAGATGACGCCATCATCGGAGACACGCGTGATCACGTGTTTACCATGTGGTCAACTGGCGGGCATCGGCCGAATGTGCCGCGGCATCAACAAGATGCAGGCATTTTGCCAAGCACATCCCACGGCTGGAATAACCAGAATGCACGGCCGACGTTCTGGAAAGACTGGCGTGTAATTGTGAATTTCTGGTTAAAGGAATACACTCTGACTATTTTCTAGAAGAGATAAGGTGCAGTGGTTAAATTGTTGACTTTTGCCACAATCTAAAAGGGTATACTGTGTAGCTGTGCCTCTATTTACACGCGTAACAGAGAAACGATTCTTCACACTTCTTAGCCCAGATTCCAGGAACGTTGGTTAATCCTACAGGAGCAACTAGGTCATGAAAAACAATCTGATCGCTTGAGATCTTGCCTGGATGTAAGAGTAGGAAAGAGATTGATGAAGAATTGCGTGCCTTGTCTCCGCGCAATTTCTCCGCTGTCATTCGCCATTAATATATATCCGTCACCTAGATCCTCTACTTCTCTACCTATCCAATTACATTTAGAACTAGCACTTTCAGGATATCATACGTTGCCTTGTAGCAACTCATAATTCATTCCCAACGCAATTTTATCAGCATTTCCTTTTTATTGGTTGTTATTTGGTAATTGTTGGGACAAATCCTCGGAATATTGGTTTGCACGAGGTGGTTGGCACGTGCTCTCCGCGATGTCCACTTTTCCCAACCTTTGGTCCATTGGCCGTCTTCCAGTGACTCATCCATGTCTCCAACTGTCCATCAACCAGCCACGGATTCTCCAACATTATGATATTATCACCTGTGTTACCAACAATGGTATCTCCATGAACCATCCACTGCTCCGGAAAAAAAGAATCCCACTGACTCGATGGATCCCTGCTGAGCAATGGCGTGCGTTGACTGGACGATAGCATCCACCGGTCGCACTCAGCTCAGGCGATAAGGCAATCTAAATTAATTAATTGCGCGATATCTGGTATCGCCTTATCTTTCCCGTCCGTTATCAACATCGCGATCTTCTCGAATTCTCCGTGTCTCGGGGTTCCTGCGTTAGCCTCCACCACCCCGGAGCCACTGTCAACATGCTTTGCAAATGGAGTCTCTAGAGTTAGAGTCTAGAGTTAGACTCTAGCAGTCCAAACCCTCATGGCATGTAGCATGACGTGCAGACTCCCTCCACGGTCATCTTCCGTCGTTATCCGCGAGTCAATTCTTCAGCATTCCGCTAAGCACCGCAGCAACCGGCTCGGTTCGCGCGGATGGGTCGTCAGAAGCCATCGCCATTGGCTTCCGTCGACCTTCTCGAAGGCACCAATGCTACCGTCTCCGCTATCTACGCAAATCCTTCCTAATCAGCTATCCTTCAAGGCAGAGTTTTTCCAGATTGTGGGCACCATTCACGCGATAGTGGATCGGCGGCCCCCGATGCTCCCTCGATGATGCGCTGAAAAGCCCTCATCGCGAGCTATAAAGCTCCCCTCCCAGCTCTCTTTTACAAACCAGCAACGGTCACTTCAGACAACCGCACACCATGCAGCTCCTTCAATCTCTCTCCGCGGGCCTGGTGCTCGCCGGCAGCTGCCTGTCCCTGGCTGGCGCCCGTTCCATTCCCCAGGCCAAGGGTCTCGCCGTGAGACAGACTCCTCAGAAGATCGCTCCTAAGGTCTTCATCATGTCCATGGTGAGTTGTCTGTCGCAGCCTCATCAGAACCTACTGACCAGCCCAGTTTGAGCCTGAAGCTGCCATCTGGTGGGGTATCCCCGAGTTCGACCTGCTCGCCCACAACATCACCATCCCCGGTGCTTCCCCACTCTTCCCGGATGTCCACTGTACTGCCGACTACAGCATCTGCCAGCTCGTCACCGGCGAGTCCGAGATCAACGCCGCCGTTACTGTCTCCTCTATCATCTTCAACCCTCTGTTTGACCTGACCCACACCTACTTCTTCGTCGCCGGTATCGCCGGTGTCAACCCCGAGGAGACCACCATCTGCAGTGTGAACTTCGCCCGCTATGCCGTCCAGGTCGCCCTGCAGTACGAGATCGACATCCGCGAGATGCCCGCCAACTCGACCACCGGCTACTTCCCCCAGGGCTCCTACTACCCCTGGCAATACCCCGGTAACATCTACGGTACCGAGGTCTTCGAGGTCAACGACAACCTGCGCAAGCTGGCCGTTGCCTTTGCCAAAAACGCCACCCTGGCCGATAGCGACGACGCCAAGGCCTACCGTGCCAACTACGCCACTGCTGATGGTATCTACGCCGCTGGTGCGGCTGCCCCCGCCGTTGTCGAGTGTGATGTCGCCACCAGCGATGTCTACTACAGCGGTAACATCCTGGGCCAGACCTTCTCCAATTACACCTCCCTCCTGACCAACGGCACCGGCAACTACTGCGCCAGCGCCCAGGAAGACAACGCCTCCCTCGAGGCTCTCCTCCGTGCCGCCAAATTCAACATCACCGACTTCTCTCGCATCATCGTCATGCGCACCGCCTCCGACTTTGACCGTCCCTACCCCGGCGAGTCGGCCCGTGAGAACCTGCTGTACGCGACCACGGGAGCCTACGAGCCCTCTGTCAAGAACATCTACAACGCCGGTGTCAAGGTTGTCGAGGGTATCATCAACAACTGGAACAGCACCTTTGCTGCCGGTGTCAAGCCCAGCAACTACATCGGTGACATCTTCGGCACCTTGGGCGGTACTCCCGACTTTGGCCCGGGTCAGTACGAGTCCCTGGTTGATGCGGGTGTGCTGAAGAAGCGTGGTGTGTCGAAGCGCTCCATGCGGGGATTGTAATTTATGATGTCTAATATGTAGTACGAATGATGAGTGTCTGAATAGGATAGCTTAATACCATGTACCGAGTGCTTATACCAGAGTAGTATATTTCACACAAAGATATCTTACTCTAAGAGTAAACACCCCAGTGCCATCCATGTATTCATCCAACCCTTCCAACTACCTTTCTATTCAACATCAAGCTACGCTATATTCCCTACTAACTCCATCCAGCATTCACAATCCTTATCCTCCATTCCATCCACACCATATATAATTCACAACCATCAGCTTCAACATTCCTCACCAGCTTTCATACTTCACCCACCATAGTGATTAACCATCTTCCTTCTTCCTATAAATACCTACCCTACCCTACCCCCCTCTACCATCCTCCCACCCATCCATCAAACCCCACAATATGAAACCAGCCACTAAACCCATCCTTTATAATTATACTATCCTATCCTATCCTATCCTGTACCATCACTCAACACCAAGAATTGAAGTCAATCCCTCGCAATACCAATCCTCTACAACAAGCATAACGCATAATACATCGGACCTGGATGTCAAAAACCAGGGACGTGTCAATACAAAGAACCAAAGTCAACCTCCCGAACAGACGAGAGACAATCAAATTCCTCGAAATGAGGGTTTTGTATCACGAACACGATGCTTCAGAACTCGATGTAGGCGACTGAGGTCTGTCAGGCTTCATTGACATGGCCTGGCATCTTATTGCCAATGAGTTTCAAGAGTTTCGAAACTTTCTGGAGAGCATAGGGAATGATGATGTGGGGGAATTCAGAATGGATTTGAGAATGGGGGTTTGAGGATAAACTCAACTCAAGTCACCTCGTCTTGGGGATATTCGACGTTGGATGGTTAGGAGAGTTAGAGAGCTACCACCACCACCAATAGGTACAAGGCCCTGGTGGATGGAGCATTGGGTGTGAAAGATCATCACAATTGAGTGAGGACTGGCGATTGTCGAGGTCAAGAACTCTGTGCAGAATTGAGATTCATTTCATATTTTGGTATTATAGACCGGTAATACCTTGGATTGTTGCGCAATGGGGAATTTACCATGGGGATCTTATGTATGGGTAGAAGGGGGCAAGGACTGGATATGAGACAATTCTCGGAGATGGATGATCATGGCTTATGCCTTGTGGGTGGGTGGGCGAGGAACTGAAGAGAAGATGAGTAGTATTTTTCACCTAAGAATAATATAGGAGTTGGAAGTCTAATCATAACTGACAAATTAATATTAATGAATCAATTCCATCAGTCCCCGTCTTGCAAGTCTCCATCCCTATATAACCCCAACCTAACAATTACACTTCACATACCTCCCATAATACGAATACGTAGTTCTCTCCACACAAGCATGTAATTTCATCGGCGCGACTATAACCGTCCTCGAATTTCCCTGCGAACACTTATGATGAGGCCAAATGCGCAAATGCAGGTACTCCGAGCCGGAGGGATTCTCAAACTGCACGCTTTTATACGCAGACCACCAATTATGGCAGTCGTTGGTGTATGATACATGGAAATCCTCACTTGTGCATTCCGAGTAGTCGGAGAGGTAGCTCCAGTAGTGGAGTAGTGAGCGTTTGTGTGTTGCCATGGGTATGGATGGTTTGCTGCCGATTGGGTGCAGGCCTTGGGCTGAGTGTTTGAGGAGCCAGGCGTAGGTTGCCTCTGTGGCGGGGATGCTAATTGCGTGGTTTTCGTTGGAGTAGGTTGTGTCTTCGGCGGCGAGGTTCATGGTGTTGGAGGCTGACATCATGCAATCGAGAAGGGGGGCGTCGGTGCCGGTGGTGTCGATTGTGCGGTTGGTGAGGGGCAGGATGGTGGTGGTGCCTGCGTCGACGTAGAGGCGGTAGGGGATGTTGATTGCGTTGAGGCAGATAAGGAAGGTCTCTGCAATGGATTGGTGGAGGTCGTCGGGTCCGAGGATTGTGATGTTGGATGCGAGACTGGTGGATGAGGCGAGATGAGCTCCTGCGGTTAGGAGAAGGATTGAGAGTGGTTGGAAGAGCATGATGGGGTGTTGATTTGCAATGGCTCGTGGGACTAGGAAGAGGATCAGAGAGATATGAAGTAGGACTGTACTAGGATGATATACGTACGGGAAACTGGAGTTACTGCGAAGTGGTAGTCTACGGTGGAGAGGGACGAGTTAGGTCTTTATATGTCTAATTCTGTCTGCAGTACTCTCTTGTCCTTGTCACTCCTTTCTCCTCGATGGTATGCGTATCAGGCAACTCGAAATCTAGTCAGCTGGCCCCATCCATCATGAGGGATATCGGCAGTCATACAGATACCTGAAGCTCAGCCTCGTCGTGTCCATACTAACCGTATCGAAGGATTATGAACCTGAGCCACCAGCAAGGTGCCGGAAATTTGATTCATCAGTAGAGAGGCATCGAAGGAACTAGGTCGTCCGCAGGCCACGCATTCCCTTTGGCGCTGAGAAGGGATATGAGGTTCATGGTGTTTCTGACTAGTTCGCAACTGACGCTAAGTAAGCTTTGTGGGGACTGGGCTGTCGACGGGTGATGCTACTATGTAGGGCTTGCTTCCGGGTATCCACATGGCAGCCTTGGGACTATGGTGACGCGTCATCCACCTCTACAAGTGTTTGGCCACGACAAGGCGGCTCAATTTCTGGCTATACTAGCATAGCCCCAAGATCAATAGTAGGTGATCAGGATTCTTAGTGTCGTATTTTGGTCCGCACGTGGACGTAGTCATAGCTGTGGCTTGGTGCAGAGCATATCGGGACCATCTCGGTCTCCGGAGTCAATCTGGCGAGATAAGGTGTTGTACCAGCATCTGACAAGACTCCTGACTGTGGAAGGACCCGGAGTCGGAGGTCAATACCGACGTGCTGTAATCATTCATAGCGATATGTCCAATGCCCTCTCACACTCTTGATCTGATTATGATTTTATAACAATCTGACAAGGCTATTACTCGTAGCAGATATTCTATCTTCGATGGTGGCAGCACAAGGCTTGAGTCGTCATGCCACATAGTGAGCTGAGCTCTTTGATAACCCTGGGCCCACTACCGTGGAGGTGGCATTAGTTCAGGCCTCAGGGGTATTGGCTAATCTTTGGACCAAGGCTTGGCCTTTCTAAGATGGAATCTCTCAGCAGGGCTTTTCCGACCTTATCGATTTCAGTTATGGCCGGATCTTAGGGCTCGGCGAAACTGGAGCGTGTATGTGGGAGATACTATGACCATCAAGGCATGCCACGGGCTCAGATTTGATCTTTACATCAATCATATCCTATCGCATGAGGAGTTAGAATAACAGTCAAGGCTGTAGGTAAAGGTTCAGAGATGCTCCTTCGCCATGTCCAGAGATATTCTTCTCACCTTGTCGACGTCAAGATGAAGAATCGCCACCAAAGTAGGGCTTGGCAGTGATTCCTTCCAATTAATCTTCGACTAGTAGTCCTGCTGAATAATTCTCTTGAGAGCCCTCGAGGACTCCTGGCAAGGACCTCCCACCATAAATAAGCCCGAATATCCATCAAGATGACCTCTATCCTCCTCATCCCTTGAGAATCAAACTTCATATTCCTTCAGAATGGTCAAACTCCAAATACTGTTGAATGCGCTCCTATGCGCCATCGCCAACGCCTTAGCCACCAACATCACCTTTGCAAAGAACTTTGCCACCGAGCAATTGAATCTCGAATCCCCATACTTCGATCTCTCCCACTTTGGATACTACGGGGGCCAACTCCCCAAAGTCTATGGACTGAACCAATCCAGCCAAGGCGTGGAGTACCTCGCCGAAGAAAGCTACACCGAATTTCAAAAGATCATGTCTGGCACGAACAACGCCAGTGCCGAGTTCCTCGCTCAGCAGGAAAGCCTTTGGTCCAGCATGAAGCGATCCACTACCAACTCCATCAGCATGTTGTTGCGAAATGCCGCCGGTGAAGGCAATGCGTACGCTATCACGGCGGATCACACAGTCTGTCATACAGGAAGTGAAGCTCCCTGGCATTATGTGACGGTCTATTGGGTCAAAGAGGCGTATATTACCTTTTGGAAGAGCACCAAATGTAATGGTCACAAGGGCAGTTTTAACCCTGTGTGTGATTACTATGATGATCCCTCAGAGGTCTGTGTGTTTAACTTTAAGCCGCAATCGTTCCGCGTGTACTCGGGTTGTCATCATTCGTATGGGTGGGGGAAGGGCTGTTCTGATCATACTTTGTGAGGGATTGCTGGGTGGTTAGGGTCTGAGTTGGATGTGAGGTGGTGGTGAGGTGTGATTCTGTCAGGGTAAGGACCTGGTTGAGGAATCCAGGTCGTTTTTCGAGGCTTCCACTGCTTCACTGGCATACAGAGATATGCTTCCTTTGCTTTTCTTTCTGTATTATAGCTTCTTCATCTTCGTTTCTGTACTTGTATTTCAGATCATATTAACGTTTGAATATCATCGCTTTGTCTGTTTCTCATGACCCAGGAAGCGCTAGAGAGGATGTAGCAAAGAGACACAAGTTCGGTCCATTTCGTAGCGAGCCACGTATCTATATGATGTCAGAAGTGATCATTCAAGTAATCTGAATTGAGGAAGGTGATGATCGAAGCTTTTCGAAAGGACTCACTGATCGTGAAGCCAACGATGCGGCCGTCACGTCTCAATCAAAGAGAGCAAAGTAGTTGTTGAGTGACCATAGTGAGATCCAATGCAACTGACCAATTGTATCCTCGTATCTACGAAAGCATAAAACCCTGAAAGTTGCACCTGCACCTGCATCTGCCGATCTTCCAAAGCTCCCTCTCGTGGCAGCTCCTCAAAAACCTTAAAGAGCGCAGATAAGCCTCGGTGGGGCGGTCGGCCCGAGACTCAATCGGAGCAAGCAAAGCCGAGTGGACGCGCGTCCAACAGTCCGACCTCTTCATTCGCGTGTTCTATTATATGAGGGGCAACGCAGCACCTATCTCGGTGAACACTCACTCCAGCTAATACCGTTGAGATGCTTCTTCAATTCCCAAATGAATTGCTGCAGTGCATTGCAGAGAAGCTCGAGCTAGAAGATGTTAATTATCTGGCACAGACAAACACTCATCTCTACAATCTGCTCAACCCCTATCTTTATCGCTATGACGTACAACATCGTGAAAGCGCGGCATTATTGTGGGCCGCAGAATGGGGAATCGAGAAAACCGCTCGGAAATCTTTAGAAGCAGGAGCTCACGGTCAATCACAGTCTGGCCCGATCCGGAAAGCGTTATTTGAGGCGGTGACACACGGACATGAAGCCGTATTGAAACTGCTGCTCGCTACAGGCAAGGCCAATCCTGATTCGAAGCACTCCGATGGAAGTACCCCCTTGTTGAAGGCTGCCAAGAATGGACGCGAGGCCTGTTTCAAGCTGCTACTTGCTACAGAGGGCGTCAATCCTGATTCTCAGAATCATAGAGGAGACACACCACTTTGGTGGGCAGCGTGGATGGGGAATGAAACTATGGTAAAGTTGCTTCTTGCGACAAACAGTGTCAATCCTGATCAGAGAAATTCCAGGGGAGAGACACCGCTCCGGTGGGCAGCATGTAATGGACATGAGGAAGTGGTCAAGTTGCTGCTTGATACTAAGCTTGTTGACCCTAATTCCCAGGATCAACACGGAGAGACTCCACTGTTGAAAGCAGCACAAAATGGACATGAGCCGGTAGTCAAGTTGCTACTTGCTACCAAGGGTGTTGATCCTGCGTCACGGGATTTCAATGGCCGGACACCCCTATCGTGGGAGGCAAGACATGGCCATGAAGAGGTAGTCAGATCTCTTCTTGCCAGAGAGCAAGTCAATCCTGATTCTCGAGATAATTGGGGAAGGACTCCCTTGTTAGAGGCAGCACATTTCGGACGTGAGGCCGTAGTCAATCTGCTCCTTCGCACCGGAAAGGTCGACCATAACGCTGCTTCCGACGGGCAAACACCCATATGGTATGCGGCATTGGCAGGACACGAGGCAGTTGTGAAGATACTGCTCGATACGCCGGGTGTCGATCCTGACCGTGGGAATCTGGACGGAGTGACTCCCCTCTCGGTGGCGGCATCAGATGGATACGTGACAGTCGTTGAACTATTGCTTGCTGCAGGCGCCAGTCCTAATAGGAAGGATTATCTCGGAGAGACACCATTGTCGAAAGCAGCTCAAGAAGGTAATGAGGAAATCGTTGAACTATTACTTAGGGTGAAGGGTATCAACCCAGATTCCCAAGATCATGACGGGCGTACGCCCCTGTCAAGAGCAGCTGAAAATGGGCATGAGACAATAGTCAAGATGCTACTTGATACAGAGGCTGTTGATCCAAGCGCCAAGGATCTCGAAGGACAAACACCTTTGTCATGGGCAGAGGATTACGGAAATGAGACCGTGGCTGACTTGATCCGAGATGCTGTCGTCCTAGCCTCTATCTCACGGAATGACGAGTAAGCGATGCAGATATATCTTCATGTGAATCAAAGATCTCTAGTGATGCTGGCGTATGTTTTTGTTTTCCGTGCTTTTTTCCTGTTAGCATGCGAACAAATCATTTTGCAGTTCGTTTCTAGATACTCGTCTTTATGAATATCCGTTTGCTATGGTATACCAATCGCAGGTGTCCAATTCTGGACATATTCATATGAGGACATGGAAGTAGGTGATTGAAATGGGCTACCATGGTTTATAGGGGAGTACCAGAGAAGTAATGAGTTTCAATAATCATGATGACTCAATATCTATAATTGACACCCTTATATGACTGGAAGTAGTAATAGAGAAAATGTCTTCAGCCAAAAAAAGAAAAGGGGGGGGGCGGGGGAAGGAAAGAAAAGAAAGAGCATAAATTGCAATCAGGCTAAACAAACAACGCGAGGTCATTCACTTGCATCCCGTGAGCTACTGCAACTATTGGATAACTCATCTTGAGTAACACAGGAGATTCCAGGTCCCCACCATTCTTATTTTACCATGGTCCCACACCCGAGTTAATCAAAATAAACCTAAAATGCGCATGCCCAGACAAACCGGTGAGCCGTTTGGAATGAACCCTAGTGGGTGGGGCCCGATGTTGGTGATCATCCTTCAGCCACCCTCACCAGGGAAAATGCCGCATGATTAACCTCAACCTAATGTCGTCCCTGGCATGACATGGGCCAAGAAACCTTCTAGATTGCTGAAGAAACCTTAAAAGCCACAAGTCCTCTGTCGACCGGAAATGCACTCCGCGCCACCTCACCATCGCAATGGCTCTCAACCTCTCCTCCACCGGCCTGCAGGCCAACTACTCGCAGATCCCTTCTGCCTTTGAGTTCTATGACAGTCGATTCTTGAACATTACTGGCGCAGCACCCAAGCTGGAGGTTCTACTTGAGAACAATGACTTTCCGTTCGCGCACGAAGCCAGCGTCTTCATCCCGTCTACGGATGAACTCTTCATGACGAGCAACGCCTTCACCGACCCTGTTACGAACCAGACCACGATCAAAATCTCCAAGGTCTCTCTCAGCGCTAACTCTATTACTTCGGAGGTGATCAACAGTACCATTCCCCTACCCAACGGGGGCGTCAACAACGGCAATGGCATTCTCTTCTGTGCCCAGGGTACTCTCAATACCTCTGGCGGTCTCTTCCAAATGTCCATCGAGTCTCCCTACGAATCCAAGCAGTTGGTCAGCGGATTCTACGGTCGGGAATTTAATTCCCTGAATGACGTGGTTGTCCACAGCGATGGCTCCATGTGGTTCACTGATCCGATCTACGGCTCTAGGCAGGGCATTCGTCCTTCGCCGCAACTGCCCAACCAGGTCTACCGCTATGATCCTGCTACGGGCAACGTGCGTGTCGTTGCAGATGGATTTGGTCGTCCGAATGGAATCAGCTTCTCTCCGGATGAGAAGACCTTGTATATCACGGATACAGCGTATACGGTTGGCGATGGGACGACGGATCCTACGAAGCCTTCAACTATGTATGGCCTTCCTACATCATATTTCTTCCAGCATATAACAGAATTTGGCTAACCAACGCAGCTATGCATTCGACCTCACTACCTCCAACGGCGAGACCTTCCTAACCAACCGCCGCGTCTTCGCCATGACTGATACTGGAATCCCCGATGGAATCAAAACCGATATGAATGGCAACGTGTACGCCGGTTGTGGAGATGGAATCAACATCTGGTCGCCTGGTGGTGTCTTGCTCGGCAAGATTCTCATCAAGAATGGCGTCGCTAACTTTTCCTTTGGTCGTAATGGGCAGATGTTCATTATGAATGAGAATAAGTTGTGGTCTGCGCAGCTGAACTCTTTGGTTAAGGGGGCTCTTTTGAAAATTTGAGGATTACCTAATGCTGTTTTTATGCCCTTTGAAAGGATTTGGTCATTGAAGCCCCATGATGATGTATCTCAACGAGTCTTCATATTATGTTAATTAATATAGTTCATAGTATGATAAAACAAACTTAATAGGTCCTTTCACCTGCATGTTTGATACTCCCACTGTGTGAAATGATCGTCCATTGCATTAGTCCCGCCCCACTGTCAATCTAACTCTTGCATCAATTGAAACCATAAATAGACCCCTCATCTCATTCTGTCATTGTCGACAAGAAAACAATATCTATTTGATATACACCATCCTCCTTCCATACCATAGGTTTTCGAATAACACCAATTATATCGCTGATATATCTGCCTGGCTGAAATACCATAATCCTTTGGCACTATACCCCAGATAGTCGAGGGTCATTACCCACTTTAGATCCATAACCATCTCTATCTCCAAGTAGATTAGATTATCCATCTGTTACCGCAGTATACTTCCGGTTATAGTGTGTGTGCACTGCATACAAATGTAGGATACTTGTCGACTTCAAAATCAGCTCAAAAGGACATCCTGGTTGGATTCAAGATATATCCGATTGCGGAATCTTTAAGCATATCGATTGCAAGAGTGTCATTGCAGCGAAGTTTATAATTTTCTCCATTGCCTTGTTCAGGTTTCGTGTGATTCCGATGGTGTGGGATGACATACATACCCTCTATTAGCGATAGTTATTGTTCTGGTGGGTAGTAAAAAAGATCAGGCCCAATCAATAACCCTGTTATTTAGAGATCTTAGGGAAGCGCGTGATGCGAAATATTGTATATCTCTCTGGATAATTCGCGTTCCATTGATGAATTCATGACGCATATGCATTGCGACACGAACCTTATCGTAGATCTTCGTGATAGAGAGACATACGGAGTATAACCCCATATTAGAGTATTTGACTGCACCATTCGCACATCTCTGTCCTGTTGCGAGATATCTAATCCCATCCACAGCACATATCTCTATTATAATGTATACTAAACGACAAGAGCCAACCCAAGTAAGAAACGGATCCTTAAAGGTGTTTCCCACCGACACACATTGTGCGTCCCTTGGGAATTCGAATATTCTTGCCCCGTGGGAAACTTTTGTTTATTTTAGGATTGTCGATGTGTCCGTGTCCATTGATGGACGGTTTTCTTATCAGACTGGGTGGGATGTATTCCAACGGAATTTAGGAGATCGATTTGGGTATGTAAGTTAGGAATGCTTTTCGTGTGCTTTGGATCTTGGTTTGAGGGTGGGTAGTGGGGGTTTTGGTTGTGATAGGGTTATTTTCTTGCTTGTTCGTTTTTGTATTCTTTGTTCTTCTTAGTTGTCGTTTGTGTTGAGAGGAAGAAGGGTGGATAGGAAGGGGAGGTTGTGTGTTGGATTAGGTATGGATAGTAGGTAGGGCTGGGTATGAGGGTCTGGGTGTATGTATGATAGTGATGATGTATATTGCTCGGGGATCAGGGAGTGGATGTTAATGAAGAGGAGGAGGAATTTGGCTTGGTTCTTGGATGATACATAAGATTAGGTAGATTGAGAAGATGGAGAAAAGAAGGGATAGGAGGCCCTTATATAGGGAGGAAAGCTGTACGATGATGAATGGGTATTCTACGGTAGTGATCAAAGTCTCCTTGTGGTGGGAATGGTATACTTACTACATTGAATCTAAGTAGAAAAGGAATGGAAAAGATCAAGAAGGATATGGTGTTTGTGAATTATACTCAATTAGAGGGAAGAATTTAATATACCCGGTAAAGGACGAGCTAGGTTGTGTGAAGACAACGACTCGTGACATCTTTCAGGGATACAATCCCGGGGTTACCGCTTCCTTTTCTTTCCCTTCTTCGTCTCCGTCGCAGTGCAAAGATCCTCATCAAAGTTAGGAGCGTTCACACCATCTCCAAGGTTCTCAGAGCCATCTGTAACTGGCATCTCCCTCGGCTCGACTCCAATCGGAGTTCCTAAGAACCATCGATAAAACAGCTCAAACGGCGCCACCTCGGTATTCTTGAAGCTGTATAGTTTGCTGCAAGCTATCACCAATCTGGTGCCCCCGTGTACATGGGCCTGAAGAATGCGGCCGTGACGCGGGACCATGAATGAAACCATCAAGACCTTTAGAGTGACAAAGTTAGTAGTCCCATAGATGAAATGGTCATAGACATACTGGCTGGGGCTGCTTTCTATCAAACAGACCCTCCGCGAGGCGAAACTCCATGGCCTTGAGGATGTATACCAATTCAGACAGCTGTAAACTCCCTTCCGGACATACCTCTGGACATTCATACTGGGTGATCATTGTTAAGTGAGGGTAGCGGTTATCCTTTACATAGTTGATTGTGTCGACCGCATGGCGCCTATCATCGAATCCAAACCTATCAACTGTGTACGCTTCAGCAACTGGATCTTCCGGGCTGATCAATATTCCATCATATATCAGTATACTAGACATGAGTGTAAGTTCAAGCGACATTAAAACCTACTTGGTAGCCCGAGCCCAGCTAGTTAGATCCGAGAGAAAGATCCCTTGTCCCTTGGGGATGTTCTTTCGCACAACCGTTTCCATATGACGATATAGCACTTGTGGAAGCGCCCACAGGAGGTGGTCTGGATCTTTTTTACCCTTCTCGATCATGACATCATAGTCCCCTATGTCGAGAGATCCGGGGTTGCGCTTTTCGAGACTCGCCAGATATTCCCCGTCAACCGGATATTTCGCTAGGAAGCTCTCAGACAGTGGAGCAAAATAAAGGGGGATATTGTCCTTAGCATTCTCTAGGTCTAGAGGAAATATTGGGATGTTGTTCTTTTGGCAGTCGGACGCACTGACAAACTGGCCCTTGTATGTAGCGAGCCATTTGAGCTTTGCGGCGACGGTCCTTTCGGAGCGGGTTTTCTGAGTTGTGGACATGTTGAAGATCTGCTCAAATGATTACTTATGGGCGTCTGTCTAAGGTATGTCCAACGACTTTAAGGAGCCTGGCTGAGACGAAAGCGTTTGTAGGTGCCAGATGGAGGGATATGGTAATACCCATGTCATTTCTCTTGAGTCACGTGATCTTCTCCGCGCTGCGTCTTGAGAAAGGACAAGAGAAGTCTGCAGTGGAAAGACAATAAGAAGACGTCTGATTAGTCTAGAAGATTCCCAATTAAAGCTCTTTATTTATTTCTCCTTTTACTTGTAATATGACTTACGACTTCTTGCCGGTCAGGACCTGGTAAATTACACCTGAATGAACCGTGCAGCTGCAGTGCACTTACAGTACACTTAGCTCGGAATATACCGAGTCATAGCGGAGGTATAGACGTAATCATGGAAGTATGACTGAATAGACTCCTTCCCTCATTTTCAGATATTCGATCGTATTACTTTGTGATGAAGAGCAGCCGGTGAAAGTTTGAAATAACGGAAAGAAAGCATTAGCCTGAGCGGGTGGTCTGTTGTGGTGAGGGAATTAAAGTCAGATCGAGTCTAGTGGTGATCCTTCACAGACTCGAGTGAGACATTCCGGAAGGTAGTGGGTGGGATCAGCTGTCGGTTGTTGAATATTTTCAAACAAGATTCGAAGTTCCCGTAGAATAAGACATCATGTTGGATCAAAGATAAATCATCAACTCAGGAGCACCTACGTAGGAAGGATATTTGCAATCACAAGCTACCTAGGTATAATCCCATGTGTAGATGAAGTACGGCCGTCCGCCGGACTTAACTGATACCGGGCAACTATTGAAGTAATCTAGACCGATTGCGAGAATTCCGAGGGATTAATATAGCAGATGCGCTAGGTTTTACACCAAGTCTTGGAAGATAGAACCTTGGAGATGTTCTCCACATCCTCAGAGTCAAGACGAGGACAGTGGAGGTGATGTTAGAAGAAATCGGGGATGCTCCATGTGGCTTTGGTTGTGGCTGAAGGAAGTGATTTTCCATGTTTGTGAGAGCCATTGTAGGAAAAAATAGATTCTGTCGAATCTTTGTTCACAGTGCCAAGTGCAACAAATCCTGCTGTTTGAACCAACACCAGTCTAGATGACAAACAACCAATCATAAACTAAGTACATTACGCTATTCCCAGAAAAGATTAGGCATCTGACTAAGCGGAAGCGCCGATCCTCTTGGCAATCTAAAAACGGGTGAAATTGTGGAATGGCTGTCAGACCCTGCAAGGCACCACATCAAGTGGTGGGCGTACGTACGCTCTCACTGATATTGCGACGCCTCCATCGCCAGCGCAGACTGAGCAAGACCTGAAATGCAGTCGACAACCTAATATCCTGCCTTTATTCATAGCAAGCCATAAACCGTTTAAAACTATTGCGGAAGGCCCTCTGATACTATGGTACATAGTAACATAATGAAATTGCGATCATCGGAGTTGCGTGTCCCTGACGAGACAGGGCTGAGGGTGAATATGCCACCGGTCTGGGCCAGGCTTCTTCACGGTGTCCTGCGGAGTCTGCTAAGGGACTAACCACCTCGATACGGCTGGGCGTTCGACTAGCCCAATATTGCACTCTGCCTCCCACTGGTCCCGTGGCTAAACAAGGATTGGTTACTGGGCCGCTCAACTTGATACTGAGCTGACGAAGCCACGACTTGGCGCGAACCACCATGCATTAGCTCTCTTGGCACATGCCTTCACGAGAGAACCCCAAGCTTGGCTATTGCACTCTATGCTGATGAGATCAGATCCATTCTTCTCGCTTATCGAATGCTTTAACTGGTAGGTATCTCGAATTTGATCATCATATCGACCGCAGCAAGCGCCCGGCAATGCGATGCAAAGAAGGGTCCTCAAAGCCGAAACCTTAAGGCCATCCCTGGTGGCCTGCCAAGCCGAGGGAGTGTCCCAGCTGAGATTAGCTCGCTCCACCCGGATAAGGTTATTCCCGCCTGCGGCTTGGCTGTCCCGATTAGATCCTGATTAGATGCCACCGCAGGGCTACACCCATCACCCATATTGCATTTTACACGGGAATGCCAGGAACAGAGTGTCTCAAAGTAAGCCTCAGACGGAGCCGATTACACGATGCTCGACCACATGGTGAGTGCCTGTTTTGCGCTTTCCGTTGCACATCTTCTTATCAAACCACACCCTTGCATCCAGACTAGCTGCCACAAATATCAAATTGATGTCATTCCAATGCATCATTGGGGTGGTTCTACCCCGGGCCGCGCAATCCGGTGACGAGTGTTAGAACTTGAGTTAATTCCTCCTGCAGAATGTCAAACCAGGTGGGCCCAGCCGATAGATAGCTTCACATCCGGACCGGACCACAGGGAATCACATCTATAAAGCCCATCAACATGCCTGTCATACACTCTCCATCAGACACTCAGCCAGTCTTTACAGTCTGCACTTCGTTCCTTCTCGAAATCTTCCATTCTTTTGGTGCCATCGCCATGCGCCAGTACTCTCGCGCAGCTGTCGCTGCTCTGGCAGCAGCCACTGCCAACGCGGCCTCTCTCTCCGATATCTGCACTGTCTCTAACGTCCAGTCTGCCCTTCCTTCCAATGGCACTCTCCTCGGTATCGACTTGATCCCCTCTGCCGTCACTGCCAACACCGTCACCGACGCCTCCGCCGGCATGGGCAGCACCGCTACCTACGACTACTGCAACGTCACCGTCACCTACACCCACACCGGCAAGGGTGACAAGGTCGTCGTCAAGTACGCCTTCCCCGCCCCCTCCGACTTCGAGAACCGCTTCTACGTCGCCGGTGGTGGTGGCTTCTCCCTCTCCAGCGACGCCACCGGCGGTCTCGAGTACGGTGCTGCCTCCGGTGCCACCGATGCCGGCTACGACGCCTTCTCCTACAGCTACGACGAAGTCGTCCTCTACGGCAACGGCTCTATCAACTGGGATGCCACCTACATGTTCGGCTACCAGGCTCTCGGCGAGATGACCAAGATCGGCAAGCCCCTCACCCAGGGCTTCTACGGCCTCTCCACCGACCAGAAGATCTACACCTACTACGAAGGCTGCTCCGACGGTGGTCGTGAAGGTATGAGCCAGGTTCAACGCTGGGGAGATGAATACGACGGTGTCATTGCCGGTGCCCCGGCCTTCCGCTTCGCCCAGCAGCAGGTGAACCACGTCTTCCCCGCCACCATCGAACACACCATGGACTACTACCCTCCCCCTTGTGAACTCGAGAAGATCGTCACCGAGACCATCTCCGCCTGCGACCCTCTCGACGGCCGTACCGACGGCGTCGTCTCCCGTACCGACCTCTGCATGCTGGAATTCAACCTCACCTCCCTCATCGGCACCTCCTACTACTGCGCCGCCCAGAACTACACCTCCCTGGGCTTCGGCTTCAGCAAGCGCCAAGCCCAAGGCAGCTCCACCAGCTACCAGCCCGCCCAGAACGGCACCATAACCGCTGAGGGTGTTGCCCTGGCCCAGGCCGTGTACGATGGTCTGCACGACTCCGAGGGCAACCGCGCCTACCTGTCATGGCAAATCGCCGCGGAGCTCTCCGACGCCGACACCACTTACGACTCGACCACCGACTCCTGGACCCTCGACATCCCCTCCACCGGCGGCGAATACGTCACCAAGTTCGTCCAGCTCCTCAACATCGACAACCTCGAGAACCTCGACAACGTCACCTACGACACCCTCGTCGACTGGATGAACACCGGCATGATCCGCTACATCGACAGTCTGCAGACCACCGTGGTCGATCTGACTGATTTCCAAAAGGCCGGTGGAAAGATGATCCACTACCACGGAGAATCCGATCCCAGTATCCCCACCGCCTCATCGGTGCACTACTGGCAGGCTGTCCGTCAGGCCATGTACCCTAACGTGACCTACACCGACTCCCTCAAGCAGATGTCCGACTGGTACCAGCTGTACCTGATCCCGGGTGCTGCCCACTGCGGAACCAACTCCCTCCAGCCGGGACCGTACCCTGAAGACAACATGGAGATCATGATCAATTGGGTCGAGAACGGTGTTAAGCCTTCTCGTCTTAACGCCACCGTCTCCTCTGGTACGTATGAGGGTGAGACCCAAATGCTGTGCCAGTGGCCCTCTCGCCCTCTCTGGTCTAGCAACTCTACCTTTTCTTGTGTGCATGACCAGAAGTCCCTCAACACTTGGGATTACACCTTCGATGCTTTCAAGATGCCTGTCTTTTAAGCGAATTGACATAGTCGAACGTTGACGTTGATGGCCTTTGAAAGGATCAGCTTGTATTATCTTCACTTCGATAGTCGTCTTTTTCCTTTCTTATTACCTTGTACTGTATGGAAAGAGACTTGACTAGGACTTATTACAAATATTATCTTATATGTATCACTATATACCACATCGACTAACCTCATTCTACACAACATCCCTCAATTCCACCCTTTTTAACCCTTCTAGCCACTCACCCAGGTAATTAAACCTGTTTCCAAAACCAAGAAACCGCATGCCCTAGACAGAACAAATAAAACCAACATGAAATCAAAGTAAAGCCCAAGTAAAGCAATGGTACCAAAGAAAAAGAAAAGAAAAACAAGTAAAAAAAGACCTCAATCCGAAACTGCAAACATTAGGAATCAAACACATCAATCAATACTTCGTTGACATGCAAGAGCTTAGAGGTCTAAGTAGCCACACGACGTGCGAAGGCTAGATAAGATATTCTTCGGGCTGACTGATTAGAAAATTGATTAGAAGAGTACTCAAGTGAGGAGAAATCAAGTAGAAATAACTTGATCTAATAGTAAAGATAAGTGATTAACTCTTTGCTTAATGGCTTATCATCCATGACGATTTTCTTTTCCTACTTCCTAATCTATATATTAGTTCTACAGCTGATCAAACTCCTCCCTCCCCAACACAACACTCTCCTCCCCCTGATCCATAACCCTCTCACAAACCGACTTAATCCTCCTCTCGACATCATCCCCACCCATCCACGCCTTAGGAATCAAAACAAGCAAGAAAAACTCCCCTCCATCCAGACCCAACTCATCAACATTGACTAAGATCTCATCACCCAACGTAACCAATTCCATTCCCTTTTGAATACCTCCCGCCTGACAACCAACCCCCCAAGCAGCCTCATAAAGACCTAGTTGCCGAGCAGTCGTCACATACCAAGTCGGTCGATCTTTCGGACACACGGCCTCCAGAAACTGGAATACGGATGCTGATGAGGGCATAGTGAATGCTACCAATAAGACAACGATTATATTAGTGGTTTTGTAATGGACAGTAAAGAAAAAGCACGGCAAGACATACGATCCGGACGTCTCGCGACCCGCAAAACAACCATATCCAGGATCGCGCGCACCCCTTCGATTGGAGATATGAATAAATCCTGGATATCCTTGGGCTGCATCTGTAGCGACTCAATCACATGGTGATAGAAATCCCGTTGTTCCACACTATTCAACGTTGTGAGTAACCTCTACCATGCGATATTATGTCGATAGATACATACCGCTTGTATACCGTGTGATGAACATGATTCCGCTCTCGCATCCTCAGATGTTCCAACGGCTTCGGTGTTGTAAAACAAATAGTATAGGGTATAATGGGCGTGAACGTATACGCCATTGAGAAATCATACAGAACGATATCGTAAAAATCACCGGGAAGTCGGAAGTGATCATCGCGGATATCCCCATGCACGATCCCGATATCAAGGAGTGCGTTGACACGACGGCATCGATCTTCGGCTAGAGAGGCATACCAGTCTATTTCAAAGGGACAGATCGAAAGATCCTCGAGACTGTGGTAAAACGGAGTAGATATATCAGGAGTCGCTGCTCCGAGGATACGTCTATGGGAAATGGTTGGTTCCAGTCGTTCTAGGACCACCGCGCGCTGACGTGGTCTTAGCCGATCACTCAATCTCGAGTACGGTATATCGGTAATGACTCCATGATAAGCAGGGAAGTATATCTTCCGGGCATCGGGACAGAATCGATGGATATGTTCTAGGGCGTTTGCTTCCAGGTAGAATGGGTCGAGGTCTTTAACGAGCATTTCGACGGTGTGGTGTTTTGAGGGGATGCGTTGGAGTTGGGCTTTAGCTCGGTGCGGGTTAGGGTTTGTGAACTGCATCGTGGGATTAATGTGGGAGTGAGTGTTGGTGTTGTAGGTGACATACTGTTTTTGCTACGTAAATTATAGTGGTGTCGTTTTGTTTGGAGTAGAGATAAAAGACTAATTGTGGATGACCATATGGGATGTTGTTGCTCACTTGTCGTCCCAGTTGCCAGGGTTGGTCGAGATATGGGAAGGGTAGCCAGTCTTCGGCGTTGTGGATGAGGTTGTTGAATTCGGGTCGAGGGGGGGAGCCGGAGAAGAAGTACGATGTCCAGGCTGGATCTGGATTGCGCTGGGACATTGTAGTGAGGGTGTATGTTGTTACTGACTAGACTGGTAGAGACGTTTTCTGTTAGGACATGAAGCTGAAGAAAAACAAGTGATATTTGTTAACTAGCTAGGAGACTTCTGCTACGCGGGATGAAAAGGATAATAACATTATGGCTAATACGACAAGACATATAACATGCTCGCCTATTAACTAACCAGTTATTTAGATACAGTCTTTTAAATAAGTAGGGGTGTTAAATATAGTATATATAAAGCCAGACTTTTTATCTAATCAGATAATAAAATAATAATATTAAGTAAGTTCTAGCAGTGTGGAGTATTAGGTATATAGTTGTTAGAGGTACGTAGGGAGACGTGGAACAGTGCGAAGTTAGCCTTAGGGATCAGGCTAAGTCTTACATTGTGAGCCTATATAGTGCAAACAATGCGTATGTATAGATATAGGACTGATTACTGGCCTTCTAGAGTTCCCAGTGGCCAGTATAATAGATATTTTACTGAGTTATCTAACTATACAGATTATTTAATTAGATAACTTATTTTATTATAAGTCTTATAATCTTAGCGCGCTGGAAGAGTATGCTGTTCATTACAAGATTATTTAAAATATTTAATATTCTTCTTTTATATAGACACCTCGTCCTGAGATAATAAGATATTATAATAATATTTATATAATCTATATAGTCTTAATATTTTTTAATTAAAAAGATCTTGCTAGATATAACTATATATTAATACTAGATACTTTTACTGTATTTACTATTAGTTATATTAAGTTGTTCTGCCTGTATTATCCTATCCTTATTATTTTAGAAAGATAGCGATTTCTTCAAATAATATATAATAATATAAACTTTACTCCTCCAGCTTGCTTATAATAATATTATAAACTATAAATAAATAAAGAAATTAAAGAAAAAAGATTATTTTTACTTATAAATAACTTTATTTTATTATAAGTATAAAAGCTCTTATTTTCCTCACTGTCTGCATGATCCTTCCTTTACTTTTTCTTTATTATATATCTTATTCTTACAGTCTTAATATATATATTAATGTCAAACCCTAGGATCGCTTCTCCCTGTTCCTGTTAGCTTAGCTCCCGTTCCGATACGTACCTTGTGAACTGAATCGAAGGTAGTCAGGTTGATGACTATCTAAAGATGACTTGATCTGAACAGAAGAAGAGAAGTAAGGCCAGATAGTGCCGCGCAGCTATCTGTAAGTAAGTGCAGACAAGTGTTGTCGCTAAGCTTTACCAAAACATATGGTTACTTAAAGACAGTGTTATTGAGCACGAAGAACAGAACTAGCTAAGTATATGAAAGAGTATCTTTATATCCTATTCTTCATATACCATTTTGTATACCATTCAGAGTAGATTGAGGATTGATCTAATCATGTTCCTGGATTCCGTATACCATATCGTATACTCTTGATAGTAGATCTGATGGTAGATGGTCATATAACACAGTATTGCCTCGGGTGTTACTCTAACCGGGATCTTACTTAATAAGAGTTGCTGGCTGCCCGAGTCCTTCCTGGTCGTTATCTTTCTGCCTGATGAGTCTGCTTCTGCTAGTAACCTGGCTAGCAGGGGTCTGTAACATCACTCCTCTTTCTTCAAGGTTTCTTGTTCTTAAGAGACATAAAGGTGCGTGTTCTTCCTGTATTGATTAAGTTTTCTCAATTTCTCTTTTTCCTATGATAGTTTATCATGTCTTGTCATTACACTAATCGCGATCAGGTAAAGAAATGTATCTATCAGTCTAATAAGATTCGTGATAACAGTTTTATCACTGAAAGTTTCTGTAAACATTGTTTCTTAAAGAGTATTTCTTATATTATGGATTTGAAAAGCTGAAATTATGCTGCCTGTACTTGTCATGGCTGAAAATATAAAAAATAATTTCACAGTGATAAGAAGTGGAATGAATTAAAATATAATTAATCAGATATATAAAATAAACTTGTTGAGATCCTTGTTGAACAGGCCTGTATTGCTGCCAAAGTAGCTCACTTGTTCAAGTAACAGCAGTTCCTAAAAGATCATGGCGAGCGGATGTTAGATCACGACTTGACTGTATTAAAGTGGCTGGATAAGGAGGATCTTCCAAGCACTAAGGATCTCCGAGAGCTAGAGTGTCTGGCTAACAAACATGACGCTGCTCAACTTACCGCTGCGTCAGACACTCCTAGTCTGACTCAGTTAGTTGGTTCTTCTTCATTCTGGGCGAACTTTGACCTGTCTGTCGGTGGTACTGCTCCATAAGCTGGTAACAGCCTGTCAAATTCTTAATAGATTCCTACATGTTTTCTGAAATATCATATTCTACTTATTTCACCAGATACTGCAATCTACTGCTAATCTTCTTATGGTCTAGGATCTTTTTAACTTCATATTCTTTCTTTGTGTTATCATCAATCTCTATATTTTCTACAGTTTTAGCATTCTTTGGTGCGGGTTCCAACAATAAGATATAAAACACTGGATAAATTCTATTCATTGATTTCAGTAACCTCAACTTGTAGTTAATCGGTCCCTTCTTATCTTCAATAATAAATAGTCCTAGTTTATAATGATCAAGCTTCTAACTTAATCATTTTATCTTGATATTTCTGCAGAGTAGAAACATCTTCTTCCCTTTTTTAAGATCAGGTTCCCTTCTGTGTTTATGATTGTAGTATATCTTACTGTATAAGTTCATGAACTTAATGTCTCAGGATAACTATAAATATATGTTTTCTATAAATATAATAATATTCTCAGCTATATTAATAATTTATTACTTATTTAATAATATTTTCAAAAACCTCGGGTAGTATCTATAATTAATGTAGAACAGTAAGACTTTAATAATTAAGTAACTAGTATTATTATATAAGAACTATGTTATTAATAATAGATTTACTTAATTATTCTGCTAATAGTTTATATAGTGTCTCAAATATTGCTTAATTATCTGATTAATCCTTTCTATTTATCTATTCATTTATGGATAATAAATTATTATTATTTATTCTTTTATTTCTATAAGATCTACGAGTGATCTTCAGAACTTCAAGATAAATAATTTATCTTAATTTAATATAATATACTTTAACATCCCATAATATACAACAATGTTTTCTAGAAATAGTTCTATTATCTGTATTACTATTATTATTATCTTACTTAGTATAAGATAAATATATTTAATAAGATAATTAGTAATGACTGTAATAGCATTAAACCCTTCTGATTCTAGTAGTAAACTAATAAAGTTAATTATTATCTATTTTTATAGCTGTTGTGGCGCTTTCTGTACTTATATTTATTTATAGGATTAATATCTTACAGGCTTATTCTTAATATAAGTCTTATATTATCTAATATAATCATATATTTTCTATCTGAGGTTCGGAATTGTTACACTCTTATTGAGTAAGATCCCGGTTGGGGTAACACCCGAGGCAACGCTGTGTCACGTGACCATCTACCATCAGATCTACCATTGAGGATATACGATATAGTATACGGAATCCAGGAACATGATTAGATCAATCCTCGATCTACCCTGAATGGTATACGAAATGGTATATAAAGGATAGGATATAAGGACACTCTTTTATGTACTTAGCTAGTTCTGTTCTTCATGCTTAATCCAATTATCTTTAAGTAACCATATATTTTGATAAAGCTTAGTGATAACACTTGTCTGCACTTACTTACGGATAGCTGCGCGGCACTATCTGGCCTTACTTCTCTTCTTTTATTCAGATCAAGTCATCTTTAGATAGTCAACAACCTGACTACCTTTGATTCAGTTCACAAGGTACGTATCGGAACGGGAGCTAAGCTAACAGGAACAGGGAGAAGCGATCCTAGGGTTTGATATATTGAGCACCAGTTAGTATGAGTGTTATCCAGTGATAACTAGTCATCATATTAACTATATCGAACACATCGCGTGCGCCTCAGCAGGGCCCGACGACCAAGGAACTGATGGATATGGTTAGTCAGCTGCAAGAAAGTGTCACTGTCTTAGAATAAAAGAACCAGTTACTCGAGGGTTGCTTATCAGTTAAATCTGTCAAGGTCTGACTACCCGAGCCATTTGACGGCAAACGAGCGAAGCTCAGAGCTTTCTTGACCCAGTTAGACTTGTATCTTAACATGAACAAGGAAAAGCTTAAGAATAAAGAGAACAAGATCTTTTTTATATCTACTTATCTTACCAGAGTAGTATTTGATTAGTTTAAACTATATATCCGCGAGCGATAAGAGAAGTTAATAAGTAATTAGAATAATAATATAAAATAATTTTTTGTTAGTTATGCCAGATTTAAACAGTGTCTTAAACAGATATTCGGAGATATTAATATAGTATAAAATATTAAGCAAAAGTTATGGTAACTTAAGCAGACAGGATCAGTATCTGTATATACTTTAAAGTTTTAGCAGATTATTAATCATCTAGATTAGGATAATAATACTTATATCTCATGATTTAAAAAAGGACTCAAGATAGAGATCCAAGAAAAGATCATTTAGTAAGAATGATTAAATATCTTGGTCAAGATGATTGAAGCAGCAGTGAAAATTGATAATAAGTTATATAACTTTAATATAAAATAATAAGAGGATTAGTAGACCAGCAGGTCTATATCTCAATATAATAATCAGCCAGATTACTGAGCCAATAACAGAAGGTTGGTATAACCTAGAAGCTTGGGATACGAAGATCCTTACAGGCTGAAGCCCATAGAGCTGGATACAGTACAGCATCAGACTCAAGAGACTTGAGTATCTAAGGAGAAACTTGAACAGCGTAAACAAGACTACTTGTACTTCAGCTGCGGCAAAGCAGGTCACCAGTTAAAGAATTACAGTCAGAAATAGCAACAGTCTTAGAAGTAATTAAGAGCTATGAACCAAGATTAAGGCAGAGAAGTCTATAATATTACTACTATTTAACACAAGGTTTAGACAGAATCCGCGACACGGACATCAGATAATAAAAAGTT